TGCGGCCTGCAGTGCATTGCCATACTCCCCTCCTTGAGCATTGACATCCGCTCCGGCATCTATCAGCATCTTCACCACCTTCTCATGGCCACATAATGATGCGGCCTGCAGTGCATTGCCATACTCCCCTCCTTGAGCATTGACATCCGCTCCGGCATCCATCAGCATCTTCGCCACCTTCTCGTCGCCATGGAATGATGCGGCTTGCAGGGAATTGCCATAGAATCCTCCTTGAGCATGGACATCCGCCCCAGCATCCACCAGCATCTTCACCACCTTCTCATGGCCACGTTCTGATGCGGCATGTAGTGCATTGTGATGCCGTCCTCCTTGAGTATTGATATCCGCTCCGGCGTCCATCAGCATTTTCACCACCTTCTCATGGCCACATACTGATGCGGCCTGCAGTGCATTGCCATACTCTCCTCCTTGAGCATTGACATCTGCCCCGGCATCTATCAGCATCTTCACCACCTTCTCATGGCCACAGAATGATGCGGCTTGTAGCGCACTGCCATGCAGTCCTCCTTGAGCATTGACATCGACAGCCCGTTCTATCATTCTCTCGACAATTTGTGGTACGCCTATATATGCCGCATAGTAGAGAGACTGGGCAATTTCATTAGACCATAGATGTAGCTGAAATCCTTGCCATGGTATATCAATTTCGTAAAGCTGTAACCACGAAAGTAATGCAGTATCATCCGTCAAGAGACGTAACACGAGATCCGACAAGGTATCGTTTAGCGTACCCCTAAGGTTTTGTGCATGCTGCCACCAATACTCTGCTGCATATAAAGCCAGCGGATACTCCTTGACGACCTCTTCGGTTAGGGGTCCGTTCTGGCTAAGGTGTAGCAAATAATGTAGACAACCCTCCGCAATCACAAGGTGGCAGATTTGGGGTCGAAACTCTAACCTAAAGGCACACCGATCGGATAAGAGAAACTCCTTCACCGAAAAGTGCGCGAGCTGAACTCGGACCTTGCGACCATCTTCACCACGGTCCTGTGAGCTGTTCTCACCTTCAATACCGCTGTGTTGTAACTCGTTGTCGCCTTCTTCATTTTCAATAGAATTAAAAGTGATCAGACTGGAGCAGATAACCATCACATCTTTAGGATCGGGGAGACGTTCCTCTGGGAAAAATCCTCTCCGATCTCCATTTTCTATTGCAAAAATTTCGACCATTTCTGCTAAAAGTAAAGGACGATCCGAGAAACATAGCCACCGTAGAGCCTTAATCGCAGTCTGAAGCTGGTTGGTCGATCCGAGGCCTTGTAATATTCGATTGTATGTCTCGTCCAGGGTCTTTGGCAACGATGATAACGTCCTCCTGAGGGCACTTAGCTGGAGACAGTGACGAAGTGATTCTAGCTGACAATATACCCAGCGAAACCTGCCCCGCTATCAGCAAAACCATATATAGTGTGACGGAATGCCACCCATACATGCCACCCGCCTTGTCCATTAACACAGTGGTTATTTCATCCTGCACTGATGGTGGCCATTTCTTCAGGCTTTTGTCCGTAGCCATCCGATCGTGAATGTAGACACAGATGTCAGCATCCACCAGGGCACTTTGAATATTCACGTTGTGGTTAGCAACCGAACTTAACTCGTCTTCGATGTCCTTTTCCCGGCGACTCGTGGCTAAGACATGGAGGTCCCGTGGTTTCGAGCCCATCAGCTCGACCAGAAAAGACAACAAATCTTCCCGGTCTGAACATTCATCCAGTGCGTCGAGGAAAATGAACTTCTGCCCGGGATGAGCCACTGCCTCTCTAAACAGTGACTGGATGGCGGCTTCAGAGGGCTGTTGCTGTCCTTTTCCGCAATTTTGGTACAACTTTTCGAGATCCTCGAGAATACCGCTGCACTGGAGAGCAAACTGAAACAGCGATAATCGGATAGCTTTTTGCCAGGATTGCTTCTCGACATCATTGAAGTCAAAGTAGAAATAGCTCACAATCATGTCGGGTTGAGACTGCCGATGCTCCAGAACATGCTGTAGCGTTGCAGAACTGGTCCGTCAGTCAGCCTCATATTTTCCAGGTACAACTTTCGCCGAGCTTACCTGAGAACGGTCTTGCCACAGCCCGCTGCGAAATTCCGTCAATTCTATCATTAGATACCGCGATAGCGACGTACCATTTCCGTGGAGCCACATCAGAGAAGAAGTCGAGCTTTTCCAATCGAGGAAATCTTGGCCATTAAGCAACCACAGCCCAGTCCTGGGATGACGCTTCCGAAGTGCCGCGTGGTAATTAGGAGACGGGTCTGGTAGTCCCAACCATTGCGACAATCCATTTCGTAGCTCTCCTATAGTGACCATATTAGGTCTGCCATCTGTATAGATAGTCATGTCACTTACGATCCACCAGGGTCTCGATTTGTTCTTTCGCAACGATGACACCCCCATGAATTGCCTCTGTGCTACTCTGAAGTTTTTCGTTTTGTTCCTTTATAGCAACGACGTCGTCGTGGATTGCCTTCGACAACGTCCTTCCATTATTAGTAGGCTCTCCAACCCCACATACCGTTGTACGTACGTTAAGTCATTTGTCAAGGCACAATTGATGAGCGATTTGAGACGCTCTATTCGAGATAACGTATTTTCCACCTCCTTTTTGCTGAGTTTCCACAATAATATCGATTTAACCTGGTCTCTTTTCCTGGATGACGGTAGCTGCTTCACAATTGTCTCAAGAACGTCCTTGAATTGGTCCAGAGGGCCATTTTCGGTTCCCAACAGCTTCACTTGATTGAACCATGGATCGTTGTATCGGGCTTCTTCGACTCGAAAGCGCAGTGCGGTCAACAGACCGTAGAGATTACTGGCTTCAATCGCCAGCTGAGCCTGCTCTTTCGTTGCATTTTTGGCGTCGTTGATGTAGCTTGTGAGCGCTGAAGTGAGCTGCAAAATAGCAATAATGCTAGCCGTCATGGACAGAGGATCCATTGTGCGATTCGCTGGTTAAGCAGTGGATCGCGGGGTCGACGAATCAATCGCTGGTAAAGTTATCGAAGGTAAGTAGAAGAGGTGTAAGGTAGAATTGCTGTTTACAAGTCAGACCGAAGCAGGACTACGCAAATTAGGATTGTCCGCGCGAATACGTGTTCATGGAGGATATTGAATGGAGGACATTTTGAACGAAGACCAGTCTGAGGCCATGAAGCACAAACGTTTCAGGTAGACGAGTATGCGCTGGCGTGAGGTTGCGAGCATCTGTTGTGCATGGCGCAGGCAGCAATGCAAAAGCAGCCTTACCTACTGTCAGGCCCCGACCAAGTGAAGAGAATGGCAGAAGGGTAGCTACATCTCAGCTCGCTCCTACCCTCCCAGGCCTCACTGCGTTCGATATTGCCAAGCCTTTTGCATCACGTGATTGCCAACCACGCACAATCCGGAAAATCCATAATCCGAACATTACCAAATCCATCGGATCCAGTCACGGCACACCCAGGAATGCCCCTGCCTGCCAGGCCCCTGATCGGATCCAGTCCATGGACCATACGTGGATCACAGTATCCCCGTGCCCGTACGTTATCCCCCATCGGATCCAGTCCGTGGACCATATGTAGACGATGTTGATCACTATATTCTGTGCCCGTACGATATTGTCGCGAGACCACGTGCCAAGGATCACGTTTCCAGGGGTTCTTCAAGCACTCCCTGCGTAGCATTCTATCTTTGACTCTCATCGTGCTACGTCTTGTCTGGCATACATTGATTGGATCCTCGCCCTAGAACCCTCACATTTATACCCCCTCTAATCCGATCCATTCCATAGACCATTTCTACTTCATAATCTCTGTTATTGTCAGGTCAATAAAGCGGGTACGGAGATCGCTTCCAAAAGTTCCCCCCGGGGGACGTGGCCTAGCCATTGTCTCCTTCCAGTTAAATCACTTTTCGAATATGCAGTACAATGCTCTCGATCCACTTCTGAATCTGGTGTTGAGGAAGTTCATTCCACGCCTTGATCCACGCCTTGTTTGAACTCGAAAGCGCACCTTTCTTCGTGGCGATACGCTTGAGATATGGCCAACAAGGTTCGATTATATTCAAATCTGGCGAGTTTCCTGGCCAGAGAAGCTTGATGACTCCTTCACGATCGAAAATCATGTTCTGATGCACCGAGGCATGGGATGGTGCGTTGTCTTCCACGATCGTACTAGGCGAGTTCTCACACACTCCTTTGCGAAAAGCTTTGGCTTGAGAATATACCGTTGATATCGATACCAATCGACCCCATTTCCTTTTCGTCGAACGATCTTACCTGTTGAAGCGTTGAACTTCCACTTTGCCTTTCTTCCTCTTTACCTCGTAAATCGAGTCTTCTCATTCCCGTCGTCAGCTCCCATTCTTCACGAAGAGCTGGTTCTATTTCACGATTGATCGCTCGAACTCGTTTTCGGCTTCTTTCTTCCCTTAAGCAGTCTCCGGCTTCCATATATGACAAAGACCTTCTTATCGTACGTAAAGCAGCCCCAGAACATGAACTCCAATATCCTTTCCATCTTTCGCGCATAACACGCTTTTTGCAAGTTCGATAACCACCTCTTCTATGACCGAGAACTACCGAAGTTTTGTCAGACCATATCACGGTCTTCCAGTCTTCTATTGTCCAGTGTTCGTATTGAAGACAGAACTCGAGCCGAGCGTCTTTCATAGCCTTTGTCAGTCCTGGTTCGCGAGTCGGTTTGGTTTTGTGAAACCCGGCAGCTTTCAGAACTCTCCACGCCGTCTGAGGAGATACTATCTTAATCTCAGCCGCAACATCAACGTAGAATTTTCTCTCGACCATACCGATCGAGACGTACTTTAGTAAGTACTTCTTCTTTCAACTCTGGAGTGTGAACGGTAGGACGACTAGATCTCGGCTCATCATCGTCTTTGATAACCTGTGCCATTCAACAGGCGAGGCAGGCTTGATGACTAGGACAAGACACAGCTCAAGGAGTTATGGACAAGGCGCAGGACGCGCGGTACGTATCCTGTCCGCAGCAGACCTTCCAGACTAAGTAGCTATACAAATGTACCGCCACGTGACCAAGTGTCGGCGGGCTGCAGTCAGCATCGTAACAGAAATTGTGTCAAACTGGGGAACAACTTGAGATGTATTGAATGCTCTGTCTACCTCGCAACCGGTCCTGCCAGGTTACTGGTATATATACGCGTTGAGTTGACCCTTTTCTTCTCCTATTCCCACCCCTAAATCCTGCATAGGGGTGATAACCCCTTTTCCTAATAAAGGGGCACTTGCTATTATTCAGCCATTCAATGAGACCTTGTTCGACAAATTGCTACGATACTTGAAAGAACATTCTAGATACTCGACGCTCTAATATACAAGTGTTTCTCCAGACCTCTTTCTATTAAAGTTGTAAAAAAGAAAGTAAGAGAAAGATTAATGAAAAATTTTCTCTCAGCCACGTTTAAGAACGGCCAGCTCTCGAACCTTTCAGCCAGCGTCCACACTTCTAGCGATCGCGTTTCCTTGTTGCATTGTGGCTGCTATTGGTACTTGGACTTTCTTCCTCTCTTTCTTCCACAGCAAATGGCAGCGTCATCAAGAGATTAGCCACCTCTAAGGTGTCAGGATGATTTTCTCCCAGAATCTTTTCTCGGCCGAACACTGTGCGCTGGAGCATATTTCTGGCCTCTTCTGTTTTGCCCTGCCTGTGATAGAGCAAACCAAGACCATAAATAGTGTAGTGCTTTCTCGTAGCCATGTAGTGACCGCTCGCACATCTCCTCCGCCTGGTCTAGCTTCCCTTGATCGGCGTAGAGGGCGCCTAGATTGTGGACCACGCTAAGTATCGACGTGTGCTCCTTACCCAGTGCTTTCTCGTAGCCTCGCAGTGCTCGCTCGTACATCTCCTTCGCCTGGTTCAGCTTTCCTTGATTTCTGTAGACGTTGCCTAGACCGTGGACCGTGCCGAGTGTCGACGTGTGCTTCTTACCAGTGCCTGCTCGTAGCCTCGCAGTGCCCGCTTATACATCTCCTCTGCTTTCCTCAGTTTGGCTTGATCAGTGTAGAAGTTGCCCAGGCGAACAAAACCATTAAGAATGTCAGTTGAGTTATCATCGTATCCTGATCTATCTTCCTCCGCATGACCCTCTAACTCCAAGATCTCCACCCAGTCGTTGACGACCCAGCGGAAGCATAAATTTCGGGTGTCTAAAAAAGCCCAACACAGGAGGAGATTGGCAGCTGGTTCGTTCTTCCTGCGGATGACATCAAAAGGATATCCACGACTCCGCTTGTTGTAAACGTTCTGACTGTCTCCGGGACATGTTCTGCCGGAATCCGCGTGGCTGCATAGGCGATGCTTTGCTTCAAGTTCTCTTCTGAGCTCCCGTCCAGCCAGAGCACAGCACTGTATTTGCTATGGTTCCGTCTCGCGAATTGTGCCGCTAATTGTGATTGACCCATCCCGCCGAGCCCGCTCAGTACGAATATTTGACGTCGACGAGATCCACGCCGGGGGAAGAGCGCCTTACCCAGATCAGCCAGGTCAGTTGGACGGTCCGCAAACTTGTCGATCACGGGAACACCTCGCAGACTGAATGGGATATTGTACTTCTGAGAGACTGTGTACCAGATACATTAGATACGAACGTCCAAGGATTCCATTATCATCAATAGGAGTGAACCTAACCTTGCTTCACGGATACCCTATTCGCACACGCTGTCATCTGTTTGAACACTTCCTGCGTCGCCGCAGCTATCTCTTTTCTTGTCTTCGAGTCTTCCAATCCGATCTCTTCTAGTCCTCGTGCGACATTGAAGCGATAGTATCGACCCCCTTCGTCCAGGTGGGCTTTGCTCCGTCGAAAGCTATGAGGCCTCATCATTGTTGAGAAAAGTGATGTGAAAATCTTCACTGTTATTCTTCCATTATCAGGATACGAGGCTAAGCCATATCCCTTTTTGCGGGACACAGCAATACGATAAAATACGCCTTTATACTCAGATCAACTCAAAAATCGATTGATGCCATTCATGGATCCTGAATCGACGTGGTTGTCGAGTAAAACGCTCTCAGAGCATCCGCCCCCCCAACTTAGTAGTTTAGCCGGAGAAAGAAGCGAGCCAATGGCCCCCCTTCGATTCTCCATTCCTTAACCCCACCGAAGTCGTAGCTACTATCATACTTATCTAGGAAGAAAAAAATAGCTTCACAGATGCAATGCTCTCTGCTTCATCATGTCCCACCACCCACTTGATCTCTTCAAATTCGTCCCGATGACTGAATATCCATCATCCTAATAGTTCAAGAGCAACCAAGCTCTTCGAGCCCGCAATGACGTCGACTTCCACATCACGACCACCATTCCTCCGTTCGTTGTCATCCACTTCGTCGCTGAAACCAGCAAAGGATAAACCTCGAATCTATATTGCCCTCTATCCACGTGGCGGCTCTTCAGCAACATCTTCTTTCCGCAGTGATTTCAACTGCGACTCCTACCATTGGTCTATCGTCGTAGGGCCCCAAACAGCCTCAAGAAAAGACCCGGGCACCCGCTATCATGTTGCGCATCTTCCTGAGAAGTCTGGCAAACACCTTTACGAGGAACAGGATATCCCTTCCCACTCGGCGGCTCAGACCTGTTTAATCCGTGTCGCCATTGCCAAAGTCACAGACGAATGTCGTCTGCAGTCGGTCCTCCGAGAAGTTTGCATCCAACGGGATGATTCCGCATTTAATTGCCTCACGTGGGTCCGTGAGGCTTTTGTCAGATTACACGACGATGGCAAGTGCTTGAAAAGCTATTTGAATTCGGACGACTGGAAAGCTGTCGAGACGTGCGCGCGGACTTACTGTAAACGCAAGAGAGACGTGGGAAGGTTTCAAGAAACTGTTCCTGCTAATGGGGCTGTCAATGCCTGGAGTATGGAGAAGATCAGCACCTTCAATTTCTGGGAGAACCGAGAGACTACCCCTTGAAATGTCTGAAGATGTTTTATCTCACGAATGGCAAGATCGAGGATCTGAAATCGAGGATTTCATTTCGGAGAATTTCCATGGCTTCGGGGCTGCTTTGAGAAAACATCGTTCGTTCTGTCAAGGAGAGCTCTGTCACCTTGACAACGACTGGCTCCAGGTGAAGATGGTTTCAGAATTGAAGTTGCAAAATTCGATCCTTGCTACTGGAAATGAACATGACCGGGACTTCCACACTCCTCAACTGGGTCGAAGAATCCCAAAATATTTGATTATCCCAGTAGCATGATGCGGAAGCATACCGACATGACAGGGTTGACGATTGTGACATATACTTACTGCCCTTGGAGTACGTAGATTACTCGCGAGCGAAAAACCTATTTCCCAAATACGGTTCGATCCTAGAGGGTGAGCGAAGGCCGCTTTAACCTGAGCTTGAACTGAGCCTCACGGAGTACTCCCTGAGCACCTCTCAAACGGATCCCAAGCGATAGACTGAGCCGCAATGAGGGCCTAATCTGGCTCCCCAGCGATCGACTATACTTGCCTCTTAACCGGGCATTATTTTTAGATAACTTACGAAGGTGTGCACAAAAAAGTGCTTGCGGCACTAAATTTTATCTTGGTATGCCACACAAAAACTACGCCCATTGTAATTTGGCAGCGCTCAATTCTCCAAAGCATCACTCTACATCATCTTCAGAACAAGTCGTACAGGACTCTGAAGACTGAGATATAACCTCGTCGTCGCCAATTCTGGTGTTTTGATTAAATGACAGAGCCTACTCCGTCGCCATTTTCAGTGATTGCCGAGTCTGATTTTCAAAGAACTCCATGATCGAGCAAGAAGCGCAAGCTATCAACATTGCCGCAGCGGATAGCGAAACGGACGTATGTTGGTATAAGACCACCGGCGTCGTAAACGCGATGACTGAAGAGCGGTTCCGTTTTTGAGAACTCCTCCAAGAGCATTATGTCGCCCACTGCGCATGAATGCAGGATCAGCCACGTACGTGATTCTGCAGAAAGGGGGCTGAAATGCTGTGTCAACAATCTGATAGTCTCTGAGCCGCTGCTAGACCGAGTGAGCAGAGTCATATAACGACTCAAGGCATCAGTCAGCAAGTCGGGAGAGTTGGGCGTACACGCAAGTAGAGCTTTCAGGACTTTGCAATGCCGAGTTTTGCGTGCTTTATCGCCACTTTCAACAGAGCGATAGGCTGTTTTTCAATGAGCAGATCCGGAGGGCTGAGTGCGGAGGAACTCTCAACAGGTAATGTCAATTTGCTTCCGTATGTCCCAAACAGCTGAAGGTCTCCCAGCACGCATGCACTCAAAGCCACCCAAAATTCAGGAGGGCGAACTTGGTAGCAATTTGTAGGATAAAGATTCCATCTACCTTGGACCATCATTGTCAGAAAGTCTAGTCCTAGGTAAGGATCAACAGCCTCAGATTGCGAGCAAGCTCTGGAAGGTGAAACGCGCCGCGTAGATTTCTTTCAGTCGGGAACACACCAGACTTCGGCAGAACTGATGGTGACATGGATTGATGCAATCGAGTGAGTGGCCTCCAGTAGAGGCCACAAGTCTTTTCCGCAAGTAGCATGCACGAAGCACAGCTTCATTGAACTGGGTGCCCGCAGAATTATGGTGTGCCAAAGTGTTGCGTCCGTATGCGTCCCGGAATCTTCAAGTTTCCGCGTGCAAGAAGACGTGTCCTGGAGAAAGATGGTCGTAATGCTAGAGAACTAGTTAAAGAGGTTAGTCAGGAACAACCCGACAGCCTTAATGCAAATGGCGTAAATAGGAAAAGGATGAATCACGTATGAAGGTGGTACGAAGAGTAGATAGTGGAAAGCAGATGCAGTAAAATTGAGGAGGCTTCTTCCCCCCCCAGGGCAACACTAACTTGGGGGTTAGTACTCACACCTCTTCATGACTTTCGTCTGACATAGACGGCACTGAGATTGAACGCGTCCAGATCACCAGGAAAATCAATCTCTTCGTAAAAATTTTGAATCATTTCGGTTAGGCGAGGGGAATCAGGGTCCGTCCTGGGAATTCATTAGTATATGCCCTTACTTAACCCATCGACGAAAATTTAAGCGGGGAAGATCTCACGTAAGTGACTTGTTGAGTTCGTCCTCGGTGTACTGGCTTCGGTCCCAGATCATCATGGCCGGTCGAGCAATGTCCGCAATGATTTGTCTCACTGGGACTTCGGCGCCGAAGGAAAGCACCACCGTCGAATCGTCCACCTCCAAAAACCCTTGTGGATTGTCAAGAACATTGATGCCTGATTTTTGGAGGATGTCTCGATCAGTGTCGGTATAGGCTGGGTCTTGCGCACAACATTGGATGGAGTGCTGCGTTTGTTGTAGCTCACTCAAGTCATCTCGGAGGGTTGTGATTAATGCATGCTGGTACGTCGACCTTATAGACCATGACTCTTGATCAGTCAAAGCCATCGTGCCGCATGCGAAGGCTACAATCTTGTTGACGTGACTAAGAGATTTTGACGAAAGCATCGACTGGAGTTGTCCTCGGACCTCGTGAGTAGCCCAGGCCTGCTTGTTCGTCTCAAAGAAGTCTTCAGCTTGCTTTGGTGAGAGCCGGGGGGTGACGTGAACGATTTCATTTGTCAATCTGTGGCGTTTTTCTAAGTTGTGAAAGATTTGTAGGCTGCAGTACGCAATACGATGGACATATCCGAAAGCCTGATGGATAAGCGCTTGCGGGGAAACAAACATAATAAAAGGGGCTCCGCTGTGATGGTGGTTAGCGATCTATTTTAAAAAGGCACTCCTTTTATGGTCAAGAATATTTATTCAACGCACATAACGAAGTCGAACCCATCAATTGAATCAGAAATTTGTCCGGTTTCTATGTGGAAACCGACAATGTTTCCGTCGAGTCCTCTGACCAAGACTTTCTGATGCCCGCTCTGAAGCTGGTCGACAACGTCCCGAATCATTTCTTTACTGTAGATGGGCACCCCAGCGTCGTATAATGAGCGGATGTGGGAAGAGACGTCTGCTCTAGCCTTCGGTGTTTCCTCAAGAACTCCATTTTCTTTCCTGCGGCAATAATCTGCAGCGTAAATATAGGAAGTGAATTCCCCCATAATGGGCCAGCCGACAAAGAGAGGGGACGATGTCGAAATAAGGAAGAAGCTGGCAAGGGAGAAACAAATCTCACGGTAGGAAAGTTCCAGAAGACGCAACTTTAGATGGGGAAAAGCTGATCGGCGTCTAATCACAAGAGGCAGAGAAAGTATACAGCTAGGTGTTCAGCGATGTGGTCGAGAGAAGACGTGTAGGGGTCGAGCTGCGTAGGTGACGTCGCCAGGGTATCACATCGACCTTCCGAGGTGGTCCCGATTAGTAGAGCGGCAAGGATTCCTCAACCTGAAAGGCGGGTTCATTACTGGAAACGGCTCTACGCGTGGACCTCGCGACAAATAACAAACTATCAGGCTTTATTCCATGGCTAATCAAACCCTCAAGCAACCATGTCGATATTATATCGAACTGAGCGAGATGCGGATAGAAGAGGTGAAAACTCGTTTACAGATTGTAGCTATATAGGCCAGGGAATAGGGGCTCTTGGCACTAGGCATCAGCCGTTTACACTACTAAAAGCATACGCCAGGATACAGGAGATCGCGACAGCCGTCGAAAGGAGCAACCCTGTCTTTCAGGAGGCCTCGACAGGCATTGCAGCATTCAATATCGTTAGCAAGACCCTGCGTAGTCTCTTACGGCTCCCGGTTCAGGTGAGGAAGTCGGATCTATCGCTACAAGCGTCCTTTACGCGCTGTCGGTTCCTAATTATCGATAATGGACAGTGCTCCGAACTAGCAGATACCGATCTCATCGCCGATATCTAGGCCTCATGTACCGATATTTGCTAGATATATAGCCGATATCGTTGTCGGCTTTCCTAATTGGGTATACCGTCGTCTGCTTTGTGGTCCATGGACTGGATCCGATGGGGGATATCGTACGTGTCACGGGACCACGTGCCAAGGATTACGGCACAGGGCATCGTTGATCCACAGGTGATCCATAGACTGGATCCGATCAGGGCGGCATTCTCTGGGTGGGCCACGGATTGGACCCGATGGGGTCGGCCAATCAGAGCAAAGGATTTGGCATTTTCCGGATTATAGATTTTCCGGATCCCGAGGATTGGCCAATCACGTGAATGGTTGTAGGGCCGCATGTGTGCACCGCCAAGACCAATGTGGCCGGCTCAATCATGTGGTGACTCGGGCGCAGCGAGGCCGGGGGTTTGGGGGCTTGCCCCAGAGCAGTCCTAAGCAACTCCCTGAGCCAAGTCTGGGAGCCCAATCTGGCTCCTTCCGCCTGAGCACCCAAGTAAACAGACGACACAGAGCGACATACAACCGAAAGGATCATGATTCAATTATATGGAATCCAAACTACGGACCACATGCCGAGATTTCGGCTGAAGACTGGAACGATAGAAGAATTGGAAGATCGAGTATTATGAATCGAGACATGAAACCAGAGTGGGAAGTGGAAACCCACCCAACCTCCAACAACGCCCTCATCCTTGTGTATTGAACATTTACCAACTCACAAGCCATGGCTTAAGCTGGTTAGTTGTGAATTTTTGACTTTCAACCCTTGAACCGTTTCAAATTACTTTTTTATCTTGTTGGCATTCAGAATCAGTAACGCAAAACGAAATGTGTTACAGTTTCGATTAAATAGTTATGGTTTGGAATGCAACGAGATTAAATTGACTCAGTCCGGTAGGATTGTCCAATGGATCTTTCCATTGCGCTATGTCTTGATTCTGTTATTGGTTATGTTTCTGTACTGTATAGATACCTCTTAGATCAAATGCCACGTCCAGAAATCAATCCCTAGCCTGACCGTTAACCGAAGCCGACGCCTTGCGGACAGGACAAAAGTCGTCCGCACCGTATCCCCAAATGCCCTGTCCATTCTCCTTCCCATTCCAATCCAATGACCCAGGGCCCTGATGTTTGCTTGTAGTGGCAAAATGCTTTCCGTTTCCGAACCAACCCCAAAAGCCCAAGCAAATACAGATTAGCCACCCTTGGGTTCATCGAAACGCCATGTCCTGTAATTGCGCCAGTGATGAAATCGAAAGTTACCACAATCGATGCTCAACCAGACCGAATCACAGTGATATCAGTGTACGGGTGTTCATTCCCAGCTCGACCGAGGTGACCGAGGTTTGTCTTTTACAACCCGCGGAGCATGACAGTCCGTTCACCTTCCAACTTGGCGGCATTTCTATCCTTGTCTGCGCGCCTAGCGTCCTCAAGGCCTTCACAGTTGTGAGATTCTAACATACGGTGCTTGCCGCAGAATCGTTTCTGGCAGAAACCGCAGTCTCCAACAATGGGTTGAGCGGGCGCTTTACAGCCATCTTTTGAACAACGAGGCTTATTGGACTTTCTCTTGGTGGGTGTGGCAGCCCCCGACGGGGTTGGGGTTGATGTAGAAGACGTTGGGAGATTGTTGGTGGCCATGTCTGCTGACGACAGTGGAGGCTTGGGGGAATCTGTAGGCGTCGTACTTCGGGACGGAGATGACAGTTGTAATACAGATGATTCTTCTAGCTTGAGGTCTCCAACGGTGGTAGAGGGGTTTAAGGGTTTCCCTTCGAGCAAGAGCTGGACGTCCGCCGGGAGAGTGGTTGAGGCAGAGAGGAACTCGAGGACATTGGAGACTGTGTGAACAGGACGCACATTCAATTTAATAGCTGAGAGTAATTTCTTAGTAATCTGACGGTGGTGTTGGTATATGAGGCAATACTTACTCTTGCCGCCACTGATTGTGACTTGGATGGCCATGTTGTCTGGAAGGAGCTCCTTGCTGGAATTGTTGGAAGTTGCGGAACCTGATCGAGAGCGCATATTGAAAGACGTGGGTTGAGGAGTGAGAAAACTGCGGAAGTGGGTGATAAGAAACAGGTGCTGGTCAACAGGGTCGTGACGGATGACAAAGGCCGGAAGTAGCGGTTTTGCTGTGCGGCAGGTGACTTAGTGACGGGTAATTTGTAGATGAATTTTGGTGACAATAAAGCGTTTATGTTTTGATGGTGGTGGTGGTTGGAGTAGCAAATGCAGGAAGAAGTCGAGAAAGACAGATACGTCAAAGTAGTAGAAAGTGAAGTTTGACTTGGTAGCCGAGTCCCGTGAGGCAGCAGCGGTGACTTGGTGGCTGCTGTCTGAGGCAATGAGGCGAGCAGCAGCAAGTAACCAAGAGTGGGTTAGAGGCTTGAATGGTGAAGGACGGCGACTGGTAAGTTTACGAGGATGACGGATTCCAGTGGCGGTCGGGACGGGTAAGTGAGTTGTTAAAGGGACGGGGATAGCGGCTGCGTGTGGAAGTGGATGAGGGGATGTCGAAATGAGGCATCTGATCCTATTTAGTGGAGCTATGGAAAGCCGTCGCAGGAGCCAGAAGAGACCCAAATCCGATGCACAGGTAAGCGAGAGGCGCAGGAGGTGACGGAGGCGAGCGGCGACACGAAACGAGGCAAGAGATGAAGATGGAAAGGCAATGAGAGGGGGGTTTTGGCTCAACTTCAGGGCCCAGTTCCACTCACATTCATCTCTCCCCCCGTTCCCGTCGTCGTCTGGGATAGTGGTTCCGACCTAATGGCTACTAAACTGCGAAACTCAAACCCTCGTCCCTATCAACTGAATATTCCATCTCTCAATTGTTCTAGATTATCATTGTCCCAGCACAGTTTGAGGATCATCATCCCCTAGTCCTTTCCTTCCCTCTGTTCAATGCCATCGCATCTAGATCTAACTCCAGATCCAGAGAAAACCTCCGGAATCCCAAGTCGTTCGACGTGGTAACATCCCAATGGTCCAGATTGCTGGGCCCGGCCTCCAGTTTTTTTTAATCTGTGCTCGACGTCTGTGCTGACCTGGACTGACCAGGCGCTTGCTTGGATGAACCACTGCGCGCCTCTATCATATCATTTGCCATTTGATACTGCAACCCACGCTTTGACACAATTATATTTGTTGTCCGCTTGTCACCAACGACAACCTTCTATGGTAACTCGACCTCCTTGCCGCCCAGTCTCATTCCGAATCTGTCCTTGCTCATCCGCTTGCTGCCACAACATGTCGTTCAGGCAGCTTTGCAGACGGAGGACTCCGTTCTCAAGTACGCTGACCTTTTTTCTGGTCATGTGCACCAGGGGATTATCCGGAACTTCGATCTCCTAGCCAGATCTACACCTGCATCTTCCTTGTTGACTCTTTGTCATGGTCCTGCTGGTCAAAGCCGACGGCTTGGCCCCACCACGCCACGAACAGGCTATCTCCTTCACAAGCTGTGGTTGGGAGCAAATCCAATCCAATCTATTGCTACCGATAACTTCAACACTCCACGGCCATTTTTGGCGCAGGCCCGCTTGATTGAGCTTGTTCACGCACTCTCTTCCTGTCGCAGAAAAAATTGCTGACTCCGGTGACCGTGGCATGTGCTGTGAATTTTTGGTGTGATATGCCGGTTGTGATAACATCTTGTCATCCATCCTTTGTGAACGTTTTGTGATTTGGTGAGTTCTCGCCTTGTCATCGCTCTCTCAAGTAGCATCTGCTTTCTTTTCTCCAGCGTCCGGATCGAGATAATCGTCCTTTTCAGCAGCCTCATATTCACCAATGAGTCCCGTCACGACCTCTTTGGCTTCGTCAAATTCGCCCAAGCCTTCCGCGAATGGGGCTTCCTTCTTGTACTGCTCCAAATAGGCATTTCGCTTTCTCATTTTTTCGTACTGGACAACAATCCTTCTGAAAAGCGTTGACACACTCGTGTGGTTCGCCAGCATGAGTCCTGATACGCGGTGGGTATTCTGCAGATATGGGGATTTCTTGGTCAAGGCCACTTGAATTGAAGCGGGACCCCAAGGAATGAAATTGGCCATTCGGCGCTCCCGAATCCGGAGGAGCGATTTGTGGACATCCGTTGGATCAGCTTCGCCTTGGATGATGTTCAAAATGGAGATGTAACAAGACGACTTGGAAGGGGTGATGGAGACCATTCGATTCTTCGGTTGAAGAAGGCGTCGCATCACGTCAAGAACTGTGGTCTTCCGCACCGTCTTGGCCTGGTCCACATTGTCGCCAGTGAATGGAGTGTAAGCGGTCATGAGGAAGTGGCATCGCGGGGTCGGAATCAGGGAGGCGATGATTCCCACAAGATCATTGTGCATGTATCCGGGATATCTGAGTGTGGTCGTAGAAGCCGACATGACTGTCGACACCAATTGATTCGTTTGCTGGAATGATGGCTCCTGCACATGTAGTCTTTCAGATGCTATCCGCGATAGAGCGCCGTTGTCGAGGACCACCACCGAGTCAGCATTCTGAGTCAAACGCCGCATAGTGAGCAGACTGTTGTATGGATTCACCACCACGTCTCCAATAGCAGTATCGGGAAACACCGAATATGTTTGAATGATCTTCTTGGGGAAACGGTCATTCATCCGCTCGAGGAGATAGGAACCCAGACCGGAACCGGTACCGCCAGCGATCGAGTGCAGGAGCATGAATCCCTCCAATGAATCGCTGCCATCTGCCTCTCGATCGATCATGTCAAATATCTCCTCTTGTACCCTCTCCCCGGCAGCATATCCGGCGGCCCAGTTGTTTCCTGCCCCCATCCCATGCTCCCCAATGAAGACATTCTCAGGGTTGTAAATATTCTTATACGGGCCACTTTGGATGCTGTTGATGACCCGAGGTTCAAGGTCAATGAGGATCGCACGGGGGATGTAACGGGTGTCATCACTCTGGTAGAAGAAGACGTCTTTGCGGTCACCACCTTCGGTCGCGAAATCTTCGAGATTTCCGTCACTACTGATACCATGCTCTTGACACAATTGCTGCCAGAACCTGGCTCCGATGGCATTCCCGCACTGGCCTGCTTGGATGGTGATGATTTCACGAGGCATCTTTGCAGCATTGAGCAGGGAGACGGGAGGCTGATGTAGGGATGAGTGAGTGCGAGGTTTTGACGCGGCCTGGCGAGGCGAAATTCACGCGTCATTCCAAAAGTGTGGGGGGTTTGGGACTGGGAAATACACAGTCGACCAACCATGCATTTGCCCAAACAGTGAGCATAAAGAAAAATGCGGTCTAAGCTTTTTTATTCATTGACTCATGGTGGTCGTCCCTCATAATCTGTACTCTGTCTGTAACATTAGTCTAGTCGGTCTTTTCTCTTCGCGATTTACGGTCATCATTCAATCCCTTGATACCGCCTTCGCTTCCAGATCGTTCCTTCTAATGAACTGCTCTACAGTCTCGGGAAACTTGCGCTTGAAGGGCGTGAAGAAAACGCCAACCATAATCCACAGCCACAGTGTATAGAGCCACTGCTTCAAGCTGACCCTGGCTACGGGCTCCCGCTCATCCCACTCGTCGCAGATGCGCTTGAACCTCTTTGGATCGTCTGTGATGACGCCGTCGACGTTTTTTTGAATACACCATTTCATCAGATTTGTGTCGTTGACCGTCCACACATAGAGTGGTCGCTCTGCTTTTCGTACGTCTCGCATAAACCGCGCCCCGAGAGGTCCAAACAGAACCTTTTGCAACATGTTGAACGACACATTCGGGACCTTCAAAAATTGCCTGGCGTAACATGTGGAAAATCCAATGTGCGTGACCGGGAAGCTTGGGAGGTATTTTGTGCATAGAGGGAGAAATTTGGCTGCCCATATCCCAAGCACCACCCGCTCATTCCAAGCCCGATGGCCGGGATCGACTGATGCCAGCGTCGTCGCCATTAATCTCATGACGTCGTCGGAGTTGTTGTCAAGCTTGATATCGAGCAATAACCAGATATGCTCCAGGCCTGGTTGTGCCACATATTCAAGCAAATCGAGAAGGCGAGGCATGGGTTCATGAGGCGCTTTGAGTGTGCGAAGGGAACTCAGATATTCCCACCTGCAATCGATGATCTTCTCCTGATGCCCGAAGCACCGTTTGAGATCTCCATCCTAATTGATGATCAGCCGAAACCGCCTCAGCGGCGATCGTGTCTTACGTGGGACAAGACCACAACGCCGTCTTTTGACAGATGGATATCTGTCTCGATCGCATGGGTTCCAACCTCGACAGCACCTTGGAAAGCTTTCAAGGTGTTCTCCGGATGTTCCGCCTTGTAACCTCGATGGGCGATAGTTTGTGGGAAAAGTTTCCCCTGACTATTTGGCTTCGCCCAGGTCCAACTTGCTGCATAGCGGTCAGATCAAGAAGAAGTGGCAATTGAGAGAATACAAACGCAATGGAAAGTCATCTGTCAGATTTTGGATTTGCCCGCCGCAGTCGGTCTTCTCCTGGGGCAAAGAATTTACTTCTTTCTTCAGCAAAGGCTCCCGGATCTCAAGGTCGAGATTTTGATAGTGCATGCTGAATCCACGTCTATTGGAGAAGGCCACCTGTCTCCCTGTATTCTCAATTAGGGGCCGAAAATGAGGAAATGGAATAGCTAGTCAAAATGAAGGTGACATCAACGAGGATGGAAAATCAAGGGTGGCCGATAAAGATCAGGGGGTAGACGGTAAACGAAGTGTTACAGAGCCATTAGTGCAATATTGAGTCAGGAGTTCAGGAACAGACTGCCTCCTTGATGAATGTAATCCAGCAGAAAAAGAACGAAAAGACGAAGTCGTTAGTGATATAAGCGGTGTTTAGGCGAGAAAGTGGGGGGCAACAACCGTAACAAAGTTAGTAAGGCGTCGGCCACGGATAAGCGAGGTGTCGAAAGTCCGAGATCGTTGTGGGTAAAATGGACTGGTTGCTTGTTAGTGAGACTTGGCCTGCTTTGCATGGGCCGGGCATCCCACCAACAGGTCGCGGAATAACAGAGCCAAGTCGCATGCTCAACATAGGTGTTTGAATTTGAGGGAGCGGCGAAGCTTAGGCAGATTCTGTTAGCTGGTCTCTGTCGGCACCAGACTGGCCCGGCTCCGGGAACACTGGCGCAGCCGCCTAGGAGGCTCCATGCGTATGCAAAACTCCGGTGTGTCCCCTCTCGTCTCGCAGTACGTTTCGGGGCTATGGTCATCCATTCACGGGTGGCATCCAGGTGGTTACAACTGGCGAAGAAATGCCAGCCACGTGGGAGGGGCGTCACCACCGAAGAGTTCCATCAACCCCCGTATCGCAAGCAAGATCGAGCCATCGTCAAACCAAAGGGTGTGCTGAAATGGGCTAAGCATTTGCCGTTCACAGACAGGCTTTGGTGCCGTTCATGTACCGGCAAGAAAACATCTCTCTCGCTTCTATTGAAACCTTTGACCTAGGGATGAAATTTCGGGCAGGGTGCTGGCTCAAACCGGCGGTGATGGTTTCATCTTGTGTCCTGCTAGAAGCGATACTCATTCCAAATGCCGATGTAGCATCTCCGTAGGTGCTGTAGCCAAACCTTTACATAATATGCTTCAGATCGGAAAGTTCGTGTATAACTCCATGGTCGTGCGCCTGCATGCGTGATTTGTTCGCAGAGCCCCTCCCTTATCGTAGGACAAAAGGCTCCGTTGAAATCTAAGTGCTGTTGGCTAGAGATGGCTCTTCCTTCAACATATGGACATGATTGAATGCAGACCCCTCTGCTTGGAATCTTGATGCTCAACCGGTCATCAACAGACCCTTTTTTCCTTTAGAGTGGCCAGTCCAAGCTCTGGGGCAGCTCGGAAGATCTCTTTAACTCCCTATGAGACGCATCTCGTAATTTGATATGACGTTATTTCAAGATCCTGTTCTTCCGAAATGGGTTTCTCTTTTACCCATCAATGCCAATCTCACGATATTCCAGCAGATGCAATGAATTCAGATGTGCTTGCGACCATCCTCGATACAGCTCGCATTACACACTCCTTCCTCACCTTTAACGCGGTGACGGATCTCACGAAGCATGATCTCGTGCCTCAGCTTGGCGTTCAACGAGAATATTCAGCGACATCAGCTTGACCCGTTGGGCCATGCACAAGTTTCAGTGAGAGGCTGAGGAGTTCTTGACTGTGCTACCTGCGACCAAAGTTTTGGGGATATAGGTAAACAAATAGCGACATACAATGTTCAGAAATTCGAAAAGTAGACGAAAATTCAAGCATGACCTCATTTTTCTTGCCACGGTACACGGAAACTTTTCGCTACGTAAAAAGCTGGTCACTCCAAACATATCGGTATGTGACATACCCGAATTATCGTGTTCCAATTATCCCTCCTAACTTCGCTGCATCTGTGTGCTCCGCCAGGACCAAATCCGTCATGAGTCGACAGAGGAAAAGGTTCTCATAGCCTCGAGGATTGGTGGGGGCCCGAGTGTTGTCAAGCCTTTGCTCCCATATCAACCACACAACGGATGCAATCACCAGCGTGCATATCGTGGAAAGCTTCGTTAATCTTGGACAAGGGCTGTCTATGCGTGATGAATTCGTCGAATACGGTGAGTTAGTCAAGGCTCAAAGGCATTTGGAAATGGACAAACCTTTCAGCTTTCCATCCATGTAGTCCTGGACAAGACCGGGGAGTTGCGTTCGGCCTTTGACACCACCGAAAGCACAGCCTCGCCAGACACGACCGGTGACGAGCTGGAAGGGCCTCGTGGAGATTTCGGCACCAGCGGGAGCTTTATGCAAGTCAGCATTGTGCATTTGAGCAGGGAGGGAAGCATTGTATGGGGGAACACTCACCAACGCCAATGATGATGGATTGACCCCAACCTTTGTGGCAGGCCTATTTCAATGGTTAATATCCAGAGTCAGAAATCAGTGAGACTTCAAATTCAACATACCTCGAGCGCAGCTCTCATGACTTGGACGTTACCTGTGCAGTCGAAGGTGTAGTCACAACCGCCATCGGTCATTTCGATCAACTTCTCCTGGATAGTCTGGCCGGACAATTTCGTGGGATTGACAAAGTCGGTACCGCCGAATTTTTTGGCCCATTCCTCTTTCTTATCATTGACGTCGACAACAATAATCCTGCCGGCCTTGTTCTTGACGGCTCCTTGGATAACTGAGAGACCAACACAACCCGCGCCGAAGACAGCAACGTTGGAGCCTTCCTCGACGTTGGCGGTAATGACGGCGGCTCCGTATCCGGTGGTGATGCCACAACCCAACAGGCAGGTCCTGTCCATCGGGGCCTCGTCCGTGATGGCCACCACCGAGATATCAGCGACGACAGTGTACTGGGAAAAGGTCGAAGTGCCCATGAAGTGAAGAATATCTTGGCCCTTGCACTTGAATCTTGAGGTACCATCTGGCATGACGCCTTTGCCCTGGGTGGCTCGGATCTTTCCGCACAAGTTGGTTTTACCAGACTTGCAGAACTTGCACTCTCTGCATTCCGGGGTGCTTTTGGAATTAGTCGAAATCCTGTCGGAACGGCAGAGACCTACTAGAGCGCAACGACAGCGTCTCCAGGTTTCACGTTGGTGACACCCTGACCCACGGATTCGACAATACCTGCACCCTCGTGTCCTAGAATGATTGGGAACGCACCCTCTGGGTCTTTGCCAGAAAGCGTGTAGGCATCTATCTCATGTTCAGTGGCCAGCTCTCTTTTTCATTTCTAGTCGACTGGACCGCTTACCAGTGTGGCAGACACCGGTATAGTAGATCTGAATACGGACTTCGTGGGCTTTTGGAGGCGCAACCTCGACATCCTCGATCGTAAGGTCTTTGCCGGCCTCCCAGGCAACGGCGGCCTATATCAGATCAGACACTGACAGGAGCTGCGGAAAATCGTACATTGGTACCTTGCAAGTAATGGTCTATGAAATACAAGAGTTAGCATAGCTTCTCGAGGTCTCCTCCTAGCTAGACCTACCTTTCCAACAGTATCGGCAGACATTTTGAATGGGTCAGTAGCAGCAAGAAGAGGAATGACTGAAGAAAAACAGAGAAATGACCCAATATAAATTTATGACAGAAGAGTAGGAATGCCGAAGTGGGGTTTGTATTTTATGTGGGGTGTAGGCAGAGGGATTCCCGGGTGAAGAAGGGATTATCCCGGGATCACACCCGACAGTCCCACGAGCGGAGCCGTTCATCTCCTTCCAAAGGCCGTCATCATGAATACACATGCTTTTGGCTCGTCCGAGAATGTCTTCCAAGGAAAGAGCGTGCCAATATGAGGGGACCGAGAATTTGCCTTCCCCCCCCAGGATCCGCACCGGAGAAAATTTCCCTTTGAGGGATGCGCGTACCGAGTCGGGGTGGGTATCTGTGCATTTCGCGTAGAGAATGTTGAACCGGATAGATAAATAAAACCTTGCGCCATCGCACGTTGGAGAAAATAGTATACGGATTGCCCACCGAGTTTGTCTCCGTGTCATTGGATTGAGGGCATTTTTGCGTCACCCATAATTGCATCAATGTTCCTAGGCACGTGAAATGCCAGATCCCTTGAGCTCTTTGTTGGTACAGAAAAGATCTGTGCATGCATTCTGCCTCCCATAGTATACAATGTTTTGCGAGCGTGCGCTGTGAATGAGTTGAAGTCTATCTGCCGGGTAATTGGCCTGCCTGCATCATGGCTGCATTCTGCTCTTGGAAACGTTGTCCGAGTCGCTCAGATCCTTTCAGATACTTATCAACACATCGCATCACACATCCCTCTTCTCTCGAAATCAAGGACTTGGTCGTGAAATCGTTGACGCAGTCATCGAAGCATCGCTGGACGAGTTTGGAATACATCTGGGAGAAAGAGTTGAGGTCAGTAACGTGATCTGCAATTGGGATATTGTAGAGAGGGAATTTCACCGTCATAAATTCTTTCATCTGCTTTCTCTCCATCCGAGAGTTGAGCTCTCTCTGCTCTGCAGGTGTAAGACTGTAGCGGTGCATCAACAAAACTGAATCAAGCGTGTCGCAGGTTGGGTAGTATACCCGTCCATTTTGTTATAGATCTCCGATAATGAGGATATTTGAGGTCGGATGATGTTGCCGGAGAAAGGTCAATTGAATTCCTGGGCGGTCTTATGCAATATGGGCCTTCGCGAACTGGATCAAGTTCCTTGGAATGAGGATTTCGTTCAAAAAGTTGGCCTGATTGATCGGTCCTCTGGAGGAGGATGAGCGTGCAGGACAAAAAGAAATCTGGCGAGCTCAAGTTTCGTAGTGGCTGACCGGCAAACCTTCCCCCGTTTGGTCCGGGCATGGGGCTCCCGCTAAACCACCCCGATTGTGTATCGCGTACCACAGACCTGTATTTTGGTTCTTCCCTGCACCAACTTCAGCTCTCAGTTTCCTATGCATCTATTCCTCGTCCGGCACGGGGAGACAGAGCATAATATTGCCGGTCTCCTTGCTGGCGTTTCTGATTCAAGATTAACCAACCATGGAGTGGCGCAAACCCAACGGTTAGGTAGATACCTCACGACTCACCGCAATTTACGATTCACACGTATATATGCCTCTGATCTTCAACGAGCGTATATGACGGCCGAAGAGCTTCAGAGACACCAAGCGGCCAAGTCCATTGGCGAGCAGAGAGTACCAGAGGTCGTCAAGCTCGAGCTTCTGAGAGAACAAGATTTTGGATCATTGGAACTTGCACCTTGGACCTCGAGGCGGGCACAACATGCCTTTGATCCTCATGTGCCGAATCAAGAAGATCCAAGTTTTAGGCCACAGGAGACCGCCGAGAGCATGCAAAGCAGGGCTGACTCGTTTTTGGCCGATTTCATTCTCCCCTTGCTCGCTACATACCCAGATGATGCACAAGACACAGTACAGGAATGCGTCGCAGTCGTCTCCCACGGCCTTTTTTTGTCGGTGTTATGGCAGTCGCTATTAAGCAAGTTTAATGCTCATCGAGTGACTCTTGGTCCCAACGTTGAAATCCTCAGGTACGGCCGACCCTTAGAGTACCTTCCGGCTTGGAACAATACAGCTTTCCTGGAGTTGACAATTCACCGGGTCCCGACCAAAAGCACGACGTCACGGAAAATCGAGCCTGCAGTGGGAAATCAGAGAATTTTACTACCACTTAGCGGACATTCTATGACTGTTCATGTCATCAATGGCAAAGACCACTTGCTTGATCTCAAGCGTGCGCCGGGTGGTCTGGGTTCATCGCCTTATGACGCGCGTCAGAAAAGCCTGGATGGTTTCTTCAAAGGTCCAAAATGCGGAGGGCCTGGCTCTAAAGGCATTCCTTGATGCCACGCCTACTACGATTGTCGTTGACAAAGATGCTTGGAATCGATCCTCCGGCACGACATCGTCCTGAGCAAAAGATATAGATATCTTCCACTGCTGTGCTGACATTAGATGTCCTGAAGATCACGGAGTCCCGGACGATCTTCGATCCAGTCTTTTGAGGCCATTGGCCCCCCCAAGAAAAAGGGTAAGTCCCACACTTGTTTCTTCCGTTGTACAACGTGATGAAGCACAATTTCACATAGACTTTTTCCGAAACTACTTGTGGAAATACAAATTGTATCAACTGCTGCCTGAATCCACCGATTTATTTATTCATTCTCTAAGAGCATGTGACAGGGAGCAAAAGCTAAACAACGTGTTTTCTAGGAAGGTTCCTTACAAGGATTCGTCGTCACGATTCGACCCATTCTTCGGAATAGTTGGCTGTAATTACGCCTCGGTGTTTTACGGGTGTAGGGTAGACCTCCCCTGTCAATGCAACGATCAGTTTTCCGACCCTCCATCCAGGCTACATCTTACAAAAGCCCCGTGGCATTATTGGTTTAGGTAGTTTTATAGACAAGTCATGCTTGGGGCCCCAAAGCAGGGCACCTGCTGATATGGTGGCGGAGCAGGGAAAAAAGGGGGGGGGGAACCACCCGCAAAAGTGAAACTTGGTTGTCCCTGTCCATTCATTGGCTAGAGCCACGCGTAAGGGGGGCCACATGGGGTGGCGATCAGGGGATTGTGACAACTTGGGCATTGTGACCTCTCTTTCGACCTCCTGTCTTCCACTACGATCCTCCATATCTAATATGGGGTCTGATTTGACGCATTGATTGAGAAACTCTATTTTTTTTACATCTTTAGTACAGTCTGAGAAGTTTGTCTCTGGACTCCTGCCCAAATGCAAGGCGCGTCACAAGGCAATCAATAAGCCTTATTTCGGTCGCCTAAACATGATAAATGTGACCAGTAAGTGCCGCAATCAAGTCACGAGCAGTCAGAATGAAATTCATAAAATGCCTTGATGCTGTCACCGGACCACAAACTCGAAGCATGGAGACATCGCTCACAGGTCTCCAAGTGCGAATCACATGAAGCAGGAAACTAGCTGATATAATTACATATCTGTCCTCCCACACGACCTGATGCAAACTTCCACAAAAAACCAAAAAAAGATTAAAAAGGAAAACCGACTGGCGCTCATCATGACTGGGGTATTGCTCATGACAAATGAAAGTAAAGCAGTGCATCTGTTAAAGACACGAATGCGGAGTCCAACCCACCGCCTCAAACTGATCAAAGCGCAGTTTTTCACCGCTGTCATGCCATCAACGCAAACCGTTCGCCCATATTTCGAAGCCGAACTCCATGGTACGCCTTTGAAAATGAGATTCGATAGGATCCAGGCTGGTCAGGTCCGGAAAAAGAGAATGTGGCGGCTAGTAGCAGCCACTACTCAATTTCGCTCCCAACAAGACTTTTCAGACAACCCGTTTTCGTCGAATTACTTCAACCTAATTCTCAAATATAACTTTGTGCCCGAACCATCGTTCGAGTTGCATCGAGTCGACGTCTCTCTGCCCTTCGACCGGCATTCACTGTGAAAGGCTCTGTTTGATATCCGACAGATTGGGCCACGTGTGTCAATACTGCTGGAGGTGTGGTTGGAGGTGCTTGTGGTCCTCCTGTAATATTCAAAGTATGTCTTCTCAGATTTGTGGCACCGGGGAGAAGAATCGGGACCGGGGCCATCTGTGTCCTTTTGAATTGATGGTCGTTGATAATCCTCCTGTCATACATCCACCTCATCAGGCTAAAGTCGGTCCTTACCGTCGCAAGTTGTTGACCTTTGCGAAAATGCTCATGAACCATGTGTGACAGCATATTGTTCCATGCGAGAGCTGGATCATCTTCCGGACGCTGAACGTACTTGTTGTCGCACAAGAAACATGTGGCGAATGTCGGTAATTCATGTCCGCGGAAGTGTGAGAAGACATGCATTTTGAAATGGATGATATCGGCGAAAACCTGATCGCAGTCCAGTATCTGGAACGGACACAACAAGTCTGCGTCTTCTTGGTACCGGAAAGGAACCGTTAATACACCATCTTGTGATTCCAGCATATATCCATCTCCAAGTATGCTACTGGCCATATCTGTGTCTGCCGACGTGGTTGCTGAGGAATCTGATGATGTACCACCAGTTAATGGTGGCACTGCATCTGTGGCGGTTGTGGAGGCCATCGACACCGTGTCGTCATTCGAGACAACACGCACCGCTGCAAGTGATCTGATGCCGGCACTTCTCGAATACATGAAGCCAATCCCCTCTGTTTCTTCGCAACGAGTCAACCGAGTCATACGCTACGAGCCGCCACTTTGAAGCAATGTCGATTTACACTTGATCGGAGCCTCGGGTACAGATTGAGTGGGACGTTTGGACATATCATTCGGCAAGCCTACTCGGATGTCAGACTCCATCGTTTCCAGACCAACAGTTCTACCCGGATTGATGATGGGGTTGGACTTACCACTCGTCGTCTCGACGTGGAGGATCGATGTTGAGCATCACGCTATCGATAAGCCCGAATTGGGCGGAATGCGGGGTTTGTTCTCGTCCCAACCCAAATACGCCTTTCTCAAATGGCAGAATACAGCAGTGGACACAATCAAATTGTTCTGTATCCAAAATCCGGTCCTCGATGCAGGCGCCGCAGTGTTCTCGATTTCGGTCGCAGAGAGGCAAAGACTCGACAACCGCAGATCCCAAGGACCCAGAGCCTCAATGGGCTTACTGGCAAATTGTGACTTGCAGTAGCGACTTCCCGCTGCAAACCTAGCACCCTGTCAGATATTGCCAGCACATCAGCTTGCATTGCCGACGGCCGGAGTTGATTGGTGCAAGCTTTCGTTCAGATGGGAGATTGTTAGACTACCTCGGCGAGTGCCTCCGACAGGATCTATGAGCAGGTGTTTTGTGTACGACCCTGGTTATAGTCTACATGAAGGCGTCACCGAAAGCCTCATCAATTCGATCTCAGACTCGAAACTGGAGCTCGTGAATAGAAGATTTCAAGACGAGATTACTAAATTCGAAGGTGAGACACCTTTTCATTGGCAGACTCAGACGAGAATCAATTGGGCAATAGTGCCAATTAGTTTCGTCCGACATAACTCCCGGCCCAGCAAATCAGTGCCAGTTTTTGTTATATCATTCGTGGACTTTCTGTTGCCTACCATGAACGAAACGACTGCCCGCCAAACCCAATGCCTAAACCAGTTTTTCCAAAGACAGTATCAATACACAGTGAAAAGTTTCCCTTGGCCCAAAGTGCTCCAAGTTTTAACCAATAAACGCTTCGGTGCTGGGATCAGCCTTGAGAATCACTTGGGAAACCTCGCTCCAAACTCGGTCCCCAAATTTGCGACCTTCCTCAGTGGCGTACATTGGGCCAGGTTCGTAGACTCGGTCATTCTTCCACATTTCTCCGTGAGTCTCAACTCCTCCGGGCAGGGCAGGGGTATATGAGTTGGTGCCCTGCTCGGCTGTTCGGGCGAAAATGGCGTAGAGCAACCAGCCGATAAATTTGACCACCGCGTTGGCGCTCATCTGCCGTCTAAGGCCGCTTTTGCAAAATCCGGGGCAGGGCGTGTTAACGATGACTTTCGGCTGGCCATCTGCCCCTTTTAATGCCGGTGAGGCTGCAAGATGGCGCACGGCGTACTCGAGCACAAGTTTAGATCGGCTATATTGGGTTGATCCGCCAAAGGTGCCAGGGGGAGAGTGTTTCTGAGTGCTGAGATCTTCAAGAGGTGTTTCGCTGGCCATGAAAGTCCTTCACCTGTTCTGGCTGGATGACCCAGGCTGTACCGGAAGAAACCAACGTCAAATGAGGGGTGTAGCTCCCCGTGCCGGCATCTGCTGATGCAATAAGTAGCGGTAGCACGAGAATACCGAGAAGGAAGGTACTGAGGGCGTTGACTTGCAGAGTCTCCTCCCAGCCATCACTGCTGGCGACGTATTTCGCCTGCATTGTTCCTGCATTGAGAATTGCCTCGTCGATGCTGGTAAATTGAGCTTTGAGAGCGTTTGCAAATTTCTGGACTCCGGCGAACGAGCTCATGTCGAGAGTCATAATGATAATTTCTGTTGGTTTGGCAGCAGCAGCATTTCCTGGAGTCGTCTTGACGAATTGTTCAATCTCCTACTTCGCCGTCTGTCCTTTACTTTCATTCCGCGCCGTGATGATAAGCCTCTCGGCATTGAGAGCTGCTATTTTCTTCGCGGCTTCCAAACCCAGACCACTTGTTGCGCCTGTCACGAGGATTGCCCGTCGGCGCCAGCTCCTGTGTGGTACCACGGCGGCCGTGTCCTATATGACAGAACAATCGCAGAGGCAAAGGGAGAAAAGTCAAGGCCATAATGACTGATAAACCCTTTAGACGAGAAGTAGGACATGCTGTCTTCGGGTGATATAACGGTAGTCTACCACGTGATAAAGAAGAGTAGCAGTTTGACATGGAACTAATCCCAATCGGGCATTTTATGTCGGAGTCTTTCACGGACTCGATGTTGCGTGAGTGATCAAACCTTCCCAAATCGACCGTGAGGCTAGCTGCGATGGTTAAGACTGAGATTGGTCGGTTCGCCTCCACAGTCATTGTTCCACATCGATAACGAGCATCTGTGTCGATCCATTCCACCTCTATCCTTCCTTTGACATTCCCCCCAATATTTCGGAATGGAGAAACTCAGTCTGAACGACCCTCCACCCTCATCGCCCCAGAGGCCAGCGCAACAGCAAAATGCTGTTTTCGCAGGCCCACCACCTCAAGGCGCACCTCAGCTGCCGCCACAGATGTTCACAACGGCTGCGCAGCTCCTGGATCTCACAGACAGTACGTCTCGACTCTGAAGCCGACCCTGAAGAAAGAAATCACTCCGCGGTCGGCGAAACTGCACCCGCACCTATACTCTAAGCGTAGGGCCAACCTCCTCTAACACTCGGTTCTAGAGAAACTCCTCCTGGTCCTCCGCGATGGAAGCAAACTCTTCGGCGTCCTACGCTCGTGGGACCAATTCGCCAACCTTGTCCTAACGGACACGCGGCAGCGGTATTTCGTTAGTATCCCTCCCAACAACACCGCCAGCAATCCGTCCGAGTCATCCTCCTCGCGCAATCTCTACTGCGACATTCCGCGGGGCATATATCTAGTTCGCGGCGAGAATGTGCTGTTACTAGGCGAAGTGGACTTGGACAGAGATGACGACCCGCCGCCGGGGTACGAAGAGGGTGAGGCCGAGGAGGTTTTCCGTATCCAGCGCGCAATGGAAGCCGAAAGGAAAAAGCGGGATAAATCTAAAGGACGAAAAGTCGCAGAGCTTTGGGGCGGAGAGATGGAGGGCAGTGGCGAGGTGTTGTTCTGATGTCTGATGTGCGAGTATAAGATTTCGGACTCCCACAAGTGACAACTCTTTTGGGGGGGGAAGAGGGAGAGAGGAGAGCAGAATCCAGGTAACTCCTGCTATTTTTCTCCATGAGTGTTTCGTGGAAAATCGTGGTCTTTGACCAAGGCCGACTCACCACCACCGCCGTATCACAGATTGCAGGACCAATTGAGATGTCCAGCAAAAGTTCGACACCCAATCATAGTGTCTTTGGCACTGTCGTTACGACAATCGAAGCCACACTCTTACGCTGCAGCAGCCGAGAAACGGAAAGGAGAGCACAGCGGCGGAAGCGCGATCAGAGCAGAATATTGTTGAAATGCTCTCGATCTCGGGGGTTGTATTCGGTCGTCTGAAGGAACTCCCCGTCATTCATCCATTTTCATCTACCTATCTACATTACTTATCCGCCCCGCGGTCTGCTTCCACCTCAGATTGAATCGATCAATGAACCTCCAGTAGTTTACAGAGTACAGAGGATATTGGTGATACGTGGATTGAGATATATGACGTGTCTCGATTGCTCAAGCTGAATTTTGTAGGATCAAGTTAGCCCAGGCCGGTGATCACCATCACGGCTTGAGTGATGGCGACTTCCTCTCCAAACCTCAAAACCGTCCCAACCACCGGCTTGCACAAACGTGTTTTACATCTTCAAACCTCGATATCGCTTTCTCGGGCCACTTTGACCACTTCCCTATCGAAATCTCAGATCTCTTGGCTCCTCTTTGCGATCCTTGATTTCAACGTGTCCAGCCGCAGAGGGACCGATCCAGAGCATGGGGTTCTCGCACTTGGTATTATCGGCGAGCTCGCGGAACTCAAAGTAACGATTTGCAGCTGTTTCGGACAGGGCTGTGTTGGGCGGCAATGGGAGGATAATCGAGAACGGGTCGCCAATAGATTGAAGAACTCGTGGGACCACGGTTTTGTACTTCTTCAGCCCGTCTCCCGGGGCTGGGGAGTCGTTGATCTGTAGGAAGACGTGTGGAGTGCGATTACAAGCATATGGACTACCATCCCCCCGGAGCGTATCTGGCGGCGTTTGTCACTGGACACAATGAAATGCTCTGACCAAGCCTGGGAAATAAATTGATTGTCCTGGCGATATTGCATGATATTGTCTTTGCCCGTGCCCCAAGTCTTTAGAGCTCCAGACGTCAAATCTCGTCGGAAGAGGACGTTCAATCCGTCGTAGATTGTCTGTAAACTGTAGTCTTCCACAAAGACAATGGTGTCCGATCGTTCTGGGATCATGCAGATTTCGACAACAGAGTGTCATCGATAGTAACAGCCTTCAGAGAGTTAGAATGAATTGGACAACGCGATTTTTAGTATCCTCTGAAAATAGTGGTCTTCCGTAGGAGGTAGGCAGAGATCCTGTGTTCGAACACCGTAGTCAGAGAGAAATCTTGAAATTTGTTGAAATAAACTGCTGAGATCAGCGATGCACGTCCCATGAAGTAAGACGGATCGGCATCCACTTGTTGAAGTCCTGACGGCTAATGGGGATACAGTCTCATTGTCCTACTGGGTCCCAGTACCCTGGCAGTGGCAAGATCGGGTACGCGAGCCACAGAGCGAAGTACGAAGAAGAATAGGAAAGCAATTTGAAGCAGAAGCATGTCCCAGTTGCAGTCATCAATCAAGTCTTTCTCACCGTTCAGTAGTCGTAGGAACACAAGGATGTCTGGTGGGCTGCAGCACAGTAGCATCAGTGTCAACATGCGACTCGTACCTGGTCCCGAATCCCGAATCGGAAGCGTGAGATACCTTGAATAGGACCTGTAGTAGACTGCACAGGAGGAACTGGGAACGTGAGGAAGAGTCAGTTGCAAGATAGCAACCGCGCCGCCGAGGGAAGGCCATTCAGGGCAAGGAGGCATCTTAAACAGAGGCCCCCAAAGGTTGATTTGTCGGCAGTAGAAAGGATCTCCACCTCCAAGGCGCACTCACCTTCACACTCACACTGCCTGGGTCAAAGCCTTTTCCATGTTTTTCTCTTGTTTGCTCATCTGTGACAGTTTTCCACCGACGATTCTGCTCATTCACTCGTTTAGAGCAGCGCTGCCCCAGACATTCGCTGCCAGCAACCACCGAACCATCAGAGCAGAAGAGGAGCCAGGAGCAACAGGTTAGAGAGCGTTTCAACCCTTCCAAACTCACCTTGACATGAAAAATAAAGGCTTCAAGGGGCTATACGACACTCGATCTTTCATTTTGAGTTCAAGGTTGAACCGGATATCCTTGGTTTGTAGCTGGAGCGTCGACCAAGGATTCAACATCAGCAAACAAACCAATCCACCCTACCAGAGGCACGAGAACGAGAACGACAAGAATTCCTTGTCGCCTCCCCTTAAATTTGTTGCTCACCACTCCGTATGTGATCCAAAAAGGCCGCCTGAGACACGCTAATGTCGTCGTCGTCGTCGTCGTCCAGAATACCGAAAGGCACATGCTTGTGGCAATGAAAAGAAGAAGTCAAAGAGGGCACATGCTCAACGACCCGCTTATATTGATGACCTCGTTTATCGAGGGTCATGAGCCACAAAGGCAGAGTCAGACAACCCTGTTGAACCGCAACTCTCTACCGGAGGATTCCGATTGAACCAGACAACGGTAGATCAGCGGAACCTGCGCCCAGGAAGCCTCAGCCCAGAGATTCCTGGTAGCCACAGAGACGGAGGCTGTTGAGTCTCAATACTCTTCATCCCGTGAGCCAGAAGGGCCAAGATAGGAGAGATCGAAGGCAGGAGCAGGTACATGACAATGAATGAGGACGACAGAAGTGTGGTTGGAGTTCGGAAAATCGTCGTTGAGTTCTCCCCGGACTGGGCCCTTTGAGCTTGACAAGTGGGATACGTTGGTTCTTCTCTCCGACGGAGCAAAGGGAATGTGAAAGGCCCAAAAGAGGGCTGAAGGGTAGATGGCCCAATGGAGAGAGAAGCCCCTTGAGACCGAGAAGCCCTGGCAGGGGAGGCGTGTCTGAACTCTCTGACGACAAGACCAAAACCCGGATCCCTCCCCCACAGCCGGGAGACAAGCGGACGCCAGGCCCAAGAGAGCAGAGGGGCAACCCACAAACCCAGCGTCAGTGGCCGAGCAAGCTGCGGGCGGCGAGCTGCGAGGCCTGGGTGTGCGTCCCTCATTCACCGTCACGATCACCTGCATCTTTATTACTTTTACTTCCTTGGACCGTATCACAGTCACAACTTTTTCATTTGGTCAGAGCCTCAAATTTTCTCTTTCCTGGCAATCTCCTTGCTTCTACCCTCCTCGTCTCTTCGAGATTTTGCTATATCACCCAGTTCTACAATTGCAGAGAGCGACCTCGGCTCCCATTATCGAGAGCCAGAATTCGGAGAACATCGGACCTCTCACTCCCTCCACAGGTTCCCCCGGTCGATTTCGAAATCGAGTCACACTGCTTTTTGACCTGCACCATACCAGCATACCAGCTTCACCCCCCTTCGAGTTGTCTCTCCTCAGTGTACCAGGCCGCAAGGCCTGAACATTCGTCAAGATGCCGTGGAAACCGTCTGAGAAGCTCATGCAAACCATAGGGCACTATGCAAGTTTTCCACCCACGGGTGTGAGTCTTCGTCAGATGGTCCAGTTCGGCGAGAAACCTTCAACTGGTGAGTCAACTCCAAAAATCGTTGGTTCTTTTCTCCTGATGATCCTGCTTTTAGGAACGCTCTTTCGTGCCTCCCAATTTCTCTCCGAAGAGCTTCCAGTCCGCCTTGCACATCGTGTCGAAGAGTTGGGCAAGTTACCAGATGGACTCAATGAGATGGCCTCCATCAAAAAGGTTAGGGACTGGTACGCTCAATCGTTCGAAGAAATCACAACCCTCCCGCGACCCCAGTTAGATGCAGAGACGAGAGACCGCCTTCTCAACCCACCCAAGAAGGCCGGCACCAAACTAGCCTCTACCACCCAAAACCCAAGCCTCAAACGAGACACCAATGGCAATGGCAGGAACGGAATGAACTCTCGCCGGTATTACGCTGCTTTGGATGATGGCAAAGAGTGGCCTCCCATTCTGGCAGAATACAATCGAAAATTCTCTCGCACCCTGGAAATCATCAAGAGAAGACATGACGCGGTTGTCACTACGGTGGCTCAGGGTATCAATGAATGGAAGCGAAAACAACAACGATTGCAAATTGATTCCTCTATTCAATCCTTCCTGGATCGCTTCTACATGTCCCGTATCGGCATTCGAATGCTTATTGGGCAACACATTGCCTTGACGGATCAGACCACTCACGGACATCCCAACTATGTCGGCATAATATGCACAAAGACAAATGTGAAGGAACTTGCGGAAGAGGCGATTGAAAATGCGAGGTTCGTCTGCGAAGACCACTATGGCTTGTTCGATGCCCCGAAAGTCCAACTGTTCTGTCCACCCAATCTGAATTTCATGTACGTCCCCGGCCATCTGTCACACATGCTTTTCGAAACTTTGAAGAATTCTCTTCGAGCCGTCGTCGAGACCCATGGAGCAGAAAAGGAGGAATTCCCCGTGACAAAAGTCATCGTCGCCGAGGGAAAAGAGGATATCACCATCAAAATCAGTGACGAGGGTGGAGGAATTCCCCGATCCGCCATCCCGCTCGTCTGGACCTATATGTATACTACAGTCGACACCACACCAGAACTGGATCCGGGTTTTAACGCTAGCGACTTTAAGGCCCCGATGGCTGGTTTTGGATATGGACTACCTATTTCACGCTTGTACGCCAGATACTTCGGAGGAGATTTGAAGTTAATATCTATGGAAGGGTAAGTCGAGAACCCCAAATCCTACTACCCCTCATACCCATCATTACTATGCTAACAAAATCTCCATCCAGCTATGGAACTGACGTCTATCTTCATCTTAACCGACTTTCCTCGTCATCGGAACCTCTGCAATAACAATCAGCAGTCATGAGGGGCGACAGCGGGTCCCAAGGATTGGCGTTGAGCAGGACAAATAGCAGCAACAGGAGCTCGACCCCGGGCATCAGCGGTGAGCGCTTAGCCGCGGTGCGTTCACGGTTGCGAAATCGCGAAATCTCAGAACGGAAACAAGTCGGCGATGCTGAGAGCATGATTAACGAAGAACCAAATGTGGTACAGCCAGGAGGAGCGACTGAATGGCTGGAGTGATTTGAATTGCACCATTACTCCAAAAAGGAAAATAAAGAAAAAAAAAAAAAAGCACACAGATTCCCAGCTAGGCAGTATATTTAACCTAGACCATACGAAAGATGAGCTTGCAGCTAGAATAAAGGGGCTTGCTCCTGGTTTCTCTTTCTTCTGCTAACCATGCGCAAGGTACAGAACTTGGCCACAAAGACCCCCCTATCAGAGCATATCTGGGATCTCGATATTTGAACGGGTGGGCCTTACATGCACAACGCTCGGAATGAGGAAGTCGTGGTGCAGACCAGGATTATAACTAGGAGGGCCTTGTTGTAACCGATGACAAGAGAGAACGGCGCCCGATTGCTAACGCGGACTCCGTATCCGGAAGACTTCATTTCAGTTCATTCTGTTTTCTTTTCTCATTCGGACTCTCATGAACTATTTCAAAGTCAACAAGTGGCCGTCCTGGTCTACCATTTCACGAGAGACTGCGATTCGCGTCGTCATTTTCCATTCCATACTATACCCTGCCATGACATGGACGAAATTGTCGAAAAATAAACAGCATCATTCAATGTCATCGTCATCGTCATCGTTTCATTTTTTTCATTTTTTTTTTTTTTACCTCCTCCCACCATTGCGTCCCGTGAAACGTACATTCCTCCTCCTACTCCCACTGCGTTTGCCCACGCCGCTTCCGCCGCGAAATTTCTGTCTCTGCTTCTGTTGCCGAGACTGGGACTGATTGCGGTTCTTGCTCTTCTCAACACCGAGTCCGCGTCGCTGCTGTTTAGGATCTTTCCCTCCAGGAGACCTGAGCCCGCCACTGCCTTGCATGATGCGCCGGGCCACCTGCCTGGCCTCTTCAACATTGAGATCGAGATCCATTTCATCGTCCTCACGTTTCTGAGAGTCCTGTTTTGCTTTTTTCTGCATGCCCGATTTTACTTTCAATCGTCCCTTCTGGCCTCGTCGGACTGCGTCTGCACCTGACACAGCGTCAAGGTATGCATTGACCGAATTGTCTTGAGCTCCGCCCATAGCGACATCATCATTGTCGCCGTCCTCCTGGCCGCCGAGAACGAGTTTTCCGTCTTCCCTGAGCGTGGCTTTGGTCTTCTTCACTCCTTTTTCCGCACCTCTCAGACGTCCTAGCCTCATGCTTGTAATACTCGCCATGCTTCTAGGATCTAGCAGGTCAAGCGGCTCGTCATCCTCGTCGTCCTGCATAATATATAGCTCATTCTCTCGTTTCGAAGCGGAAGGTTTCTTGAATGAAACACCAGTCATGGTATCGTCGCCATCCGAGTCCTCGGCATCACTATCGTCGCCACCCTCAATTTCCGAGTCATCGTCATCAGAGCCGTAGACAGCCTCGTCGAATTCATTGTCATATTTCTTCATTGAGGACCGACCGGCGTCACCCTCATCTTCGTCGCCTTCATTGGCTTTCTTCTTCCTTCTTGCGCGTTCCCTTCGTTTGCGAATGTTGACCACCACTTTCCTATCGTCACTGGCCACCCATCCTTCAACCTTTGAGGCACCGAAGCGTCTCAAGCATCGATCTAGAATCCCTTTCACTTTGGCCCTCAATCGGCCTTTATTTTCCTTGCTCCAAATCATCAACCCCGGAACGAGAGATGGCATTCTCGGCTCCACCATCTCGGTCGGCAGCACCACCACCATGACTTTCACGAAGCCAAGCACGGCGCGGACGATTTCGCGGTTGTTTGATTGAAGAAACATCGAGACTGTGTCGACTAGCTCTCCTTTGGTCTTGTCGGGTAGCTGAGAGTGATATTCAAACAGCATTCTGCTTAAGGCGATGACACTGGCGGCAACCATGTGGGGAGCGACGCCTGCCAAGCCGGCACTGACCATAGTGAAAACTTCCTCGAGACTTGCCGGTGCATCGGGTGAATCATCTGGCATATGTGGAACGAGTCGATTTCGGATGACAGTGCCTGACGGATTTGATGGGTTGGAAATCCGGTTGGTAGCTGCAATGAGGAGTGCAAATCCGGCGGTTCGTGCCTTTTCATTGCCGTCTTTGCATGCTAGTACCACTTCGCTAAGGATACTGGGAATGAAATGGAGATCAGTCACAGGAAGGAAGGAGATCAGCGTTTCAATCGCCAGAATGCGGTCTCTTCGCGCGGGTACTGGTGTGGTCTCGGAAGTCCTAAGCATTAGCTCTTGCAACTCTCGATTTCGAGCCTGGAGAGCGTCTGCACCCGTCTTGGATGTGGCCAGCCGGGGTATTAGCTTGTATGCTTTCTTGATGAGTTGTTGGTCGGATTTTAAGATCGCGGGGCTTGTTAAGATATCGGAAGAGATGGAGAATAGTGTTGAAAAAGTAGACCTTGGTAGATGAACAGAAATTGCAATGACGAGATCGAGGAGGGTGTGAGACGTCGGCGGGAGCCTGTTGCCAGAAGGCTGATTCTGTTCTTTCTTTGGTGGAGGTTGGTCGGCTTCGGGTAGAGCGTCCTGCAGCATTTTCGACACCCGTTCAAACGTGTCCACCAAATCCTTTTCGGGGGTGATGCTGAGATAGCTATCGATGCACTGTAAAATGAAGGCTCGAGACTGTGGTAGCGTCTGATTGTAAACATTGAAGAGGACGGCCAAAAGATTGCTTGCAAATTGAGCCAGGTGCTGAATATTCTTTTCGGCATCCGACCGTTGTAGGCGTCGTTCTAATAACAGGGCCTCATCAGGCAAATCTGATGCCAGGAGAGCTTGATTTGACTCGACCAGATTTTGCAAGCCTCGACAGAGGTCGACACGGAGTTCTGTCTGCGTGTAGAGCAGATTTGAAATCAACTCCGCGAAGGGTTGATCAAAAGCCACTTGCAAATCAAGTGGTAGGTCGCAATAACCCGGCAGAGCAGCCCAGACTTGCTGTATCACAGTCTCAAAGATTTTGATATCCATGGTCTTTTCAGCATCTCCATGGTCAATGATGCGCTGATACATCGCTTCACTGAGAGGGGCCAAATCGGACTTGAAGTGTGCTAGATTTGTGTTTGAGACATGATCTCTCAACAAAGGCAGAAGCCAAGCTCTACCAGGTTGACCTGGCTGTGGTTTCGTGAGATTGTGAGGGAGGACACTCAACACTGCTCCAGGGCCGAGATTGCGAATGGCGTGTCCAAGGACTTCATCCGCTTCCTTTTTGCCTTGAAATCCCTCATTGCTTCTTAGTTCTCCTATTGCTTTCACTATGTGGAGCAAGAAAGGATCGCCACGCCATCGTAAGGCGTCAAAAAGAGCCGAGAACGTGCTGAAGACTTCCATCCACGCCATCTGATATTTGACGGACAATAGTTCATGTGCCTTTTTGGATATCTGCTCAAGGAGGGTTTCATCGTGTACGGACGGATCAGATATGACGTGGTCAGGAATGCAATTGGCGAAGAACGATATGAGGCATTCCGAGGCCGAAATTCTGATGTTGTGGGACGGGTTTGTTAAGAAGAACGCTACCATGTCGAAGAGTTCGGGTAATTTCGTGAACGTGTCTTCAGGCCCCACTACCGCCGCGGTGCCATATCCTCGAGAAAGAATAGCTATCCATGGAGGGAGCAGTTGTGCATCATTCTGAGCCGGCTTTAACTCCACAATTGCTTCCAGCAGTCGCGGCAGTTTAGATGATGAAACCTCATCTTGCATGCCCTCGAATATCACTTCGAATACTCCAAAGGCACTCATAACCAAGTAGTCATTCCTTGACTTTGAGATTGATAGCAAAAGCTCGCAGAGCGACTCGATCTTCTCGCTCGGCCATCCACCTGATGCAACAGCGATTGTTTTCGTGAGTTGAAGAGCATGGATCACAGCAGGTTCGTGACTGTCATCTGGTCTTCCCCTTGGTCGCCTGGCTTGATGAGCCACATCCACGGCATTCTTGAGATGATTTTGGGCAGCACCCGCCAACAGCTCTGCGGCCGGGTGGTCAATGGCAGGGCCCGGCGGAGGGTTTTTCAGAATTTGGGTCAATGCCTCCTGCGCACGCTTTCTTATTTTGGGCCTCGCGTCGATGGCCAGTGTCAGTAGGACGGGGACGGCTTGCCGAGGACTCGTTTGGCTCTGTGGGAGATTCCATGCTGCTGAATCCTGAGCTACCAACAATGATTCGAGACATCCAATCGCGGAACGAAGCAGAGATGCATTGGTGGTCGAAGTGCTGAGAAAAGGTGCAAGCAGAGTGAGAATTGTATTGAACTGCGTTCGGAGGAGGCTAGTGGAAACGTAGGACGTAACTAGGTCGAGAAGATAGACGGTGGAGGCGAAGACTTCATTATCGCTGCGTTTTTGGGCCGATGAGGAGGACTCTTTAAGGAGGGCTAGTAGAGCCGCGAAATATGCTGTGGGCGTGGGTTTGGCTTTTTGTTCGCGAAGGGTCTCCTCGATCGAGGCCAAGACGACCACGGTCTGCGAGAGTCAGAAGTGTCCTTTTTGAGTGGACCAAGGGCAAACGTACATGCTGTTGACTCTGGAGATTTGGTGACTTGATTTTGGCCAACTTCTCCTCCAGCGACATCTTGCCGGCAAGGTTGGCGTGGTGTGTGTGAAGAAACAGAATATGATAATGCCAAAATATCGAGTGCGGGTTGCAAATTATTTTTAATTCCGGCAGAATAAAACGTCTCCACCGCCTCGGCCAGGCCTCCCGCAGCGGCAACAAGGAGCGTCAACTGTACGAAAGAAATCAGGAGTCCTTCATTGGATTCCAGAATGACTCAATGTCCAGCTAGCAGTTCCAATGTCCGCTTATTTGTGTCCTCTATGATCCACAGCTCGCGTGTTTTTCCCCGCGTACATATTTGTAGATTGAAGCACCTCGTCCTTGTTAATGATTGCATTAGAAAGAAATCGGCCCCCAGCGATTGTGGGTTTTTCATAGACAAGGAACTTGTGAAAGTACGAGCCCCCCAGTCATGGCTCCGACCTGTCTCGTGCAGGCGATTCATTCCATTTCAAACTTCAAGAACCTGAAGTAAACCAATTCTTAATGATTGGCTCCGTCGGTATCCCAAGAGCCACCTTTTGAAAGTATGCACGAGTCTGAGGTAGAGACTGAAGAAGGATTAGCAACAATGGTCAGATACAGAAACTGACAAAGGTCCTACTTTATCATTCGCGAGAGCGTAACTCATCATAATCTGGTAGTTGCTGAGGATCGCCTGTGCTCGGTCCTTTTTCTGTTTCTTATCATACTCCTCCTTGTTTTTCGGCTTCTTAGGTCGGTAGCTTGCCCGTATTCGTTCTTCGAGATCCACTGACTTTGTCGTGGCTGGGCTCTCGACGCTAGTCACGCTGAACATCGTGAGCTATCTGGTGTTGCTGACAGGTGCAGTCGCTTCTGAAGAGTTCCAGAAGCTTGATCGCGAGATTGCTCACATACAATCGATGCCGTTCAGCCAGTCAGCGAATCAACAAGAGAAGTTGGCGTGTCACAATATTTGGGTGGACGAGCAGTGGTTGGCGTCGTCCCGCCACGTGACATCAAGAGCCACTGTCGCATTCAGGTTCACTCGAAAACTGAAAAAGATTGAAGGACTCATGTTTCAATTCTGTTTGTATTGGTGGTGATCATTGGACATACAAGTTTCCGTGACATAGTCAAGCAGGACCGAGATCTTCTTCATCGGTCAAGTAATCTAGGATTCTCGATCACGTTGCTGTATCTACCCCCCTCTAGAACCATCATGCAAAACATAGATGTTCATCCCCATTTTCCTTCTCCAGGTTCGGGTGTTGCTGCAGCATCCCCCCGTTGCTCTAAAATTTTGTCGATTGCCGAAGTTGTCGGAGAAAAATTCATGATTCCCTCTGTGGCCGTGATTTTAGACACAGATTTGAAATTCACCACGATAAGGTGCTCCATCCAGATCCTCCAATTGACCGGGTCCAAAAGGGAATCCGCCAACGCCATCGTGCTGATCGCCATGCCGCTAATTTTCGAGAAAGGACAAAACACACATCTGTACACACCAGCAAATGCCGGTTCTTGAAATCGGCCGCAAAAATTACATATTAGTGTATTAACAGCCATCCATAAATTTGTTCTTTGGCCATGAGTAGCCGGTATCCGGCCTATATACATATTGTGTCAGATCATCATCGAGGCAAACAAATCTCCGGATGAACTTACCAGGTGGTGATATTTGGATTATGATAGACTTCGTAATGATTATTGATGTATTCCGTGGTTGGATATCCCTCCGGATCGCACGTCATTTCGCCGTCGTCATCTTGGTAGATGCGAATATAATCGATTCTCATGGTAGCTGGCATTAACGGAGCCAGTCCGGTCAAGTTGAGTGCGGAGAAACCAGTAGACATGCCAAAGTTGACAATCACAGACATGGGCTCTTCAGGGATGACTCTCTGGGCGACGTTGCCGTTGGGGCCCAATGCTTGTCCTTGAAGTCGCCAAACAGGATCGGAGCCGACAAACCAGGTGATGTCTCCGTCGGCGCCCGGTTTATATTCAAAAGCATATACTTGGTAGGCGTTTCCATCATACCACTGATTGTTCAAGTTTGACAAACCGGACAAGGCCTGCTGGAAGGGACCACCTTTGTAGGTGTTCATCGAGGTGACTGAAAAATCAAAGACTTCGACAAAGTTGTAATCAGGTTGATACCAAATGTCGAAGGGAGCCACCTGGAACGACTGCGAGACCTGACCAATTTCGTTACCCAGTTCATCAAGAGTACCCACGCTGGCTTCGAGTGCGTCGATTTCGGGAGCTGTCCGAGATTTTCCAGGAGACGGATGGTCCTCTCCAGAACAAGTGCAAGCCGGTAGGCGCATACCTGGCAGATAATTGATACCATCTGGAGAACTCTGGTTGGGGGTGATGCCAGCGTCACAAACATCGTCGTAGGAATAGGGCCATAGACCATCGGTGGTGGCTGCGTAACCAGGTCTCCCAAGATTACCCATAGACCAGAAACCTGGCCAAAAGCCAACAGTGTCGCCGCGCCCAGGAAGTGAAATGCTCGCCTCTAATCTGCCACCCTTGAAGCACATTTGGTTCCATGATTGTAACATGCCCGACCGGTAGTTCAAGCCGTGATTTTGGAAAGCATCAAATCGCAGTTCTAGCACCCCATCATTCGTCGTGGCGGCATCCGGATCGTACCATTCTAAATCTTTCGTCACACCATACCAGATATCCACAGCAGTCCAATATGGGTCATCCCCCTCATAAAATGTTCGTCCAGGGATTGAGAATTCATCTGAAAAGACCAGGTTCCAGGTGTTGCCGTGGAAATCTTTTTTGGTTTTGACTGAATCGGGTGTGTCAGGGTCAATCAGACCGCTTCGCATGTTTTTCAGTAAGGCAACTTTGCCGGTGTTGATGCAAGCAGGATTATCTTTGCAAGGGTCGGGCGTAGATGTGTATGATTGTACAAAAGTCCTGTCCAATCAGTCAATATGCCATCTCAAGTCACGGCGGGGAGCAACGAACAATAGGGGATATCCTATAAACAGGACCAATATTCCTATCACGATAAAAGCGAGGCCACCGACATTAACCAAGCCTCTTTTGGAAAAAATGTCACAGTCGCGCGGCTCCCCGTTGGGATCGGGATTGTGTAAATAGTCGTCCTTTTCGACATCTTCAGGAAATAGGAGAAGACCAGCTGAGGGTAAGATGTTGTACTTTTCCGACACGGTTTGGGTGTTGACATCATTGTCTTCACTGCCGGCTCTTGAACCAGGTCTTGACTGACTTGAGTCCCTAAAGGGGTTTTCGAAGGCTCTGCTGTCCCTGCTACGATCAGATTCCCAACTTGACCTTCGGGAAGAGTAGCTGGAACGAGCAGGAGATCTCAATGGTGATCCATCATCTCTAACTCGGTTGGGCCGGCCTTGACTCGGGGGTAATAGTCTCTCAGCCGAATCTTGAACGCGTTCAGCGGCATAAACGGTGTTCAGGTGTGATCTGGAGGTATCAGGTCGAGAGGATGTGGGCACCAGAGTTCTCGAAGAACTGTTTGTGTCACTACCGAGTATGTCTTCTTGCCCTGAATTCAGTCTAATATGTGGAGGCACTCGCGGTGGCGAGGAGCTGCTATTGCTGTAGGACGACATCATAAGATGGCGACCGACTCGTCGTCAAAGAGATCGATCGCCAATTTAGGGATGACTCGTGGGGAGACAATATTTGTTCGGCTGAAGAACGACAGTTGAGGGAGGTTGGTTGGTTTTGGATCGATCCTCTCTCTCCGAGAGGGAGGAGGGGGTTCCAAAGGTATGAAAGGGGACGAGAAGGCCTGAACAATGCAGATTAGGCAGGCCCGTGGTAGGAAAAAATAGAGGCTGATGGTGAGAGTGAGACGAGAGAAACGGGCCGTAGCTTCGTAGTTGTCCGGTTCGTGAGTTCGCAATACGGGAGGCTGAGGGTGAGAGTAAGACGAGAAACGGGCTGTAGCTGCGTGGGCAATACGTGAGGCTGAGTCGATTCCTTTCTGGCCGGCAGGAAAGAGAGCGCTTTGGCCGGTGAAAGGGGATTGAAGAAGTCACGAGGGAGGAGCAAGTAGTCGAATGCGTGAGGTGACGGAGACGTGTAGCAAACGAATGGAATAGCTCTCTACCTTGAACCAAACATGGGTAAAATGGATATGGAGGATAAGGAAGACGCCTGAGCGTTTGGTACGGGGGAGAGTCAATCAAGATTTCCTCGTTTCTTACCGGGAACCTGTCACAGCTTGCAACACACAGGGCCTCCATTTGGTCATTTAGATCCAGATTTTGCCTCTTGACGACCGGGGAAGAGACAAGCAGACCGGCACTGTTGCCCACAGCAATACAGGCGCAGACGGCGGCCGAACGGGTTGACGGGTAACATTTGGGTTTGGGCTTGTGGTGAGTCCGTAGCACAGCAGCGCCTCCTCAAATGCCCCCCCAATGGCACGGCGGTCTCATATTAGCCCCATTAGCAGAACAAGGAAAGAGGGCCAATGACCCAAACAGGGTGGATGTGGCGATGCAGGGATCGAATCATCGTCTGCAGACCAACGGAGCCTGTTGGATACCGATAATCCCGCAAAATTACTTGACAACCCTTTCTTCGCCTCCACTGTTTCAAGCGAGCGCATCGGGTCATTGGTCCTGTGATTCGGCCTGTCCGCCACCATGATCCCCGTTGACGTCCTGCTTGGCTTGCTATTCTTAAATTGCGCCAAAAAAAAAAAAAAGGTGACAAAGCTGATGACAGTCCCATACCATGCAAAAAGTTCCCTATACTAAGAGGATCCATTCTGGACTTCGATCTGTTCAACAAGGAGGTATACCGAGCAGAGAAGAAATGGGCTCCGTTGGACAAGACTTGATCTCTCTTGTGGAGACGGATCCCCGGCCTCAAATCCCTTCGATCCACTCCATCACTTCATTCTCCGAATCCATGTTCATGATTGGCGACTATTGTTTCGATACCGACTTTCTTTTTTCCGCCCTTGTTGCAGCAGTCGCCTACCAGCTTTTAACAATTTCCAACATCTTTCCAGGAATCGCTCGCCGCCACCAAAGCCACTAGGTCGACATCTGTGGCTCGTGGTTGACATGAAAAAGGAGAGGGGATCGAGGTGGTTGGGGGTTGATATGTTTATTGATTGTCGTGCACCGGGAAAATGCTAATTTGGATTTCCTATTCCCCTTTGTCTTTGAGTTGACGCACTTCGGACATTCAAAGGACGGGCTAGATTCTCCACTATACCTCCAGTGGCACTTGCAGCTCCATTTTTTCATTCCTACAGACTGCTTCAGATGGAAGTGGATATCAAATTCTCCGTATGGTGCAACTAATGCAGATCATAGAGCTTGCCCGGGAACGACAAGTCGCTTCAGACTCTGCGCTCAAGGCCTCCTTCCCTCATTGTGAGCTGTCGTTGGACCCTTGTTCTTACCAATCTTATATTCACTCCACCCGATTGCGCGTCTCGTGGCCAGATGGAGTCACGTGTACACCTGTATCCTGATGAGGCCCTGTCTCAATGAAGTTTATGTGCGAAAATCTGCTTATCGTTGAAAGTATGTTGCAATGTCAAATACCATTGACATACCTGAATTTCTTCATCGCAACTTTTCTAAGCATGCAAGTCTTTATCTTACCGGGACCACAGACCGAATTACTTTCACCTTGGCCGGAAAGAGCTAATTTTCACCTGTTGTGAACACCGACGCTCCTCATTCCATGCTCTAGAGTACCTTCCAACCAGACCACTTCAACGGTATGACATGCAAACAGCCCAGGTTGGCTGCTCAAAGAGCTCAAGGACCTAAGTCTCTTTCTCGCGGAACTCGCTCAATCGTGCGCGCTACGTGGAACGAAATCGGTGCATGGTAATTGTATCAGGAAAGATTCATTCGCCCGGGCGCATCGATGTATTACTTCTCCAACCACTTATGGCAGCTCAGTGCTAGCCTTTTGTGATTCTTCTTCAAATGAGGAAACTATGGGATTTCATGGCTGTTCCTAGTCGAGTGAGAACCCATGGGTGCAGGGCCGGAATAGGTGCCAACACCCTTCTCCGGCCAGGACAGAACATGACTTATTCGGACTAGAACGACTGTACGTGTTGACGTAACAGAAGCAGTGAAAGATCTAGGCACGGGAGATGGCATCCGCTCTTGGCTTCGAATGAAGGAGTTGTGTTTGGCTCATAAGAAACGAGAGGGGAAACCGAAGGATGGGAGTATACCGACCACCAATTTCCCCGAGTTAGATATCTTTTCGCTGCTCAATTATGTTTTTCCTTCCGTCCCGAGATACTCAATCTGGATTTCCAGCCGGGTGCAATCTCTCGAATCGTTAGCAATTACCCAGGTACTATGTCTCCGGTAGTGCAAATAATATAGGATCTCATGATCGACTCAGATTCATCTGGTAATTTGCGAAGACCATCCGAAGTTGGGTATCCTGACTCTGTATAGACTAGAAGAGTTGTCCCCGTCTGGAAATATATTGCAGGTACTCGGTTGGTAATTCCACGTTCATACGCTCATGCTTTCTTTTTCACTCTGAACTCTCAGCTTTCTACTGCCTTAACAACAACTCCGATCAACATCCCCTCTCCCAGCGTCAAGATATAGTACTCAGCTCTGGTCTTGCTGACTTCGACTCTATACACCTTCACGTCCCCGGACCCCGCCTGTTCCACTCGTTGAATCACCTCCTTATACTCGCCGCGAGGATCAAAATCATCAACACTCAACTCCTCCACATTGCCTGGTGCCTTCCCGGCCACGCACTTGGCGAATTCCACGGCACTCGGCAGCTTATAGCCCGAGTAGTTTAGCAGCACGGGCTCGAAGGGTGAGTCTGTATCCGACGTGTATGTGACATCCGGGAGGCATTGTAGCGACGGCGGGAGTGAGGAGGACGTGCTGGTTGTAGGGTCGAATTTCGAACGTGATTGCGATGTCGACGTCGACTGGGAGATGCTGGCTTTGGGGTCCGCGTTGGCTTTGTCGAGAAAAGCGGCGTATGAGGCGTCGTCCGACATGCTGGCTACGCTGTTGTGAAAGGGGCGCTTGGGCCGGAAAACAAACCTCTTGTAGGGTTCGAACGACGACGATTGGAGAGGGCCTTTAATGGGATGATAATGAATAGGTTGAGAATGTACGCCTATGGATGGCAAGGTTGCAAGCAGGTGCAGACTGCTCCACGAACCGGGTAGCAGATGATATGACACGACGCAATCCTTGGTGATCTCGATGGAGTTGCAGAGTCTCGATGTATTGAAAACACCTCGCTCGCGTAGAGAAGTCAGAAGATGAGGTTTGAGCATTCGTCGATGCACAGTTCGTGCTGGAAAAAGATGTGTTGACTTTGAAGCCTCAAGATGATGGATCGTGTTAATGGAATCAATGATGTCACTTCTTGCTCCCTAGCCTCGCCTCGTTAGTCGGGCTTCTAGTCATATCATCTCCCACACCCATTCCTAGAAAGAAGGGTGAAAACCTGCTCAAGACATATAGGTCAGTGGCTTACCTTTTTGTAGCATAGTGAGGACATCACCAGGCAAGAAATGAGAGACAAGGCTCAATATTGGATCTACATGGGTAAAACAGCGACAACCGAGGTTCACGGCTTTCATACCAGCTCAATCTGGCGACATCATCTTCAGACCTATAAACGATAGTGAGTCTACGATAAAGCACGCTCATATGCCGTGTAAAGGAACATAGTGAAGGCACAAAGAGAGGAAAGGAAGGAATGATGAGTGGTGGTTGAATTTTCATTTTTCCAATTTCAAACCTTCCTCAAGCTGCCATTGCTATGCTATCAACTCGCTCGAAAATCGAGGGAGACAATGGGACACGATGGTATCTCTAAAAATTTTTGGTCGTGGTCGTTTCACTTGAGGGGCGAACATGAAACCAGCATCACTGTCATCTCTATCCACCAGCAACATCAATCCGTTAGGAAGCGGCAACGAGATCCTTCTTGAGCGTACCCAAAAACTGTCTCTTCTCTTGAGGAGTTTGGTAAGCACCATGACCAAACTCAGACGAGGTGTCAATCCATTTGAGCTCAACCTTCTCAAGAGCCTTGCGGGAAGTGTGAGGGTACATAGATTTTCGGAGGGTCATGACTCGCTTCTTGACCCCTGGGACGGATCCCTTGAGCAGGACGAAGTCGTTCTTGACCTCACCATAGCGGACAAAGCCACCCATTCTAGACCAAAGTTAGCAATTTTTTTTCTCTCCCTATCAATTCATGCCAGGACTTACGGGGTAATTTGCTTGTTGACAACATCGAATTCAGTGGCAGCATTCTTCTCGTCTTTGCCCTTGCCAATACGGTAGACCTTGTGGTTAACGGAGGTACGGTGATGGTAGCCATCTTGACCGGCACGAGCAACCGTCCATTGGACGTGTGAAGGATGCCATGCTCCGATACAGGCGACCTTTCGCAAACCCTTGTGAGTCTTTCTAGGTAGCTTCTTGGTACCCCATCTGCTGGTGACACCTTGGAATCCGTGGCCCTTGGTGACAGCAATACAGTCAATCATCTCATCTTGCTCAAAGATGGTATCGATCTCGACCGGCTTCTCGAACAGACCATGGCCAAACTCAACCTTATCCGCAACGCTGCCTCCGTTGATCTGAATCTCCATCAAATGTGCCTTCTTTTGCTTGAGAGGAGTTTGGCGGATCTGGGTGTGGGCAAGGACACGAACGACGGTGCAGTATTTCTTGATGCGCTCAAGTTCACGTGTGATTGAAGCACCCTTATTTTCAGAGTGCTTCTTTGCGTATTTGGTGAAAGCCTTCTTCTTTGATCGGTACCAGTTCTTGTAGAATCTTCGCTTCAATTCGTCACCAAGATGTTCAGCCCAGACGGTAGTGAGCGATCGGAGGCCACGGGGGGTTTCGATGTAGCCAACAAGGCCAACGACGATCATCTACTTCCAGTCAGCGGGCAGCACAACAGGGCCGGAGTCAGTCAACTGACCGGAGGCGTCTCGATAACAGTGACCGCTTCAACGATTTCCTTCTTGTGCATTTTCGCACCAGGTCTATCGAGGTCTCGGACGATGGTGGTCATACCGGCCTTGTAACCCATGGCGGCAGTGAGGTGGACTGGTTTCTTGGGGTCATCCTTTGGAAAGCTGTGAAATGTTTCAGCTTCGACTCTCTAGACGAGTCATGACTTCTAGATAACCAACCTCTTGACTTTTCCTCGGTGCCTTGCAGCTCGCTTTCTAGGAAGGAAAGCCAGCGAGCCTGCGAAAACGGTCAGCGTGGAACTTTTCTCAATAGGAAGATTTAGGGTGGGATATTCACCATGTCGCGGCGCCTCGAACTTTCGGTGGGACCTGAGTAGAGATTAGCGGAGGAAGTTATTGGCTAACTATGCACACATACATCTTAATGTGGGATACTGAAAGTGTCTAAAGTTGTCAGGCTGGAGTTCAAAGAAATGTTCTCTCAATGGAATTCACTTTTTCGCTGCGGTGGTGAAACTCGGGAGCGTGCGGCCCGCCAAGCCTTGAAAAATCTTGGCCAATTGGGATCACATGACTAAACCGGCGTACGCTTTTACCGTATGTGGGACAGGCATCTGGGTAGAACGATCGCTGAAGAACTCCAGAAATCTGACCATCAACAGCGGTAAGATAGCCATACACAGTAAATAATATCACATGCAGTCACTAAACAGTCCTTCATAAGCACCTGGTCAGGGTATGCATGCCTTTTCCAAAATAAAGCTAGGCAAGCAAGTTTCATATGGAAAATCGAACTCATGTTGATAGAATCTAGAATGCAATCGTCATGTCGTTCTTTACTCAGAATATCTCAACTCATATGTAGGGTGAACAGTAGTGTAATGATGGCTGGCTTTTCCCTAACGCCGGCCCTATTTAGTCGCTCGTTCCTTTACAACACACTTTGCCAGCAATAAAAACAAAGGGAACCCCCAACGGCTGTCTTGGAATCACGCAGTATTTTCTGGTTTCGGGGTTGATGTTGGAGGAGCTGCCACTTGAGGGCTGCTCGTAGCCGCCGCCGCCCGCTTTTCATCCTCGCTGTTATTGTCGTAATCCTCGTCTACGTCGACTTTGCGAGCGGCCTGCTCGACATGTTCATTGCGTTCCTCTTGTGGGGCATCCAATATTGACTGCATGGACGGGATTTGTTGAGCAGGCATGCTGTAAGGATGATGTGCTGCTTCAGATGGATGGTAGTTCTCATTTGCTCGTCGTTCGTTCTCGCGACGGATCTCGGATGAGCTGCGCCTGAAGTGATCCTTTGGTGTTGGAAGGCGGCCTGGAGGGCTATTTCTACGGCCTATTTCATCCAGGCGAGCACGAGTCTCATCATTGGCAATCTTCTTGGATGGACCTGATTCAGCTTCCCAGTCACGGGATCGCTTCATGGCCGATGGTGGTCGATCATCTCGTGGAGGGCCATCTACTGCAGGCAATGGTGGTGCTGCGGAAGGCACGCCGTTAGCAATGCTGGGGAATTGAGGGCCGGATTGGAACGGCTGGGATCTGAAAGCAGATCCTGGTGACTGAGGACGCTCGTCCCGAAGAGGTCTCAGCTCACCAGGGGGGCTGAATGGCCGTCCGTAAGGCGGGAGGGTAGTGCCGGATCCAGCGCCATTAGTAGGGGGTGGGGGTGCACCATTCATGGTGGGAGATGGGCGAACCCCACCGCCATATGTAGGAACCCGATCTGGCATGGAAATTTGAGGCAATGTTTGAGGTCCAGGGGGATACATTCCTGGAACTGCCGGCTGCATCTTGGGTGACGGCGACTGCATTTTTCGTCCGGGAGTTTGACGTGACGCATCGTACGGGCGAGGAGCTTCTTGTCGTGGGCTAGGAGCACGTGGAGGAGGAGCTCTCATGCTATCACGGGCTTCATAGCCATTTGGTTGTGAGGGAGGTTGCTGAATTCCAGCGATACCTCTTGTCCAGTCACTGATCCTTGCCGGATCAACTGGAGGCTGTTGAGACTGCTGGTTAGAAGACGAAGGTGCACCCCATTGGGGTCCAGGGGGTACACCAACACCATTTTGGTATGCTTGTGGGTGAACATCTTGAGGAACGGGAGCGTTGTGTTGATTCGGTCCAGTGGCAGCCCCACTCCTGAGAAGTGCAAGGCGCGCCTTGATGTGAGTATTTGTAGGATCAAGCTCTGCGGCTCGGGCATACGCATCAAGAGCATCAGAGGTTTGATTGTTGCATGACTCGTACTGTGTCATTTGTTAGGATGGGGGTTCAAAGATAGACCAATACTCGCAGGGGCACTTACCAGAGTTCCAAGATCGTACCACACTTCTGAAATGTATGGATTCAATCGAATCGCGCGCGAATATGCGTCGAGTGCATCTCGATATTGATTAATTTGATAGTACAGCACACCAATAGAGCACCAAAAAGTGGGATTCCGTCCATCACGATACACGGCTTGTTGATAAGCTTCGTACGCTTTGGGGAATTTCTGCTGCGCCATATAGCATCTACCCAGTAGATACCAGCTCTGAGCATCTTGGTTATCTTGGATAGAGTCAGCGCACGGAGAATCTGACAAGTATTGGGTGCAATCCGTACCTGAGCTGACTGATTGTTCGAGATATTCGATGGCTTGATCTTGGCTGGCATAGCTATTGCTTTGTTGATGATGCAACCAACCAAGCTGCTGCAAGACTTTGGCATGTTTCGGGTCTCTTTCGAGAACCCGGCGGTAGGCGGATTTTGCAGCTTCAAACTACAGAGGGCAAATTAGTATGTATCAGGGCTCCGGGCGGATAGAAGCATACATCTTTCTGCTGTTCATAGACATGACCAATCTGGAACCAAATGTCTTCTTCGTTCAATGGTCGTGGTGGGTCATTGACAATGTACTTGAAGCACTAAAAACGGGCGTTAGAGCATTTAGGACGTGTGAGAGAGAATGAGACCTACCTCAAGACTTTGTTGGAATTTCTGTTGCTGCTTGTAAATAATTCCCAGTCTGAAGTAGATCTCATTGGCCTTTTCAAAGTCGGGTTGCATGCGCATGACTTGGGAAAACGCTTCCTCTGCATGTTCCAAAGAACCATAACGATCGTAAAGAATGCCGATGCCGTACCATAGCTTAGGTTCCTGGCCAGTTGTCAGAAGAATGAACCTGCACGAGACTGAAACGAGGGGGCAAACCTTTGGGTCAGGCAGATAGTATAGAGCCTGCTGGTAGGCAGTATACGCTTCTTGTAGATTGTCCATCATCAAGTAGCAATGGCCTGTAAGTTGTGAGACCCTGTCCTTGAGTGAACCGAGTCAAGCATACCTAGGTTACCCCAAGCTTCGCCGTTGGCAGGCTCCACCTTGAGTATGTTCTTGAGATACTCCATGGCTTCCGGATATTTCTCTTTTGTGCGGAGAATGCAAGAGATTGCATTGAGAGTCTGAGTCGACCATTGATTGTGTCGTAGGGCTTGTTCATAAGCAAACAAGGCTCCTTCATGGTCTCCAAGCAACTCATTTAAGGAGCCTATCACGCTAGTCAATAGACAGCACTCAGTTAGGGTCCAAGGCCCTTACCTATTCTCTGCCAGGTGGATTCGTTCAATTGAGCTAGCAGTCGCTGTCGTTGCAGGTGCGCATCCACAGGTGCTGCTCCATTGAGCTGACCAAAATGTCCGCCATGCTGGATACCCAGGACGCCAGGAGGGGATGGATGGGGGACCAACGCCATTCGCAAGTGACGGGACTCCGCACAAACTAGGACTTTTCTGGATGCGAGGGCTTAATAGGTTGATACTGAGCTCTCAGAGCCCAGTCTCTACCGTCCTGTCTTGTCGGCCTGATGTGGCGCCTTGGGGCTACCCTTCCAGTTATATGTACCTTCTCTTCAAAGAAAACGAAAGCTTGTGAAAGATCAAGAAAAGAGGGCTCGATCGAAGGATGAATTCACGCCGACAAGACAGTTTTCGGGAGACGGAAATGGCTCGCTTGTTCGAATGACCGCAAATCAGGCTGGTAGGGCAGGGGCAACGACTCGAAGCGACAGGAAAACAAGGGTAAAGAAGTTGATGACGGGGTATGTAAAGGTCTGATCACACACACATAAGCCGTGTGAAGCGGTTGGGGGATTGGGAAAAGATGACGAAGGAGGAAAGCGTTGTAGGCGATACTGAAGGAGGAGAGAAATGGTGACGGGGACGCGGGAGAGAAACGAGATGGGGGATTCAGGACGCACGAAGAGCACAACCACTAGCGTCTTTAGGGTTTTGCGACCTACTGAGATCTCGTCTGGGCTTCTGACACTCGGCTGGAGAAAGTTAGAAGGGGATGATGGCCCGTGGCACCCAGCACGGGCGACTGACAGAGGTACTTGTACAGGCTAGGAACCAGCAGTCGCCGATGAGCGATTGGCAAGGCGGCGAACGCCAGAGTGGAGCGGGGAGAATGATTGTGGAATGGAGCAGGGATCACTGGCATGGCAGTGGCAGAACAAAGTGGTGGGTGTGTGGAGCCGGCCTAGGTAGGAATCCAAGGCTCGAACTACGGAGCAGGTGCTAGCTTATTATGGCGGTCATGAAATGTGGGCCCATCGCCAACAGGGTTGAGCCTAGGAGCAGCGAGGGTGAACCTGGACTCCAGTGGCCTTTCTTTGGGCGGGTCTAACGCTGGGCCTTTTTGGCATTGGCAGGAACCGCCTCAGATAGACTTGCTCATGTCAGACAGCGGACTGAAAACAGTTTGTAGAGGTACTTGGGACATACGATCACAGTGCTGCGCTCGCTGCTATGAAGCCCATGCACCTATCATGTGTACTACTCAGAGTAATGTCCACTCTTTGGCAACTACCGACACACCTCCTTTCCAATACAGAGCGCTCCATCACACATCCACCACTCACATCCATCCTCTTGGGGTTGCTAAAACGCATCATTTCGCGAAAATCACACAATCCTTGCATGCGGAGGGCTTGACTTCCCACGAGGGGTCTGCCGAAAAGAAAAAAGCCACCAGCTATGACGAACAAGCGAAAATTGGCAGAAGGCTCCTACCGGACCCGAAGCGAGGAGATAGGCCCCCATTGCAAAAACCGGATCAAATGGTGCCCCAGCAGCCAAGGAGGCTAGCCGGTAAATATGCAAGCCACTGCCGCAACCGCCCTCCTACCAGTGGTTCCAGCCACGAAATAAATTCAACGCCCCACCTGTGCCCCAATGAGTCTAAATCTCCAGTCATTTTGTGAGTGACACGCTTTTCTTGCGGGTGACATTTTTTCCCAGATAATTATTCCTTTTAGTAAGATCGACATTACAGTCTTTGCAGATGAAAAATACATGTCGCTGCAAATTTCTCTACGCGACGAGTCTATTCATCCAGCCAAAACATTGACAGATCTGACTTCAACGTTTGAAACACGCACAGGCCCCTTCAGCTCAGCCCCTTCCGCCGTCAATCCACCCTAATGAGCGCTTTACCTTGCGGACTTGCTGGAATGTACACGTCAAGCTCATTTGGACATTTGCTTTCATCAGGGTCGTAGCTTGATTACGAGTCTGAGGTTCGACAACTAGAGTTGTGAGTTCCCATTCTTGCGAAAATAGGAAAGCATCTAGTTCCGACAACGGTCTGCCACTCTTTGCAACACATTTGACAGGGCCAAAATGACACAACGCCGAAACCGGTACCACCCACGCGGATATGCCAAAGTCTGTCATCGGAAATCTAAGACGACACACGCTATGACAAGAAAACTGGCGAGTTCTGGATGACCGATCCACAAGTATTTTCAGTCCGCTGAGAGAGAAACGTGATCGGCCATTTGTGCAGTCCGGCAAATGTGTTTCACCCCCCAATTGCTGTCCCCGAGTTAAATCAAGCGCCCTTTCGACGAGGCTGGCGTCCCACGTAACACAGACTGAATGGCTCATGGGTATAAGAAGACAACCTACAGCCACGTTACGTCAACCCGAGCACCAGTTACACAAACATCGACTGGGTGGTCGTACTGCTACCAAACATGGTTGTGCTGCGCAAGTGATCTTCGAGAGACAGACATGTGCTACAACATGACTTTTTGAGACACTGTGGGCCGGAAAAAAAAGGACGTCAAACTCGAGAAGTTATTATCAGCTCGATCTCGTTTCTTGGGCAGCATTCGGCCTCATTTTCCGTGCAGCCAAGGTTGGTGCCAACCCTGTGACACAATGGACATCATTTTCCTATTTCTAGGATAAAGGCTGCTCAAAACATAAATACCGAGCCTTGTGGCCTGCCTCTTCAGCAGACCCTTTTTGATGCACTGAAAGCACTCCGACTAGAATGCCCAAGTTTGCTGCACAATCCCTTACCGACCTGAAGTTGCAGAATGCGGAACCCCCAGTCAAATGCGTTGTCCATGACAGAGACTTACCTTTGCCGTCGACCTGATGTTGAATCAAAGGCGCGAGTAGCGATGATTAAATTTGTTGATCAATCCAATCTGCCCATGAGCGCTGTACTTGAGCAACCCACGAGCATTGCTGCGGGCAATCACGTAAGCAAGTCAAACCTTCTCAGGGCAATGCCATGGTTAGGTATTCTCCACTGGAGGGCAAACATGTCGCAATTTGAGAAAAAGGGAAAGAGCCCCGTAAAATGCTGTTGAGGAACGCTTCTTTGAGACTGTTAGACGGTCCATATGATCCTCTGAAAGAGGGTTATTCGTGACAGTGGACTTCCAATTCAACCAGCAAAGTTCCCCAGGGGGCCCGCCGTATCAGGCTGTGCCCCCTTTTTACCAGGAGCCTTTGCTGTTTCAAAGCAGCAAGCAGTGTCAATAATCTCCGATTTCTTTGCAAACTTAGGGCCTAGGACTCAACAACACCAATGCAATGATTTCGGTGGTATTCACTCCCTTCCCGCCGGAACCCCCGGATGGTTGGGGGGAAGCGGTTGGGGGGGCATTTTACGTGTTGGCTGCTACTCAACCTGTCTTTGGACTTTCAGAATTTGTAAGCATTATGAGTGACTCCTACTCTTTGCTTATGACCGGCAGGAATCCAATGGACATGAACAAATTGGACAACGTTATTGGGGCAGAGAAGCTTGCTACTTTTTTGGCCACTTACAAAACCTGTTTGCTGAACTGCCGAGACCCGAAGCTCAGTTGGAAAAGAAACTCACTCGCAATCTTCTCGAGAGTTCAGATCATTGCAGCGTGAACGGGAAGACGTCGCCTACGATACCTCGGAGTTCTACAGCTTTTTGATCAAGACACTGTCAGTAATTTCTGACCGCTCCAATCATAAAATTATTATCCAAGGTCGGACAGTACAGAGCAGCAAGGTGCAGGTGAGGACGAACCACAATTATAACTTATTGGCAAGGAGGAATCAGGAACCTGGAAATGAGAGTGATCTTGCAAAGTCTCATACGCTCCATCTCGTTATAAAACACCAGTGAGTGGGACACCAGACCATTATCAGAGATTCTCAGCACGATCACCGAGTCCTAGTCAAGGTACCTGAGATGATAGAGGACGATTTTCCTTATCAGACGTGACTGAAACTTATTTCGGACAATGTCTCTTTCGTCCCAAGGAGTGTGCCCAGTTTGCGACGCCAAAAGTGCCGAGAATCTTCAGAACGATCGCTTCCAAGAAATGGATTCAAGTGAGCGCCAGGGTTCTCAATGCCATTGAAACTCTATCCTTTAAAGTCGATAGCGTTCAGGATGTTTCCTGCCTCGACGGCCTGGATGGAGAAATTGGAAAATGCAAACGATCATTGGACCAACGGTCTTTCGATCTCAAGATCTTTCGACCCAAGCTCAGAGTTATCATTCGGGCATGTTGAGCCTCCTTTCTTAGGCTCAACAACATTTCGATGCGTCAGAATGCTCGGCTAATTGGGAGGGGGCGCCTTCAACCATTGGATCGGTGCTGTGAGAGAGACCTGATAATACCGGTGGCTGGGTCTATTATGACGATTTAGAGCCTCCTCCAAAGTGTCTTGCTCTAGACCATATCCCATCGAGCCCTGTCATAGGCTCTAGCTTCCGCAGAGGTCTCATCATCTACCGGAAAGAATTGGATGTTGCTGTCACTGCCATAGCAAAAGATCGAGAGTTGACTAGCAAATAATTCCTCAACATTGACCCTACACTCATCATTGGGTGTGCGCTCGATATTGACGGAGGGAGCCGATCTGGCATAACTTGCGCAGTGCTAGGCAGACTGAAGCCTACTTTCCAACTTTTTAGCGCGTCAAAGGTTAGAGCGCTCGGCGGGAGACGTATCTCTTATAGGCGGCCAGGTAAACTCGCTGTCGATAGTCCATGAGGCATTTTCTTTGACAGACGTTCTTCCGCCGCGCACGTTTCTGCTACAGGAGGCGAGGGGCTGAGGCGGAGAGAGGACGAGGAGGGAGCTTCTTGTAACGACGCTAAAAGCGGCAGGCGGCCAAGAACTGGCTATTCGTGCGGACTTTCTCTGCATATCCAAAAGTGGTTAGCCCTAATTTCTTAATTAGGAAGTCTCAGCAAAGGTTGGTTCGCCAGCAAAAACTTCAATTATTTAGTGGATTCTCTACGCATGCTGACATGGTCGCAGAGCGTGAACCACAGACCCGACGATGGTGTTAAAGCGGCGCCGCCTGACTACAGGGCTGGCCCAGAGACCCTTGCAAATCAATTGGATGCTACTACTCTTTCCATTACTTCATCGTCTGATCTGTGATGACCGATGCCTCATCTTTCTCCAGGGGGATGTGCGGGTAAGAAAACTCGGCGCCGAGATGCCAGTGCTTGGAGTTCAGCGCCGAGAATAGACGTTCTCCGTACCAAGGGCGACCAAAAGATTCAGGAGTCTAGGCAGTCGCGGCGGAGTCTCAGCACCAAAAAATTGTGCGCGGCTCGGTCTTTGCCACTAGGTGGAGCGGCTTTCATGCGTTGAGAACGACAAAAGTCTAATCCACTTTGAGGACTCATAACCCGAGACGGCTCGCATCAAGTCTGAGATGGCATCTGGATGTCCTCGCCTTTTGTATGCAATATCCCGTTCTGCTCAGAACACTTTAGAGTCGCACCCAAGGGTGTGTCTGGAAGGCAAGGCTGAGATTCTCTCGGCGAACCAGCCAAAAGTCTGCATCGCGCGTACATGTAGAGTTGGGGAGACCTCATTGGTGGATTAACTGCTCAAGAATTCCATTGAAGTCAATCTCGCTGGAAAGAGAAGCAGATAACATGGAATCCAAAGGGGGTACCACTCTTTACCAAATCTTGGCACGCCTTCATCAACATAACCGAGGTGATGATAATCCATCCATAGGTAGTAACGCTCATTTTAGTGCTCCATCTCCGCCTTGCGCCGTGAATATGCAACTTGTACAAAGTAAATATTCGCCCAACAGCCCAAAAAAAAGAGGGGGGGGAGGAGGAACCCCAGAGGAGAGAACATTTCGCTCAGGGTGGGGTCGCAAATAAGATATGGTCCTCGTTCAAATTGAATCGAGAAACACATCTGATCATTCCTTCGTAACAGCGTAACCGTACATATTACTCTCTTATAGCGTAAAGCAGACATTTTTCCCACCAATCCCGCAGCATGAGTACAGTCGCTCGGCCATCGTCTCTTTTTTCCGTCCCATCCGGATTACCCATAATGATTGCAAAAATCCAGAACACGGCCACGATCCACGCAGCAATGGCATTGCCGATACTGATGATCGGTGACACCACGTGGATAAGGACGAGGCAGAAAGGACTGAACTCGAATGTGTGCGCTTGGTCCAGTGATTTGGCGAATATCATCTCTAGATGGTTCCGGAAAACTGGGGCAATCATGCGCACCAGAGAGATGCTTGGCGAGCATTGTTTCTGACATAATCGAAGTGGTAGGAGGACAATAATGATGAAGACAGCGACAACGGAGAACATAGCGCTGAATAAACAGTGGAAAGGGTCGAGAAAGGACATCCACACCTGTATGGAAATTAGCATGACACTTTGGAAATTTCCTGGACTAGATAACGGACCAATATCCATAAAGCATGATCATTTTCCTTTTCTTCTTCTTCCTCCTCCACTGCTTCTTGTTGAATATACCGGAAAACGGTCGAGTTGTTTTCTATCATTTCTGACCGGCCATGGTTGCTTCTGTGAATACCATTCGCGGACGGTGACCCGTGATATGACTCTCTCACACCCGGCTCTTCCATCGTGCCACTCTCCACCTGGGAGCTGTACTGGTATTGTTTGTTCTGTAGATGAAGGTATTTCTGGTAGTCTGATCCGGTCGTAGACCCCGAGTCTCCACTAGATACCGAACTCTGGACTCGATTCGGATCTGTCCGATGAGGCACAACAGGACTTCTCGAACTGGGATTGACGTAGGCAAGCGGTGGGTGCGGTAGTGAGGACACAGGCGAATAGCTGAAGTGCATATGTGCTGAGCTAGGATATTCTCGACGGTCATAATAAACAGCAGAATGGCTCATGGGCGGAGGATCCGATTCCGAGGACATGACGAGGGTAGAGGGCGGGACGAAGGGGACTCCTCACTGCTCGCTCAGAGGCCGTCGTCTCATAACCGGGGTGGGAGAAGTTGGAGAGCTGGTCTGAAGATCACAGATCCTGATCGAGGAACTCTAGCAGGATGAAGATGAGGTGACATGGGGAGCACACAATGAAATACCAACATGATTATAAGAAGGAGACACGCAGAAAGTCCACAACCGTTCTTGTCAACTCAACTCTGGGGCTCAAATCCCTCCATCTTGCTCCTCGTCCGCCAAAAGCCAAGGTGCCCAGCACTTGGCTTGTGCTTGGCGAGGGAGTATACCGCGGCGTGCAATCTGTCGAAGACTCATGGTTTTAGATTTTTCCAAGTCGTTAATGCGTTTGCCCAGCCGTAGGGGGCCCGATCGCTGCACCTCATGGTCATCGTTGAGGCTGCGAGGTGTCCCGAAGGAGAAGGAATTGAGATTTCGAAGACAAATGCCCAGGTTCTGCGCGTTCTTGGCAAAACCCCCAAGGAGACAGGCAGCTCGGGAGGGTAATGGAAACGGCGATAGGTCGCTCGTGGTTGGAGGATGTCGAAAAATCAGGCTTGGAGGACGGGCATTGGCATGCCTAGGCGGTGGTACGCGGAGTGGAGCGAGGTGCAAGGAGGCTGCTGCAACCCGAACTTGGCTCCTCAGTCATGCCAGTCCTACCGGTCCTGCCAATAGATTTTCGTTGTTTTGCTACTTGCCTCTGCCTAGAACGGTGAGGTAGTACAGCGTTGCTCGAGAGGACTTCAATTACGTCTGAGCGGAAGGATCATAACATTCACGTACACTTCTGTTCAAGGCATCTTGACTGCCCTTCTGCGACCATCTAAGCGGGTATTCCGTATGCTATCGTCATTACCGAGAACCAAGACTTTTTCAGCAGTGGGTCAAGTGACGTCCGTGCAGCAAATCATCATGCTACTTCAAACGTTGGCAACAGCACAGAGCCTCGTTGAGAAAGTAATTCTGTGATTACCCAAATTTTCAAGCGATTTGGCAAAATCTAAGCCCCTGGGCACTGGTGGATATGAAAATTTATGCCATTATGGACATTGCCCGCTTTCTTGTTCCATGCACTCTTTTTGCTGGAATTCGGTGGGCACGCGAGTGACATCTAGGTTTGACTCGCATACAGACATTCCGCTAGGTTGCGAAGTCATGGGATCATGGTAACTCGAAAGGGCCTCCTTTATCCCTTTCGCTGATTTGTTTAACGGGCGCTTCGGCTTCCTCTCTTGCGATCTTTCTCATCAATTGGAATGCATTCAACCTTTCCCAATCCCTGTCCTCGTCCGAAAGCTCGAAGGGTCCTCCTTCATTCAGGTGCTGATTTCGCTCCTTATTCGAAAGGTTGGCTATTAGCCCGTTGGCCCCATCCTCTTCCTGTCTGGTGCATCTCATTACGCTCAAAAGGCTTTCTTCAATAGTTGGCCAGTCTTTCTCCCAAGCCCCCTTTATCTGTCGTATCAATTGTCTTTCAAGCGCGACGATCACTTTTTGGTCTTTCTCATTCTCAGCCATGGAGAGAGGGGAAGTTGGAGCCTCGATCGTATTACCGAAAATTTCTGCTATATGTGGTGACGCCTCTGCGTCGCCGGCCGATATGTTCGCTTGATGGCGTTTTTCCCTCGCCGCTACTCTTTTGGAATCATTGGTTCCAAGAACTCGAACTATTTCGGCGGCCGTGGTATTTGATGAATGTAGTGGTGCAAACACACCTTGGTTATCTCTCGCCTGACGTGCGCTTTGCGAGGCATCTGTTGACTGCCGCTCCGCGTGACCATACCGGAGCCAGCTAGTTTCATAGTTAGCTGAATATCGGGCAGTGGTTAGCCTGGAAAAGACTCACAGATTCCAGTGAGAAGGAGGCCACTGCGGCCGGGGTTATGCGCCCAATCTTGGAAGTCCCGGCTCTTGAGAAACCAATCGCCAGTTTGGTCATTTTGGGTTGTTCGCAGGGAGGCCGCATCATAGTTGCTGCTGTAGTTGACCTGAGAGATCCAGGAAAGAATGTCCGCTTTCTTTTTGGTTCGCGTGGCTTCGACTTCAGCGGATCTGATGGAATTCAGATCCTGTTTTAAATCCTTGTACTGAATTTTGCTTTCTTCGCGCATGTCGTGCAAGTCCCCGGCCACAACCCGAACATAGCTCTCAATCGCTTTGAGTAGTGTTCTGCTCATTCCGTCAGATGAGTTTGGACTTGGACTGGAGCGGGATAGTATACCAACCTTTGATCGGCCGTGAGTGCCAAATCAAGTACAGTCTTCGACTGGTCGAGGACATGCAAGGCGGCTGCGGTCTCGTTGTTCAGGACCTTACCAAGGCTGAGAGAAACACCACCAACGGACGCTACCTGGTTTAAACGAGCCACAATTGTCTTAGCCGCTTTCTCACTCGCCTGCAAGGGAGATCGAATGTGTTCAAATGTTTGTAATCGCCCATTGTCGGATTCGTCCAGCTCACATTCGAGCTGAAGACCACGTAAAATTCCAGCAAAAGCCATCAGCTTCCCAAGTATGGGAACTAGCTCCTTCCGCAGTGACGAAGAGGAATGAACATATTTCTTGATGATCGTTTTCGATTTGTCGACACCCTCAAGGATGTTCACGATGCTCCCAATCAGACCAAGAATTCCGACAACTTCTGCCATCCTTCATGGCAAGGCTCTGGATCGTGCACCTCTCGAGCTTAGCAAGTCGATGCTCCTGGATATCTCACAATGAGGGGAGAAAGCTTCACACTATAGCCATAGCACAACATGAGGCTGGGAGGTTTTATCAGGCATCAGGATCTCGCCAGAAATCGCCTTGCAAGGCTGGCTCGTATTAATGCGCCACCGGTGGCAAATATCTCAGCCACCATAGAATAGCCGACCATCGTCGTGCCAACCATCAAGGTTTCCTAGTGCTCTTGTGGAAGACTCGCCGGCTGTGAATGACCGCTATTCATTCCAAGAATCATTTCACGACACAAGCTTCAAGTTGTCAAGGCTCATTCCGGAGCAGGTACTCTTGCAGATAGCTTTTGCCGTCATGGTGGTGGTAATCGGAGGGCGTAGGCTTCGGCAGAATCCACCAATCAAGTTGAGGAAACTAACATGTTCATAGTCTGTTGGCAGCGAAAATATTGATTGAGATGAATCACCAGCCACCTGACGTCGGGGCTTGGTTCTGAGAACCTCATCTTGTGTGCTAAAGGGTCGCAGCGGGAAGTTTGGAGGATGGAGTTTGGATTTTTTGAAATGGGAGGGAGAAGAAGAATTTCGCGATATGTTATGGACAAGACAGAAGAGATCTTTGGAATGCCTGGACATGGTTTTGGTGGATGGGAGTTGCAAGTACTATGGTGCTAGGGAGTTGAAGTTGAAGGTAATTTTGTAGAAAGGGAAAAATAATTTTGAACCCACCGACGATGGTTCGTTCCTCGAGTCGATTCCCGGACTGTACAGAGAAATCAGCACATGAAGGAGACATGCCAGCCGCCAAAAGGTGATCGATCGTAGATTGAGGTCCTGATTTTCGTGGCCTGAATGCTCCTCCAGTGTTTTGATATGCCGTCTGAGAAATACTGCCTTTCTTCTTTCCATCTTTCCTGTCCCACCGTGCGCCATGACCATGCATAGTTATGAGAGGCAAAAGGATACTGTCTTCAATTCGGGTTCCTTCCATTGAGAAAAGTCCCAGGGTATTTTCGAAAACTCGCTCGGTTGGAAGAGAAATATAATCCGCACGAAAACCGGGACGATTCAATTCTCCTTTCTCCGTCCTTTCTGGCTTCTTTGATTGCGTTTACAGGTTCGTCAAGTAGTCTTCAATCTCCTCTTTACTGAGTTTGCGGAACCGAGGGCCCACGGCTCCTTCCACGCCCTCGTAACCCAGCAGGTGGTTCGCGGGCTCTCCCACTATTCCAATCTCGACGGTGTCACCGTTCATTTCTCCTTCAATGGTTTCCTTCAATGTTAACAGGGCAATGTGGATGGCGTCCTAAAAGCCGTACCGTCAGCTTGGAATTCTTGTTCAAATGTTCCGAATCCCGTTCTTACTTCAAGCTCCAGTGAATCATTATATCTCTTCTCCAAGAATGTCTTTGCACTCGTCGCACTCTTGCCAATCGCCGTGGCTTTCCAGGGGAAATAACTGCCGCTGGGATCAACTTGATACAAGCTCGGTCCACCTTTCAGAATGCCTCCGGTCTTTCTGCTAGCCAGTTTTGCCTCTGCTTCGGTTTCACCTTCCTTGGCCTCCTTTGTTTCCGGTTCAATCCCATCGTCCCATCCGGCTATTAGCAGACTGACGCCGTACGGCCTTACACCGCCGGACTGTGTAGCTTCTTGCATCACCCGCGCCACATCTTGGACTAATATCCGGGTTGGGGGGTATTCGTTGTAGATACGCTTGTAGTTAGTATGTGAGACTTTTCGCGCTTTGTCGACGAGGACTCGGTAGTCGGGACCCATGCCACTGTAGACCATTCCGATGTTGGGGGTGATGAGAGATACTTTGGATAAGGAAGGAGGATCGATGAGAGGAGAGGAGGATTTTTTCTCTGTTGCAAGCACGATGCCGTTTGTTGCTGTGTTTGTCATCTGGATCAGCACGATGTTTTTGCTTGAAGAGCTGAACCTCGCGAGGCAAGATTTGTCGTTACCTTTTATGCCTAATGAAGTCACACCTTGGTTGACTGCGTTGAGGGCATATTCTGGGAGAAGAACCAACGTAAGCTTCGAGTAAAGAGAATATTTAAAAGACGGTAGTTTACCTATTTGGACAAGTTTCCCACTACCTCATGTTAGTGATTGTAGCTGGGCGCATCAAGCCAAAACATACCTGGGGGAGAAAGTCGTGAGGGAAAATGAATATCGGTCCGCCATTGTGATGGTAGTAGGAGGAACAGGAGGAGGTTTTGGATCACTCGACTATGAGGATGAGGCGGTCAGAAGCTCTAAAGAGATGTCAAAGAGGAAGATAAGCGACTGGGAGACTGCGCAGATTCGATGATATTATTCTCTCGACAAGGCTGCCAGGTCAATGGCGCGTCGGCTGCGCGATTCGCTCAACCTGCCTAGATCAGCAGTCTACCAGACCGGGCAGCGGCATAATCAATCAATCTTATTCTGCTTATATACCAGGTCCGTCAATCTCGTTCTAATCGGGCCTAGTACTCAAACAAAGAAAAGAAAATGTTTCTGCATTGGCAGTGGTCTGCATCTCTAAAGCACGTCGACGTCATGCGAACTACCATGGCGGTGGTTGTGGCCTGCTGTGCACGGTGTCGTTCTCTCCCAATCTAACGCACCTGACCTCTGTGTAAACTCTGTGCTGTCTCTCCTTCTCCACTGATTCCTGTTGAGTGCTTAGATACTGACTTGATTGCGCTCGAATTGCACAAGGCGACCTCTCAGAGTCGCATCTATCCGGCTAGCGAAGGTAAAGCTGGGGTTGGCATTAGATATGAACTCATCTCAGCGAATTAGCACGTGAAGGAGTCACATAGTCGGTCCGCATACAGCTGCCATATTTAACGCGCCTCCCAAAGAGATTTCAAGTATGATCCGGCCTTCTTAGACTATGGTTTGCAATACCTGGAGTATAACTGTGACATCTGCAAGATTCAGCATTTCAGCCCTGCAGGGCACCCGGGTGTTCAAAAGAATAAAATCACGCTTAAAACCATAGTATCGCTCTTTAATAAATTGGGGGCCAAATTTTTACATAATCAGCTTGGCATTTTCTCCGCCTCAACCTGGAACCTTTGGATTCGGACAGACTGGGCTGCGGATGAAGTTCAGTCTCTCTTCATCTTTCATCATGCCTCGCTGACCTTCTCGTGTCTCGGCGGCTCCCATTTCTTCTCTGAACTCAAGCAACTTCTTGTTTTGCTAAATTGACCGTCACAGGCAGTCTATTACTCTTTGGCTCTTTGTTTGATCCCTTGTCCCGTCCAAATGTCCGCAGTCTAAATCTTCCTTCTCCTAGACCATGTCTATACTTCAAGTCTGGCGACTTGAGGTATATCTGGAAGACGGGGCTAGTATTAGGCAATCACACATTTGATTTCTCCAGTTCAGCATGACTTCCACGGGAAATACCTCAAGAAACACTGATCCAAACGCCACTCAGGCCGAAGCACCGCCCTCCTGGACCTACCCTACTAGAACCTGTCGTCTCTGTCTCGAAGACGTCCCTGCTACTGTCACTCTGTACCCTCCAGGCGTTCCTCCTGCATTCCAACGACCGATCGTTGAGTACAAGAATGACGATGAATACGGCCGACTGATAAAACCATGTCATTGCCGCGGAGGAATGAGATACATTCATGAACTCTGTTTACGACGGTCGAGGACTGAAGGCGTTCGCCCCGGCTCACTGTGGAAATGTCATGAATGTGGTTATCAGTTCAATTTCAACAGACTCACCCTTCAGAAGTATCTGGGGAGCAAGACATGCTCAGGAATTCTAACGATCTTGGTCATGTTGATCGTTATGTTCGTGCTCGGGTTTGTGGCCGACCCCATTCTCAACCTTTATACCGATCCCTACGAGACTATTGTCGGTCATGAAGACTTTTGGCGGGAGGTTGATGTGAACGAATCTAAGGATAATTTGTCTGGATGGGCCCGGCATTTCGTCAAAGGTCTGGTCTCAATGGGAGTACTCAGTTTCTTGAGAACCATGATTCTCAACCCTTTTCAGTGGTGGAATCTCAGAAACACAGGACTCGTTACCAGTAGGGTTTCCGGAAGGTCAACGACTGGTCGTGATCGAGCCGTGAATATCAGCTGGATCGTGGTGGTCATGGGAATTCTGTCAGCGTCCTATTTGTTCTATCAGTGGGTTCAGTTGATCATTGGCCAATCTCTCCAGCGTATAGGCAACAATATTGTCGACACGCAACTACCGGGTGACGATGATGATCTCCAACCACCGCCCGGATTTAAATTTGAAGAGAGCTATCCGAATGTTGCCGGCTCTCAAGCCTCTTTAGCTGACCATGATCGCTTGAACAAGGCTCAAGCAAAGGATTCTCAACAGGGAGTAGACACCCTAGATTCCGAACCACAGAAACATGGATTATCTCACCGATCATCTCCCGAACATGCCAGAAACGGAGATCGAAAGGAGACCCCTGCCAGACAGCATCCCATGCCAGGCACTTGGGAGCCAACGGGATACAGCTCGGCTCTTGATGACGCTCAAAGTCAGGGATGGTCATTTGGACGATTATGAGTACGCAATCGGATATGGAAACAATCTTGTATCGAATTCCTCACAATCGCCCAACTTTGAGTTGTCACATCCATCTCCATGAAGTGCCAATCAGTCTGTGTGCGAAGAGCAATAGCTTTCTGCCTTTGGGATACATTGGCGTCATGCCGTGTATCGCAAAGAGCATTATGCAGTGCCAAACTTCTTTCCCGAGAGCAGGTGATTCGATTCATGGCCTGCCGTGGAATAGATTTGGTAAATCCATGAGATGGCATTGAATCTGTTTCCCACAGCTTTTGTTTTCTGAACATTTTGGTTTGCATTTCGCTTTGGGAAATGTGACTTGATCGACTAGAATCTGGACAGGAGCAATGAATGAGCGCACCAATTGTGCGTCAGGTTATCCTTCCATGTCCATCCTCGGTCCTTACACAATCAGTTGCGACTTCCTGCTCGATTACGCGCTGTCAACCTTTGCATCTCGTTTCTTTCAATCCAGGAAAATGCTTGGTGATGAATCCAATTTTCGTGATGTTGGACGCTGCTGAACTAACAGATTCTGACCCGTCTTCGCTCTGCACCTGATATCCTGATATCAATTTTGCTCTGCGGGGAGAATCTTGTTGACGAGCCTCAAGGCAACGAGAACTTTTCATCACCCCTGTTCGAATGATACAGACCATGATCAAGCACGTCTCTTAAAAAGGATCTGCACCTATGGCCTGTACCACGCCACTGCGTCGATGCTTTCGTCTTTGACCAGGTCTAAAGAGCAGATCCTACCGCGAATGTGCAAAAATAGACTTCGATAGTCTTGCACTTCAGATATAGGAGCTTGGCTCATTGTTGTTGCCATCTGATGACCTCCATTCAAAGGAGTTATCTCACTTAATCAGACAAAAGGTCATATGCCGAAGCCAATCATTATTCTCTCAGCTTCAACAATCCCATGAAAAGGTCAACGAGTAGGTTAGCAACTAGGTGGCCGTTGAGCAGTGTCACCTATCTATATCCTTTTCACTCTTGACCGTCAAATCCGTTCCCCTTTCCATCCTTCTCAATCGTTATCAGCTATTTTGCGCATATTTCATTACTTCGCGGCCATGACGACCTTCATCGCGTATCAACCTCGGGCAAACGCCCCGACCTTCGGAAACCACACCTTCAGCAAATCTCCCACTCTCTTAATCAGACAACGTCTGTGAGCAACGCGGATTTCGCCGATTTCGTGGATTTGACTGCTACTCACTCAACTCACTCTACTCCTCCCCAACTTTGTCTGGCACATTTGCCGTGTCAGACACGGAAGTTGGAAGGAACACTACAGACACCCTGGCGAAGCACGGACAATCATACAGGGGGGCGAGCGAGGAGGGAATATACTACACGGGGACAAAAGCCCTCAACACTCGTACTCTCTCCGGAAGTGAGGATGGAGATGAGCGAAATGGCAGTAGCATAGCTTCATATCCACCAGCATCTGTTGGCCAAATCCACGGCGTCTTTGCCGAGTATGAGGAAAACTTCAGTGTGGCCAGGCAGAAGCAGAAGATGGCGAGTGCCAGTTTGCATGATTGGCTATTTTCTTCTCTTTCACAGCATGATGGCGACGCTGTGGGTCTGTCAATTTAAGAGGGCATGCTGACGATAAAAGAGAGCGATTCAGAGCTGAGTACGTGTACGGCCTCGAACGATTATGAGGGATACGGGACGAGAAGGAATCAGAACAGACAAACAGATCGTCAATATCACAGAGGAGCAGCTTATCTCCGACCCTTCAGACGACTGAGCATCGCGTAACCACTCGTAGTCCTTACATGGGCGTCACAACTGCCACTACGCTCATCACATCCAAGTCCGTTGTCGCGATGGCTGTCACGGTAGTTATTGCCGTGCTCTTCGTGGTCCTTACCGAAAGTCATTCCCGTTACCGTAGCCTGAATGGCCGCAATGGAACCTAAAAGGTGAGACTCCCACGCAGAAACGCCGGATTCCATTTTTTTCATAGCATGACGAGTTCTCGCCTTACACCAGTCTATCAGTGACATTCAAGTCCCTTTGACAGTGCATTCTGGTCATTACCACCAGCGCTGATGCCGATGCAATACTTCAGGTCCTCGGACTCTATCCATGCGTACTCGTAGTGGCTAGCATGCTTTACTCGGAGATGGCGGGTATAAAATCATGCACCACTGACTGTGCCCGTGGTATGTGACCATTCTTACTACTTGCCATCCAAAATGCAGATAAATATCCCTCGCATGCTCATTGGTAGTCACAAGCCAAATCGGTTTCCCCTCTGCAGCAGCTTGATCGATGAAGGGTTGCAAAACAGCCCTCACGGCGCCCGCCACAGCCGGCTTTCTTGGATCACGACCGAGCAAACCCAAATGCCAAAATTCCTGTCCATACCTCGACCAAATCTGCTCAATTTTAATCTTCTCAATCTCACGTCCAAAAGCCGCCCACAATGTCTTTCCCTGTCGCTCCAGCTCATCAAAATCCTCGAGATCTTTTGGTGGTTGATGTGAACCAGGCGGCCACCATGAGGCGCATGCTGAGAAGTCACCTGCCTCCGCAATGAAAGCACCCGACTCAGCCCCAGGAACGAGAAATTGCTTCACGATAGAATGATACGCTTGCAGACGCTTTTCGTCTGACGCATCAAAGCCTATCCCATCTATACCCTCTTTGGAGAAGAGACTCCAGATGACATTCGGAAGCATTGCATGGGACAACACCGAGGCCGTCTTTTCATTGTACTCCTCCGATGTGCCAACAGTCATTTTCGGGAGATCTCGTTTCGAGATCTGGTTCTCTCGGGTTGACGTCGCGGACGACACAGCTATTGCTGTTGGTGCATCTTCTGACATGTCGCGAACTCAACCCCCCCAGGATGACTGAATCCGAGAGTCCTCAGCGGGGGTTTCTTGACCAGCGCAGAAAACTCTGTCGGGTCAGGATGAAAATTGCAGTTTTATCAGACACAGTCCAGGTGCTGAAGACTCATACCGAAGATAAAAATTTACAAGTGCGGTATCGCTACCGCTGCATTGATGGCACATTTCATATAAAAAAAGAATCATAGCCGGAGATAAGCTTCCGCCCTCTGTATGGAGGCGTGGGCGATATGTAGTTTCGCCGCGCTAATTTTTTAGTGCGGTCAGGATATGCGCTGAGTAAGCAGTGGGAGAAGCGGTGTAAGGCCTTGATGGCCAAAGACGATACATGAAGGCTCTCAACGTGGATGTGTTGGGTGGACAGGAAGCACAACCAATCTCACACTTGGGCGAAGTACCAGGCGCTATCTATTTAGTCAAATGTAGTGATCTCCACTCAACATAGATAATGATGTCGGCTCTCCATGTGCCAAAACGGTACTAGCGACTGAACGTCTCTCTGTAGAAGCTTCTCTTCAATCGCCTCTCGCCTCCAGAAATGAGAACGGGGGAGAAGGTGAGGTGAGAGGATTGATGCACGCACATCCCCTTCTTCAACTCCTTGCCTAACTGGGAGGCCAGAGCCGTCCTATCAATATCGTGGTCTTTTCACATAGGACCGGGTCCTGCACAACTCTTAGATCCATGCCATTTAGTCTTACCCGAAGTTGTGATCAACTCGGCAGGTAGACCCCTCTCAAGTCTGGCATTCATTCCAATCTTTTCTACCTAGCCGTGCTCGTGTGAAACAGCCCCGTTCACCCCATTAGCGAAAGCAAGGCAATCGTTGATCAATGCTCTGCCGGGATGAATCTGCCTTGCTTGTCCAACCTGGCAGTCCGCTTGGCCATAATCCACCAAGCTAGACCCCAACCACCCTGAAATGCTCAATCCCGTACCATTTAGCAGCCTGGACATGAGGCATGCATAGTGCTCGAATGCAACAGTGAATCTTCCAGGAATTGTTTTCTTCGCAGCCATTGCCACTCAGTCCAATCCCCCCGGTTCACCGGAATCTGTGTGGTTTTGCCAATTTCCGCAGGTTGTTTAATCATGCTCACTGGCCAGTCTCTTCTCCAATCCAATTGTCTCCTCCATTGGGTGCTAGGTTCATAGAGGCAGATGGTGCTGTTCGGAATTCGAGAGGACACATCAAAACATATCGGCAGGAGCCAACGAGTTTTCCAGAAAGTCAGGCATGAAGAATTTCAACCGATATTCTATCAGGTGTGAGAGGGAGACGTGACGAGGGAAAACTTGTACTAAGAAACGCGAACAATGTAAAAGAACAGAGTGGTCAGGGCAAAACCTTTTGCGGCGCAGCCACAGCTCAGGGTTGCTAACCCATGGTCGGGAAACGGAAATAGTATTTGGTGGTCAGTTTTGGCCATTGTATACTCCCATCCACTCAAAACGAAGCGCGTGCCGATTACGTCATTTCCACCACTTGACGCGCTCCGAATTTGGGACGCGCCATTTGCTGTTCGATATTGAGACATTTTCATATTTGTTCAATCACCCTCCTTTATTGTCTCTGAACAGCACCAAGGTATCAGCCGTCCAATCATGGCGCTGCTAGTCGATAAACTACGCCCTCGCTCTCTCGATGCCCTTACCTATCACAAAGATCTTTCCGAGCGCCTTGCATCCTTGGTACATCCCGCTCAATGAGAACCCACCTCGCAACACAAATATTACAAAATGCTAATATTTCCTTGTCTTTTTTTCTTAGGCTGCCTCTGCTGACTTCCCTCATCTCCTTTTTTACGGTCCGTCTGGAGCCGGGAAGAAGACGCGAATCCTCGCAACTCTCCGTGCTCTATACGGCAGTGGCGCTGAGAAGATCAAGATAGATGCACGAATATTCACCACCTCCTCCAACCGCAAACTCGAATTCAATATCGTCTCTTCGGTATACCATCTTGAAATTACTCCGAGCGACGTCGGCTCCTATGACCGTGTGGTGATCCAGGAATTACTAAAAGAAGTGGCACAGACCCAACAAGTCGATCTCACAGCGAAACAGCGCTTCAAGGTCGTGGTGATCAATGAGGCAGATGGATTGAGTCGCGACGCGCAAGCGGCTCTTCGACGGACAATGGAGAAATACAGCGCGAATGTCAGATTGATACTCGTGGCCAATAGCACGGCCGGCATCATCGCTCCCATCCGCAGCCGTACACTGCTGGTGCGAGTTGCTGCACCAACGGAGGCTGAAATTTGCGACGCCCTTGTCAAGGCGGGCAAGAAGGAGAATTGGAGGGTCATCCCGGTGCTGAACGAGCGTATTGCGAAAGAGTCCGGCCGCAACCTCCGCAAGGCACTACTCATGTTCGAAGCCGTCTATGCACAGCATCCGGAACCCACTGAGAAAACACCCATCCCTCCGCCTGACTGGGAGATTCTAGTCGAGCAAATCGCACGGGACATCATCCGAGAGCGTTCGCCGCAAATGATCCTGCAGACTCGTGCGAAACTTTACGATTTGTTAACGCACTGTATCCCTGCCTCGATGGTGTTGAAGACGCTGTGCTGGAAACTCGTCGCGCAGCCTGAGGTGGAGGACCCCCTAAAAGCAGAGGTGGTCAAGTGGGCAAGTTTCTACGAGCATCGCATTCGACTTGGCAGTAAGGTCATCTTTCACCTCGAGGCATTTGTCGCGAAGTTCATGCGCGTCTTTGAAGGGTATCTGGTCGGCATGGATTTGTGATGTCTTCATCCCCTTCGTTTCAAAAGGCGGAAACACAATGGTTATGGGGAATGTTAGCAGAAGGGTATTGATTCATACGGAGTTCCCGCACGTCGTCATGCATAAGCTGCTTTGACACAGCACAGCAGCACGAGCCTGGAGTTTCGGGAACGGGTACATTTGCATTGTGGGACAAAGACCACCTGACTAGGGAAATTCATGTCTCGAGTCAGGCCGTCTAGAGAGCCGTCCAAGTTACCTAACTACAAATGAAAACCGAATCAAGACCGCGGGAATGCAAAGACCACAAAATCGTTTCTCTAGCCTAGATCCGGAAGAAGGAGAGAATGGCAAATTGTCAAACGCGGGAAGAAAAGTATTTTCGTTTCTCAGTGAAAGAGTCTGTGATGGTACCTAGGCAGCTATTCATTCCAGGCCGTTTGAACCACGTCAGATCGTGACAATCATTCAAGCTCTCAGGTAAAATGAAAGATCATCAGACAATGTTGTCCCCTTCTCTGCTCTCTCTATCACTGTGAAAACATATCATTCAATCATCCACGCGTTCATTCCATGCCGATATGGTTGCTTACCGTCATCCACCGTCCATAACACACACTTGTCGTGCCTTCATAACTTCGAACATTTCCCCATTACTCAGTAACAATATCCTGTTCATGGGTCAGATCTCTTCTGATTCCAACGCATTACCATCACCATCTACATCTCTTTCTTCATGTTCAAATCCCGGTTCCCTGTCCACACACCCAGCCTCTGGCGTATGTTCTTTCTTCCTTCTTCGCGAAAGAACTTCCACCGCCCGCTCCGCCGCCCGACACGACGCCTCGTCCTTACAACTCGCCTTCTTCGCGTGCGCGATTCTTTCGCCGTCGAGCATGACTTTACACCTCCAGCCCGCTTTGGCCCGGGTCGTGACCAGTTGACACCCAACTTGTGCCTCTTGGAGCATCGCTTCGGGATGATGAACTTGTAGATCTCTCTCCGTCGCGAAACGGTGCACTAGGTTCATGAAGCCCATCGTCTCTAACACTCGCGTGCATGGTTCGAGGTCGCCGCCCGAATCTACAAAGACAGCGCCCAGGATGGACTCGACGACGTCCGAGTACGATTTTGGCGCTTTGATGCGCAGGAGTTCCGACCAAGGGAACTTCCTCCCCTTCTGGAAATTGTCGATAATCACAGCGCGGATTTCGTGATACGCCGCCAGTGTGGCTTCACGTTGCTTGGTGATTGCTCGGTCCCCGATCCGTCTGATATGGTCGGGGAGATAGATGGTCCTGGTCGATTCATGGTCGACGGTGACATGTGAGCGGGGATCTGTCCGGATTTCGAAAGTCCTATGTGAGTGTGAAGTTTGGAGAGCGAAAAAAGCGAGGGTGGCATGACTGACGAGGGCATGACGGCGGATGGTCATCTGCTCCGGGTCGAAGAGTAGAGGACTGTTATAGAGCCTGGTCTTGACGATGTGATCGAGAACAGCGTCGCCTAGGAGCTCAAGTCGATCGTATGATGACAACGCGCCGCCCAGGCATGATTTGGTCAGTGCTTCTGACAAAAGAGCCCGGTTCTGGAACGAATACCCGATCATTGACTCGACAGGGGTAAACAGATGAAGATCGTGCATCAAAGAATTATTCACGTTCGTAAATGTTTCCAAATTCTCGTTTATGCGTCGCCATTGGACCTCGCCAATGAGCAATTTCAGAGCAGAGATCAATTTCGGTTCTGAGTCCTCTTTATCCTTTCCATCCAAGTATGCAGCACCAAGCAGCGCCTCGATCACGTCGGCCAAAATTTTTGAAGAGAGGTGTGTCTTGGAAGATGACCCTCCTGCTCCGGAGCCTGGTTTGGCGACACCAGCTGTCCATTCCGCCCCGGAAAATCTACGTTGTGTGAGGAATCGGTCTAGACCAAGCGATCTCGTGCTCCGTTGAAGACGAACATTGTTGACTATTCTCTCTCGATAGATGCTGAGTTGATTTTCAGGATGATTGGGATAGTCAACAAAGACCTGAATTGTCGAGTAGAATTTCAACAAGTCGTCTCCTAGGAATTCCAACCGTTGGTAGTTTCTCGCGGAAACTCGTGGCAATGTCAATGCCTCAGAGACCAACTCGACATTCTCGTAGGCGAGGTCTGAGAGTGGGCCTTCACAGGCTTCCATAGATCGAAGGGCGACTTCGAGCATGTGAGTTATCGAGGGGACTAGTAGCACCAAATGGCCGTACTCGGGAGGAAGCCCTAAAACCGAGCATTCGCTCACAGAGAGCGACGTCAGAGAAGCTTGCTTAGTTGGCATTGAAGGTTCCTGCCAGCTCAAATATTCCAGCTTCCTTGGAAGTTTTCTTGCTTGAATTTGAGGCGATTCGCTGTTGTCGACTCCTTTGATATTTGCGGCGAGCGATGAGTGTCGATAGACATATGGTATTGGCTTTTTAGCTAACCGCACGAGGTAATCGCGATCACCAAGGCCGCCGGTAGAGAGGAGATCAGCCAGAGGTGTAATGGTTGAAGCTGTTTCATACCAGGCTTGAAGTGACTGCGCTTGCACATCCGGGACGAGAAGGAATGGTAATTGGTCTTTCTGCAAACCACAAAGTCTTCTCCCCAGGACAGTGGTTAACAGATGCAAGCTAACTTCGCGTGCCAGATCCACTGGAAAATCATGGACCTCCGCTCCTGGTCCCACAGATGCTTTCAAGGGTTTTGAAGACGTTGTGTATAGAGGAAAGTCGAGTCTGAACAGCCTCTGGGGCAAAAGAACGAGCATTCTCGGATAGATGGCAGCTTCATCGTCAATTTGGAGTCGATGAGCGTATAGGGTGTCGGGTTTTGCCCATTTCTCCATAATGTTTGGCCAGGGATCGTGTTGTTGCTGCACAGCACAAATGCTCTCTCTTCCGTCAGAGTCTCTATCACCCCCCGTGCTCTTAGTCGCCTTCTTTTCTTCTTTCGGCCACTCTGGAGGCAGAAGATTTTCTGTGACAAGTCCAGCGTGATAGAGAGCAAGGTACGCCTGAAAAGCAGCATCCCTCTTTGCCATCTTTTCCGTCCTCCAGGCGAGCTTGGACTGAGCTATCTGGAGCTGTGGTGGAAGAGACGACGGAAGATAGACTCTAGCAGATACATTGACACCAATTTCGCCATCAATGCAAAATGCCAATTCTATTCTTTCGGACTCTTCCGTCTTTGGTAGTTTCGCACAGAATCGCTGCAAAAGCTCCCGAGAATTGTTGAAACACAGTACTGCTCTGTTATCATCAGCAGGTCTCATCTTGAAACTTGCATAGATAGATTTGGGAGGGCACCAAGAACATACCCCGTAGATTCGATCCGGTATACGTCACCGCCAAACTCATTCAGATTTTCGAGCAATTCGCGTGCTTCCAGGGCTTGTTTAGCTTCCTCACATTCAGTCTTCATTTCGTTTTCCAGGGCCTGCCACTTTTTGACTTTGGTCCAGGATTCTGTTGTGGAACGGAAAAGGACGTATTTGGAGTCCTGGTGCCGTGCTCTGCCTCTACTCTGGACAAAACTTCGAAGATTTGGGCGCTCGTCAAAGCATACGACCAAATTGATGGCAGGCACATCAATCCCTTCTTCAAGCACCGAGGTGGCTACGCAGAGGTTAAGCTCGCCACGTCTGAATTTCTCGAGATTCTCGTTCTGAACACGCAATTCGGCAAAGTCGAAGACACCTTGGTGCGATGGATTGGATACACCAACGAATGAGAACGCTTGATAATTTTGCATCACTGGATGAGCTTGGATGAGCTCCGTAAGCGACCAGGCTGTGTGTCTGGCTTGGACGAAAATCAGAGCTCGAAGATTGGGACGATGTTCTCGAATCAGGTATTCCAGCAAACGTTTGACCTTGGGTGATAAACTGTCCGCTGAAGAGATTTCAGGGTGATCTAGATGTGTAAATGCTTCTAGGGGTTGAAGAACAGACTTTATAAATTGGAGTTTGTCGGCTGCGGTGTCTCCAGCTGCTTCATCGTCTAGCCCACGAAATGCTGCAGCTTGAACTTTTCGAATGCAAGCGGTGATGAAAATATCACAAGCCCAGTTACCTAGGCTCGCATGCATGGTGGCAGATGATGCTGAGAACGATCGTAGTTCCTTCAGCGCCGGGGTGTAATTCTTCCTCAAGATTTTCTCTAGCTTTTCTTGAGATTGTAAATTATCCCTCCCACGTAATTTCTTCATCAAAGGGTCGTCATCAATCTGTATCCCAGATATTCTTTCTCGAAGGGCAATCAAGAGCTTGGGGGGGGGATTAAGATTCTCGGCGAATGTCAATGTTTCGAGCCTTGGCATATTCAGGAAAGCCGTGTATTCTTCCAATTGCTGCGTGGGAGTCATGCATTTGGCATTGAGATTGGTCTCCAAGACACGTAACTCAGCGACTCTCTTCTTTGTAACTGGACTAGCTGAGAGTCCAAGTATGTGTGGAAGAGTGCCAGTATATTCAGGGGCATTGTAAGGATGATAGTGAAGTCGCATGATGTTGTTCAAATCCGAATTGTCAACGCAGTGATGGGCCTCATCGATCACGAGCAGTGAAATGTTTTGTAAAGACAGAAAGCCATAATTGAGGGCGTCAAGCAAGATGCGCGGAGTGGAGACGACGACATTGATATTGCATAGAGCTTTGTCCCAAACATCTTTAGTTTTCCAGTGTTCTGCATTATCCATACCTGTGATCAATCTAAATTGGAACGCGGGCAGCTGTTTGGATAGGAAGGAGTGCTGTTGAAGTGCCAGAACGACGCTAGGGGCGGTGAACCACACCTGCTAAAGGCAATGGTTAACTTGAGCACAGAGGTGTTTCAAGGAGCAATGGAACAGACCTTGTCGAGGGAGCGTTCCAGCTCTGCTTCGATCCGCAATTTGGCGCTAAGTCACCTTGGATCAATTTTGAGGGCTCAGAAGACAAATGCAAGGTACGGAACGGGATGCAGAAGGATTCACGAAAGGGCTCGATTAAAGGTGTCCTCACACTTGAGTCTTGCCGCTGCCAGTTGCCATCTGCATGGATTAGTGGAACCAGATAGTTCAGTCGAAGCTAATCTTACCACGGCAATGATATTGCCTTTCAGGCTGTGTTCGAACATCTCGATCTGGTAGGCACGAGACTGAATTGGGTTATCCTGGTTGTCCTCCTCGAGAGACGTATCCGACCACGTATCGTCTAAATCAAAGTCCATGATCAATGGTTCGCAAGAGAGTAACAGTGTGGAAGGGGGGAAGACTCTGGAAGAGACAAGCGAGACGACAAAGGAAATGATGCTTTTGTTCGTCAACGAATACCAACTTGTACTATCACAACAAATGATGATCTTTGGAATCATTACATCAGAAGGGAGAAAGGCAACGAAGACTGCTGAGAGAGGGGCTGAAAGTTTTTTTCTTTGTGTAACGATCAGAGGAGAGGCATGTCTATCAGAGCTTGGCAAGGCTCGGTCCGGATCAACTTGTTTCCGACGAGGCTGAGTATAAGGAGTACGAGTTTGGAGACGTTGAGTGCTCTGAGGGCCGTTGTGGCTAACACCTCGTTGCGTTGATTATATCGAACGCATGTGGCACATCCTTGCTTTGACACCACTTTTTCTGGGCTTTTAGGGGATGTGACATCGTCTTACTTTGAGTACATTGAATCCCAGTTTGAACCAATCCGTAGAGAACCTTGTGGGTACTAGAGGACTCGTCGTCGTGGAGTTGTCGATGTGGTAAGTATGATGTCACCATAGAAAGGGGAGACGCATCTAAGAGCCAGCATAATTATCAGAGCAAGCCATTTGCGGAGTCATGTGGTCTGTATTGTTGGTCCCAATGGGTCTCAAAGCCCTAACAGGAGATCAATTCCCGCTTCAATGCCCTCATCTTTCATCGTTCCCAAGACTCCATAAGGCTCAGCATTCCATGCTCAGCGCATCAACAGACGGCCAACATGGATGGTCGTCCTCAGTGAGTCCCCAGTTCACCGAAAGGATTTTCATGCTCTGCTTCCGAAATCCTTTAATGATATTGGTGGTCGGCTGGACAGCGGCGCGACATCTACAACGACTAGCACTATTCGGGTGAGCACGATTTTTGATGGAGGACCCTATACCCCATCATCGGTAGCACCTTGGAGAGGTGATCTGGGAGCGATCACTGCATGTCAAGTCGAAAGTGCCATTGAGCAGTTTGCTCCAATAGTTGTAGAAGCTGCCCAACGTTGTGGTAGCTTGTTCAAAGCCGTCACCCACCAAAGCGCACGCTTGTCGCTCTGTCAATTCTGTGGGACTTGACAATGTCAATGAGAAGAGCTTCAGAAGAAAGAGCAAAATAGTGCCCAGGAGAATTTTAAGCCTAACATGTTGAGTAGTTGGGCAAGACTGAGTATAACGGGGAAAGTCTAGGTAGGCTCCGAACCTCCTCTCTCAAATCTATACCACGCCAAAGGAAAGAGCTCTAAATATGAGAATTGGGTACTTGTTCATATAGCACACTATATTTCATCTTGACGTTCTCGTTTCCGGTCATATTCTGAACCCCAGCGGAAATGCGCATCTTTGATACGCTGATGGCATGGTAAACACGAGATATCGATATCCTAAATAGGAAGGTCTAAGGCAAATGATAAGGACAATCCATAAAATTCAATGTATCAACCTTCTCCCCGCACCGGCATTTGGGTTCTTACGTGGTTCGCCAGACATGAAATTCTCATCGCCGGATTATTACGATTCGCCCACTAGGAACTCAGATAGTCTATCGCTGAAATTAACGAGCAGCCCTTTTCCAAATCTCAGAGAGGAAGGGGAGATCTTGGCCCGTTCAGGACTCTATCGAAGTCATTATGGACCAGAGATTGCAGGCAATCTCCTCAGCCAACCCCGTGGTAACGTCAACAACCGCAAGATTTAAACGTTGAATCGATGTTAGCACACTCGTGGCCAGCGGTCGAAGATATGTATTCGTCCCAGGCTTCGGAATTGTACCAGGCATTGCCCGGTGTTCCTCGAGTGGTATGTTTGATAGGCACAAATGGTGAACAATATGTAAATAGCAGTTAAAACCATCCTCTAGAAAGATCCATGCTAGCTGTGAGGGTGTCATGCGTCAGGCAGCTTCCCCACTTCTTTCGTCTTTCAAGCTCCACCTAGCATTGACAAAATAGCTGACAAAGTTCAAAACACTTTAGAAAATGGCAGTCGAGGATGAAGCTTGCGACATGCGTATCAGCAAGTTCCTAGATTCGTCTTCCGTTGGAACACGAGCGGCTAGGTAATCATAAGCAAACAGAGTCGACATGATCCCTGCCGCATCTGGAGTCCGCATGGTTTTGCACTACCTTGCTTTTTGTAGCCTTAAAGGGGCGCATGGAACCCCGGCAACACCCCTGGGTGGGCCGTGGCACATGATCAGGATAAAAGAAGGAATAAGGATGATCAGTGATGGGATACACAGAGTGAAATCAATCACCCCATGGAAGAAACAAAAGCCCCCAAGGTGGAGGACGTGATTGAAAGGGCGGAAACGGAGAAACTTAGAGGTCCCGTCACAGAGTATGTATCGCCTCCCTCTCATAGGGTGGGACGCCAGATACGATGGCGGGATTAAGATATCACGATGGATGATGAACGGTGGCGCTCCGCAAGATGAAAGGATCGAGAAAAGGAGGGATGATATTCGATCTCGTGACCGCCTCGTGGATCAATGGACCGTTTCGATGTGGCTGATGGCCTTCGGCCTCACACAGAAACTGTATGATGAATGTCTCGCTCGAAAGTTGACCAGAACGAGGCCGAGGATGGCAGTATCCAGCCTGGACACCTGGGGAGACAGTTATGGCAACGTAGCCAAAATGCAGGACTGATAAAACCGAATCTGCAGAAATTGTAGTAGCTTGGCCACAGATTGGCTGACGGGGGTTGCAGCAGAAATGCCATAAATAGAGAATCGTCGTGCTTGTCGCTGTGCTGTAAGCGCCCAGCAGTCAACGCCATACTCATCCAGCCAACCACCGTCTGCTTGTGCCCCTGTTCCTCAGTTTTCGCTCCACTCTCTCCATTCACCACCATTCACCTACTCGTCTCCTCTACCAACCATCCCGCTCCTCCTCCAGCATCCTGCCAACACGTCTCAGCACTATCGAATTCGAACATGATGCTATTTTCCTCCGCGTCTCGCTGGCTGCGACCCTCTGAGCTCTCGCATTGGCTCGCGTTGCACTTCCACTGTCCCGGCTTATCCCATTTCCCGCATTCCAGACCTTGTTCTACTCTCCCGTTGTCCAATCGACGTGGACTCGAAAAGTGTCTCTCTCGATTCGTCAGAGAATGCGTGATATTGCAGTGCTGTTCAAGGGACTGGTCGGGCTCTCATCGAGCGCCAACGTCGTCTTCACGGCGCTTCCTCCCGGGCTGCGGTCCTGACTTATCCTCTAGTCTCATTAGACTTTGATTCCCCCATTTCCCTTTCCTCCCCTTTGACAACCTCATCGTCGCTGAAGCTGCTGGTCGCCGTCAGCTTTCCTTCGTTACCGATTCTCTTTGTCCCTGCTTTGCGTGCGACCGTTGATCGGCGACGCCTACTCACTATTAATATTGATTTGATAAATAGCTAGTTCGTACCTTCTGCCGGGCGGGCCACCGATGAGCATTTGACAAAAGTACCGATTATCAATAACCATAATTGATCTGTGAAGGCTGGTCCTCGCAAGAATGAGCACTCTACCATCTAGCACCTATCAGTCTCCTCCCCGGCCGGGCCGAGGCCGGCACCTTAATACTATTCTCGAGGAGAAGGAGGAGGCCAGTCAGGTTGTGAAAAGTGATAGCGAGGGAGATGGAAGTGATTCGACTGTCTACGGTCGGCCTGCAGCATGGAATCCGCAACTCTTTACTGCCGCTCCTCGAAAGAGCTCTCTCGCAACAACCACCTACGCGTCTTCTCCGGTCTCTTCGTGTGAACCTTCGCCGGCCAGCAGTGCCGGCGAGGGCTTCCAAAGAAATTCAATTCGGACCTCTTTCTCTGGCAGTGATTCGGGGACAGTCTTCAGTGATGACTGCCCGTCCCTTGCCAGTGATCCAACAAGCTTTGCCTCCGAGTCCAGTCGAAACAGCTATGCTAGCAACAAATCCAGCAGAAACAGATACCCTGCTCTCTTAATCCCGAGAGATTCATGGGGCTCCATGGAAGGAAGTCCCATCAAGGAGATGGCCCTGGGCATGTCCCCGGCCACCAAGATTCGTTTATCGCCCACGGCACTGTCTGCGCTCCCACGAGCTGTCCCTGCCGTCAATGCACCACCGTCGTTAGGAGACAGCAACAGTACAACGTCTGACTCGCCTTGCAATCACGGCACAAGTGCCCCCGTCACTCCTGAGATCAAGCAATTGGAGGTGGTAGACCAACAGGGCTGGGGAGAACCACCGCCTAACAATATAGAGTCACAACCTCTCGAGATCGCGCTGGACGATGGTCACAGTGTGATTCTCTCGCCTGCAGAAGCCCACTCGGACAGCACATTTCCCAACATCCTATCACCCGCCGCTTGGACCGATGTGGTCGTGAGTTTTCCCCAAGTGCCGGGCGCTACGCCTCAAGATCTCTCGCCTCTGATGCCAACAATCGATGAGCTGAAGAAATTCGACGAAGTCCAACCACCATCCAATGGCTCTGACGTGGGTGTACGTCTTCCCCCGGACGCGCTGCAGACTCTCCAGCTACTCGTACGACAGAGGAGTGTCGACAATGTTTCGACCTCCTCGGGCGGCTCTCGTCCTTCCAAGCGATCGGGGAAACGAGAAGAAATGCGTGAACGTACTAGCCCCGAGCCCATAAGCCGGCCTCGCAGTGCTGATGGCGAAACCCCTGTGTCCGACTATAGCTTCTCGCAACTCAGCATTCCCTCTCCGGGAGGATTCTTTTCGTCACTGCAGAATGGTTCCCGTCATACGTGGTGTCTAGGCAAGACCAAGGGATCGAGTGTTCCCGACACGGCCACGGCTGAAATGTTCTACAATCGACCCTGGGAAAATTCAAGCTCAAGCAATGTGGTCGAAACAGTTCTGATCGGTGATGATACGAACATGACCGAAGGCCCTCCTACGGCACGGCAAGCCACCTTCAATCTCGACCCGGTTTCAAATGGTCAAAAAAGCCAGAGCCAACAATCCGAGGACGATGACCTCTATGGCCCCGGTGATGTATTCGAGAAGTCATCCCAACCAGGCCAGGTCAGCTTTGAGTACGATGAGAAGTATTATGAGGAGCTCAAGCAAGCCGCAGGTCAAAATTTGGCGAGGACGGGCTCGTGGCTAGCCGCACAAACTGGCTACTTGTCTGCCATCCTGGATTCAGACCCCAGTATAGAGCCTCGAGATGAAGGCCCAATGTCCAATGATGGTTTGGCCAAGGCTGAAATAGCACCCCGACGAACGGTGATGTTTTCTGACGACACAAAGGCGGACGCCGCCATCGTGGACGGAAAAGAACAAGATAGTTCCAGCAGTGAAACAGACGCCAAGGAGCCAGTCTTTCTCAGCGCCTTCCAGTATCTTTGGAGTATCCGCAAGCGTCGAGATGCCTTTTGGCATGCCACTTCCCGGCTTGAGGCCATCCAGGCTGCCCGGGTGGCGATGCCCGAGAAACATATCACAAATCTTCTCGGTCAACATACGCTCGTTGATCCAGCGAGACCCAAATATTCAGGCCCGTTCAGCCAAAATCCAAGAGCGACAGGTGTCTTCGACCGTACTCCAGAACAACTGGCCTACAAAGCCGTCGAACGGGAGCAACTGGCATTGGCGTCCATCGCACCATCGACGTGGCAGATTGATGCTTTGAGAACTATGTACAACGGCCGTCTTCTTGCATCGGCGGCAGCCTGTCAACGACTGAAGACGCGGGCCACCATCCCATTGGATGATCCGTCGTGTGTGGGCAGCAAAAGGATCCGCATCCTCGATATCGGAGGTACATCTTCTGCCTCTTGGGCCTGGAATGCAGCCCTTGAATGGCCGAACGTGAAAGTGTACACCGTGATCACCAAGGCTCAATCACGTTCCCAACGGCCCGCGGGAATGGCGAAACCAGATGCGCCACCAAACCATCGCACCGTCTCGGTCCCACATCTGTGGCAGTTACCCTTCCGCAGTGGCCACTTCGACGTCATTTCAGCTCGTGCCCTTCACGTTCTCCTGAAGAACAACCCGGTTCCGGGTGTCCCCGAAATTGACGAATGGGACTTGACACTTCGTGAATGCCTGCGAGTGTTGAAACCGGGGGGGTACATCGACTACATGATCATGGACTCGACGATCGCACATGCAGGACCCCGAGCAGAAGCCATGTCGGTTGAGTTTGGCTTCGAACTCCACCGGCGTGGGTATGAGCGAGAAGCAGCTCGCAGTTGGTTGCGACGGTTGAAGAAAGAGGGCTTTGTTGGGGTCAAAAGAGCATGGGTGTTTATGCCCATGGGACGAAGACCACCCAAGGAAATAGAAGAGCACGTGCATGGATATACAGACGGATGGCAGTCATGGCGACAAGGTGCGAAGCCGTTCGTCCCCGCGCCACGGCCGATCAGCGAAGTGTCCACCATCAGCAAAATTGTCAAGCAATATATGGACGTGGAGGCCGTTCAAGGACCGATCGGAAGTACACAGGACGTGGCGGATTTGACCGGTCTTCTCGGGGCTCGGATGTGGGAGGAGTGGCTGGTCAAAGTGCGAGCTGAATCTGGCCGTGACCAAAGTCGCTGGCTAGAGGGAGTAGATGAGGTGATTGAAGAAGGAAAAGAGAACGGAGCAGGCTGGAAGGTATTGATCGGTTGGGCACGGAAGCCCAAAGGTGAGAAGGGAAAGAAGCCGGAACGGGCTGAAATAACCGTTGCGATAGAGGATCTGGGGGAATTGACATCATCTGGAGATGAATCTATGGAGACAGGAATGATCCCTATGGTCATCCAAGAATGATCAACGAGAGAGGAGTTTGGGGGTAGGATACAATGGATGGGCATGGCGACAACGGAGTTCAATTCAGACTTGAATTGTTGAACCCTTGATAGGGGAGTTGTTGAAAGCAGTCACCTTCGCTTAGGCGTATTTCATCATGGTATATAGCTGGCCCAGATAGGTAGATGATGTAAATTGCGTATCCCTTGGCGTTGAAAGGTCGTCTCGGTTGTATTCCTATGTGTATGAATACTCCCCTCCCTTTTCTCTTCACAGTAGTATGATGACTAATTCCGATTCTCTCATCACCAAGGCTGTGTCCGCCCCTAATCGCGTCGTTACGCTGCAACTTTTCTGTCTAATGCCCCTCCATTTCTAGCACACACTCTTGTCGCTGCCCCTCGCTCCGATCCTCGTCATCAAATAAAAATATCACCCGAGTTTGCATCTGGAAAACACCATGCGTGTTTCTTGCGTAAACATTGCAATGATTATAAACAACATCCTCGTTTTCTAGCAGTATTCTTCCGGAGTTTTTTTGTACCATCGACATCCCCTCGCTCTCTCCTCCCTCGTCTCTTGCCTGCTCTTTACCTCGACGCGCTCCAGCTTACCTTCTTCAACTCTCAGAAATCAGTGGGAAAGATCGTTAAAAAGAAAAAGCAACCTTTGCAAGGCCAAAGGACGAGAGAAGGATCCACAAAAAAAAAAATGACCACACCCCGCTGTTTCATCGTCCGCCATGGCGAGACTGAATGGTCGCTTTCGGGTAAACACACTGGCACAACCGACATCTCATTGACCAAGAACGGGGAGAAGCGAGTGCGTGCAACAGGTCGAGCCTTGATCGGCGACGACAGACTGATCGTTCCCAAGCAGCTGGTGCATATGTACGTAGCTGACCACCGTCGACACATCTCTACACTCAGACTCATGCCCCTCCCGAATTAAATGTCTCGACCGACCTATTCACTAAACTCTTTCCCAACTTCATCACTAACATTCCTTATCTTAAAGCTACGTGTCTCCTCGCCATCGTGCCCAACGCACTCTCGAACTGCTCTACCTCGGATGCCGCGACCCGTACCCCTGGCAGACCGGCAATGAGATATCATCTGAGACGTCACCGCACAAAACCGATGCTCGCGTCACCGTCACCGATCGCATTGCCGAATGGAATTACGGCGAGTACGAAGGCATCACGAGCGCCGAGATCCGCAAGCTCCGCGCCTCGCAAGGCCTGGGGCCTTGGGACATCTGGCGCGATGGTTGTCCTGGAGGCGAGTCGCCTGAGGACATCATCGCGCGTGTCGACAATCTGATTGCCGAGATTCGTGAGAAATACCACGCCCCTGTCATTGGGAAGCCCAAACAACCTGGTGTCACGGGCGATGTCATGGTCGTTGGCCATGGCCACATTCTCCGTGCCTTCGCCATTCGCTGGGTCGGCAAACCACTTACAGAGACCGCCTTGATCATGGAAGCTGGTGGTGTCGGAACCTTGAGTTACGAACATCACAATATTCATGAACCGGCCATTTTACTAGGTGGTGGCTTCGTGGTGGGAGAGGACAAGGAGGAAATCGAATGAGAGAAGGTTGAGAAAGAGGCAAAGTCATGACATGATCGAGGGTATCTTTTCAGCCCATTTTGTCCTGTTCTTGATTTCAGTTTTTCATGGTGCCCAGCGAACAATATACAAGACGGGAAACCGGAACCTCCAGTGTAAAGGAGCCCTCGCCCGGCAAAATCTTAGAAAGCCTACTTCGGACAAGCAGGAATTTGGAGAGTCATGACCCGGAAAAGTCCTTCAACTTTTCCTTTTTCCTTTCCTTACCAACCGCCTGGGGGAGCTGCTGCCTCTCCTCCACCAAAATTCCCTGCTCCAGTGCCCTGGCTCTGCATCCATGGAAGAGGAGGAGGTGTCCGCTTCACTCCACTGGTCCAGCCACGATCCTCGCTCTCTGGACTACAAGGCGGGATAGGAGGCGTGGGCGGCTTCTCGAGATTCATATTTGTAAATTGCGTCTGTCCGCCTCCCAGGAATCCTACGCCTGTGATATCGATATTTGGCGGTGGTGGAGGGAGTATTGGTCCCGTAGGCCAGCTGTCGCCAGCATCGTAGGGCTGTACGAAAGAGTATGCGGTTGATGGTCCAGGAGGGTGAAGTTGAGCCTGGCCTTGAGGTTGAACCTGCGGCGACAGATTTGCTGGCGCAGGGGGATTGGCCCAGTTTCCTCCACACAAACTGATTGCTGAGCTGCGCCGTAAGTTCGACGGGGTCTGAGTGTACGTCGTCCCCTTGCTTGCCATGCCTTGAGATTGAAATCTAGCACGCCTCGAGGCCTGCGAGTCGAGGTTCTGTTGTTTCTGATTTTGAGCTTGATTCGCCTGTGCCTGTACCTGATTGAATGAACTCTTCTTAGGAGTTGTCTTTCGCTGTCCGTTCCAGCCACTGTTGTTATAGTTGTTATTTGCGACGTTGTTGGTTTGAACCCAGCCCACCCCTCCCCTGTTTTGACCGTTTCCACCACCAGAGTTCTGCTGGTGGCGGTTCTTCCGCCAGTTATTTGCACCACTACTCCCATTGGTTTGTTGAGCATTTCCATGTCTACTCCAGTCGGTATGATTGGGATTTCCCCTGTCGGGATTCTGAACATTTGACTGATTTGATAGATGGATACCCAGACCAGGGTTGGTAACATTTCTCGTCGGTGGCAGATTGTATCTGAGAAATTCCATTTCAGGAGGAGTGACGGGGACCTGTTCATAAGAGTTGATTGAAGCAGGTGTGACTTTCTCTGGTGGCGGACTGGGTATCGACCCTCCCAATGCACCTTTGGCTCTGAGGACCATCTGAATCAGTTCTGCCTTATCCAAGTTCTCCAGAGCGTTGACATCCTCATTCCCTGTGGGCTCGGATCCAATGTCCACGCCGATTTCGTTCTTAAGTTGTTCTTTTGTCCGATACTTGAAGACAAATTTCGCGTATGGTTCATCTAGGTTGTCGATGTATTCTGGGACACATCTCTTCTTCGTGTAGATGTATCCCTTTCCTGATTGAACTTGTTTGGAGATACCTTTTGCTTCGACCATGCTCCGAGGAACATCGTATCTTGGCTCTTCCTCCGCATCAGGCGGAACGCCATTTTCGACACAGGCTTTCGAGGTGTAGTAAGCACCATGAGGACCATAAAGAGCTCGAGTTGTCTGCAGCGGCTCAGCTGGATTTGACTGATTGTTGAGATTCGAATTATTATCTTGGTCATTGTTCCAGTCATTGGATTGATTGTTACCACCACGACCAGCATTTTGATTGCGGCCATCCCAGCCACCGTTGTTCTGATTTGGGTCCCATGAATGGTCATTTCCACTCTGGTTTTGATCATTCGGGCCCCCGTTGTAGTCATCACGGTTATCGTTGGCGTCTCCCCCATTATTCCAGTCGCCATCATCCCAACCAGCATTGTTATTTTCAGCATTGTTGGTATCGCAGGCATTATCGTCACCAGTCTTTTGATCCCGACCAGCGCTAGTGTCGTTATTGCTTGAATTGTTCGGCGGATCTTGAGTATCAGCGATTTGAGAGTCGTTAAGCATGTTATTCTGCTCTGTCGCAGGGTCCAAGAAACCAGGTCCCTGAGTATGAAACAATGGAGTGCTGTCGGGTGGAGGGTCAGGTTGAAAAGTAGTCATTGCCGGATGAGGCGCCGACAGGCTAGCATTCTGAGGATGTGGCTGTGGCAAGGGGACGGAAGGACCGGCGAATATCTGAGGTGGAGGACCATTTGGCGGAGAGCGTGGTTGGTAACCGCCATGGCCTTGATCGGTGTAAGGATACCGACTGTAAATCTTCTGGTCAGCATTGTAGAAATAGTGGCCATCGTGAGGCGGGAGTGGATAGTCTGAGCAGGGATTGGCTCCTCGACGAGAAGTCGATTCCAAGCGGCCAGAGGCTGTTTGCGGTCGTACATAACCATTGTCACCTCTGCAACCTGGTTGGCTACGATGCAGGGGCCGGTCGTCATATCTAAAATGTGAACCAACATGAGGCGCACTGTAGTCAAAGTGAACATGTCGCCCTGGTTTGGCAGGTCCAAGTGCAGGCTGTCGGTATATTGACGATGACGGTAGAGCTCGATAGATGTCCGATGATCTAGTGGGCTCTTCATATCGTCCAGACACTGGCCAATAATTCTGTGGGTAAAACTGCCCCTCTTGCAGGCCATATGGCGCAGGTCGTCCCCGATGCGCGTGTTGCGCTTGTTGCCAGTTCCATCCGTGATAACTCGTTGAAGGGGCATCACCTTGAGTCCCAAGGGAGAGCGGAGGTTGATCGGCCAGTCCGTCAAAAATTCCACCAGAAAAGCCGCCGAGGACCCCATCTAGTTCACGTTGGCCTTCGACCTCTGCGGAATTCTCTTCCCTCCGCGACGCCGTGTCAGATTTGTTTGTTTTACTTTCTTGCGAATCATCGTCGCCACCACCAAGAACAGCACTATCCTCGCCCGAAGAGGCTGTAGACATCTCAAATTCTCCTGAAGTGCCGATGCAGCATCGGAGGACCAAGACTTCTATGGTTCCAAGCTCATCAAAATGGCTTTCATTGACGCCCTGTGGCAGTTGAGAAACTGTTGAGAAATTGTCAGCGACTAGATCTCTTTCCGTACAAGAAACAAACCGATATTGTAATCGTCAAAGCGCCATTCACGTCCCATGTATGTTCCATCACCGATTACTTTTTCCTTTTGTCTCACAACAAAATCAATTTCGGTCCTGTTCCTCGGCACGCCTTCCTTGGGAGGCTTCAGATTGACCCGGTTACGATTGCACTGGTAGCTTCCATCAATGAAAACGATCATAGATAGGCCTTCGAAGATGAATTTTCGGGAGGTCAGTTGAATAGTGAAAGGTTGAGGATGGTTAGGAATTGCAATGTAGGATTCGACGACGCCATCTCCATATTGTGTGCCATACTCTGGGAAAGGAGAACCTGTGTCAGCCCACAGGACCTGGCACACCAGGTCCTTCAGAGCTGGCATTGTGATGTCCTGATGTCATGGTTTGGGGGAGACGAAATAGGGACATGAGATGAGAGCTGTAGGTCGTCTCAGTTCGACAACTTCTGACATGTGTATGAGAGCCCGTCGGAAGAGCGAGTTTGGGCAGCAATGGGCCAAGATGAGGAGAGCAAGATCAGGGTAAAAGAGAGGGAGGTGGGTGCTATCTTCAAACACAAGTGTATTTCTGGTATTGCATTGTTTGTGAGGAACGGGAAGAAGGCGAGAGGGCGCCCATGATGTGACTACACAAAATCATTCATACATTAGTGCAATACTTCTTCAAGTGACAATCTGCTCTCGATGGCTATGCTTTTATGCTCAGACTAGATATCTGCTCCCACCCTGACGGGATATGTCAAATCAACTTGAGGGGCCAGAACAATTTCCTAAATAGCGTTAGCCGCATTTTGTATGGTGCTTAGGCCTTGGTGTCTTTGCGCCCGTCTTCTGTTCAATGCTCACTCTGCTGCCTCTCTTTACGCACCCTCTCCTACCCTCTCATGTGCCCTAAGATCTATTCAGTCCTCCACAATGAACGCGACGAAAGCTCAGTCACAAAAGATCTTCGAGAAGCTGAAGTCCAAGCCTGCAAATAAGGTAGACCTATCGCAGCGCCTCCTCAATAAAAGCCACTTTGTGCAATTCATGTCGCTGACATTGTCTCCTAGATATGTTTTGACTGTGGTCAAAAGAACCCGACATGGTCCTCTGTCCCTTTTGGCGTCTATCTGTGTCTCGATTGTTCCTCAAACCATAGAAATCTCGGCGTCCACATCTCCTTTGTCCGATCAACCAACTTGGACGGTATTGCCATATTCCTTAGACTTTTCGGAGAGACATTAACAAACCTAGTCTGGCAATGGAGTCAACTACGGACCATGAAAGTAGGAGGTAACGAGTCCGCCATGAAATACTTCCAATCACACGGTGGCAGTGCTGCCCTCGCAAGCAAAGATGTTAAAGTCAAATACACCTCGAACGCGGCGAACAAGTACAAGGAGGAACTGAAGCGCAGGGCAGCGAGAGATGCAGAAGAGTCTGTCTACAGTTCCTTCCCGCAGAAAAATCTGGTCTAACAATTCTTCAGATACCCAGACGAAGTCGTCATCACGGACGAAACCCTTGTGGCTCCTATTGACGGCTCATCAACACCCGCCGGTGAACCAGCCGATGATTTCTTCTCTTCTTGGGATAAGCCCACTATTAAACGACCCAGCAACCCACCATCTCGCAGCGGCACTCCTCCAGTAGTTTCGCGTACTGCTTCCCCCTTCCTTTCTGCTGGCAATGCCAATGGCGCAGCTTCACGACCCAAGTCCCCCTCTCCCTTAACTGCTGCTGGAAACGAAAGTGAAAATGCCCTTCCCGCCCCAACCGCCATCCGTACCACTTCCTCATCCGCCATCCGCAAAGGACCCTCAGCCGCCGGAGCCGGCGCTAAACGTACCAACGTTCTGGGAGCGAAGAAGACGCATAAACTTGGCGCAAAGAAAGTAGCAGGCGAAGAAATCGACTTCGAAGCCGCTGAAAAGGCCGCAAAAGCCGAGGCGGAGAGGATAGAGAAATTAGGTTATGACCCTGAGACCGAGAAAGCGGAGGAATTGGCAAAGAGCAAATCGCCAACTTTGGGTTCTGCCACGAATGATGCTCCTGCAGCTATTGCCACCCCAATTGTTGGAGGCTATGGATCTAGGCCTAACCTTACACATACACGAAGTCCGAGTGAGATCGAACGGCTAGGGATGGGCATCGGACGGTTGGGGTTCGGCCAAATCGGAGCGAATAAGCCAGCTGCTTCTACTGGCGCAGCACCAAAGAAGTTGGGCTTTGGCAGCGTCGGCGCAAGCAAAGCACCTGTAGAAGGTAGGAAACATGGTTTACCTCCCTCGATACGATTCTCTTGATCGCCAGGCATGTCTAACTCGTGGTTTCCTCCCACAGACGACGAGGAACAATATGCGCGCCAAAAATTCGGGTCACAAAAGGGCATCTCATCGGACGAATTCTTTGGACGAGCGCAATACGATCCATCCGCTCAAGCGGAGGCGAAGTCACGATTGCAAGGCTTTGAGGGCGCCACGAGCATCTCGTCAAACGCATACTTCGGACGCCCTGAGGACGACATGACGGGTCTCGAGGGCTCAGGTGAGTACGGTGATCTGGAGACCGCGGCCAAAGACTTCATTCGTCGCATGGGTTTGACTGCGGGTGACGATTTGGAGAATCTTATCAATGTGGCTGGCGAAGGTGGCCGGAGACTTAGGGGTGCGGTCGCCAGGTATTTGAACAGCTAGATTTGAGGACTGAGTTGGACCTGAAGATGTCCATAGATCGAATGTCTAGGAGGGGAGATGAGTCGAAATAAGACGAGATGAGCCGAGATGTATGAGTTGCAAAGCGTCTAGACTCCTTCATCTTTGCCCTGACAAATGATGCGGTATGAACGAGCTACTAGTCTAGGAATACGCAGGCTTGATTTCGAAACTTGGGTTTTCTTTCAATTTGGTCTAAAATATGAAGTCGTAGCGTGGACTAAAACGGACCAAAAAGAGACATCGTTGCGTCAGATCACATTGAGCCAGTTACCTACTCATCGACAAGCTTCAAGAATCGTCATGGGAGAATATCACTCCTGAGGGTTTTCATTTTCTGTCTCAGGCAATGCAATGCTCTCCCATGGTGTTGCTATCAACTCAACTAATACATATTACCCGCAATTCCCCTGTATCACAGCAATTCCTCCCCGTCGTGTTCCTTTCTTTGCCCATCACAAAAAGAAAGACAAACTTCTTTCAGTTTGACCTCTCATCGAAACCCATTTGAGATCCAACTGCATCCCTTTCCCTCCATATCACAAATCCCCCGTTCGCTCTGCTCTGATCAACACTAGCAAAAGACGTGGGAAAAAGAGCGAGTATCGAGGTCCATATTCGAGCATTTCTGCCCCCTGTTTTGACCCATGAATACAGAAACCCATCAGGTAAAAGAGTGAACTTGTCTAGTTGATAGGAAGCACAATTCAAAAACCAGCTCAGGAGAGGGAAGAAAAGAAAAAAAAAAAAAAAAAAAAGGTTAATCGATGGAATCATCCATTAAAGATATCCTTAGTGATTCCAATTAGGAATGCTTTTTCGTAAAGGGGATTGAACGCAATAAATGTCATGCCAATCAATCTTGGATGGTCATCAAGTCGTGATGAAACGAGAGGCTGAGTCTTTCCAAGAGAACTCAATAACGGTGACAATGGGCGCTGCCCTTGTTGCCTGTGTCATTCTTCACACAACGACACTCTTGCGTTTCTCAGCACTACTGAGAACCAGAAGTGGGGTGTTGCGTCTTGCCGGCTCAACTTCAACAATCGGTCCTCCAACGGAATTGCCCTCATCGCCGTTCAGGCTCTTCGCACTGACGGTTCCAACGCTGTCAACCGAAGATCGTTCCCTGGACTTTTCTTTGATTTCGGACCCGATAGCTCCACTCGCCACAGCTCGAAGACTGCCCATGCTCGGTTTGCTCGAAAGGTTACTGCTACCAGCAAGAACCGAGTCACTATCAGACGAGACCGAAAAGTTGAACTCGTTCTCGCTGCCTGGTGATCCCCCTCCAGAGCCGGGTTGACGACCATCGCTGCGACGTTCACGGCCAGCGCGGACCAAATCGTGAACAGCTCGGCGACGTTGTCGAGTTGCAAAATTCTTGCTGCCTTCGTGCTTAGAGGTAGGCTTTTCTTCGAGCTCTTGGAGAAGTGGAGGACCCTTGGGTTGTCTGACTGGGTGCTCTCCAGCTCGTCCTTGTCCAGGTCCAAATGTTCCAGTCAGTGGGGTTTGTGGGAAACCGACCGACCTCAGACCCGAGCCTTTTGTCCATTCACCGGTCGTCTTTATATTGGCGGAGGACAAGTTCTTCCTGTGACCTCGACGGAAAGCATTGGCAGACGGAGGGGGTAATGGTTCTACCTCGTTTTGCGGAGATGGCGTTGGGTTTGGAGGGGTTTTTGAGCGACTTTCGGTCAGAGGATAGGAAGAATCAGGGAACTGACGTTGGTATCCAGGAGTAGCAGGTGGAGGTGAAACAGAATTAGGACGAGGGCTGGAGGATACCTCCTCCTGTTGGCCCTGGACCGAGTTGTCGACAACAAAGCTGGACTGGCCAGTCATAGGATTGTACACAGCGAAGACACCGGGGCTTCCAGGGACCGGTTGAACCACCGGTTGCAAGCCTTGCTGAAACTGTTGGTTGTACAAACTCAAGGGGGAACTGATGGGGGACTGGAACTGTTGGCCAGCATTGTTCATGGTTCCGGTGTTGAGATTAAGTCCACCCAATTGGTGAGCGGCGGCGGTGACGTTCAACAGCTGTTGTTGAAGGGCACGTTGCTGTTGAGCCAGGTAATTGTTGGTCGCCACCAATTCGTCGTAGAGGTTTTGATCCATCGTATCTGCTCCGTCGACAAAGTCGAGGGTGGGAGGAGCAAGAACATGCTCAGGACGGGAGTACCCCTGCTGGAAGTTGCCTTTGAAGGAATTTCTATTTCCTGGAAAGTACGCTCCGGTGGCAGTCTGTGGAGTAGGATTGGTATATTGCGGTGAGGCGTACTTGCTGCTTTCCAACCCCAACCCGTTGGTGGCAGGAGGAACAGTGGCGGACTTGGGGGCTGTGCGGAGGCCTGCCAAAAGATGGCCACGACTGGTGCGTGGAGTTGAACTGATGTTGGCCTGCTGGGTCTCGTCGATAGTGGAGATCTTGGGAGGAGGAGCAACACTCAGGCGCTTGATGTGAGAACCTTTTCCGCGAGAGGCAAAGCCAGGGCCAGAGATGCCAATGGAGTTACTGAAGGGAGACTGGTAAGTCATTTGAGCAACACCGCCAGCGTCGATGCTCATTGTATTCTAGAAAGCAAAGAAAAGATAATGTTGCAGAGAATATCCGTGCACTGCTGACGCGTGAAAATGAACGTGTTACAAGGGGTTCATTCGATCTTTTGGGTTCCACGAATTAGGAAATGTATCGAGCGTCGTGAAAAATAGTGATGAGTTTCGTATCGTAGTCCTTTCGAAGTGAATGACAGGGAAATCTAAGTTCGTAAGCAGCAAGAAGAAGTGCCTGCCTGATTCGTGGTCAGTATGTTGGTGTTGGGGTCGTCGAGGATGACAACGAGACGGACCAAAAAGGTTCAGCCAGCTGTGGCAGAAAGGTGTAGAGAGAGGTTGCCGACAATGACCAGGGAAGGGGGAAATGATTGAATGTACAAAGCGGTTTTAGTTTGTAGCAAAATAATAAAGGGTGTACGCAGGATGGAAGAATGAGGGTGTTCGCGTTGGTCAGGTCGGTGGGATATTGCGCGGCAATGATCGTTGTGGTTGTTATTTTTTTGGGTTTCTTTTTGGAACAATGTATGGACGATTATGAGTTATGTAGCGAGATGCGTTCAAGGTTTCGATCAAGAGCAGCAATTTTCGCCAGGGCGCAGGTATGGGAAGCTGAAGCTTCGAGGGATCTTCGGGTATTGGCTGATTGTAGCGATTAGGACCAAAACGCAGGGTAGGAAAAGGAAAGGCGAGAGATGCGAGAGATAGAGGGGCTGAAGAGTCGATGGCGGTATCGACAATGAAGGGAACGAGTAATGAGGAACAGAGGCAACAAGGTGGAAGAGTGACTGGAGAGAAGGTGACAGCGAAAGGATGATGGGGGATGAGAGAAAAGAAAAAGATCGAAAAGAGGAAGAGGGGCGTATGGATTGGAGGGTGAATTTGGTAGAGAGGCGATGAGTGACAAAGCAGAGCAAAGCAGACACTGGACCACAGAGCGAGGGGGATGGAAGGCCCTCGCCAACTAGGCTAGTGAATTGGGGGACGGGGATGAAGATTGTATGGCCAGCAGAGACTGGTGGATGAGTGAGAACAGCACATCAAACCCGTTAGAGGACCAGTCGCAGAACAGAGAAACTACCAGAAGGGGGGCCACCAGAAAGCACAGACTGGGAGGCGGAGCGATTGGAAGAAATGGAGTCCCCCAGGCGCCGCGCTAACTTTAGTCGATCGTTAATAAACACTCAACCCCCCCTTCCCCATTAGTTGACCAGCAAGCCTACGCCGAACAATGCATGCTTTGATTTCCACTGGTGGTAGGATTCCTATAGTACGCAGTGGGCATTGTCAGACGAGCCACTGGCACCCTATATCGTATAGAGATCTAATTGATGACTTGCTATAAATATGTATTAGACATATGATGGCAGAGCACCATTAGCAAAGGGAGTTAGTTCACCACAAGGGGATCCTCACTTTGATCCCTATTTCAACCATTGTTTCAACCTTGTCTCTTCTGTCGAGTCCAGGGGGTCATACCATAAGCAGGACAACAGGGCCATTCAATTCATCCCTCACTTTTGCCGTTGGCACCAAGACACAAACACCCATTATCAATCGTCCGACCACCTTGATCGACCATGTCTTTATTCTCTGTTTTTGTGTCAGTTCTCTCCATCACCAATTCGCGAACCATAATTCTCACTGCGGAGCAACTCTTATTTCCAGCAAGCTCGTGGCAGCCGGCTAAGCGAACCACATCTCCAGCATCCGACGCCATGGGAGATTACCTCGTCCAAACACAAAAATAAACCGAAAAGAACCCCTTCCCCTGAGCAGAGTTTTGCCCGGACATTCGTGCCGTGTTTTCCCTGTTCAAAATGGTCGCCCACATGGTGAACATGGCGTGTCCGGTGAACTCCATTTCGGATCAAAATCAGCCAACCCTGCCCGGAAGAGGACCCTGAACTTCGAAGCGATAAACTACTGGCACGGCAATCTACCATGACAACATGGCGAACAGGTTCCAAGGATAGCTTTGTCTGTCAGCACCAAAAGGTTTCGTGAGTGGGGACGACATGTCTATTTTCTTTTTTTTTTTTTTCCCTTGCTCCTGAAGATCCAAGCTATTATCGTACTCGCTCGCCATCACATGGTATTGTACAGGCTGGTTGCTCTCAAAATGATGTGTACTTCTTGTTTTGCTGAACACATTTTCCTCACTGCTATGCAAAAATTCAACCCCCATATTTTGCCAGGCCCAAGTTTGTTGGTCAAATAATGTACGCTCGTCCTCATTTCTCCGTTTCCGGGCCCTCCTTAGCGTCGTGAGCCGCCCTTGGAACAACATCTGATGTCGGACTTGCCGTTTCTTCCACCGGAGAGGCCTGTGGTTGTTTGATGATGATCGACTTTTGTCCCTCGTTTGTGTTTTCTCGATCTTGCGACAGAGCCGGCTCTTCACGTGCAGCTGGTTTGTCTGGAGTGTGGGAAGTCGACTTCTTTGCCGGCCGCGAGGACCTTGACGGCGCCGGATCTGGCTCTTCCAGTAATCGGCGCGTAGGAGCTGCCTCTTGTTGCTGGAATTGTGCCTTTCTCTCCGCCACCTCATTCGCCAGCTCCTGTTTCTCAGCCTCCCATTCTGCATCCAGCTCTTCGAGTAATCGGCGAGAAGAAGCTACCTCTCGTTGTTGTAATTGTGCCTTTCTCTCCGCTATTTCATTCACCAGCTCTTGTCTCTCAGCCTCCAGTTCTGCATCCAGCTCTTCATCATCCTCCAGTTCGCCCTTGTAGATCTCTGGATACCTCTGGAAACACTGTTGCATGTTTTGAAATTTGTCTATGCAGTCCATGCCCTTGGGTTCTTCCGTTGAAAAGACAAAGCAGGAAAATGCCTCTCTGAATTCTGGGCCACAAGGGCCGTGGGCCATTCCTCCTAGACACGGACAATCCCAATTGATTTCACCAGTCTCTGGATTGAACGCTCCTTCGTTGGCCGCTTCCTGTTGTTGTCGGTGCGAAGTGAGGGCGTCTAACGACGAGACTTCTGAGGAGTCTTCTAGGGCGTCGACGTTGGGGTCTAATAGGTCTGAAAGATATATTGTCAGTTCCGATCAGCTTCAATGATGAATCGCTCGTATGTAACCTGCAGCAACAATCGACGACACGTACAATTTTGCGGCTGCTCTGCAAAGACTGGACTAGTGTTGTAATAGTAGATGCCTGCAATTGCAATACCCCATCTCACCGCACTGCTCTTCCAGCTCCGTCGTGTATTGACAGGTGAGCTACTCGCGAATCGTTTTGCAACCGTGTGCGCCGGAGCAAAAGACGGCCGAGCTGCGGATCGCAAAACGTTTCGGGCTACTAAACGGTACATGGTTGCGAAGATGAGGACTTGTTCGGATTCTTCTTTCAAGGAACCGAAGAAGATTGAGACATGCTAGAGAACCCGAGAAACCAAATTACTGCAGACAGAGTTGGAGACAAGGAGAGTTTGCCCTTTTCAATACGAACTGATGTAAATAATATTCATATTTGTAATTGCCACCTCCAGGTTTATTGTACTTGAACGATATATAGTTCTCCGTAGACTTCTTCACACAGTCAGTACAGCAAAGCATTGAACAAGTCTCACAACCATTCAGCCTTGCCAACCAGCCCCCCTGAGCAAACCGTAAGAAACATGCCATTCTTCTGTGGACACGGAAATGATACACGACAATAAATATCTACATGGACAGCATTCACTCCAGATCTCATGCTCAGCTTCCATGTATCACTGCGCGATACTCTTGGTCCGCTTTCACCCGCATTTTGTCTGCAAGATACATTGACCACGGATCCAACAGAAACCGTGCCTCGATCTTCTTATCTGTATTGAAAACACGGACGAGGAAATACACATCTGAAGGTATTCCGTCGTGATTCGTTTTCGAGATAGTATATACTCGAGCCTAATATTTGGTCAGCTCACGTTAATTGAAAATTTGTAGAGAAGTCGTCGACAGGGTTTCTGAAAAGAGCCCCCCCCCCCAACACACCTCGGCCCCCAAACCAAAAAAAAAAAAAAAACAGAATAGATTTTGTCGAAAGGGACTTCCAATGAGAGCAGCCCAGTACTATCGGCAACACCAAGATGAAAGAGAGCCTTACCATCTTCATCTGATCATTACTCCACGCAAACTCAGAGGGAAAACCCCCTTTGGTTGTCCTCACATCAAGATGATAAACGGGCGGTCTGCCAATCCATTTACCAGCCTCTGAGTACCGATGCGCGAAATAGCGAGTGAATAACTTGCTTTGATCAGTGAGCGTGAAATTGGCATACATCTTCTTCTTTCCAAGAATATTCCTTTCCCCGACAAATGGCTTATGTCCATTTCGCGTCCGGAGAGGACTCGTCCAGTGGGTTTCGGGAACGTACGCCGAGCCGAGCATGCGCTGAAGTTCCTGCGAGACCTATATTCAGAACGTTATTAGTATAATCTCCACCGGACAGGGGATAGCCGGCATGAGAATGGAGAACTGGGCCAATTTGCTTCGATGCCCGGCCTGAAAGCTTTTTCTCCTCGGCAGATCCACATGCCTACCTTTTTTTGACCGAGAAACTCCAGTCCGTCATCAGCGTCTCGTCGTGCTAGGTCCGAGGGGCCACGGTTTATTCTAGACATACGGTTGCGAATGGCGAATATTCTCAACGTTCTGTCGACCAAAGTTCTTCCTGAGAGAGTTGAATCAGCTGCCGATTTGACTGACATTTTATCGTCATCGTCCTCAATGTATAGGTCGCTAACACCTAGGCCGCTGAAACCATCATCGAGTACGATGATGTGGCTAATATCTGCCGAGGTAGAGGAGGATGTAGATGCCGCCCCTTTTCCCCTGGCGTGGACCTGTGCAAACATCCGAAGTAAATCGGACTTGAAGACAGTCTTTCCTCGAGGTTGGAGGGCACCATTTGTCGAACCAAAGCTCTCAAATCCAGGATCAAAATCTCCTTCGACATCAATATCATATGCTGGCTCATCGAGACTGAGGTGTGGAATGCCGTGCCGTCGAAACCATTCGTGAATCCTTTGAGGACTCTCCGTCAACGCGATAGTGAGCAGATACAGATGTCTATCCTCAATGGAACAGAAACTTGCAATTGCCTCTATCAATTCGCCCGGTGTCTTATTTTCTTCGAAGTAATGTTCCTTGAAATAAATCTTGAGGGTGTCATGCGCGGTGGATACCACAACATTCCCATCTTTGGAGCGTCCCTGTTTTGAGCAGGAACCCACCTGAAGAGACCATTTCTGTATCACTCTCTCGGTGAAAAACACCTCTAACCTCTCCAGTTTTGCCATCTTGTCTTTCTTGCCCAGTTCTCTTCTTGGGATAAGTCTGTCATGTTAACTGCGTTAGTAAACATATCCAGCCTGAGAAAGGAATAAGCAAACTCCCTGTCGCTCGTTCTGAGCTAGAAGGAGGTGGCTGGTTGTGGATAAAAGCTGAACCAAGGACCAGTCACTAACCTCGCAATAAAATCCGATCTCGATCGCAGGTCTTTCTGATACACCAAGTTAGGGCGAGTGGAACCAATGCTCTCAGCTATGCTCGTGGCTGCTCGTGTCAGCCTTCTTCTGTCACCTCCAAGTTTTCGTAAAAGGAGAGGCATTTTAAGGATATCCTCAACCTCAAACGCCAGCAAAGGCACGATCCCACGAAAACTCTCAAACAAATGTGTCCGATCCGCAATAAACCACGGAGTGGAATTTTTCGCACACCCAAGTGTATCCCATTCACCATCATTTGCCATGCTTTTCACAGGCCACAGACCACGTGTTTGAATAACGTCAAGGGCAGTAGTGGGCTCATCAGTCTCCAGACGCTTTTCAATCTCGAGAAGCAGGTCTCTGATGTAGGATAGAGGTTGGCCTGTCCTGAGCAGAATGGCTTCACGGACAAGATCTCTTATCCCGGCATTTGATATTTGGAAAAAGTCGCGAAAGAGACGCTGACATGATGGATACACGTTTTCGAGAGCTACAAACTGCCGAAGGCATTCGGGGCCGTGCCATAAGCAGTCCCGAACTTTGACCCATCGCACTGTTCGACTCTGATTCTTGTTCGGAATACAGACGAGCGAGTTCTCCGCGAATGATTTTCTGTCGGGATGTCAGCGACTTGATGGCTTTGGCAAGCATGTGTAGAAAAGCAAGGGAGGTTCCTGCACATCTTCTCTAGGCTCTTGAAGCTGCAGCAATACTTTCTGGAATTTGGACGGTAATGAGGAACACATACCTAACAAGGTCCGGATGTTCTGAACATCGGGCCTGAATCTGTTCTAGCATGATGACAGCCTTATCAAAAACTGTTCCTTCTCTTGTCGCACTCAATGCTTCCAAGCATCGAAGATAGAACCATACATCTCCCGCGACACCTAGCCCAAGAAATTTCAGTTTCTCCCATCGCGAGTCAAGAGGGGTCCGGACGTCCACAAAAGGTACTTGACCCTGTGCTTTGTCCACAAGCTCTGGAAGAGGGAGAAAAGCCTCTCGCAATGGTCTGAAAATGCATCCTCTGCATTGAACCTGCACCATTTGCAGTTCCCGTCGGAGTCGCTCCCGAGATGCGTCTTGTTTGTGATCATCATTACTTCTACCGGCGCCATCTTCAATCCACCAGGAGTAATGATTCCAATTCTCTTTCAACAAATCCAAAAACTCATTGGACTTGGAATTTCGGATAATCAACGCAAAATCGGGAGAGAGGCGAAAGGACGAGGGATAATCAGGATCCTTTTCTGTAAGACGGGGCAAAATCGACATCCCGGCATATTTTTCGAGCCACCTGAGCCAGCGTTGCGGATCATCACCACCAACGGCCAAGTAATCTGGATGGATAAAATGGACATCAGATTGGTCATCAAAGTAATGGCTCGCCGCGAATGGAACCTGCGAGGTCAAGTACACCTGTTCGCCCCTGACGCGACCAGAACCATTTTTGGTGACGAACCAGAGATATCTCAGCCGAGAGTCGTCGGCTCGGGCGTTGAAAAGGAATGTGGCATGGGAAATAAGTTGCTGTAAAGTCATCGAGTGTGGACTGAAGGACTCATCCATATGTATTTGGATAAGATTGCAAACAACGCTTTCCTGGCTCAGAACCTTTAAGCCAAGTTGCGAGTAGAGGGATCGAGTTGTTGGATGATTCGCAGCGTCCTCGCGGACCAACCAAAGTTCAAACCCTTCGGGAGGAACGCAGCGTTCGGCCTCCTGGGGAAGATAAACAGAATTGCCGTTCGCAGGTACCCAGCGGCCGTCGTTGAGAGGAATTACTGGCAATTTGAGAATACGTTCGCGATAATTTGCATCGAATACCAGCTTCAGCAGGAGCTCTGCGAGTCGGGTATGCCATTCCCACTCCCGGTTGCGGACCAGCGACGCATTTTCCTCTATGAAGGAATCCAAATGGTCCAAGAAGATGGATGCGGTCATTATCTTCATCCCGAGGGCCTCCAGATTCCCGTTCAACGAGACTCCGTATTTAGGGCATAAGTACTTTCGATCATTGCTGGGAGAGGACGACATGGGAACGCCACGTTTATCACAAAACTCCTCAGGAACGTATATCAAGGATGCTGGCGTCATCAGCTCCTGGGTTCTGCATTTCAACACCGGCTCTCGAGACAGCCGTGTTATTATCTGCCGCCGGGCAGGCTCAAAAAAGGGTGATTGTCCGGACAAGAATGGGATGTATCGGGGCCACATATAACACAATTGGCCGTGACTGTAGGCCCTCGTCACGGTTACGAACGCATTCACAAATTCTCGCCGGAGAGCTTCGTTCCAAGGTGAATACATCAAGATATCCTCCCGGTTTGCTGAGAGAAGAAAGTCCGCCTGCAAGAGAAACTGGAAAAAGTCAGCCCTGGTACAAGATTGGCCGCATGTGCAGGTTCTCTTGGAGTAGTCACTGACCTTGAAACCATAATCTCTGATGGGAAGAAATGCGTATACTTTTTGAGATTCGACCGGTTGCAGATCAATGATATCCGGAAATGCAAGCATTATCTGAGATTCCCTTGCGCCTGGCCGTTTCAGTTCATTGGGTAGGTTGGTTGCTCTATATGAACTGACTAGGTACCTCATCGATTTGTCGTCCTGAATGAGCTCAATTGCAGTTTCGTTGCGGCTCGAGCACATTCTTTTGCTGAGAGTGGTTTCCCAAGTGGAAGCAGCCTCGTAAACTGTGATTTTAACTTTGTTCAAACGGCGAAGGAACATTAACATGCGGGAGTCGAACGTCTTGAGATCCGAAATAAGCTGTTTCTCGTCATATTCAGGGGACAACTGCAGGAGCGTGGACGTCATTGATGGTGTAGTTGGCTCAGGAAATATCTCCCAGATTGGCGCCACCATACCTAATACCTGCCTCTTGTCGAACTTGAAGGTGTATGAGTTGGACGAGATCCAAACGACGTCGGCAGCTTTGAAAACCGACTTGAAGCCGATGCCTTTTTCTCCGACATAAGAAGCAGCACGGTTGGCACCGGCTTTGGTGCTGCTGCCCACTCGGCAAATGGCCTCGACGTTCTTTTCGCTAAAACCTCGCTCATTGCAATCGATCCTCAATCGCCGACCCTTGTAGGTCAATGTTATGCTTGGCTCAAGCACATTGTATTCATTGTCATCTGCATTCTGGATCAACTCCAGCAGAAAATGAGTCGACTTCTGATAGAGCTCGTCGGCAAGGCTAAGAAGGTGAGTTAGCTGTGAACTTGGTGATCTGTACCATTGGCAGAATCCAAGGATGCGTACGTGTGGAGGGCGTTCTGAAGATTCTCAACGTTCCGATTCGAGGCCTTAGTATCGTCCAGTCCAGCTTCTTGTCGGATCGTCTCAATATGGCGTCGAGCCTGGGAGGCTTGATCGCCACCAGAGGTGGCCATGTTCCACTGTTGCTCTCTCCCAGGCAGAGGAGAAGGTCGAACAAGGTTGGAAGGAGCGATGGGCTTTTCATGCGGCTAGTTATGAGAGCCGCCATCTCCTTGCTTCAACCTAAGTCACCGCATGAGCTGATAGGGTCAATTAGCAAGCGGATCTCCGCACAACTAGGGACTTCCTGGGCCACAAGATGACTATGGCTGAGCAAGGCGTTCCGGAAAATGGAGCTGTGAAGGCTACACCGGTTCCCAATTGGGTAAGGCTGAATCGCATACTTGGGCCGTGAGACTATTCTTCACCCATCGATGGCAGAGTTTGGAATAGATACCAGGCTAATTGAGGGTCTACAGGTCACATGCGGGCTTCAGACAGTCTGATTAACGCGCAAGAGGTACAACCGTACCTTTGCACACGGCCTGGAGGAGAGTGTTTGCCCCAAGGCACCTACGCAGTTAGGGAGGTTATCGGTAGGTACTGTGCCTGGGGTAGAGCGGTTTCATAGATGCCTTGCCAAGATAATTAGCAAAACAGCGGCAGGACCACAGGTCGGCAAGGACGCCGACCTGTACAGGTATGGAGGATGTACCTGCAAAATTACAGAGTGTCCAACAAGCCAATATCTATATCATCCAATCCCCCATTCTGCCGTCAGACAGTTTACCCTATTTTCCAGCTCATCTCCTTGCCATTCCACAGTATTCGTACCCTTATACCGCCTAGATACCGATGCATGTGTCTCTATCACATTTCTACACTGTCCTAGTAAATGTCGAACTGGGCAGAGATATGCATCTCTCGTTGAAAACTCGGGATCCCGTCTCGACCGGCACTAGCGAGCAGGCATGAAGAGATAACTGGAAGCAGAGGAAGACTCGACTAAACCTGGAACTCAGTATCTTTGTCAGACGTACATGCATAGATCATGTCCAATCACATCACCATCCACCCAAGAAGCAACAACCAGGGCCAACTTTCTCAAGCCAAAAGTCCCCGTTAACGGATATGTCAATGAAATATGCTCGGTGGCCGGAGACTCGCCCCTTCTTGATGGCAAGAAAGACCGACCCTCCACCAGGAAGAGATGCAGTTCTCCTGTCCAGGTTGCGCCCATCGCGCTCCTGATCTCACACCGTCCCAGTACTCTCTTGCAATGGTTTTGACGTCTTCATGATCATAGCCAGTCGCGATATCACACCAGACATTGTAATTGTGCACCCCGAGGATGATCACAAGGATCCGTCCGTTCTTGTCCTTGAAAATTAAAATACCAGAATGTCCACTGTCACCAAATGTTAATCGGATTTCTTCTTTGCTTACCTCCCGCCTGGCCATTTTATTGTATTCAACCTGGGGGAGACCATTCGGGCGTTTCTTGATGGAGAAAATATAGCGGTCCTCTCGTTGCATCCAGTGCACAACGTCAAATCTAGACGGGTCCATTCCCCTGACGTATATATCCGATGTCTCATTGAAAGAAATTTGGCGTTTTAGCTCCTCAATTCGCTCTGTTTTAACTCTGATGTAGTGATTTGACCGATTACCTTTGAGCCTTCGTAGGTATATCCCAAAGGGATATCGATCCTTCGAGTGTTCTTCCTTTTTGCGTTGGCAGTTGAGAACGGCTAGGAAAACATCGTCTCCTTCCAAATTATGGCACGGTATGAGAGGCAGCTTGATATTCAAGCCCTTGTTGGTCATGGAGAATGGAGACGTCAGTGTATCATCACCGTACCGGCGGACACTGCCGCAATGGGCAAATTCTCTAGGAGAGCGTGCTAGCAGACCCCGCTCTGGACCAGGCCCAGTCCACGCAAAGATTGAATGATCGTCTGATACCTTTATGATCTCAAGCTGTAAGCGCTGAAAAGCATTTTCGCCCTCCCCATACATTGTCGGCATATTGACACCAAACAGTCCCATCAAGCAGTACGCTTGGTCTTCCACCTCTGCTGTTTCCCTTTTCGAAGCCCAGGCCATTCTCTGAGCTACGCTGATTTCGCCTGCGTAGTTTGTCAAGAGGACTTGAGAACTGATACCGGTGACCTCCGATATCACCTCCTGTAAACTGGCTTTCGTTCCTATCTCGGTCCAATCTTCACTAAAGAAGATGACGTACAGAGGAGCGAGCAATTCTTGAAGGGTCCATCCTCTGGTAAACCATCGGCTCCTCCGAAAGGCAGAATTCGGGCTTCGAGGATCTTCATTGCCAGGAACGTCGGTCAGGTAACTGTAACAAACCTGTGACTGTCGATACCAGTGAAACATGGAATTGAGCGCCTCGGTGAGTTCGAATTTATCTGTCTTATCGATGCAACACGTGTCGATCCAGACATAATCAAAGCCAACGGACGCCGCCTGCTCACAACAACGTAGCACTTTCTTGTAGCCAGCCGTCTTCTTCAACTCCGGGGATGGGTTCTGTATCTCCTGAAAGGATACTTCTATCTCCCCCCATCTATGAGAGAGGATGGCATAATCGGGGGTAAAAGGGTGTTTCCTTGTTTGGAAACGCCTCCACCCGCAAGGTTTTTGTGTTCAAGAGCCGCATGGCTCAGATGTTAGAAGGCTCAACTTTTTGAGAACGGAGATGATGATTGAAAGACAGACGCAAGTCTTTCTAGCATAAGAATTGCTTGCTTATATTTCATGGTGCCAAAGTTCGGATGACTAACTCACCTTTCGGGCTGTTATTAATTGTTTCGACCGTTGGAAAATGCCTGGTCGTTTGACATAATTCAAAATGCCCATATCGGACTGATTGTAGGATCTGATAATGTGCTGGCTCTTGCTTGGCTCGCAACATTCGGGCAGAACAAAGCTGCCACGTCAACTGGGTACAGGTGCACATGGCGTGGGCGTAGACAGAGCCCTGGCTGCAGAATCACTCGAGAGACTGGTTTCATTCGCTGAGGCTTTTGTAACAATGAGGGGCTCGCTCACCGGACTGCGACGCCTTGCATGATAGCGGTTTGATGCCCAATTAGATAACCCCGGCTTTGCGGTGTCATCTAATTTCATCGTCATACCCGCCTTTGAAAATGAGAAAGGAGCCTGGTGCAGGAATTATCACGAGCCGCGTGGGTCTCTACGGTTCAAAGGTGGGTTAAGCTAGAAGGCGCTTCAGCATCGTCGTGACACTGCAATCTTTTGCTTGTTTTCTGTTCTGTTTGGACTGAAAGACTGATGTCTCTCTCCGTTGTGATCTGCCTTGGACACAACAGGTCTAGGAAGATGAAATGAGAGCCGCCAGATGCCTGATTCAGCCGCTCAAGCCCCAGGATCTTGAACACGTACCTGGGATGTGCATTTCCGTCAGTGACCCTACTCGCTTCCAGCAACTGAGATCCCACTGGGCCTCGATGTCCGTCCTCTCATAGGATGTAGCAACAAATCATATATCCTTAGACTGCAGCAGGCTTGGAGCTGCCCCTCCCTCCTCTTTTTTTTTTTTTTTTTTTTTTGCTGGCAATAAGGCAAACGATTCCAAACCTTCCACGGCATACGTGGTTCAAACATTCAGCCCTAGGATGCTCTGCACAGATAGGGCTCTCGAGCGGCAACAACGCTTGGCCAGCACTATATTTGGCTAGAGGGGCTCTTTCAGAGCATTTGATCGAACTGTCAAGCAATCTTGCATTATGGTGTCCGTCGACGAAAAGGCTGTCTTAATCCAATATTTCGAGACGAGCGCCGCCAGGATCGAGGTTCGCGCTAATTCATGTCGTTTTAATTGGTAGTGTATGATTCTTGTTAACGGATCGAATTCTAAACAGAGAGCCGGTTGGGGCGTTCCAAATCCGATGGGTAATGGAGAAATTTTGGATCACGATAAAGCTTCCCAGCGTATTCGATCAACTCCTGTGGTACGCTTTCCCCCTCCCCCCCCCCCTGATGTAGTATAAGATGGCAGGCTGAGATCTCCAAAGAGGGACAAACGTAAAAATTTCGATGAAAATCGGTTCAGGTTGTTGTAAGGAGCCCCCCCCCTTCCCGGACGCAGGAGACTATCGTTACACCTGTATCTTAAAGAGCCTCAGGCTAACTTCGACGAGGTTTTTCCAGCTTCAAGACCGGGAACAGCTTCGCAATTATGCAGCACTCATCAAAACTGCTGAGGCTTCAGGCTGGGTCAGCAGTGAATTCGTCCACTTCGTGGAAATGGGAACTGTGGGCTCGGCGGTCTTAACGAGAACCGGAAATGTTGGTTGGTTCTCATAGTCGATGATGGATTGCGAACAATAAGCTGAATATGAGCGCAATAGGGCTTATCCTGCAGACTCCAGCGGATGACGACCTACCCTTCATTATCCTCTCCATTACCCGCATTCCGGCAGAAACACACCAAAGAAGCGCTGACTGGGTCTGCCTTCTCTTTGCCGCACCTCATATCACGTTGAAAGCTTTGCTCTCCGATGAGTCTTTTCCATCAGATTATGCCCCTTTGGCTCCCGACTTTATGTTTCTTCCGGCTGGTATTCTCAAGTGGCAGGTGGAACAAACTAGAGATCGAGTTGCAGGCTTGCTGGAAGATGTAATAGAAAAGGAGAAAGTCATTTTTGGAATGACTAATACTTTTGACGTAGCGAGCATTAAAAATACCTTGTTTGAGCAAGGCAAGAAGCACCTGAAGCTGCGAAATCGATGGCTCTTCGAACAGGAATTGGCCGAGAACATGAGTCGATGCTTTGACGAGATTGCGAGGCGGCAGACCAGGAGCGGCAACAGCAGAAATAGCCCGCCGACGTATTCGAGAATTCTCCTGCAGAGAGTCCAGACACTGGTCAGCTTGTCAAGGATGTTGAAGCAAGATTTGGCCACTATCCCTTCAAAGATACAGGCCCAACATCAAATGGTAACTTCCTCAAAACACATCCGAGAGCTAGGGAGGAACACACTAAATCCCAGTAACCAGATTGACGCCCGACTGAACATAATGGTGTGTGAGAGCCTGTTTTCCACAAAGTATCCAAATCAAAGGAATAATTCGAATAATGACTCCCCTCGGGACAGATTGCTCAGAATTCTGCCATAGCCGCCGAGGAAGCGCGTCGTGATAGCTCGTCTATGAAGACGATTGCTGCCCTTACCTTGATTTTCCTTCCTGCTACCTTCGTTGCGGTAATCCGACCTCATCACTATCCAGACTCTAGTGCTGTTCCGCTCAAACTGACATGTTGGCAGTCGATTTTCAGCATGTCCATGTTCAACTGGCAAGCTGAAAGTGGGGGTCTTGTCACGTCCAGATGGATCTGGGTGTATTTTGTTATTGCAATTCCCTTGACTTTGATGGTCCTTGTTTTCTGGATTCTCTGGTACAAATGGACCCAGGCTAAGTATTCGAAGAGGCATGGAAAAGGATCCCAGATGGTTGTATTCCCAGATTCGGCGTAGATTGTTGTGGTAAGGAATGTTGTTGCATCACATTGGACTGCTCTGCGCTCGTGATGGGCCTTTGAAAGTATACGCGTTTATACTCTCAGCCTTTCCCACCTTGTAAATTTTATAGCCGTCTGGTAGGATCTTGGGATATGATTTTACCAGCTCGCGATCCATATTCTGCCATTTTGGCTCTAGGTCTCTCCAAGGGACAAGAAAAGGGCTCGTTCGAGCCGCATCGTTTCGCTCACCCCAACGCCACTGTTTTTGCAACCGCTCAGCGTTCCACCGCTCATGTTCGTGCTCGGCTAGACGTTCTACGTCCTTAGCGTCAAACTCTTGGACAGGTATTCGGTCTTCGGCCGCCGTCGCTAGGAAACAAGAGATCATCCGCAGCTTTCTAGGCAAGTCAATGGCATGAGCGCGGGCAGACTCCTTGAATTCTTCGTCAAGGGTTTCCCACGGACGCATCGATGGCTTTTCTTCCTGCTCCTGTAGTTCCGTCGGAGTCCATTTCATTGCCTTTATGGTTGCAATGTAAGTCCGATGAAGTTCCTGAGCGATCATCTCCCGCGTGGATTCGGGGAGCGTGTTGAATTGTGAGGATTTCTCAAATTCGGCGTAGTCTAAGTGGAGACTCAGTTGCGCTCTAGGTGGAAGAGCCGCCCGCTCAAAATGTCGGCTATTTGTGAGTTTGCTCGTGGCGATAATGGATTTTAAAGACCTGAGTCCATGTCTGAAAGTTGGGATCATGAGCAACCCATCCAGTACACTGTCATCAATTGATATGCCTTCTCCGTCCTTCAGATTCGGCTCTCTTTCTACAAGCAATGCCCGAAGAACCACGGCTCGCCGCACAGGATAGAGGGCGTCAGATTCATTGACGCGATCAAGTCCGAGCACATTGACGAAGCCATGCAAGCAGCTCAAGAACTCTTGGCCTCCTGGAAAATCGTCTTCTTCTTCTAGTGTTGCGGTGAAGTCTTCGAACGTGTTTACGGTGTTCGACCCTAAAATAAGGATGGCAGGGCCAATATGACGCATCTCGCCGCGATCGAGGACCTGGCCAGTATGCATGGGGGCCAAAAGGTGCGATAGCCAGCCTAGTCGAGCCCCGGAGAAGTCGGTGTCGAATCCATTAATATAGACCAGGGGCAACAGACCCGACAGGGAACAATCCCTCACGGTGTTAAAGGCGACAAAGAGATCGTCGAGGCCGGTCATCTGAGGAAGGTTGAACCGTAATTGCCGGATCTTTCTCCCGCTTGCTTCTGCGGCGGAAACAGTGACCTGCATAGCTGCGAATGACTTTCCTGCACCTCGAGATCCGAAGACTCCGATGTTGAGTGGTCTGGTTGGGGAGACTGATAAATACTCCTGGACAGAATTAAAAATCGTACGAAACGCTTCGATCTCCTGTCTGTCGAAGACAACCAGACGACCAAAACGTGCTAAGGGAATTCGAGTGGCGGCAGAGTAAGTTCCCTCTTTCACAATCTGACGTGCGACACCTGGAGGATCTCCGATGTTTTGATGTAGGATGGACCAATGGGTGTCACCGCGTGATATGCTCTCAGAGGGGACTGATAGCGTCGCAATTGTCTCAGCCGGCAGCCGACTATCCATGACCTCAGCAACAGGATACTTCGGCCAGTTCTCAAGTTTCGTGTCCCTGAACCCCAGCCTTGCCAGACGCCTGGCAATGGTCAGGCCGTGTTCGATCCCGTGTCTGATCCGGACGTCTAGCTCCGTCGTGCGACCGTGAGCGAGCTGTACGGCGAGGCCACCGACAAAAGCTTCAGCAACTCCAGGGAGATATCCTATATTTTCCCTGAAAAAGTCACCTTCCGCACTCAACGGATCGAAAAACAAGATCGGCTCCACCATTTTCCGACCACGGTGATAGATGACCCCATCGCACCCAAACAAGACAATGAGATGTGCGCAGGTTGCGAGGCTATCGAGTTTACCGTTGGAGCCCAGTTTTTCCACAAAATCTTCACAGGTCTTCTCCCAGGAGAGGCCATGACACAATTCAATTCCCTCGGCACGCAGATCGTCGGCGCTGACCACGGCAATAAATCTTTCGGGATCCTGTTTGTCTTTACTCCTATAGGGTCCGCGGCGAACAAGGTCCCAGATTTCGCCGGTTCCAAGAGGTCTCCCCATATGCCGCGCCATATGGTAAAGCAACACATCTGGATGCCTATTTCGGAAAAGAGCGCTTGCAGCATCCGGGTTGGCGAAATCGTTCTCCGCGTCCTGGAAGATCAAGATGGACATCTGATCATTTCTTGGAATTGGCGGTTCGGGGTTGGGGTTGTGCCATCGCGGGTCGGCATAGAGCTGCTGCCTGCGCTTTACCTTGAATCCATGGGGCCCTTTTCTTTCTTCTTCCAACGATTCTAGCTCCATGACCGCGCGAATGGAGTGCTCTAGATATTTATCTTGATGGACGAAGAAAGACGGCTTGTGAACCTGGAATTTGTGCTCTTTGGCAGCCGCTTGTAGAAGCTCTGCAATGAGGGCAGCACCGCCAAAACATCGGTGAGCACGTAACTTTTGTTCATCACGCTCGTCTGAATTAGAACCAGGTGACGGATAAACGAGTAAGTCTGCTGGAATATCACCAGCTACCACGATGTCTGCATTCGGTGTGTCGGGTGTTAGTGATCCTGACATGCTGAGCGTGCGTTAAAGAGACCGGCCTCGAACACGAGGGTGTGTTTGTGACGCGGTTCAATTAATTCAGCAAAAAGTGACAATGTAGAGCAAGAGAGTCCTGCATGCCAACAAAGAGGAAGAATGAAAGGAGATGAGAGACAGGGTTCCAGGCTTGTTATTGAGAGCACAACAAGCCGTGTGGCGGTGATCTTTTGTGGCTGTGTTCGTGCGATACTGAAACAGCCCTTGTAGCAGGCAAACACGTGTATTGTGAGCACAGCAAATAAACGTCATTTACAGTTTTGGACTAGCTCCGACATTCGAGAGGACAAAAGAGGTAAAGAAAGATTCACACCGGCAGTGCAAAAACCCAGCCTCAAGCACTTCCAGAATATCCTACCCCAGGGAACAAGCATTCTGGATCTGAGTTTCACCGACCATCATGACAGTTACCGACTGGTATCCCTGCAGCCTCTTGAACAGCAATCCGACACATCCCTACGCTATCATTATCCTAAATCAGCCTATCAACAAGAACGCGCTGAATGCCGTTATCGATTCAGCCTCCCTCTTGATCTGCGCCGACGCCGGTGCCGATAGACTGTACAAGTACGACCAAAGGGCCAAAAACGGCTACAGGCACCGCCTTCCGGACGCCATCATTGGGGACCTTGACTCCCTGACTCGACCTGTTGAAGAGCACTACCGTGCCCGCGGGGTTCAGGTGATCAAGGACCCTGACCAATACTCTACAGACTTCACCAAGTGCTTGAGGTGGATTCGAGCCTGGTCGACAAATTGTAACGGGTCAGAGGACATGACAATGGATGTCATCGCGCTTGGTGGTCTTGGGGGCCGGGTAGACCAGGGCTTCTCCCAAATTCATCATTTATTCATGGCGGAGAACGACGGAGAGCTTTTGAGAGGACGCATCTACCTCTTGTCAGAACAGAGCTTGTCATTCGTTCTAGCTAATTACGACAACGTTATCCATATAGAGCCCGGGTATTTTGAAGAAAACGTCGGCATCATTCCCGTGCTTGGACGTGCTGTTCTCTCCACCAAGGGCCTGGAATGGGACGTCAACCAATGGCCTACCGAATTCGGTGGGCAAGTGAGTACAAGCAACCATATTCGATCCAACAAGATTGAGATCAAGTTCCAAGGGCCGAGGCCGCTGTTCACCATGGAACTAGACAAACGCCTCACAGCTGCAGGCGAATAAGTTGTCCCTGAACGTTCGGAGGTGCCGACTGATGTGAACCTCGGGCGCGAATATCTCGAATTTCCGCACCATGATACGCACTTCCTCGGAAGCCACAATGGAATATGGTATGATCACCGCTGGCACCGGTCCTTAGACAAACGCCACTCATAACAGGAATCGCACTGTTGCCCATCTGTTCGCATGAACTTCAAGTTGGAAATGTGTTGGACTCTGCTGTCGGAAAAGCTTAGACAACTTTGTTGAGGACCGTCTGGGACGAAGGCAGCTTTCCTGCAAATCGCTTCGAGGTGCGGCGCCTCGTTCGCTCGCCGAGCATCTAGCCCAATCTGAATCATGAACTGGCCCGCGGGGGTGGGGGGCCAGAATTCTGTGAATTCAAGTCCTATACAGGCCGAAAAAGGGCCAATCAGCCTGGATTCTTTGCACAAACCGGGAGATTTCCTGTCTGAAGAGCGAGAAATGCTTCTGTTTTCATTCTTGCCCTTTTGACGATTTTGAAGGCGAAGTTTTGGTGCCGTACCAGTCCACATCACTAAGGTTTAGCCTTCTTGCTCGGGGCGCGTGGCGTCCCGACTTCTCAGCACGGCTGAGAGAAGGATTGTAATGATCGGGTCCTTACGGGAGGCCGTTAGTATTCGGGTTCCTTTTCAAAGGGGGTGGCATGATAAGGCCAGAAGGAAATCCATTGGGAGTACCATCATGTGAGTCATCTTCATGCAGATCATAATTTAAGACCAGGTTTTTGATCCGTTGTTGTTCTTCTCTCTCCGCCGCTTGCTGAGATTTCATAGAGATTGCAAAACTGGAGTCTGAAGGCAATTCGATCGTCCTAGTCTGTACGATTGTTAGTAATCTTCCTAAGACCGTCCTCACCCATGCGACCATCCCAAAAAATCCAAAAGGGAATACTTGCTTGTTGGCGATTTCCTTTCTTGGTCATCAAGGAAAAGGCCATGGTGTTGGGTTCGGATTCTACAGCCGTGCTGGGCTCATCTTCGTTTGACTCGACTGGTAATCGTTGGATTTTGCGGATTGGCAATGGCACATCAAATTGAGCCTTGCGCTCAAACTTGCGCGAGTCTAGACTTTCGGCCATCATTTTCTCAAATGCACGGTCGAAATCTGCCTCGGCTTCAGGATCGAGTTGCTCTTCTTGGCGCAGAACGACAATCTGCTCCTCTTCGTCAGAGTCGATCTCTTCTTTCTCTTCAGCTGTGTCTTCTTCCACTCCGGCCTAGCTCTAGTTAGCCATCAACACTGACTGTAAATGGAGACTGCTTACCTCGCCTTCCTCATCCGATGATTGCGGCATTTCAGCCTCAAGTTCGGCATCTCCTTCACCAAGCGCATCTTCAGAGCCCGAATCTTCGATATCCTCTGCTTGCTCAGCAGCTTTATCCGGGCCCTGCTGTTTGTAATTTGCCGTCACAGCTTCACCGAACAACTTCGCGGCTTCTCCGAGATCGGTGACAAGTTTCCAATTGGGTCTTACGAGGGAATAGGTATCTTGCACCAGGAAATCAATATCCATCGGAAGGGGGTCCTTCGTCAACATGTAATATTGAAAGAAGGTGAGGAAAAAGTCAAGCTTCTTTCGAGAACTGCCTCGGTCGAAACAGATTCCACACGTGTCGAGAATTGTGCAAACCAGTCGAATTCGGAAAAATTCATCGGGGGGATCAAATGGTGTAAAGCTCTCAGGTTGAGGAGTTCCCCCTTCATGACCGAACGTCACAATCCGGTACAAAGTGTCGAATACGACGGTCGAGTCGATCATCTTGTAGTTGTAGAGCTCTCCTAGATATTTGACTTCGGCCACTCTTCGTTGATTGAATTTGAAATCATTCTGTTCAAGGCCGAGCGTTACTTGTTCGAGGACATTGTCGATCACCCTGATGGCAAATTCTTGATGATATCGAAAGAGCGCCTGGAGCAGAACCGCGAGAAGATGTATGTTACTGAATTTGACTTTGCCAGGCTTGCTGAAGATTTTCTCTAGAATCTCGACGACCTCCTTTTCTTCCCAATGCAACTTTCGGATGGTCTTGAGCACTTTCATATAATTACGTTTAGTCATATCCATATACACAAGCTGTCGAACGAATAGCTCCATTGGAGTGCGTTCTTTCTGTTGAATGGCGGCTCGTTGTGGAGGGTCGACGTAATACAGCGCATTTTCGATTAGCATTCGCTCTTGAGATCCCATGTGTTGTGCAGTTTTTTTCCGATTCAAAGTCTCAAGGAAGGTTGACATTCGAGGAGATGTCTCTGGGTTTCGCAAGAGGTATCGTCCACAATTTTCCAGCAGATGGGCGATGATCTCAATGTTCATCCTGGAGAAATCATCCAGACTGACTTTGAAACAGTGGAAGATGACGTGCTCTGGGACAATGCCGAATTTGGTCAGCTCCGCAAGATATCGGATATTAGCCATCCGAATCTGGCCTAAAAAGTCTTTGGATTTTCGTCTCTGAAGGCTCCGGAATTCGTCGTCAAGATGCCCAATCAGACCCTGGATGACATCGGGCATGTATTGACCGAGAGTGGCAGCCAGTCTTGCGTACAAGGGCAGCAGGTCAGTTCGGCCTTTGGGAACTTCTTGGATGGCCTTGATCAGGCGGTTTCGAGAGGCCTTGGAGTTGAGAAAACAGAAATCCAATGCGACTTGATCAACCATATCTTTCGTCTGTAAGTCTGGTAGACGGAGGAGGATGGCGTCGACCTGGGCACCGACAGTCTTATTCGCAATGGTCGTTGATTGATCGTCGTTTTCGGAAGGCTTGCCTCCATTGCTTTCAGGCGCGGCACTAACAGATTCTGGTCGTTCATCTGATTCAGGCTTCTTTTTGGAATCCTCAAGGAGAATTCCTGGCACTCTGCCTTTGAGGTCCACCAAGTTCTCGTAGAAACGACGCTCCTCTTCATCTTCCCAAATCCCGGCGCCCTCGCCAGAGCCTTTGAGATAGTCTCCAGTCTTGATCATTCCCACAGTGCCTGTTGCCGTGGGTTCCGTGTGGCCTTTCTCCTCAAGATCTGGCATTTCTTGTCCCAGCACGTCACAGAGCACCTGCGCACTTGCAACTAATTTTTCTTGGGCCTTCATCTGCTTCTCAAAATTCGCTTGTCTGTCTTCGAAGATTTCACCGCTCTTGACGTAAGCTTCTGCATTTCGTCGACTTTGGTTGCTCAACGATCTCTGATCGCGTATCACATGACTCTTGACACTTGTCAAATAGCGCTCGAACACATTGACGAATCGCTGTCGGATAGGTTGTGGAATAATCGGTGCATCTTCGTCGTTGAGATTGCTAGAACTTGCTCCTTCCTTGGTGGCCTCGACAATCACGCCATCAGCGTCCACCGATTTTCGGGCTTCCTCGGAAGGTGGTTTGAGGCCTAGAATGTCCCAGGCAAAGTTCTTGACAAAGAGAACCGCAAGACTTAAATTTGCATGTTCAGGATCGTGGCCGAGCAATTCTTTAAGCACTTCGAGAGGGAATGGTTCGTGTTCGAGATGAGGCTCAGGTTTGATGCCATTTGCAATCGGTCGTGGCTTGGAATCAGCCTGAGAGGAAACGTCTTTTCCACGAACTGAGCCCTCATCTGGTCGGTCCACATCATCCAAACTCCTGAGGATACCACAAAGCCAGAACTCTGTGACAACCCGGAGGAGAACTCGGTGGCGCGAGAGACGTTCTTTTTCTTCGCGCTCACGCACTTCAGCGCTCCATAGTTTTACCTGGGCCTTGTCTGGAGGAGTCAAGCCCTTGCCTAGGAGCCATGCCAATTGCTTGGTGAATTCCTGAGGGCCAAAACGCTGGTGAAGGGCACTGACAACCTCAACTCCAGTGGCTATCTCACTTGCAGTCTTTAGTCGGCCCAGGCCTTCAGCGGTGGCCGAGATGATCTCTGAGAGGTATTTTTGCAGAGACAGGGTACGGATCTCCGAGAGAAAGTTATCTTGTGCCGTGGAGGACAGGCCGGTTCGGAGACGTTTGATAAAGGCGGTGTTTTTCTTTAGGGATGAGTCGAGAGAATTTGCTACTTCATAGACATCTATGCTGCCATTAGCGGTGATGGGATGCAAGGTACAAGTCGGTGGTACCCTTCGCGCCTGTCCAGACGCGCAGATTCAAGTCACGCAGCTCTCCTGCGCCAGATTGTTAGTTGAATGTCTCTAGATAGGCCGTATCGTCCTACTCTTGCGCCTGCGGTCCATGATGGTCCGCGGTGTTGGATATGGTTTGCTGACGCTCGCATGACGACAGGCAGGGGAGTGAAAGAGTTGCAGGAGTTCTGCCTTCTAGATCGAATGGCAGATATCACTGCGCGTACGTTGCATGCCACTGAGGTCACTGCTAAGGGGTCGGAGTCAATCTCTTTTCACCTTGAGTTGACCTGCCTTGGGTGAATCCCGCCCGCGATGATGGCGCCAAGCCCGCACCTGAAAGTACCGCAGCTGGACTGGCACAAGTGGCATTGGCACCACCCGACTTGAGCTGCAGGGGACTCACTTGCGGGCAGTTTATGTGGTCGGTGGTCTGCCGGACACAACCATGCTTGCAGAGTTCGCTTAAACTCCAGCCTTGCAAGGGACTCAGCCTTGCATCAAGAGAACAAACAAGACATATCAAGTCAATTTATACGTGCTGCTGTCGAAACGAAGTCGGACTCAGCCGCCATTGACTTGTCTCCATCCCTTAGAATTACAATTGTCTTCGACTCTATTTCATGATGCTGTCATACATATACTTTTGATGTCGCCTCATCAGGTTTTCTACAGATGACATTTTACAAGTCATCCTTGAATATTCGTGCTTTTTGTGCCGCAAGTTTGGTTTTTCGTAATTCTGCCATCGAGCGATCTGCTGAAAGCTTTCCATCTCGGTCTTCTTTCACCTTTGTTCTCTTTCGAGGGCCAGCCTGAGGCCCTTTTGTTGTTGCTGGATTCCTCTTACGCTTCTGGCCCGGCTCGATATCGCCTTGCTCTCGTTCTGGTTCAACAGTAGTGATGTCCGCGCTCTCCGTCCACAGATCGTCGGCAAGCCATATCGGTACAGCAAACGAAGATTGCCCTTTGATATGAATGCCTCTAACATTCCTCCAGCCTTTAGCGACATGCTTTTCGATCAGCTTCTCAACAACGACAGTAATATTTTCTTTTAGTTGCTCAGGTTTGAACGCAACGAGCCCGACGCGGACGGCGACCAGTGTACCTGGTTTGAGGCTGACTGGTACAGCATCGATGGCTTTCTCAATCTCTTTCCCAAGCACTGACGGCGAAACAGGTGGAGCGGAACCCTCTTCTTTCGTGGGTTTTTTCCGACTTTCCTTTTCAATTTTCTTCGAACTCGCGATCTTGATGGGAATTGGCCGTTTTGTCGTTCCCCGGTAAAAAACCTTCCCTAGAGTTGCAGGCAAGCGATTTATTATGCGATCATCGGCAAGAAATACGTCGTGCTCCGACAGTAACTGCCGCCTGGACTCAAAAGTCTTGTACCGCGTCTTAAGTTTTGTAAAGCCGATAATTCGGTCGATGCGGGACTTGAGGCGCTCTGGAAATTCAGGGTCGGCCACGATGTTTTTGACCACTCTTTGAGGGTCCGTGGTGATGAGGCATATTCGAAGGTCAGAGGACTTGTTGAGCGAGTGTGGGACTGATATCTTGCTTGGTTTTAATCGATTCTGGTCGACGATATGTTGTTTGGTGGTCAGAGTCAACCAAATGGGTTCTTCTCCATGTCCAATCGAGTCGTCATCGAAGTCAGAGGTATCAGTCGCAAGTATATTTTTCTTGGAAGAAGCCTGCTGTAAACGTTTGGCCTCGGCTTGCACGTGTTGTAGTAGGGCTCGGGAGGCTTTCAGAGTCTACAAGCGGTCAGTGGATGACACCCACCCTCCCAAAAAAATATCGACCAGGAGTCGCGCACCTGGTCTGGATCCAGTTGATATGGCGTTTCTTTAGCATGTTTGGTTGAGATTGTCGTCGTCGAGGCGCTTGCGGCAGCCATACTGAAAAATGTAGCGCTCATGTATGATTTATGAGCATGACTTCTGCAGTGTAAGACAGTTGAATTTCATCAGTATGTTTTCCGAGCAGGCGAAAGGAAAAAAAAAATGGTTTCCTGCGAAGGTGCTGATTGGCCTGATGCTTTTTCGGTTGACTTTCCTCTGTGAGTGGCCGGCATAACGCGGAGCATTAGGACCAGAAGCTCAAAATTCAAAAAGTTAGTCTGCCACTACCCCCCACTACAGCCAAACGCCATCGTAGCATTCGTATTGAGATTGAGTAAGTCTTCCATGAGTCTTTCTAAGTCATTGGTATGTTGCTCGCATTGAGAATGCTCTGTTCTCTATCTACTTGTTGTGTTCCTGACGTCTCCTTCATAGACGTGTGAATGTCTCGTCGTCTCGCGGAGCAACCATCAGGAATACCGTTGTCGATGGAAACCTATACCAGTGTTCAGTGGTGGAGTCTGTGTATGATAACTCCCTTGTTCGACACCCGTTCTTACTTGGTGGAGTTTGTCGCTTTAAAAAGTCGGCTATTTATCATCACTCTCATCATCCCGGTTTAGAAACGACGTACTGGCGAGGGTAAGATTTCTCCTTTGTGTGAGCGAATATAGCGATTCTAATAGCCGACTTTCAAAAACTTCTTCAAGCAATAGGGACACTTTCGCCTCCTTTCTAGAGCAACTCTGTAGTTGAACTCTTTGCCGCTCATTGAGGAAAGTATCGGGGTCTTCTGAGCTGGTACCCATTGTACTCTGTCAACAGACCCTTGCTCAGCAGGCGAGCCAAGGCGCCCGCCAAGATTTGTATCACGTGATTTACACCAGACCCATGCAGCGGTCGCCAAGGCTTGGCACCTCGCCGCATTTAACATCGACTTACAAGAATCTCTTTCCATCTCCTTCACCCTCCACTGGCGCTCCTCCCCTACCTCACAGGAACACAGATAGAGCCTCCACTATAGGCTCCGCCTTCCTCTGCCACCGACCACAGTCTGGGTTCGAAAACCCAAGGTACCATTTCTGCCTGGCAGTTTCGACCCCACATGTAACCCTAGGGCTTGACGTGTTTGTCGCCTAGTTACCACCGTGCCGATCTTCATTCCTAGTCCGCTTCGGCTCAAAGGTACAAAACTGTTTCAAATGGCCCCTTCAAAGAAGAGATCCAGAAAGGGATCCTCCAAGAGCCCTAAGAGCCCTAAGAAAACACGAAGGGGAATGGCCCAGGCGGCAGCACCATCTGACTTCAACGATGAGGATTACAATATACGCTCACCGGAGCGTACAGAGCTCTTGACCAAAATTAAGGAAGTACTTGACGGCGCTCCCGTCTCCTCTACCTTCTGGGCTTGCTGTCAACTCGCCGATATGAACCGCTTACGAGCCATCTCCGAATCGGATCAGGAACTCATTATTCTCTCCGAGCATTCAATGTATTTTGTACCTCTGCAATGTGAGTTTTCAGGGTTTCAGGTCAAATCAGGGCGGCATTTAATATAGGCATACTTACTGTCAATAGGGACTCAAAAATTACGAGATTCGAATTTCAGAGAACCAGAGGCAGCTTCAGAACGCCCAAAGGATCCGAAGAGGCGCAAACTGAATTCTGGTACAAAATCATCGGTGTCGCGGTCGGTGAAAGAGGTGAATAATGTTAGTCTAGATTGTTCAACTTCTCAGAATACCCCTGTCTAACAATATACATAGTGCAAAGAGCGTGATGATCACCGATGCGTTTTGACGAGAAGACCAGATCCCCAGGCTGCCCATATATTCCCCTATTGCATGCTTAATCCACGCCCGACAGCTGATCGAAACAAAACGTCCAACGGGATCCCCGACTTTTGGCAATCTTTACGACTCTTCTGGAACCGGGATCGAATCGATAAATGGAAACGGACAATCTTTCAAGATCCTCAAAATCCTTATACCGGTGTTGATAGATGCTTCAATCTCATCTCTCTCTCGGCCGACGCACATAATATGTGGAATAAGGGGATGTTTGCACTTAAGCCGCTGCAACTATCAAGTGATCGTAAGACCTTGACTGTTCAGCTCTTTTGGCAGGTTCCGACCAAGTACGAGATTGACAGCTGGATTGACTTACTTACGGAACCCAAATCATCAAAAGACTTGCATTTTGTCGAAGGATATTTTTTACCTCGTATTGACGATGGCTCAACTCATCATGATATTCGTTCTGGAGAAGTATTCACTTTCACAACAAAGGACCCGGAAAATTTACCGTTGCCAAGTGTGGAACTCTTAGAGATGCAATGGTTTCTCCAACGTCTCGTGGGAATGTCTGGTGCTGCTGGATGGCCAATCCTGGACTTGGATAACGATGAAAGTGATGATGATAATGGCTGGCTTGTTCCGGACATTACCTCCGATGACAATCCCTTGGAAAGAGTCCGTGAATGGGTTATTACCAGGGAGGCTGCAGGTATCACGCCGGAAACTGCAACACCCAATCCTTCTGTTATCCCGTGCTATTGAATGGACCCGAACGGGCAGGCTGAAGAGGGGTGGCTCATCAATCCTGGATCTCCGTTTATCGTTTATCATTGCTTCTACAATAAGGAAGCACCTTTGAAAGTGGTGTGATCGAAGGTATCTTCAGTCAAGGACTTGAGGATTTCGTTACTAGTCCTGAAGAGGGCCGTATCTGGTACTCAGTGTATTGGTATTGATGGAAAAACCGTCGCCAGGAGCGGTGGCGGATTTCCCTGCAACCTGCGTTGAGCTGTAAGATTAAGTTTATGATTTGTTGGCGGTAGTTGAAAATCAGATAAAAATGGGTCCACTCCGACGTCTCGATCTCCTACACGACTTCAGTTGAATCTTCCCTTTTATATCTCCCAGAAACGACCCCGAATTTCGGGGACAGGAGGTTTTCTTGATGAAGCAGAGTCCAATCAAAATCGTCTTGCTTTAAAATGTCCGCCCATTGCGCAACAATAGGGCCGCAGCCTCAATATTCCCAATCAGTGCGGCGACATCCAGCGCCGTAAACGAGGAACCGACATCTGCGTCTATATCGACTTTCTTCAGCAGTTCTTTGAGAACGGAGGTGTCATCCAGACTGATGGCGAATTCTGTGGCAGTAAATCCATCGATGGTCCTAGCCAAGAGAAGTCTCACATTCGTTGGGTGACCATTTCGCGAAGCCAAATGCGGCACAGTGTTTACTTCTGCATCCGGAGTCCATTTACTAGCGTAGGTACGATTTGATTATGCAGCATGGTCTATCGCATGGTGCAGTTTCATCTGAGGAGGTGACCTGTTATGGATCCACCAAGGTGCGAGGCCCTTTTGGCCCCCACGATGGGTGAACACAGGGCGGCGTTACCCTGTTGCCACAACCGAGTGAGTCGCGAGTAGTTTTTTCTTTATATGGCATCTCTCGTGTCTATACTCCGCCGAAAACGTTTTTCCTAACGCGGAGCATTAGGACCAGTAGCTCAAAATTCAAAAATTATTTTGCCATCTCCCCACTGCAGCCAAACGCCATCGTCCCCTTCGCATTGAGATTAAGCAAGTCTTCCATATGTCCTTCTACGTTGTTAGTATATTGCTCGCATTAAGAAGGGTCTCTATTAAGGCATAGGCTAGCGGCGTAAGGGGAGTATTCTCGTGACGACGGTAAGAGAGAGTGCACACCGTCTTTGCGAGTAGCTGTGAAGAGCCTAGGGGGATTAAACAGTCGTGTATGTCTCAAGAGCCTTTTTGTAGACGTGCAGACGTCAGAAAACAGTCTCTGATATGCGCGTAAAATCGTCGAGTGGTTGTTTTTATCGCTAGTATCCTTTATCTAGAAAGACTATAAACGATATTGTCAAACTTCTCTTTATTCAAAGAATGCTCTGATTCTGTTCGGTCAGAGGGTGGCATCGAACCTGTCTATATATCTATCTAACGAGTGTACGTCCACCATTGTTGCCTGTCAATGGTGATACAGTCTGGTGAGCGAATGTTTCAAAATAACCCCGTTAGTCGTAAATGATAGGCCCTCAATTGATCAACAGATATCCTCTCCCCTTGTAGGCAAGGACTATACGAAATCGTAGCGCTGAGACGGATACTTCAGCTGATTTAAGAGAATCAAAGGATGAGAAGGCAGAGGAGATTAATAATACCGACGCACAAGAAGGCTCCTGGGATTTGGGTGTTCAGGAAAACTCAGATATCTAAATGAGAATTGTCAATTAAAGAAGATCGTGCTTGAATTAGGTAACTTACAGGACTTCGTGTCACGGATAGCGACGAATAGTACGATTCATGACGTTCAGGCCAGCTGGCAGGCAGGTGTCGACCTTATCGTTGGCGACCGGCCGACTCATTCTACAACACTCCGTTCCCAATCTGCAACACTATTGGCCGACAACAACAATAGGTGTCAAACAATCACTGGTAGTACATTGATTGTTGTTAAAATGCTCTGATTTCTATCAAACTGGGATCTTGCCCCGCACATATGATTGGCACAGCCTTTCGGCGTCTTCACGACCAGCTCATAGGTGGGATCCTTGTCCAGCTGAGTATCCCAGTATCACGGCTGAACATGTTGTCATATACTGTTCGAGAGTATATCATGGGATCCGATCTAGATATCGAGGCCAGCGCCATACACTGTCCCCGACCCTACCTGGCCACATGGTCCATGGATTGGATCCGATGGCGGTGGTCTTTTATCGAATGTAATCTACGAACCATCTCCAGTGTGGTCATTAGAGCTTCTCTGGCTGGTCCACAGACTGGATCCGATGACATACTACGATGTCACAAGTAGGTCTTGTGGCAAGAGAGCAAACAGAAGGTATGCCGAGGGGCACGTGATGACCAGAAAGGGATAAGAATGTCATGATGAAATGGACTGGCATTATATCCTGGCATTACATTCATTACCCCTTTGGGTAACCTCGATGTCTATATAGTCGTGGCTACCCCGGGCCTCAGATACTCTACGTAGTCAACTTCGTTCATTATCACACCCCTACCAGTAGATACATTGACACGCTCTGTATCTTTACTCCCGTGCCTTAGTACATCAAGTCCCTGACCTCAACCCACGTGACGTCCACACCGGGTGTGACACACGTAACACACGACCCATCGGATCCAATTCGTGGATCATCTTGATATCGACATCCATCGAGTAGGGTGCCCCCGGGCCTCATGGTCCACGGATGGGATCCGATGACGGGGCGCCAAGGGGGGGGTAGCCACGTGCTCACGTGATAACGCTGAGCCATAGGCTTATATGATTGGCCAGTATGTCGCTCTTGGCGTCGCCACACAACGCCAAGCCTTAACCAGGCGATTCCAAAACTAAAAAATAAAAAAAAATACAGGTTTTATATTTTATTCCGCCAGAAACTGTTTCAAAATTGACGCCCAATCGTGGTTGACCTATCAAGGACGTAACCCAGTGGTAAAACACTCGAGTTGCAGTCGTACCGATAGAATTGAGGGGCCTTACTAGTGTTCGATCATAGGTAAGGTAAGAGGGTTGTCCGGCCTAGCTCTAGGTGCCCTAGATGGGTAAACGTAATGCTCCAGCCAGTGATTGTTGATGATGTCGTCTTGTTCATCCCGTTGGGAGGTCACCGATCCAAACTCTTCCGCAGTTGAACTTGTGTGGCTGATGCTTTCACTGGCTGCAGCGCCCCATTTATAAGTTCGTCAAAGATGGACTATAGGAGGGGGCCTTTTATTTTTTATTTGCGTGTATGTAGACCGCCTGCCTTATAAGACATGTACGATTCTTTAATCCCCTAGAGCTCTTTACACCATTCGCAAAGACGGTGTACACCCCGCCTTGCCGTCATTACGAGAGTACTTCTCTTACGGCGCTGGTCTATATCTTAACAGAGACCCTTCTCAATATACCAACGTAAAAAGACTTACGGAAAAACTTGCCTAATCTCAATGCGAATACTACAATGGTGTTTAGCTATAGCGAGGGAGGTGGCAAAATATAACTATCGTGTCTCCAACAATGAAACTCTTCTCCAATTTCTTCTTGCCCGCTACGCGACAAAACGTCCAATACCTCTTCGACCTTTATCTCTACCACAGGTGATCAAATCATCCCGTGGCGTTCCGCTCGGTAGAACTTTTTGCTAAGAGAAGATCTAACTGACGCACTACTGCATCGATCATAGTAGTCGAGATCTTGTTCCTAGGGTCTCGCCGACATCACACTCGCCTGCACATGCATGCTACTAGCTGAGTAGTAGTATGAGGAGAAAATAGTGGAATTCCCTCGGATCTGCACAGTGTAACTTAGGAGTGCAACTCAGCCAACGAAAGAGTGTTCTGACCCAGACATTTTCTTGAAACATTGTCTTTCCTTTCTCTGGTTCGTGTCCCAAAAGTTATGGGCACGGTCATATCCCGAAATTGACGTAGTTGAGCGGGTAATGCCTGTGCAGGACGCGCCAAAAATGCTGGCGCGAACTTGGGGTCTCGCGTGAGGGTTTCCCACACTCTCAAGTCCTCGAACGTTCGACCTCGATCGTGACCACCTAGCACCTGACCTTTCTGGGTATGTTCAAAGTTTTGTTCGTCGAGAGCTCGCTTTCAACATTTGATGAGTAGACTCGACCGCTTGGCCTTGCATCTCCTCCAAAGAGGACGCGCTTTGAGCTAGCCAAACACCCCATCCCGGCTATCACGCTCCAGGTCGCTGAGCCCAAAGCAACACCAGCATGGCTCCCTCGACCACTCTTTCAGAAACTGCAGAGTCCCCTACGCCAGGCTTAAAGAGACGTGCAACATCACTCCTGCCCGCCTTTGAGCCTCTTTTGTCCTCGCCATCTCTACCGAGACCACTGAAGCGGAATCGAGATGCATACGACGAGCAACCGACATATCCTACGCCAGTACCTACTTCCTCCACTGCTGTCCTGTCTTCTTCACCTTCACGCGTTACGCAGTCAAAGCTCAATCTTCCCAAGCCTTCTTCCACGCTCTCAGAACGGACTCCTCTTGGAACTGTCCCGTCTATCCAACTAAATGCGGATGGAAAGATAACGCGTATGGGGAGATCCAGTGCTTCCTGCGACTACCAGTTCGCGGCCAACCGTCTCATTTCCAGAGTTCACGTCGAAGCTTGCTACAAACCAGCCGGTTCGCGCCTTGAGCGTGATCGTGTCGAGATAATGTGTTCGGGTTGGAATGGCATCAAAATACATTGCAAGGGTCAGGTGTACGAGGTCAAGAAAGGGGAGACTTTCTCGTCCGACATGAGGGATGCCGAGATCATGGTTGACGTTCATGACAGCCGTGTTGTCGTGCAGTGGCCGCCGAAGCCTCATTTGGGTGCTATATCGTCCGATGACGATGAGGATGAGGAGGAATCTCCCACCAAGAGACAGCGTGCCATGCTACGCCATTCAACTCCTCCAAGCCCGAGTCCAATGCAAGCTCGACGACGACCTGCTTCTCCAGTTTCGCCGTCACCTGCCGTGCAAGCATTGATGCCGTCTTCACCGCCTCTTCCTCCCACCCGAGCACCTGGTGAAACCGTCGAGATATACGAGGATCCGGAGCCATCTCCCGAGCTCAACGGAATATCTGATGTCGCAGAAGTGTCCCAGACTACGCAGGCCCTCTCTCAAAATGTTCCCTATACCGGCGTTTCGCAGAATAATGTTTCCAGCACCAGTGAGGATTTTTCTGACAATGATGAGGAGAATGATCCCATCATCCACTCGTTTGGACCATTTGGTGCTAATCTTCTACCACGTATGGCTTCGTTTGCTGCTGGAGATTCTCCTCGCCCTAGTGTATCTATTAAGAGTTCTCGATCATCACACACTGAACCTCTTCATCCGCATCAGGCTCCCGCCATGCCCCAGAAGCCATCGCCAGAAATCGACGTGCGAAGTCACATTATCAACCAACTCGCGTTTTCAAGATTATCTTCCACCCCGTTGTCAACCATCCTAAGCCACCTCCCACGAGAGGCAGGTGTTCTGTCCATAAATGAGATTAGAAGCGTTATTAGTGAGACGGCCTGTATTGGCGAGGTTGCCAGGGAAGGTAAAGATGCGGCTGGAAAACCTCTCGAAAGCGAATATTATTATATTCCGGATCTGGATGAAGATGAAAAGAGGAAGGAGGCCGTGGTCAATGACTTGCGAAAACCCGGATTGCGAGCGTGCCGCAAGCAGCATAAGGTATTTCTCGAATTGCAGCCGCCACAAGCTCACAAGCACTGACTTCTCATAGCAATACTTCTGGCGAAAGCCGAAATGATCAATGTCGACGTTATCCCAGTCTCAATGGTGTGTATTCCAGAATTGGGGGGCTACAGTGAGCATTTTGAGAGTCCAGGATGTTGTCGAATTATTTTTCCTACTGTTGTCAACGTTTTTCATTGCTCTTTGTCCCCCATGGCTTTTTGTATGGGACAGGGTGTGTCCAGCGTTCAGCGTCATGCATAGCGAAAGGAACAAGCATTGTGCTCATTATCTGAGGCCACCGGCAAGGGAAAATGAATCCATGGGGTGTTGTCATTTCATATCGTTCATTGTTCAATTCACATTACGGTCCAAGCAAAGAAGAATGCAGTCCACGAAACATGTGATCAGTCACAGTCAGAGAATATACCTAGCTTGTGTCTTGTGCTTGATTTGAGAAATCAGAATACGTTCAAGTGCTTTCACCAATACTGGATTGTAGGAGCACGCCAATGTCGGACTATGTCAAAAAACTCCGAGGGGCTGCGGGAACAAACTCGCTCTTCGGACCCGTGCCGCCGAACAATCCCGAGGTTGAGAACCTTGCAGACACTCACGACAATCTCAAAACCAAAAGACTTTCGCAGGAACTCACGCAGAAGTCACCTCGACTGCTCTGCCCGGCTTCCATCTCCTCTCCCGTGCGGATTCGGGGGGCACAAGAAATCCGGCGTCATGTTGTCGATAGCTAAGCACTGTGCTCTGCGCGCCGTGCGTGCTCGGTCGGGTTCTCCGTCTCTTATTGCTCAATCTCGATCGTCATCTCTCACAAGACTATTGTCCACACTCGCCATTCTCGAGCAACGAGATGGCAAACTCAATACCGGTTCCCTAGGCGCCGTGACCGCTGGACAGAAACTCGGAGGCTCAGTCCATGGCTTTGTTGCGGGAAAAGCTGCCAGATCAATCGCAGAAGAGGCGGCGAAAATCAAAGGCCTGGAGAAAGTGCTTGTGGTAGAAAACGAATCCTACGAAAGAGGTCTCCCTGAGAACTGGGCACCTCTTTTGGTGGAGAACATCAAAAAGGGAGGTTATACACATGTGATTGCAGCACACTCCGCCTTTGGAAAGAGTTTACTACCTAGAGTGGCTGCATTGCTGGATGTTCAACAAATCTCTGATGTCATGGCAGTTGAAGGCGAAGACAGTAAGTCGCAATCAATCTCCTGAAGAGCAGGGTAGGCTTAGCATGCTACAGCGTTCGTACGACCGATATACGCAGGCAATGCAATCCTAACGGTTCAGAGCTCCGACCCCACGAAACTCTTAACAGTTCGACAAACCTCGTTCACACCAGCAGAGACAGAAGGTGGTTCGGCCTCCATCGAGGATGCTGTTGACCCCAAAGCAGAGTCACCAACTGAATGGGTTTCGGAAAACTTGGCCAAATCCGATCGACCAGAACTTGCCTCGGCTGAAAGAGTGGTTTCTGGCGGACGAGGATTGAAATCCAAAGAAGAGTTTGACCGGTTGATACCACCGTTGGCCGACGCTTTGGGCGCAGCCATTGGGGCTTCAAGAGCTGCGGTTGACAGTGGCTTCGCGGACAACAGTTTGCAAGTTGGCCAAACAGGAAAGAACGTCGCTCCACAACTCTACCTGTGCGCCGGCATTTCAGGGGCCATCCAACATCTTGCTGGTATGAAGGACAGTAAAGTGATTGCCTGCATCAACAAGGATCCAGATGCCCCGATTTTCCAGGTGGCCGATGTTGGCCTAGTGGGAGACTTGTTTGAGAAGGTTCCAGAATTAACGGAAAAGCTCAAGTCACAGTGATTGACACCCTCAGTTATATTGGGGAAACATGTACACCAGTTTATGAAGTTCCCTGGGCGAAATAAAAATGGGTGGTCATTAGATTTGGATGTGCCAGAAACCGACTCATGAAAATTGTCAACGTCAAACTGCATCATTGATGATCGGTATGAGCCAGTTTTCTAAGCAAGAGAGGTTTCACAGCAATGAGCTAAAGGCTCCAAACATGCAACCGCTAGAAGACACCATCAAACATTGCATCATGAATGTATATATCACCTTCCATCTTGATGCTAGGCGATACTTCATAAAAGGTTAAAATGAGGAGCATAACAAAACATAAGGTGTGAGAAATGCCTCAGAGCATACAGTTAGACCTGCGCAGCCATTACTAACTTGGTCAGACTACCGCCAGGCAGAAACTACATCAAGTCCAATAGAGGAGAACAGATGTCTTCATATCCCCCCCACTGAGAAAGCGGATCAGGTTGTCAGGCTACCATTGATCCCTTGCTTGCATCAAGTGGAAAAGGATGTGGGTTTCTGACTCACCACTCATTCCGAATACGCATGTTCAAGGCGTTTAATTTCCCCATTCATCACTCATAAGGAACGAGTATACGCCCTTCCTTGCGCCACAGCCATTTCGTTCCCCGTATACCAGCCGCGTCCATCTCCGCTTCCTGACCGGTTCGGCTTTACTGATCAAAGCTGGTCGATGTAAGGTCTAGATGTCATTGGCTCATTAGTAGTGAAGAACAAAATGAGACAATTCAAAAGAGATATACCAAGAAAATGAGTCAGACCCGTGGACTCTGGACGCTGGGGGGATGGGCCTCTTTTAGGTTTCGCTTATTTTGTGTGCTCAAAGGTATATGGCCAACCAGGCGGCCCCGTGGGAGTCACCCGTACAAACCCTCAAGTTCATAAAAGCCAGGCCAGAGCATTACCTGAGGCCTGAAGTCTTTCAAGCTCGAATATTCCTATTCAACATATGTTCAATCCCTTTTTCCCAGTTGACAGACTTGTCCGTCGATCATATCCACTACCAATTGCGTCTCCATACCAAAGACCGAGGTCGTCCAAGCCAACAACAGTATAGGATCGACCGAGCAGCTTGTCGTATAGAATTCCAACATCTTTCGCAAGTCCAAAGAGACCACAAAAGTTCTCAGGAAACATCGACCTCAGTCTGAGCAACCTGTTAGCCAATACAACCTGATTTCAGTTCGACTCCACCAAACCCCTACCTCACCTCAGGCCTTCCGCGCAAGGCGACCTTTATACCCAGCAAAAAAGGGATAAGAAGCTGACACCAGCATTACATAACATTCTTCCTCATCAATTACCCAATCACCAACCTGACCTCTAGCCTGACATGTCTCCGTCAACGAAGGAAAAGACCAATGCCGTTGCTGAGACTTCATCCATCCGGAGCACCTCGACCATGTCGAGTCTCAAGGCCCTCTTGCCCACCAAGAGGCCCAACAAGGAGGAAAAGCCACGGCTCAGGCCTGAAACCATCGAGCAGAAGGCTCTCCGGAGGGAAGCCTCCGCAGCGTACATGGCGATGAAGTAGGAAGGATGAAAATTGGTACACGACATATAACAGAAGCATGGAGGCAACTGCACAGTGATGGCAGGAGGCCACATGAACCTCCCATTTTATGACATTGACATGAAGGCGTCTTTGTTCTGCATTAGCATATGACGAGGAGTTTCGGGTGGGACTGCATGGCTTGGGTATATCATAGTGTTCAGGTAATATGAATGAAGATTTCTGTTTCCTTTTGTCTTCTCTCCCTCTGAGATGATTGGTCTGTCAATGTGTAATCGTGGGCCAGTCTCTGCGCAATCTTGTTTTGGATCGTGAAGTCCTTCCGGAAGAATTCCAGCTATCCTTTACTTTCGGAAGACACACTCCGGGATGAGATGGGAGCGAATTGAACTTAGTGTCTGACAGAATCAAAATCCTTTGAATTTTTGGCCCTGTCTTGAATGGTCAGTTTACGTCATTTGAAATAGTTCGTGGAGCGGTGTGAAGCCCGGGGGGTATATTAGGCACAACCGGCTCACGACAAGCCATTTCAAGAACGAGCCATCTCACATACCTATAAAGACGCGTTCGACCTCTCCTGGGCCAAGGTATTCGACCCACGAAAGGAGCGCGAAACTCGAAAACCCAAGGAGATGGATTTGGAGATCGAAAACCTGCAATCACTAGGGGATGGGAGCGTTGCTTTATAAGCGAGAACCTCCTTGAGGCCCTGACCGTCACCATGCTCCTCCATCACCGGCAACTTCGGTCAGGACATTGGCTTTCGCGGTACCCTTCGCTGACATTGGGCCAAGAGAAGATTGGTTGTTTGAATCTATCTGAGCGAGGCGCAAGCGAACAGGGGGGTATTATTCTGTACACCAACTTTTGTTATTCTGTACACCGGAAAACCTGCTTATTCTGTACACCATGCCTCAACTCTCCTTATTCTGTACACCACCACCTCTCTCTCGCCTTATTCTGTACACTTAACGCTCTCATCCTGTTATTCTGTACACCGCGCTAACAGAGCTTGTTGCCGTTGGCCCGGCGATGGCGAGAAAACACTAGTAAGTGGCGTAGCTGTGGAGGGGTGACGCGTTAAACTCTCCCCGTTATAGGTGGTTGCGAAGCAATAAACACATTTGATTCCCTTTTCCTTGGTAGATAAGTACCGTGCATTTTGAGCTTCTCTGTATACTTTGTAAATTATTGTGGCCTACACAGCCGGATTTGTGTAGAGATCCCCTGCACGGTCGATACCTCGTGCTGACTAAGGTAACAAACCAGCGCCCATAGGCTTGGGAGGACCGCTCATAAGCCGGAGGGGGAAACCGCCCATGAACCGGGGGGAAACCGCCCATAAGCCGGGGGGCAACTGCCCCGCTTATGGGCGGTTCCCACCCAAGCCTATGGGCGCTGGTTTGTTACCTTAGTCAGCACGAGGTATCGACCGTGCAGAGGATACCATCGTTAACCATCATTTCTGCATTCTATATAGGCAGACTTAGGTGTTGTGACATCACGTATCTTCGAACTGCGCAGATAACCGGAAAAATAAAAATCCGGACCAATCAAAAGCGGTGTACAGAATAACAAAATGTGGTGTACAGAATAACATTACCCAAGCGAACAAAGGGCCACGAAGGCCGAGGTGCACGTGACTAGGCTAAGCCCAACGGGGAATGCAAACAGGCCTCACATCGCTCATGGGGTGTAATGACGCTCAGCATACCAAAGCAAACGAGTGCTAGGAGAAAAAGAGAACGGGAAGATAAATCAGAATCACAATGGCAACCATGCCCTGCCGTGTGCATTGTGCGGGTTGTAATGAATGGTCCACAAAAGATGTTTAGGCAACCAATTTGGACTACTAGTCCGAGTGATTTGCATGAAGCCGAACACGATACCTGACTGCAGCGAGACTGATGACTACATTAAGCTGACCCGGACACTCATTGAGCAAAAATATATATTGCCAACGACCAAACAAGTTAAGGATTGTTTGTTTTTCTGTCCCGGTCATGGGCTGTGAAAGCGTCTCGGAGCTAAGTTTTCGTTGATGGATCGGCCGAGATGTGTCTGGAGCGAGCCGAGAACTGGAGAGGAGAGGCCAATATTGTGGGTACTGCTGTCTCAGGCCTTCGCATGTACGATCTCGGTGTTGATTTGTACTGAGGTGCCAACTGTTACCAGCCGACATCACAACTTCAACAATCGTGATCCCTCACGTCATAATTCAAAGACAATTAGCTATGATCATGATAAAACGACGAACCAGGACTTTCGACACGATCCATTCACCGGAGTCTCGCAGTACTTGGTGGTATCTAATCTAATCATGTACAACGGACTTTACAGTAACAACGGTTCTCGCGCTTTCCTAAAAGCCGACCCCCATCGACTCGGTTGCAGAAATGACCATTCCTCCGAAACGGACCTGGTATTTTGTTGATTATCTCGAATCCAGGGGATTTCAATTTGATAACTTTATATATCCTTCTGTCCCTTTCACTTTCGTCCCATCCTGTCTTCCGGTTCATTTCTTGGGATTGTATTTGGACAGTATTTTTTTCCACCCCCAACCGACAAGTGTATCCAGAGACGTGTCTGAATACATAAAGGACCTGCATTGTACAAATCACGCCAGCCTAACGCCCACCAAAGCATCCCGCCGTAACATTCTAGCCTCGATCAACAATGTCAACAGAACCAGAAAAGGACGTCACACCCCAAAATGAACCTCAGAGCGAAGTCAAAATCGATCCAGGTACAGAGAAGTATTCCCCTTCTACTACTGGAAGGTCTTCTCCAGAACAACCTGCGCCAAATGAATCGCCCAAAGCCCCGTACAACCCATGGATGGACCCAGCTTCGTTCCCAGATGGAGGTCTTCGAGCCTGGCTTACTGTCGCCGGTGCATCCGCCTGCTTTTTCGTTTCTTGGGGGTGCGTATACCTGTTTCACATCTTTCAACCCGTTCTTCCTGCTAACCACTCTTCCTAGCTGGATCAACTGTATCGGTGTCTTCCAAGACTACTACATGCGCGATCAACTCAGCGAGTATTCGCCCAGCACAGTCGCATGGATCCCATCCCTGGAGACTTTCTTCATGTTGGCAACAGGACCGCTGGCCGGGTATATCTTCGACAATTACGGACACATGCATCTCTTGTTCATTGGAACCTTTTTGCACGTCTTCGGCTTGATGATGGCCTCCATTTCCAAAGAATACTACCAATTTCTGCTCAGCCAGGGGGTGTGTTCCGCCATCGGCGCCTGTTTCCTCTTCACCCCTGCCATGACCTGTATATCAACCTGGTTCTTCAAGAAGCGTGGTATGGCCATCGGCTTGGCTGCGTCAGGCAGTTCTCTGGGTGGTGTGCTCTTCCCCATCATCGTCAGCCGCATGATCGAAGAAACGGGTTTCCCCTGGGCCATGCGGACTTGTGCCTTTCTGATCCTGGGTCTCTGCATCTTCGCCATTCTGACCCTCCGCTCTCGTCTTCCCCCAACGCGCCGCCAATTCAAAGTCATGGCCTTCATCCGCCCGCTTGGTGAAGTTCCTATGCTTCTGACCACGCTGGCGGTGTTTTTCTTCTACTGGGGCATGTTTCCAGTCTTCTCCTTCATCACGGCCGTCGCCAATGGACGTGGCATGTCTCTGGACTTGGCGCAGTATCTCGTCTCGATCCTCAATGCGGGTTCCGTCTTCGGTCGAACCCTCCCTGGTATCCTGGGCGACAAAGTCGGTCGATACAATGTTATGAGTGTATTCTGCACCCTCACCACCATCTTGATCCTCGCCGTCTGGATCCCAGCCACAAGTAACGCCGGCCAACTCGTCTTTGCACCCTTGTTTGGATTCACATCTGGTGCAGCTATTGGCTTGACCCCAGCTCTCATTGCGCAGATCTCACCCATCAAAGAAATTGGTATTCGGACAGGAACCGTGTTCGGTGCTGGTTCAATTGGTGCCTTGACAGGAAGTCCGATTGGAGGAGCTCTCATCACTCGCGATCATGGTGACTTTTTGTACCTACAGCTTTTCGGAGGATGTACCTGCATTGTTGGGTGTATTTTCTTCTTCGTTGCCCGACTTCATCTCGGTGGTCTCGACCTGAAAAAGAAGATCTGATGGGCTTTTTGGGTGTTCCTCTACTTCATGCTGTATAATAGGGTTAATAGACTCCGCTACGACCAATAGAGATAGACAATCGAAGAGGTAGACCTGGATTGGCTCATGTCCATTCTGCTTCCCGATCATGTAATTTAATTGGCTTCGGGAGCTACCGGGAAAGCCAACGCATATTATACAGCCACAAGGAGGACCTAATCGAACATAGTTTGCTATCACAAGGACTTCCTCTTCTTCCTCCTCCCGTCAATGACGATGCTCATTCTCTTACCCTCGGTGCTCTTCTTCGAGAGGAGCAACGATACGACCCAGTTCAACCATGTCACCCTCCCCAAACACAGCGATCATCGCATCACGTTAGCCCCGGGCAGTCTCCAGAGCCAGGTGCCATCTTCCTCACTTCGTTAATGAGGTTCCGCCTCTCACGTTTCCAATCGTCACCCGCGGACTAGGCGGCTTCTATCCTCGCATTGTGGGCTTGGGCCTAGAATTTTTAATACGCACGACCGCCGGCCTGCAGCTCCAAGCCCCAGATTGACCATTCCAATTCTCTAACATCGCGGGCGTTTCCCCTGTCCAAAAGTCCTAGTGATTCAATGCCCCTTTGCCACAGGGCCTCCTCCTCATCCCACAGCCTTGACCATCTCACCCTCATTGCGCAGTCATTTGGATAGTCATCCACCAACCTTTTGTATGCGTCTTCACCGAGAAACAGGCCACGCGTTATATCATCGATTGGTTTTGTCGAAGTCGTTTGATGGACGGTATGTCATGAGGCCGGCGAATTTGGTGCGGCTGAGGTTCATATTGACACGTTTGACTTCGAGTGGGAGACTGGACTTTGCCATGTCTTTGATGGCTTCGATGTTGTTGCATTTGACAATGTTGGGTTCAATTTCTCATGCGAAGCGACCATGATGTGGGACAGCAGCGCACATTTGGAAAGGTAGGTATTCAGGCTCGATATTTGGCAACTTGCTCTCGCTTTGCATCCCCGATTTTCTCCCATTCCTGGGCAACAGGGAATTTGGAAATATTGATCTTGGTTAAATAGGTAGGTGGAGCGGATGTGGTGGATTTGGTGGGTGTAGCATCCTCCTCTTTGAGATCGAGTTGTAACCAGTTCTGCGACGGACCTCAGATCATTTCACCTTCTCGCGCAGCGAGTACTTGTGTCTAACACCTTTCGGAGCCATGGTGCGGATTGGTAGAGAAGAATATGTGCCGAATGCAAGAGGTTGTTGATGGCGACTCTGTGGTGTGATGTTAACCACCCAAAGCAGGAGATCGAAATCCTCTTTTGATCCAAGGGCTTGCGCGTAAGCATGAGTTTACCAACCCAAGCTCACTGGAGCTATCTGGGCAAGCGACAAAAATTTCTGCCATTTCAATATATAAACCACAACGGTGCTTCACACCCGACAGGAGGCCATGTAATCCGATGGATACCTCACCTCCCTCCATTCGCACAGGTCATCTCTGCTTCCTCACTCCATTTGCTGGTCATCTGTCATCTACTCGACATGAATTTCAAGCACTGTGGACAAATCTTGATCCAGTGGCCAGGGAAAGCTCTCAACCTATTCCTAGACCTTGACATGACGCCAAAATCGCGAATCCCCCCGACTATTACGACAGCTCCGCCCTTGAACTCCAGTGAGATGGAGTTATTGGCAAGGTCTTCAACGGGGTCCCACAGTGCCTGACGAATCCCAGTGTATGAGTCCATGCTTTGATGTCTACAGACTGAACTGTCTTCCTCGTGATCCTGCTTCCAGTCGAGAACATTGTTTTGTGCGACCTTACCGAGAACCCAGTCCAATACACAGCCTCCGGCGACCAGGCGCAGAGACCGGTAATCGAATTTCTGCAACGAATCGCGGAGGTTCAGTGTGAAATCCCAGGAGTGTCAGGACCGGTGAACGACAGCGAAGAAATTATTGCTCCTCGCGTCTCCTCTTCACCGGTCACAGGGGTCATGAAGATGAAAATAACGGACGTCGAATCGCCCGCAGCGGAACAACCACACTGGTATGGGATTGAAACCAATGATGACTCATGTCTCTTCTGCATTTCCCAAGGCTGAGGACCCATCAGGACCAAGAACCAGAGTACATCATTCTAAGGTGGTTGATTGGGTTCTGCAAGGGTGCATGGCGCAGGCTGGTGGTCATGCTTGGAAATGAGAATGATATGGCAAGTTGGCTCCAGAACGGACGGCGAGGCCATCTTTTTTTTTCCTCACATCCCTGTCACAAGCATTCGAACAAGGTTTTCCTGACAATCTCTGGATTTTAACAACCACTCCTTTTACTTGGAACAAATGGTTATGCGACAACGGCATTCCAGCCACCTCTGATAGGGCCAACTATCATGCGCAAATGAACAAGATTACCTTCCTTCCTCATCCTCATAGAAGGCAGTCAATTGATGATATCGTTTCAATACGAAAGCCTTTCCCCGTGGTGCCCCTTGCCAGTGTTTGGGCTCGAGTGGCTCCTGCGGCGCAAAATGTCTCTTCCCCGGTCGACTGGTGACAGTTGAGATTTCCTGGGCTTGAACTGGAAGCCCCCCTCCCCCCAAAAAGATTAAACGAACTTACGCCTGACTTAGCGTGCGTTAGTGGAGGGGCTGTGAGCGAGAGCTGGCTACTATTACAGCTCTCAGTAGCTCATCCACCCCTCGGTTGATCACCCAGCGGCGTTCCTATGCACTCTTCATGATCCATTTTGCCTCATATTGGGCTCCCACTCAAAATTCACAAGGATATTAGGTCAGACATACGCAAAGACAGATGGCAACATGCCTAAGTACTCATGTGATAATACCTTGCATTCAGAGCGACCCTTTCCGGTCAATAAGGAGACGACAACCTGGATGAATTGGGCTTCAAAGCGATTAACCCCGCTGGTTCTCCTTCCTATCCATAGGAAAGTTACTTCTCCAGACTCCAAATGTCCTCATCTCAAAGGTGAGCGAAATGTTGCTGCGAAATGATTGGTGCCATGAAAGCAGAAATTCCACTGCATTCGACGACATGTTAAGGCTCATCATTGGTGCGGGCCGGACGTTGGATTCCCAAGTCCGGTGTTCTCTTTGATAGCTGTTGAGTCTGATATTTCCTCGCCTTTGCCTTAATCCAAGGGAGGTAACCCCCGATGAGAAAGCCCCGCCAAATTGACAAGTCAGCTTCATCTTCCGCTGCCTCACTTCTTTCTTGACAGTTCCCTGATATGCAACCATTCAAGAAAGGACAGAAGGTCATAGCAGTCTGCTTTGGGCGCCAGTTTTGGCTAGCTATATAAGCTGGCTTCCGCTTTCTGTGCCTCCAACTTCTGCGGCCTTTCTAAGTTCTTCCAAGTTCTCAGGTCCGGAAGTCTTGAATGCTTTCGATGATGTCAACTTCGACGTCCACAAACGACCCAGCACGGTATGCTCTACTCCCGCTCATCTCTTGACTGATGATCTATTGACATAAAGCATCTAGGACAGCGCCACCTAACAAGCAACCCAACGGTAAGGATCCATTCAGACATTGGACCGGTCCGGACAAAGCCAGAAAATGCTTACAGTGTTATAAAAGGCACAGGAAGGTATGTATACGATATTTGAACTTGCCTAGAACTGGAAATGACTCTTCTCTTAGTGCGTTGGAGCTGCCGGCTCCAGATGCGAGGAATGTACCAGACGCTCAAAGCATTGCAGTCGTGAAACTATGCCAGGGGCACCTGGCGTTGACTCTCCCTCCGTTGATGGCCTTCAATCCCAACTTCGAGATGACGAACATCAGTACGATTATCAAAAAGCCAAACATTGAGCACAACTGACTTCTATAGCGACCCAATCCTTGACCTTCAACCAGAAATTGATCCACTTAGCAGCCAATTTCTGGACTTCGATTGGGTGCCAAACGAATATCCATCATATGAGGGAGGCTCCTCTCCTTTCCCCACAACTGATATGCAGAATGCCATCTACCCGACCTTCCAACCAGATGTTTATGATGAGGAAAATGACAATATGCAAGTAGGATCAGACACTAGCAATCATAGCCCCGGTGAACAAGGACACACAGGACAAGGATACACAGAACAAAGTCTCGATGGGCGAATCATAACTGGGAGAATGAAGAGCTGGGTATATCACAGTGGCTGAGTCAAAAGTTGTCCTAGGTAATGAGTATGGTTCGACTTTACAAAAGCGACAAAATCAACCCAACCGAATGCCTTCAACAGGCTTTCAGGTTCGAGCAGGATGACATTGTGTCACAGGTGGAATTATGTTAGCAAGCCTTTCGCGTGCGGCGAGTTCAATGTCTTTGCTTTAGCGTAGTAATCTTTCCTTTTCATGACATCTTTGGAACTAGTAGTTTAGGAATGACAAGCCTTCCTTCCAGCTACGCTCGCATCCTCATTTCGTAAGTCAGCTGCCTAGATACTCAATTTCCAAGGGATGGCCATAGACTAGTCGCATCCATCGTAGAACTAATTATCCGCATTGGGAAACTTAGGAATATTGCCATCCCACGTGCTAAAGTCTGCAAAGAAAGCCGTCTTGATATTCCGGGCGGCTACGAGCATTCATATTGATGAGGGAAATACATGATTTACAGGATATCACTCCAAATTGTTCTCGCGGTACGGGTAGATATTCTCAATGGCGACTGTGCCGCCGAAACCTGCTTCCACCTAGGTTTCAGGCGACTAGGTCGTCAGAACAGAATGGAGATAAATGAGATGGAACCAGCTACTGATGTTTGTTGTGAACGGACGTCTCAACTGAGTAATATTCCATCCTTGCGATCTATACATCATTTAGTCTGATTTCGGTTCTTCTGCCCGATACTTACCAGTTCTAGCGGCAGGTTGTTGCATTTTCCGTTCGCACCAATCATAAGATCCGCCGTCCAAATTATCAGAGGCAAACGTCAGAAGCAGAGTCCGGTGGCAAAGATTGCCAGGATCTCGAAAGCTGCAGGTTCATTCTTGATCCGATTTCTTTTGGCGTCTCAGTACGGAATTTAACTTGTCGTGTCACCTGGTACAGGGATGGCAGTTTTGTAAATGCGCGGAGGAGGCCCCGTATCCTGCACTTCGAGTGCTTAAGCCGTGGAGGAGATAGATTGAGTAGCTAACCTTGCCGATGTAGAGACTGATGGGGCTGACGAAGAAAAGTTTGTTGAATTTCCGGAACGAATTGTAGGGCGTGGTGCTAGCGACGGTCCGCGAACCCCCGACATTAAGACAAATTGACGGCCTTCGCCTGTCACATCATTGCCCAGCTCTTCCGCCTGTATGTCACCATGATTCCACCATGAGGCATTCTAACAGTCCCGGTGGATCGGACTGCACCGATCCCTCGAAATGTCGTGATTTGATCGATGCGGTCTTTATGGTAACTAGTCCCATCAGATGGTGGGAGCCCGGTGTTGCTTCAATATAATCCTTTGGCTGCTACAGGAAGTAAAGGGAGGAGACCCAAACGGCGGCGAAACAGCCTGCCATTGAGGTCCGAGGTGAAAATTTTCCAGATATGATCCACGACTGCGGCTGCTGTGGGGGAACAATTCAAGATGGGCATGGAGTCGGAGGCTTTAGAGCTGTTTCTGTTTGCGTACGGTTCGAGAAAAATATTCAGCCAAGCAACTGTCATTCCAATGGCAAAGAAGATGTAGCCTCCAGCCATCAGAATCCAGTAGGATGCCGCCAGTATGATGTGAATGGCGAAACGATAGTTGGAACCTGTAGACGACTTGTAGCCGTGAAGACCAGGAAGTGATACACGAATGTCCAGAACTCGATGGAAACTGACCAAAGGTGTTCGTCATATCTCGTCAGAGCGCAAGATCGAAGTGGCCCTTCGCATGATCAATATTCACCGTACTAAGCATGATATACCAAAGCCCCCGAGAATTGCGCACCAAAAGCTGGCAGACTTCCTGGAATGAGTTCCCCATATCGGAGGCGATACATGTGATGTTTGTCGCTTAGAGTTTTGATTTCGAAGCAGCTTCAGAAGAGCCCAGGAGCAGCATCAGAAAAATGATGAAAATTGTCGCAAACGCGGGCGACTAGAGACGAATCCCGCGCCGTAGGATGGACGAGGCAATCGAGGTGAAATTTGAACCGGGATTTGTGGAGTCTTCATAGACATTTGAGTGAAAGGACGTAAACCACTGATGGTAAGAAAGGCTCGACCTTGCACTCTGCCGGATCAGAAAATGTTGAGGATGAGAAGATGTCAGAATGATGGACCCTCTTTCGGCCATGGATGGACACAGCAAGCAAAAGACGTGTCTTCGGATCAGTGGAAAATGGCAACCCCCGACAGAAGAGGCCACGGAATCCATCGAGAACAGATGTTTGGGTGATTTTGCATCAGCGGTGGCATTGGTTGCCTGCCACGAAACTTGGAAGAAGACATGGATAAGATTCCCTGTCTCTCAAGACGGAGATGAGCCAAAGAAGATGATTCCGTAAGAATTGCTTTACGAGCCACCATGGATTGCGGCACAGGATTCAGAGCGGATGTTCCAAATTTCAGTGTCGCCAGCTTCAGTAGTTTCGGTCAACAGTCGTAATATCGACATTTCGACCTTGCGAGTCACAGTTGACTTTTCTAGAATCGAAGAGAAGAACATGAAGATTGGAAGGTATATCCTTCACGTGGGAGCCGGGACTACTACCGCGTGATAGTAAGCACCTTTCCCAACCTTGCAACTTTCCAAGATGTCGGAACTTGTCTCACCATATTTTGTAAGCTTCTGTCACTCACCATCCAGCTCGCGATCCCTTGTTCCAACAATTCTCGACAGCCCTGGCCAGGAGAATGTCAGTCTTGAGCCATTTCATCCACGTGGAGAGGAAGGGGTCGGTATAGATATGTTCCTGTTCCCCTTTTGGGCATGGCAAGGCGGAGCCATTATCTTGCGACGCTACCAACTCTATCCAATGAGCGAGTCACAATTTATACGGAGCCTCTGACTGATAACCCCTGAGGGCCTTGAAGGTGGATATATTCCGGATTCAAAATCACTTTTCCCCGACTGTTCTGAAGAAGCCTTCAAGCATTCCACGATTGGAACAAAGCTGGCACCTAATCCCTCGCGTCGCCACTGTCGATGGGCTATTCTAACACAACATCAGTCGACATCTGCGTTCCTGAATCTGTTGGCCGTACAAGTCCCAGAGTTGTTCAGAGTGCATTGTCGGCGCGAGTACAGGGATAGGCGAATACATCGTGTATGCGTACGCGAAAGCTCGGGCATCGAGGATCGTCATCTTTTCACGAACAACAACTGATGTCACGCGCGTGGCAGACGAGCTCAAGACCACCAATCCCGCCATGCAGGTCGATGTCGTCGCATGCGAATGTCTCGCAGGCCGCCTCTGTACGGGCGCTTGCGAACTTCGTGCGCGGCGTGTGCCGGTGGTTGGACGTTCTAGTTCTTAATGCTGGCTACGCGGGTCCCGTCATGCTGAAGATGGATCAGGGCAATCCCGAGTGGTGCAGAGGCCGTTCGAGGTCAATATCATTGGCACATATCTTGCTCCTCACTATTTCGTGCATCTACTTCTGGAATCAACAGACGGAGCGAAGGGGTTCATCATCATTGGATCGGTGGTTGGATGCTTGAGAAGAGGGCCAATCGCTAGATTGGTGGAATATTCCAGCAGAGGGGATGGCTTGGTGCGTATTGCTGTGCATCCGGGGGCGATGATGACGAGAATGGCAGAGAGAAGTCCTCCGGAGGAATTTCTGCCTTGTAAGTTTGTCAACGTGATGTATGGCCTTTGGGGTTCTGCGACCTACTTTTGCTTTTGGGCTGATTTTATTCCCTGGCAGATTTGGCTGACCAGGTTGATCTTTTGTGGAGCGGTCTATGCAGGACGTCAAATGGTTGAACAGGAGGCTGATTTGCGCGATGGAGGAGTTGATGGCGAAGAGAGCGCAGATCGTGGAGCGGGATTTGCTTGAAATTCACCCTGGTTACAGGCCGAAGTTGAGCGATTGAAATGCCGTCCCCCCGGGAGGGGAGCGGAAGAGAGATCAGACCACTGTTCAATGCGGCTGGAAAAGCGTGTGAGTAGTGGGCAAATGTGACTGGTCAGCGATCGGGCTGGCAATGGTATAGAATACGAGGAGTACGTCAGTTTTTTGGTGACGAGGTCGACGCGAGGTGTCTAGGGGAGGGGAAGGAGAAGAGTGGTCAGCTGCAATATGCAAGGTACCGGACAAAAGATGTCAGTGTCAGCGTCAACCACCACAATACGGTGTTATCCTGCATCTTCAAGAGCCAGAAATAGAGTCAGAGACAGCTTCTATCCAACACGGCCGGAAACCAACTCTGGTTATCAAGACTCCGACCACTACTGCTTACCACCTATAGGCACCTAGTAGCTCGTGCCACGTGCTCTTCTTATCTCTGCGCTCGGCGGAGGGCGGGGTGCAAGGTTAGGCTCTAGCTAGCCGTGAGGTTTTGAAAAGACCCACCAGAGAGAAAATGTTGCACGTGTTTCACCATAGCAAGCCACTCAGTTGGAAAAACACAAAAAATGATGGCAAGAGTTTGTAGGGGGGGAGGATCTAGATTCCGGATCGATGGACGTCAGAAGTGCTGAAAGGAGCAAGGACGTCGACCCAAAGAAGGTCGACGTGGCAGCAAAGGTGTGAAAAAACACTACTAATAGCATAAATCTTTTGATTTGTTCGGTTTGAGGCGAAAAATCCTCCGCCCACCGAAACTTGGTGGGCGGGACCCTGGCCAGCTGTTGGCCATGTCTCATCCATTTGCGGTGAAACAGACACAAACACAGAAAGAAGAGACAAGATACCAAAGACAAAAAACACTTGCACATATGCGTGACATTATTAGAAGAAGAGGTCAATATTGATCACAGAGGGGCCACCCCAGAGCATCAAAATAGCAGCCCTCCTGCCGAGGCTTCAGCCTTCAATTGCCGATGTTTCGTCCTGTTTTCTTCTACTCGGTTCGCCACCATGACTTCCACTTTTCCTGTAGCAACAAAGTCCTCAGATTCCCACATGGCCAACATACAGTAATCACAACGGAGTACGATTTATTAGCATGGGGCTATTTGTTCAGGTGAACCCAGTTGTGTTGCAAGCCGGGCCCAGCCGGGCCAACCTAACCCCTCTAAGTCTGGCCCTATTAGTCTATAACTATTACCAAATCCCTCAACTACTGTCCTCACGGAAAATCGTCGATCTTCGCACATGTGGTGCAGATAATATTTCATGGCTACTTGCATATCCGCCTTCATTTTCCGCAGCTCTTCCTCACCACGAGTACTTTGTACGTATTGAACTGACCGGGAATCAAAATCCAATTGCGCATTATCCAGGGGGGACATTGAAAGCCACTTCCGCTGCCTTGTGTCCTGCACCGACCTCCTCCCCCACCCAGGAAAAGCTTTCCCTTCTGCACCGGAGAAAGCCTAAACTTGTAATTCATCCTTCATCGACCACTAAGTTTCCAGCCTTCGGACTTTTTTATTCTTTCTAGATTCGCCCGCCCTCTCTCTCTCTCTTTTTGTCTTTCACTCACGGGCTCCGCGTCACTCACTACCATATCCGACGCAAACCACCATCGCTTGGTCCGTTGTTTGGACAACGCGTCGTCCATCATCATGATCGGCTTCCGCAAAGCACTCGTTTTCAGTACCTTAATCCTGGGAGCTTTCAGCTCCTCCAGACACAGTCAAGATGACAAGTCGTTGGTCAATTGGGAATCATTCCAGGCTCTACTCGACGCCGTCGACCCAGCTGCTCTGCATTCCGTCCTGCATCAGCTATCTCCCAAGTTCAAAGACGGTGTCTTCAGCAAAGACCGTGCAGCCATTGAGCACGTCCACTCCGAAAATCCCATTATCGCCACGAAGTTGGTGCATTTGGCAAAGAAAAGACAGGAGAGTAACTCCACCACCACCGCCACTTCGACAGCATCAACACCGGCTCAGAGCAGTGTCGACGAACAGTCCAGCTCCAGAGCGGCCAGTGTATCATCCATACTCTCCTCTGCCATCCTCGCCTCAACTGTTCCCGCCGCCACCACTGTGACTGTTGCTCCTTCGACCCCTCCGTCTGCCACTCCGATCGAGACTTCTGATGGCGCTGTCGTCTACAGCACATTTGGAGGTGGTCTGGTCACCTTGACATCTTCTGCCGTGGGTGTTCATTTTACGCCCAGCACATCCACACACTTGTACTACACCACGGCGGACGATGGTTCCGTCATGACCTCGACTTCGGTGGTGGTTGTAAATGCCCCTGTGACCGATAATCCTGATGCCACTGGAGCCGCCGGAGCCGCGGCGACCACGGAAAGCAACCCTGGTCTTCAAAACAGTGCTTCGTCAGTCAAGATCACGGGGTTCGTCATGACCCTCGTCGGACTTGGGGCATGGCTCTTTGCCCTATAACACTCGATGGAACAACTCCTGGAAGATCCAACTCGTCCAAGTAGACCAATTTGTTGGAATCTCTCTATGAATTTCGTTCCCCCCCGCGCTCTCAGCACACATCACGATGAAACGACTCCAAGCATTTCTCTCTTTTATGACAAAATCCTGTATCGGGCATAGCTTTTGGCGTTTTTGGTTTGAGGATTATCTGTTTCGAAAAGGGGGGTGCGAACATTATGTGTTCATGAATAAGTTCCTGGAATGGGAAAGAATGCAACAATAGAAGACAGGATGGAAGATGATGCACAGCACAGCCGATCAAAAGGTTCCAAGAAACAGAGACTATAATGTCTAGGTGATACGGACATAATCTGATCATTTTCGATCAAATCGAATCGTTGAATACTTTGGTCTCGACATGAAACTTGTCTCGTAACACTCCTTGCCGTTTTTCACCATATATTTTGTGGTGCCCAGATTTTGGTGGATTATTGCTGGATGTCGCGTCAGATGACATATTTTCTGCCCACGTCTTTTGGGAATTAATGAAACGCATAAAGTTGAAGATCAGCTGGCTTCTGCTATCATGGTGGCAAATGGATGCTCAACATACCCAGACGGACCGAGCGTCAGCACGGAAAATAAAGAGGAACAGAAGGCGAAACATGATCGACTGGCGGCTGCGTGGATCAAGTTGAGTTTATATTCTCTTTAATTTTGACCCCTTGTGGATATTGTGGTCCAGGGGGGGGAAAGGGAGAACCTTGCTTGGGTTGAATCAACCCATCTCTTTTGTCAATACTTAATCTTACATTGTACCTAGTCGCAACATCTAAAAATGCAGAATGGAAAGGATTGTGTGGTTTCCTACCCCAATGGCCTAGCGTGACCTTTGACGCAAAATCTTGAAGTGCGAAACGAGAAAGCTCCCTAGGCCTTTTGAAACAAGCTTCCGTTGAGTGTGGCAGTGCAAGATTTTGGAGATTTGCTTTGATGGGGTTATTTATTTGGATGGGTACGCGATGATCTTGTGAGAGACACGAGAGATGAGCATTTGCCCTCTTCCCTTCTTGGCCGCCGTGTTATCTGCATGGCATCATCGCTAGTGACCTGGTCGGTCGTATCAGTATCAAATTCACCTCCGCTATCAGGTTGGGAAGTGGAATTAGCTGAAATATGCTACGGTTGGTTGTGTGTCATTCGGTGTTGAACCAAAGCGTCTTTTCCCCAAACGTCCCCCGTTCGCAATTCGAAACTTGTGCCAATTGAGGCCCACAGAGAGAGAGGAGTGGAGAATCAAAGCATGCCATCTTGAAGTCGCTTGAGGATAGTAGTTGGCCCGTGGCAAGCCTGAGGGTGATTTGCAGCGGATGTGGCTGGCCTCAGCAGGGGAGAATCAACAGGGGGAATTGATCTTGGCAGGATTGAGTGGACATTCCCCCCTGCGCCCATGGCCTGCCCTGATGCCCATCCTCCCCAGCGCCAATGCCATGGTGAACTTTTTTGAGAAAGATGCTGGTATATTTCTCCTGCCTCAATCCTGCTCTGCATATTCCTCTCTCCTGCCCTTCGACTTTTTCTCTTCCCTCGTTCAACCTGAAAATAAGAGCAGTCACCCTTTTTCTTTTGGGTGTCGCTCCTCTCTCGCTTTTTCTAATATCTTTCTCGTTGAGAAATTCCTCACTCACTTGGATCTCAATCGCCCGTTTAATATTTCTTCTCCACCAAACTCGTGCCGTTGCTAAACCCCCCTCCCCTTTTTGCTTGAATTGAGCTCAAAACGACAAGAGAACCGCTGGTGTCTCCCAAGGTTCGACGATTCACCATTTTCTCACCATGCGTACTTCAACTCTCGCTACCCTCGCCTTGGGTGCTGGAGCTGCTTCAGCCGCTACCCTCAAGAGACAATCCAGCCTGACCCCAGTCACTGTCAAGGGAAATGGTACGTTCAGCTTTGTGACACTGTTCAGCCACGGCCTACTGACCTTCTGCCCAGCTTTCTTCGCTGGTAATGATCGATTTTACATCCGTGGCGTCGACTATCAACCCGGTGGTTCCTCAGATGTGGCCGATCCCATTGCCGACGAGAATGGTTGCCAGAGAGATATCTCTGAGTTTACGAAGTTGGGGATCAACACTATCCGTGTCTACACCGTGGATAACACCGCGGACCATGACGCATGCATGAATGCTTTGGCAGATGCTGGCATCTACCTCGTCTTGGACGTCAACACCCCCTTGTATTCCTTGAACAGAGGCGATCCTGCCCCGTCCTACAACGACGTATACCTCCAGAGCGTCTTTGCCACCATTGACGCTTTCCAAGGCTATAGCAACACCTTGGCTTTCTTCTCCGGCAACGAAGTCATCAATAACCCCGAGACTTCTGCTGCTGCTCCTTATGTCAAGGCGGTCACTCGTGACATTCGCCAATACATTCGCAACCGAGGCTACAGAGAAATCCCCGTTGGTTATTCCGCTGCCGATGTGAGCGAGAACCGCTTGGAAATGGCTGAATACATGAACTGTGGTACCGATGACGAACGCTCCGATTTCTTTGCCTTCAACGACTACTCTTGGTGCGACCCATCCTCGTTCACCCAATCTGGTTGGGACCAAAAGGTCCAGAACTTTACTGGCTATGGCCTTCCACTGTTCCTTTCCGAGTACGGTTGCAACACCAACACTCGTGACTTTGGTGAAGTTGAAGCTCTCTACAGCACTGAAATGACTGGAGTCTACTCGGGGGGTTTGGTCTATGAATATTCTCAGGAACCCAGCAACTACGGCCTTGTTGAGATCAACGGTGATTCGGTCACTGAATTGCCCGATTTTGATGCTCTCATGTCACAATTTGCCAATACTCCCAACCCAGAAGGTGACGGTGGTTATAACTCAACTGGCGGTGCTTCTGGATGCCCTGCTTACTCCGAACCCAACTGGCTCGTCAAAGATGATTCTCTTCCAGCTATTCCTGATGGTGCCAAGAAGTACATGACCGATGGTGCTGGTGAAGGACCAGGTCTCAGCGGCCCTGGATCTCAAAATGCCGGTGGTGCTTCTACCGGGACCGCCAGCGCGGGCAGCGGAGCTCCTTCTCAAACTGGTGGATCTGGCAGTTCCAGCTCTAGCACATCCAATGCTGCTGTTTCCACGGTACCGGAATGGTCTCTCGCTCCTTTGGTCTGTGGTGCAGTCATTGTCATGTCCACGTTCTTGGGTGCTGCCTTGTTGTAAAAGGTCGGTCCGATGAGGAATTGGGGGATGGAGTTGTACACGGGGAATGAAGTTGGTGCAAGTACATTCGAAACCAGTTTTGAGAGCTTTCCCAGAAGGCCACTGCAGATATTTCTTGACTTTGCGGGAACATTGGGGGCTAGGGCTTGGACTTGGCGTGTATCAAGCAAACACCTTGAATGTGAAATTGGCCTTAATGCAATAGACTTGCAGTTTTTGAGGCAATCAAAACAATGAATTATTTAATTGAACTCAGCTGTCCTTTTGGACTCGTACTTTCGGCTGGCTCTTTTCTTCTGATATTGATTTCAGGTCCGCCTTTGCCTTTTTGATATTCCACGGTCCCTCAAACCACACACCATCCTTAGCAATTAGTTTCCCATCCGTCGTGAATTCAACCCCTTCCTCCTTCAACAGTTGCAACTTTATGCCCTGATTGATCCCAGACGGTGCCTTCTCCCAATCCCCCTTGAATCCACCTACATACCCATCACTCGCAATGACTCGATGACACGGCACCTCCGGGGCGAACGGGTTATTGCGTAATGCCCCGCCCACGGCTCGCGGTGAAGATGAAAGCACCTTAGCCAGCTGGCCGTAGGTGGTTACTTGGCCGGCTGGAATAGCAAGGAGATGCGTATACACCTTCTGTGGCGGTGTTAGTAGGTGGTATTGATAGCTGACGATGAGACGAGACGTGAGCGAGGTCATACCTCTTGAAATTCAGTTACTGGCATTCTGGCTGTTTCGATTGAATGATGGAAACTTCGATTTGATAGAATAAAGGAATTGCCTAGTGATTGATGAGAGAATCAGAAGTCGTGTTCACAATGATGCTGATGCTCTTGGAATTTTTGATGCTTGATCCCACCGCAGATATATTCCAATATCGCCGCGGCGATAACGTCAACAGTCGGGGAAAAAGAAGAACTCGCGGGAGTCACGACACGCGCTGGCTGGCCGCCGAAATACTTTATGATGGTAACAAGATAACTGCTACGGATGCTGATTGGTCATATCCAGAGCAACACGCTCGACGCGTGTGTCATGCGAAATCACGTGTAAAAATTTCTCAGCCTCGTCGGTCTGTGTGATGAGGATGGGGAGAGGGCTCAGGACCTGGCCTTCAATTGAATATCGGACAGGAAGGAAAGAAGAATCGATTCTATTCGATTCATATTCTCGGTTCTCTTCTGGACACTTGCGTCATGAACGGGTGACTGGAAGGGAGATAGCTAAATAGCCTGGTACGAATGAGTTGTATGGTGAGAAACGGAGGAAAAATGATAATTTGAATCAAATAGGAAGCAGTTAGCATCCAAAAAGAGAAGCTCTGACGTTGTTAGTAGAGCTAGCGGACAAGTCGTGAACAGAACTCAGGTTGGTCGACCACATACTCATTCCCCCAAAAGCACATCAAAGAGGATCCTTCCCTTTCTCGGCATGGTTCAATTGCTGTGTATCCCGTTTTCGTCGAATGGCACTCTGGACAACTTGACTCATTTCCATCAGTGGATGCTTCCTTTTCCTCTTCGACGTCTTCACGCCCGTGATCTTCAACCAATTCAACACCATCTCCTGGTCCCACATTTCCATTCGGTATGACTATGATCCCACTTCCACTCGGCTCCGCCAGGATAGGGTCCTGGCTGGCCAAAATTACTCAGTTTCGCGGCTTCAATTCGTCTTCGCGTTCATCATCGTCCAATTTTCTTAGCGGCGCGACGAAATATTTCAGCTCGTGGCTATGGAATGTCACTTGGATGGCCTCGTTGTCATTCATCCACGTCACGGTATTCATCACACGATGATGTGCTTCGAATGTACAGTACATTCTTCCCCGCTGACGTGTCATGCCTTGTAGTCGTTCCACACCACCACGGGCGCATCATCCGAGCCGATCGGATACAGGACTTTGGCGATCGGTTCTTCCCCCAGCTGGGTGGGATATTTCTCCATTTTCTCCTTGTACTCCTCCGCGAGACGGTACAGATACCATACACACCCTAATGCAGCGTGGAGTCGATACACTCTCTGTCGGATGTGAGATCCGACGCAAGGTGACGAACGAGCTCTCGACGTGTAATTTTTCCATCTCCCACTTTGTCAGTGACAGCGAGCATTTGACCATTTAATGTGGCGACGTGGTAGGTCAGGCGACCTGAGCCTTTGATTTCAGGAAGAGGAGTTGGCTTATCGTATATCGAGCAATTTGATCTATCCATTGGTTAGCAAGTCAGCGGAGCATGATGACAGAGATTGAGATTAATTGTTTCTTCACGAGATAAATTTGAACCACCATGATTGATGATCTGTCGATAGTTGAGAATCACAGCCGTGAGACTGGATGGATCGACCTCAATTGGGAGACATTCCGGATCCTCCACTTCTCCGACAACACCTGGACCTGTACTCTTGGGTATGAGGGCCGTGGAGTCATCTTCATGCAAATTATGGTCATTGTCACCCATGCCAAGTGCAAAGACCGCCTCAATATAAGATATGATAAGTCGACCAAGTGCGGAGGGTATGAGAAAATGAACACAATCGAGGGAAGAACCGCCTTGGTGGTATTAGGCGCCTCATATATTTAGGTTATATACAGACGATGGCGATCTTGGCAATAGGTAATAATGGCTTTATGGGTGCGAAGAAGGTCGGTATAGATAGACATGATTCAGCCCACCAAAAGAAGGCGCTGTAGTCCAACGAAGAGAGGCACTTACCGAGTCAGCCTGATAAAACATGGTACAGGTTGAGAGGAAGCTGCCTTTTGCAGAGGTATGCTGGGGCAGCATGAACAAGGCCCGCTGGCATACTATTCCGCCTTTTTAGTCGAAGCGAGACCACGTGAATGAGGGACTCACCGCACGCCTTCAACTCGGAGATCGCCCGCGGACGTAAGCCGTACATCTGATGTGGATAGTTCTGATCGCATATAGAGTGATGCCTTCGACCCGCAAATCAGTCTCCGCAATTGCTACACGCCATGGCCGGGAGGAGTTGCTAAAAGATGCGACGAGGTGTTAATGCTGCGCCTGGCTATGAAGGTGAGGAAAGTAAAAGAGTCAGGATCGTCGGAGCGGGATTCTTTCCAGGAACTTTTGTCATCATACTTTCAAGCTGTGAAGGGTTCGGGCATGAGTGATTCGCATGTAGCAAAATGGTTAGAAGCAGATAATCGACATGCGAAAAACGAGGGAGTATCATATCAACCCGTCCCAAATTTTTCAGTTGGACCACATCAGGACGAGCTTCAGGGGGGATACCTCGGACCGGTTGCTTTCGACACTCTGATATCTTGCTCGTCAAGCAGTTCATGGCGGACAACTAGCAGAAAAGTCACAGCCTCGTCAGGCTCGACGAAACTCCGAATGAACAGTATGGGCAGTGCAAAAAGCAGTCTTGGGTCAAGAACGGTCGCCAAGATGGTCGTACCCACGCCAGGGCGGAAATATTGCCATCAAAGAGTTTTGGTGATTTTGACGGAATCTTTCCAACCTTCTGCAAGTCTTGGAGCATTCAATGGATGGAACTGGAATTGAAATGTTATGGAAAGGTGGTCTGTCCAGTAGGGACCTGCTGTTGTCAAAAGCTTCAATGATCTGCCGAACACGGTGCCAAGACTGCGACTGCGGGCTTAATGCGTCCATGAAAATCAACTGCTAGCTCCTCGAACAGCATCCTTCAGTCCCCCAGCAGATGTACTTCTTCTCTCCGTTATAAATCACGTCGCTCGAGATGGCTGCCCTAGAGAGCGTCAAGCAGGCCGTGGGCCTGGGCGATAGCAATGGTACGATCACTCTCTATTCATTCCTACTCAATAGTTGCATTCATCCTGGAAACTGACGCAAACTCCTTTCATAAATCAGCTCCTGCTTCTAGAGAAGCTATGTCCGAAGCTAGGCTCCCTCTTCAATATCGTGATAGCTGTGCGAACCTTCTAATTCCTCTCAACAAATGCCGACATGAAACTGCCTGGATGCCCTGGAAGTGCGAGGTGCGTAATGAACGTCAAATGGAGTGAGGTCTAGAACGAGATTCGCTTTACTGACTCATTCCTCGGTGGATTTGCAGACGGAACGGCACAGCTACGAGAAGTGTCAGTACGAGGAGTTTAAGAAGAGAGTCGCCAAAATGGACGAGATTCGGGCGACTAAGGCGGCGGCTGCTGCAAGCAGTGCAATATAGTGATGGATGGAAGCGATCTAAAGAGGAGATTTTGTTGTACATATGGAGGATGGTTTCCTCGCGTTGCATCCAGAGGCGTCTACGAAAGGTGGAACGAGATGAGAATCCACATCTACTGTGTGCGTGAGGGTAGGAAATGGGGTTCCTCTCCGGGATGATGGCCCAACCTCGGCCGAAGCAGAGAAGAGTAGAAACGAAGAAAAATATGGCCAATGTGCATATTATCGAAATCTGGCAAGGCAGCCCTTTGCGGGAATGTTTTGATGTCTCAGTCTAAGTCACGTAAATCTCCCATATCATCTGTGATTTAACGGAGGACCGGTCCTACGAAGGGGCCCAGGGGACCGTCAGACTATATAAGTTCTTGCAGCGCGTACGAAGCGTACAGCGCGTTCGACATGTCTTTACAAGCATTGGCGTCGCCACTTATCACACATCCACATGTACTCTCCCCTCCACCCTTGTTTAGGTATTCAACACCCGCTGCGTTTGTTTGCTTTGGAATCACTTGCATCAGCACCCCCACGTTCACCAAATGACGCCTACCGGATTGGCGTAAACGATCTGATACCGTCCCGCAGAAGAATATGCACGGATATCAGCGAGCACCCTTTTGACTCAACAATGTCCATCTGCATCAGGGCCAGCGTTCAGACCAGGTCAGAAGCAACAGCTGCGAAATTTCTGAGGGAGAATCTCTTCTTTTCAAGTCTTCAGTCTCGCTCAAACACCTCCATTCGGATATGCACGGAGGTACTCCTTCAAATCCCCGCGCTCGACGTGCATCAATGATGACTAATTCATAAAGAAAGCCGCGGACGATTACGGCCTCTTTTCATTTCCTCCTGTAGAGTCCATCCCACAGTCAGATCAAAGTCTCCGGACGTCGCCCAGGCTGTCGAAAATCTTCCTCCTCATCCCTGCTCAAGACGCCAGCTGCATCCCTTCCGAAGGCGGAAAAATTGAAACAAAAACGTTACGAACGGATCAAATTTTCCCTACGGCAAACAACTTACTGTCTTCCAGCCAACCAGGAGCAGCCCGGTATGGCTTTATCTCATTCCTAGAAGGGGATTGAAATTCGACTCGTCTCAACTTTTCACTTGCCATCCAGTCGATATTTCCCCGATGGGGTGATTTCCCTTAGCCCAACTTTTTTTTCTTTTTCGGGTCTTCAATCTTTCTCCGCAACCAAATTATTTTTCATCATGGGTCTTTTGTATGTCCTGGACCAAGTCCAATTGATCTCAGATACCCTGACAAAATACACAGAGCGTTGGGAACAGCCCTGGATTGGCCAGATGCGAAGAAAGCGGCAAATCAAGTAAGGGAGTGGGGTATTGAGGTAGGAAGAAAACGACACTCTGGTATTCGTTGCGTGCTCAGGATACTTATGCGAACCTAGCAATTACTCGCAATATGGCGCAAGGCCAGGGGTAAAGAACGTGATGCTCTTCTTTGGGGAGATGAGGTACAATTTCGTCTTACCCCTCTCGATCGATTGTATTACTAAACATTTCCCAGATTGAATACCTTGTCGTCGTAATAGACGATGAACATGAAAAAGCCCGTCTATCATTATGTCAGGCGGAAGTTCTGGAAGCTTTGGCACGAGATCAGGAGTTAGCAAAGAAAGGCGCCGTGGTTCATGGTGTACAAGATGTCTCGGTGTAGGTGATGTGCTCCTTTCCTGGAATGAATCACTCGCTGACAACCTCCGTTCTAGGAAGCCTGATGCTCTTCCTACCTTTCACCCTGAATTCGGTCGTTTCATGCTCGAGGCCACCCCGGGTAAACCATGGGGCATTGGCTTTAAGGATTTACTGGACGTCGAATCCGACATGAAGAATCGTCGTGTCATCGCCAAAAACCATATGGATCCAGATCAATATCCCATCACCCTGACCACTTTCCCTCGTCTGGGGACCCGGGGCGACTATATAACGCCATACTACCCTCCATCGGGCCCTGCATTGCGGTCGCAGTTCGTCCCGGACGAAATTGCGAACCCACACATCCGATTCCCGACTCTCGCTGCCAATATCCGGTCTCGCAGGGGTCGAAAAGTCGAACTCAATGTTCCCATTTTCAAAGACAAGAATACCCCTACTCCTTTCCATGACCCGACTGTCAATTACGATCTTCATAAGTGGCCCGAGGATGATGACGTCCGTAACGGGGCCGTCAAGCCTGATTGTGTCTATATGGACGCTATGGCGTTTGGCATGGGCAGCTGTTGTCTACAAATCACATTCCAAGCGAAAAACATTCGCGAAGGCAGGACACTATACGATCAACTATCACCTCTGGGCCCGATCATGCTCGCCCTCACCGCTGCAACACCCATCTACAAAGGATTCCTCGTCGATACGGATGTGCGGTGGAACCAAATCTCTCGAGCCGTTGACGATCGTACGGCCGAAGAACTCGGCGAGGTTCCTCTGAAGAACGACCGCTGGCGCATCCCCAAGTCCCGCTATGCAAGCAACAGCACCTACATCGCACAAGACCCACGTCTGCGACCAGAATACATGGATCCCCACTTGATCGTGGATGAAGCACTGAAGCAAAAGCTCCTGGACGGAGGCATGGATGAACTTCTCGCAACACACTTTGCCCACCTGTTCATTCGTGACCCGATCGTAATTTTCTCCGAGGACCTCAAGAGCCTCGATCCCGAAGGTTCAAACCACTTCGAAAACATCCAAAGCACGAACTGGCAGCACATGCGGTTCAAGCCGCCGCCACCGGACGCGGATATCGGATGGCGCGTCGAGTTCCGCAGCATGGAAATTCAGATCACCGACTTCGAGAACGCCGCATTTAGCATTTTCATCGTGCTCGTAACCCGAGCGATTTTGAGCTTCGATCTGAACTTTTACATCCCCATCCCACGCACGACGGAGAACATGGAGACCGCACACATCAGAGACGGCGTGATGAAGGAGAAATTCTGGTTCAGAAAGGACCCATTCCCCCGTCGCAGTCCCAAACAATCACCGCTCCTCAACGGGATCAGTGAGCCGTCATCTACGATGACCTTGACGCCACCAAATCAGAGCGGCTGTCCCACGACACCCGGCCCGAAAGACGCCTTCGGCCCAGTCGAAGACGAATACACACTCATGACCATCAATGAGATCATTAATGGCTCCTCGTCATCTTCATCATCATGTGGCGAAGGATTCCCCGGCCTGATCCCCTTAGTAGAGTCTTACCTCGATAGCGTCAACATAGACGTCACCACCCGCTGTAAACTCGCCGTGTACTTGGACCTGATCCGCAACCGAGCCAATGGCACATTGTGGACGGGCGCAAAATGGTTACGCGAGTTCGTGAGGTCGCATCCAGATTATAAAGGGGATAGCGCAGTCGGGGAGAAAATCCAGTATGATTTGTTCAAGGCCGTAGAAGAGGTCAGGATCCATGAGGGTGTAAACAAGGGTGTAGGGTGGGAGATGCTGACCGCGGAGGAGAGGAAGAAGGGGGCTGGACGATTGATGGACTTGAAGACCAACATATAAAACCCCTGTCGATGTGATAGGTTGTGGTGAGGTTTGAGGTCCTAACTCGCTTCAAACAAAGCCTTTGGAAGTCGCACGGTTTTTACATTTGACCTTGTCGGTTTGGCATGGAATACTGAGACATCCGATTGGAGGGGCGAGGAAGACACTGGCTGGAATGAACGAGTTCCTTTGAGACCGCATCAGTCTCGCCGAGGCATACATCTCTCACTTTTCATGTAATAAATCACAATCTTCGACTTGCATATATATCCCACGGCGAGCTTCTAAGTCTATATCGAGCGTCACCCCGCAGAAACACAATCTTGTTTCCCACTATCAGACCATCTCAGGATATCCGAGAACATTTCCTCAGTGTCACTCAGTTAGGATCAGAAATTGACCTCATGAGCCTTATCCTGATAAACAACCTTTTTCACATCTCCTGTGCAGCCTACTGTGCCCGTTGTAGTGGATCGTTCCTCATCATAGCCTTCGTCATCGGTATACACGACTGTTGTCGATCTGCTTCATCTGGCTTCTCGCGCCAGACAGGACTGGTGGCAGGAAGAGGTTTCCATCAGTGGAGAAAATAATAGACTCCCATTGCGGCAATTAAGCCTACGAAGAAGTTGAATCGTTAGATATACACGGCCGTCCTTCGACATCTGTCCCGCAGGTTAGATTTTCTCGGGTTCCGAGTCTGTCTGCGACTTAGACGGCAGATAGGCCGTCTTGGAATCTCTGAACTTTGACACCACGATGATAGACTGTCGTTGAATATGGGAAGGCAGTAATGAGAAAAGCCAACGCTGAGCAATACCGCTCAGAGTATCTTCAGACTGGCTATCCTTGGGCGGAGAACGAGCAGCTGAAAGAGATGAGTGAGCAAGTAGTGGTTCAAAATTCTCCCAAGTAGAAAGCCCAGGCCAGTGGAAAGAGGAAGGGGTGTGTTATCCAGCTCTATGTCGACGTCAGACCAATGAACGGGAGGGAGCATGGAAGACTTTTATGTTGGTCGTGTGCCAGAAGCAAAACACTGCGGATTCCATATCGTGGTATCCGGAGCCGGATCGGTTTGATGCCGCGTACACGAGAATAAGAAGATCTTGTGAGGTAGCACCATGAGTCGTGGCGGGTAGGGTTTGATACAAGAATCAAAAAGAGCTGGTCCAGCGGTCCGGAAGATAGCGTATTCGAATGGTACTCCGTGAATCGCAGATAGGCGACCAAAGCATGCGAGCTAAGGTGGTGAATCTAAGTGTCGGTTCACTCCCCGAAAGTTGGTTTCTCACGACGATATTTCGATCCAAGATATCTTGCTTTGATAAGCAGAGAAACAGGAAGTCCACGGCTTCGTCTTGGACACAAGCCTAATGGCAGAACATGCGCAGTAGCTTGTTGATGACCCTGGGAAGGAATTTCTTGACCAATTTTTCCACTTCCTCGTTCTGTTCTTGGCCTTGGGGACCTTGGCTGTGGTGTTGATGCTGCTGTTGATGGAGCTGTTGTGAATGTGAGTATTCATGCTGCTGTTGGTGTCCAGAGTACGACGGTTGGTAGCCCGGCTGCGATTGGTAGCCGCCCCAGTTGTTGACGTTCTGCATATCAACGGCACCTCCGGTCAGATTGACATAAATACGTCCGTCATTTGCCTCGGTGTGATACTGCAGTCCCAATTCCCGACAAACCTGCTCGACGCGAGGTTTGATCTTCTGGATGTGACCGGAGCTGTGGTTTCCTTTGCCTACAATCACATGCAGATGGGTCTGTCCATGGCTTTGGGCATATCGAATCCGCTCCTCGAGTATGTCTTCTGCTTCTTCGACAAACTGACCGTGGAGGTCTATAGTATCGGCGGGAACCCGTCCCTGAGCATTGTTTTCACGGAAGATGAATTCGGAAGCCTGCTTGTTGTATTGTTCCATCTTTGCACCGTGTTCCTTTCCTTCTTCAGATAGCGCATGCGCTGCCGCTCCATCACCGTTGGCATATGCTTGTTGAGATTTGGCGAAACAAGAAGAGCGTTTTGCGGCTTCTTGTCGGGCTAGGTCACGCAGGCGGTCATATTCTTGTTCGGCAGCTTGGGATTGATTGTGATTAAATGCTAATGGGAGGTGGTCAGTTTGCCAAATGATTGAAGCAATTCCAATACGTACGTCTGGAACCCACTCGGGTTGCATGTTGTGTTGACATTTCGTGAGACATGGCAGGTGCAGCTTAGTGAGTGTATCTGGTGTAGGATGCAGCCAAAAAGGATGCTGAACTCAGATCGAGAGGAGTTGAGGGATGGTACTAGATCTCAGATCTCAGTGCAGATTAATCGGCTACCAAAAAACTGCGACGAGATTGCGACCACGATGCGCAACGCATTATTGGATGATTGAGAGTTGGGCGCGATCTGGATGCCGGAATTTGATGCTTGCCGCTCGCCTGCGATCCCGGCGCCAAATTGCCTTTTCATGGGCCCTCTCGGCCACCATTAATTCAAAAGTTCGGGGCTTGTCCCCCGCTGTCTGCCAGGTACAGTGTCCCGGCCAGATTAGTCATCGTATGGCTTTTTACTACAGCATTTACAGCGAGGAATACAAGCCCAGGTACTATATAAACGAAGGTATAAGTGCTGATATAAACTAGATGCATATTCCATTATAGAATGGCCAAATCATTCTCATAATAGTGAGCCAGCTCCCGCAGAACCCATCCCATTCGAGGAGTAACTCCCCATACCCACGTATCATCATAAAATCCTGCCCAATGCCGTGCTAGCTTGGCCGCCAACGATACGACCTGGGTATCAGAATCATCTTCAAGTTCGACGAGGAGATCACGAATGCTCTGCATAGTCTGCGCTTCCAGTTCGCTGATCACTCCGCCGTTGTTTCGACGTGTTTCCGCTTCTATAGCATGCACCCATTTCGTGACGAGTAATGCTGGGCCCCAACATTAGACCTAGCTTGACCAGACACGAAGGAAAGGCTTTCAAACTTACCAGAATTCCATCCCGCGAGAGCATGGCCCACTCCCCACGTTAACGCAGCCGTCTTTCTGATGAGCAACGTCCCTGATTTGTAGGGTATCAACATTCCTTCGAACGCCCGGCTAACTGCTCTCGTCACCAAGTCATTCCTGTCCTGAGCCATTACAACAAATTCCTCAATGGAAGTCAGGAGCTCTCCGCGGCTTTCTTTTAGCAGAATCATTGAGTCTGCTGCACCGATCCCCGTAAACGCTCGACAGTAGCTGACCCGCAGTAGTGCAAGACAATTGAAAAGCAAAGGACCCTCAGCGTCTGCCCAAGCATAATCTGCATCAGACCGTGCTTGAGTGATAAGAGCTCTGCATCTGGACAGTGCAGCTTCGGTCTGGGTCAGAATTTGCGATTTGGGATTCTCCTGAGACCTTCCTCGGCCAGAGAACTCCCCGAAGAAATGTGAGCCTTGCGTAATGTGCCACACTTGAATAGAAACGGCATTGATGACGACACTGATCGCGAAAGGGGACCACAGCCAGCATTCTTCTGGTATTCCTTTCGAGGAATCTCCGTACATCACCTTCGATACTGCATCTCTCAATGTGAGAGGCGAGGTTTTCCCTGTGGCAATCCACAGCTCGTTCCAACCCTCGGCGGTAGGAGCATCCCAAAGGTTTTGGTCCCAGGGCATTTCGATATAGCCATCTGATATAATCGAGTACCCTGGAGGTATGCCATAAGTCATGGTCACCAGATTTCCGAACATGATATGGCCATAGAGCAATCTGTCGGTCACGTCAGCAAATGATTATGGCACCGGATTACACAGAGGAAAACCTTTTAACACTTTCTCTCTCGACCCACTCCTGCCACGACAAAGATTCTAGACCGTCTTTTTGAGGTTTCATAGATGGTGCAAGTTCACGATAGTCCTGCAATAGGTTAATGCAAACACACTCCCCCTTTCACACGGACGCACGATGAGAAAATCACCAAGATGAACAATAGCCTTGGAAATAACTTCGATGTCACCACTGAAGGCGCTGAACATGGCAAGGAGCAAACGAGTCTGGCTTTCCCAAAGAGACTCTCGATATGGTTTCGGGCATTCTAGTGGAGGATGAGTCCAATCTTCAAGCAGTCGGGGTTTCTTATCGAGGTTCCCGCCACGTTGAACAACTGCAACTGAAAGACCTTGATCGGCCTTCAGGTAGAGAGAGGCGGCAACTTTTCTTTCCAGCCGATAAAGAGCCCCAATGGCACATATTGCCAGAACAAGAGGCGACGGAAGGCGCTCAAAATCCATCGTGTGAAAATGAAAGATAGGGAGGTGTACATGGAACGCCTCGGCGTAAGTCCGCAAGCATTTTGAAAGTGCAGCTGCACTTGGAAGCCGAAAAGAGCATAATTGCTCCGAAGAGAGCCGGTTCGAAAGATCTTTCAGAAGGGCTGTTCGCATTTGTTCCGTGAATATTAGAGTTGGTGATTTACCCGAGACGGTCTGAGGCAGCTCAGGGTTAGGATGTTTCTCAGTTCCAGTGAAGCTGCTTGCTGGTCGGAAATTGTGGCGGTCGTCACAAGATGCTGGCTCGCCTGGCGCGTGCGACACAAACACTGCTGAGTCGAGAGGTGAAGGCTCTGTTGATGCACGGGCGTGGCATTGCTGAAATCCATAGTCCTGCATTGAAGTTTGACTAGAAGCAGAGAAGTTCTCCAATGGAGACCAACCATCCGCATTTCCATTGAGCGCCGGAAGTCCTAATGCTTCCACCTGCTTGGGAGGCAGTCCCAAAAAGGGGTCGAAGAAATCAAGGAACTCCAGACCCCCATCGAGGTCAGGTAAAGATACTGAGCTAGGGAACGTCCGCAATTTATTAAGATCAGGGATGGCAATAGTAAAGTCAGCGATATCGAGTCCTGTTGCCGATTGCGCTTCATTTCCCAGAGCAGATGTCGGAGCGGAGAGCGAGGCTTCCTCAAGCTCGGCTGTCGCTTCAGCTGTGGGTATCTGTTTCGAAAACATGGGGATCTTTGCTGTGCTACTGTGCTGCGTATGTGGGTCAAACTTTGGCGTCGTGGGTACCGATGGAGCCTTCCTGAATTTCGATGGCAGACAACTTTTTGATTCCGTTCGGGCTTGATTCGGACAAGGCACTGTGTCTCTTTTTTGGATCGAGACAACGTCATTGTCTGGCTCCGACTCGGCATGGTTCAGTAACGATTGTTGAGCTGATCTCAGTTAGAAGTAATTTTAGCAAACGGCGGACAAATCGCACAAGATTCATGTCCCGGCGACTTGGAAGCCTTGGAAAGTTGCTGGCCAGCGGCGATTGCCAACTGCTCAGCTGAATGTAAGGTTCTTTCGTGGCGAACAAGGAGATCTCTAAAAGATATGAGGTTAGATCGTCGGGTCCAGGACAAGGGCGATTGGAATTACCTGCGACTATATCGTCGTTGACAGACCCTGCACCCGAAGGGCTTCTCCTGGGTATCTGAAAAGGCCTGTGTCAGTCGACATACTCTGAAGCATCGCCTGAAATTCATTGAAACAGTGAAAGGAGGCGACTTACGGCCTCGTTGATGACGAATACAATGCTCACTTCTTTTGAAAGCCCTTGAACATACATTACACACATGCGTCCTCTTTGTCTTTCCCGCCTTGTCCTTGGAAGCATCCAATTTCGGAAAGACAATCGTGGAAGTGCCGGTAATAGTCATGGTGCAAGCCGCTGGCGGTACTCGTTAATTTCCCTATTGAAAGTGAACAAGTGTGAAAGGCTAGTAAGAGAACAAAAGGCCCTAAAGAGAAGGGAGTTGTCAAAGGATCTCCAGGATAGGCACGAAATTGGAAGAGGACTGCCTCAGACGGTCGGTATTCGGCTGCGCAGAGCGTTGGCACAGACTTGGGGCAGATTGCGGAGTGAGGATTCATCCAAACTTGGGGAAGGGCAATCACGTAGACCGTCAACTGGTGGATGAGTTTGGGGATCACAAGGCTTTGGAGATGTCGGTTCCACCACATGCAGCCTCGTGCGGAGAATGGATGATGTCTGAGCCTGAAGGTGGGAAGTAAGGAGATGGCTTCAATCCGTTTTGACCATCGCAATATGCCTCTAATTCCCCATCAGATGGCCAGAAGCTTCTTCCATGTTTGAGAATTTCCGGATGTTCTAGCAAGACTTTGTAAAAAAAAAAAAAAAAAAAAAAGCCGCTTCATAGAGAATCCAAGTCACCTTTGGGAAACGGACCCCATCCGATCTTGCTGCTATGGTGATTGAGGCGTTTTAAAAGTCTTATGCTATGGCCCGTGACAGGTCTTCCACTGTTTGACATTGTGTAAATGTATATGGTGCGAGTTCATTGCTTTACTTCTATATTCCTGGTTTTCATTTCAGAGCGCCAGACCATTTTGTTTCGGAGAGCATTTGCGGAATGATACGCCGTTTTACCTTAATATCTCCGATCTCAGTCTGGCAAATGAAACAGCGACGAAAAAAGTTATCAGTATGGGACGGACACGGAAAGGCCTAAGCAGACGCTTCGTAGAGATCATCTTCAAGATTCCATGTACACGAGGGAACTACGGATCCTCACAAGTTCTGAGACAAAGTCAGGGCAATGCTTATCCAGATTAGGCAAATGTTTTCTACCCCGCAAAAAGGGCCCAAGAGGCCAAGGCCAAGCGGGTGCCAACAACCGTTGAAAGCAATTACCAGAAAAAGGGGTTGGCCAAGAAAGGAAGGTTCTTGTCTCGGAAGGCTGAGGTGGAGAGAGTAATCCTCTTGCTCATCAACGATGCTTTCGGGCGACCTTTGGTCTGAAATTGCGTGTAATAACTTTGAACCTCCTCCGGTGCTCTGTGGGCATTGTCACTGTTTGCGTGCATGTTCATCTTTGAATGACTGGTTTAACAAGGAAACGCGGGAAGAAAGGCTGCCTGCAGAAGCAACTGGTGTGACCGATGTTGATCGCCAGCACACAAGGTTCCAATAGATGGCATGGCGGTTGTTGACGTGTCCGCGCACGGAGCCTCTTCCTATCAAAAGGATCGCATTGGTTTCAGCTGCTGCTGCCTTCGCGAAATTCCTAAAAGGCAGAACCGGCTCGCTTAGAAGAAGACAACAACGCCTCCAAACACATGAAACGATTTGGATTTTAGTCAAGATGTTCCGGCCTACCTGACATCCGGAGTCCGCCATCCAATTGTATACCTTTCACCTAAATGTATTACCCTCGAGTCTGTCGGCTTTTCGAAGACCTCAAGTGAGCCGTTTGAAGGCTGTCTGTCAATTTGTTGTCAGAGAACGTCGTATATTCTGACCAGCTTGAGGCTGTCTGCCTAGCCCACTTAAATTTGAGAATACATCTGGGTCAAATTGTGACGTCGTTCCTTGACATTGGATTCATCACGTAGCCAAGAAGGTGCAATGTCAACTTCAACTATGTACTGATGGATGTGGTGAAAGCTGTCCCTATCAACACGATGTAGTCGGAGTTGGGCTCCGGTTGTTCGGGGTAGCCATAGTAGAGTCTCCGCCATTTGGCTCGTCCGATCGACCACCTGGTCTGGCCCGTTAAGATGGATCCCCAGCTCGCGATCTGGAACGGAACAGGATCAATGCCTCTACGAGAGTCTGCGGCACGTCTTGCCCGTTTCCGTCCGCAGAGTGTGGAACCTTGTAGTTCTCGATAAGGAGCACTCCGAGGTTACAAATCAGCCATGCGGAAGTTTGTGCTCGAACGTCATGAGACACGAACAAACCAGAAACCCCAGACAGGTTGATGATCCATAAGGTTGATCTGTCTCGAGCACTGTTAGTGTCTCTGAAGATCGAGCATTAGTATCCCGATTTGTTTTCATAAGCGGGGAGCAGCCAGCCACTTCTGCTGATCTTAGCCCCTTGCGGCGAGAAGACTACCTGTTTCCAACAGAAATGGCTGAATACAGATGGCTTCGGTTTTCTTGCTGAAAAGCATGATACAGAACTTCGGATTTCGATTGAGCAATCAGGCAGCAGGCTTCGGGGTGAGCGATATCCCCCATGCTTGTTATTTGATAAGGTTGCATGAGAAAAATCCTCGGTGGCGTTTGATCTTCAATGCAGAACAAACTACGACGCTAGGGATTGGACGAATGATCATTTTTGACACTTCTCGGTTGCAATAAAGGCTAACATTCGAGCACTAACTGCCCCGGAAGTCCAGGAGAGTGGACTCCTCTAGCGCCCTCCCCTTCCCCACCAAGCCGCGGTGGTTGCCAGATAAAAAAAGAGATCTGACGTTACGCTGAGATTCGAGGATTTTGCAGGCAGTGAAACGCAACATGTCTCGCTCTTTTATGCCTTCGAAAACCAAGGGCCCAGATCGACGAGTCCGACAGCTGTCACTGGGTCATTTCCGGAAAGCTGGGTCTTTGTTGCCGGTGCCGGATTTAGCTTTTCCCCTGGTTGCTTAAGAGGTTCCGGGACAGTGCAAGATTGCCTTTTACGTGAATTTCCAATTGGATGAGAGTGGGGCCAGGTACAAAAGGCAGACGTGAATTGGCATACGGACGACTCGGATTCTTGCTGTCTGCCACCCTGTTGGTTCACCGGTCTTTTGGTTCACCGTTCTCTAGCAGCCCGGGTAGATTGGGGATGACTCTACAGGAAACATGGAACAATTAGGTCTCTGGACACTCCACAGACCGTGGATGGATACATAAGTGTTCAGTCCTGTGACTAGGTAGCGAACCTGATCGAGACTCTTACAATGTCCGAGAACACCAAGTTGTCGAGTCGCATGACAACGGAGTAGATGGGTCCTGTATTGTTCTGACAATTTCAGAGTGTTTCGCCATCGTTCGCTTGAATAGATCATTCAACATGGTTTGCATTTTTGGACGAACATGGATCATTCTTCACATAAAAGCTCTTTACCTCTTGAGTCTTGAGGAGCAGGCATCGTCCCGGGTACCGAGTCCTAAAGAAGGAATTGGTTGCAATTTAAGGGGTTATGGAATGCCCTAGATCGCTTGAGAAGGGCAACGAACCCGGGTGTTGAGTTTTGGCTAGGAAAATCTCCAGGTTTTTTTTGGGTAAGCAACGATGCAGGCTTCATTTCACTAGCTTGAGAAACGAAACACCATTTGATCCAAGCGAAGTGGGTGCGCTCTGCGCAGTCCGCTGCAGTCTGTACCGCGTCTTCCGTGCGTCGTAGAAAGCAGACAGGCTATTGTTGCCTCGGTCATATTCTCATTCGGGGCAGAATCTTGTCAGGAAAGCTCTCATGGGGATCAATGGCGATTGGACTTTTTCATCTAATTAGATCCTTCCCGAAATTCCAGCGCATGTGCGAGGGGTCTCCTCCCTGCGGCAGAAACAAGTGGACGAATGGCCCAAAGCTGTCCCGTAGGTGCAACCAAGCGTACAATTCGAAGATGTCGGCCAATGCCAAGCTGCCAGCGAGGGTCAGGGTCATTTGGGATGGTCATTGTTGGGCGCCAGTGAGGATGGTGGGGGGGGGGGTTTCGATTCGGCGGTGGGAGAAGGTCGAAAATCCTTAATGCTAGCAGTAGGTCCGGGGGAGGCCTGTGAGCATCTGTCGCCATCCGCTAATAACGAATCGACTAACAAGCTCCCCGGCCTAAGGGGATTCAAAGAACTGGGACGGGAATGCGCAGTGGGCAGGTTGGCGAGTTTATGCAGTCACCCTTATTGACCTGAAGAGTAGTTAGCCGAAGACCAGGTAAAGTTGCCTGGGACATGCAGCCTCTCCCTGCTTGAAAGTCTCCTTTCGATCTTAGCACAGGACTGGGAGGTAGGCATGCCCCTCTTTCTTGTCCCAAATCATCAAGCCGACGTCAAACGCGGTCCTAGTCCGTCACGACTAAGCTCATAACATCGGTTTGGACCTGAACTTTTACAGTAGCTCGCCCATTGGCGCTGGCATTAGCCTTTTGATAACCACTGGCCAGGAGACCCGGACATCGATCGACCTCTCACACTCAACTCTCGAAGTTTACCAACCTCACTTCACCAACCTCATCCACTGACCCTAAACACCCCCCTTCGACACTGAATGCGGCGCCCCTCTGCTAAAACCACCTAGCCGACTAACCGCTGCTCGAGTCTCCTGCCTCACTTGGGATCCATTCATCACTCCATCTCATTCATCCTGTCCCGTCCGACGATTTTCCTATTTTTTTCGCCGTCACTTCTCCCCCCTTTGTATATTATCCCACCATCGACGACCCGTCTTTTGCAGACGATTCCTTTATCCACAAAGGTGCGCCCACCGTTACCACGTACAAGTCAACACCACCGCGCTCCCTCGCTCTCACCTCCCGTTCTCCTCTCTTCTTCGACCAATCGTCCCTGGTAGCCGCCCGTCGCTCGTGTTGCCTAGCCCATTGATCGACACCAATTTTTTCCGCATCTCGCCTTCCCCCGTGCTGATCACCCTCGGATTTCTCACACTCCCGTCCTCATCTTCTTTTTGTCACTCCGGGGACATCACTCTTCCCGCCGCGAACGTCTTGCTGCCGTCTTGCAGGACCAGCCTTCAAACAAGAGGTGAGTACTGCCAACTTATATTTGGGATGCGCAATATTTTATTCCATTCGTCAAGAAATTTGCAAGATTGTAATTGCCATTCGATTATCTTTCCGACCTGGTGTACTGACGCGGCTCAGTTGTTGTTGAGACCTCGAGGTCCTTTTGAATTCTACCAACCCCTGCTTCCACCGTCAAGAAATTTTGTGACCGGCAGAGATGGGGTGCGGAGCAAGCAAAGAAGATACGGCCGGAAAGGCAAGGAACGATGAGATAGAGAATCAACTCAAGAGGGACAAGATGGCCCAGCGCAATGAAATCAAAGTGCTCCTGCTAGGTAACTCAGACTTGCGTCTAACGTTTTCGCAATACGTTCCTCACATGCTGTATAGGTGCTGGTGAATCTGGAAAATCTACAATTCTCAAGCAAATGAAACTCATCCATGAGGGAGGCTATTCGCGCGACGAACGCGAGTCCTTCAAGGAAATCATCTATTCCAATACCGTCCAATCCATGCGCGTCATCCTAGAGGCTATGGAATCCCTTGAACTTCCTCTCGATGATCAACGAGCAGAATATCATGTCCAGACGATCTTTATGCAACCACCTCAAATAGAAGGAGACAGCCTTCCCCCTGAGGTTGGCGCTGCCATCAAGGCCTTGTGGCGGGATGCTGGCGTTCAGGAATGTTTCAAACGATCCAGAGAGTATCAATTGAACGATTCTGCAAGATAGTGAGTTGTCTGCCAGGCCCTCCGTCTACAATCTCCTGACCCTGGGTCCATAGTTATTTCGATTCTATCGACCGCATTGCTGCCCACGACTACCTGCCCAATGACCAAGATGTTCTTCGATCTCGTGTCAAGACGACCGGTATCACCGAAACCACTTTCATTATTCAAGATTTGACCTATCGCATGTTCGACGTGGGTGGCCAGAGATCCGAACGAAAGAAGTGGATCCACTGCTTTGAGAATGTTACCACAATCCTTTTCCTGGTCGCCATTTCCGAATATGATCAATTGCTCTTTGAAGATGAGACTGTCAACAGAATGCAAGAGGCGCTCACCCTTTTCGACAGCATCTGCAATTCCAGATGGTTTATCAAGACCAGTATCATTCTGTTCTTGAACAAGATCGACAGATTTAAAGAAAAGCTCCCTGTGAGCCCTATGCAAAATTACTTCCCAGACTACGAAGGTTTGTACTTCTCAGCAATGTTCAATGAAAACTGTGGACCCCTAACGATATTGCTTTCCAGGTGGTCCCGACTACGCTGCAGCATGCGATTACATCTTGAACCGATTCGTTTCACTAAACCAAGCCGAAACCAAACAAATCTATACCCATTTTACTTGCGCCACAGACACTACTCAGATACGATTCGTGATGGGAGCGGTTAGCGGTATGTCGTGCTACGTGTTACGTCGCGCACTTCAAGTCTGACCTTGTCATAGATATCATCATTCAAGAGAACCTCCGAATGTGCGGTCTCATATGATGAACATGAGCATGGCTTTGGCGTTGTTTCATTTCAAGCCTTGATTTGTCCACGAATGCGCATACCCCATTGGTGTTTAGGAACGGCATTTACCTTTCTCCGTCTGTTCAATTCTTGGTGAAGAGTTGCCAGTCAACACGATGTTACCAGCTACTTGTGCGACTGGCGCTCGGATCTAAAATTCGGCTTTTCAGAAACTGTCTAAACTTGCCCAAATTCAGTCGACCCCGGTGATGATGGTTCATTTTGACAGCTGACGGGATTTTACTCTTTCTCCAGTGTCTTTTGGCCGGTGGATTATACCCCTGGCTGTATGCGCCTTATTCCTGTGCTGCTGAGCCATGTATTGTCAACATGCAAGGAAGGCCACGTTTATTTTCTTCCACACTTGAAGGCTTGAAAAGGATGAAAGCGTTCACAGGATTCTACGGTTGGGTTACGAACGGGGGCCTTTGAATTAGAATTTTCGGAAAAATAGCTGTTATGTACATCACTTGATCTGAGAAGACATAAAGCAACTCGACTGTAAAGATGGAGATTGAGTCGAGATTCGGGTTCAGAAATACTTCCTTTTGGGTGTAGTAGTTGTTACAGTACCCAGTGTCCTTCCTAGTTGTGCCAAGCTTATTGGAACTGAATGTGGGCCTGTACTGCGATTTCGGGTTCCCCATTCTTGGCCACCTACGCTTCTTCGATGTCTTACGACGCTCACAGACGCAAGCAGTTGGCGTTAAAATGTCTTTAACTTCAGCGTTACGACCAGGAGGACTACCATTTGGTGCGGGGACAAAGCGAGAAAACACCCCGATCGATAGCCATCAACCCCCGGCGCAGTCGTTCCAGCATGAAGTGACCTACCTCAACCTCCATCGAACCCTCATTCGATTCCAACACCTCATTCTCCTTACCTCTTCTTCCTCTTCCGGTCAAAAGACGGAATTAAGTTCCTTGCAGAGGCAAATCCAGGGTGAACTATGGTCTCCGTTGCCGTATCATCGCAACAAATGGCTGCACAACATAGAAGGAGCCCGAACATTGCTCCTGCAATTGGAACGAAAGGCTCAAGGGATTCGAGTCCAACGAACCAAATATGAAGTCATTAAAGACTTGGCCGAAAAGAGGGCGACCATCAAGAGGTTACGGAATAGGATCGAAGAGATCGGACGAGAGGTGGAAATGATGGGTACAGAAGATTGGGAGCCACCCTTTGATGATGAAGGAGACAGCGTTTTCGGCGTGTTGCCACAGCAATCAACTTCACAAGAGGTGGGCGAGAGGCCGATCGAAGCCGGGTACGATGATGATACGCTAAAGGAGGGGAGGCCTGTTACACATTCGGAAGAGGAAGCCGAGGCGAAAGCTGGGAAAGGAAATAATGATGCGCGAGAAGAATTATTCTCATCCTCTGGCGCGCGGCGAAGGAGAGGCCAAGGGGAGAACCCAAACGGACCGGACGCACAGACAACGGGTTTCTCAAATCGTCAATCAACGGAGCGGTCATTATTAGATTCTTCTCGTGTACAAGAAGACATTACAAGCTCGCTCGTCAGCATGGCAGCGCAATTGAAGCAGCAAGGGAGGTCAATTCAGTTTGCGCTGGAACAGGATAAAGGCATTCTGGGCCGGGCAATCCGAGGATTGGATCTCAACCTGAGCGGAATGGAAGCAGCCAGCAAGAACGTGGCCTTTTTACGCCGCATGAGCGAAGAAGAAGGATGGTTTGGTCGAGCCAAGTTGTACGCCATGATCTTTGCCATGTGGATTGTGGCGTTCCTCTTGGTTTTCGTCTGTCCGAAGCTGAGGTTCTGAAGATTGTCTCAACTCAACTACCAAACTCAATGCTCGATCTGGTCCCGATCCTGGCTGCAGCCGGTAGTGCCCGCGGATCGCCAGGTGACATACCTACTGAAAGGAAATGGCAAAAGCAAAGGCAGAAGCCGATGGCAAAGCAGACTAGGCCACGAGGAAAGATTCTGAAGCAGGATTCTTTGATGTGGAGGGCTGCAAATGACGATTTGACATTCGATCGAATTCGTGAAGTTTTCAGGTGCATTGCTGTCACAATGCCATGCAGAGAACTGCCTTACGGTTTCCTGTGACAGAAATGACGCCCATGACATCACTCTAGTTACGGGTCTCTCATCCACCACTGGAAATCATTCAGTGACACCAGCTTCAAAACTTTTGCATGCAGCGCCTGGTCTAAGGTCACTGCAATACCTTCCGTCTATAGACCCCGGCTCATCTCATCTCTCTTCTTTTGAGTCTCCCAGTTCAGACCGATCCACTACTTTGAAGAGATACCGAATACTCATCCCAAAACATAACCATATATCCCACATTTCTCTATCATGTCTACCCACGACAATACCTCCTCTTTCAAGTCAGCTGTTGACACAGCTACTAGCTACGTCCAATCTGGCATTGCCTCATTGACAGGAAGCGCCGGTGACCAGGTATGTAGACGCCTCATGCTCCCATTGAGAGAAGAAAATTAACATCTCATCAGGCTACAGCAGAAGAACACAAGGGTAAGGGTGCCGCAGAGTCTGACTTCTCCCACAGCGCCGCCAAAGCCGGCCCCTTCACCACCTCTACCTCTGGCGTGCCCACAAAATATAGCAGTGACCGTACCCAAGGCCAGTGGGATCAGACCATCGGAAGTACCAAAGAGACCGTCGGCAACCTCGTTGGAAACGAGAACCTCAAGCAACAAGGTCGGGAACGGAACCTCCAAGGTCAAGAAACGGAAGCCAAGGGCCAATTGAGCGATCTTGGAAAGGGTATCAGTGATCGTGTTCAGGGCTCGCTCGGTGGTGCGGTTGCTGGGTTGACTGGTGATCGTGCCGAACAAGCCAGATATGCTGATATGTACGATGAGGGAAAGATCAGACAACGTGGTGTCGAGATGGACTTAGACAAGCAGGCTACTGCTCAACAGAAGTAATTTGCTCGTGGTGGTGGAGCGGTCATAGAGAATGTCGCTAGCGGACAGCAGGGAGAACTCAGGATCCGGAGCACGGACAAAATCCTCGCTCGACTTTGTATGATTAGCTAGCATGATACCCCCAGAATTCAGCTTCTATCAACAAATTACTCGCTTCTGGTGATTCCATTTTTCCATACCATTACCCAACTTATCAGCTATTCATGGCCGCCCGAATTGCTAAGAAATTAGCTAATATTTCATCCTGATCCCGCCATGCCTTGGCCAATTAGAAACGACCTCCAGCTGCCTGCGCATGTAAAATATAGGTGAACTCTCCGAATAACGACCACATGTTGCTTCAATGGCAGGCGTGCCGCAGAAGACATTAAGCTGGCTCTATGATGTCTTGAAGCGAGTAAGCAATGCCATTTCCTCCGACATGCTCGCCAACTAATGTTTCCAGGAATACCACGACCCTAATCGGACATACTCCGACCTTGCCCATGTCCTCGCCCGCAATCCTGGGTTTGCACCTCGAACAGATGTCTACAGTGCGTCGCAATCAAATTAGGAAATGGCTTTTCCTCATTACTGATCCATAAAATTAGCATTCGAGAATGGAATCTCGGCCCTTCTGGTCCATTTCAAAGGCACTCTCCCTGTCAATTTCCGAGGAATTACATACCGATTCCCCATAGCTTTATGGATACCACATGCTTATCCTTATGAGGCGCCATTATGTTATGTCACCCCGACTGAAGATATGATCATCAGACCGGGCCAGCACGTCGGCGGTGACGGGAAAATATATCATCCATATCTGGCACATTGGAGGGATGCCTGGGACGTGAGTTCGAAGCAATGTCGAGAATTCTGGAGGTAGCACTGACAAAAATTCCCAGAGATCTAACATTTTGGATTTTTTGTCTATTCTATCTGACGTCTTTGCAAAAGAACCCCCTGTAATGTCTAGGATACAACAGAATCAACGACCGGTCCAACCCACACCACCTCCCGTGCCACCATTACCAAGGGAAATCCAGCCACCATCACCTTCCACGGCGCCTGTCTCTGGACCCCCCCTTCCACCACCGCCTCCGCCGAAACAAACTGCACAAGATATTTCAATTCCAGAACCGACGAGTTCGAGCTTGTCATCTCAGAAGCCAAGCCGATATGACGGTCTCCCTCCTCTACCGCCTCAGGCACAAAGTCCCAACCGAGCACCTTCGAGACCTCGGCATCCTTATGGGAACGGGAATTTCCAACGACCGCTGAGTGGCTTGAATTATATGCCACAACGAACTAGCAGCTTGAGACAGTCAATGCCTCCACCTCAGCAACAGCCAGAATATGAACCACAACAGTTTCGGCCTCAACCACCAGGACGAGAATCACTGCAACATCCTCCTGACCAGCCTCCTCCTCGCAGTTCGGGTCCCATGAATCCTACACCACATCAAACTTATGATCAAATGGGACCTTCGCCGAATCATCATTATCCTACCGAATCAGCACATCAAGGACAGAATGAGCGACCCCTCTCCCAGCACTTTCCACCAGGTCCGACCCCACAGCAGCAACCACATCCATATCTTCATCCACAACCGCCTCCATTCAAACAACCTCCACAAATTCCGAAACCGAATCACACTCCTACCCCTAATCTTCTCGATTCTCCCTTCGACATTCCCCTACCGGCACCGACAACGACGCCAGGATCAAATCTCGCACCAACATCCAACATTCCCGCACCTCCAATTCCCGTGAATCCCGAGAAAGAAGCCCTCCTCACTCACCTCTCGCATCAAATAACACAATCCTTGCACTCGCAAATCGCGCAATCCACATCCGCTCTGCCCGCCCTCTCATCCCAAAACGCCGCCTTGCAATCTACACTCCATACGCTCAACAACGAACTCAGCACTCTACAAACCCTCCACTCAACCCTGACCTCGAATCTAAACCTGCTATCCACCTCTCTCGCGAAGTCCGACAGCGTCATCTCCTCGGCCCAAAAACGCGCCGCGCAAAATGACATTCCACCCGTTGACGAGATGCTCGTTCCCCCAACGGTGGTAGCGAGACAGCTTTACGACGCTGCGTGCGAGGAGAGGGGGATTGAGGCCGCCATTCTCGCGCTGCAGGAGGGCTTTGTCCGAGGACGTGTTGCGAGCGATGTGTGGGCAAGGCGGACAAGGGAATTAGCTCGTGAAGGATTCAAGAGGCGGTTGATGGAGAGGAAGGTGGCCAGGGGCATGAGCTTGGATTTGAGTGCGTACGGTGCCGGTGGAGTAAGCTAGAACTTTAAGGGTCGATGTCGGATCCATAGGTTATCTCCCGTAAACGGGGACAATCCTGTCAGTTAGAATTAGATGGCCAAGCCTAAAAGGAGAGATGGTTCGCATAGTACAATGACGTGATATTTTCACATAACATTGTTCAACAAATTTCTTGAACTGAGTATCTCTGCATCTATTTATCTTGGCACTCATTCCCTATGGTGACATAAGACTCGTGTATTTTCGATTTCTCTGTTGTCTGACTCTTGAAAGTTCGGTTGATGCTCTTTGTCTGTTTTCTTTCAGTTGCGTTGATCCAGGAGAGATTTTTAAGTCCATTCATCCATGATCGGCTACCCACTGCACCTGTGTTTTCTAATGATGTATCAATGTCCTCAGAAAAGGCAAACCACGAATTCAGTTCCAAGACACACCAAAAGCTTCATGCTGCTGATGCCGTCGAACGGGGGTAACAAACACCGTTGATTTCGTGACTCAAGCTTATTCATCTCGCTCATGCTTTTGTGAACGTTCACCTTCATCTTCACAGCGTTGACCAAAGGCATGTCCACATTCAGGCCAACAACCTCATGGAAGATCAAGAACCACCATAAGACCAAGTTGTATTCCTTCCACGAGACATAGAAGGCGCAGCTTCTGGTTCTCATGTTCATCTAAAAATGTGTAATTCAATTGGACTCAACTCCATTGGGATCAAACCCCCCAGTCCTGGGGATCTAACTCCTTGTTGGCGTCCAATGCTGCCTCCCAGTCAAAATCCATATCCAACGTCACGTTGTTCATGTTGTTCATATCCATGTCGAAATTGTCGTTGCCACCGTCAAAGTTTGAATTGCTTGTATTCGTCACAACAACTGCATTTACGATTCCATGTTCACCCACAGAACCAGCAATAGGAGTAGATCCAGATCCAGGCGAAGTGGCAGTCTGGCCAGCAGAAGGCGCCGCAGACATAGAATCAGGCGGAAAAGGGCCCATTTGACGCGAATTTGAGAGACCGAAATCGCTATTTTCACCCATCGTACCGACCATGCCAGGATCAGCACCAAACGCGATACTGCTGGAGGAATTCGTCAACCCCAAAGCAGCGTTCCGCAGCACATTGGCGTTGAAAAGATCAGGTAGGGGACCCACATTAGTGTTTTCAATGGGAGTATTTGGATCGAAATCGATGGCGGCCGTACCCACCCTGTTGAGAATTTCTGCGGTTCGCGCCTCAACCCCAGCGACGTTCAGGAAGGTTCCAGGTGCTGCGGCTTGAATCAGGCTAAAGCCGACGTTTGTACCTTGATTAGCAGCAAAAGGGTCCGAAGATGTAGTTGTAAGGTGATACGGCCACGCTTGGACTGAAACAGATCTTGGAGTCGACGCGCTATTAACGACATCGCCGGTGACACGGTCCTGGTTTCGAAGGGTGTATCGACGTGGAGCACGAGTTGGGGTTGTTGCTGGCCCTGTCTTTGAGAGGCGTGGTGTCGAAAATTTTTGCCGCGTGCTGGGGCATCGCGGAGTCGATGGTTGTTGCTGGGAGGCCGGCGTCGACAGTATTTGGCGCGCCTTTGGGGCTGATGTCTGACACTCACCCTGAATTGAAGATTGTGTTTGGCCCTGGACTTGAATCCGAGCCTGGGCCTGAGGTTGAGCCTCACCTAAAACTTGACTTCCATCATGGACCGAGCTTTGAGCCAGACAAAGATGATGCGGTGGAACTTGAGATGAACAGTTTCCTTCGCCCACCATTCCATACCACTTGAAATCATCAGAAGTCGGACGAGGTTCTCGGGCATCATCACCGATAGCCAAAACTCCCGAAACGGGAGGAACCGGGAAATCGTACCCAGTCTGTCGACGAAGTAGAGACGGAGGAGGTTCTGGATCTGTGATTGCACGGTCAAGCCACTTGAAGTCAGGGGGGGTTCCTGACTCACTGAAGTGCGCAGACAGAGGAGGACGTGCACTGGATGAGAACGAACTGTAGCTTTGACCATCTTGCTGCACAGGTATGTTTGCCAGAGCATCTTTCATGTACATCGACCTGGTTCGGGCACGCTTTGGTGGTGGTTCAGTGGCGGCCAGATGTTTATTGTTGTCTAACGCCTTATGAGGGGTGGATGAGGTCGGAGAAGACGACGAAGAGGACATCCTGCCATGAAATGGAATAGGCACATTGCGTCTTGCAGGTGGGCCACTTCCTGAGGCTTGAATAGGGGAGACATTGTTCTTAGGAGGTGGTTGAGTTTGATCAGCCTCTGCTGGAGACCATTCAAGAATATCCAATCCGTCCTCGGCAGTGTTGTTTCCTCTTCCAGATAGAGGAGCAGCGTATCGAAAAGGACTCGCAAGAGACTTGTCGACTGGATTGTTTTGCATTGGTGAACCTTCGAAGAGGACGGATATTTCACTGATACTGGAAGTGCTGTGCTTTCTCTTCTTTGACGATTTACCTTCCTGATTTGGTGCTTGGACAAGGATGGAATGAAAATCAGGAAGCTCTGGTGTATGCTGTATCTTCACCTTAATGTCGAAGAATCTATCCAGCTTTGCCGGAGCAGAATGGGTGGCATCAATGGGCGAGGATTTCAATTGTGAGCCGTTGGATTTGTCCGCAGAAACGCTGGTAGCCTTGAATGTTGAAACGGATACTTCTGGTGAAGATGGCACCATGTTTTGCACAAAGTTGTTGGCTGTTGATTGTTGGTCAGGAAATTGGTCGATAGTTGGCACGACGGCTTGGTTCACGTTGTTGGCGGAAGCATCCATCAGAGTTAGATCTGCAGAGGTACCATCGCCAATAGCAGATAGCAACAAATCGACGAATTGAGTGGTCTCTGTGTCATCGAAGAGGTTGTGAGAGTCCGCACCAGTGGCTAGTGAATTGAAAAGAAATGGATCGATGTGCTGATCAATGTCACTCATATAGCTGACCTCAGTGACAGGCTGGTAGGCTTGTGAAGTGGATGTATCGAGAAACGGGTCTTCCACCCCAATTCCAGCGACAGTCTGAGTGTTTGTCGCAGTGACAACATTGTTCACAACTGATGATGCATCGCCATGATGCCTTCCCCCAAGCTGAGAAGTTGCCATCATTTGATTGATAGGCCCGAGAGAATTGTTCGTTTCATCAGTGTTGTCTTTCTTTCCGGTGGGAGTCCCCATCCTGGAGACGGCAGGCGAGAGGACTGCCTTGCCCCGTCAGTGTGTTGAAGTGAGAAAAAGGATTTTTGAATGTAAAAGAAAAACTCTTGACAACGGAGGAAGTGTTTTTGAGACGCGGGAGTTGGCGAGCCGGGGTTGACAAAGGATGAGGTGTGCGGAGGAAGTGAGATAGATGGTTGAGGGAGAAAAGGATTCTGCAGAAATTGTGCCAGCGGGAAAGATTCACTGCCCTAGCAACAACTTATTGAGCGTTTACCCCGTTGTGTTGTAGACGCCTGGAAATTGACAATTGAGAAATCTGCCGCGCCCGTTCTGCCTGCATCCTCGAACTGGCACAGTATTGACGTGAGATAGGCTGTATCGGCAATGACATTGGCCCATTTTCAGCAACATTGGCTTGGTGAATACTCGAAAGGGCAACGAGTTCAACTTCCAAAGCTCATATCTCCATGGTTGACCATCCAATGGAAATTTAAAGAAGCCAAAAGACATCAAAATGAGCACAGTAAGAGGCAAGAGCTATTTGCAAAGATCTTTTCAGAGTCGTTTTGAATGAATGCTATGCGCCTGATACAGCTTCAACGTTGTTTCCAGAGAAGTATTCGGCCATTGCAGCATGACATACTTTGGATACACTAGCACCTGTGGAAGACATACGTCCAGATTGTGGCCATCAGTGCAGCAGCTGAGATGTACTTTTCTCACCTCAAATCCAATTTTCTTGCCAAAGATATGTCCTCTCTCGTCGGTTGACGGAAAGGGAAAGAAGAGGGGGAATTCGATTGGCCAGAGATTTACATCGACACACGACATTTTACGGCAGGATTGATTTGACGATGCATCAGTCCAAGCGGAACGTTGTTACGGATGAACTCCAGACGCCAGGTCGTCATGTCTACCCACGCACCATTCCGTTGGTTGGCAAGAGAGCGCCGGTCCCGAGAACGAGAATTGTCCATGTGAGGCCGAGGAAAACAGGAATCTTTCTTTTCCATGCCTCTAAAAGTAAGTGACGAGAGGATGAAGGGAAACAACTGAAGTCAAAATGTGATTTTACGGAGGACTTGTCCTATTTCGAAGGGCCCAGGGGACCGTCAGACTATATACTTTCGAAGCGTGTACGAAGCGTACAAAAAGATCACATCACGTGCCGCGGTCAAATCACGTGGCAATACCCACAAAGTCGGAGAGGAGATTCTTACAATCAGATCAAGCCACCGCTTATTATTATGCACCGTATATTCATCCAAATCATACCTCCGTATGCTGAGCTTGGGAGGTAGTCCAGTTCAGTAAGCACAAAGTCCGCCGCCGGCATCTTCCATATTCCATGCACCCGCCAGACCAACAATCTGAGGCTCATCAGCATCCAGCTCCGAAGCAGTGATTCTACTTTCAACCGCAATCTCAGCATCGGCTTCTGTACGGCGGCCACCCATGAGCAGTTTCCGGGCCCACGCGTCAATGGCGGGCTCTCCGGTCTCATCCCTAGCTTGTTTCAAGAAGGGGATGAGCGCTGTTCCACCAGTCCCACGCATTTTCTTCTTTGAGGTTTTTTCACCTTCTTCCCCTCGTTGATAACGAATAGAAGCGATTCCCGTTCCCCTCGTTGGCACCGGGTTAGGGCTGCTCTCCCGGCGAGTTCTGCTCAAACTCCGAGACTCCCTACTCTTCACAATGATATATCTGGAGACCATCTGAATATGCTTGTCTCTCAGAGTTCTAAGCATCGCTAAACATGCATCATAAGCAACGCATAAATTTCGATCTGACTGGTTGTATTCCACAAAATCTCGAATATTGGCGACTCCTTCGACGGCATGCAGAAACCTTCGATGCGGCCCCGGCATATACTGTCTCATCTCGTGGATAAAATTGTGCCGAGGCTTTGGTGCAGCTCCTGGTTCAGGCTCAGATTCGGACGTCTCGTCTTTCTTGCTACCTGTTGGTCTGTGCTCGACGCCTAGGGCAATGTCGAAGAATTGGATCATACTACTCTGAGCATTGGAGCCGCCACCATATTGACGCCATGTCGAACGGGTACTTCCATCATCGTAGAAGACACCATGTGGTAGACCGGCTTCTTTCATATTCTTACTCCCCGCCAGAAAAGGTCGTATTCGGTGGTAGAAAACGTGAGGATCACAGCTGTCATACATCCTGACTAATAAGGTACCCAATTCATCGAGCGTTTGGGCGAAGGATTGCAGGCATCGGGTGACTGTCTCGGCGTCATCGTCTCGTGCAGCTTGAATTGCTTTGAGCATTAAAGGTATACAAGGGCCTCCTTTTGCTTCCATAGCAACGCTAATCAAATAAAACCATTGTTCGTCCAGCGAACCGGTGAAGGTTAGCAAAGTGGATAGGTTTTCGAGAACGAGAGGGTCGGATAGAAAGATGGGCTTGAAGTTCCATAAACACAGCCCTGCATACGTGGCAACTGGGGGAAGTTCGAGGTGTTCAGAAACTTGTAGGAGAGGATAAGTAATTGAAGGTGGTAATCTCTGCGTTGATGATGAGCACCTCGGTTTTGAGGTCGAAAGGAAGAAAACTCACCTCTGAAGGTTTGTCCCCGCCCCAGATATAGCCATGGGCGAGAAAGATCAGAACGGTGTAAGCTCTTCGCCACTCGGCTTCTGTCTCGAGGTGAACGGCGGGGATGATAGGGAGTTTGTCGATGATGGTTCGCAATCGCTTGGACAATAACAGAGACTGAAAATTGTTCATAATTCGCTCCCAGCGGTCGTAGACGGGATGTGGCAAACATTGAAGGGGCAGTTCGGAGGGAAGAAACCCTCTATCTGGAGAGACCCCATAGTCTTCAGGACGCGGGACCGGAGGCAGCATTTCGATATGAGAAGTGGAGTACTGTTGAGCGTTGTAGGGAGTAGATGGCCAGTCTCGGAGCACAAGGCTGGATATGCAGGGACACGGCCCGGTTGGAGAAGATATTTCCAGGTGGCTCCTAATGGCAAAAAAAGCTGTGAGAAGCAGGAAAGGAGTCGCCCTCTGGAATACGCAGACTGGTACTACAGATATAGGAGGATGGAAATCGGTTTGCGGGAGAGATTTGTAGGAAAAGGGTCACGAGGGAAGAGAACAAGGGGGAGAGATAGAGACGAGATGGTGTGAAGGAAAAAAGTGATCGGAAACAGGGGATGTGGAAACGTCGGCGAAGAGGAACGTGTTTGCCGCCGCGGGTATGACCGGATTAAAGCAACGGGTCGAGCACGCGATCGCGATGGAGGTGAAGGGGGAACCAAAAAAAAAGGATGATGACGGGGTTGAATCACTCAGAAATTATAGCGGGCAGATAACACGACATTGCGATACAAAGTACATGGTAGTCGATGACATTGGCCGTTGACTCAGTAGGAGATAGGGAAACAATCAAAAAAGAAAATGCAGTTCACCCATCACCCCGCAGCTGCATTACAGCACCCGAGGTCATCAGGTCACAGGAGAGCGCCCTAACTCCGAGTACGAGGTACATGATGCTTCTTAGTAAGCAGTATTACTAACTGGGTACCTGGGCACGAGGTACTTGAACGAAAGTACGGGGTACGTCAGCCTTGCTTCTCAATAACCAATAACCTGCCTCGTCATTTATCTCTCGAGTCTACATATATGGCCCATTCAATGCCCCAACATACAATGAATGCTTGCACCCTTCTACCCACTCCTTCAGTTCTTCCGATATGTCTAAATGACTCTTATCTACCTTCCAAAAATCAACCGGCAACGACGAACTCTTGCTCGTGTATACTTCCGCAATAGCCGCCCGCATTACAATATCCAACCGCCGAGCCACTTCCCATCGACGTCCGCACATGTTGATCCCATGCATCAATATGTCAAAGGTGGGTTCTCGTTGCTGGTCTAGTCTCCGATATACCAGGAGCTTGAACCGTGCTGCAACAAAGATCAGATGCGCCAGTATAGGTGAGTTCAGCTCCGTGTCTGCATCACTGATACTTTGGAGGGCGGCAACAACGTCCTCGCAGGCTTGAAGACACCTTTGAAGAGGTACTTCGTTAAATGAAGGACCATCAAATTCGACCAGTCGTTGGTACAGGATAATCACACTTGCGTGTGCCAAGATACTGGTGTGAACCAGATTGGGATCGAAGTCGATGTGCCCGTCCGCGAGCAGTGTGTAGCTGGTACTTGGCTGAGATCGTATATAACTCATGAAATTATGATAGATCTCATCGCAGGTCGCATGAGCCTCACCTCGAGCTTGCTCATATCTGCCCCTTTCGTGATCGTAGATGAATGTGTGCAAGGGCTGCAACCCTATCGCCGCCAAATGAGTATGGCTTCGGAAACTGTCTTTGAGGTCTGGCGTGCTGATATAGGCTACACTCGATAGGTGGTCCACCAGCGCGGCCGAAACGTCTCGCCACGAGATCCCCAGTGTTGAAACTGCGTCCATTGCTAACGTTGCCCAGGTCAAGGGAATCGCCAGTTCTTCTCCGGTATTGCTTCCAATGGCTGGTGGTCCAATCTGGGCCGGACTTTGCAGTGCCATTTGGTTCAAAAGTTTCCGGAAAAGTCCAATGTTTTCACACATCCGACGACATACCGACAGCAAACTGAAGGTACTCGGGATGTTGTCCGCCCCATAGTCAAGAATGGCTATGATCAAGAGCGCTTGGAGAGAGTTCAACGAAGGCTTCGAAAATGCCTCGTCGACCACCTGTGATCGCAGGTGCCGTGACAGTCTGTGTCTTCCGTGGTATCCTAGACCGATGGCCTGACTTGAATATGCAATCTCAAGTGCAATCACTGCCTTCAACACGACGTCGTCGATATGGCTTAAGGGCATAGGAAGGACCTCGAGTGCCATTTGAATATGTTGTCGACCTAAAATCGGCAACCAGGGTTGAGTTTCTTTGAACCACAAATCCGCCAGTGTATACATGTATCCATGTGGCAGAGACATCAAATCTGCAACTGCCGCATCAGACTCTGCATCCGTCCGCTTGTGTTGACTCTGATGGGAGCTCGCAGCAGTCAAAGCAGGACTGAAGATTGATGGCCGTACTTCTGAGGAGGCGACTGATGCCGAAGGAGTGATCTGTTGCGGCGTCGCCGAACGGGCCACCGGCGCTGGGGTTGGGGCTGGATTTGGTACTTCTGATGATCTCTTGTTCTCATCCTTGAGGAATTTAACTTCTTGCTCCAGGCTTTCTATTCAACACGAAATAGTGAGAGAGAGTCTACACCTGAGAAGAGGGCCCATACCTATGCGATTCTCCAGTTGAGATACATAGCCAGCCCGGAGACCGCGTTTCTTGGGCTTTGCAACATAGTGACAATTGGCCTTGGCCTTGACGCAGAATCCACATCTTGGAAGAATTCGGTCACATTTTGTTTTTCGTTGTCGGCAGAGGTAGCATCTTTAGGGGAAAGTTAGAACAAAGTACATAGTTTGTTGTATATCCGTGAAGGGGTCAGTTACACTGTGGAACTCTTCTCTTCTAACGCTGAATTTTCGGGTGAATCGCTGCCCATGGTTTCAAACACTAACGAGCACCAATTGAGGGTGAATAAATGAGGATAACAAAAGGTGAACGTTAAGACTGGGGGGAAATATGGCATGAAATGGGAACGTCGGCGGCGCGGAAATGTCGACGGCGAGGCTTGGCCCGAGAAATCCCCCACCAGGTGCGATATCCGTCTTGGGAAGCCCATCTACATCGGGGCTAAGTGGTGTCGAAAAAAAAAAAAAAAAGACATTGGACGCTGTTGAGTCTGTAGAATTCAATCGATCTGGACGTCAGACAATTGTTACTCAAGTGGCAGTTTGACCCGCTCTTTTGACCCAATTCCATATGGCGTCGACTGTATGTATGTCGTCGAGATGAACGAGCATCCCGTTAACGGACAGTAGAATCCTTCGGTGCTCCTGTATGGTCCAGGAAAAGCGAAAATTGAAGACAGACCTCTACCAGAGATCAACAGTCCTACTGATGCAATAGTTCGGATCAAGTTCGTGGGAGTGTGCGGGAGTGACGTGAGTTACCGACTTCAGAATATAGATCTTGTTGAGCTAATCGCCTCGAGGTTCATTTCTGGACTCATGGAGGCGTTAATGGGAAAGTGGTCTCCGAGTCAAAGCCGTTGGTCATGGGGCACGAGGCCTCAGGTCTGTCAAATCTGCTGTAGAATTCGCAAGGATAATCAATGACGCGCATTCAGGTACAATACATGCTGTCGGATCGGCGGTGACACATTTGAAACCGGGTGACAATGTTGCGATTGAACCGGGCCAGCCTTGCCGTTCTTGTGTGCGGTGTAAAGAAGGGTTGTACAATCTTTGTCCACAAATGAAATTCGCCGCTTGCCCGCCCGATACTCCCGGATGTTTGACAAAGTATTTCAAGATTCCTGCAGATTTTTGTTACAAACTGCCACTGGGGGTAAATCTGCAAGAAGGAGTTCTAGCAGAACCACTTGCTGTTGCAGCGCACGCTGTTCGGATGGTTAAGATCCGACCCGGTCAAAGTGTCGTGATATTTGGCTCCGGCACCATCGGTCTCGTCTGCGGTGTCGTTGCTCGATTGTTCGGAGCGAAGAAGATTGTTGCTGTAGATTTGTTGGACCATAAGCTGGAGTTCGCCAAAGGACTCAGTCAATCAAGCACATTCAAGCCAGACCTGAGTGCGTCGCCAGAGGAGAATGCTACTCGCTTGATTCGAGAACATGATTTGGGACTAGGGGCCGACGCCGTCATCGAAGCATCCGGAGCTGAGAGTTCGATAGCTACTGCGGTGTACGTTCTTCGGCCAGGAGGCTCATGCGTACAAACAGGACTGGGTAAGGCGATGGTGAATTTCCCTATTTTGACAATGAGTGAGAAAGAGCTGCACATGCATGGGGCGTTCCGGTATGGTCCAGGTGACTATAGGGTCGCCATGGACATACTCGAGGCTGGTACCATCCCGCTCAAAACCTTGATTTCCAACGTGTTCGATTTCGAACAGACCACAAGCGCATGGGAAGAGACTAAACAGGGGCGGGGTATCAAAAATATGATTCGAGGCTATGGGTATAAAGATCCTGGTCGAGTAATTCATTTGTAGGGCCATCCACTTTTTGATTTCGGGCGAGGCTGCTGCCTAATTCTCTCATTTCCAGCACGGGGTGGGGTGGGCATAAAACAAACGGCAAATACTTTCCTCTTGCCTCAACGAAGAACTGGTAATGACTGTGAGTGGAGCATTCACGTAAGACGCGAACGCAGATAATGTACAAGAACCATTTTCACTAATTGTCAACCTCCGTCCGCTTTCCCCTAGTGTTGACTCCATTCAATAGCATTCAGATCCACGCCCTCCTGAACCAGCTCCCACAGCGGACTCAGTTCTCTCAGGAAGGTGACTCGCTCTCGAACAGCTTTTAGCACGTAGTCAATCTCACTGGTTGTGGTGAAACGTCCAATACCAAAACGAATACTGCTGTGAGCGCTTTCATCACTGTTTCCCAGAGCTCGAAGGACATAGCTAGGTTCCAGAGAGGCAGAGGTGCAGGCACTGCCAGAAGACAAGGCAATGTCTTTTAGTGCCATCAGCAATGACTCCCCTTCGACATATGCAAATGAAACGTTGACGCAGCCAGGATAATGTCGGGTTGGGTCGCCATTTAAAGACGTGTGCTCCATCGAGAGGAGACCATCGAGAAGCCGTTTGGACAGAGCGGTAATGCGCTTGGAGTCATACTGGAAAGATCGGAAATCAGCAATGTGTGTCTTGGGGAGAAATATCGAAAATGAAGAAAATTTTGACGACCCATTCATAACCCCTGCTATGCAAATCAACGTGTCGACTTAAGTGGTTTAAGCCAGAACACTCAGAAAGCCATGCATAATTTAAAAAGCGTTATAATCATGAACGGAAAGAGGTGTTTCAGAGGATGAGCTTACCTCCATCTCTTCTTTGGCAATACGGCAGGCTTCCCCGAATCCCACAACGAGATGAGGTGCAAGTGTGCCGCTCCGCAGGCCTCTTTCTTGGCCACCTCCACTGATAATAGGATCCAATCTGACACGGGGTCGTCTTCGGACATAACAGGCACCAATGCCTTTGGGACCATATATCTTGTGGCTGGAAATCGACATCAAATCGATGTTCCAGTCGTTGACATTAATGGGAATCTTTCCGACTGCTTGAGCGGCGTCGGTGTGGAAGTAGACTTTCTTCGACCGACAAAGCTGTCCGATCTCTTTCATCGGCTGGATGACCCCAATCTCATTATTGACCGTCATAATGCTGACCAGAGCAGTCTCGGGTTTGATGGCGTCTTCGAGCTGCTTCAAATCAATCAAACCACTGGAGTTGACCGGCAGGTAAGTTACTTCAAATCCCTCGTCCTGCAAATGTCGGCAACTGTCCAAGACACATTTGTGTTCGGTCTGGCTGGTAATGATATGCTTCTTCTTTCCTGCTCGGCCGAAAAATCTGGCCACACCCTTGATGCTCATGTTATTGCTCTCGGTCGCACCACTGGTAAATATAATTTCTTTTGGATCAGCTCCAATCAGCTTGGCAACGTGCTCTCTTGCTTGTTCCGTGGCCTTCTCGCTTTCCCAACCGTAGGCATGTGTTCGCGAGTGAGGATTGCCCCAAAGACCCGTTAGGAATGGGAGCATCGCATCGAGAACTCTGGGGTCTACTGGAGTTGTCGCCTGTGCATCGAGATAAATAGGGCGACTGCCTTGGTCCATGATTGTCGCCTGCTTGAGGATGCCCGCCGAGGGACTCATTGTTGTGAGATCTGATCCTGGCATCTTCACCTGCGATGGAAGATTGCCACTCTCCTGAATGAATTTCTTCTGGTCAGCTTTAATGGCCGACTCGACATCGGCGACCTGGGCCCGGGAGGGTTGTGATTCGGAGACATATGTTCGGCGCTGGAGGAAACGAGAGGTGGCGATGGAGGCCGATCTTGTATGAAGGGCATTTGACGACAGCTGTCGGATGCAGACTCGCGAAGTCTGCCTCATCGCGGCGGAGGCTGGAGCAGACATTGCAAAGATGGGACCAGACCAGCTGATTTATCTCTTTGTCGCTGAGGGCCGGGATATTTGAGGTGGTGAAGCCGGAGAGGGAGAATGGGAAAAGTAGAGCAAAGAAGTTTTGATTTGATCTGATTAGATTTCGGCCGAGGATGAGTGGGACAGGCTCGCTGTTTTCGGTCCTTATCAGGATATAACATGCGAGCAGAGCACCGACTTCTACCAGTCCGCATAGAAGGAATGGGCGTAAGCGTGGCAGGGGTAGTGAGAATGAAAATGGGAGTGGTAACTCGTCGTGGCTACGAAGCACGGTAATTCATTCGACCAGACTGCATCTCCTACATCCGCGTCCCACACACCTCGCTTTCTCCCCCGATACAGTAAAGCAATATTGGTCGACTTCTGCGGAAGAAAGCCTCCCTGACTATAATCCTGTTCGCTGAAGTTCTCTGTGCAGCGTCTGCGATTGCTGCTGGCTTCTGGCGACAATCACACACAGCTCCATCTTCCACCTCCAGCCAAGTCACTCAGCCACAATTCTTGGTTCACTCCCACCGCATTGACACTGGTCGCTCCTTCGCTGGGCTGCGTCATCGTTGGTGCCCGGACGGAGTCAATTAGTTAATTGCGGTCAGTTCTTCCATACGGATACGGAATCCATTTTGCCTTTTGATCTGATCCCTGCGCACCTTTTCTCTCCAATAAGCCGCCCTTCCATCTTTGCAGCGCTTCCATCCGAAAGAAACTACCACCACCACACCACCGCCACATATCACGTCCAGACACCAGAGAAGGAATTCACCTATATTCTACGGCTCTCATTTGGACCGACTGATTCTTCCTTCCGTAATATCCGACCTCCATCCCAAACATCCTCTTCCGAGACTTCCACGCCCACAATCCTCGAAGCAACTTGAGCTGAGAACTTGTGCGGAAAGACTTCCACAAGCCACCACAACAATCAAGAATGAGTCTCAAAGGAGTGACCAAGAGTATAACCCGAGCCCCGCAACAATTTAAACAGCGCTTCAACATTGGCGACAATACTAAAGATGCCGTATACATCGATGCGGAAAGGCGCTTTGCAGAGCTGGAAACTGAGACGAAGAAGTTGCATGACGAGTCGAAGAAATATTTTGACGCCATCAATGGTACACCTTGAAGCATCGTCTTCTGCTGGAATCCTTTGTCACTCTGACCATCTATAGGCATGCTGAACCACCAGATCGAGTTTTCCAAAGCCATTCAAGAAATCTACAAACCCATATCAGGCCGCGTATCCGATCCCAATTCGTTAATGCCGGAAGGAAATCCAGAGGGAATTCGTGCTTGTGAGGAATATGAATCGATCGTGCGCGAACTACAGGCAACACTCCAACCCGAACTAGAAATGATCGAGCAGCGTGTTATAGCCCCCGCCGACCAATTACTCGAAGTGATCAAAGTCATTCGCAAAGTGGCCGTCAAGCGCCAACACAAGCAGCTGGATTATGATCGTCACCGAGCGACCCTGAAAAAGTTGCAAGATAAGAAAGAGAAAACTCTCAAGGATGAAAAAGCTCTTTTCAAGGCTGAGAACGACGTCGAGCAAGCAACTCAAGATTACGAATACTTCAACAACCTCCTCAAGGATGAATTACCCAAACTCTTCGCCCTGGAAGCCGAATTCATTCGCCCGCTCTTTCAATCATTTTATTACATGCAGCTAAACGTTTTCTACACTCTGCATGAGAAAATGCAAGGCATCAACATTGGTTACTTCAACTTGAACCTAGATATTGAAGACGCATTTGAAATGAAACGAGGCGACGTCAAGGAACGCGCAGAGGCACTCTCGATAGTTCATTTCAAGGGGACCGGCGGATTGAAAGGTACTCGCGTAGTGTCCAAGTATGGCGCTGCTGCAAAAGCCAAAGAAGCCGAAGCAAGCAAATCATCGTATGCGAGCCGACGGACGAGTCATCTGGAAGACGGCATTTCCAATCCACCTCCGCCGTATTCACCACCGGGTGGAGCCAGCTCGCCCAGTAGCCCAGCATTGGGGAGTCCTTCATTGGGTGCGACCATTGCGGCAAAGGGCAAACCGCCGCCGCCGAAACCCAAGCCAAGTCGTTTGAGTGGTGCGCCAAATGTCGAGACTGTCACGGCTCAGTATGACTATGAGGCGCAAGCCGAAGGAGATCTAAGTTTCCTGACGGGAGATATTATTGAAATCGTCTCGAGGACGCAGAATGAGAACGAATGGTGGACAGGACGAATAAACGGGAAGGAAGGACAATTTCCCGGTAGGTTTGAAAACGAAATCTCGCATCATTCGAGTTATTTTGGGGCAAACAGACTTTCGAACACATGGCTAATACTTGATCTCTAGGCAACTATGTACGGCTGAACTAGAAACATCGCCTCAAGCTGAAGTGTTATCGCAAAGAGATTAGATCTCCTTGCCGCCCAGTTTGTGAAATCAAAGCACAGCTCTCCCTCGCCATCTACAACCAGGGAAATGGCGATGAACCAAAAAAAATGAAGGTCGCTTTGAGTTTCTATGACCGACTTATTGACCGTACCAGGCATTTTCCCCCAAAGGCTTCGCTCACCATTTGGCCCAACGTTTAGGATTGGGAGTACTCTGCTCCTAGGATATGAGTCCAACTTCGCATAGCGGCTAGGTTTAGGTCTGGTATCGTCAGGTAAAAGAAGAAGACTTAGAAAATGGTCAGGTTCTGGTTCGGCCCCGTGGTGCGTAACTGCTTCTTGGTTTCAATATCATTCTTGGACTTGCCGTGTCTTGTCTTCTCAACAGAGATAAAAGGCGAGAGATTGCCGGCTTACTGGGTCGCTGTTTCTGTTGCTGTGTCTGTCTCTGGCTTGATGACATTGATTCTTCCATTCCTTTTTCTTTTCACCCTCAGAATCCAAAGTCCTGCTCCCTTTTCTTGTATTTCCACGGTAGCTTGATCCTTTCTGAGACCTGGATTGTCTATTTACCAAACTGATTTGGTGATTCCGTTGAGCACTGGCTGGATCTGTTTCCACTTTCCACTTCGGAACTCTTATCTTACTCCTTCGGTGTCGGATGACGTTGGACACCTCTTGGAAAACCTCTTTCAACCGCCCCCTCTTGGATCGTTGAATGGGAAATCAATCAGTGCTCGTATAGCTGAAGCAACCCATCCACTTCCTGGAATGCGAATGCAACAGCGTCTTGTCAGAAGAGGATTAGAGAGAGATAGCTATTCACTACCAGACTTCTGGTTGGCCTTTTGATATATACACACCAACACAGAGTATCAGCGCATACAGTCTCGTTCACTATCTTTCGACGGACGTGCAAACAGATCACGTTTAGGGTTTGCTTTTCGAGAACGAAACATCTCTCTGGACGGAAGCTGGCATACAAAAGAGCGAATAGTTTGTTCTTAAAATGAAAAATTTTCTTTGTCGAAATGAATGCATGTGACCTCAACTATGTCATTTCAGCATTGGGGTCACCGTAGCCAAAACCCTTTCGCGATTGAGAGATACATTGCTTTCTCCCGCCAAGTAGGGAGCTTCATGGATCCTGACTTGCGCTTGTCGGGGGACTGACCAGAACCTGAGGCCGAACCTGAACATGGAGGGGAGAGCGACGGCAACGGCGATTCCATTGACTCGGGCAGGAGTGGTGGCCACGGTTTGGGCGCCAATGGTTCGGAAGTGGGTTCCACAGGCAACGGAGCTCGAGCTGGCAAAGCTGGACTTCCAAGATGGACGGGCTGATTCTTGATTCTTTTCGTGCGGTCCGTCAGACCTGGCTCCACTGTGTGACTGATAGACTCGCCAGTGTTCATGTCAACATCCTGATTCGAGACGCTTTTTCTCTTCCTGTACTGAGGTGACGAACCATCTCTCGTTTTAGGCTTCGCGAGAGTCCCGTTTAGGCGTTTCATCCCTTCAAACCCGAAACTAGGATCGAAGCTGACGAACACGAGCGCCCGTTCAGGTGAACCAGGTTCTCGAGGAGGACCGGCCATGTAGACAATCCCCTCGTCTCCAAGAATAGCTTTGACATCTCCCGCCCGGCCACTGGGACATAGGATGTCGTGAAGCTCCTGTGGTGCATCATCTGGAGGCCACATTGCAACACGGCTGGGCCCGTACCATTCTTCCCCATCTTCCATATTCTCGCCTTCTCTATCTTTCCTACAAGGTCGAACGATCAATGCTCTTGGATCCATCGAGCCCTTCTCCGGAACCAGAGGGTTGAGTTCGTTCCTACTGACCACTCTCACCTTTATACGTTCCCTGGGCCGCCATTCATCCTCAATCTTGACTTCTTCCGTGACTAGATCCACGAAGGACTGTGCGTTGAACTGGTATCCGTTCCATTTTGTCTTTGCGCGGATATATTCCTTGCCGAACTCGTCGACGCCGTCCTGGAATTCGGCATGGACATATCTATCGACGCGGGGTCTGGGCGGCTCGTATCGACTTTTACTTTTCTCGTCTAAGGTGAGTCTCAGACGATCGTCAGGCGGATATTCAGGGCTATCATTTAACCCTTTGTGCTCCGCTCGATGAAATGGTTGAGTATAATACGTCCTGATGGAACGGCTTCCACCATTTGCCCATTCCTTTCTGCATTCCACAACCAACAACTCCCCGCTGCGGTGGTCCTCTTGAAATCCCAGGTCCGTCCAAGCATCATTGATAGGCCCCTCGAGATGTTGCCGTCTCCATATCGTTTGGATCTTTAACTCTGGAGTAGGATCGTCAACTCGAAAGCTGATAAAATGATAGTAACTGGTCCAGTCGACCTCCTCACTCTCAACGCTAGTTTGATTTGTTAGTGCGTAGAACACGTCCCGATAGATTGTAAAGCAGACAGTCGACCCAATCTCAGACCCAAAGAAATCTCGTAGTTGCAGTGGCTCTTTCGTTACGGGCTCTGACGTCTCGAAATCATAGCCTTGCAATAGCCATTCATGATGACTGTAATTGCCCATCGCAGAATGAGTGCCCACAATCATGTATCTGTGATTGTGCCTAACGAAAAGCTTGCTGGTGGACCGAAGAGGAATGCAAAGCAAGATTCGACGATGCTGGCCCGTCAAATTCGGCCGTGGTGGTGGACAAAAAGTCTCGGAAATATTGACAGCAAAAATGTATTTGCCGTATGAGCCAAAGTCGCAAGCAAGGATCACGATCTCAGATGCGTACCCGTGGACTTGAATAGACTTGAGTGACTCGAGGTCCAAATTTCCATTGCCACGAGATGTCGTGACAATTCGATTCGTGAAGACTGAGCCGCTAATCACTTTCTCAGTGCTTCGGCCGGTATTGAAATCGAGAATGCGAAGGCTCGCACAGGTCGAGTAACACAGGATGCCTGCGTAGTACGAGAAACTGGTCGCGTACGCAATGACACAGGCCGCGTATGGCGAGGCAGTTTGTAACGCCTGATGACAGTCGACATAGCGACCAATGGTTTGTCTGAAACTCGTCTTCTGCGTAGAAAGCGCGAGTTGAGCCCAAGTCGAGAAGCAGACACTGGCCTGATCTCATTAGCTGATGCCAAATCATCGAGGGGGCTGGATTGAGTGGATATCACCTGAAGGGAATTCTTAGCAGTATTCTCATCCCGGAGATGCTGGTACAGATTCCGACACGTCTTCCCAAGGCTGTCATGAGAACGGATATCCAGCTGGCTCGCCACCTGATACAGAATGTCAAACGGCAATCGATTAAACCCTGACAGCATAACCGAAAACGAGGATAAAGGAGACGTGATAAGATGCGGAAGTCACGCGACGTGATCATGAGGCAGGAAGACGGTGAAATATAACGAGATGTGTTGCGTTAAAGGAGTGACTCAGTGGCAACAGTAAGGAATGTAGGAGAAGGGGGTCATTAGTGGGATAGGTCGAGGTTCCATGGACTGACTGATAATGAAAGACAGATAGTAATTCGAAGCTGTCACCAGCTCCGAGAGCGACAGCAAAGAGGTGAGCATGTCAAATACCAAGGCAGAGAGCTGCAGAGCCGCATTATGGCAGAGCTGCAGAGCCGCATCATGGCAAGAGCCGCAATGCTCCTGCTTCCTCGAGAGTTTAACGGATTAGTGGAACGATTAGGCTTTGGGCCACGTTACAGGCACACGTCAAGTGTCGAAGCTATTTGATTAGACCACGTCGAGCACATTTAGACCTGCATGGACCTTTTGGGCGCAAGACGAACAAGGAATGAACCGGGAACTGCGGTGAGGCTGAGTAAATGAGAGGAGAAGCACGCCTTCCCCACTTCTGGCTTTTGTTTGCTGTTTGGAAGATTCACGTGACAAGTTGACGGGAAGGCTCCGCGTCTACCGTGTGTTGTTTGCCTGCCTGTCGGAACGTACGTTGGCATTGGTCCTGGGCCTTGTATTCGAATTTGCTGCTCATCTGCACAGAGCTCAGCCTCATGCAGTCTGTCATAGTTGAAACCAGTCCTGCATCACATATTACTAGCTGTTGTTGCACTGCCTCAGCTGCATGGTTTGCAGCCTCTGTGTTGGGCCACGCTATCTCCCAGACGGTGTCAAGCCTCTCACCTTTGTAAGAAACAAGGTCCGAGAGTAGTGAATTCGTGCTTGTGTTCAAGCTCGCTCTCGTAATTTGTGCCGCCCTCGCAGAGAGGAGATCAAGAATGACTCCCCGAAGGGGATTTTTTCAAACCCATTCATGAAGGATTGAAGGTATCTTTGCTGCATCTAGCGCCTCCTTTTTTTTTTTTTTTTTTTCCCAATTAGGCCAGTAGTATTATCAAGAGGTAATGAGAATAGCATGAATCATCCGGTAGGCTTGAACGCGATGACAGAGCCCTCATGCGGTTTGGGGATGGCGACCGCTGAACGTGCAGGAATATGATATTCGAGGCCAAGCCAATGCAGCATTGGAGGCAGGCGATGCTGCGTGGCAACAAGCAGTTTGACATTTTTTTCAAACCGGCAGCGCGCACCAGACTCTAAGATGCGTTGGCAGGATGAAGCCGCATGGTTATTTGAATCCGGATGGAGCGAAGGTGCTAATCAAGAGATTGTTCGTTAAATGGGTTGGCTGGCAAAGACTTTGTTGCGCCCAATTTCTATGTGAAGGCGCGAACTCACGCCGTGGATTGTAGCTCTTTTCCCCGACCTAGACCCCACTTTTCATGGCCATCGTCTGCTGCAGCATGATTTGAGTCGAGCATCGAAGATGGGCGTTAGAAGGCTTTAGAATCATGACTTGCGAGGAAGTTAGAAGTCTGCGTTGTCAAGAGCGGCTTGGAGGAGATAGCATGAACGACTAGACATTCACCCTCTGAATAGGAACTCGAAGTTAGCTAAATCGAGGTGTCTGGCCAACAGATACATTTGAAAAAGGGTAGCACAGAAGCAAAAAGCGTGGGATGACCACTTGAACGAGAAAGAGAAATGTGAGGGTGTGGGGGGGCACGATTAAGTAAAAATTATTTCTGGAACCTTGAGGGTGCTGTGACATTTGTTTACATTGGTCACTGACTTCTGGCCAGCAAAGTCAAGTCCTTCTGGATAGAAATGAGTTAGCAGGCATCACGCACGTATTTGTCTGGTAGATAGTCGCAGTCACTGAACAGAAGTTGATGCATCAAGACCATTTTCATCCACGATCACTATCTATTCAAGATCCTCGTCCTCATCGCACCATCTAGCTCTGGTTCCATTTGCCATATCTTGTCCAGTCATCATACAAGTTCTTAAAGATGGCACGGCTACTCGGATCCATTCCCGCATTCAAGGCTCTGAAGAGCTCCTGGTCCATTGCATCCATCACACCGTACATCCCCGGCATTAACCGTTCTTTCATTGTGGGGGTAATTTGACCATCAAGACTGCATCGAGCGTACTCAATCACTAGGTATTGCATGAACTGGCCCGCCCATTGCCTTGCCTTCTTTGTATCGTCGTTGAGCTGGTTGTGTCCTCGTTTCTTCGATGACCGTGCCGCCGACACTGTTGGGTTGCATATTGACAAGACAAGGCGAGAGAACTTTTCTGCCGATGATGGGGCCAGACCTTCACCCGATTCTCGTAACCACGTGGGCAAAGTTTTGCCAAACGTGTCGATGGCGCCCACTGACATTGTCCATTTTTCATCGCGAACCTTCTCGGTTCCGGGCCAGAAAAGACATCGAAGCAGTCTCTGCATCGCTGGAACTAGCAGGTGATAGCGGTCAGAGAGGCGCCTTCTGTACCTCCCCAAGATCGAACCCATGACAGCACATAATCGTTCATAGATATGCAGGGCTCGTGGTCCTGACTCCATTTCGAGATCGCCCAATGGCTTTTGGTCGTCACTGGGCGCCGATGCGATCGCGCAAATGAAAGCGAGCAGTCTGTCTAGAGTTGATTGATTGACAACGGCTGGGTGCAAATCTAGGACTGTCTTGCTGTTTTCCAACGCCAGACACAATCCAGTCATCGTCCTTTGTCTAACGAAACCATCCATGCATGCCAGCCTTGCCAATCCATTGGCAAGTTCTGGATATAGCACCATGTGTTCTCCTTCGATATGGAGAATGGCGGACGCGATCGTAACGTGACTTATGAGCTGAAATTTGCCTTGTAAGCTCTTCTCGCGTAGTGTTTCTAGTGCCAGAGACCATCCAGCTGGCCCAACCTGGCGAACGAACAGATCTGCGCGAGTGGCGAGCAAAGAAATCTCGTCATTTGTCCACCTCTTTTGCTGTGTGCAAAAGGAAGCAAGTTTCTGAATTTCAGCTTCCACTTCCTCCTTCAATGGTCTAGTACCAGCCGATGAGGTGAAATGGAAGCATTCGCGTTCAATTGCGAGAGAAATACGTCGTTCTTCGTTGGTCAAGTCGTCTTTATGCATGGTTAAGTCCCGGGCTTGAAGCACTTTCTGGATCTGTGTTGCTGCTTCTTGAGGTCCTTCATCGGGCCTAGCGGCACCCACACTGTGGATAGCGTCGAGATTGAGTTTTAGTTTTAGAAGGCCACTATCTTTCATGCCATCGCGGAGAGTCTCTTCAATACTGGAATTTAGACTGCGAATAAAGTCCTTCCGCAAATTTTGAAGCTTTTGACTTGCGATGATGCTGTCCAGTTGACTCACTGATCGGCAGGCGAGGCCAAAAAAGACTCCCAAACTCAAAACAGACGACTGTTGTAGTTTGCCGTTTTGAGAAGTCTCAATAACCGTTGTCGCCCAAGAGAGTATTGCCGAGAGAACCGAAGAGTTGGAGGCCGCCGAAGCTCGTGTCCAGACCATTTCAAATATACGAACTAGCATTTGCATTGTCGCGAGAAGTGATGTTGAAAACGCTCGATGTTCTTGCCTGAATATAATCCCTGAAAAATGAACCCAAAAGTGCCAGTCCTTGAAATCGACGACTGTCCCACCCAAAAGAGAGTCCAAATCAATGAGAAGGCCCAGGTCGTCCGCAACAGCATCCGTTGGTGCGTCCTGACTGTTCTGGGCCAACCGACGCATTGCTGCAGTGGCGATTTTTTTCATCTGAGGAGATCTTTTCATTGTTTCGATTGGTAGATCTCGTAATAAAGCTTTACCAGCCTGTCTCTCAGTCGTCGTTGACTCCGCATTTTCAGTGACAAACTGGAAGATCGAGTTTCGTAGGGAAGGATTGTTGACCACTTCATTGACCTTCAACGTGGCTTTCAATAGGGCTTTCAAGCTCACTGGAAGATCCTCGTCAGCGTCGGGAGACACAGGCTGCGTTACGAAAGCAAGGGATTTGTCAATAAACCCCTTGAACATTTCAGGGTAAATCGAGAATACTGTGGGCGCCTGCGCTATTCTGCCGATACAGCCTGCTAGAAGCTTGGTCAAGTTGTCGCAATCATAGCTTTGGCCATCCCAAAAATCAACGGGGCTTGATGTGGGTCGAGGTGCAGTATCAGGTAAAATGAGCTCGGTCAGGTAATTCAGTTCCGACTCCAAGTTCAGTTGGAATTGCAGGGAATGCGTGGCCAATTCGAGTACTAGTGAGAAACACTCCAGACACTCGAGAAATTTTGAAGCCCTTTTGCGACTGGCATCTGCCTGGCCCATATTTTTTATGTCTTTGAGAGACATGAAATTGTAGTCGGAACTCAGTAGCTGGTCTATATCAGACGGCAAATTTGTGAAATTGAGGAGTTGAATGAGAATGTAAAGAAGTTTCCATAATCGCCAGCGTTGAGCGTGGTAGTCGGATTTTCGGCGCAAAGCATGCATGGCCCCATTAAAAAGACGAGCCAGTTTTTGGGAATCAAGGTCGATATTTACGTGCTGTGAATGAGAAATTTCAAGGAAGGCAGAGAATACAGCCACTTTTGCAAACAAGTCAGCTGTCGAACCGACCTTTTCGCCAATCTCGGTCAGAGGTTGGACGAGGTCGTCCAACAACCGTTGACCCAGGCTCGGTGGAGCTTGCATGAGGACCAGCGTTTTGAACTGATCAAAGACATCGTTATCCTCCCAAACAAGGACTGCAGGAATAGTCACCAGAGAATATTTGGTCGTGTAACGTGTCCGGATGGCGTCCCCGAGATTTTGTTGCCAAATGGAAATAAATCCGCCCAAGTCTCTTGATCGAGTGAAATTGCGCATTAACGGAAGAATGATTCCATCGCGAATGAGAGTATATTCATCATTGGAGACAGAACTAGACTCCATTTTGCCAAACATTTGTTTCAAGAGATCCTCGGAACTGGACAACCCTGAGCTGGGGACCAGGATGCTGGCATCAACTTTGATGACATTGGCTATAAGAGTCCAGGGACGAAATTGATCATCCAAGGCCAACAAAGCCGATAGGACATATCCCAGTATTGGGAGGGATATGTGCAATTTTCGTGCCAAAACAACGTCCAGTAGATTTTCCAGGGGGAAAAGCCAGGTTTCTTGATATTTCAACACCGAAGCCAGTGAAACCTGGGGTTGCACAACGCCTGTTGATGTGATTCGCGGCATTTGAGGCCAAACAGTGTGCGCAAGACATATGAACAGGGAATCAATCCAGGCTTGGTCCATTTGGCGTCTACGAAGCTCGGAGGGCGGGATCGAGCGCGCAGCTATATCAAGGATGATCCAAGACAAGTCGAGGCGAGTAAACCGCGTGACGTTCTCTGGAGTCTCGGATGTTGGACTGTCCAGGTCGAGGATTCTCTTCCTGAAATTCTTCAATGTAGGTTCCAAACGTTCGTAAAGCAATACATCATTGGAGTTGTTCCATTTTTTGGCATGTCGCTCGTTGAGTAATTCACGAGCGGGGAACACAACGTGCAGCGCTATGAGGCGCTCGAGTGCATTTCTTGGAGGGACGAGCGACTTGCACCTGGTTTGTTGATTTCGGAAGGCTTCGAGGAGAACCAAACTAGGTAAGAGACAATGAGAACGAAATGCCTGATTTGGGTCGTCGCTCTGCCCTCGAGTCACTGAAGAGTCTCCTTTCCAATGGCTGAGTATATTGTTGAGTATTTCGGACATCAGGTCGATCTCTCGCGCTCCTGTGGCAGTCTCGAAGAGCGATGCAACCACTTCTAACAAAGCACCAAGCAAAGACGCCTGATCGCTCCACGATGCAAACCATGTCGGAGGAATCCGATGGGTCTTTATCTTGTTCTTCGACGGCTCGGGATCCAGCAGCGCGACGCACCGACTCGCAGCTTGAAGAAGAATCCAAGGTAACTTGTCTTGTTGGAGATCTGCCTTTGGAGTCGTTTTCGTCTCAGGGCTCAATCGCCTCCTTTTTGGTGGGGGGCCATGGTGTTCAGTTCCCTCCTGCGGCTCTGGCTCGGAGTCACTTACAAATGTCCTGGTACCGACAATGGCTCGAATTGCCTTGTCGAGAGCGGGAAAGAACTTGCGTTCGATGAAAATTTCCAGGCAGACTTCGTGGGGAATCGTGCAGGTCAAGCTGAGAAGTAGGGACCAGAAATTTGGACAGAGAGCCAAACTGAGAGAGTCTAAGACGATAGGAATATATACTTTGGAAGGGATAATACATACCTTTTCTCAATGTTCCCGATTTTCTCTCCTCGAGTTTTGGAATCTGAAACATTCAATTTCCTCAAAAGCCAGCGCAGAAGCCACTGCTCTTTGAATCCATTTGAGACTGGTAATGCCTTGAACTTCACGTCGACAGAACAGTGTTGAACATTCTCCTCAAGGTTGATTCCAAGGATTTTGGCCGCAGTCTCTAGGTCGGCTGTAGGAGGGCCATTCGTTCTTTCCAGGTCGGCGATGGCTGCCTCGAACGACTTCTTCGCCATGTTTCCTTTTTGCGCTGACTTGGTGAAGTATCATTTCAGTTTTCTCAAAGAAAGCTGGCCTTCTTTTTAGTTTACGAACAGTGGCCTGAAAAAAAAAAAAAAAAAGAAGTTCAAAAGTTGAACTTGATCTTGGGTCCGGAGAAGTATTGCCAAGGCGACTTCCCATCGGCTGGAGACCCTCTTTTTTTTTTTGGCGACCAATTCCGCTCCGGGCAATGCAGGGAGGAGAGCAGAGCTTCAAGCCCGACAACTATTTGTAACAACTCTTTCCCATCAGTCATATACAAGGCCTCACGGAACGACCACTTGTTTCCCATGTAAGTTCAAAGTTTCTGAGACTCGAGTGCATTCACTAAGTTCTGTTGTAGCAGTCAACAAGATGCCGGACGACAATGCTTCTGGCCTTCCCTTACCAACACCCAAATCAAAGCCCGTCAGCGAAGCTCTATTGAACGAAAAGGTACGGATTTTTAAAATGAAGTTAATGGGAGAGCTGGAGAGTGTATGGACCTTCTGCAACAATCTTGTGCAATACATCATATCAACAATCGACACCCACGCCCTGGGCACGGTTGGGAGCAATGAGCAATTGCTAACCCAAGATATAGTGGGATCGCGCAATTTCGTCGTTTGTGATCAGATCAGGCCTCGGCTTCTCCTTCGGAGTCATATTTTCAGTTCTGTTATTCAAAAGAAGAGCGTGGCCGGTATGGCTGGGAACGGGATTCGGCGCGGGTCGAGCTTGGGAAGAAGCTGATGGTCAGTCTAGTATTCAAGCTATGAAGCTCTCCGGTTGACACTATTCTAGCGAATTTCAAGAGAGGGGATTCGTTCACTACGGATGGACTGCGAAAAGTACGGACGGAAAGGTAGATAATTGGCTGGTGAATTTGCGTTGGTGTGAAAACTGCAATCCGAGAGTACAATTTTGTACCAATACGTACAGGGCGCCTCGCTGGGAGGTTCAAGCGATACTATTTCAGCATTGAATATCCTGCTCCTGATTGAGTACAATTTGGCCCTCCACCTCCTCTCCCAAGAGAAGCATTTCATCTGCTCGCCTTTTCATTTTCGATTTCTCGGCGGATGCTCTCTAGTTCTGCCTCGCGTTTCCTCAGATGTAATTCGAGCCCCTCTACTTGCTCAGACACCAGTGCCAAATCGTCTCTCAGTCTCTTGAGATCATTGCTTGATTTGTTCGCATTTTCCGAATTCAAATCCACATACTGTCGTTGCTTATACTCAAGCATTTGTTGTGCTTCTCGCTTGACCAATGTCCAATTCGTCTTCCCGGATTGTCTGAGCCCTCCATTCTCTGACCGTTGCTTCCGTCTTCGCTCTGCGGCTGCAACGGCCGCATCATGTTGGGATTCCAGCTCTCGTAGTTCACGTAGAAGTCGAACCTTCTCGAGGTCTTCATCTTCCACCACATCGGAGAAATCAGTGCCCTTGGGCTGGTACGATGAGCTACCTCGCCCACCGATGCGGCTCAGATAGGCGTCTCCAAACTTAGCCTTTCGACCAGTGGAAGTGTCCTCGTCATATTTATTGGGGCGGTTGCGCATGCTATCGATCTGATAGTCAATCTTGTTTCCTTCGAAACTGGATCTCAAGCTCGGCGGAACGGTTCGAGGTATCCGGAATCCTTCGTGGCGATAGTTGAGGATGTGTAGGAAAGCTAGGCACGCATCTTTGGATATTGTGTCCCGCCCACTCGTGTTGACCAGGTTCCATGCACTACGGACGTCTGTGTCCGGCACGTCCAGACTCGCGTATAATGTGTGCAAGCTCTCAAAGCTGATCTCCCCTCTCCGATTTTTATTTGCCGAATATATCTCCTCATACTTGCGCTTATCACTCGGGTTCATGTACCAATCGAAGCCATCTTTCAAGCCCGCGTCGTCTTCATCATCCTCAATCCTCTCAAACTGTGCCTGTTGATGCCCTGTCAATGCACGGTTCGCCGCGACAAGGTGGGCTTTGCTCTCGGGAATGAGCCAGTCGGGCAAGCTTTTCGGGACGTCTTGGTACTCGCCATTGACCAGGTCAAAGATCAGGCGCATGGCAACGCAAAACTCTTCAAAGTCGAGCTCGCCGTCGCCGTCGACATCAGCAAGGTCCCATACCCGTTCGAGCTGGTCGTCTCGTAGTTGAGAGTTGCGCAAGACATTGGCGGCGGCTTGGTTCGTCAGATGTGAGGAGGGGGTGGCAGGAGGCTGCACCAGGGACGAGAAGATCTCCCAGTACCGGTCGATTTCCCATTTCTCAATCCGCTTCGTGCCTGACATGGCGGGAAAAGTTGCGGAGACTGATTTCAAGACAAGGTTTGGATTATGGGTCTGAGAAACGAGATTCGCTTTTAATCGAGTGGGCGACGGAAAAGGAAAACCAATAGAACGACTGCTCTGATAAACGCTCAAAGAATTCGACTCGAATTTCCACCCAATATTCGACGATTATGCAGATTGTTCATCGAGTATATGTTGCGGAAGCACACCTAAAAGTAAGCGGCATTGAAAGACCTCAACGCAGAAGAGTCTCGCCAAGGGAAAAACATTGAGGTCCGTCTGACAGGCATTATTATCCCGGGCGTTTGCTAAGCAATCAAGCCATATAGCACACTACACATGTCAGACATCACAGAAATTTTGTACCTACTGAATCGCGTATACGCAGTACTACCAGCAAGTCAGGCACTCAGCACGAAACAACCTGACGATTTTCTGAGTCGTTGCGATCCAATCCGTTCCTCCAATCTCTTTCATCAATTACAGCTCTGGCCCTTCATATCTGAGATGAGAGGAACTTCGCCGCTCTCAACATGAATATGTGAGAAACATCTAAAGAGATGGCCCTTCTAGGAGACCGAAACCTCCCCAACAGGACCGTATCTTTGCCTCTTATGTCTAAAGCAGATCTTCCAAGCAATCGCAGAATAAGAGATCTTTGACCTGGGTTAACTTGCCGAGCCATTAGCCTGCTGTTGACAAGGCTCGAGCCGTCTGTAAGATGCCATATCTGCACAACACTCCCCACCGTGATATGATAGTGCTCTGGCTAATATTATCCCATTTAGCCGGATAATTTAACCTCAATCGATGCTGCAGGAACAACTCATCGGACTCTTCATAAGCCCACTCAGTCATGTCTGTGTGATGAGTTTTGAACTCCCTCCTCTGCCCCGCAAACCCGCCAAAAAAAGAAAAATATGAAGACAACGCGGCTTCTAGAACATCCTTTACCGCGCCACGGCAATGATGGTGACGACATCGACGGTGTCCTCATCGGTCAAGACATCTGCACTGACAAGCCTCTGGCGACATGGAAAAATGAATCCAAGATTATGATCTCCTGTTCAGTTCCCTTGATTCTGACCTACCTGCTGCAATATTTCTCCAGCCTGACAATTGTGTTGGTCGTTAGTGGGATCGGACGAGCCGGCCGCGGTATCGTTGGGCGTGACGACGATGAATATTGCCGGCTTCGCAGTTTTCGAGGGCGTTGCCACCAGTCTCGACACCCTGTGAGCACAGGCTTATAGGTCAGGGAACTTGAAGCTCGTTGGCCTCCAGGTGCAGAGGATGGTGCTGCTGCTCCTTCTCATTGCCTATCCGATTTGTGTACTGTGGATAGCCTCGCCGTGGATTTTGGCCAGGCTGATCCCACAGTCATATCTAGCTGTAGGGGCAGGGACATTTTTGCGAATATCGCTCATCGGCGTGCCGGGATACGCGCTCTTCGAGGCAGTCAAGCGCTTTTGTACAAGCGCAGGGCAACTTCACAGCATCGTTGGTTGTGCTTATCCTGTGTGCGCCTATCAATCTCCTGCTCAATTGGATGTTTATCTTCCACCTCGACTTGGGCGTCATGGGCTCGGCGTTGCTTCCAGCACCCGGATTGGCCATCTGATAGGCCAAGGGTCAGTCAGGGCCGGTAAGAGCCTGTCGAAGTTCTACGCCGGAGTTTTCACGGCTGTCGGCGTCTTTGAGAGCGCGGAAGGAGGATTGTGAATAGAAGAGAAATAGAGAGGGAGTTTTGTTTTTCTGGTGTATGGACGGCTTTCTTCTGTAAACGGTAATGATTCATTTGAATGAAAAGTAACTGCTAGATGTTTCATGCAACAATGAATGTTGACAAGGCTGGGCCGGCTGAAATGTCACTGGCTGCAACTTGTAGGCTAACTACTTAAGCGCTAGCATAGATCAATCCCCTTAACGCAAGGCTGAAGTTCATGGCCACAAAGTTTCAGCGATATTGTTGGATCTACTATATTAGAGTTAGAGATCTCTGAGTAGACTAGGAGTTATCTCACACAATGACAAAGTGCTCTATATACTTTTATCAAGACAAGATTGATTGATCCAACCAGCCACTTCGCGTAGCAAGATGTGCCAAACTATCGTTCATTGGAATGCCTCCCTGGTGCAAACAAGCTCAATGATATAAGCTTTATCATTCCACTTCCGACTGCTGCTTCCCTTGATGGAAAAGAGGGTAGGCATCTATTTTGATGCCTGCCCACCTTCAATGTCCATCCCAAGTCCCATATCCATATCAGTACAGAGATGCGTCTTTTTTTCTTTTCGGAAAAAAGTCCAATTCCATTTTCTTTTCTTCAAGTTCTCCTTCCAAGAATCAAAATAACAAAAAAAAGGGGGTATATGATATTAAGCTCAGCAAGTGCAACGTTTGCATCCCAGCCCTTTTTCCGAAAGGGGAAAAAAAAAAAAAAAGAAAAAAAAAGAAAGACACCATGGCATTTCTCCTGCAGATGATAGCCTCCTGACTTTCATGATTGTCCTGTGTATGCCTGGCCCGGTTGACCCCATTTTGAATATGCTGATTTTATATGTTCATTAATGATAGTAGGAAATTCGTCCCCATCAACATCAGCGTCAACATTGAAAACCTTCCCAGTGCTTCAACTCTTGTCATTCAAAATCCTACTTTACCAAACTTGCTGCCGCCGCCGCAGCCGCCAAATCAGATCTACCATTCATGGTTCTTTGACCAACGGTCAACCTTGTCAAACTCGAATTGGATGTCGAAGAGGTCATGGCTGCATGTGATGCTCGCTTTGCTTGTGATGTCGTTTGTAATGCTCCTGGCATAGTTGATTGTCGTCGCGCTCCAGGTTTATTAGGTGATGTCTCTTGCCTGTTTCCGACGGGGGCCTTTAAACTCGTGGTTGGAGGTTGTGGCAAGGGCCTGGCACTAGCGGAGTTGGTCACTGAGTTGATCCGCTTAATCGGAGAGTTCACCACGCCAGGATTTCGTCTCGTAGTGTTGGTACTCAGTTTGACTCCAGTGATAAATTCATGCCTGTTGGCCTCGTGAGGATTCATTCGTCGTGACGGATCCCATTTCAGACACTTCGAGATGAAATCAAGGAACGCTTCGTCGTCGCATTTCAAGACTTGGCGCAAGTCCTTTGAACTTGGTCGCCTTCTCCTTCCCTTGGATGAAACCGTTAACCGTGGTTTGCCCATCGAATCGAAGAAGAGCTTTCTTCGGCTACTCTTCTCGATTAGGTGTTTTTCTGGCGGTCCGAAGACTTCCATGATGCAGGCCAATTGTTCTTGCTCATTTTCTCCTGGGAAAATAGGGTACCCAGTGTAAAGTTCGGCCAAAATACATCCGACACTCCACATGTCGATTGGCATGCCGTAAGACATTCCGAGAATGACTTCGGGCGATCGATAAAATCGAGACTGAATGTACGTGTACACCTTTTCGTTTTCAAAACAACTCGAACCGAAATCAATGACCTTGATTTCGGAATGTACTGGGTGAGCAAGGAGAATATTTTCCGGCTTCAGATCACAATGGATGACCTTGTGATGGTGGAGGAGGATGAGACTTTGAAGAAGTTGTTTTGTGAATCGTCGAATTAATTTCAATGAGAAACCCCGGAAATCGTGCGCCTTGATGAATTCGTAAAGATTCATGCCCAGAAGATCAGTGGATATGCATAGGTGACCTCGGAAATAAAAGTTTTGATCGAAATTGACAACGCTGTGTTTTTTGTCCGGATCCTAATATGAATGTTAGTGACCCCCCCCAAAAATTAAAAAATTTCAATACACTGCTTTGTACTTACCCATTCTTTCAATTTTTGGAGAATGTTGACTTCCACAAGAGCTTGTTGATGGAATCTCTTCTTGTTGCGAATAATCTTGACGGCAACGAGAATTCCCGTCTTGTGATCCACACAGCGTACAACTTGACCGAAACTACCTTTCCCAAGAAGATCGACGACTTCGTATCGATATGCTAGGTGATCCCCCTCAACGATGTTGTAGTCACCTCGTTCATCATCATAACCGAAGTTGGTGGACGCCGATTGCAAGTCTCCCACGATTTTTCGAGCGCTTAGGGTGCCAGTGAAGTAAACCTCTGGATAATCAACAATTTCACCCCGCTCAAAGATATTCAGATCAAAAATCCGTGAAGCTGTGTCAGCGGACATGCAACGGACGGGCTTGGCTCTAGCTCGAAGTGCGTCAAGTTCGCGGGCAGCAGATTCAAAGTCTTTCCTCTTGGAAGCAAGTTTCTTCATCTCTTCTTCCGCGATCAAATCATCACGATCAAGGGAAGGTCCTTGCTGATGTTGCGTTAGTTTATTGGCGAGAAGATTGGTTGTACTCGCTGACAAAGATCCCGACCTATGCGACTGAACGAGAAGGGCAGGTTCTGCCGAAGGGCGAGTGCTCGAAGCATGTGACATCGTACTATCAAAGCTCTCTTGTCGCTCCGGTCCATTATTCGCGCTCGATGTTGAAGTTTGTCGCCTGGACCGGAGATAGGATGGCCTTTGAGACGGACTTGCATTGCCCGTTTGAGGATTGGTCCAACTTGCCGAGGCTGGGAGCTTTGGAGGCGGCATGTTGTCATATTTGGCCAAGCTATCATCTTGTTGAGGTGTCTCTGGCAATTTCGTTTCACTCCGTTTCCGACTTAATTTCCTCCTCAGTGCGGAGGTTGAGAAGACAGACTCGCTTTCAGAGTGTTTCTCGGCCGGACTGGGAGGAACTTCAGTCCTTGGCGTCACCGAGAAACTTGGAGCCCGAGGACCACTTGGTCTTGCTTGACTCGGATTGCGATTTAACTCGGTAATGAAATTGGGTCTCATATAATTCGCCAATTCGTCGTTACTCTTGGGCAGAGACGAGGATATAAAGGGCGAAATATTGCGATGAGTTGGCTTGTCTGACTCGAATGAAAATGCTGGCAGGCTAGGACTGATATCGCTAGGAGGTCGAAGTCCATCTGAACGGAGAGCATGATGGGAAGTACTACTTCGAAGCGTCAACGTCTCTTCGGCAGGCTTGTGACCTCGGGGAAAGAAGCTTGCTTTGGAGGCAGTCATGGGTGTACTTGGTGTCTTCATCGTGGTCCGAACACCGGGAGGCGTGCCAGGCTTCTCGCCAACCTCGGATTTGGAATTGAGCGACTTGATCTTGGCAGATGTAGGTGTGTTCAATGGCAGCAAGTTCAAGGGGGGTAACCTGAGCGACTGAAGACTCTTCTTGCTTGCTTTTGGCTGAGACTTGGGCTTTGGTTCGGTCTCCGCTTGTGGAGGTGGACCTGAAACGTGTGATGAGGTGCTCGGCGCTCGTGGAGTTTCTAAAGCCTTCATCGCATCAGCCAGTGTCGAAACCACGGGGCTTGCAGAAATAGCCCCATCAAATGGGGGCAAACTGGATGATCTGGCCGAGAAGAAGGGCTGGTCATGTTCGCTCCCCGGTGACTCATAAGCTTTGGGTATGGCAGGGACCGGTGGTACTTCCAGTTCGTAGTTGGTCGCTGTGGAGGTATCAAGTCGAGGCTTGGGAGTAGGCAACCTTGAAGAGTTTACCGTCTGTGAAAGCCTTGCGGGATTGTTGACAGTATTTCGAACGGAGCTATAGCTTGTATTGGAGGATAATGACTGGCCGGAGCTATATGATTTTCGATTCGGATCGGGCGTCGTTCTCGACGAGGATGGCGTCAAACTTTTTCGGCTCGGAACCACAGGAGACTGCATATCAGCCTGCGGCATTTGTGGAACAGGTTCTGGTTGTGGAGTGAGTGGTGCTTGAGAAATCCGACTCTGAGGTAAGGGCGGAGCTGGAGGAACAACGGACATTCGTTTCAGTCGTCGAGCATCGGTTGGGCTAACTGTTCGGGCACCCAATCCTGTTGCATGATGGGGCATAACCGACATTCGACGATTACGATCACCATTTCCTCCAGGCGTGGTCGTTCTTCCAGGAGTGCCACTTCTTCTAGTGGGAGTATGATGGGCGCCAGTGGTAGAAGTCGATCTAGTCGGATCAGGTGTTCTGGAGGGTGTGAGCAAATCTTTCGCCGTTTGTCTCTTTGGAGCGAGTGATGCTCTCGTCTTGACTGTCCCAGATGACTTCGTATCTTCTGTGCCACTCTCTTCACCTCCCCTAGTCATATTTCTCATTGACAAATTCTTCCCACTTTCTACACTCGATTTTCTTCCTCCGGCACTCGGTCGTCGCTTTACAGTTGGTTTGTCGGACGTCTCTGGAGCAATGAATGTACCCGGACCTACGGATTTCCGTGGTGCTTTGGCGCCGGTGCCTGTATTATTGAACGAGTTTGGCGGGAAATGACTCTGTCTTCTTCCTCGAAGGATCGAGGTAGTGGTAGCAGTCATTGAATCAGACTTGGTAGAATTCCTCGAGGTGTTGGAGGCAGTAGAGCTTTTACGGGCAATCGGGGTCACGCCCGAGCCTTTTCGAGTAGGGATGGGAATCGTTGGCTGTGACAAGGGCTTCTTATTTTCAACTCCGGGAGCTTCGGTAGAAGGGGGAGATTTCACCGATGCCCCCCGGCCCGGAAGAGGGAAGTGATTTAAGCTAGGTTCGGTACCAACAATAGTGTCTTGAAAGTCGTCAAAGTTGAAAGTAGGCTCAAGAAAGTCACCAAAATCCAGGGACCCATCCCGTTCGTCCTGCGAGGATGGCTTGGCCTGTATTGATGCAAAACTGAATCTTGAGATGTCGTTGATGGATAACTCGTGGGTATAGGGATCTTGGGAAGCGACGGCAGAGGCACCTCGGAGGGAGTTGAATTGAGGAGCCATTGAATTACTTGCGGACCTGGTAAACAGGTAGGCGTTAGCTTTCGGGAGAGGTTCAAATTGGCTTTTGGAAACTGCGGCCGCCACGAACCTTTTCCCAGTACTGTGGTCCAAGGGGCGTGGACCCATGGGAGCCTTCGCACTAGGGATAGACGACTGCCTCCTCCTCGACGTGAAGGATGGAGTAGAGGTGACATTCTCAGCGGAATCGCGTTTCGAAGCTGTGGTCATCGAGGCAGCCGGAAAGGAAGACGGTGGTTTCTTCGACGAGATGTTGTCCAGTGTAGGATGGGACACGGTCAGCGGGGATTGATTTCCTGCAGGTGTCCTTTGCATCGAGTTCGTGCCACCATTATCCAAGTCACCGGCTCTGACAGGATCTGTATATTTGGGCTGATTCCCAATGTTGGAGGTCACAGATGGTGGTGCATTTTGTCGGTAAGGCATGGCTGTGGCTGCACTTGGACCACCTTGCGGCCGTGCGTTGAGATTCCCGTCTCTTTCACATACAGCCCAAATATATCGACATTGAACACCATTTGATGGTGCTCAATCCATCTGAGGGATTTTTGGTCTACACAGGTGTGGTGTAGCCGATGGAAGGTCAGGCGGCCCTGTCGCGACCACCGATTAGGTGGACCCGAGGGGTTCTTTGGGCGGTGATTGACCAGTTGGACTTGAGAAGGGGAGGACAAAGACAAGACGACGCGTGCGTCAGGGAGGATCCGAATTGCGGGATGATATCGGGTGATAGAGGTGAGTCGAGGGTTGTAAGGTGGATGGTGTCGGGATGACAAGGTGATAGAGGTGTTTGGAAGGATGTTGTGTTTAGGGAGTGAAATGTTGCGGTGACAATAATCAAGTGTCTGGTTATGGTAAGAGAGAGAAACGGTGCTGCATGCCGGCAGCGACACTACAGTGCCGGGTTCCAGTGCTGGATGGACAGGTACATGGTGCAAGACAAGACACTAGACCCAAAGATCAGAGGGAGCCGGCCGCCCGTGTATGGAGAAGTTGCATGTAAACGGGGATGGAGATACAGCGATAGGTGACCTAGGTACCGCAGGCCGACATGTACCTACTGTAGAGCCTAGAGCTCCGGGAGACCAGAAGATGGACTTTTTCTCAAAACAGCCAACAGCCCAACCAACCGGGTCTGCAGTTTCTCAGCTCAAAGGCCTGGAGTTCCTTTGCAGGTCCCTGCCCACTCCGTACATCCCGCTCGCTCAACGGTTTTGGCTCCTCTTGTCTCTCAGGCCCCCCTTTTCTTGATTCGGTTTGTTGCTGGAGGATCTGTTGTTGAGTTCTGTTGGCCTAGGTCAACCCACCAAGTGGATTGGCCTCTTGGGATTTGTCCACAACTTTCCGAGCCTTAATCAAGGCAATCACTAGCTGATTGCCAGTGTGATGTTGTTCTCATCTGCAATCTCGTCTTTGAATTGTGCTCGGGGATTACACCAAACAAGCGCCGCTGGAGATCTGCGCATAGTAGATGAGGTTTGACGCCGCATGCAAGGATAGGAAGTGAGATACATAATACTTGGCCATGAATCAAGGTCTGTGCATTGAAACTAATTCCTCATTGAGCCATCTGATACATCCCCATACCAGTGTCCCAGTTGAGTCTCCTCGAACTTTGGATGAGCATTTTGCCTGGGTGCAAGCCCCTGGAGCTTGTTCGTGTTTCAAAAATTCTCGATAAGCAGTTACGCTACCTCCAAGCCACATGTGGCTGAACATCACGAGTCACTGCGGCACGAGGCACCTTTTTGTGTCACGTGTGGCATTCCACATGTCAAACATCATGATGTCAAATTTGACGTGACCTTCCCTCATGATGAATCTGGAGGTAGAGGCCGTTTATTTCCTACAGGCGGCTACCGTATCTCCCAGCAATGACTGTGAGATAAATATCACTCAGTGGAACTCCCAAAAATGGATGAATACACCGCCGACGCCTTTGCGAACCGGGACGAGCCCATTTCGCTCATCGCCGTCGGTCAAAGCGATTTGGAAGCCTCGTCGTCAGAAGCGGACATAAAACGCCGAAGACAGAAAATCAAAAGATCACCATCTTCGCCCCGTCTAAAGACCGATGGTCAGGATCTGGCTACCACACAGCTCAACGAAAATGAATCAAATTCTGCGCATAAAGTGTCCCTTCAAGATCGACTCTTCTCAAAGTAAGGAGCCTCATCTAGTTCCGACACCGTCCCTGGATTAAATCATACTCTCCCCTCAGTCAAATAGGTTCCTATCATAATCACGAAAGCTGACTGCCATTGAGACTGTTACAACAGGTGTTTCCAACCGAAGACGTGTCCGATGAGTTCGACAGTACTACTCCGGTAGACAGACTCTCATCCAAATACGTCTCTCGCCCTGGCTTCAGTCTGCCCCTGATGACGAATAACTTCCGCCGCTTCAATGCGCGCATTGGGATTGTTTTCGTCTTCCAAAACCGACTCATTCGACTGTTCACCTGGAGGACTCCCTCCCACACCCTTTCGTTCCTAGCAACCTATACCTTCGTTTGTCTCGACCCATATCTCCTAGTCGTCGTCCCTCTCGCCGTGGCTTTACTCTTTGTTATGGTTCCGGCGTTTACATCCCGTCACCCTCCTCCTCCACGTCAAGCAGCAGCACCTAGGATTCCTCCCGACTACTATCAAGCCTATACAGGTCCGGCCATCGCCCCAGCGGCTACTATCAAACCCGCCAGAGAGACATCCAAGGACTTCTTCCGCAACATGCGCGACCTACAGAATAGTATGGGAGACTTCAGCAACGTACACGACGCTCTTGTATCCACCATTGCACCTGCTACCAATTTCAGCAACGAGACCTTCTCCTCTCAGCTCTTCTTGTACCTCACAATCCTAACCACGTTGTCCTTTATAACCGCACATCTCCTACCCTGGCGTCTCATCTTTCTCCTGGGTGGATGGACTGCCGTGATTTTCGGCCATCCAGCGGCACAAGTTTGGTTGATGCAAGTGCGAAAGCAGGCTGAGAAGCAAGCTTCTCTAACCCTGAATGACCCTACACTCAAGCACCGGCAATACATTCATGGGATCCCTCTCCCCGTAACTCCGGCCGCAATCCAGTCGACATTCGCATCATTTTCCGAAATCGCACTTTCTACTACCCCGGAGACCCGCGAAGTTGAGATCTTCGAGCTGCAGCACCGTCCGCTTACCTCCATCACATCTGGAGCGTCAGGCGCAGCCGCGGAATGGCAACCTCATCTGTTCACACCAACACCATACGACCCACTATCACCGGCCCGTATCGCCGGCGACAGGCCCCGAGGCACACGGTTTTTCGAAGACGTCGTTCCGCCGGAAGGCTGGGAATGGGCGAACAAGAAATGGGAACTCGACCTCGAGGCCGGCGAGTGGGTGAACGAGCGTCTTGTGGTAGGTGTCGAGTACGATGTGCTACACCAGGACCTCGATGACGCCGACGAGCGAGGCAATAGCTCCGGCCTGCGGCGTACCTCGACCAGTCGTCTCGAAAGTGTCAATGTTGGCTTTGGTGGCTGGGTCTGGGACCTACCTCCGGCTCCAGGCAGTGGTGCAAACCGTGACGACGACCTTTGGCTGGCGTATGGCGACTACGACGTGCCAGGTATCGGGACGCGGGATGACGAGAAGCGGAAGCAAAAAAAGGAAAAAGATCGTAGTCGAAAACCCAAGGACTGGGAGGAGACGGCGAAATTGGAGCATAGAGGGCGAACGGGAGAGTGGAGACGTCGTAGGTGGGTGAGGTTGGTGAAGAGAAAGGTTGTCGAGGTTAGGTGAGCGTACAACAATAATCTCACATCGAACGGGCTTGATGACTTGTACGAGTGCTAAAGTAGTTGACTAAGAACAAGAATGAGAGTATGATGTATACCAGTTTTGCTCTAGATGGACATCTACATTCGCACTGGCAGCAGTAGAACTCCCATCGGTTGTTAAAAGAGCGAACCATGAAAGTGTTTGAAATGAATTGTGTCAATTCATTTACTTGCATTCATCAGTGTGATTCAATTGCTCTAGCTAAGGCTCAATCGGTGCTGGTACTAACTATCGATCAGGCGCCTTGGCCCAAGCACAGGTTCTGTTTGTGTAGTAACCCAGGAACTCCCGTATCTGTCATTTGTCGTCGATGGGCATGACATTGCAGATTCAGCACACACCCCCCATAATTAATCCCATGGATTGGACACACATTGACTTTCGCGTCTCATTTGTTGTGGAGTGGAGGTTTCGTCAGTTATAACATTTGATCGCGTCCGTCGTTCGTTCCTTGTCCTCACGATCCCTTCCGCCATGAGGCCATGAGCAATAATTCTCAATATGTCGCGCGAAGAATGTAATGTTGGAAAGAAGCATTCAAACCATATGGTCTGGACTGACGGGCACCACTGTATCCTTGCGAGTTTGGTTGCGAGCAACTCTGAAGGCATCGCGACGAATCTTGGTAGGTTTGGCAGCTGCTGCAGGACGAGTGTTGTTTTTCTTGCCAGTGTTCTCGACGTTGTCTTCCTTGCTCTTCAACATGGAATCGCTCTCTTTGGTCCCCGAGGCCGAGCCGTCGAGAGAGTCGATCATGTTAAGTTCGCGGTCAAATTGGTCCCAGATAGATTTCCGTCGTTGGTCATCGAAGAGGGTTCGCATTGGATCCGTCAGAGTCGAGGATTGATCCCGGCATACAACAACGGGACGAGGACTGGGCTTCGGTGGGAAGCGTGCATTTCGATTGTCCGAGCTGTTTGAATTGACAGTCATGAAGAGGGAGCCGAGTGGCAGATTGAGGTAGACTGATGGCAGCAGCATGATCTCTGGCTGAATCCAACCAACTCGGCTGGGCATGATCTGCAAGATGCAGAAGATGACTATTAAACATGGTCAGTACAAATGAAGGATAGAGCATTTTGCTTACACTCACATGGGATGACGAAAGACTGTGCACACAGCAGGCCCACCAGGTTCAGTGCAGATGCATACGCGTTACGTCCCTTGATGACAGATGACGGTCGTCTCCAGACGATGTCAATAATCGAGCAGATTGATACGAGAGAATAGCTCCCGATGCTAGTAGCATATCCGATCAAATAAGCGTTTCGGAATTGGACAGACTGAGTGGTGTGGGGTGGAGTCATGGGCTTGCCGATGTTGAGGATCTGCTGAATATTGAATGTCATGCCGAGGGCAAGGGCAGCAAGAGAAGCCAGGACAAGATATGACAAGATGACTTTGTAAGCTGCTGGAAATCGGCTGCGAATTCCAGTCATCAAGCCTTTTGCCTGGAGCCAAAGGCATATGGCTGCGAAAACGAAGGCAAGCCACGCTGCAACGACGCTTGTGGCGTAGGTCCCATAGTAGTTTGTTGGCCAAGTGCTTGAGAGAACATCACCGGTGAGGAAAGTGTAGGCCGAGATCGTGTGAAGACCAGGTGTAAGAGAGGAGATGATGTCGATCATGAGATGAATCAGAATGAAGACCAATCCGACGAGCAGGATGGAATGGAATGATGTAGTTCTCTTGTGGTTTGGAGTGAGAGCAAGCAGGTAGATCAGAGTGGCCCAGATCAAGCCCGCAGCAATTCCTTCACTCGAGGCATAGTTGATGCTGATACGATCCCAGTTGTCGAGAAGTCTCCAGGAGATCTGATTCCAAGCAGTGGCACCGTAGGTGGGAACACCGAAGTTCACGTCGTAGTAGGAGCCTCCAACTCCTGCAGTGGGAAAACGGGCGGGTGCAGTCAGGGTCACAGCTGGGATGGTGTTCATCAAGGCCATGATAACAGATGAAGAAATACTTAGGGTAATGGAAGAGGATAGGAGGAGAATCGAGGCTTGTTAGACGATGATACCGATGATGTCGGTGTCGTAGGAGAGGAAAATGCCGTAAAGATGAAGAGAGTGAGTGGGTAAATGTTGTAGTGGAAATTGGAGGGCAGAAGTGGAAGACAAGCAGAGTGAGTGAAAACAGGTCGATTCAGTCATTTCTTTTCTCGGCCTTTCAGTCTCTCTGCCTGCATCCTCATCTGCTCAACAGAGTAGCTTGCTTTAGAGGTATTTCATATACCAACCTCACATTTGACGACAATTCACTCACCTCGACAAAACTTGCTTTCTTTTCCTCATTTTCACAAGCCCATTGGTACGGCCTGTGTCAGTCCTGTCGACAATTCTCTCCTGGAAGAGCAGTGAGTTTTTCAAATCAGAGACATCAGCAACAATACTAAGCCATTGATATTGTCCCCAGCTCTTTACCCCTAGGCCCGAAACCAAGTCACCTCACCATCTATGTGAAGAGAAGGATGCAAGCATAACCCTGCCGGAGATGATTATCATGAAACACATAGACATGCTTGACCAGGGACATACGATACCTTCTTGGACGGACGGAAGCAAAAGTAATCTAACACTGTACTGTTCTCTTTTGCTGTTTCCCCTTTTGCGCCACCTGCTTCACCATACGGCTTTGATATCAAATTTGTCTCCGCATTCACACCAAATCCGCAATGGGGCTCAGGAGTCTGAACTACTTCCTGAAGACCATCAACCGATTGTCTCTGTTCCCTGCAAATACAGAAACGTCTCTCTTGGCTGTCCCGGTGAAAGTCCTCATGCCATTCTCTGCGTCGATTGATTCTTTCTTGCTAAGATCAAGGGAGTCTTGGCTATTCCGTAGATCATAGCCAGGCTCTTTGAGTAGGACCTCAGTACTTGTGTAGGCGTATATGCTTTCAAGCCCCTTCGCCTTCGACCACAGTTGTCTCTCTTGACCGCAGAGGTGATCAAAAGGGTCCCCGTCTATGATCCCATAGCTCCTATCTTCGAGTAGTGAGAATCAACTGGCGGATGTCTAATGTCTTTGCAGATGAAGTCAACAAACCCTGTGAGATCGGGCTCTGACTTATATTCGACAAGGTTCTGGAACATCGAATGCTGATTCTCTGACCTTCGTTGCATCTCTCAGATCGATACCTCTCCGTACTCTAGACCATCGTAGTCAAGGCGCACAACTCTGATAACAGTGGGAGAATTCTTGACCAGGATCTGACGAAACACGTGCTCTCGAATCTCCGTGGGAATGCTCATTAGATGGAGCTTTGGGGTTAGAAGACGGGGTCAGAGTATTCCGCAGGCTTTCAAAGAGTCAGCACACCTCCTCATGTTCCCAGCCGTAAGTATACACCGTACATATAGTCCAGAGCTGCCGACCAAAGACAACGGTAAATCTTTCAGAGAAATATCCAGCAGTGGTGAGGACATTCATCCTTGTCCTCGTCGAAAGACGCTGCAATAGCGTTGAGATATTCGGGATCTCTATTTCCATCGCAGACATTGTCTTTGGGAGGAATCAGAGATCGGGCTTTGAGCATCTGGATCAAGAGCAACATCATCGCGGTGATCCGGGTCCACGTTCGAATGATCCGGCGTGTTGAATTTGATTTTATTGAGGTAGCTGGGCTCTTCTTGAATCCTTTGTGCCGTTGGAAAACTTAGTGAAGTTTGTGGAAGTGTGGTTGATAAACAGGCTAAGGGAAAGAATTCAAAGGCGCTACATACGCCAGTGACGCAGGTGAGCTGTGACAACAAACGATGCTTTCGAGCGTTTGACCCGGGGACCTGAGGTAATCACCCCCCAGCTAAACGACGGACTCCAAAGAGGCAGGCAAAGCGTCAGTCCCTCGCTCTACTCCGAGCCTGAATGTAGGCCCTGCTCTAGTGGTCATATTCAGCCGAAAAAGGAAATGTAGACATTTGAATTTCTTGGAGGACGGATAACCAAACAATCAACGACGCAACCATTCTCTGTAAGAGAGGGTCTTCTCAAGAAAGATTCGCAAGTTGATCAGGGAATTGGCAATGGGGATGAACGTGGTGACAGAAAGAATGGATTGCCGAAGCCCACCGACATGACGATATCTTTGACTATGGCGGCCCCTGACAGGTGTAGTTCGAGTTTCCCACGTGGACAATGGCTCAACATGTGGCTGGAGTTTAGGCAAGGGGTGGAGGACGCCAGTGGATTTCGGCCCCTTCAAGCTGAAATGCTGGATGAAATGGCCCCGCAAATAAATCCCGTATGCTGTTCGCCCAACAAAGACTAGACCAACCTCCCCGTGGAATATATGTACATTGGTTTCATCGATCAGTTGAGTTTCTTCCTGAATAAGGGCCAGGATCTTTCGAACTCAGCATATCCTATCTTGTATCAGCGACAGCACTCTGTCATACAGCTCAGGGCCCGAATGCGGATCACAGCCACGGTTTTTCGATACCTCCGCCTTGACGTCTGTTTGTCCTCCTGTGGCTCAATCCTGAAACAGCTTTCTCCCCTTTTTAAATCATGTCCATCCGGTCCTTTGCTATAACGTCCTCAACATTCTTCTGAAACAGGCGGCTAATCTTGCATACCGCTGTTAGGCCTTCTAGCTTCTCGACTCTCTCCACCCGGATCGCAAGCACTCTCTCCTTGTCGCCTAGGCCGTTCCCGGCATGATCACCTCACAAGGCTACGTACAACGTCATCTAGCATTTCGCGCTACCCAAGACCTTCACGGCCCCATCAAGAGCTTCCTTCGCTCTAATTTCCCAGCCTTGACGGGTACAATGACCAGGATAAACAAAAGCTAGAACCGCCTTGGTTCCAACGATCCCTTCCCGCACAACTTCGCCGGTAAGCAGCCTCTCTGCCCTGGAGTGGAACAAACGTACGCCACATATCCAAATTCGCATTCTCTAGCCTCACCATCACGCAAAGGCCTACCGGGACCTGGCTTACCTCCTCCCAAAAGCACTAACCAGCATATACCTGCAATCTTATCCGCATTGTGAATATGGGGTCACCTCAAGGTTTGTATATCATCTCTCCACCTGCTAGGGATTTTTTTTGTGTACATCTTTCATTGCGCTTCAACAACTCTCTTTTTGCTCCCTAGGTCACATTCGTTTATCGGCTCGAGAGTCGGAGACACTCGCCGTTCGTTCTTTATTTTTTTGTGCGATTGTATCGTACATCCAATCCCTTTGTCAAGACGTTCTTTCGTGGATCGTTTCCGAACCCTCAACCTCCCAATTTTCCGCCTCAAGTCAGCCTCGCTGCTCGCATAGCATATCGAAATGTCTATCTTTCTCACTGCGGGCTTCGTGGTCGCACTGGCCGCGGCTCCTGTCTCAGCATTCTGGCGACTGCCATGCAAATCCCCCATTGTCGTCGAACGCGCCGATCCCATCGTCAGCCCCGGCCAGGTGTCTAACCATGTGCACACAATCATGGGAGGGAATGGATTTGATTTCACTATGGATTACAATTCTACTCAGAGATCCACTTGCTCTTCTTGTACGGTGATTGGGGATAACAGCAACTATTGGACCCCAACCTTGTATTTCCGTCATCAAGACGGAACTTTCGAAAGTGTTCCTCAAATCGGTGGTGCTACCGTCTATTACTTGCAACGAAAGGGTGACGGTGAAACTCTCAAAGCGTTCCCTCCAGGCTTTCGCATGGTAGCGGGCAATCCATTCAAGCGAACGGGTGGTGACGACTTCGCCACTCAAGCCATCAGCTACAACTGTCTCGACTACAACGGTCCTGCGAAGCCGGAGACTCCTATGTTCCCCAACTACAATTGCCCCGATGGCCTTCGAGCTCAAGTCTTCTTCCCCTCCTGCTGGAACGGCAAGGATTTGGATTCATCCGACCACATGTCCCACATGTCCTATCCTGCAAGCTCCTATAATTCCGGACCGTGCCCTGCCGATTTTCCAGTCCACCTGGTTTCCATCTTCTACGAAATTATTTGGGACACCAACAAATTCGTCGACCAATGGTATGGAGACAGTCAGCCTTTCGTCTGGTCCCAGGGTGACCCAACCGGCTATGGTGGCCATGGTGATTTTGTTATGGGTTGGGACGAAGACCTCCTCCAACAAGCTGTCGACCAATGCACCAACGACAGTGGCCGTGTTGAGGACTGCCCTGTGTTCGACCTCATCCCTGATTCCCAGGCTGAAGGCTGCAGAATCGCCCCTGAAGTGGATGAGCTTGTTACTGGCGTTCTCTCCGACTTGCCTGGCTGCAATCCTGTTCAGCCCGGCCCCACTGCCACGCCTCAAACTGGTTGTGGCGCCACCACTGAAATCACCCCATCAACGGACACTTTCTTCACTGACCTTACCAGCAAGGGTTGGTCATACACCGGCTGCGGCACCGACAACTACTATAACCGTATCCTCACCAGTGCCAGCGAGGCCAATGACCAAATGACCAATGAGGCCTGCGTTGCTTTCTGTGAGAGCAAAGGTTTCTCGGTTGCAGGTACTGAATACTCCAGAGAATGCTACTGTAGGTCAAATTTCCGGTTGAATGAAGATATAGGAGGCTGACTGGTGCCTAGGCGGCAATTCCATCCCATCAAGTGGCATGCCCATCCCTGGAGTCGTTGGAAACTGCCAGATGACATGCAGCGGCGACGACTCTGAATTCTGCGGCGGTTCAGGAACCATTTCACTCTATCAAAAGTGCTCGGGTGACTCGTGCACGAATGCCGAATTCGGTGTTACTCCTGTTGCGTCGGCTCCTGCTTCGTCATCTGTTCCAGCGTCTTCACCTGCGCCCTCCTCTTCCGCTCCGGCATCTTCGTCTGCTCCCGCCGTTGAATCTCCTACTACTCTCGCGACAGTGACAACTTCCAAGGCAGCGACTATGTTTACAATGACCACGGACGTGAGCACTCAACCCGTCACCACTACTTCGGTAAATAAATTCTTCATATGACTCTTTCGATCCCTCGGATACAGATTCAAGCTCTCCTTCGTCTGATCCAATGTCAGGTGATTCAGGCGCAGCGGTGGCATCTAGTACACCCTCAACGTCAGCTTCTACCTCTCTTCGCCTTCTCTATCCTCATTCCTCTACTCCTGCCTCAGTATCAAACTGACGCAACCCCTCACTTCCTTCCCTCCCCAAAATCTTCTCATAATTTTCCCTCTTCGGTCCCTTAAAAATCTTGAATAAGAAAGGAAAATTCTAACGATCTCACCTTGCTGTGCCTAGCCACCGACACCAACGTCCGCAAACCCATCCTGGTCCTATAGTGGCTGCTTTGTCGATACAGTCACCCCACGCACGCTCCCCGAATGGTCGAATTTCAATGGCCCTAACATGTCCAACGATGCTTGTGTCTCGTTCTGTGATGGTCGCGGCTTCTCCGTTGCGGGCACAGAATATGCAGGTCAATGTTTCTGCGGTGACGACATCTCCAGTACGCAAGTCGATGAGGCACAATGCAACATGGCTTGCACGGGCGCTGGAGATGAAATGTGCGGCGGTCCCAGTGTCTTGAACGTCTGGAAGAAATCTGCCGGAACTAAGTTGATGAAGAGGCATTTGAGACACGTCGGTGGGCATGGCAGGAAACTGATCAATTATTAACTGATCTCGTTTATTGCCTTTTCGTCGACTGATGTGAAGGGTTCGTGTCTTCTCTCATCCTCTATTTCTCCGCGTACATCTTGAACGATTCCGGACCAAAAAGTTCATTGGTTTCAGCGAGATATGGGCATCCTACAGCACTGCCGGGGAGCAAGCCGTGGTTTTGGGTCACAATTCTGTTTCTGCTTCGATTCTAGGTCTTCGGGTTCTACACTACCTTTTTATATCTGCATGCGGCAACGCAGCCTCCAATATGCGTTGTGGCAATTGTTCTCAAACCACCAAACTAAACGGGTCGGACGATGAGATTGATAGATTTGGCTTGATACCATACCAATTGCCTTTCTTCTCGCTATTTCTTCCTTGTTTCTTCCATGGTTAGATGTAGGTAGAGCACGATTGACCTCTTTGTTAACTTCCCTGACCAGCGCGGGGACGCGAGAAAAAGGTAGCTGATTGACAAGACCAAGTGTTGACAACTCACGATCTGTCTGCCTGGAGATCCCAAACTGATTGGAAGAAACAGTTATTACAGCCTTTCCTCCAAAATGAGCATTCGTGGTGGAAAGTAGAGATTTCCGTCCAATTTAGGATCGCTATGTAATGCTACAATGGACAGTCAATACCATGAATAGTAGGGGTGTTCATATCAGTACAAGCCTGTGGCGGCATGGTTGCTTCGGATTGAAGCTGTTTTTAATGAACCACAGGATTGGTTCTCAGCAATTCTTTGTTGATTCCCGGATCATGCTCGCAATCCAAGCAGCAATCCAGTATTCTTTCCCTTTCCATTTTCTCCGTCTCCGCCACCCGGCAGATACGTGACATTTGGATTCGTCGATAGTGTTTGGGCAATTTCTTTGCTAGCTTCGATTCTTCTAATCTGAATCAATCCATCCCCGGCCTTAGCCACGGCCTTACTGATGATGTCGGCTGATTCTGCTTCTCCCTCAGCGCGAATGACGTTGGCTTGTCTCTCTTGTTCGGCCTTTTCGACAATAAATCTTGCTCGCTCGGCATCTTGTTGAGCAATTTGTTTCTGTTCAACGGCTCTAGTGAATTCTCGACCGAAGGTCATATGTGTGATGGATACATCCTCCAAGGCGATGTTGAATTCCTGCGCTCGTCGCAAGAGGTCTGTTCGGATTCTTTGGGACACAGCTTCCCTCTGGGTAATCAACTCTGCCGCATCAAATTGGGCGACGATGGCTTTGAGGACTTCGTTGCCGATCGAGGGGAGTACTCTCTCATCGTAATCTTGACCGAGTGACTATGGCTAAAGTTAGAAAGGCTTTCCGCAACACAACTGTCCGCTGGCTTACCTGATAGATTTTTGGCAGTTTCTGCACCTCGGGTCTATGTAAGACTCTGAGAGTGAGAGTGACCATTTGCAAGTCTTTACTTCCGGTAGTAGTGCTGATGTTTCTAGGCTTTGTCCGTACATCATAGATGATGGCCTTTTGTAACCAAGGGATCAAGAAATGTGTTCCTTCATTGACAACTTGTTCTTGGACACCGGTAAGCCGATCGAAGATGACTGCTCTCGTTCCACCCTTGACATCGTACATAGCAGCCTGGCCAACCGAGACTGCCACGAAGACAGGGATGGCCAGCCTTGAGATGGCATTGAGAATGCTCGGCGCAGACATGGTCGGCAGCAGTCAACTCGGAAAATAAAGGAGAACAATGGAACAGCGGGAGATTGATTGACTGCTTCCGAGGCTGCTATTGTGTAGCTCCTCATGACATCCGCAGCGGCAGGTTCAGCGCCAAGCCAACGCGAACGGTCTTTTGATCCCCTATACGCATCATACGTCGATTCAAACCTTCCAGAAACACATTTCTGTTTCTGCGAACCAAATGCAACTGCAGCTCCCTTCGACATCAATCGCAGCTTCTCGATCCTTCAGATCTTTGACAACGAACCGCCTCCCACAACAGACAAATCAGACAAGGTTTCCCCAGAGCTTTGTTCAAGATGCGTCCGACACCAGCTTTGCGAATGTCCGTTACCCGGGCCTTACGAGCCAGCGGTCCCGACCCAAAGAATGGAGTGTATGTACAACCTCTCCGTTGTCTTCCATAACAGATATCCTATGCTACAGTTCAAATGTTGACAAGATTTTCAACTAGGTACCTGGGCCCCTGGGGTAATTTTGGTATGACACCTCTTTTCACCATTCATTTTTCGTGATCCGACCTCGTCCATCGACCCAAACGCATCTGACTAAAAGAAACCTTCGGGGTGGATATTCAGCTAACAAGTTACTCGTGGATAGGCACCCCGAAACAAAAAGGCATTGTTACATACTCGCTGTCACCCAACCGACAAGATCCTTTGGCCGGTGCCTTCAAAGCAGCCATTTTCAATACCTACCGCCGCTCTGCCAGCCAAATTGGTTACTGGCTTCCTCCTTTCGTTATCGCCTACTTGATCATGCAATGGGCTACAGAGAGGTGCGTTCAGATTTCCGTCATGCAGCATTTTATTCTAGGAGACTGACGTGAGGGACAGAAATGAATACCTCAACTCAAAGCCTGGCCGAATGGAATTTGCCGAAGAAGAGTAAGGTTGCGGAAGATTATATACCTCGGATGGTTGCGGCATTGTACATAAAACCACAATACAGCGAAATTTGAACACGAGAGTTTTGTTATTCAGAACATGGTGGGAATCGGAAGTGCCCCTCCTCGGTTTTCCTTTTTATTGGGGGGGGGCTTTTTTTTTTTTTTTAGGTAATAACCATCTTGCCGGAAGCCCGACCCATTGGCGGTCTGTCTCAAACGCCATGCAAGGTGCTGGGTTGACAATACACGCGTAAATCATGAGAACTATGAACTAGGCCAACAATGCGGGAGAGTGATCATCTCGGCTCGGTCCCAGCGTTTATGCAAAACGTAGACAGTTGCAGGACCAGACGGTCGTTATCCAGGACCAATTCGTGGCATGTCATGATGTTCGCTGAGGCTGCTAAGATAGCGATTGAGCTCCTCGACTCGCTCTTTGTGTGTTTTGACGCCTTCTCGCTTGAGTCGTTCCTCCAGCTGCATGATAGTTCGCATTAGCGCCACAAATTCATGAGAAGACGACAGCCATGAATTCTGAAGAAAGATAAAACTCACCCTCTTCCGTCTCTGCTCTTCATACCGTTTCTCTGCTTCCGTCTTGACGACTTCCCTCTCTTCGTCCTCTTCAATCCCAGCACCAGAACCGACTACTTCTCCGTCCACAAGGCCCATTTTTCGTCTTTCTTCCTTGGCAATTTTCACATCTTCATATTCGAATTTCCTGAGCACGACGGATTTATCTTTAAAGGTGTCTTCCTCGGCTGCAGAGGCCGCAGATCCAGGTCCATCGTCTGTCTCTTTGGGCTTGGACTTTTTCTTTTTCTTCTTGTCCACTTTTGAGTCTTTCACGCCTTTGAGTTTCAGCTTACCAGAGCCGATGGAGGCATAGTCGCCTGGCGCCATCTTAAAACGGTGTTATTAAATTCGAAATGGAGAGACAATCAGGTACACTCGGTTTGGACTCTTGGAAAATGCCAAGAGTAATATCTCGCCATTCCATTTTGGGACGAGGACATTGCCGCCTTGTCGGCCAGGCTGAGATTCTCGCTACCCCCTTATTAGCCAACTTCGAAGAGACATTCAGTTAAGGTGCAAGTACATACCGAACACCAACACGACCACTACAAGCCACCCTATCTCCTGCTTCCGCACTGGTGAGACATTTACACGACTCCAAGATTACCATACGCGGTTCTGGAGCGCGAAAACCGGAAACAGGCCGTCGGCTTTCATTCTCGCCAGTACACCGCAAACTATTCCCTCCTGGATATGCCAATGGCTCTCTAAGTTTGTGATCCCTGCAGACTCTGAATGGTCCCAGGAAGACTGGACTGGGGTCCCCGCATCTCCACAATCCTCAAGGACGGGTCACGCGTTTGGTGTCTTGTGAATCCATGAATGCTCGGGTATCCCGTCGAGATCTGCCATTTTCTAGTCAGCTTTCCGGCTTTCGCACTATTGACGATTGACCGACTCCCGAACCGAGCGACGGACCAGTGACATCGTGTCATGACCGAGAAGTCTAGGGATGTATTCATTACACACCTCAAATATTCAAGTCCGTTTGGTACGTAGTCAAGCCTGGTGGAACAAGCAACTGTTGGAACAACGGGAACGGGAATAGAGGTACCCCATGTGGCCAAGGAGATCTCAGATGCTGCGGTTCGAGATAATCCTGTGCTGAACAAATCCGAGCGGCATTTAGTGAGTTCAAGCTCGTCGAGCTCGAAGCTATCTACCTTTGTGCTCTGCTCCCAACAACACTAGTCTCTCGTTTAGATAGTGCCTGGGGTTAGTCTTATTTCTAGGATGTGGCTTCTCCCTCAGAGTTCAACCACTTGTCAAGGTTTTGGATCGTATCTCAGATATAGCTTCCGTCCAAGTTTTGCGAGAAACTCCAATCATCCTGAAATCCATGCCACAAATCAAAAGCCCAAGGGTCAAAATCATTCATCGGCGATTCTTGTTGACCGTCCAATATTCAGATTATTCTCTGCTGTTGCGGTCGTGGAGCAATGAGCTTCTAATCGAACTTGTGGGTGCCTGTCGAGCGGAACATTGCGCGAAGCGCGGTAATCTGCCGTGACATCCGTATCTCTCTGATCAAGACTTCTCAACGCTGGGGGCATTGTTTCAAGACGTGGGACATTACCAATTCCCCGCCCAGACGTCAAAGTCGTCGATGGGCTCGCGTAGTCAGTGCTATCGTCAATGAATTCAGTTTTGACGAATGAGGCTGTGGATAGCTAACCTCTGCCCTACATCTGCTTCATCACCGGCTGAAGAAGACTCAGGTTCGCTGCCGTCCAGCGGATCTGTGCAACTGACACCCCTTGTATGAACGGAACTGGAGACTCGAACAATCATGTCTTCCATGGCAGCAATAAGAGTTTTTTGCTGGTGCCGAGGCAGGGACAAACCTCTTCACAACTGCCACACACAGTCCAGCTCGAGTGATGGCAAAATCGAGTTCGAGACTGTCATTTCTTTTGAGGAAGAGTACAAGCCGTGCAGCATGGTATGCAACAACGGCGGTGTCAAATTCCAGAAAAACCTGGCCAATGCACTTCTGATCAACATCCGCGAGAATATCAATGATTGCGTTGGCATGGATCCAGCATTGAAAGGCTCCATTGGCAAGGAAAGTCGATTCAATATGCTGCAAAACGTGGGCCGGTGCGGCGTCTCTGTATCCGGGCAGGAATAAACGGTACAGATCGCAACGACATTGATGCCAGGAAAGATGGACCATAAGATAACGAGCTAGCCATCGAATACCCACATAGTTTCCCAGCTCTGGTGGTGAGTATGTTGTCACTCGCTTACTCTCAGTTTCCATATCATTGATTTCTTGTTCCAGCTGCTCAAAGCGTACGAGGAAATCGGATGCATGCAGCTTTTCTTGGGCCGTCTGCCGCGAAAACTTCATAATGTTTCTGCGCATGAATGTAGATCGAATATATAGAGCATAGAGCCCAAGATTTTTCGTGTTGCGAGCATTCCCTGGACGAACTGGCTCGGTCTCAACAGGACTTGGTGAAGCCAAATCGTTCTCACGACAAGGAAGCTGTAAGTGTATTGCTTCAATGGGACATAATTCAAACTCTGGCAGCCCAATACTAAAAAGTCCATCAAGCATCGAGAATGTCCAGACCAGCCTTCGACGAATTTCCTGGGCGAGAAAGCTCAGATCTGACCGTGCATAATTGAGACGCAGCCCCGTTGCACCTCGTGCGGCCAGAGCAGCAAGCATGAAGGCTCTTTGAAATGCACCAGTATGGATATGATAACGAACCACCAGAAGAAGAGCTTGAAGTTTGAGCACGGATGGGTTTTCCAATTGTTGCCACACCATATCCTCCACTCTTTGGATCCATCTTGAGCTCAGCAGGGGAAAGAATTTCACCAAATTCAGGTGAACAGCTGTGATCACACAGATGGCCAGCGTGAGGCATTCATCCAAAGTGCCTTCGGCATGCCTCTGTGAAATGGATGATTCGTGCAGGAATGCGTACGATGGAAGTGGATAGAGGGTGGAAAAGTAAGACCGGATCAGTTCTTGTGCCTCAAACTTGGACGGAAGAAGAGGCCTAAAAACACGTCAATCAATATTCCTGGTAAGAGAGATTCTCCTCACGAGCCAGGGGTTTCAATAACGGCTGGGATCTGGCTTTCGATTCTATTCACGCTGGTGTTGTTTGAATGCTGCCTTTGTTCCTGCCGTGTACGGAGCTCCATAGCTTGGTACTTTGTAATGGGCTCTTGGTGGCCGTACGCATGCAGTGAAGTGCGAGGGCGTCTTTTTGAAATGGCATAATTGCAGATCTTTCCTCTTCGACTACAATTCGAGCACTGAGGCCATTCGCCCGAGCATTTCGACTTCTGGGCTTGACATTCAGTACATGCTTGAGGACCACGTCGACGTTCCAGTTGCCCGGTTAAAGCCGCAGATGTGGAACGATGCTGTTCCTCGAACGAGCAGTCGAAATGCAAACGCTTGCAAGGCACACAAGGTCCTGGTCTACCATTGCAACGAACCTGGAGTTGGGATTAGAGCTGGCCCTGATACATGCCATTATCTGACTATTCCTGACCTTGCGCAGTCTACAGGTGACGCATGTGTTGTTGTAAATCCTCACCCTATTTTTTTTCATGTCTTTTAATCATACATGCCTCCAGAACAGGGTCGAGTGCCGAGCCTGAACGAACAAACACCCAGGGAATGAAATTACTCGAACGAAGAGTCGGTAATGATGACTAGGAAAGGGCTATCGAAACAGTAGTATTCAACGGGAATACGACGGCCGAGAGAAGAGTAAGATTTTACAGACAGTTGATCAGATCCCACGGCCCACGCTTCAAGACAGCCACGATGGCTATCAAAGCGGCATGTCTCTCGGGTGGATCAACAGCCGACATCCGGCATCCGAACCGATAGCCTGGCCATTTTTCTCATCTGCCAGACTTCTGCCAGGAGTTGAGAGGCCAGATGAATGCAGACTTCATGGGGCGCACCTTTTCAGTCAAAGTTTCAATCACACACGAGATTGATGGAGCCTTCAAGCCGAAATTTGAGCAGAAATCCCTCAGGGAATTGCACTACTAAAGAATCCGACAAAGTCTCAAGACGACAATCCCCTTTGTGTCCAGTTGACCATTGACGTTTTAAATCCCTAGATTTGACTTGAGTCATGGCGGCCGCAAAGAGACCGAATTTCCTTGTCATCGTGGCCGATGACCTCGGCTTCAGCGACACTTCGCCGTTTGGCGGCGAGATAGACACGCCACATCTGATGAAGATGGCCATGGAGGGCCTTCGGCTAACCAATTTTCACACAGCCGCATCATGTTCTCCCACTAGAGCGATGCTGCTTTCAGGCACCGATGCTCACATTGCCGGCCTGGGAGCAATGGCTGAACGAATGAAGAGATTTCCTCATCTCTTCGAAAACAGGCCCGGCTATGAAGGTTATCTGAATTATCGAGTAACTGCAATGCCAGAGATCCTCCAGGATAATGGTTACCATACAATCATGTCAGGGAAATGGCATCTCGGCCTGACAAAAGATGTCGCACCCTGCTCCCGGGGATTTACCAAAGTCCTTGCCACCCTCCCTGGTGCTGGCAACCACTTCAATCACGAACCTCAACTCTATGATACAACAGAGAAACCACGTGCTCTACTGAAGGGCAAAGGCCTCTGGATGGAGCATGACGACTTTATTGATGGCCTGGGCGACCTTCCCAAGGACTTCTATTCTTCTAACACATTCACGGATTACTTTCTCAAATACATGTCTGATCGAACGGATGAAGAAAAAGAAAAGCCTTTTTTCGGCTATCTCGCCTTTACTGCTCCGCACTGGCCACTTCAAGCGCCAGCAGAGTCCGTGAAGAAATATAACGGCTGCTACGACGATGGGCCTCTCGGACTTCGCGAGCGTCGACTCAAATCGCTTATCAACAACGGCCTCGTTCCCAGTGATGTTGAGCCCGCCCCGTTACACTATCTCAATACAACACCGTGGGCTGATCTCGATGAGCACGAAAAAGCCAAGTCTTGTCGTGCTATGGAAATATTCGCTGCCATGGTTGACCTGATCGATGTTAACATCGGGCGTGTTCTTGAGCATCTTAAGTCAACCGACGAACTCGACAATACTCTCATGATCTTCATGTCCGACAACGGAGCCGAAGGGCAGTTGCTAGAGGCGATCCCCATTCTGGCTGGTGCCACGTTATCAGATGTGATCAAGAAGTATTATGACAATTCCCTCGACAACATGGGCAACCACAACTCCTTCGTCTGGTACGGACCGCAGTGGGCTAGTGCCGCAACAGCACCTTGCAGGGCGGCCAAATCGTATACTACTGAAGGTGGAATCAGGTGTCCATGCATCGTCAGATATCCCCCAGGTGTGCAAGAACAAAGAAAAGGAGGGATCGACAACACGTTCACGACCGTCATGGATTTGTTACCAACAATGCTCGACCTGGCTGGAATAAAGCATCCTGCACCCGCATTCCGCGGCCGCGAAGTTGCTCCCCTTCGTGGTAAGACTTGGGTGCCACTTTTGTCCGCCGCTACCAACAATTCTGTCTCTATCTACAGCAGCGAAAGGGACATCGTGGGTTGGGAACAGCTCGGTATCGCCGCAGTACGGCTTGGACACTGGAAGGCGCTCTTCCTACCTCCTCCACGTGGACCTGGAAAATGGGAACTCTATGACTTGAGCAAAGACTTGGGCGAGGTGAACGATTTGTCTGAGAAGATGCCAGAGAAACTAGCGGAGATGATAGGACATTATGAGACGTATTTCCAAGAGACCGGCATGTTTGATGCGTATGAGATGTTTCAGAGCGAGCTGGCAAAGGAAAACAAGAGAGGGAAATTCTGGTGATGGCCCGGTGACAATACCCTATGCCATAGATCCCGCATAAAAAGGATCATAACGTAGATATTCCCCTATATGGAACGGTAGAGTTGAAAATTGCACGGAGTTGACATTCGAAATTGATTCGCGTCAATCTAATGACTCCTGTCCATGTATTCAACCCATCGGCCCCACTTACATCACAGTCTGAATGTATCATTTGTGGAATGTCATCCAACGTCCCCCAACTCCAAGTTCTCTAATTCCTAATTCTGATCCAACCGACTACCGTCGGATATCAACCGATATCCTGACAAAACACTGTTACGATGGAGCCCATTTTCCCAGACCAGGTTCTCCAGTAATGATTCTGCGGTGCATTTGTGTCTACGCCAACAACACCATGCTAGGAGTTCCGCATTCAGGTTGTTCCTCAACACAGTTCCGACGTGATAAGGCTTACTTCTCACGGGAAATGTGTCTTCTCCGCATCTCTTCGGGAAGTTCGTGTTCTCAATCCTGATAGTCGAAGTTATATATGCGGTCGAAGATCATGATCGAATAGCTGAGGACTTACCCGTTGTGCAGTCAGATTTCTTTTTGCAACTTCCTTGTCATCTCTATCAGGTGTAAATTTAGTCCAATGGCAAACTTCAAAGACCTTATACTCTTACGAGACTGTAGTTGGCGTCTGCTGGTAGCCTTGGTCGTTATCAATGTCTCTGTGTTCAGTTATGGCTGGGACAATTCCATCTACTCTACCGTCCAAGCCATGAACAGTCAGTTCCACCTCTAAGGACTCTTGTCAGGACCTTCTTTGAACTAATCGAGCACTTCAGGTTTTCAAAAGAAGTTTGGAAGCTATGATGACACCAGGCACAAATGGGATTTCACTGCCAGCGACCTCGCTATTCTCAATTCCATGGGTCTTCCCGCCAAGTCCGTGGGCGCCGTGCTGGGATATATCTTTTCCGAGTTCATGGGTCGAAGAATATCTTACATTGCTATGCAAACCGTTGCTATTGCAGGTACGGCGGTCAGCGATGCTGCTACTTCATACGGCCAGATCCTAGCAGGCCGTATGCTGGTTCAATGTATGGTAGGATGGGACAATTACCTGGCACCTATGTTCATTGCGGAGATCGTTCCTCCTCAAATTCGTGGGGCCATGGTGGTTGTCTGCGTCTTTATGCACGTCTTCGGCTCGTTTCTCTGCACTATCGTCACCAACGGAACCAAGAACTACCCCGGTGATGCTTCATGGCAGGATCCAGTCCTCAGCGGTTTTGCTTTCCCGGCTTTCACAATCTTGTTTTGCTGGCTTATTCCAGAGAGCCCACGTTGGCTGGTTCGAAAAGGTAAGAAGGGGCGGGCGGTCAGGTGGCTGAATACACTCAATGGATCCAAACCTGGGTACGGCGCCGAGCAAGAGGCGACTCTACTTCAAGCTGCCATTGACAGGGACATGGAAATGAAGGGTCGCTGGATAGATCTTCTCAAGGGCGTAAATGTGGCAAGATAAGTTTTCATCCATATGATGCATCGCTCATACACTGACCCAAGTCCTAGCGCCGGACTATGATTGCCGTCGTTTCAGGAGCCTTCAATCAATTAACAGGCCAATCCTTTGTCTCTCAATACGGTGCCATCTTTGTGAAGAGCTTCAACCGCATGGACCCCTTCGTGTACAGAGTCATCTCAGCCGCCATCACCTGCGCCGGTCCCATTGTTGTCTTCACCTGTGTCGATATCGTTGGCCGTCGGCCGATCTACTCTGTAGCTGGTTCTATCGCGACTGGCCTTCTCCTCGCAATCGGTGCACTTGGAACGGGTCATGTCACAGGACAACGAGCAGACGCAATCATCGCTTGCAGCGCTCCATTCGCTATGTTCTACATCATGTCGTTTGGATCCATTGCCGCCATCACTGGCGCGGAGGTACCTCATCTTCGCCTTCGAGACAAAACCTCGTTCTTGGTGTATTTCACACACTTTGTCTGCGACTTTCTGGTCACCTTCACCTATCCATACCTCTTCGATGCGGAACGTGCAAATCTGGGAGCCAAGGTCGGCTTCATCTACGGTACTTTTGGTGTCTTGGCTATCGTGTGGGCATTTTTCCATCTTCCAGAATTAACTGGTAGGTCTCTGGAGGAGGTCGATGAGATGTTCGAGGAGAGAGTCCCTGTGAGGAAGTTCAAGACGTGGAAGTCAAGCAATGCCCACACCATGGTCACGGATTTGGAAACACAGGTTGATCACAGCAGGGACTCTGATATTGAACAAGCGGAGAGCAAGAATAGCGCTACATTGCATGTTGAGGACAAGGACTCGCGATGAACGAAGCAGCACCCAGACCAGCACAAATGCTCCGTGGAGGCCGAGTCTTTCCGCGGTAGGCCTAGTGAGACTTTCGACAGCGAAATGTCCACGCGTGTTTTAGCAAGCATCCGAAACATAAATGAAGAAAGGGACGGGTAAGCCGTCTATAGGGAGCACGACTCAGAATGGCCCATCGGTGTAAATTTTGGATTCTCTCAGATATGCGGGATGAAGTACGTCCAATCTACATTGACATATGCAGTCCCTTTCATATTCCTCAGCTCCGCAAAGGCTTCTCCAATCAAATATAACCTGGCGACACCATAAATGATGGCTAGGGGAGCAATTGTCGCGAACTCCCAAGGCAGGGGCAATTGTGTAGCTTCTCTTTTCAACGTCGCTTTCCGTTGGGCAACGCGCCTCTTGTGCGCCGCTAATGCTTTCCGGTTGAAAAGGTACAGGTATATTGTTTTCCATCGCCCTAGACGCGCCCAAGATGCCGTTGTCTCGAAGATCCAGAAGGCGACTGTTATGCCAAAGAGCAGCAGCGAGCAAATGCGCCAGAGAAGGCGCTCGATGCGGCTGGGAAAGTCGAAGCTCCAGCCCGCCACGTGGATCGCTGTGAAAAGCAACGTGGCAAAGCACAAAAAGTACTCTTGTGTGCCATATGGGTTCATCGGAAATCTATCATTCGGGATCCGTTGAATAGGTCGTTCGGGAGGTATCACTGGCATCTTCATAAAGGGCTGCACGTTGACTGAGTATCCAGGTCCATTTTCATCGATGAAATCGAGAGGCGTGAGGCGCCAGGGCCTGTTGAGGGTAATTTCGGCAAGGGAGTGGGAAGAGTAGATGGGAACGGCCGTTGAAACATCTGCAGGCTTGTGGAGCCAGACAAAGGAGGTCATGAGAGAGCAAACGACAATCGCCAGCGCATTTAATTCTAGTGTTGTGATCGTTAGACCTTGGATAGCACGAGCGATACACTGGAGTATCAAGTAGCCGATTTGAAAGGCAGTAATGACTTTGGTGAAGGTGTCTTGCTTGGACTTGTCCCAAACCTCTTTGTGAGTGATAGCGGGGTAATCGACGAATTGGTTCCTGACGAGCCAATGCAATTGCGTCGCGTTCAGTGGGAATGGTTTGCTATCTCGGATATGAAGGATGAAACCACCCATGTCAGCAAAGAAGGCCTGGCGCATATGCCAGCTTTCGTAGCCAGAGGCGCGGAAAGCTTCGACCGAGTGTTTAGCTCGACTCCATTGGCCCGCAGCGTATGTGAGAGGGAACTCTGGACCTAGAACCCCAAGGACCATCCACAAGAGGCGGCGACGAAATCTCTTCGTATAGCTGTCTGTCGGCGCTGGAACGTTCAGACACAGCATGCTGTACGTGCTGATGAAGATGGTGACTAGGCTTGTCCAAAGAATGTCGAATGTTCCTCGGAAGGTAGATTGATGTACCCATCGTCTTACCCTGACTGACGGAGTGAATTCTTGTGTGGCGGCTGCGTTGCTACAAGATCTTGTATTCGTTGTGTCGGAAGTGTCATTGTACGCCTGACATAGTGCCCCAGAGACGGTCAAAAAGAGGACCATTCGAAACTGCCACAGCCTTGTCATCTTTTCTTGGAGATCGTATGTTGGACCTGGCCGCGTTGCACATTGGCGATTGTAGAGGTTGGTAACAAGATTTTGATCTGTAGAATGGACGACAGACACCTTGAAAGGTGATTGGCAAAAGTATACAGCGGCATACGTGGGAGAGTGGAGAGTAAAAATCGAGGGGGTTAACGCTGTGGCCTCGAGCTAACCGCTCATCCTTGATGTTGCGACCATGGGGCCGAAACAATTGAAACCTTGTCCAGGATAGAGAGTCGACTGTTTACGGCAACATGAAGGCTCCTGATACAACGAGACTTGCCGGGATGAGGTTTTGTGCCAAAGAGAACGTGCCCAACATCGCGAGCCGCAATTCCAGCGTTTGGGGGTCGGAAAGACAAGGCCGGTTTTTGATCAAGAGCGGTAGCGTGGCATAAAGAGATGTCATAACGGGAGTGTTTTTGGATTTACCACTTGCCGAAAGGAAAGTCGTTCTGAATAATGGGAAGTTTAGATCCATGTAGGATCCTATCTTGAACCTGCGGCTCGCATCGTTCCATCGCGCCTATTCTTGCATTTAGTCGACACCACGAAACAATCAGGGTATCGCCAATCCGTCTCAGGCTTTGAATTCTGTCGCCAGGTAGAAAGAAGATCAGTGTTAAAGAGCTTTGATATGAAGGAAAAAGGAAGTGTGACCAGACGCTGTGTTGTTGTAGCGGCGTGACGAGAATGTATGAGCTGACTGAACTTAATTGCCGGGGTGGTCGCTTTACCTACAGTAAGTATCATTTCGTAAATGAAAGGTAGCCTAGTGTCAGCCAGAGTTCCTGGCAGAAAGTCCGCCCCCAGCTGAGCGGGGCCAACCAAACGCGGTACTCCTGCCATCTCGGCTGCCAGTGAACGCGGTTGTTTAAACGCCTGGCTGAAACGACCCTCCACAGCGATCTATCAAAACTTGATGCACGGGATAGAAAGTCATGTAGCCATTCCCTCGTGCCTCTCTTTCTTCCCTCCATGTCCACAACTCAGAGCCCGCAGTCATAATCGAGGCCAACATGCCGTCCATGTTCATCCTCTTGAAACCCTTCCTGATCACCGTCATCGCGGGCACCGGCCTTTACTTCAGCTTTCTCGGCCTTCTCACAATTCCTTGGCTGCAAGACCATGTAATATACCTGCACCGTGTAACCTTGACCTGGTTCCAGGATGTCAACGTGCCAGAGCAATGGGGCTTTCTCCGGAATCAAGTCACGCCTTTTTACCTCAACACGCCCGACGGTGAAACCTTGCACGCATGGCATATACTCCCGCTGGAGATTTACCGCAAGAATGAGAAGGCGCTGAGGGATGAAGCTGCTGGCTTGTGCTATGATGTAAAGAAAAGATTATCATTCAGGCTCCTGAAAGACGACCCAAGCGCACGATTGGTGATATACTTTCATGGAGCCGCAGGGACGTTGGCATCAGGCTGGCGGCCGCAGAGCTATCGTGCTATCTCAGCCGCCGCCTCTAACGTTCACATTCTTGCGATCGACTACCGTGGCTTCGGCACCAGCACTGGATGGCCCTCCGAAGCTGGTCTTTTAACGGACGCTCTCACCCTCGCTGACTTTGCAATCAACACTGCAGGCATCCCATCTGACCGGATTGTCATCTTTGCCCAATCTCTAGGCACCGGGGTTGGCATATCTCTTGCGCACCGTCTAGCTCTTCAATCGCCATCTACGCTCTTTGCAGGCATGGTTCTCGTGGCGCCATTCGCAGACATACCACTCTTGACTAGGACGTACAGCGTTGCTGGTATAATTCCGCTTCTGTCGCCTGTAGCTGTTTGGCCGACGGCGTTGGCCTTTTTGAATCGATTCATCACTACCAGATTCCCATCGAAAGATAAATTGGCGGCCCTCATTCGGCACTGCGAATCTCTCAAGCTGGCAGAGAGAGGCAACAAATACGATATTACCCTCGTTCACGCAGAAGATGACTACGACATCCCCTGGGTTCATTCTGAGATTCTGTTTTGGCACGCCGTGAATGCCACACGAGATCCTGGGGCTAGCATGAGTTTTGATGATTTAGAGACAGAAAAGAACAGGCTGAAGACTAATCTTGGGGCTGGTGGGTGGGAGGTGGAGTGGAAAGGCCTAACCGGAGTGGTCAGAGAACAGATTGTGAAGCATGGGCTGCATGACCGAATCATGAGTTATCCCATTGTTAGTCTTGCAATCGCAAAAGCATTTCATAGTCAGAGAGGCTAGAATTCAAAGCAGACGGGAACCGTTATAAATCTCCAAACTGTCGCCCCATAGGTAAGATAGGGGGCATTTGTTGGATGGACTAGCCCCCCTGCATTATGTCCTGAGGGTGCTCTTTGCCGCAACCATTTTCTTGATCAAGGCTCTGGTTATGACCCAAAAATGGCCCCCCGAGGTCAATCAAAATGACCTGGATTACACTCATATCTTTAACCCTTTCCTGAAAGGGTCTTGTGGTTCTCATCAAGTCGGTTGGTTTCTATTCGGAGCCGGATTTTCATAAGTCGGACGTCACCCCAATTGTTGGCGACATCAACACCGGTGAACGTTTTTGCCATTAAATTGGAGAATTCTATGAATCTTCGGTCATTAATCCTTATCAGGCCGTTCGAGCGGAGGACGAAGAAGGTCACGAAGAGCCAAATTAGATGGGGAGTTGCTGCCAACATCGAAGATTGCTTCCACAACCGAGCCATAGTTAGTATTCGGTATATGAATGATGTGTAGAGAGACCAATGATGGAGTTGACTTACTTTTCCTTGCAAGCGCGATAATCTATGACCGGCAGCTGTGCCCACGGCTCCAATGCCGAGTATACATGTGATTGCACCTGCCGGAATCGAAAGGACTTCTGTTGCACGACAACCCGCTCCGACATGGCTGAATGCTGTGTCCTCCACTTTCTTAGAGGTTTGCGACAAAGGTACACAATGCGCTTCATCACAGTGTTCAGGTGTTGAACGGTCCTTGGATTGTCATCACCGGATATAGTGGCTTGTTCTACGGCAGGATATGTTACCGTAATAGCAAAGGTGATGAAGTACCATTCACATGCTTCATGGCATCGACGGCTTGTGCAGCTGCTTCTATGAACGGCCTCTGAGCTTGATCCATCTGCTTATCCACTAGCTGCGGGTCGAATTTCTTGAGCTGGTCTGTCACCTACATGAGTTGATGGTAAACGATGGATCAAAGGCCGATAGTGGTTCCTTCCGTGGTTCTACGTACAACCATGTCGGTCCACAAGCCAAAGTGGCACGCATTTCTCAAGGCAGAGAACAACAGGTTCGCAATTTTGCTCAGATCTTCCCTTGGCCCTAGAAATGCCCTGATCATATGTGATCATACTCTCCAGGGCATCCAGATGAGGCGTGAACTAGATAAGGAACTCTGTCAAGCACAACAAGGCATGTAATCTGCGAACGCAGTTAAACAAGGGCTGCAGCTAAGGAAGTGAAAAGCCGCTTCAGCTTACGGGCCCTGAATCCACTTCATTCCATTCCGTGCCATGAAGTTCCCTTTGGCGGAATTCAGTTCTTGAAACACGATGTTGTCTTTCGACCGTTCAAAGAGCCCTATGTAAAAGGCTGTCCCGAAATCGATTTCGGCGTGGCTCAACTGTTCGTTGCGAAAAGGTTTGAATCCCACGGCGTATTCATTGTGGATACAAGAAAGATCCAAGCGTGCAGAGGGTTCCAGTAGCATGTCGCACAGGCTTTTGATGGCGACGAATTGGCTTGGGTCACCATTTCTGAGCGCGCTGTGTTTTAGATGGATCTACTGGTAAGGAGCCATTGTATATCGTGTTAATGAGCTAGAGTTGGAAAAAGAATGGCATACATACCTCAAGTTTCACTCTTTTGCGCCCTCTCGATCCACAGATCTGCAAGATCAGGGAAAATCTTGAGCTTGTTGAACACACAAAGATGCCAGGCTCTCATTGATGGCATCGGCCAGCAGTGTTTCAACAATATCTGACTCGGGCTGCCAAACCTTAAGACGAACATAAAGTAGAGCTTGAGACACCACGCTGCCATCGGACAGATCTTACTGCGAGTCGTACCCGGACGGTGGCGTGGAGATATGTGGTACATTCTGACCCGTTGGCACAATCGTGGGATGCAATGCCTACACCATTCACAAGGATCGTTCCGTATTTGGAGACGACGCTAATATTTGGCGACCAAAACGCTAGTTTTAGTTCTAACCCCGAAGATGTACGTCGGATGGACACTCTTTCTTCACTTTGGGCCCGGACCGCGTGTCTGTATTGGCAAGAACATCATCACGTTTGAAGTGACGAAAACAAAATGGGCTTGATGTCATATTCAAGTGGAAGTCTCAGGAAGATCTTTTAAACTAGAGTCTCGTGGTTGGCTGATGCGATGACCAGGAATATTTGTTTCGTTCTCTGAAGTGAAAAGGATCCAGGTGGTTTGGAGACATGTTTTGCTTCAAAATATTATGGTTCCAGTGATCTGGCCACGTCAGCAATTGCCCGCAAGCTTGAAGCCTTTCTTCTCTGTTTGCATCGACTGACAATCTCTCTTTTGCTCGATGGGGAGACCTTTTGGGAGCTCTAGAGCTTGATACCTATTTCCTCACCACTATTGGCGGCGGCATCAAACTCTCTATTCTCAACATTTCCTGCCGTTTCCTGTTTCAGGGAGGAGTGCATCAGCAGACGTGCGTGCACAAATATCGATATCACTGTTTCTTTGCGCTCTCTGCTCACGGACAGATCAAGAACCGTCCCGGCGCAGAGGGAAAGGCTGCAAAAATTTGCGACGTGGGCGCTGTAGCACAGATGGATTTCTAAGTTATGCTGTGTATCCGCATCCCCCTCATGCGGAAGAGTGGATCATTCATAACGGCGCAGTATGCGTCCACAGCTCATATCTCTTTCAGAGCATCCGCAATACACATTTTCGGGGCCTACGCTATCGTACGTACACTCTTTCCCCTTAGTTGCTCTGTCCTTTCATACGTCCAGTACAAACTGGACATCTGAATTCCTTCAATTCAGCAAGTCCTCATTGCTGTGTCTCTGCCTGTTCCGCCTATAAGTACTTTGTCAATTGCTAAGGCACGACGCTGCCACTCCTGTGGTATTGAACAGCTACGTGACCGAAAAAGGCCATTCTACCCCGCTACAGTAGAGGAGTTCCTGATTCTCAATCTATATGTAGAACTGCTGCAGCAGCTCGTTACTATTGGTATGGTCCGCATTGCGGTAGTTAAGGTGTTTTTGAGCAGCTGGTCCTAGTGCTCCGCGTTACCGACAGAACTTGTTGGAGGCTCCACTGCTGGGCATCCCAAGTTGAACTTTACCTTCAGCTTCAATGTGATTTCAAGGCTTCCACGACAAATTTTCGGCAGAATCTAATCTCTTCCTCGGGGCCCGTCTTTCTTGCAGAGTCCTCCTCCCAGAGCCGATCGTCAGCTTTCGACCATCATGTGTCGCATTTGCGGCCGCATGATAAAATGCATCTTTGACTCGATGCCTTCACGGGTGCCCTCCGCAGTTACGAAAAGGTCAAGATCTTCCACTCTGGCGTGTTGTATTTACTAAATCTCGCAAGCAGAGCTCCAGAGGCAGCAGATCAAACGCAATCTCACCATGTGTCATCTCGCAGCCTCGTCCGGAGTGCATTGAATATTTCACCTCGGCCTGTCACACAACCACCCACTTTCCTTCTCCCATTCCGTGCGAAGCTACATCAAGCAACAGCTCAGCAATCCGCGAGCCCGACCTCTCAATTCCACAATACTCAACCTGAGATCCCTCCAACCTCCCTCCAAACCGCAGACGAAAATCCCGTCGCAGCCGCTGAATCCATCAAGATATCCAAACTCCCTTCGACGAGTCAGTCTCTTCCCCGCCCGCTGGTCCTCTCCAGATCCCTACAAGAACTCCTACCAAAACTCACCCTGCAAAAACCGCACTATATCGTCGCACATGTCCATCGATTTCCTTACCTCCTTACCGAAGGTGACATGCTCCGACTACCATTCCACATGAAGAATGTGTCCCCCGGTGATATTTTGCGCTTCAACCGTGCCAGCATCCTTGGATCACGCGACTACACATTGAAAGCGGGCATGGACAACACCGAGTCCTATGACCGTAAGCGTACCGGCGAACCGAACTATATTGACGAGCGGCTATTCGAGTGCCGTATGCGCGTGTTGGGTCTGGAAACGGGTCCGATGATGAATAAAGAGAAGAAGAAGCGCAGGAATAGGCATCGAAAGATCGTCCATAGTAAACACAAGTATACAGTGTTAAGGGTTATGCAGATAAAGATTAAGAATCTGGAGGAGTTGAAGAGGGAAAAGGGCACACTTTTGCTAGAGTCGCCAGATACTCCTGCCGGAGAGGTGCAATAGGAAGAAAATTGTAAAAAGGGGGATTGTATGATTACACTCGAGAATTATGTCTCCGGATGCATCGAAAGAGACTGGATACACATTTCTTTTTCTTTTTTCTGTTCCAATCTAGCATTCTCTAGAAATCTTCCGAAAGCGGGCGACCTGTGAAAAACAATTTCAAGCCTAGATGACGACGTGATGTGAAAGGAAGAAAATATAGTATTACACCTTTGCTCAACAATGCTGCTTAATGTTTTCAGGGACTGGAGCTCCGTACAATCGCGCCATTCCTCTTCCTCCAGTCACGGTACAACTCCTTATCGCCTCCCACCGGGTATGCACAATTATGTCATTTACCAACTTGACCTGAGCGAAGAAGACGAAGGCGAAGACGAAGAAGAAGAGGAAGAAAGATCATAAAATTTCGTAAAGTTACATACATAGATTAACCATTCCCCAACTCCGACGGCGGCCACCCAATTGCTTCTGTTTGATCGGGATGTCAAGAATCGTACGCGCATTCAATTCAATGTCAAAGAGACCACGGTGTTGTGCTTGGATGTTTTCCCCCTCCCTCGTCTTTTCATGTCTTGTATTATCTCATTTCAAATGCCGGAAACATCATGCGATCACGGAGGTTAATTTTGAACTCGAAAATGCCTTCTTCGGAACCTGCGTAGCTGCATCCATGAATTAGCAAAACGTTGGGTTTCGGATTTATGAACAACGAGGTCTGAACTTACAGAAATTGACCGTCGGGACTAAATCCAATCCCAGCTGTCCCGGGCCCCATCTCCCTAACCGCATCCGCTGCCGTTACTGGTGATTGCCCAACTGCATTGGAGGTGCTCCCACCTGAAAGGGACGAAGCACCAGCTAAAACTCGGTGTAAACTAGATCCAGGCATCCAGTTGCCATTCCCGTCTAGAGAACGGTTTCCAGACAAGCCGGATAAGAACATCATCCGTGCAAGTCGCATATCTGAATCTGGTACACGACCTGAAAGCTCGGAGATTCGACTCTCAACTCGTGACTCGCGGACTGGGTTCATAGCCATTTGAGAGCGGCGACCAGTGCTTCGGTGGTCATCTGAACGTGTTGAGTCAGAGTTATTGCTCGTTTCGTTATTCGTGGCATCGGTAGTATTGTTTGTTGATCTGCCCTGCCGATTTCCCTCGTCATTTCGTCTTCGGTCGCCATCTTCCGCGCTGATTTCTCTGCGAATGGCATTTTCGAGTGCTTGGATGTCTGATGTTGCCAATGCAACACGGGATTCTGCTCGGCGAACTTGTCGCTGCAGATTTTCAATGTGTGCCAATCGCTGCGATCTGGACTCGGTATAATCCGTGAGGATATTGGACGCGTTGTCCGAGGTTTCCGAAGAACGAAGGTTCATGGTGGGCAGAGTGCTTGTCTGAGCGGAAGTGGACTCAGAGTTGGTCGGATGCGTATTCGGAGTTGACTCCGTCCCAGAATCTCCACCCAGCAATCGATCACGTTCCAGTGCAAGTCTTCTGGAATAGTCAGTCCCAAGTCTCAGCTCACTTTGTAGCTCTTGTGATCGCTGTTGAAGGAATTGTTGCTCGTTCGCCAAGGGCCGTTGTAGAAGCCGCTCAACAGAAGCCTCAACACGAGAATTTGATTCTCTTGCTGCGGCTTGAAGATGATCTAATTGCGTGGAATTTTCCATGAGTAGTCGCTGTTGATTGTCGAGTTGTCTCCGAAGCAGAGTTGACAATTGTCGTTCGTCCGCCAATTGGCGCTCCAGTTGATTCGCCAGTTGTCTTTCAGCTTCCAATGCAGCCTCAATACGGGCGAGATTCACGCGATTACTGTTGTCTGATTCACGTGCCGTTTCCAGGGCTGACTGGATGACATGCCAAGGATCAGAAGGGGGAATATTGGACGATTGGAGTTGTGGATTTGATCTCGTAGATGGAGTCAGGTCGTTTGTTGACATGACAGGGATCTCATCGTCATCACTAATACGACCGGGAGATGCCGACAGTCTAGTCCTCTGACTTTCGTTAGGGTCAAGATATCGACTGCCGTTCGCACTTGACTCGGACAAGACTACGGAGGTCCTTCTTCTTGGTTGATGAGACCGAGCACCACTGGATCGAGATCCGGGATTCAATAGTTGGACATCATACCGTCGGCTGGCATCCGAAAATATCATAGACCCTCTCAAACGCGGCGAAGACGAGTAATTGATACTATACGGTCGTGTGGTGAGGTGTTCGACATTGTCCATGGTAGTTTCAAGCGCTTCGATGACCGATCGCTCCCGGGCGTCGAGATCCAAGCTTTGATGATAAGTCAACAAATCCTGTCTATTGTGTCGCGCCCCGGACTCCGTTGGAAGGTCATCAATGCTCAATTCACCATCCCTGTCTCGAGAGGACAGCCCCCGGATTGTTCTTAGTCGTGCAAGATGCTGTTGTTTTAAGCGTTCCTTGATTCCCAGGTTGCGATATGCCACGGGTGTACCATCGTCAAGTTCTACCATCTCAGCCTTTTGCTGATCAAGCTCAAGAACCTGCCTTCGGACAAAATATCTCCTGACATCTGCCAAACCAATTCTCCCGTGGTCTTCGGCCCAAGCTAGGATATCCCACGGCGCCGGAGAAAATGCCATAGCTCTCACACAGCCCCATAGAGTTGGTCGAGAAGATTTGAAATTGCATAGAATGGATTTCTCGGCCGGCTCATCGGTATCCAGAAGTCGTTGCATATCGAAGACGGTAATAGAACCACCTTGAGAAGAGGCCGCACATAAGTGTCCCGAGGGTGAGAATGCAACAGCAAAGCTGAAATCGTCGTAGACAGGATCTCCTGTCGGTACCGTAGGTTCAGCCATGAGTTGCCAATCATACTTGGCATACCTTCCCGAAGATCCGTCAATAAGGTCCAAGTCCTCGTCCGGGCGCCGTCGATAAAAGTACACCTTATCAGAGTCACCAACTGCTGCGATGATGGTGGAATCCGGGGACATTGCGGCAAAATTCATCGGGACTGGATGGGCCAGTGTCGTCAAGACCTGGCGTTGTGCAAGCGAGTAAATCTTGACGGACTTATCGTTGTTACTGATCAAGACGACGGGTTCATCTGGTGTTTTCCCATCGTTGGCCACGGTGTGTATGTTCATTGAGTTCACGATTTCTCCTCCCAGGAGATCGATCACCAGGTCGTGACCGAAGCAGGTTGGACGGCCATGTTCATCCTTCTCCACCTCGATGAATGCACAATCTCCATTGACCTCTCCTCCTACACAAACCCAGCCCAAATCTGCAGCAAGGCATCTTGCTTCAAAGGGTATGGTCGCTATGAGGGAATTTTGTTGAGTTGCAAGGTCGAGGACAAAAATATCATGATTGGTCACGTAGTAAATGAGGTCGCCCTCCGAGGTGCTGATGAAGTGTCGAAGTTGATGGTGAGGCACATGTATCTCGGTAGGATAGAATTTATGAGGTGTCGCAAGCCCTTGTGTAGGTGTGAGGCATAATTCGTGTTTAGGAACAATCATTTCGCGAAGGCCTGGGGGTCTAGGAAGTGAGGCGCATCTCTGAGCTGCGGAGATACCGGACGGGGAGCGTATGAGGCGAGGAAGAGCATGGATCGGGCAGATTTTGTTTTTTTTTTGTTTTTTTTTGGTCGCGGTCAATTGGGAGGGGGGACCGAAGAAGCAAATAGTAATAGAAGAAGGTGGCTTTTGCTGAAGGGTAGGAATGAGGATGGAAGGCCGGGTGAGCGAGTGTTGTGAGGTTTTCTTTGACGTCAATTAGTTGACTTGCGGGTTTTTGGAGGCAAGATTGACGGATTACCTACAACCACCAAGGAACGAGTTGCTTAGCCCGGGAGTGGTACAAAATGCCCCATAGGAACTGTGAAATATTGGTGCGTTGGAGATCCGGACTCTGTAACTGGGGGCAATCTGTAATCGAATCTGTCGGAAGGTCTTCGAGAGCCTTGAGACCCCAGTCGGCCGCCAAGCCTCCAGTCCGCGCGAGCCTCCCTTGCGGCAAAAAAATCGGAGCAGAGAGGATTTTTCCTACATTCCTGCCATCTGCTCTCTTCTGCATCCTCATTTCATCACATCACCGGTCATCCCATCCTCACTTCGGTCACCTTTTGCAGTCCTTTGCCATCATCTACTTCCTTTTGTCTGTTATTTCTTTTATTACTAGAGCAATCATGATTGCCTCACGGTTCTCCAGAGCTGTAAGTTCGTTGCCTTCTTGGGGTCCATTCATCCATCTTCTAATCGATGCTCTCTCTGTCTTTAGCTCCCTCGATCAATTCCCATCTCCCGTTTCTCTCAGATTAGAGCCCCTCGCTCATCAATAATTTCTCGATATGCCTCCACCGAAGCGCCCGAGGGCACAGAAAAGGTCAAGGGCCAAGTCATCGGGATTGACTTGGGAACAACAAACTCTGCTGTCGCCGTGATGGAAGGCAAGCAGCCTCGTATAATAGAAAACTCTGAGGGGACTCGAACTACGCCATCAGTGGTCGCCTTCACGGAGAGCGGCGAGCGTCTCGTTGGTATTTCCGCCAAACGTCAAGCTGTGGTCAACCCGGAAAACACCCTTTTCGCGACCAAACGTCTCATCGGCCGTAAATTTTCCGATCCTGAATGCCAGCGAGATATCAAGGAAGTCCCCTACAAAATTATACAACACACCAACGGCGATGCGTGGTTAGAGGCTCGCGGCGAAAAATACTCCCCGTCGCAGATTGGTGGCATGGTCCTGCAAAAGATGAAGGAAACGGCTGAAGCATACCTGGGCAAACCCGTCAAGAACGGTGTCGTCACTGTCCCTGCCTACTTCAATGATATGCAGCGACAGGCTACCAAGGATGCCGGGCAAATCGCTGGTCTCAACGTCCTCCGTGTCATCAACGAGCCCACCGCCGCCGCCCTGGCGTATGGTCTCGAGAAGGAAGATGATCGCGTGATCGCAGTGTACGACCTGGGTGGTGGTACTTTCGACATTTCCATCCTTGAAATCCAAAAAGGTGTCTTTGAAGTCAAGTCTACCAACGGTGATACTCATTTGGGTGGCGAGGACTTCGACATCGCCCTGGTCCGCCACCTCGTTCAACAATTTAAGAAGGAATCTGGTATTGATCTATCCAACGATCGTATGGCCATCCAACGTATCCGGGAGGCTGCTGAGAAGGCCAAGATCGAATTGTCGTCTTCACTACAAACCGACATCAACTTGCCTTTCATCACTGCCGATGCTTCTGGTCCCAAGCATATCAACTCCAAACTGACCCGTGCTCAACTGGAGAATCTGGTGGATCCCCTCATCTCCAAGACCATCGAGCCTGTCCGCAAGGCTTTGAAGGATGCCAACTTGCAAGCCAAGGACATTCAAGAGGTTATCCTCGTCGGTGGTATGACTCGGATGCCCAAGGTGACCGAGTCCGTGAAGAGCATCTTCGGTCGTGAGCCGGCTAAGTCGGTCAACCCCGATGAAGCTGTTGCCATTGGTGCTGCCATCCAGGGAGCTGTTCTTGCTGGTGAAGTGATGGATGTTCTGCTGCTCGACGTTACCCCTCTGTCTCTCGGTATTGAAACCCTTGGCGGTGTCTTCACCCGATTGATCAACCGAAACACGACCATCCCCACCAAGAAATCGCAGATCTTCTCCACTGCTGCCGACTTCCAGACTGCCGTCGAGATCAAGGTCTACCAGGGTGAGCGCGAGCTTGTCCGTGACAACAAGTTGTTGGGCAACTTCCAATTGGTGGGTATTCCTCCTGCTCACCGGGGTGTTCCCCAGATTGAGGTCACCTTCGACATTGATGCCGATTCGATTGTCCACGTCCATGCCAAGGATAAGTCGACCGGAAAGGATCAATCTATCACCATTGCTTCCGGCTCCGGTCTCTCTGATGCTGAGATCCAAAACATGGTTGCCGATGCCGAGAAGTACGGCGCTCAAGATAAGGAGCGCAAGGCGGCCATTGAAGCTGCCAACCGAGCTGACAGTGTCTTGAACGATACCGAGAAAGCCCTGAAGGAGTTCGAAGACAAGCTCGACAAGACCGAAGCTGATGCCATCAAGGAGAAGATCGCCTCGCTCCGTGAATATGTTGCCAAGAACCAAGCGGGCGAGGGTACCGCCACGGCGGAGGAGATGAAGGCCAAGATCGATGAACTACAAACCACTGCTCTCACTCTATTCGATAAGATGCACAAGGCACGCGAAGAGTCTCAACAATCACCACCCCCGGGTGGTGAGGCCGGTGCACAACAAGGGGATGAGCAGAAGCCTTGAACATGGAAATCAAATAGGGGAAGAACCTCAACACAAAAAGCGCATTGTATTTTAATGATATCCCTGTACTCGACTGTTTATTGCTCGGATTATGGCAAACCCACTCGACCTTTTATTCTCTTTTCTCATTTTTTTCCGTTTTGGTGATTGTGTACGGCAAACTTTCTCCGAAATGTGCTTGATTGGGGATAGCGACTTGGAAATTTTTGGCTTGCCATGGCATGAGCAAGAGATGGAGAAGGCTATTGCTGGAACATGATTGACAATACCTTTGAAGGAAAGGAGTGGGTGATTAGCCATGATCGATCATGATGAAACATCATACTAGCGAGAGCAGGGAAGAGGATATCCGAAAGGGGGAAAATAACAGGGATTATGTAATTCGTCGTAGTTGTGGGGAGTACAAGGATACTCGGCCTGCATCGGTGTGATGCCGGTGTGTCGTGTGCAAGTTGTCAGAATAGAAAAAGAATCTCCTCTCTTGGAAGTCGTTCCGGATATTCATTCGGGGGCAGCCTGATCAGCCGTAACGAAGCCAGGGGGCCCTTTGTGCGTTAATTAAAAAGGGGATTGAGGTTGAAACGAACGATATGCTACGTAACTCGGTCTCCATTTTTGGTGTGTTGAGTGGTACCTGGCTACGTAGTACGTAGGACGGTGGGCAAATTAACGGAGAGCGAAAAAATGTCTTATGATACGGATACCACGCACACGTAACGAGAAGGGCTTGAGTTAATTAGACTAGTATAAGCTAGTCTCGGACGGGAATCAAAAAGAGGTCGTGGTGGATGCTCGGGGAAAAGAGGAAAAAGGGAAAGCGACTCTGCTGTACGGAGGACGGGGTGCCGTATTCGTGTGTTTGCTACTATGTAGGTTTGCCACGGTGGGGACGGGATGACAACGGATCCGGAAAATGGAGCACTCGTGTGGCTGTTGTAGACTGAAATGAAGGAGAAAGAGAGGAGGGGGGGAGGGGAAATGGAGTTTGAACGAGAGACTGATGATGGCAACAAATGATAAATTAACTCGGGAATGGATGGGGATTGTCTGACGGATAGGAGGATGAAGAAGCCGACGAGCAATAGAGGAGAAGGAAAGAGGATAGAAATGCTGCGATACGATGCGAATCAAGTGTGGAAAAAAGCGGGGCGCCGGATTCAGCGGGAGATGAGTCTTTTCTGGTAACGGTTGAATGATTCGAGATTGGGAATTTTTGGGACTTCTCAGTGTGATGTGGCCCAGTCCAGTAACAACCAGGGGGGGTCGTATGATTAGAGGGAATAGGGAATCAGGATTGATTGCAGGCGATGCTGCCATCCAATCAGAGACAAAGAGTGAGATGATCTTTGGTCTGTGAGGTGTACTCTATTCCGTATGGATGCCAGTGGCAAGTGGCCAGCTGATGCAAAGTAGAGTTCATATCAGGTAGTTTCTTGGTGGTCTTGGACAGCGGGCAACGAGGTTGCTCGTGGATTTGTGAAGGCAGAGAGAAAGGGAATTTTCTTCCTAGGCATTTCTCCTCAGCATAAGCGTCAGATAGTTCAGAATCGGGATTAGGCTAGGGTTTCTTTTTTGGGTTTTGCCTTAGTTTAGTGTTTGGCTGAGACGTGCTGTTGAGTTTTGCGAGTGGGGAGGATTGAGTCTGAGTGACAAAAAGAGTGACAGGTTAGATGCGATAACAGAGGAAGCAAAGACAAGCTAATGGATGTGGCATTCGTCAAGGGTTGGCCGTCATTGAATTACCATGGGCTGGCTAAATGAGAACAACTCGTATCAGAGTGCCGGGGGGGGGTGTCAATAGTCAGCCTATCAGGGTAAAGGGGGGCGCTATACGAGGCAGAAGCGGTAAGCGAAGATCAAGATCTAGAGTCTGTCAAGAAGTTGATGGAAGTTTGGTTCACGTAAACGACAAGCAACAATCGCAAAGGGGCGCTGCTGTAATCATCAAGGGAAAAAATCGCAAGCCATGTCGTAATAGGAGTATACTCCTAGCGAACAGTTTGGAACTATATTGCTAGTTTCTCGCAGCACATTCTCTCTATACCTATTCGTCTGGGCGGGTAGCACAATACGGACAAACTCCTTGCCCCCCCCTTTCTGACACAAGTAATCAGAAAGGCATCCCGGTGTCTTTCCTTTCTCACTTCGTGCTCTTACTTGAGCCTCCGTCATCTACTGGGTACCTGAGATATTTTGAAACATGTCAGGGTTCGGTGCCGTTCCCCCCTGTAACCTTCCTCATTAAGCTATTCCTCCTGATGATACTGTAGTGCTGGCTATGCACGCAGTAATGGCCACTCGTAGCACTCGTATTTGCCAGCAGGCCAACTCAATCTCGTCTTTTTCTGTTCCCTTTGTTGTGTTCCCCATTGGTCACCGCGGCCGCCTCCATTGACATTCAGCATTGACCCTCTTTTTTCGCTCAATGGTGCCACAGTCAAGCGAGAGCCCGCTTCAACTCACCCTACTAGCACCAATACTAGCTTTTGTTCACCTAGCAAGACCGTTCACCCTTTTCCATCTCTTTCATAATTACTGTTCTGCCTTGTATCTTGTGCCACCCAAACCCAAAGCCCCAACTCATCGTGCGTACTTCCCGTCTCTACCCATCTCTCGCTTGTCGGGGTTTTGCCCTATTCTCTTTTCACTGTCCTGCCAACCACGGACATATTCTTTCCTCCCCTCATCTATCCACCCGTTTCTTTTCTTGTCCTTCTTTGTCATTCATATTGCATCTCTTCACATATTACACGCACGCTGTCGCCCGCCGTCCTCCTCAGTTGTACTTGCACCACCATTCATCAACAGCCTGTTACATCCTAATGCGGTTTCGATCTTCACCTTGTTTGGTTTGACTGAGTATCGACGTCCACCTGCCGTCCACTTTGTTCAGAGTTCTTGAGCACCCGACGTTCTTTGGACCTCAATGTCGTTGTATTCGAGGCCTCCATCCGACCTGCGCAAGGTGTCCGACTTGACATCCGAGGTATGTTGATTGTTTCCATTGCTCTTGTTGTTTCGTCGTTTCCGTGGAAAAAAATGGCACCAATTTTCGAGGACGAGGACGACACCCGGAAAATACACACGGCACACAAGGACCTGCATATTTGTCAATGGATTCCATTTCTCTCCAAGGAAGTCTCTCGCACCTCAAATCAACTGTCAATCCTGTCTGTCAACCCGCTGGCACAGCACCATCCTCCGCCCTCCAACCCCCCCCAAAAATAAAGGTCTGGCACGAATGTGAGACTGACCAAGTAAATTGACCCCGGCCCAAATCTTCGCTTGTCCGCGTGCTGGGCCTTGATGCGGACTGCAGTGGCTTCGATCTTAGGCTCCCCCTTGGATTCGTTTAGCATGCACTTGGATCAACAGCACTGCCTCCACAACCCAAACTTGTTTCTTATCTTGGCGCCCTTTGCTCTTTGGACACCGTTCACCACTAATTGCTGTACTGTCTTCAACTTTGTGAATTGGAGGTCGACTTACTCGCCAACACCCACCAATCCGTTTGGCATTCGACTTCGGCACTATCCCAGTTCCACTCTCTGCACATTGGGCACCTTTCCTTGGGTCTCAATACACAAATCGACTGCATCACTTACCAGTCCCACTATTACCCTTTCCGGTTATTCCCGTCTATCTGGTGTATCTCGGGTCCATCTTTGCCTGGCCTCCACACTATCGTTCCCGTTATCAACACCAAAACTTCGGACACACGTTCATGAACTTCGATCCCTCCATCGGATCTGTTCCGATTCCCTGCATTCAATCCTCACTATTCTCTTCTGCCCAAATTCTCGCTTAACTGGCCGCCCTATTTCGTCTTTGTTTCATCATGATTTCCGCACTAACCTGACTTTCTTGTTAGCGGCCTCGCTCATCATGGGAATCCTCTTATCATCCCCCCTTTCGGAGCCAATATCAACCACATCCACGTTCACCCACGATGCCAGATCCCATGGACCCCGAATCTTCTGATAGTGATGTCTCCGTCGGAGGAGGAGATGAATACAGATTTGCAAGCCCCCTGACAGCCCCAATACCTCTACCGCCACCGCCATCGAAGCAGGCTCTCGAATCATCCGACGCCCTTCAAGCCCGTCTGGACGAATTACAGCGTGTAGAAGAGCACAACTTCAAAAAATACGATCTCTTGAAAGCTAAGCGCGCCCGTAAGGACGAGAAGATTCGTCGGAAGCGCGAAATTCAAGACAAGAAATGGGCTGCCATTATTGATGCCCGTCAGCGTCGGGATGCTCGAATTGAAGCTCGTCGAAAACGAGAAGATGCTGCCTTCTCTCAGTTTTTTGATCATGAACTCGAGGAGGAAGAGAATGTATGATCCACATTGGACCCATCGACTCCGTTCATCTGTGCTGACGAGAGTTTAGCATCTCCGTCGTCGCTTGAAGCGTCTCAAACGAGGATTGCCACCCGAGGAATCCCCTCAACCAGGTGTCAGAAGTATATCCTCAGCATCAATGTCACCACCTGGTCCATCATTGTCAACACTTCCTCCACCTCCGAAACGTCATCAAGTCGGCCCGCCCGGTCAACCTGATGCAATTAATCCTTCTCAGTCCCGACCTCCACCATCATCCAGCCTCCCAGCGCCTTCCAAATCAACTGCACCGGGGGCTCCGTATTCCTCTTACTATCGAGATCCTTCTTCCTCCTATTCGAGACCTTTTCATCATTCGTCTTCGTATTCAACCACACCTAATACCGCGTCTACCACCACCACCACTACGAACGGTTTAGCACAATCTTCCCAGCCGCCCACCGATCGGCCACAATTGAACCACCTAGGCCGGCCGGCGTCGCCACTCTCGAGAACAATCCCAAGCACCCAATCTCCTGCCACGCCAGCAGCAGCAGCAAGCACCATGCCACCGAGACAAACATCGTCGAGCTATGACACACGACCACCACCCACGACCTCTTCAGGGTTTGCCTCGATAAATGCGCCACCTACATCTGGGTTCGCCACAATCAACCCAAGACATGCCGTAACACCACCCGCCTCTCATGCAGGTGTACCACGACCTGGACCTGAATTGGAAGCAACTAAGGCACCAGGTCACCAGATTGTCAATAAAAGTCTGGACAACAATCGATTCCATCCATACAACAACAGTGCTCCAAATAGTGGATCGGCTCCTTCTTCCACCAGTACCACCAAACGCACACCTTCGACGACCCATCCCTATCAAATGTCGGAGGCCTTTGCTAATAGACATCACCATTGCGAACGAGTGGACAGTCTGAATCGCGGCATTTGGACTTCCTATGGCGTTGGAGGGACGCAAGAGAATCCAACGGGACCCGCCGTGGAAATGTATCTACGTTGCAACCACGACGGATGTTCACGCATAGATTGGCGAACTGTCCATGGTCTGCAATGCCATATTGTGAAAAATCATGATCAACCCAAGGGAACCATCGGTAGTCTCGACAAAGCATTGGAAAAATACGGTGTTCCGGTTAAAGAGGTTGAAGATTATGAACGGGAACACGGGAGAGGAACTGCGGGCCAGCTGGCTGATCCCAAAAACCACAAGATCAAGATCAAAACCAAGGAAGTATTGGCACCTGGTCCTAGTCCGTACGTCAGAAAGAGCACGCCGGGTTCTTATGGCATCGATCCCCAAGCTAGACCGGCCGGTTACAGACCAAGTCCGGCATCGACTGAAAGTCCCACAATGTCTGACGGGGTCAAACATAGTCCATTGACGGCAATGACCAATGGCTTCCAGAAATTTGCGCCTTCACCATCAGATGATGATGCGGCCCGAAAGTCAACACCTCAAACGGCAACATCATCTCCAGCAAGCGCATTTACAGCCATCAGACCAGACTGGCATCATTCTAGTGCTTTTTCGCAACAGACGCCATCAAGGATTGAACCAGAACCGAAGAGATTGCAAGGCGATTTTGGAATGACAGATGTGGCAGTGAAAGAACAACCGCCTTCCTCTCGGCCCGAAATTCCAAATGGACAAATGCAGCCAGCACCTCCTTTGCCGGTTGATCCAAAGACGTCCCGACCAGAATCATCCGGCACTCTTTCAGTTGTTGAACCTTCCATGCCTATCACAGCTCCAGAAATTCCGGCTGCTGTGAGAACCGAACCATCCAATCCCCAATCTACAACATTGCCGCCAATTCCAAACCACACAAAGACTGAGGAAACGGACAAGACTGAACCAAGGGGAGATGGACCTGCTCCTGCGCTACATACTACCCCGGACAAAGATGGCGATGTGCACATGACGGAAATGACAGAGGAGGTCCTGGAAAGGAAAGCGGATGAGAAAGTCAATGGGTTGGAAAGTGAAAAGCTGCCTGCAAACGAAGGTCCTGCTCAAACAGAGGATACCACCGAAGACCACTCTGAGACAATTATTGTTGATGGCGACGCTGGAAAGGATGCTAATGCATCAGCCGCTAGAAAATCATCTATTCAATCTCCAGTCATGACAAAGACCACTCTCCCTCTTACACCTGGAAGCGCTAGACGATTGAGTCGAAGATCTAGTCTGGCGAGGAAATCGGCTGATGCTGAAGCCGAGAACGAAAAGGACGAAAAAGATGACAAGGATGAGAAAAGCGAGAGAGATAGCGTTAGAAACGAGCCAAGACGATCGATTAGTGGACGGTTATTGCGCAGAGGCCGGGTTTAGGGAGCACAACCTCGGTGCGTACTCGGCAAGGTTTCCAGCTGAAAGAGTTGATTCCAGATGCAGTTGAGAAGACGGCAAAGTTGTTTTCAAGGTCAAGGCATTCGCTGAAAGCATTCTTCCAGTTATTAAGCTTATTCGTGTCCGCAGATTCGATGTTTCGGCAATCAATGATGAAGAAGAATCCAGAGCTTTTGAGCTGAACAGAGTGGGCAAAAATGCGAATGGTATTGAGGAATGCAACATGAATTATCGTTCATGTGTCGTAGCGGGTTTGATTTGAATGGAGGCTGAGTTTGCGAATAATTTTTCATGCGGAAAATATCGGAAAAGTGGTGGTATTATCTTCAGCAGGCCTGTCTTTTGAGGAATTGATTATGTTTGATATCGCAAGCGTTAGGATTGGGATTTGTACAGAGTATGGCGTTTTGCATCATTCCCTTGGTCTTTGATTGACCGAGGTGGGAAAAGGTATAGGCAAACAAGGCACAGGGGTTTATGAAATCAGTGTAGTGTAGGCGGTGGAGATATTGAGCGTGGTATTGATAACACTCCTCGGCCCTTAATTCTCAATTCGTTTGAATGATCTTCTCTGTAATCTTATCCACCATGCATCGACCGACAAGAAATGAAATTCTAACCTTCTCTGCGACGGCGTACGCGACAAGCCTGGTAACACGACGGGACTGGGAACGGACTCATACTTGCATCTACTATCTTGATTCTGTGGAGCCCATTGACTTGCAATCAGTATCGACCACAGTCTGGGGTCCCTCTCGACGCGTGCGGTAATGCTTTTCCTCTGAAGCGTCACATTGTAGTTCATCTTGGATATCGTACTCAATTATGCCGTGCATGTGGCCGAAGGCCGCCACGAGAAGTTCCGATGACTAGTTGTCCGTAGTAATCATCTGGGGCGATCAAGGGGGTGCGAGATGATCTTTTGGATTGATTTCAAGCAGGTCTGCATAGTTTGCAAATTGTCATTTGATGGTACCATGGTTCAGGTGCATAGTGAGTTGGATATGCATGCTGATTGTTGAGCCGGGTAGTTTAACGACACCTGTTCGAACATTGTCGATGTGCCCGTATCTTATGCCGCAAGACTTGGCTTGGGAGGAGAACTGTTTTATGAAGGGAAAAAAAAAAAAAATTAGGCAGAGCAGAGGAAAGATAGCTTAAGGAAGCGAACAAACTAGATGTCCTCGGCGCTGTAAGAGTGGTATTCTTCATCGGACTTCGATCGTCTTGCTGGCTCAGAAACCTCGTTTGGCAATTATGCCAGCGTGTAGAAGGCAAGACAGTCAGATAGCCAGTCAAGAATCGGGGTCACCCTATGTCTTTGAGAGACACTTCGGACATCAAGCTGCTAGGAGGCCAAAGCTGTTACCTTGCTAACTCGAACCCTCATCCCTTGATCGGTCTTAAAGCGATCAAGTCGATATCGATAAACGAGTCAATTCCATCTCCAATGCCTCGGTATCACTCTTGCCTGTCCACGGACTTGGCCGGTCTGATACCGGACTTGTCAAGTTTCCAGAACATTTCGAAGGCAATGCGGTCGCTGAAGACCTCGCCTGCGGAAAGGTCAAGTATCAGAGAGATCTCATGCTCTATCAGTCCCCGCGTCTATGATAGAACCACGCCAACAGCTCTATCAGCTGCGAGAAGAAGCTTTTTCGCGATAGCATGTGAGAACACCGTAATGTTGGGACCGAACTCGTAGCTCGTGCACGATCACTCGTTCATGGCACCATGTGCTATTCGTGTATTCTGCGTAGCTGACGACGTTACCCCTGTTGACATCAGGAGTCATTTGGATTCCGTGGATACTCAGATCCTGTTGCTCAATAGCAAAGGGTGCAAACGTTTCTGTTTTCTTGGAATACGGGACCATGCTGCCCAACGTCACCCGTCATCCTCGATAAGCACAGCAGCTTTGCACTATGATTCCCCAAGACTCAGTGTTGGCTCTGTCACGTAGAGAGTTTGACCTTACCAATCTGTCTTTGGCCCTCGGTCTAGAAGATTTCTGCCGCGGCTTCCATGGCGGTAATAGTCGGGGAGGGAAATGCTTTGGCAATCGGCTAGCCGTGACACTGCAATGTGGGTTTGTCTTAGAATTGATCCAATCGTTGAAGATTTGGTAAGTATCCGTGAATTTTACCAGCTGCCCCTCCTCCCACGATGATGTAGTCAAAAGCCGTACACACTGACATGGTTGGTTTTCGAGTAGATGAATTGCTTCGATGCAGAAAATATACCAAACAGAGCACTCCCCAAACCCCCATTTCTCCTCGAATTCATATCTCACTCTTTTATGAATGGTAGCTTACCTGTATGCTTGGCAACGTCACAGCGCGGCTTGAAAAGAACATTTTTAGAAGCGTGGAGAAGGTAGTCTTATTCTCAAATAGCCAGACGCCGGGCCCGACGGACGGAACACAAAATGTGCGACCTGAATCTGCGCAGCGTAGCCGGTGCCAAAATGCTTTGCTAGTAGCCCTGTGTAATCAAAAACAACAGCTATAGGAACTGAAGATTAAGAGCCTCGGTGCCATACCTTTCCCTTGTTGTTATTGTTTCTCCCATGACCTTTTTATGATTTGATAGACATAGGATTTCTCAATTTGAAGCTGAAATGCTAGATAGTACACAGCCTCCAAGCTAGGCAGAGCTGTTTCTGCTTGGAGCATGAACAAGCCACTTGTGGTTGGATATATATGGTATTGGTCTGTTACTTAGGACTGAATAGCACAGCATCAGAGGTAGCAGGCTGAGACAATACGCTATGCCTAAATAAGGGTAACTATGGTGGGTGCCACTATTTTCAAAACGTAAGCGATTAGAACAGTCACTATCCTGATTGGCTGAGGTATGTCCTCCTTCCAAAATGGACCTCCACCACCTGACTGCACGGACACTTCTGCAGAACAACAGGCAGAGAGAGCCATAAACTGTCAGTGCCCTTATCATTTCTTCCTACCTCCCAACACGCCTTCAATTTGGACTCTGATTGCCAAAAAAGATAAGGGGGCTTCTGCAAATTTTCTTTCCGCAATATTCAAGAACGGGATATTGCATTCTGCCTTTCCTGTCCGGCTTTCATTCCTTTCTTACATGCCTGCCTTGATCCTTCTTGCTTTTCAGACGAATTCGTAGAACAGAAATCTTGCTTTATCATCCCTTTTGCGTATACCAGTTTCGTGATCTTCAGAATGTGTTGAACCATTCGACTTCGCCGACGACCTTTCATTTAACCTGTCTAGCGGAGAACTCCCCAAAATCGAAGTTGGCAACAGTAACGGCTCTTTAGCTACTGCAAATGCTCTCCTACCAGTTGGTAGAAAGGAAAGACTCCCCCATGACGTGAAGCCAGGGCGGGTCCTTTGTGGACTATATCACGATAGCCTCTACTGCTCAGCAAATGGCCAGTCGTCGAGACAGATCGTCTGGGTCCGTTTGGACGGACGAGAGACTTCCAACTCATTTTCCACCTCGGATTTCGATATCGAGGCTTTGTGCTTGTGGCTCTGGGCTGTGAAGATATTACTTGGAAGAGACCAAGGGGTTGGGTATGTGCTGAGTGCGTGGTATTGCTCTGGGAAGTCGAGTAACCACGGCGAGAAGGTCTCGGATGGTTCTTGGTTACTTTCATGTGTAATTTCCTGTGTCAGAGGGGGTACGGATTCAAGCCCAGGATCTTACGACGAGAGATTCATTAGCTCAGGAACCGATGCGAAAGAACGGACAGATCCGGCAGGCGCGGATGGTAACTCGCAAATCGGAAACTCTTGTTTGGATCTTACTGTAGACCCACAAGTGGAGCTAATGGTGTCCATCGATTCTGTGTGCGTGTCATACTGAAGAGTCGGCAGACGATAAATAACTTTCGAGTTATCTTCCGTCACCCAATATTCAGGGAATCGTGTTCTTGGATTGACGGAGCCGCTGAGAATATCCGAGGTTAGGCCTTCTTCAGACTTTGTCAAAACGTCGATGATGGAGTATTTTTCATGTCCCAGGTGCATCAGAGGAAAAGCATTGAAGCTCTGGGTAAGGAGGCCGTGTTTGTACGCAGTCACGGCGAGATGGCTGGGAAAGGCCTTCTTCCCTTCTGCCCTGGCAAATTCGACAACTTTGGGCAAAGACCTAGTTCTGTTTGCTCCTCTAACATTTGCAGAGAGATAGCATTCATAGGCCAGGATTCGATCAAGAACGTCGCTTGACGCTTGCCGAAAGTCAGTCTCCAGACGTGACAATGGCTGAAGTGGGTGGCGGCTGGGAATCTTCCAGCAAATCGTTCCTACTGATCTCATGATGCGATACACCACTTCCAAACCGTAGAAGGCAATTGCTTGATGTCTTCCAAGAGATATGTCTGCGCTAAGACTCTGCCACTGGGAAAGTAGTTGTGAATAGAGCAAACCGAGGCGAAAGGCAAGGAAGTACACCAACTCAGCGGCCACCTCTCTACTGAGGGAGTCGGCGAGGTATGCAGGGTTAGCGATCCATGTTGAGTCCAGATTCCGAAGCAGGTAAAAATAGCCAGTAAAGAGTTCAGCAGTCGAGAACTGTGTTTGCCCTTCCCTCAAAAGATTTTCTTCATCTGAAGAAGTGCATGTCGAACCCCACATGGCTTCTCTCACAAAGTTGTCGAAATGCGGAATATAAATAGCAGGGGCGCGGACATGCACCGTGTGGCCATTTTTCTGTTCCATAGGGAAGGTTTCTCTTGTAAGAGAAGGCTCGTAGACCGCCGAATAGGTCTTCAGAATACTCTTTTTCAGGCTTCGATCTTCAAAGTGCAATTCGGCAATGACCGGATCGTTTTCGATAGCGGAAAAGACGGAAGTCTTGGTGGGAGCGGTAGGAAATCGGGAGAGTCCCTGTCCAAGATCCTGAAATACCGTGAACCAGAGTTGTCAGTCCAAGTATGACGCTTCACCTAGTGAAGGAGGCTGAGCTTGCAATCCAGTGATCAAGATGCACCTTTCGCACAGTGGCTTTCCGAGACAGTGTCGATTGCCCTTATCATATCTGCACCACAAGCAGCGACGTCTCCTTCGGATCTGCTTCACGTCTTCCGAAGTATGATTGAGAGAGTCCGGCTGATGTTCTTCTGGGAGGCGTCGACCCTCGGGTCGAACATTCCATGGTGTATGGAGGTTCCACTGTCCAAAGGGACTAGAATGGGAATCGTAGAGAGGTATTGCGTGAGAGGCTAGGTTTTGAAGCCCCTGTCTCCCGCCAAACTCTGTTGGAACACCATCAATTTGAAGCGGGGTCGGAGGAGCGAAAGTTGTAAATTTGGAGGAATAGTTTCCATCATATCGCCACACCACAGCTCCAGAAACAGGAAGGATATCCTCTGTCGCCGGGATTGTGTTGTCGGGCTTCAATGGACTCGACATGCCGCATGACATGCAGTAAGAGAGGGAGACTTGTGTGAGATGAAGCGAAGAATGGTTGATTTAAATCAAAAAGCATGGGAGGAAGAGTATCACCGTGAATGGGAGAAGGATCTCGTATATATACCCTTTCAGGTAGAAATCTCGTCAGCCTCTCTTTTTCTTGGCCAACTAGCGTCTTGCATAGGAACTAGTGGCCTCTTTCAAGCCGTTTATTTCCTTTGATCGCAACTGCATGCATTGATACATCTTCCTCAAAGACTAGGGGCAAGACTTAGGGCTCTGTTGGTCGAACAGGGGGGCCAACTTACTAGAGAGGGGGATATCAATGCTCAGCCTCGCAATAGGCTTGCGTTAGCTTCGGCTGCTTGCGATATTCCAACGGGATCGGCTGAGTGGGCAGGCACCTCATATCTGCCCTACAGCCTTCGACATCCATTGGGCCTGAAAGTAATGGTGGGACCTCCACATCCACATTTATCGGCAGCAAAGCTGGGGGAGCTATGCTGAATTCAAACCGATTTGTTCGACCCTCGGCGTGCCCACCAATCACAGCCAGCGGGGCCCGAGGATGACAGGCTGATTTCGTGGGTCTGGAGTTGCAAGAATAAACAAGCACCAGTCAGCTCGCCATTACCTCAAGATTTGAAACCCACTCTGCAAGTTGACAGCTTCCGCTGCGATATATCGCAGTTTCCCAACACCTAGTCATACGAGACGGAGAGAGATCATGAGCACCATTGAGATATGCACGGGACTTGAAGATCTCTAAGCCCTGCAGTCCAATCACTTGAATGATCCAACATGTTGCTCTCGCAAGAAACGCCCGCTGCGCTTGTAGTTGGAATAATTCGCATTCCGACCCAGGCCAACCCATGGAAGGTCCAGCTGCTTATTTGATCGATGTGCATTGTGACTCAATTTGCACATCGTCATTCCCTATGACACCCGGCGCCGTAATCCAGAACTCATGGGCTCCATGCAGAAAAGGTTGGCAGCCAGCATTTGAACAATTCGTTCAACGGGCTTGCTCAGTTTGGGCTGTTTGACATGCAACGCTTCCCACCAATAGTCGGGTAAGAGAAGATGATTCAGCAGAGCGATCGACCGAGGGCAGAGCAATGCCTCTGGCTAGACGGCGACTTACGCCTTTTGGTCAAGGGAAAAAATGTCCAAACTTATGGGTTCCGTTCATGAGGCACATGCACCTTGTCAGATGGGTCGGTCCTGTCTTCGGCGACTCCAAGTGTCCGGGAAAAGCTTCGCATGACGACGCAGCATTAAGCTCAATAAGCTAGGTTCCAAATTGTAAGTAGGCGACGCTTCGCCTCCCGTGTCAGTCCGAGAATTCTGCAATATGAATTTTATTTTCCATATTGTCCAGGTTTGGGTTTCATCTTATCACACCTCCGACCCCGGCCCACCCAAGCACAAACCCGCTCAATGCCTCAGTGAAGAGACCACCCCCAAACCAAATCTGCCTCCACGCACCCGTCCCTTCATTTCTTCCTTTCTCATTCAACCCTCGAGACCCAGCTGTGCCAGCGAAGTATTTCTGCGGTGATGCACCGGCCAGTAGGAAGTAAAATAGTGCGGAGATCAGCATGTTGGCGAGAACGTAGAAAACAAAACCGTGGAGAGATTCGAGGCCTAAGATTCCTGCTGCGATACCAAGCAGGAGGCCTGAAATGGAGCGGATGTTCGAGAGGGTCTGGGGAATGGCTGTTGTGTCAGTACAAATCAATGTAGGAGAGTGAAGGGAAGAGAAAGCCTTACGCGGGTATTGTGTTGAATACTTTCGGGAACGAGAGGGCTGAGGAGGAGGGATAGCTCGTATGGTGAGGGAGCCATCGTGACAAAGGACCGTTTCCCCCAAAATAAAATCCTCGGAGCGTGATTTAAAGCCCAAAAATATTGGCAGAGAATGTCAGTGGTGGGCGAAATATGAACAGAAGAGAAATTAAGTCCAGCCTAGGGTCGCAATTGAACTTGACCGGGGCTTGGCATTGCTCGGCACTCGACGAGGCTGGTGTCAAACAAAAGAAGAGAATAAATTCTATTGCACGTGAATATTCTTTTCAATTATGTCACATAGAAAACTCGTATGTGGGTTATCTCGTCACACTATGAAAGAAAGTCCAGGTCATCGTCCATGCGAATATCGGTCGGTGAATTGAAATTAGCGGAGATCTTTGGAGGCCGTTAGGGTGAAGGTTGTGGATGTTGCTATGGGTGTCGACCAGTAGTGGGTTTGTTGTTGTCACATCCTGTCAAAAATACCAGCTTTGAAGCAGAATATGGTCAGACGTAACTAATTGGCCTCGAGAACGAAGACCCAGCTTCACTCCTTGCGGTAGGACTTGTCATCATTCAATCAATCAATTTCCAAGCGCCTCCTTCTCAAAATGCTTGCAATGTCGAAGATCAGATTTAGTGGCATCCTCACAGAATAGAGCGACTTCGTTGATTCAGAGCTTCCCCTCCGCTTGAGCCTCTTTGACTTGTTCAAAGACCTAGGCTACATTAGTAACTATCCTTCTTTCAGGGGGTCTGCAAGACAAGCCTTGAGCATCTTGTTTCGAGCTCCTAATGCATTCACCCCACGAGCTTCCAACCCTTTGTCATCCAATTTAATCAGTTCTTCCCATTTGAGGTCCTTCAAATTGTCGGTGTACTTGTGCAATCTCAACGATCGGAGCCATGACGGAATGTCTTGGAGCAAGTTTGGATCTGTAGGATCCTCGGGAGGTTTCGAACTACCCCGTCGTCCGCGAGGAGAACGTCCACGAGCAATTTCGGAATGATCCGAGAGGTAACCTTCACCTCCAGCCCCATAAGAACCCATTTGAGGAACGAGACCAGGCATGCCTGCTCCCATCATGATTGGAGCTCCATCATAGGCAGCCAAGAACCCATTGTGTTGAGGAGAAGCAAAAGCAGTTTGACCAAGAGGAGTTTGCAATGGAAGACCTGGAGAATTTGGTCGCGAACGTCGACCTTGTGCAGCAGCAAGTTGTTGTGCTTGAATCGCTGCCACTTGTTGCGCATTCAGAATTTGGCCATGGTCATTAACCATGATCGTATTTATGCCCGGAATACCAGATGCGGTGAGTCCAGGGGTCAATGGTGGCTGGTTTTGCGGTTTTGGTTCATTCGATCTTGCCCGTCGGTACTTCTTAACATCATCCAACGCAATGCGATTGTTCACCGTTGACAGAGCCGCAAGTTTCATGGCAGTAGCATTCGCCACCATGTCACTGTGAGTGGCAGCTTGATTGAAGTTAGGAGCCATCGGAGTGTTACTCATCGAAGCCCAGCTCTGGTTGCCGACATTATAGGGCGACAAAAGTGGAACCTCACTCGAAACTGGATCTGGGGCAGTCAAAGTTGTGCTTTGAATATTGCCCGATTGTGTTCCCAACGGACGTGGAGAGCGAAGAGCACCCGAAGATTGAGGTTGACTGAATTGGCCCATAGGTTGTTGCTGCGGTTGCTGCTGTGGTTGCTGTGGTTGCTGACCGGATGAAGACTTGGGCCGCGAGATGGGTGGTTGCTGAGATTCTCCACCTTGACGCCAACTCATAGTATCGGTCTTGGATTCCCGAGGAGCAGATATGGTGGGCGCCACGAGTGAGCCACGATCTCCCGCGACAGTGCTGTTTCTGTTAGATGGAGGTGGGTTGCCCGTTTGTTGCGCATATTCGGCCTTTTGTTGTTGAATAGCTGCCACAGCATCCGGGAACATTGCATGAATGGTCGATTGATCCAAGCCTGAATTACGCTTATTGCCAGCAGGCGAAACTGGAGGACGACCCAAGGACGTTCTCCGGTCATCCACATTCAGTTTCGACATGGCATCACTCAGACGACTCGACATGGCATCTTTTTCTCCAAAATTGGCAGGAGACAAAACCCCTGAGATCGGGTGGCTTTTGGACATCTGATTGAGGACCTGAGCAAAGAACCGTTGTTGCATCTGGGTGGTTTGTTGAATTAGAGCATAAGTGGCAGCGGTACGTTCGGCCTCGCTCAACACCCGGAACCATTGTTCGATTGCACTCAGCTCGTCTTTGAAATCCTGATCCAACGTCGCCGCAGCCATCTCTTCCAGCATTGTCTCATACTGCTCAATATCCTGAATCCATTGTTCTCCCAGTTTGCTCGAATCATCCAAGCTACCTTGCTGGGACTGTTGGTTGTAAAGAACTTCGGACGCAGGACGGATGGAGCGTGCCGAGAGCGGAGAAGTAAAGGACATGTCGGCGGAAGAACGAACAGGTTGAGTATGGGTGCTGGAAGTACCAATGGTCCTGGAAGTGGGTGGGCGAAGAGAGGTTTTGGATGCCTCGGGGGTGCTGTTCCTGTTGCCGATAATATTGCTGGCCATGGCGGTCCTTTGTAAGGAAGCGTTGGACGGGTGTGTGGGACGAAACGCTATGATTGTAGCAGACACAGTCGGCTGAGAACCGAAGCAACAAGACACGAGTCGTTTGAGCAGTTTGGGTTGGTCACACAAGATGCTTCTAGCAAATCATGGAGAGGTGTGTAGGGAGTGTCGACAGACGATACGGCGTACAAATGAGCCAATTGGAGCCAGCCCAAGGGTAATGAGGAGGAAAGAAAAATCGAGGACGCGCTTCTTGGGAGTTGTGATGAGCGAAGCAATGCGAGAAGGAGAGCCTGAGGTAAGCGATCGTGAGTGGAGGTGGCGGTACAGCAGGTGTCTCAGACACACGAGATGGAGCCGGACGATTAACTAGGACCAGGAGAACGCGCAATAGGCGAACGCAAAATTCGGGAGGCGGAAGCGTGGACTTGCGGAGAACAGCAGAAGGGATTAAGGAGAAGAGGGATGTAAGTAGCAGCTGAAATAAGACGCGCCGAAGATGATGATGGTTTGTGAAGTGGAACCAGGTTTTTTTTTTTTTCAGACGAAAGTCTAAGTTTGACAGTTGGGGTGAGTCGGATTAAAATAAGCAGTAAGAAAACAGAGACACTACAGGACTCCGTCCTCCGACTTGCAAAGTCCTCGAGCACCTGTCTGAGGCAGATGGGTACTTGGGGATTTAGCACCTAATCATGTATTGATGGCTACTAATTAAATATCCAATTCACCTAGAAGTGGCGGGTGACGCCTGAAATTGACCTGCCTGGAGCTGAATTCGACTTTGCTGCAACCTTTTTCCCCAACCATAAACTTGAGCTTTTTGGCTCGTACATGCGGCTGCGTTTTGCCATGTGCCCGTTTCTTCTCAACCTGTCGCTGTCATCCGCCGGGCTCCAGAATCTAGACCCCACCGCCCCTGTGTCCAGCATTTTCACTGTTCCTCCTACCAGCCTCAACACTCTCTCTGCTCGCCCGCGCCTCACTGTGGCGTTAATTCGAGTTTTCTCTCTTTTTATTGGCCCCTCTCAGGTCCTGTCTTTGAACTGGAAATTCGTCGTTCACATGCATGTGGCGATGCCTATTTATCGAGCGGATCCTTTTGTGAGCATTCTCATCTAGCCTCGTTCGGGCTTAGGAATCATTGACGGGGGAGTTGCTTGATGGACTCTGACACAGACCAAAGCCTGATGGAAAATTATGATACTGGAGATTGAAAGTCACGCTGGCTTGATGAGTTTTCAAAATGAGCGATCAGAGGACGGGCAATTTTCGTTCTGGTCCTGGCAAAGATTTTCCTTCAAGCATTCCCTTTTCTCCTTGGATGGCTCACATTCAACCCATCTCACCTAGTGAATTTCCACAGGCGTCAAGGCCTCTCGTGTTTGAAGGGTTTGTTCCCAGTTCCATTCGTCCACAATCTCCTCAGCCAGAGAACCACACAAATGCGTCAAATCGTCTTCCTTACTCTCAGCAAGACCAACCGCCACTTCAATTCGGGTCCCTAGGCCAATCCGAAACCTCATATCCAGCGATAATACCGGCGCCCTTTTCACGGTCAAATTACGTTCCCTTTCCGGCCGACGCATTACCTCAGCGCCAACAAGACCATCCACGAAAAGCCCCTGATGGAGATGTCTCTGAAACCCCCAACGAGGAGGCGGAAACATCCGCTGATGAGGAGGATTTGTCCATGGACGAATCTGAAATCCCCGGCATAGCCTCCGTTACAGCCGAAGGTGAAATCCATACGACCACAAAACGACCATTCGGTCGGCCTCGACCACCGGGAACAGAATCCCGGCCTAGGAAAAGACGCAAGAAAGGCACCGGAGCTCGAGGTGGTTGGAGTAAGGGTCTGAGAATTGGTCCCAGACCAGCCATTGATCCCGGTGCGGAATTTAATGATCTCTACAAGCAAGCCACCAACGCTTTTATTGATGATCAGGATACGGAGAGAGCCCTGGAGCTCATATTGAAGGCTATTGCAATCAATCCAGAAATCTACTCGGCTCATGCTCTACTCTCTGAGATATATTTTGTGAAGAATGACGACGAAAAGGCTATTGCTGCCCTCTTTAGCGGCGCTCATAGCGCTCCAAGAGATTCAGAAGTATGGCAGCAAGTGGCGAATGCATGCCTCCAACGATCCACTGGTGACCGTCAGACAGCTCTACAACAGGCCAGTTATTGCTATTCCCGGATCATACATAATGATAGCAAGGATTTTGACACTCGATATCGACGTGCTGGTGTCAATAGAGAACTCGGTAATTATGCCAAAGCAATGAAGGACTTGGACACGATTCTGGAATCCATGCCTCGGAATTCCAGCGTCATGAGACAAGTCGCAGAAATCGGCATTGAAACACGTGACACTGGCAAAGCAAAATCTCTCTACGAGGAAGCCCTCTCATACTACAAGGAAAACGGCTTGGAAGGTGAGGAGTCCTTCACTTGGGCTGACATCCTTGTGTATGCTGAGCTTCTTGCACAAGAAGAACCCCCCGAGTTGGCATTATCAAATTCCATCAAGGTTTTGAAACAACTGTCGAGATGGCTATTGGGAAGACACGAAGAGGACTTCTGGGATGAATTCTCCGACGACGATAGAGAATGGGATTCAGACGATGATCCGCGAAGAATTATGGTGTCCCAATTTGTCTCCGGCCAATATCCGCTTGATGCCTATGGTATCGGACTGCCGTTAGAGCTTCGAGTTAAGCTAGGGTTGTTTCGTCTAGGGCAAGGCCAAGACACTTTGCATGAAGCACTGGCTCATTTTGAATGGCTCGAACCTGAGGGCAGAGGCGAAGCCGCGAACGTCTTCGAATACCCGGATTTGTTTCTGGAAGTCGCCCGGGCTTTATACGCCGCCCAAGAACACAACCAAGCATTGCGCTACTTTGAGCCTTTAAAAGAAGTCAACGCGTATTCTGATACCGATTTCTGGCTAGGTATCGCTGCGTGTTCTTATATTTGCGGTAACAAAGTACAAGCCATTGAATGCTATGAGGAAGCTAAGTCAGGAGATGACAATTGTGGTGAAGCCAGGACTCAACTGTCCAAGCTTTACGCTGATCTTGGGGAAAGGGCAAAAGCCATGGAAAATGCACGAGAAGCTGTTCGTATCGCCGCCAGTTCGGTCCAGAGGACTGAAAAGCGCAAATACGAACGCAAAGAACAGCGGCTAGCTCGTGAAGCGGCAGAAAAAGCACTCAAACAAGCCTACAGACTCCCAAGTTCTATCGATCAAGATAACCCAATCGACCGCATTGAGGCACGTCTTCAAAGGAAGCGAAGGAGGCTGACAAGAGATAAATCCGTGATCGCACCCAGGATGATTCCACCCAACCGACAAGAACGCCCATTAACTTCCAAACCCATGACAGCGGTGGAGAGAGAGACCCATCGAACCGAAAACATACTTCGATTGTACACAACCTTGGTCGATAGCACTGAGGCCATGAGAGAGGGCGACGAAATTGCACGTAACACTTGGATGGATTGTGCAGAGGTTCTCATTACCGATTTTCGAAGCAATCGTGTGTTTTACCCTGCTGAACGACACGCGGCTTTTACTGGATATGATCGGGAGGCCCAAAATGTCAGATCCCGTAAATATTGGGAGGCACGGCACGAACTCGAGCGGAACGAGAATCAAGATTTTCCGATTCCTTCTGTCGAGTTGTCCATTCCGACAGAGTATCGCCAAATCCACTTTTCAGACTGGCTTGATGTGTTCTTGGAATATGCTCTTCTGCTGGCCAACACTTCTGAATTCGATGCTCGACATCGGTGCTATACCGTCATCATGGCCGTGTTGGATTGCGTTGTCTGGTACCATGACCCACAAGCAATTCTACAAACTTATATCTGCTATCTCGCCTGCGCCCTCGCCCTCCGAGATGATGCCACTCTGTTCAACATCGTTCTGAGGTGGTTCATACGCACTTTCCAATTCTGCACCGATGCATATCGTCTCTTTTCGGCAATGAACTTCGTCTATCCGCACTCGAACCATAAAGGGGGCAAGGACGGTCAAATGAGTAGTGCGGTGTTTCGAAATGGTCCAACCCAGAAATTCATGTTCAGACAGGTCATGAACTTCGACTTGAATCTGCCACAAGATTACCATCCGGAGGAATTTGGTGGCGTTCCTGACTTTATGCGCCATACCGGCGAGCAGATCCGACCAGACGATGGTGATGATAGCCTATTCGCCAGTCCCAGTGGACAAACTGCGACGCCCAAGGAGATGGATGTGGTACTTTTGACCCTCTACGCTCATATCCTCTACGCCGGTGGCAGCTTCCCCAATGCGTTGTCGTATTACTTTCGCGCTCTGTCCCTCGATCCCAAGAACCATGTGGTACTTCTCAGCATAGCCCTGAGCTACATACACGAGATGTTGAAACGCCAGACCGACAATCGTCATATGTTCATGTTACAAGGCTGGGCTTTTTTTGAAGAGTACGCTGATGCAAGACGTGAATGGGCGCAGACGAAGAATGATGCTGACCTAGAGGTCCTGATTGAGCGAGAGATCGAGTTCAATCGCGCCAGGTGTTGGCAAATGCTGGGTGTGGCGGATTTGGCGATCAGAGCGTATGAGAAGATGCTTTCCCTTCCCGGCTCAACCAACGCCCAGACTTCGAGAGGGAACACTGAATCGGATTGGACATTGGAAGCAGCCTATGCAATTCAGTCCATGTATGCGTTGAGTGGGAATCCGGGGATGGCGAGGGATGTCACGGAGAAGTATCTTGTTGTCTGATCCCCAATAGAAATGCCAAATATCAAGCCAATGTTAGAATGCCCATTTTTGAGCTATACGAGGCGATTTATGTACAAACAATGAATCACTTCATCACCACTTAGGTCTTCAACCGTCTTCGATTCTCTAAATTGCTCTTCACCCAGCCCTTTTCCCCCCTCCCTTGTCAATCCCAACCCATCGACCTCATATCTATGAAGGCTTGGTTGCAACCAATTTCTCAACATCCGCTACACTTTGCTGCAAGATTTGCTGGAGGACCTTGGGATTCTCGAGCTCCTTGGTGACCTTGGCAATAATGGACTCGGCCAACTCCTTCTGTTGACGCTGCTTGACTTGTCCTTCGTAGCGGACCCAGGACTCGAGGACGTTCTTGGCCTCAGCGGCCAGGGCGGTCTTTTGTTCCAGTTCGAAGGCCTGAGCCTCGAGTTTCGCGGTTTCCTATTGTCGGTGTTAGTAGAGATCTAGACCTATCCAAATGCGCATTATTTTTCTCGCGCGAGAAGTTCATACCTTGGAAACCTCAAACAGTTGCTTGGTGATCTCAACGACGTTGCTCAGGGGCTTGACGTCTTCAATACGCTCCTGAACGGCGCTGGCGTGACCGGCTCTCGCCTCGTTGAGGATGTCCTTGTACTTCTGGACTGTGCTATCCGCCCACTCCTTGTACATGGGACCGCCGTATTTGAAGATGCCGTAGAAGACGGACAATAGACAGAACGCGACAACCGTCTCTTCATTCAGCACGTATAGCTCGTTGCTGATAGCCCAGATGGACACGCCGGTGGCTGCGGACATAATAGCGGTCTTGCTAGCGATCGAAGAGCCGGGCAGACTATCGATGATGGCTTGTGCAGTCTTCTTGGGGTCTTCGGAAGGGACATTGGAGGCGTGTCGGATGGAGGCCAAGGGAGTGTAGAGAGATGGAAGGGTGGTTCGGATGGGGAATGACGGGCGGAGTTTGCTGGCTCCTGGAAACTTGATGTCAGCTCGTTCTTGCGACCATGTGAACTCGGCCAGAGATCGAAGACTCACCAGCTGCGCTCCTCGCCAGTCTGGATGCCATGGTTGATGTGTTTTGTTTGTCTGGAGAGCAATCTGGTCGGGCTTCTTTGACGTCTCAGTTAGAAGAGCTCAGGATTGGATCTTGGCGCACTAGACACGAAAACGGACTTAGGGGCGTCCAGGCCACCACTTGGCGTACGTCGATCGATTGGGGAAAAAAAAGTTGCGAAGCGAGGGGAAACGGTGCCCATGTGTATCTTCGACTGGTACTCAACACTGAGCAAACCCCACCGTCACTTTGAGAGCTTTTGCTCTCTCATCTGCTCCCCAGGATGCCTTCATCCACGGCCATGGATTCCTATGCCTCCCTCATCGCCGCCCCTATGACGGTGGCTCAGCGAAAACAACTACTCAAGCAACTCCAATCGCCCGAGGCCATCTCGAGTCTTCGGCATCCTGAGATCCTCATGGACTTCTTCACCGATAGCCTCGACATGGGCGACTTGGGACTCGCTGTGCCCGCTCTTCAGGGCCTCTTCCACCTCATCACGACCAAGAACCTCGATTATCCATCCTTCTACACTCGTCTCTATGCCCTGCTCGACCGAGACCTGCTGCACAGCAAATATCGTTCACGGGTACTCCGGCACCTGGACATCTTCCTGTCCCCGACCAACCACCTCCCCGCTGCGACGATCGCGAGCTTCATCAAACGTCTCTCACGTTTGTGTCTCTTCGCACCGCCCTCTGCCATCGTTGCCATCATACCCTTCATCTACAACTTATTGAAGACACATCCAACCACCACCTTCATGATACATCGATACCCATACCCTCCTTACACAAAATTCAAGCACAACTTGGGCAACGACCCTTACGACCCCACTGAACCCAACCCACAGCACACACATGCCATCGACAGTTCACTCTGGGAACTCGAGACTGTGCAGTCACACTACCACCCGACCGTCGCTAGCATCGCCCGCATCATCTCCGAACAGTTCACCAAGCAACAATACAATCTTGAGGACTTCCTCGATCACGGCTATGCCAGCCTACTCGAGAGCGAGTTTAAGAAGAACATGGACAAGAAGCCCCCCGCCGTCGAGTATAAGATCCCAAAGAAGATATTCACCGCAGGAGATGTTAGCGAAGATGATGCTGCCGACGAGAAGGTCAACCGCTTATTGGATATCTGGGACTTTGAATCTTGAATGACTCGCTCGATGATACGGGTGGCCACGGGTGAATAAAGATACACAACAATCACAAATCATAGACATAGACGAAATAGAAAGAAAGGGAGGATCTCTCTCAGCGTTCTAGCGTTTGGCCTTTCATGGATTGAAGATTTCACGCATGACTTTTGTGGAAGACATTATTACACACTAAGACTCCAAGCATAACTTGACTTGGACAAGTCTTTTGATTATGTGTGAGATTCAAGACCTAGATTCAATAGATTTCAATTCAATTTCAATTTCGAACCTCTGAATTCGAGACGGGCTGTGACCCAAACAAGCCTGCAAATTTATGTTGAAACAAAATTAAATCAAACCGATGGGCTCCACCTGGGCCTGAGCCAACGTCTCAGTCAAAGACTAACAGTATTTGACTAGAATGGCCTCCTGTGTATCTCGCCCTTCTTCGTCCTCGGCTTCTCGTGTTCTTCGCGAGGGCCGTTTCCCTTTTTCGTTGCCTTGCATGTGCCTGGGAAGCACGCGTTCCATCTTCCTTCCCTCGATAGGGCAGAACTGTTCATTATCTGCGTGATCAAATATCCATTGATCGTGTTATGTGAGTTCTCCAGCACATATAGTGGGCATTTACCCTTATTCACATCGCAGTTCGCCGTGGGGGGGACAGCGGATGCCCACGCTGTTCGGTATTGGTTGCACAGGGCGTTGTCGCTGCTCAGGCGCATGAGGGCTGTGGAGCGGTTGTCGGTATGTGTACTCAGGTCTGTGCTATTAGATAGCCGTGATGAAATGTTGGTATCGGATGTCAAATTGGACCCAACTCGCAACAATAGACTATCCATAGAATTAGGGCAGTAGGAGACGGACACCTCGATGGTTGTCTTGGAGCAAGAATAAAAGATCGTGGTGACGGTCGCGGCGTCGGTGGTCATATAAGGTCCTGTTGCGATGAATGTGCCGGAAGCAGTCTACAGGCCAGACATGTTAGATGTCAAATCACCAAAATCAAAGTTGGATCATTCGAAGAATATCTTACCAAGATCCCGCAACCACTGAAGTTTCCATTTCCTCAGATTCCCAAGGGCACAATCAACATCAACCCGCCAGCGGCTGTTGGCCAAATTGTTCCTGAACCAGTGAGTATTCCAGCTCCGGAGCCGGAGCCACCCGGTTTGGCTAGCAAATGTTGATAACATAGATAATGAGAAAAGGGTCTTGGTAGAGAAACATAATCTCTCCCATGTTAGATAGAGCTGATAAAGTAACAGCCTTCATCGTGCTGTTGATGGAGGCGTCACGGGTGGAAATCTTATCGAAATGAATCCGATCGACGGAAGTGACAAGGGAGTGCAACCTGCAATTAATGCCACAAAGATCGGGGAATATGTTGCGCCGTCGACCCTCAGAGTGATGACCTTTGCCTCCCCCAAGTGGCGGCCGAGAATGGATAGTGGACAGTCAACGGATGCAAAATCACAGGCGCAGCAAAAGGGTGCCGAGCCGGGTATTCCGCTCGACGAATACTGAGGACGTTTTGGCCTAGTAAGAAGACGAATTAAATTTTGTCTTCTGATATTTCGAAGGTGTTCGGAGACGCTCGATGAGGTTTGGGCCTTTTTTGTCATCGGTCGTTGGTTTCCTGCATCAAATTAGGGAAATCGCAACAAGACTTGAAATTTTCAAAGGTTGCCAGTTGAGAAGTGATTCCGGTGCCAGGCAAGTAGATAATTATACTATCTTTGGGGATATCATCATCATCAACCGACTCCAGACACCTAGCGCGCTCTCACACTGGGCATTACACGCCCTTCCTCCCATTCGCAACTGAGCCAGCCAAGTTGTACAGGTCATCCTTATGACTCAATTTTGGAGATATTCATGCATTGCGATTTTGGGTTGCTTTTCAGTTGCCGTAGGCCTCTTTGATTTCTTTTTCGTACTTGGCCTGAATCTTTTTCCTTTGTAGCTTTTGGGCAGGTGAGATGAGTCCCTAGAGAAGTCAGCGCCGATCCTAAGGGAAGGCAAATACTACTCACGTTCTGTGGGGTCCATTCCTCGTCCGCCATGACCAGACCGTCAATGATTTCAATACCGGTCAGACCTACTTCACGGCCAGCTTTTTGAACTTCCTTGAGCACGATACCGTTCAGTTTCTTGTCGTGAACCATCTCTTCGAGAGACTCTCCTTTGATTCCGTTGGCGGCAGCAATCTTTTGCAGTGCGGCCTCGACTGGGACGATAATGGCAATCGGTTTAGCCTTGTCTTCAGCTGCAAACACGCAGATGTTTCCAACCACCGGAGCCGCACGATATGACGATTCCAGCTTCTCGATGGCGATGTATTCACCGTTCAATGTCTTGACCAGATTTTTCTTTCGGTCAATGATCACCAAGTGTCCGTTGGCGTTGAATTGGCCGATGTCGCCGGTCTTGAACCATTTGTCTTCGGTAATGGCCTCTTTCGTCTCTTTGTCGTTGTTCCAATAGCCGTCAGTGACAGGCGGCCCGCGGATCCAGATCTCGCCCTGAGGGGGGTTGTTGGTCGAAAAGTAGCCCGCGTCGGGGAAATCAACCAGTTTGATCTCAATACAACCTGGAATATCACCCAAAGCATGAGGATCCCACGCCAAAGGGTCCTGAATGCAACCCATCGCCGAGGTTTCGGTGAGACCGTAGCCCGAGATCATTGGAGTGACGGCGTAGCTGATGAATTTGATCGTCTCCTGAGAGACGGGTCCACCCCCATTGAAAGCAATGCGAAGGCGGCCCCCCGTGGCATCCTTCAACTTCTTGAAGACGATAGCATCGAGAATACCAGACCCCGGGAGGCCTGCGCCCAAAAGAATTTGTTTCAACGACATAGCTCCCCAGAACATATTCTTGACGATAAAAGAGCTGCTGTTGACCTTGGCGAGGATACCTTTCTTGACGCTCTCCCAGACCGCCGGCACACCGATCAAGATTGTAGGTCGGAACTCGCGAATGTCTCCTTTGCAGTTTCGAACAGACGTGTCGGACAGTGTCTTGGGATTGCCGTATCCCATGATCCCGCCCCAGAACAAGCACACATTCTCAAACATGTATTCGAAGATGTGGGACTGGGGCAGATAGGTAAGCAATGCATCGGCCGGGGAAATGTACGGAGCGACCACGCTTTGCACGCCAGCCATGGCAGCAACCACGGCTTTGTGTTTGATGGTGACACCCTTTGGTGGACCGGTAGAACCGGATGTATACATTATACAAGCCAGGTCATCTGGGCTTGGAGGTACAGGCTCGGCCGGATTGTCAGCCCCAGATTTTTGCAACTCTGCGAAGCTGATAACCTTCAGGTCTGGGAAGGACGATTTCAGATTCTGCAGGTCGGCCTCCTTGATCTCAGGATCCGTGTTGTAAATGACCGATTTGAGTTCTTTGGCATCCTTCAACACCTTCATCAAGGTAGGAATGAGGTTGGGGTCTAGGAAGATGGCAACAGAGCCGGTTTGGACGAGAGAATGTCTCAATCCTTCTTCACCGAGAGAATCGTAGGCAGTGACGATGGGAATGGACTGCGAGGAAGCGGCATGCGACATGGCAAGCCAATGGGCACTGAATGGACACTTGTCAGAGAAGAATGGAAGTTGCAGGATGGCATTGCTTACCTGGTAGCCCCGTAAAGGTGCATTTTGTTTTCTTTGGTGATGCCGAGATTGTGCAGACCAGAACCGCAGTCCAGAGCCATCTTCTCATACTCAATAAAAGTCATGTAGTTGTAGGGGCTGAGCTCGTAGTAGGTCCATTTCTTGTCAAACTCTTGCTCTCGACCGTCGACCGTTTTCTTGACCTTCTTGTTCTCGACATGAGTCTTGATGATCTTTCTCGTTCCAATGGCTTTTGCATTGCCAAACTTGGAGGCAGCTCGTTTGAGATTGTCATAGATGGTCTTGACATCGTCTGAGGGTTGTGTAATGAGCTTGTCTTTGGCCAGTGGGTTACGTCTGGGAATTGTCTCGCCATCCTTCTTCTCGTATCCAGAGGCCTCCACAGAGAACGGCGGCTTCTTGACTCGTTGAGGTTGCACATAACCGTCCACCCTCGGTCGATTATCGTTCTGTAGCGACATTTTGTAGGTTTCTGGGAGAAATGCGATGAAGCTTGGAAGCCCAGGGGTGTCTCGTCAAGGAGTGAAGGACAAAGTCGCGCAAGAGGACGATGTTGGGGTTGGGAACTGACTTGGTGAGGGGAGGCGTGATGATTATACGGGGTTGGATAGATGATCCGCGGCGTTTGTTGAGTAGAGGATGCGCTGGTAAACGAATCGTTTGCCTGTGCTGCGAGAAAAGAGTGACGAGGAATCTAGTGGTTTATGAGTCTCATGAGCCTTGTGAGCGTTGGTCAGTGGTCGCCAGACTTGGGACAAGCAACCTTGAACCCTCAGTTAACTGGTAGCAGGAATGAAGGCAAAACAAAAATGATCTAACCGGTTACGTCAGTTCTTCCACGATGGCAAAAGTCGTTGAAACTGGCGCCTGAGTATACTCGCCTGAGGTTGGTTGAGCATAGACAGGGTGGGCGGTGGCAGTGCCGGATTTTGGCTGGATTTTGGATAGAAATGTTGAGGGCTCACGAACAGCAAGCGCCGGTATTCCTATGGCTACATGCCAGAGAAACGCACTTCGTCAGGCGTGGCAGCTACAGTACCATAGAGCACCTTGCCCCTGGTGCGTGTGTGATCTCCGGAGCAACTTGTCGCCGAAATCAGCCTCCCCATCGTCCGTTCTCGTTATCTCAACACGAAGACTGGACCTACGGTACTATTCCCAACTCCCAAGGACAGGATGGCTCCGCACAACAATACCGAACGTCAAGTGTCATTTTTGGCCATAATTCTTTCCGCTCCTCCCTTATGTGAGGCCCGCGTATGACTCCTTCAAACCGATGTTATTCACGTGTACTTCAACAAAACATCTTCCCTAGGAGAGACCGAATTCTCTTCCGTCTTGATGGCGTCAGAGACGCTTCACACCGTTCTAGGTCCCCCAATTGAAGATCCGGATGAAGGTATTAGAAATCGCTTCACTCTGCGTCTCAGCCTTCTGGTGTTATTCGTACTGACTTTGAGCTTAGAAACCTTTCTGTTATTCAGTCAGGAACTCCCCAGCAACAGTCTGGGCTTTGTCGATTCCCACGTGGACACCCTCCAATATGAAATTGCCGGTCGCACTTACGTTGTGCGACAGTCACCAGGTCTCCTAACCTCTACCAGAAGCAGAGGTACCACAGGAGCCGTACTGTGGAAGATCACTCCGCTACTGGCTTCGTGGCTGGCATCCTTACCTCCTCTGCTCACTAGTATCCACGCTCTTCACCCGGATGCAACTATTGTTGAGCTGGGCTGTGGACTGACTGGTTTGATCGGTCTGGTTCTTTCACGTATGGTGAAATGTTATATTCTCACCGACCAGGAATATGTCATGAAACGCTTGAAGGACAATATATCTGCCCATCCAGTAAGCAGCCCAAAGCCAGGACCAAAACAAATGAAGAAGGGGGATTCTACCAAGCCCGGCCAGGAGCAGGTCCTCAAGACGGTTCCACTCGACTGGGAAACTGACGATGCTGAGAATCTGAAATGCGTCATATCCCCGGAAGCCTCCATCGATCTCTTGCTTCTTTGCGACTGTGTTTACAATGACTTTCTTATCCCACCACTTGTCCAAACATGTGTGGATATCTGTCGTTTAGGATCCTCACAGACAAAGCCCACCGTGGTGCTGATAGCTCAACAACTCCGGTCTGATTCCATCTTCGAGTTGTTCTTGGACAGGATGATGAAGCATTTTAACGTGTGGCGGGTACCGGATGAGAAGATATCTGTGGAGCTCCGTTGTGGTTCGGGCTATGTTGTCCACATGGCTACATTGCAAGACTGAGATGAGTCTGGCCGCATTGGAGCAATCGACCGTTAGAAGCCCATAGTATAAATACTGACTGGTTTCCTGGTTTCGTAAACTCTAAATCAATGCAAAAATGTCCACTGTCAGGACACCGAGGTGTATGTATCACACACGCCCCCCTGACCGCCAACTTAGTCCACCTGTCAGGCTGATAAACGAGAAGATGCCCTGTCTTGGCGTTTCCCCCCGGGACTAAAATGATCTGGATGAGCCTGGACTTTGCGGGAAACAATTACCCGCTTCTATTCAGATCCCGCAAGATTCACTGTACTGTCGGTTCATTGTGGTTTTCTACGCTGTTTTGCTGTATCTAAGCATTGGCCCTTCCAAGGGCAGAATTCGACATCATGGATTTGCGCGCGACTATCCAATCCACTCTGTCAGCCGACACAGGCATCCGATCCCAGGCTGAGATTGCCCTCAAGGGAGCTGAGCAACATCCTGGCTTCATTGGAGCACTGCTAGATATTCTGCAGTCGGAGCAGGATCCTGGGATCCGCTTGTCCACCGCTGTCTACCTCAAGAATCGAATATCGCGGGGATGGGCTACCGAGAACACTCCTCACCAACCAGTCTCCGAACCTGAGCGAAAACCTTTCAGAGATCGTCTTCTCCCTGTGTTATCGACTTCTCCTCCCTTGATTCGAGCCCAGCTCGTCCCAATCCTTCAGACCATCCTTCAGTACGACTTCCCTACAAAATGGCCCGAATTGATGGATATTACGCTTCAATTGATGAACACCCAAGACGCCCATTCTGTTTATGCCGGCCTGCAGTGTTTGCTCGCTGTTTGCCGCACATATCGGTTTCGGGCGGGAGAAGAGAGGGCAAACCTGGACAAAGTTGTCAATGTCGCATTTCCTACTTTGTTGGGCATTGGAAACGAGCTAGTCAATGAAACCAGCCTGGAAGCGGGCGAGATGTTGAGGATCTGCGTAAAATGCTACAAGCATGCGGTTTACTATGGTCTGCCACAGCCTCTCCAGACGCATCAGGCGACGGTGGACTGGTGTACGTTGTTCTTGACTATCATCGCCAAAGAGCCTCCGGAATGTGCCATGGCCGAAGATCCTGAAGATCGGGAGCGCAATCACTGGTGGAAAGCACGAAAATGGTCCTACGCAAATTTGAACAGGCTTTTTGTGAGATATGGGAACCCGTCAGGCCTTTCTTCTTCCCAGGAGAAAGAGTTGGGAGAATTCCCCAAAAACTTTATCACGAATTTTGCCCCGGAGATTCTGAAGGGTTATCTGGGGGAAATTGAAAAATGGGTCGGTGGAAACCACTGGCTAAGCAAGCCGTCTCTGTCGTATACGTTGATCTTTTTGGAAGAATGCGTAAAGCCCAAAGCAATGTGGGACAAGCTCAAGCCGCACATGGACGGTCTCATTCGGCATCTGATTTTCCCAGTCCTCTGTCAAACAGACGAAGATATGGAACTGTTCACGGATAATCCTCAGGATTATCTACACCGAAAACTCAACTTGTACGAAGAAGTCTCTGCGCCAGACATGGCAGCAACCAATTTCTTGATCGCGTTGACAAAGTCTCGGAAACAACAAACTTATGTCATCCTCTCATACGTGAATGAGGTGGTCACACGTTACGAATCAGCCCCTGACGACCAAAAGAACCCGCGAGAGAAAGAGGGTGCTCTGAGAATGATTGGTTCGCTTGCATCGGTCATATTGGGCAAGAAGAGTCCAATTGCTGATCAGGTCGAATACTTCTTTGTACGACATGTCTTCCCCGAATTCAGATCTCCACATGGCTTCCTCCGAGCGAGAGCCTGTGAGACGATGGAGAAATTCGAACAATTAGACTTTAAGGACCAGAACAATCTTATGACCATCTATCGAAACATCCTCGAGTCCATGGCGGACCCGGAATTACCGGTCAAAGTCATGGCTTCATTGGCATTGCAACCCCTAATTCGGCATGATGCAATTCGAATTGCAATGCAGTCCAACATTCCCCAAATCATGCACCAGCTCCTGAAGTTGATGAATGAGGTTGACGTCGACGCCCTTTCCAACGTGATGGAAGACTTTGTGGAAGTCTTTGCTGAGCAGCTTACACCCTTCGCCGTTGCCTTGAGCGAAAATCTTAGAGACACGTATCTCCGAATCATCAAAGAAATATTGGAGAGGAATGAGGCCAAAGCAAATGAAAATGGTGAGCCCGGATACGGAGACTATCTCGATGACAAGGCCATTGCTGCCTTAGGAGTCTTGCAGACGATCGGAACCCTGATTCTCACCCTGGAAGCGACCCCGGATGTTCTTCTCCTGTTGGAAACGATTCTCATGCCGGTCATTACCATCACACTCGAAAACAAGCTCTACGATCTCTACAACGAAGTCTTTGAAATTATTGATTCGTGTACTTTTGCTTCCAAATCGATCTCCGACACCATGTGGCAAGCCTTTGAGCTCATGCACAAAACTTTCAAGGATGGCGCTGAATTATACCTCGAAGATATGCTTCCCGCCCTGGACAATTTCGTCTCTTACGGTCAGCAACGATTGATTGATCATCCACCCTACCTGGCTGCGATAGCCGGTATGGTTCGTGATATCTTTGCTGACCCCAAGGTCGGAGGTGTTGATCGTATTTGTGGTTGCAAGCTGGCAGAGGCGATGATGCTGAATCTTCGAGGTGGCCCCATTGACAGCTACATCCCAACATTTGTGACTCTCCCCATGGAAGTGCTAACCAGTCCTCAACAAAAGACAATCATGAAAAGCTACAAAATTCACCTGGTGGAAATGGTTATTAACGCCATCTACTACAACCCTATTCTAGCTCTACAAGTCCTGGAATCACATGCGTGGACTAACAAGTTCTTCTCGATTTGGTTTGGCAGCATTGACTCTTTCCGCCGTGTTCATGACAAGAAGCTCTGTATCGCTGCAATTTCTGCGCTCCTCACCATCCGTGCGGACCAAGTCCCTCAATCTGTACAGACCGGCTGGCCACGTCTTCTCACCGGAGCAACTTATCTCTTCCGCACCCTCCCTGCCGCCATCAAACAGCGCGAGGAAGCCGTGAAAGCATCCGATGGGGTCTCGGATACGCTCTCAGAATATGCTTCAGATGACGAAGCCGAAGATTGGACTGATGAACCCGCCGGCGAAGGCGCACAAGGACAAGAATGGGGTAATGTTAACGCCGCGTCCGTGCCAGACACCAAAGGTGATATCAAGGATGAATCCCAAGCGTATCTCGATTTCCTCAGTGAGGAGGCGAAAAAATTCGGCGCCCTTGCAGATGACGACGACGACAGCATCCTCGACGAAGACAGTCTGCTCGAGAGCCCGTTGGATAAATTCGACCCCTACGCCGCGTTTAAAGAGTCGCTTGGCAAACTTCAGGTCGAACAGCCTCAGTTGTATCAAAACCTCACCTCAATTCTGGAAACTGGGGATCGTGAGGTATTGCAGAGCGTCGTCAACCATGCAGCACAGGTCCAGGCACAGGCGCAGGCGACGACTTAAATTTCAGCCAACGGGGGGAACTGTGGCTTGGATGTAGGAGCCTGTGAATACGAACAGAAAGCAAAGACCAAATCTGAGAGTTTATTCTCATAGTGCAAATACATTCGATCAAGCCTTTGAAGCGGGTGCGCAAAAGCAACAAGCAAATGCTGGGGGATTGAAGACTCATGGTCGCTGTCAGCGTAAAGGGCTCTAACACGATATCGAAATCTTCTTTCGGGTTGCGAATCAAAGAGAAGGGAAGTGGGGGCGAAGGCAAGAATCAGAAAATGAAATCCCTTGTAGAAACAAAACACGGCGATCCCACCAAGCTACCTATAGGAGGACTGGAGGACCGACGGACATGAACAAAAAGTCCACACACTCCATACCGTGTCCTGGTATTCAACTCTCTAATCCAGAGCCTCGTGCTCAGAGCCTCATTGGGAAAGGAGAGAAGTGTGGCGATTACACGAGGCCGGGCATCCAAGGACGATTCATCGTGAGAGGAGAAAGGATGGATGCAACTTGACTCTTATCCCCTTGTTTACATTTTGAAAGCCTTTACGTAGCGGTATGCGTATGTAGTAGATTCCCAATCAAAGCCCAACATTATTCAGTCCCACACTAACCTTTGTGATGAAAAAAAGAAATAGAATTTCCTGATACAGTCTTGATAAGTAGCTAGGTGCATTCAATCAGTCAGTGAACCACTTTTTGTTCGAAGTCTTCCGTGTCCATTTGCCATCGCCATCCTTTCCCACCACGTCATATTTTCAAAATTTGAGTTAAGAGCTCCCATATTCCATTTCCATTAGCCATCGCCATTCGAGAAAATTTCCTAAGAGGAAACTTTCTCCTTGCTGGGTAAGCCATCAGTCTTTTTGGGTGTTTTGTTCGTTCCATGCCAATGAATATCTTTTTCGCGATTTGTCCATATTGCTTGCACTCCTTCGCTATGCTGGCAATAGCTCACAGGCACACTTACAACACACACACACACACGCACACATACCACGCAACAATCCTTCCAGATATCTTCCCTATACCAGTTATTTTTCCAGACCTTGATGCTCCGGTTATATTCCCCACACCCTGTTTCCCTGAAACTCTTGATACCCGAAACGACGAACAGATCGAGGTACCAAGCCCATGAGCCTGGAGAAGGAAACAGAGCCAAGTGTCTAGGTCGTCCATCCTATGCAAAGATTGTCCCATTGTCATCGACCAAGAACCCCAGTCAGCCAGCCAGCCTCCAGCACCGCCCGCCAATATCCACGATACAAACTAGGAAGTAGATGTGCATGAATCTGTAAGAGCCAAGTACATGAAAGTAAAGAAGCAGCAAACACCGTTGCTCAACATGAAATATGTCGTCGAAGTCGTTAAATGAGTCAAAAACTCCCATGATGTTGAGTGGCGATGTGGTGGGCAGAGTCCGGAATCGGGGGGTTTATGCTGGACTTTTGGCACTCTGAGGGCCACCATTGCGACGAGGGGTCTGATTTTCATCGCCCACACTCAAGTTGCCCAAACCAGCAGAAAGGAATGCGAAGGGATCTGCGTTTGGTTCATTGCCATAGAAGCCGTTCTGCGGAGGGTTTCCAGGGGTGGTGGTATCGGCTGCGCCACTGAAGGCGGCCTGAGCAGCAGGACCGAAAGAAGAATGAGACATGTTGCTAGAGGCATAGCCAGGAGTCATCCCACCCATCTGTGGGAAAGTGGCTCCTGGAGCACCCATACCAGAAGGCATACCGTATTGACTCGGTGGTGGTTGAGCAAATGCAGCACCAGAACCGAAAGCAGCTGCGCCAGCGCCATACGGGGGCCCTGGAGTGCTCGTCATCGACGCCGGCCCCATTCCAAATTCAGATGGAGGACCCATTGGAGATGGGTAGGCAGAGTCGACAACAACTGCGGCACCAGAACGTGGAGCACCGCAGCGCAAACAGTTGACGTTTTTGGCGAAATTGTGATACGAGCACCCTTCTGCACCACATCGCCAATCGCCAGCGCGGAAAGGAACAACACCAGCTCCACCTCTACCATGGTGTCCCATGCCGTGTCCATGATGTCCCATGTGAGGATGATGTCCCATCATATGAGGTGGTCCATAGCCGTAGGTGTTGTAGCCATAAGGATCTCCACCACCTGAGGCATTTGCGGGGAATGAACACCTGAAACAAGCGGTCCGGCGTTGGAAATTGGAAAAGCCACAAGAAGGACAGTTCCAGTCACCCGGCCGTGGTCGGTTTTTGCTTGGAGGGAAAGGCGTAAGAATTTCGGCGGCACGGTCGAGGACGCGGCTAGATGAAGGTGAGACCTCGATGGCCTTTTCGTTAAGAGCGCGTCCGTTCATACAGAGACTTTCGGCAGCCTAGACGAAGATGTCAGTCAGTTTTGAGGGTAATGGAATGTGAAATAAGGTTACGTGAAGTGAAGGGCAGATAAATGGTATCCAGGGTGGGGCGAAAAATTGGGAGTGAGACATACCTCTTCATGTGAAGAAAAGACCGCGAAACCTGATCCTGTAGGCTTATGCTGATCCGGAGTACGAAGAGTCCAGAAGGCAATTGGCCTCCCTCCAAATTGAGTAAACCAGCTTTCAAGTTCCGACTGGGTTGTGTCGTGCGGCAGACCGTTCATGTGCAGGACCTTGCTGCGCTCCTTGAGAAAGGCGTTGACGTCGGCTCTGGCATCCATGGGGCGAGTCAAGACATCCGGATGCTCATGTGCGGGCTGAGACTTCCGGATGAGGCCTCTCAAAACCCTGGCAAGCGTGACGGCCTCCTCCATGGCCCGACGAGGGGACGCAGGAGCCAGGGCCTGCAGATGAAAAGGCAGATTATGCTTGATCGGAGCCGAAGATTGCACCGGTTCCACCTCGAGAGCAGCACAAATGTTTGCTAGAGAGCTGGGACCGAATGGCAGGGACTCGGGATGGTGCTGTTGCCAACGGGCGTACTCTGAGCGCAGGTCAAAGGTTCGGGAGTGTTGCAGGTAAGGTGGTAGGACGACTGCCTTGTCGCGAGCCTCTCGGGGCAATTGAACCCGCAAGTCCCAGGAATCCAGTGTCACAAAGGAGAACTCCAGGTTCTTGGATATAAGATGCTCCTGAGCAAAATGGTCAAACCGAGTCACGGCGTCCCGGAAGGAGCCGGCATTGTGGACATGTTCCCAGGTCAAAGTGGTGAGGCTGGCTGTAATTTCAAGATCAGTTGGTGCAAATCTCCCGTGCCTTCCGACACAATACTCACTACAGAGCGGCGTGATAGGAGTGTTAACTGGTTTGACGAGGACGCTTTCTCGATAGATCTGATTCCATCGTCAACTGGTCTGACATCTTTTTGGGGAGTCCTTCTGTTGCCGTGGCCCGACCGAAAATCCTGCCATCAAAAAATCGACGTACCTCGTCACAGGTCTTGCTGTCAAGCAAGATCCAACCCAGTTCAATTACTTCAGCCGAATCTTTGGTCACATAGACGCCATGTTCGTCACAAGTGGTTGCAACGTGGATGACCACATAACGGTCGAGCTTGGGCACAGGCGGAGCGGCGGTGGCCATGGTGGACTGGAGAGCAATCTGGGACCAGCGAACTTAGTGGAGAACAAGGACAAGCTTGACAGGCAGATTTATCGAAGGAAGAGATCGACTGTGCTATGAACAGTCAGCCAGAAATCCACGGAAAGTGGCCATGGTAGGGAAAAAGTCACCAGAGACGAGTGTAAAGGTACGAACAGCTCCAAACTCGAGTGAGAAAAAGCAGAAACCCGACCAACTCCAGCAGATCGGGGGAGGGGAGCAGTGCAAAAGATGAAGATTACAGCAGACAGACAGACCTCTCTCAATCCCAGAAAACAAGAAAGGATGCAGAGGCAGAGACAGTGATTGGGATTGACGGCGCTGTTTGACTGCGGACAAGAGAAATGGGGGAGTGGAAGCAAGATGGAGTCGAGGCAAAATTGGAACTACTGCTGAAATGGATTCGGGGTTTTTTGGCTTACTCTATCCCACATCCACAAAGTCTGTGCCGAGCGGCGCGCCTCTGGCACCTGGACACTGGTCGTTGGACCGCCGAGTCTTGCTCTCTAGTCACTGCCGTTGGGTGTCCCTTTTGTAACATATACTTACAGTCGGTGCTGTGTATTGAGATGTCACTCGGTCCCCCTCGTGCGTACAACTCTGCAGCACAAAGCACACACACCACCCAACCTTTTCACTCTCCGTCTCTCCGGGGTGCTGGAGACGAGGGTACCACGGCACAGAGAAGCAACAGAAAATGACGGCCAAGCCTCCTGCTTTCAGGAAAATACCTGTCTACATGATCAAGCGACGTTCCTTTGCACTGGCCACCTCCCTCTGAATGTCTGCATCACTGACAGCTTCTTTCTCGTGCAGGTAACCGTGGCGAAAATCGTACAAAGGAAACTGGTCAAAAGTCCCCCCCCCCCCAACGTTTCTGGTCAGTGGCTTGTTTCAGGCCCTAGCCATAAGCCCTACCGCCTGTGGAGCATTTTTATTTTTTTGGTCTTTAGCAGCCCGTGGGCTAAGGGATGCTCAGAATTTCCGGAAACGTGGGACGGACTTTTCGAAGAGGGGGTCTTTTAATGATCATCACCAGTAAATTGCTCACCATTTTCTTTGCCGACGACAACCTCCAACGCGGCCAGTGTGGTCGTGTATCACACCCCCCAATGCTGGTGATCTCTTCACGCACCCCCCGGGTGGTACCGTGGCGCCCAGGGAGTCAAAGCTGCTAGGGTCAAAGACATACTTGAACGGATGGTACCACCATCCATGAGTCAACGGGTCCTGTATTCTATACACAGACTGACACAGGTTGACAACCGGAGTCACGCCATCACGTCTGCCATGTCATGAAGCCAACTACCAACGCCGTCACTTCGTCCTGCCACCGACAGCTTTTTAGGGCGACGGTGCTCTCGTCCAAGTCTCATACGCCCAAACGGACATGGTGGACACTCGATGATCCAATGCCATTCAATATCCCTTGCCGCGCCTACTCCCGACATCCGTACGCGATCTCTGACAAGCCCTTAGAGGCACAGGGCCCCAAGCCTAAGAACTGCTCTGAAAGGCTCGTTAAAGAAACCCACCCTTCCACGTTTCTCTACCCTCCAATCGGCTTTCCGCCCTATCTAACGGCGTCCAACCACGTTATCTTTGAAACCTAATCATTGGATTAAGGGCAACAAATTCACCATCTCGCTGATGTCGAGACCAACCAACAAACAAGTGTTCCAGATCGTCGGGTTCATGATGGAAACATCCATGAATGCCCAAGACATTCTTAGGTACGTTTGGATATCTTCTGGATCGACCCGTGGAACCGTTGATCATGATGGCCCGCACCTCATCGACATATCTCCAAAGCTTGAAGTCCTCTTTCGTATACTCGGAACCGGCGGTCAAGATAATCACCGGCTGATCGGGTTTCTAGATGACCGTCAAATCGAAGACAGCCTCGTACCCATTGTAAGCAACTCCTCTCAAATTCCAAGTCGATCTCTCATGCACCTGTGAATTGCCTCCTGCGTCAGTGGCCTTGGCAAAAATTTTTCTACCTTTACCTCTCTCAATCTTGATCTTTGCGTTCCACAGAACCCATGACCATCTACTTCCGTCTTTACCGCCATTCTCGAGCTGCGCATCAATCCACGTGTGTCCTTCGTCGCCTGAAACCTGCACCCTGACGACCGGGCCGTGATGCCCCTGCGGAACAGCATATCCCAGTACCTCGATGGATCCGGAAGCTGGCAGAGTTATGGTAGACTCAGAAATAGGATAAGCAACACAAGAATTGATGGGCACGTCGAGCATTGACGGACACTGATGCCAATACTTTTGAGCCGTTTCAGCATCAACTGCTTCCGGAGGTAAGACTTTGTAGTCAAACTGCTGGTAGAAACAGGATGATTCCTTGTCGGAAACTGTGATGCAATCGAGCCATTTCACCGAACGAGCTCCGATCACCCCTGGAACAATTGCCCGGACGGGGAAACCATGACGAGCTGGCAGAGGCAAACCGTTCATCTAGAACGAGGGTCAGAAGCAGGAGACGGGAAAGGGAATGCACGGCCGTATCCATTCATACCTTGACGGCCAGGACGACATCCATGTTGGGGGACATGGCCCTTTCGAAAGGAATGCTGCCTCCATACCATTCATCTTGTTGGGTCCTACCTCCATAATTGGCGAAGTGGACGTGCTTTGGTGATACGTCGCCATGCGTGACTTGAGTCTCCTTGACTCCGGCCGCGAGGAGGACGTCACGGACTCTTGGCCCTTCCCAGGTACAATTCATCACGGCACCATCAAACCAATCGACACCGAGAACCTCTTTGATGCGGGTACGCATCGTGTGCCTTCGATTTCCGGCGCATTGAAGCGTGCAGGTTACTCTGGCCTGCGGAAAGCCCTCCACAAGCTGTTCCAGTGCGAGGTTGAGTGGTTGTGAAACAAGCCCATTGACTGTAACTCGATGGTCCCATCTTTTGTGCTGAATCGGGCCGTGATTTCGGTCATAATTGTCGCTTTTGGTGAGAAAGCTAGCCATAAATTGAGAAACTGATCTTGGTAGGCGTTGCGGACACATCCTTACCTAGAAACCAGATCAACCATATACGGCTCCCGATTGATCGGCTTTTCAACCGTACCGTCGTCAAACGGACAGATCCTTCCCTTTTCTTGTCGTCAGATTTCGGCATTTCATCGTTTCATCCAGCGGAGTAGATTCAACTTACAATAGGCATAATCGGGTTGCGTGTATATCCAACGACAACAACTCGGTAAGATGATGATGGATATGAACGTCCGCCGACTATCAGAGATTCTTGTTTACGACATGCTAGGTAAGCGAGAGTGGCGGAGGAGTTATAGACTGTATCTCCCACCGCCATCTCCTCATGGCGGTCCCCGAAAGCCCGATAGGAAAACGAGTGCGGGGCATTTTGGGATAATGTTCTGCATTGTCATCTATTGGCCCAGTGATAAGAATCCTACATGACCGAAAAAGATATGTCCCGGAGAGTCCATCTGCTCACTTCGGCAAGGCTGAATCTCTCAGGATCCTCATCCACAAAACGTTACCGCACTGGGTCCAGGGCTAAGTGATACCAGCGGAGTGAAACCGAGGTCCGACCAGTCAGATGGCAGATCTCCTGCTTCCAGTGAGCACGCCATTTTGCGCTAGTGGCGGCTGGGAAGCGCCGAAGTATTGAGTTTCAATGGAACGGTTGCCTTCTTTGACGCTTACAAGCCGTGATGACTCTCTCTCGCGATGCTGTCGTGTACAATTCGAGGGGCCTTAGAGTGCTGTCAAACTGGAGTTGTGGTCCGAACTGGCTCGGATTTTGGCTGTCCAATAGTGCGCATGAAGTCTCTATGCTTGTCAGTACCTCCTCCCTCCTAAATTCTCTGCACTTTCATAGAACTATACTTCACCGTAGCCGTCATTCAAGTCATTTAAACGTATTTCAAAAATTACTCATACTGATTATATGTCATTACATAATGAACGCGAAGGACAGGGGTTTTCGCGTACTGCCCTTCTGGCGGCGCCAGAAGGGTCTGAGATGCTGAGACAAATCTAATGTAAGATCAAACGATCAGTCGCGAATGTTCTCTCAGCCTGCAGCATTTATTCTTGTCTCTCCGATTGTCACTCTCTTGACCTGGGCACAGTTTCTCTTGGTGAATGACTCCGCCATGAGCCTTTGGTCGTAAGTCTCACCGTAACAATTCTATTTTGCGTCCCGACAGCAGCCAGTTCCCACTCGATATCTTGTTGACTCTTACTATAGCTCCTACAAAACTCTTTCTCCCAAAACCCGAGCTCTTCTAGGCGTGGGGCTGATGTTGAACGCATCGATCATGCTAGCCTACTCCGACCAAATTGAGGGAGCCTTGGGGTTGTCACCATCTGCGGAGGATCAGCAGAAGCTCTTCAAGGTCCAGACCGTTGCACGAGAGACAAAAAGCTGAACAATCCTGAGCAATATCATGAAGAAGAACGAACAAAGATCAGGTAGATTGTTCCAAGGGTCAGATTTCAACGATCTACGACGGCAATCGCGAAGAGCCAACATGAAACACCGAGTTTTACAGCTATGATCGTACATCTGCTTTCTACCATCCCCGCCTACCAGCCCACCATGCGAAAGTCAGCGATCGATGAAAGGAGCCTTGACACCATATGGACTCTGTCTGCCGCCTAGACTCAGAGATGATTTCAAACAATCATCCATCGACCCCATTGAGTTGTGTGTGATCGCGTTAGGTGGCTTTTTGAAAATGGCCCTGAAATCGACTTCTGAGCTGCTAGGCTCGGTCTGGATCCAAAGGGTTGCCATGTTTCAAGAAGAACTTCAAAAGGCTGGATTTCCATCGTAAGCCTGCTGCTGGAGTTCTGGATTGAGAGCAAAGGGCCTTCTCAACACTGGAGAGCCCCATGGAAATACTTGTCTGAAATATTGGGTTGACGCTCCCGCTAGGCGGAAACCGTGTGTTATTGTTTGGGAGAAAGTGCAGCGTATTTTTGCTGTCCTGCCTCTATTCCAATCGCCATATCATCTGGGAGGACCTGGTACTTATCAGGTGCGCTTCGTTCAAAAATGTGACTTTGGAGATGAACTTCCAAGGAACCAGCGTTTGGGGTGTAGGACTGAGAGGATTGATTGATCGAATCTATCTGAGCGAGGCGCAAGCGACAAAAAGGCCACGAAAGCTGTGGTGCACGTGACTAGGCCATATCCAATGGGGAATGCCAACGGGGGATGTCATGGATACCTGGAATTTTCAGAGCTTATTCCGTCGCATAGAATAGCCATAATTTTGTTTCTTTGGGCTTTGCCACAAACGCTGATCGGGGGATCATTTCCAAATATTTCCCCGCTCATTTATTATCCCGAACAACCGAGCCAACCCTCCATCAATCATTTCACATTGAACCAGCAAAGGATCCTAGGCATCGCCAATTCTTGCCAGCTGCCATCTTTGCTTCAAGCTTGTAAGAGTAGTAAATTCGTATCATCAAGACCTTTTAGGTTTGATTGACAGCATTTTGTACTTCATTTCTAGTCTGAGGCATCATACGGTCATGGTACAGATAGAAAGGTTTGTAAGAAAGATTAACCAGATATCAAGGCCTGGGTCAACCTTGCAGAGACGGAATTTTACGTCAACACCATGTTTCAATCTGCGCACCACAGAACTACTAGGACCGAGTCTGATCAATCTGAAAGTCAATCCTGATCGCCTTTGGGACACGATCCATTCCACAGCGAAATGGACAGAACCAAAAAGCATTCCGAACGACGATATCAAAGCCGCCGGCCTCACACGACTGACGCTCAGCAAGGAGGATAAACAGGCGCGTGACTGGTTTGTCAAAGAAACTGAATCATTAGGTTGCAAATCCCACGTCGACCAAATGGGCAATATCTTTGCTATTCGGCGGGGTCTGAGCAATGATAAGATCCCTGCGACTTTCGCCGGGAGCCACCTCGACTCCCAGCCGAGCGGCGGCAGATTTGATGGCGTGCTAGGAGTCGCCGCTGGAGTCGAGATGTTGAGAGTCCTGAATGACAACTGTATCGAAACTAAGGGTCCGGTCGGCGTGGTCAATTGGACGAACGAAGAGGGCGCGAGATACCCTATCAGCATGATGGGGAGTGGTGTCTGGTCAGGACGAGTACCGATAGATGTCGCTTGGAATTCAAATAGTGTGATTCCAGGCCGTCCAGTGACGACCGTCAAAGACGAACTGGAAAGTATAGGCTACCGAGGGGTTATCCCTTCGAACTATAACGACGGTATCAAATTGGGAGCGCATTTCGAACTTCATCTAGAGCAGGGTCCTAAGTTGGAAGTCTCACGACAGCCCATTGGCATTGTTCAAGGCGTGCAAGCCTACAAATGGTTTACGTTGACTGTCACAGGGAGAGAATCACACGCTGGGACGACAGATTTTACCGATCGAGCAGATGCTTTGTACTCGGCCGCGGGCTTGATAGCCATGGTACGAGAAGTGGCGCAGAAATCGGGCGGACTGGCTACTGTTGGAATGCTCACTATTTCTCCTGGCAGTGTTAATACGGTGCCGGGCGAGGTGAGAATGACCCTCGACATTCGACACCCGTCCGACGATGTTCTAGGTGGAATGGTCAAGAAGGTCACAAACGCTTGTCAACGCATGTCTTCCTCCTCCGGAACGAGTCGCCTGACGCGAATCACGATCGATATGGAGGAAGATTTCTCTAGCAATGCGGTTACGTTTAACGAGGACGCTATCAGATGCGTTGATGAGAGCGCCGAAGCACTCCTGGGAGACAAGAGCAGAGTGCAGCATATGACTAGTGGAGCGGGACATGATAGTGTTTGTACCAATATGCATTGTCCCACAGCTATGATTTTCATCCCATGTAGGGATGGGATCAGTCACCATCCCCAGGAATGGTGTGAAAAAAATGACTGTGGCACGGGAGCCAATGTGTTGCTGCATTCGGTCTTGAGAATGGATCGGCTGCGGAAAGAAAGAGGAGATTTTGACCGGTAGTGAGGATGATTGTGGGGGGGCAGAAAAAAGAAGGAGGAGGAGAAGATGGCCGATCATGATGCTTAATCATTGGATTTTTGGAGTCATGAATGCGCAGACGTCTGAAAACCCGCTTCCACTCTGAATTGTCCCACTTTTCAATGCCAATTGGAAAGAATTGTCACTTTTTTGAGATGTCCATGGCATGCAAGTTCACGGACACATTTTGATGAAGCCATCTAGCTGGCGGGAGGAGCACCACGGCCACGACCGAATCCACCACGGAAAGTAGGAGCAAATTCGCCGGGCGCACCGCCTTCCTTGCCATCACCTGCATCACGACGACGATATCCGCCCTCGCGATCACCTCTCGGTCCACCGCGTCCACCACCACGGCGTTCACGGTCATCACCACCCATCATGCCACGAGGAGGAGCGTGTGAGCGTTGTTGCTTGATGTGTGTTGCGGGAACAATCTCAGCGGGCAGGTGGAGCCATTCACGGAGGTAGTCGAGGCCCTCGGGGGTCAAGGTGTAGTAGTAGTATTGCCAGGAAAATTGCGTCTTGAGATAGCCGCGCGAGGTGAGGGACTGGCATGCCTTGATGACCTAAAAACAAATTAGCACTACTCCCCTGCACTGAATCTTTGCTCGGTCAATAACGAACATAGAGGTTCTTGGTATCAATGTCTCCATGCTTGGGCAGGTTGAAGTCCTTCTTAGCCACGAGCACACCCTCTTTAAAGAGGTACTCGTGAATCTTCTTGCGATCAGCCTTGGGAATAAGCCTGTGGCAAGGTCAACATGAGTCTCGAAATGGTTTGGAACAGAGCATACATTGTTGCGAGTTCCTGGCGCTCTTCAGGGAATCGCATACAACGCCGGGTGGTTGGATCGCAGTCGTAGAGCAAAAGAACTCGAAATCGTAGTGCGCGAACTGCGCGAACGTGGGCGGAAATGGGAAAATTCATTCTTGGCGCAGAGTGCCAGGCGAATGACCACTGGGTTGGTCTTGGCACCGGAGGAGAACTTGGGGGGCTTGTCAGTCTGCATACCTGCTCCGACGTCCAAGTTTCACAACTGCGGAAGAGAAGTGTAAAATTTCCGCTCTCGCGGGGCTACCAAATTGTTCAAGCAGTTCAGATTCCTCTTTTCACATCTGAGCTCAAAAATTTGTGGCGAAGTTAGTGCTATTTCGGCGTAGTGATCCGCCTTATCAAGAGTTACGTTTAGGTATTTAGTGCACGAAGCGCAACTTTTCCAGAAAACTCTCTTTCATTCGACAATGGCAACGGAGAAATTCAACTTTTAGGTAAATTGCGCTTTAAGGGCTCTCAAACTCCTGTAAGAGTTACAGTATTCTCACGTCGCTCGTTGTTGAGATTTGAACGATTCAAACTTGTTAAAAAAAAATTGTGTACGAATAGCAAAACCCTACGCCTAGGTCATGTGACCAAGAGTCTTGGCAATTCATTTTCACGCGCACAGTGCCATCATCAAGTTGAAGGATCATTATTCACAAACTCACCCATCTGTCATTCCTCCACGGCATACTCAAATTGCTCGTTGAAGGGCTTGTGCTTATTAGGTCAGTATCAACGACTTCCTTTGTGCGGCCCTGGTGTAGTCGAGAGTCAACGAAAACTCTCCTTCAATGGCGGTCACTCGACTGCGGTCCCCTTCTCACACACGACCTTGAGAATCTCCTTCCACGCATTCAATACTGACGGATCAAGCTCTACCACAGTCCTCTTCGGTTCCGCAATCATGGGTATCTCACGAGACAGCCGTCACAAGCGGTCCGCAACTGGCGCGAAGCGCGCATACTACCGAAAGAAGAGGTATGGTTGAACCCATTCTACAAGAAATCAACTGAGGATCAGAATCATTTTAACACGGTCATCACTCCCACAGAGCATTTGAGAAAGGCCGTCAACCCGCCAACACACGTATCGGTAACAAGCGAATTCACTTAATCCGCACACGAGGAGGCAATACCAAATTTCGAGCGCTCAGACTCGACAGCGGTAACTTCTCGTGGGGCAGCGAAGGAATCGCACGCAAGGTTCGTGTGATCGTCGTGGCTTACCACCCGTCCAACAACGAACTGGTTCGGACCAACACCCTGACGAAATCCGCCGTCGTCCAAGTCGACGCTGCTCCTTTTCGTACCTGGTACGAGGCCCACTATGGCACCACTCTCGGCCGCCGACGTCAGCAGAAGGGTGCGGATGCAGGTGAGGAGAAGAAAGTCAGTAAAAGTGTCCAGACAAAGCGTGAGGAGCGGTTAAGGAAGTCCGGAAAGGTCGAGCCTGCTCTTGAGAGACAGTTTGAGGCTGGAAGATTGTATGCTGTCGTCAGCTCGAGACCTGGTCAGAGTGGTCGTGTCGATGGATACATTCTTGAGGGTGATGAGTTGGCTTTCTACCAGCGTGCGATTAGGAAGTAGGGGCGGTTGAGATGGACAAGGGAATTCAAGTAGTTCTTGGGTTGGTGATGACCCTAGGGATGAGACAATTCCAAAAAGGACCAGGTCCAATGCTGATAGATGGCATGGCAGCCCGAGCAATACTGAGCATTGAAAGGCGGTTGTGTGGATAATGGTGATGCATGGAGCTAGGTCTTATCCTTCTATCCAACAGTCATGATTTACGGGCGTGTGATCACCAAAGGGGGTGCATTGAATTCATGCAAATCAAGATCAAAAGAAAAGAACCAACAATGCTCGAAAATTTTCAATCGACTGAAAATATTCGATGGCTCTGCTCCATCTGCCTGTTCTCCTGTTGTGCTATACCTGTGTTGTCTGCCTTGGTATTATTTGGATCACATCATCTGTAACAGCTCTTGACCAACTGCCTGTCATTATGCTATAATCGTCTCCCGATAACAACACTCAGCACCGTTCAGGATGATGATGCGAGATTCCAGATTATTTTCTCTGACTTGGTTTTGTTTCTGTGATCTGGTGTCAGTGTATGAAACATGGAAGAATTTTGGCCGACTTACTTGTGTCAAGCTCATGCGGAGAAATCGTCATTGGATGGCAAGCACTCATCTTTCATGTCGTTGACATATTCAAGAGAGGAATCTTCGAAGCGAGGAAGTTGTGGAATCATTCCGGCCATGCCTATTTGTCTGGCATCCATCGCCTTGTTACGTTCTCGAGCCTGGTGGATCTTGGCCTGGTGACGAACATGATTCTCGCGGGCTGCTTGGACCTTCTTCCCGCCGAGTTCAATTGCGACGAGTAACTTGCCATGGTTTTGCACGAATTCTGGGGAGACTTTATAGTTGAAGAGGGTTTCGGCTGCGGTAACAACAGCACTTGTGAGGCGCTTCTTCTGAGCGAAGATTGACTTGTTGAATGCGGTCCGGTCACCAGTGGTGTGAGTTGCGATTCTGACTGCAGCATCTGGAACATATTTGATCATTTGAGCCATAAGCCTCTTGTCGTCCCGGTCAATGTAGAGGACTTGGGTGAGTTTGACATAGATGTCGAAGGTAAGCACCTCGACCGTGGCGATGACCCAGCGAGCCTGCATTTGAAGGAGAGTTTTGTAGAAAGTCATGAGCTTCTTTCCAGTGGGAGAGAGAACCAAGTATGCACGTAAGGCTGTGAAGGCAGGGCGAATGTTCTGGTATTCGACTTTGGGGCCTGGTTCCTTGCTCATGACGAATTCCACAAAGGTGGCATTCTCGAGGACATCGTTGAGGGGAAGAGGCGCCTTGCGGTCGATCAAGTGAGTCAACGCCTTCCGATTGTCTTCATAGAGAAGAGTGAAGAGAGGGTCCAGGGTGATGCTTGACGGAACTGTAGGTCTCAATTGGAGAGTGAGGTTCGTGGTGGACATCATTTTGACACTAGTGTAAGGTCTGGGCCTCAGGAATGATATTTGTAGAAGACTTTTGATACTAGTCTGAATACTCTGAGGTTGAGGAGCTCTTGCGAGGACAGAGGCTTGGTTTGGGGTGGTGAGGTGGTGAGATCGAGAGATTGGACGATGGGAAGGCGGGAGAGGAGGCTTTTCAGAGCCTCAGCATTGGGATGTGAGAATTTGAGAGCGGCGCAGATGGCACGGCAGAATTGATGCCCTATTTTTGGATGGAAGGCAGTGGAAGGGTTTCACTTCCTGTGCTCACTGTTGTCCTCGTCCCTCCTCCGGGAACCTGAACGTGGTGTTGATCCCAATTTTCGTTCACTACCGGCGAAAGAGCCATTCCAACAACGTAAAATTTCTCACCCGTCAGGCCAGATACTGCTGTATCTTGAACAGATCGGTGAGAGCTCCGAATTGGTTTCTTCTCTAGATTTGACTTGTTATGATCAAACTTACCCAATGAATTCCTTACAGAGCCTCATGGCCAAAAATATGCAGCACACAGCGAGTCATACCTGTCGAGTCTGTCACCATCCCCGGCATTCTCGTCGAGAGAACCAGAGCTCGGATTGCGGGCAAGAGATATGTCAATCTCTACAGAGCTTGCTCCCGCCTATGCATCCATCCATCCGCAGGCATCCATCTTCTGCACTTTTTGTTGTTCCCCGAGCGGCTTCGAAACCCTCGTATCGGAAACGGCAAGTCGTCGATCTTGTTGGCTGAATAATCAAAAAGAGCTGAAGCAGCATGGTGGCGTGAATGTGTGGAGGCTACGAATAGTAGACTGAGACAAACGTCAAAAGTTCATCGGGTTAGGAGAAAGGGTTCTGGTACGCGTGACAACAATATTTGAACATCTACGAGACGACCATAAAATAGAAAGGTCTCGGATCATGCACAGACATGGGGGTTGTGACAGGCTGCGGCTCGGCGCAGACAAAACATACCGGAAACCGCGCATCGGGAACCCGTGAATTGTACAGTACAGGGCGAGTGATGGTCTGATCGAATGTCTCCATTCCCCTCTTTTTCCCTCCTCTTCGGACTCTCTGTCTTCCGCTCATTGCTCTTCACTACAGATTTTCTATCTCTCTCTGTCCAAAACTTGTGCGATCCAAACGCGACTCTACATGGTCATGCCTGCTCGAAACGACGCGAAGCCGTGCGCATCTTTTCGATCCTCTAGTCGAACACAATTGCCGCCTTGATGGCACTCTTGTTCTTCATCGACTCAAGGCACTCGGCCCACTGCTCCAGTTTGAATGTCTTGTTGACAATACCCGATACCTTCACCTTACCCGTGTCTGTTCAATCCAAATATCAGTCACAATCATAAGAGCATGGAAGTCTGGAATACACATACCAAGGTAGTCAATAGCAGCAGGGAATTTGTATGTCTCACTGAAAGATCCGAGGATGGTGATTTCGTCACCAAAGATCTTGGTCGGTGACCACGAGACACGATCCTTGTTGCCGTACACACCATAAACCACTAACTTGCCTCCCCTTCGGACATAGTTGATCGAGTCTTCGAGAATCTTGACGCTGCCGGTAGCCTCGACCACAATGTCGAATCCATATGGGTTCTCCTTCTTGATCTTCTCGAATTGGGCGCTCGGGTCTCTTCGAGACAGCTCCACGTACTCATCAGCTGCGTCCAGAGATTTGGCAAGGTCCATCTTCAATCCCTCAGGGGCCGCAATGACAACATGGCAACCACCGTTTTGCCGAAGCATTTGGGTTAACACCAGACCAGTGGGTCCCGCACCAAACATGAGCACACTGGAGCCCATTTTGGGAGCAATCTTGTCCAATCCATGGGCAGCGCAGGAAGCAGGCTCAAGCAGGGTGGCATCGACATCCGACAGGTTCTTGATGGGGAACACTCTCTTTGCGGGATAGGCACAATACTCGGCAAAACCACCATCCATGGTGACACCATGGGCTTGGAAGTCTTCACAGAGAAGCTCTTCACCACGACGGCAGTAGAAGCATTCTCCGCAGAGCTCAGAGTTGTCTGCAACTACACGGTCACCGATCTCGAAACCCTTGACCTTCGGTCCAATGGCAGCAACAACACCGACAGTTTCGTGACCAGGGATCAACGGAAACTGCAGCATTTGTCAGTTGCGCCTGCCAAACTGTACAAGCTGCTTGATCATACCTTGGCCAAAAATTCACCCTCATGGATATGTAAGTCGGTGCCACAGACACCGCAGGCTTTGACCTTGAGCTGTATGCAACCATCAGCACCCTCTTGTCACTATATAGCTCCGGTCTCGGCGTACCAAGATATCGTTGTCGCGCAATTTGGGTAGAGGCACCTCTTCGACGCTGAATTTCTCCGGTTGGTCGTACTCTGTTATGATACACATCAGTTGTCTGAAATCACAGCGTGACTGCTCCCTAGAACGGTGGCCGGAGGGGGCATACTAAGGGCCTTCATCTTGGAGGGGAGCGCCATCTTGACTGGTGAATGATGGGAAATGGAACGATTGAAAGATCACACAAGTTTGGAAGAGGTTGAAATTTATATGGAAGATGCAGAATAAGAAACTGAAAAGGACAACTGATTATTGCGATCAAAGAAATATGTTGAGGGGCCTTCGCCAACTAGTGTCGCCAGCTAAGGTACCTCCTACACCTAGCTCAAAACATCGAGCAAAGGCTGATGGACGTGGGCACCACCAGCCAAGTCGCGGGGCGTTTTCGCTCTCTTCGAAACTCATCGCTGTTGACCACCACCACCATCATCCACAGCTCCGATATATCATCGTGCAACGATCAGCGTACCTGATCCACAGTCCGTCCGGCGGCAGTGGATTGCTTTTCATTCTACTCCTCTTCTACGGCGACCGAGGGTTATTGACTACGTGCCCGACCATGCACGGCTTCTCTCATCCAAGATTTCGTTATCAACAATCCGAACAAAGTCGGTGAGTCGAATTTCCTGACCAGAGCGTTCACGATGCTCATTCAGTTATTTTCATTCGTTCTTTTCTGATCTGACGCTGTTGATGAAACCGTCCCGAGTGCGTCTGAGAGCCGTCTCACAAACAATGTCCATATCCACTGGTAACCTCTTGGTCTACACGAGATCTTCGGATTATCTTCCCCGAGCGAAGCGCTACGGCTTTATCACATCGCGCCAGCCGCCTTTCCTTGCTCCTAAACCAAAGCCAGGTTTTCTTCTTCGACGACCTAGATCTCCGAAGAACAAAATTTAGAGGTGGTCATATGTTAGCCCAAAATGAAATGCACAAATGCGGTGAGATGTTAGCGACTTTTTATTATCGCTACGCCTGAATCTTTTACCGTCGCGTGACGAGGTCCGAGGCGTGGGAGGATTTTGCATCCGCCGGATTGTGTTCTGTCACTTCTATAATTTCAATACTTGGGCACAATAGTGCCGCGGTCACACTTCAGCTTCGTGGGATCCTGATTCGCTCTCTAGGTTTCAAATTCAGTTTCAATTCGCTTTGACATCCTAGCGAGGACTGATCCACAACCACGCGAAGATCTTGTTGGAGCTGCCGGAATGAATTTTTTTTTTTTTTTTTTTTTTTTTAAAAAAAAAAAAAAAAACGGATCCACGTTGGAGACAGCCGAATCATAGATTATTGATCAGTTTCCCCCACCTTTTCCTCTCGTCCCTCTGCGAGTCGAATGTGCCTGAAACCAGCAAATTGCACAGAAGCAGCCCAATTAGCTTTTGGCATTTTGTGCATAATCCTTGTCCTTATCCTATTACTAATTTGCTATTTGCCATCCTTCGGTGTCACTATGCAATTTCTTCGTGGTCCTCCATTCAAACCAATTGTGTCACTCAAATGCAACTTTTGCTTCATTCATTCCATTGCTAGATGCATCCAAGTCCATCCAACTCGATTACAACACCAAAAGTATCATGCGAAACTCATTGCATTGCGTTTTGCCTTTGATAATCTCGCTCCTGAATCCCCTCGTTAAAAGTCATTGTGCCCGAACGAGTCGATTGATCTCGCGATAGAAAATCCACAGCGCTTGCGCTTCCATTCTAAAGCAGGAATTGGTCCCAAATCAAGCAAATGTGAAGCCTCTCCTTTCTCGGGCCTTGATGTAACATTCATTTCAGACCGAAACCCTCACTTCCCGTCACGGCCATCCAAAGCTTGTGCTCAAGTTTCTCTCGACTGCTATATCTGTACAGGCTGAGTGTATTGAAGCAAGTCCTGGCAATCGGAAAACGTTCAATAGGCTTGTTCGTCGGTCGTCCGAGTGGGTCGGTCTCATCTTTGCTTCGAATCAATTGGATGCGGATGATGAGATTGGTTGCGCCCATAGCAGGAATCCGATCACTCCCTGTGATAAAACCGAGAATCTTCCTTTGATCGGCTGGAGATACTCTGGCGAAGAATTCCCAAAACCAGACCACCTGAGGTTGTTGGTCTGGCGGACCTTCGTTTTTGGGCCATCCTTCGTAGGTAGCAACGGCACGGAGGCTGGTAATATCAAGGGGCTCATCAGAGCCACGCACCAGTAGTTCAATTTCTTCTGGGCGGAAAAGTGACAGGGCATTGCCGCCACAGACAGTAAAGAAGCCCCGTTTGAACGGTTCATACTGTCGTGCAACAGCTGTTTCGAGAAGGTAGTGCACGTATAAATCCACGAATTCTCTTCGATTCGAATTGGTCACCGCCCGCTTTTCGCCTCCAGGGCACAATGGAACCCTGACGATTTCTCCGTAACGGTCCATTTCTGCGACAAAATCTCGGCAGAAAGTTTCTTCAACATCGCCTTCAAATTCCAGGAGCTGTCTGAATCCGCGAGCGAGCGCAGGACGAAATTCAGCAAGATCCTCCAAGGTACAACCATGGCCGACCTTCGGGGTCGACATTAATTTATCACCAGTTGAAGGAGCTGAGGCCAGCATCTTCTTAAAAACAAAAGGTGGAAATGCCACATCCAAAATGGTCGAGTTATAGATGGCCAATCCCAAAAGGACACCGACCAGGAAAAACTGCTCAGATGATTCGAAGCAGTAGGGATTGAAATAGCAGTATCGGGAGTCTTCGTCATAGACAAACAATCCATGATAGGGATCGAAAATTTCTCTCACCAAGAGTAGAAACCACTCTTTGCGAAGTCCACCTGCATCAATACCTTCTTCTCCTTGGAAGTCAATTCGGAGCCCTTTTTTGATGTCATTTCCTCCAGATCCCACTACTTCGGAAACGCCACGTAGACTGTCTTCAACAAGGCAATCTCGTCGGACTTTTAGGACCAGATATTGGCTGACCGCTTTTCTGCTGAGGATACTGTCAAAGAAGGCTTCTCGGGCCTTGACCTCCATCTGCCGTCGTGCGTCATGTTCGAGGATGTGGATTTTGGCATAGATGCTGAGGAAGAAGGGGTACTGACAAAACGTGAACTTGGTTTTGGTGGTCTCCCAGGTCTCAAAGTCGGCCACCAAATCTGCATAGTCCAACATGGTATTATAAAAGCTGCTGATGGGAATAATCTGGCCATGAGAATATGCCTGATATTTTGCGTTGAGTCCCGGACTCGGAAATCTTTGTTCATGAGCCGCACTAGCATCTCTTTTGCGAGCAGTGTGTCCAACATTCGCCTGGAAGAGCAATGCCATGACCCGTGCAGCCACCCGAATTTGCCAGTCTTCTCCATACGCAGAGAACTTTGGCTTTCCGTCAGAGTTGTTGGCAGAAGTGGAAGAAGGTCTTCCTTCGAGCGCGGCGTGAATTTGAGAAGCATGACGTATCCCGGTATCAGAAAAGCTAGGAACAAGACCCTCGGTCGGATTGATCGGTTCCTGAACAGGTCGTTTCTGCTGTCGTGACAATCGATAGGTCACAAAGCTACTCACCATTTCGACCGTACGTTGGAAATGGCCGTCAGAATATCGAGAAAACCATGCCACTAAATGTTGATGGTTTTCATTCGACAAATTGGCCATCAGACCCAGTATGCGTTTGATTATTCCTGAATGATGGCCCAAACTCCCGGGTCGTCTCCCAGAGCTTGGAACACGTTTTGAGGGAGAGCCACGAGGTCTCTCGTCATGTTGCTTGGCTGACGACAACGGTGGATTGGTTATTGTGAATCCAAACATCTTCCCGGCTTCAAGCCTTGCCGGAGTAAGCAGCGGATTCGCCAATAATATCAGGAGAAACCGGCAGTCTTCAGCATGTTTTAATGGTTGTCTCGGACGCTTCAATACATTTTCTGTGACTTTGAGTAAGCTTCGTTGGAGGTGTATCCGTGACTCGATGATGTCTCTCTGGATGTGGTCTAAGGGGATGGATTGCCATTGCTGTTGTGTTTTGGGATCTGAGGACTTGGGTCGTATTTCGTGCCATCTCTGCTCCCACAGGTCGCCCGCATATATCACGAGGCGGTACCATTCAGCAAGCTCAAGCCAGTTTATTCTTGGGCTCCTCGCAGATACAGTTCCACGCAGTTTATCAGGGGATCTGTCCCGCTGGTGTTGTCCTTCTTTCCCGGACGGCGGAGGTACCCGGCCTCCGGGGGCACCCAACCACCACGAACCATTCTCTGCCACATCACCAAGTAGTAGAGTTTTGGCATCAAGCTCAGATAAGAAGACGTCGGCGTCAAATGAGGGCGTGGGTGTGGGTTCAGACAATTGACGCCTCGGTTGTGTGGCCGAACTCGGCCTGGCTTTGGGCTCTTGTGGCGGCTTCGAGGTGAGAAAGGAGTTGTTCAGCGTGGCACAACCAACAAAACATCCAGCAATGTAGGATTCCACCATTCGGAAGATATCAACTCTGGGACCTGAGTAAGCTATGGCGTTCGGTCCGGCATCGGCCAGATCACGTCCTCTTGGGTCTTGAGGCCGGTTGTGCGTTGGAACGGAAGCTGAAAATGGATCAGCTGAATTACCTTGCACGAAAGCACTGCCGCCAACGCGGCTGGGTTGTACCGTGGATGATGTCGAATCTGAAGGACTTCGCGCTTTCAATGTAGGACGTGGCGATGGTGGTGGTGAATCCTGCTCATCATGGACTGGGCCACAGAATATACCGTCTGGCGGAGTCCCATCCAACAAGAACGATTCCTCGACCGGGGGATGACCTTCGATTCCAATGGCGTTGGCAGGCGATTGATTTTGTTCGACATGAGACTCGAGATACTGTCTCAGACAACGATCGATGAGGGTCCTAGTTCTCTCGAGCGACAATGGCACAATTTTGCGCGGTGGTGAAGGACCGGTACCTGTTTCCCCTCTTTTCTCAGGACTTCCTTCGAGGTCATTTATCATCAGGCATGTTGTACACCGGAAAACCTTGAGTCCCTGAGGCCACCGTACAGTCGAGTCGCAAGTCATACATTTCCCAGTCACCGGCTGACGATCTCCACGATGCGAAGAGCCCTCGCCATTTAACATTTTGGCACTCCCTTCGTCATGACGGCCCATACTACCAGCAGCATCAACATCGCTGCGATTGTGCTTTTTGTCAGATCTCTTTGAACCGAAAATCGAAGGAAACGGGTGACTAAAGGAGCGGTTATGGTTATGTTTTAATGAATTGGAGTCAGGAGAATCCGGCACCGGTTTTGGACGGAGGGTCGGAATCTCATAGCTTTCGGCAACAGAGGTCGGAGGGGGCGGCAAAGGTCGATTGCGATCTGCAGTTGTTGGCCTCTCTTGAATTGGGTTTCGCGTAATTTGGATATTTCGAGGCGGCGGCCGACCAGACTGGTGGTGGTGCGAAGCTGGCGGGACAGGCGCCATTTGGGTCATCCAGAGGCGCAACAGAGCCTCGACCCCGACAAATTGTATGAACGAGTAGAGGGGAGAAGCAGGATATTCATAAGAATCGTGGGGGAAGTCCGATCAACCGACGGCGCGATGAATGTCTCAAGCTGCGGCACACGCGGCAAAGGCGAGTCGATATGATGAAAGCGAGGCACACTTCTCGCGGCGGGATGAAGTAGTCAATCTCCTGGAATAGTGTCACAGCTATGATGGTGAAAGAGTCCCGGCATATTGCCCATTACCGAACTAGGACACCTTAGCTGGGAGAAGGCAGGCGCAAGCAAAGGCGAGAGGAGGAGGAAGTGCAGTTGAGGGATGCGCTCAACGTCCTCACAGCCCTCGTCGCCGCCGATCAATGAAATGTGGCGCGAGCAGAATGCCAGCGGTACGGTGAGTGGTTAGAGAAGGGGGGAGGAGGGGACGACTAAAACTCCGAGCTACTTTGAAAGGGGCCCCCCCAGCGCGCTGCACCAACCTAGGGTCTACATCTGAATCGCCAAGGCTGGAGAAACTTCAGGGGAGCGAGTCGGCTCAGGGCTCCCCTTGGGCCATAGGGATCCTCTCTATCACTAAAGAGGACATCAACAATGGAACTAGGTACTTTCTAGGAGTACTCCTGGTATTCCTCGTGGGCGAAAACTCAAAACCCAGGGGACTCGTGTCCTTCGTCGAGATGGCCTTGATGCAGGTGCGGGAAGCCCAGAGAATTTGACATCTTTGTTATGCATCATGGACCGGGGTGTGTATCGGGGCACAGTGTTAGTGTTAGGGGGGACGGAGCCAAGGAACCTTTGGAGTTTCATGCTATTTTCAGTATCCATGAGATCTATATCAGGGCCCCAATCCTGTCTCCAATGTCCATATTCAAGTTATGGAACTACTCTACTCTCCTCAAGTTGCCATGCCTAACCACCGACTAAAATGAAAGAGAGGAATTCGTCATGGGCTAAGCGTGTCAGCCACAAAACGATCAGTCATCGAGGCTATACTCGGCAACAAGCTTGTCGGCAGCTGTAAGGCCGGCGAGGTAGGCCGTTGACTGAGTGTGGTTACTGTGCAACAGTCAGTGATATATTCTTCTAGGCTAACGGCAGGCCACTCACTTTACGGCAATGGGAATCACACTCATGTCGGCGATTCGGAGATTCTCAACCCCAAATACCTTGAAGTCCTTGTCGACCACAGCGTCACTCTCGTCTTTACCCATTCGCGCGGTCCCCATCATGTGCCATGTACTCCCAGAGGTCTTTTTCCAGTATTCAAGAATATCTTCTTCCGACTCGCTCTTGGGCCCTTCTAGCATGGCGATTGTGTCCTTACTGAATTCCGGGCTCTTGATGACTTTGAACATTTGCCTGGTGGCTTCCACAGCGAGTCTTCGATCATAAGGATGAGAGAAAAAGTTCGGGTCGAAGATCAATGGCACCTTGGGGTCGGATGACTGCAGTCTCACACAGCCAGTGGACTGTTGATTGAGGAGGAACGTGCAAATGGTTGTCCCTGCGTTTGCATTCGCCGGGTCGATGAAGTAAGGGAGATGGGGTCCGTTAAGGATGAATTCGTAATGAGGGATGGTCGGCTTCTGTAAAAATTCCTTCTGCTTCTCTGGTAAGTTCTGGAATTCCGGGGTGTTGTATATCGACTCTAGCTTCAAATATCCAATCCCCATTGCACATCCGTATTCAGACAGTGGACCACTGCCATCCTTCTCCCATTGTGCTCGAGCAGCTGCTTGCAGGTCTGCGTTTTTGTAGTATTTATGGCGTTCGGTTGTATGTTCTGCTCGCTCGAAGCTGATGAAGATGTGGTGATGATCTTTCATGTGTTCTCCTACGTTCGTGTTCGCTTTCCAAATGGGGATGTTGAAGCTATTAAGCTGACTTGGCGGTCCAATTCCTGAATGCATGAGGATCCTCGGAGTATCAAGGCTGCCGCAGCAGAGAATGATTTCATTGTTAGCATAGATCGTCTGGTCATTAAACGTTGTAATCCCCACAGCCCGAGTACCATCAAAGACAACGCGGCTGACTTCAGTGTTGACCATCACATGTAGATTGTTAGGAGCGCCAATCAACGCGTCTGCCGATGTGGATCTGACCCCATTGTAGGCTGTCGAATTGACCATGGAAACACCAGTTGGGTCACCAGAGTTGTGATCTGGATTGAACTTGGCGCCATTTGCAAGCCACACATCCACCAATGCCATCGCAGTGGGTTCCCATACCTTTGGGAATCCGGTGTGGATGGGACCGTTGTGACCGTGGTCCTCGGGATTCGCATCGATATATTTCTTATAATCTTCCGGTACATCGGGAGGAGTGGCATGGTGGGTTTCAATCCTCTTGTAGCGTTGTTGCGCGTTCTTCCACTCCCATTCTTCGTCTCCAACAAGACGAGCAATCTCATCATGATCCTCTTTAGGTCCGATGGTCCAACAGGAGAAATTGATTGCAGAACTTCCTCCAAGACCTTTACCACGGTCGTAATCAACGATAGAGCCGTCAAAGCCTTTGATTGGATGAGTCTTGTAGAACCAGTTTTGAGCGGGATTCATTCGATGAACCCATCTTTCAGCGTCTGCTCGCAATGCCCTTGAGTCATTCTTGCCTCCGGCTTCTACTAGAACGACTGAAGGTCGTTTCTTGCTATTCGCAAGACGAGAAGCAAGGAGAGCACCGGCAGTCCCGCCACCAACGACAATGAAGTCGAATCGTTCTGGCATTGATGCGCCCATGTCGATCACAGAACAAAACGAAGCTTCGATATGAAGAGAAGCAAAAGAAGGAGTTGAAAATGTTGTTCAGTTGATGGTCGGTCAGGAGACGGAGAGGCACCACGGCGATCATACCGACGTCTTATATATAGGAGAACAGGGCCTCCAAGGTTCTTGAGCCTTGACAATTTCAAGCTGGACAACATCACCAATCACGCCCAAGGTTTTCCGCGGCTCGATGGTGGGCTCCACGGGAGGATAAGGTTGGGAGGGGGTTTATGTTCGCTAGGGCTGACCCTCCAAGTGCTTCCAGAGAAAGAACTATGCTTCATCAAACCAAGTCGCCCCCGATCGTAGGCCATGTACAGTCTCACAGCCTCCATAGGCATTCTAAGATCTGTTGGAATTGTGATTAAAGGATGTCTCCAATCGCCTTTGACCGCTTTTGACACGCTGAGGTGGACCAGAGGCAAAAATTATCTTGTCGGAGTACCATTGCTGCTTCCTGCCACCGCCCACGTTCAAGCAGTGAATTGATATTCCAGGAATGATGAAGGTTCTTCAGCTGAGTCATATCGAAGTTTGGCCTAGGATTCCGTGAACAGAGAGAAAGGTTTCAATCTGATGCTGACAGGAAAACCACCAGCAGGTGATGTTTGAGAAAGACGTCAGAGCAGAGACGAGGTGGTGGTCATCATTTTCTTTTTCTTTTTTTTTTTTTTTTTTGGCGTTCGGTGGTTGACATTCGTCGGACTGGGTATTACCAACGATATCAGTGTCGCCTCTTCCCCCTTTAGTATTTAAGTTACATGTCTTTACACGAAAAGTTTCCGCTGAGGTAATCTATTTGTCAACTGCGTGCCGAGAAACGTAGGAGACAACGCTGGAATTGGTCTTCTCGTGTCATCTCTTTTTTGTTCACTACCTGACTTACAATTGGCTTCAGCCATGTCATGGACTTCGTTTGTCAGATTTCCCGGCTAGGATCCTTGAGAAGGGCTGCACAACATGCTCTCACTCTCTCTCGCTCGCCTATTCCGCAGTCACCATTTCTATTCAGTCGACATTTTCTGACTGTCGACAATTCCACTCCCCCTACCTCTTCTGCTGACCCATTGCCCCTCAACCTGGAGCCTGAAAATGATCCCTTGCGGGAATCGAGCGAGTTGGTCACTTCTCGGCCTTCCTTGAAAAGAAACACCTTCAGTTTACGCAGGCTTCCAGTGTCCTGTCCTGGTTGCGGTGCTTTGACTCAAGATGTCCAGCCAGGTCAGGCAGGATATTATACACGTTCGAGAAAGTCAGTGAAGAGATATTTCAAGCACCCTGAGCATACCCTTCGTCAATCAGAGGAGGAAGAGGATGTTCAACAGGCCGAGTTCCCAGAAACCCAGGCGAACACCAGTCAAGATGATCCCGAAATTTCTCCACCTCAGGTCTCAATTCCACCTCCAGTGTGCGATCGATGCCATTTTCTGATTCATGAATCTCGTGGCGTTCCTGTTGCTCACCCTTCGATCGAAGATATCGCAGATTCGATTGCTGAATCTCCCTACTCCAAGAATCATGTCTATCATATTATGGATGCGGCCGATTTTCCTATGTCCTTAATTCCTTCGATCTACAAAAGTTTGTCCTTAGCCAAACCTCGAACACAAAATCGAAGGTCTCAACACTCCTTTTCCTCCAAGCCTACATTGTCTTTCATCATCACAAGGTCAGATTTACTCGGTCCGTCGAAAGAGATGGTGGATAGAATAATGCCCAAATTTGTATCTATCTTGAGGACTGCTTTGGGCCGTACCGGTCAAAATCTAAGGCTTGGAAATGTCCATCTGGTCTCCGCTAAACGAGGGTGGTGGACAAAAGACATCAAGGATACGATTTGGCAGCGAGGAGGTGGAAATTGGCTGGTGGGTAAATTCAACGTGGGAAAATCAAATCTTTTCGAAGTATTGTTTCCCAAAGGTTCTGGTGAGCGGGCTCCAGTATACGCAGAACTGCAACAACAGCAGCAAAGAAGTTCCGTTTCAGCACCTCCAGAGTGTGGCTTCTTTGCAGAAACTTCTTTACTACCTCCTCCACAACCAGAGGTCCCATTTCCAACTATGCCTCTAGTTTCGAGTCTTCCGGGAACGACTGCGTCCCCCATACGACTCCCATTCGGCAATTACAAGGGAGAGCTCATTGACTTGCCAGGATTGGAACGGAGCGGGCTGGATCAATACGTACAACCTGAGGATCGACTGGACTTGGTCATGACACATCGGCCGACAGTGACTCAATATAATATCAAACCTGGGCAGTCTCTGCTTCTCGGTGGTGGTCTTGTTCGCATAACTCCAATTCTGGACGAGAAGGATCCGAGCACAATAGTGATGGCCTATCCATTTGTACCTATTAAGGCACACGTTACGTCTACGGAAAAGGCAACTAGCATCCAGTTGCAACAACGCGAAAGTGGCATCGAATCTATCCTCGCTGAAGATGCAGGAGCAGCAATGACATCGGCTGGGAGATTTTCGTTGAAGACGGATGTGACGAAGTCTAGAGCTGGTTCCGTGATTAGGGCGGGGGTGGACATATCAAAATTGCCGTTTCAAGTCTATGCTACAGATATTTTAATCGAAGGAGTTGGATGGGTCGAGCTGGCTTGTCAGGTTAGGAAGAACCGACGCCAACCTCAATCTGCGACAATTCAAGCCCAACATGTGGAAGAGGCACGGAGTGTGGAGGAGACCATCGGTTCAACCGTACCCACGGCTGAAGAGCTTTCCTTCGATACTGAGACTTTCACACCTTTTACTTCGTCTAATCTGGCGACCCATGCAGATTCTCCCAACTTTCCCCAAGTCGAGATCTTTACGCCGAATGGCAATTTCATTGGCCAAAGACCCTGTCTGGATGTATGGCAATCATGGAACACTGGAAAGCCTCGAAAACAGATCCGGGCTTCTCGTCCTCGAAAAGCGATGAGCGGAGCAAAGAAGCGCGAAAAGATGCTTCGAAGAACCGCGCAGAAGCCGTGAATTCAAGAGGACGGCTGACATGGCTCAACATAGCAAAATGAAGATCATCTAACGTCAGACTCATCCAGGCATCGGAAGTTGATATCGACGCTGTGTGTTCTTCGAGACTCTATGGAGACTGGTCATATATGTTCTCGCCAACCAATCACCATCAATGACTGATCGTTGCCTCTCCAGCTCTGAAGTCTCAGGTCCTCTTAGTGCTTCCGTGTTGCGAGTATATATGCCGCGGAATTCGCGAAAGAGTGTAGTGCGGCGTTCCCTCACATTCATCCTCCGATTGCCGATCTCGATTTTTCAAGATGTCTCTTCCAATTTGTTGCGTCTCTACTCGGTCAAGACGACGATTTTCCCACGGGCGAGGTTTTTCTCCATGGTGTCGTGTGCTTGAACTATCTCATCTAGCTTGAAGACCTTGCCAATCCGGAGAGGCAGAGTTCCCGCTTTGATCTGCTTTAGTAGGTCATTAAGAGGCGTCTCTTTGACTTCTTTTGAACCGCCGCCATAGACCGTCAAACAGACGGTGCTGGGGATTGCATTCATGGGAGTGAAGTTGTCCATGGTCCACTTATTGCCTAGAGAAGAAACCATCTGTGAACGGAACTAAGGAATCCTATCCGTTTTCAAGCACTTACCCACTATACCAGTCATGCACACAATCCCAAAGTCAGTGGCACACTTTAGGGAATCTTCGAGAGTAGTGGTGCCGACCAATTCCAAAACCTTGTCGAATTTCTTTTCCTTCACCTCTTCTGCCACTCTTCCATTGTCGATCATAATCTGATCCACTCCAGTGTTCCGCATCAAGTCTGCAGTCGACTTTTCAGAGCTTCGAGTGGTTGCAGCAACAAAGCAGCCATGATTTTTGGCCATGGCAGCCGCGGCGAGCCCAACAGAGGTGGTCCCTCCGCGGATCAGGAGGCGGTCCCCTGAGGTCAAACGAAGCGCCTTGAATAAACTGCCGTAGGCTGTCTGCAACATCTCCGGAGCTGCTCCAATGACAGTCCAGTCGAGATCAATATCCAGGGCTTGCACGTTGCCGGCTTTGACACAGGTGTACTCGGCGTATCCGCCATTGAAATCTCGACCCATTCCTCCCATGGCGGTTGCGACTTTCTGTCCGACTTTGAATTGGTGACCAGGGCATTTTTCCACTTCTCCGGTCGCTTCGATACCAAGGACGCGAGGAAATTTGACTCCTGGACTATGTCCCTGACGGGTGAACATTTCGGAGCGATTTAGGCCAAACGCTTTGACCCGAATGAGAACTTCATCTTCTCCTGGAGTTGGGATCGGAATGCTTTCAACTTTTAAGACTTCGGGTCCGCCTGCTTCATGAATGACAACTGCTCTCATCATGGCCATTGTGTGAATGGCTTTTCTGTTTAAGATGCTGACTCTCTGAATCCAGAATTTACAGGTCGGTGATATCAAACACTTGCTTCTGACGCGGTTCATTCATTTGCTCATCCGGAAATCCCGGAACCCCCCGGCACAACCATAAGTTTCCTTCCACCTTCACCAACTTCCGCTTTCTTTCCAAATTCAACTTCAATCTACACCTTTCTTCAACCGACCGGGTCGCTTCATAAAGCTATTTCCCTCTATTGTAGAGCTCTCTCAGTGGGCGAACTTTTGTAGAAGATGGTTTGCAAACGATCCACATCATAACGATCTACAGCTTACCGAAACAGGCAGGATATCCGACCAGAGAAAACTTCGTCGGGGTTTTGTGATACTGCCGACCACTTTCCTGGAGAACAGAATTATGATGCAAAAGCACGGGCTGGATGTCGGCCCAGTTTGCCCATTATCAGCGGAGACATTTGATAAACTGAAGTTATACAATGTCACTGATATTCTTCAACGTTTCTCCGAAATTCATTCGTGAAATAACAGAAAAGTCCTTGCCTCATTCCCAAGTTTGTTTGGCTGAAAAGCCCTCCCACCAGGGAGATATTAAGGCGGATGACTCGGGTTCACATCCCTGCTCGGACTGTCTGTACTATTATATGCAATGCATCCTTAAACCCGGACCTGGTATCGACAATTGTCCCTTCTCGACTTGCCTATAGCTTCTCCAGGCTGACGTTATGGCCAATATACTCGATGAAACGGGAACATGTAAGGCCCTATTTCGATCGGTGAGGAATACGCATATGCAGAGCAGGAAAACGTCCCTTTCATTAAAAAGAATCGATCCAACTATAAAAATTTGATGGTGGTCATGCTGATTGTGAAGTCGGGTAGACCAATGTATCGAAGGCAGTTCATTATCCAACGCCAAACCAGGCTGAAGCCATGTGAATTAATCGTGCCCAAACAGGGTATATGTGCGCATGTAATCAAAGTGTCCCATGCTATTCTTCCAAATGTAATGCATGACCTTGAGATCAACGTACCGCCCGGACGCCCTGCTGTTGATGACCTCTTATCTTGATTCCTCTTCACCTTGTGGGGAGGACCGTCCTTGGGCATCACTGTCGCCGCTGCTATCTTCAGCGTCATTGTCAGTAGAGAAGAGGGATGAAACAGGGTGCCTGTGTTGGCCCGTCATCTGGCTTTGTCGACGCTGTTTCGCTTCAAGCCGCTTGAGTTTCTCGTCGGTTTCTCGTAATTTGGCATCGAGGTCTTCTAGTTGGTATCTTTGTGACTGGACTGTATCCTTCCTAAAGCGCCACGGGTCAGTCAACGGCCACGTTCGAAATAGAGAGGGTATCTCACTTTTGTACAACGGATTCCTCCAATGCGCCAATGCCATTCAGTTTGAATAGGTCGTCCAAGGCGGCGGAGAAGTCGCGAGCAAGTGTTCTACTTCTGAGTCAGTCAAGGATACCTGTCAGCGTCGTTCCATCAGTGCTCACGATTGAGGTCTGGCATTGAATTTCCAACCCGCATCGGGGTTGATGTCGTTAGTTGCGTTCGTGTCGCTCATGTCGGAGACTGTGATTGAACGGGGGAGTCGGTTTAGAGAAAAGAGACGCCAGGAATCGATGAATATATAGCCGTTCAAACAAGAGATCATGCAATGAATTCAGGTAGAAGCGGTTGTTGAGTCAGTGATCGAGGTCAAGTGGTCAAGCCTGAGCCCCAGGCAGACTGCGCGGTGAGGTAGGTTTGGTTGCCTTTTCTCTGGGGGCAGCATTGTATGGAGATTGCTCTAATTAGGGATCCAGCAAAAGGGGCTTCGGGCCACTCACTTCTCCAGGGCCTACTGTAAGTAGGGCGTCATGCTACTGGGGTTCTATGGGCCCGCCGATCCTGACCTCAACTTTTCATGCCCCTTTGGCAGGCCACCGTTCGACTTTTGATCAGCTGCACAAATTCGAGGCATTCAGAGCCCACCATCTACTGTCTACAAACATCCGCCATTCAGTCTGGTGGGCGCGACATCCGCTCACCGGTTTGGGAAATGTACGAACTCTAATCCACACTCGAACGGTCGACCACCCGCGTCGGTAGCCCACAAGGCCCTGAACCTGACCCTCTGACCCCCCGACCGTCTTGTCGGCTTTTTGGCCTTGGTACACTTTCCCAAAAATTCTAGCACCATCATTTCACCACAATTGCCCTCATCTCATCTCGACGACCACTCATCGCCTTTCCATCGCGTCAGAGGCTCCCATCAACGCGTCTTCGGTCCCTCTTTGTTTGGAGACTTTTCTTCGCTTTCCCCGAAGAGACTTTGTCGCGACTTGGACTGGCGACATTCATCCTCTCAATCCTTGCGACGATGGGATGCCTTCGTTAAAAGCCTATACACCCTATGAAACGCTTGCTTTCTGCCAGTCTGTCGCTCGGCATGGGTCCGATACTGCCGCGTTTGAGGATATCGCAACTTCCTTAAATGCAAACGGACTTATTCGCCAAAGCCAGACCTATGATCAGACTCGATTGACGGCGAACGCCCTCCGCGCACTATATCAAGATTTGCTTGCAGAAGAAAAAGATGAGGACATCCCTAAGGTCAATGGTGACAATGTCAACCCACGAAAGCGAAAGCTGTCAACTTCTCCGGCTCCATCCGAGAGCGACGAAACCGATCAAAAATTGCTTCGATCGCTAATTGACAAACTCTACGCCCGCTTTAGAGAACAAACGATCAAAGAAATCCGCGAGGAAGAAGAGGCTTATCGCGTGCTTCAGGCAGAGATTTCTAACTTAGAGAAGAGGGACGAGGACGAGCAAAACCAGCAGGATATCGCAGAAAAGATCAAAGCACCATCTCAGGCTGGAGGAGAACCACAGAAGACCACCGATGATGGTGCGCTGAATGCTCCAGAGCCTCAGACTCGTCCCGATGCGGCTGCCGCACAACTACATGCCAGCCTCGATGCTAGCCGCACGGACACAGTCGCGCCGGGGGCAACAGTGCCAACTTCTGCAGATGCCAGCGCCTCTCCGTCTTCGGTTCGGAGTGGACAGCATCAACCCGTAGCAGCCTCGAATTCTCCGGCACCTTCAACTCCCAACATCCCTTCAGCGAGACCATCAGCAGAACCGGGTCAAGTTAGACCGTCACAACCTCCTTCAGCGCCTCCTCAACATCAATCTCCAGGTGCATTTCACCGTACTCTTCCAGTCCCATCCCCGGGACGACCGAACTATGGTCCGATCAATCAGCAACATTTTCAACCTGGTCCGCAAGGACAACCGGTGCCAATTTTACCGCCTATTTCAGGAATGCCTCATATGCCTCCACCTACAGAGTTCCCGCCTCAAAAGCGTTCAAGCCCGGCATCTGGTCAAGGAAGAGGATCACCTATTCATATGCCCCCCCAACAAGCCTATCCAGGGTATCCACCATACCCTCAACCTCCTTGGTCTCACCAATTCCCTCAGCAATATCCTCAGCCACCGCCCTACCCGAGTCCTCAATTCTATATGCAGTCCCCTCCGGGACCTCCTGGAATACCATATCAAACGTCTCATCATCCATCATATTCACCGTATCCTCAAAGTGCCCCTATTCCTTATCAGAGTCAACCTCCTCCGCCACACAGTTGGCATCCTCAGCCTGGTCAGCCATATTACGGATATCATGGTTCTGGAACTATGACACCTGTGGCCCGAAGTGATTCTAAACAACCTCCGCTACGAGGTAGATCCTCGACGCCTTGGAAAAGACGATCGGAGCTGCCCAATGGTGCTCGCCAACCCAGCCCTGTTCGACCAGAGAGAGATGTTAGTCCACTTACAGATACTGAGTCCACTTCTCGATCTAGCAAACCTAGGAAATCTCCGAAATCCCCGAGCAAGAAGAATCAGAGAGCGGATGAAAATGTTCTGTCGACGCGAGAAACTCCCCTTGTCAGAGGCAGGCAGGCAACAAGTGCCACTCCATCCGCCTTTGCTGGATCAAGATCGCAATCTATTACGTCTTTTAATTCGGATACCCCTACGGAAAAACGCAGAAAAGGTCGTCGAAGCGAAAAGATTAAGGCTGAGCCTCCCAGTACGCCTGCCCCCCTACCGTCGGATACTGAGCAAACTCAACGATCATCTGGTGGTCGGGGAAGGCCTCGGAATAGCACTGTGAGCTCCAGAAACGATTTGAATCGGATCACGATAACCGCGAAGCGTAAGCGTTCCCCGGGTGGTGATTCTGCGACTCCATTAGCGTCCCCGGCCCGTGTACCGATCCCGCATCAAACGCTGCATAACCCTTCCCTTGTCGTTGTGTCCAAAAATTTCACCAAAACTTCACACCTTTTGCTGAATGACATTGTTTCGCACAAGCTGGCAGGAATCTTCGCCAGACCTCTCTCGGAACGCGACGCTCCAGGCTATAAAGATTTGGTATTTCGTCCGCAGGACCTTAAAAGTATCAAAGTAGCCATTTCAAGGGGAGGGAAAGCTGCTTTTGCCGCTATTGAATCTCTCGAAGGAGAAGATCGGAGTGGTGAAGAAACACCTACTGGGAATGCGCTAACCCTAGGATCGGATGCTCGGGAGCGATCTATGGGCAATGGTGTGTATCTGGTCAAGACCTCAGAAGACCTGGTCCCACCTCGAGGAATTGTCAACTCTTCTCAGCTAGAGATGGAATTGGCCCGGATGTTCGCCAACGCTGTCATGTTTAATCCACTTCCAACTTCCGAAAGAGGATTTGGGAGATCATTTCGCCTCAGGAAACAGGGAGGACATATTGAACCGGATCGTGATCCCAACGACCTCAGCTCGAGTGAAGAAGGTACCCCGGTCGACGAAGGTGGTATCATCTCCGATACTCGCGAAATGTTCGAGGATATCCTTGCACAAGTGCGGAAATGGCGAGAAGTCGAACTCGAGAGATTAGGCGGCGAGGATGTTACCGGCACTGGTTCCAAGGGGGCGCAGTCATCGGCATCTCTGGCTGCGCACGGTAGTGCCAGTGCTAGTGTCCGGCATTCAAGCGTCAGTTCCGCTATGAATGATGACGACGCTGGTGGAGATTCTGGTGCAGTGTCTACCACGGTTCCCGTGACTGGTACGGTAAGGAAGAGAAGACGAATTGCAGAGAATTAAAAGCTTGTATGGATGTCTCGATTTCGACGTGGTTGACTGAAGAGTGCTGGTCAAAAATGCATGTAGGGGGTCTACCAGAAGTATATCTATATTTGCACGTGTCAAACGGTATCGAAGATGCAGGCCCAACTTCTTTAGGCTCTTTGACTGGAGAAGAGATGATGGATGAGCTTTGAGAAAGTACTCGACACATGAATGGATCTAGAACTCACTCCGTGTTCAGAACCAGGGTGACGTATCTTACCTTTGGTCAAAATCAGAAAACTTTTCAGTGGATAAAATACCCGTTCCAGTTGTAAGTGCTTTTCATCCCTTCCTGATTGAGAGGATCAAGAAGTACATCAATCTTCATTACATATGGAGCACGAGCTTCTTCATCTCGACACCACACTGATTGCTTGCAGAACATCTTACCTGGCTTTTTCGCTGGATCAAAAGGCAAGTCTGGGTATGCTATGGTACATTGACTTACGTTCGGCCTGATGATTTGCCTGATCTGAGGGATGTGATACGTAAGTTTTCTGGCCGTGTAGCCCTATAATTTGGGTCGATCCTGACTGCTTGATGTTGATGGGTTCGAACTCTGTATTCCAGAAGATTTCCCCTAACAAAATCGTAGAGACTCGGTGGCCGGACCTCAGCTGGCGGGAACTATGCAACATTTTGACCTTGGAAGCAACTGAGAGTAGAAGCCGACGAGGTCCTGAATTTCCGTCGTCGGACATCTTGTCCTGAGTCATTGAAGATAACGGTTAACTGATGGCGATATCGGCCAAGATTCAAAACAAGATGATACTGGAGTGTAGGCGTCAGACTGAGAAAGTCATGCCCATCATCCTGTGACTATTCATATCGACGGTAGCATCCCCGTTTGATTGTTGTGGATTCTGGTGGGACATCAATAAGGAACCCAGAGTTTCGAGCGTTCGAGCCTCTTCTTGGGCCCCACTGCCAAATAGACATGTAGTATGAAACATCATATCATAAACGACTCCAGTTACCATGGAGCCTTCGTAAGTCACTGTCATGAGGGAGCAATATACCTTGATCCTAGAATTTCTGATTGCAGGGCTCTGACCGAACTCCATTAGGTGGCAGGAGGGAAAGGATGGCCCCCAACTTTGCGTCTCTCACTGAGAGTTTGGGAATGATGGAGAATTGACCCAGAAGGATCCAAAGTCAGACGTGAGACGTCTTCAGCTTTCTTCTCAGGGGAGGGAGGAGGGAGGGAACCTGAATTAGTGAAAGAAGTTGGCAAGCCAAAAAAAAGAAAAGGCAGCGATCTCGATTTGGGCCGCGGTTAGAAATCTACCTTATGTCGAGCTTCAAGATGCCAGAGAGGAAGGGAATTTGAGCACGAGAACTCGCAGTCGTGTCTTTGACACGCACAGCCCGTTCTTGCGCGTGGTGCCGACGTTGGCGTACGTGTTTGCGAGTCGCAACTCGTCATCACACAGTGGTACGACCAAGTTGGAATGGTGGTAATTTTCCGATGCTCGCAACTCAAAGTCGTTTCCGGTACTAGTCTTGTATATTTCAGGCTGGTGTTCCTTGCCATCCAGTACAGAATCCAAACGTCTCAAAGGGAATAGGTTGGATGCAGGAATGCTGCGAATGTCCTTGGCAAAGGGGCGAGATTGAACTCGTTTGGATAGCGGAGATTTGTCCAAGTGACTGCCATTTTCAGTCCATCTCAGGATCCCAATGGCATTTGAAACCCGTCCTCTTCCAGAAAGATAGAGCCGACGACCAGTAAACCCTTTAATTCTCCGATCCCCATTTTGTGAGACCCTCCCTGATCGCTAAGGGGGGAGCACAGTCCAATGGTAGTGGATCCACCATGTCCATTGACGACCAGGCATACCCTGATGATCTCATGGCCGCTATTTCTTTGCTGATCTGAGAGTATGAGTTCACACCAGTGTCTCATATACTCAGTGGCGCAATATTTGAGTTCATCCCATGAAATCGGGTTTTCTCCAGACAATGCGAATTAATTTGACCGCAACGACCTCCCGAACTTGGAATATTGTCAAACCAAACCAATAGAGTCATGAGAGTAAATGGTGTTGAAAGTGATGATCGGCGGTCTTGAGGGGGAACTTGTTGCCGTACTTGCCGGGCACAAATTTCTGCTCACCAAGGATATCTTTTCGAGCAACCTTCTTGGCATTTTCGACAGCGTCGCGTTCATATAGATGGAGACTCAACATATAATTCTCCACAACGCACATCAGTTGTGCAGATGACCAGCCATGTCAGCGACCTAGGAAACAATGTCGCGCTTGGAGCTACTGAACCCCCCCCTAATTCCATGAAACACGGATCATCATTAATCAATTCCCCACATAGCTCGGATGGTCGGAGAGTTGTTCCTTGGAATTGCTTGTTCGACTCGAATATTAATAGCCAGGTAATTGGTATTGGGCTGTGCAAGGCGTCTGTTGCTAATGATGGATATGCGGGCTCAAGTGTCAGGAAATGCTAACCCAAGAACCAATGGAAGTTGGGGTACGTCAATCCACGTGAGTTGAAAACGACCAAGGTCAGAAACCATTCGTCTGAAATTAACCACTTGGGACGAGATGATTGGAAAAAGTCACAATTCAAAATCTGACCTGCCACTCCCTTGTCAACCGAGATAGTTACGGTCACGCTGAACTGGAGGCGGGGGGTACCTCCATGACTGGCGCCCTGCACCTGTTTCACAAAGGGAATATGAACAGGGGTACATCCCACGGCGCTTACGGTGCAGAGGAACTGCCAACAAAATTGTCTGCCAACGCACGACAGCCAGACCTGCGTCAATATGATGTATGTTGTGCAGAAAAAGGATTTATTTCCCACCATCTCGCTCTCTGATTCGCTTGAATTGGGTCAATGCCCCTTGAAAAATGTCCTGATGACTTCCCACTGGGTCATATTGATGGTCTCGTGATGATTGTCGTGCTTGAATGCCAATGAAATGATTCGCGAATGTGTGAACAAATACAATCAAAGAGATAGCAAGTCACAGAGTAGCTCTCATTCCAGGCGGTGTGATATTGACTGCAGATAGCCCTTTGCCGGGTTCGAGGTGAGAAGTTAGTTTCCACTGGAAACCCCGGGCGCAATGTTGACAGTTACTCCCGGCTGAGTGGGGTGGCCGACTTGACGTGCAGGAATTTGAAAAAGTATCGGAGCACAGACGAGGCAGGCCAGATCCTGCAACAACAAATCGCGATGCGGAAGCCATAGTGAATCCGGCAGCATACGTAGGAGCAGAATCCAATCAGCCTTCTCCGAGGACCTCTAGCTGAATGCGTTCCAAGTCTCGCCCTAGTGATCAGAAAAGGGGGGAACAGTTGTCACCCACGCAGCCACGTCAGAAAAACTACCGAGGCTAAGTGTCTGGGTTGCATAAAAAAATGGTGTGATGCATGGCTAAATCCGGGGTGCATCTTTGTTGCTGCTCCGTTCTTATCTCGGTTCCCTCAGATTGGCCATCATCCGACAAGCGAGTGAGCACGACGTCAACAGACCCCACCACGATCCGGTTATCGGCTTGGAGGCGTTTTTGTCTCTGAAACTAGGCACTGTCTCTTTTGATTCCCCAGCGTGCGGAGGATGACCAAGGTCGACGGGGAAAGGAGCGGTACCCAGAAGGATTGTTACGCAACCGGTTTTTGTTCAAAGCTGCCTTGAAACGTCGTCGTATTGCGTAGCGGATGGTGGAGCCGAGGAGTCAAATTGTTGGACCCAGGACCAATCCCTATGGCAGGCAACCATACGCGGGGACCAAATCCGTCCGGATAAGTCTGGGAACGACTGGGAACGGAGGAGGACGACGCGCGGATGTGGACGGGTGTCCCTGAGAGTTTTGGCAAAAGAGTTGGGCGTACCGTGTCGCATTCAACCTCAGACGTTTATTCCGTATCTGCCGACCGAGAAAACCCAAAAGTTGACCGGTAGCTGGAGTAGGAGGCCTAGCGTGGGCCCAACGGGTTGGGTCTTGATACGAATTACCGGTCATTTCAGGTCAGCGAATGAATGGATACCATAGACGATCGAACTCCATGGAGAAATTGTCAGATAGAGGGGTCTGGCACCCATCCCCAACATGCCTTCTCTGCGATTCAGGCTTCCTTGTCAGACTCTGTATTCATTTTTCCACTCTCGCAAGTTTCAGATTGATTGAGGATGTGCGTACATGCATTGTTACACGAGATTTTCTCATTTTTAGAGGGCTCAGCTATGGGCTTGTCATTTTGCCCCAAATCAAGCTGCTAGATGATGTCACACAGACACTCGTGGGGAATTTCGTTGACTTGCAGCTTGCAGCTCCGGAGAAAAAGATTGGACATGAAGCTGGCCACGTATGCCACGCACCACCAGCCTGCATGATACGCAGCAATCTGGATTCTTCGGACAGAAGGCTCATCAACCACTTCGCCTTTTGACTGCAGCTCGACCGACCCAGTAATTAGGGCGCAGCTGGTCGGCACGACGCGACAGGCAGGTTGCAGAGGCGTGCTTTTCGTGCGGTCAGCGGCTGGGTTGTTTGTTATCTGGTTCATGTATGATTTGAGTGTAGGATGTGGAGGACGATAGTCAGCGGACTTGCCGATTATTCTGACGAATTAGGCCCTTTGCAGACGAAACGGGTCACGGCGAGCGAGTGGGGCGAGGCTATGATGAGACTTTTCTGGCAGGTCCGAAAGTGATCCGTCGGCTTAGAATGTCCTGTTGCAGACCCTCTCATGCCGTCAGCTGAAATAGAAGCAGTCTTGCTTCTCGTCTAGAGTTTGAGCGTACGTTGCTGCAAAAGAGTAATCCACCCCATCTCAGTTAACATTTTTATCTAGGGAAAATAAAAATGGCCAACAAAATTACGGCCAGCGTCAGATTAATACAGCTAATTGTCAAAGTTCGACAGGGCCGATCGTATTGGAGAGGGTTGTGGGTCGGCAACCAAAAAAAAAAAAATGGTGGAGAAGGTGTGGTGCAAGCAACACGAAAAGGGGGCGAAGTTGGATTGGCAAGATCTGTTGGGGGATGGAAGAGATAAAAATTAAATCGGACCGATGTAGACGAAAGGAAAGAAGGTTTGTGGAAGGTTTTGCAAGGCGAGGAATGGCAGACAGGATGGCAAAAGCGCGGAGATAGAAAAAAGAGGGGAAGAGATTTCGCAAGATGGACATGGACAAGGGCTATGAAAACTGACTAGGACTTGTCACAGAATCGAAGAAACTTTTTTTGGGGAGGGGGGGGAATTTCTATGAAGTCAGTCATTCACAAAAAGCCAAACGGGAAGAGATCGCGTGGGCGAGCAGCTTGGGATAGTCTGACGAGCCTCATTACCGCTGGAAGTGGCAATCGATGGCACTAAGATCCTGGTATTTTGCCCCCGGCCCCCCTGACCCTGGAGCGGGTTCTTTAGTCGCTTTTCGTTAAATTTCTAGTGCCGACTTTCCCACGCTTCCAAGGAACAAGGAACGTTGGTTTTTCTCTCTCTTTGATACGAGTACAGATCCTGCTTGCCTACGAAGTAAATATAGGATATGCTCCTCCGCATTGTAGTAGCGGCGTTAATTACTCCGTTATTACCTGACCTAAAATGACCGTCACCCTCTTCGGCCGTTCCGCGCGAGTCACACAGACTACTAGAATTATCTTTTTTTCCCGCATTCGCCCTCTTCCTCCTGCCTATCCCATCTCCCCTACAACCTGCATTGCAGCGCACCGTTCATTCCCTCGGCCTCCACCTATTCGACCACCACGACAGATACTTCTCTCACGGAAACCGTGCTGTGCACACTGAGGTCCCTGGAGCAGACAGCTGGATTGCTTCTGTCTCGTCCTGTCCTTTGTCCGAGTCCCGCGCCTTTCCTGTCAGTTGCTCTGCGAACGTCACCACTGCAGGCTTTCGCGAATTACCACCAACTTTGGCCCTTTCAGCTCTCGCGGGACTTGGACTCAAGTCGCCTATTGTCTGACTGCATAATTTCTCTTCTCTCTCCTCTCAGACCAGACCGTTCCGCAAATCTGCAAACCAGGTTCCGTTTCTGCAAGGCCAACGGCCTGGTTCACGAACCCCCGACGTCCACCACCCGCTCTCCACGCGCTGTACTTCCTTTGCTGCATGAGAACCAATCGAGTTATCCGCTGTGTCAGGTGCTCCAGCATGGCTGTTCTCCGATGCTGCTGAATGTCACGGGGATCAGGGCTGGTCGGTCGCAGAGCGGGATTCCTACACCAGAGAGAGCATAATGAAGCCGTCAAAATACCATAGACAGAGCTGGACTCACTTATTCCTGTCAAACTCGATCTTGAAATAACTTCTCAAAACTTAAAAAAAAAAAAAAAAAAAGTTCACAGAAGAGGTTGAGGCAATGATATCTGCTTCGGCATCGCCCTCCATCAGGGCCTTGCATAACCGCGACGACTCTCCTTCGCCCCGTCCGCGTCCTTTGGCTCGCGTGCCTTCCATTCAACGGGTCAATACCGCCATTCCTCAAACGTTCTCGGTTACTCCAGCCTCCGCCAATAGCACCTCGTCTGTTGCTCTGAGTCCGTATATTCCTTCCATACAGTCGTCACCGCTGGTCTCTCAAACGATTCCTCAGCCTTCCCAGCTGGGGAACCCAGTACCTTTCGAGCTGCCCGAGTCCCTTGTCTCCTCTCATACCGTCACACAGCAAAAGGATGCCTCTACCGGGGCCAAGTCGGTTGGACTTATTCGCAAACTATCTCAAAGTGCCAAAGAGGGTGTTTCTTCCACACGACAAATCCTGCGACGAAAGGCCTCTTCTTCCGCACAGAGTCGCCGGGATGAAAGTACCGGTCCAATAACCAGACGCCGTAGTGACAGCAAAACGGCAGCCGTCAATGGCGCTTCTATCGAATCTCCCTCCTTCGATACTCTGCCAATAGACCTACAATCAGGCTTAGGTCTCTATGACACCGTGAGCCTGTCGAGCGAGCCTGCTACTCTGGTAGACACCCGTCCTGAAGGCCAAGCTCCGTGCGTTCCGGAGCATCTTGTTGGTGGATGTCTCTTGACCAAGATCACCAAGAATAAAAAGCAGGAGAAAATGTTCTTTTTGGATGTCGAAGGTTCACGTGTCTCCTGGAAGGGCGCTGTCACAATGAAAGCTTTTCATATTGATAATATCAAGAGTATTCGAAGTGGTGAGGAGGCGGCCAGTTATCAACAAGAGCTTCGCGGTGAGGCTGTTGACCCTGACCTCTGTTTCACCATCAACTATGCCGCGTCGGATTCATCAAAGTCGGTCAAAACTTTGCATCTGGTTGCTCACAGTCATGCCGACCTCAGGCTGTGGGTTGATACTTTGGAGAGCTTATCCAAGCATCGGGAAGAGTTGATGACCAGTATGGTCGGCTGCACCGAACGCGAGTCGGTCATACGAGCTCATTGGGATAGCGAAATGGCAAAACGACCAGTAAATGTCAAGCTTGATGGTCTTGATTTCCCTGCCATACAGTCTCTATGCCGCAAACTTCATATTCACGTCCCTGAAAAAGAGCTGGAAGAGCATTTCAAAATTGCAGATGTCAACAAATCCGGTATCCTGGAATATGATCAATTCAAAGACTTTCTTAGACGTCTTCGTGAACGAAGTGACATCAAGAAGATCTTCAATGAGTTGAAAGATGCTTCGTCCAATGGTATCGCCAGGGCACAGTTTATTCGATTCCTTGAGCAGGTCCAGGGGATCGATCTCACCAAAATTTCGGAACCTGGTATTTGGCAAGAGAAGATCGATGAGATGGTGGCCACATCGTTTCCAAATGATCCGGACTGTGGCCTCATCGATGCCAACGCCTTTGCTTCGTTCATGTTGTCAAAAGACTGCCATGTCTATTCGAAACCCGAGGAGCCAAGTCCGCATTTTGATCACCCACTCAACGAATACTTTATTTCCAGCTCCCACAATACCTATCTGACGGGTTGGCAAGTAGGAGGAACATCTTCAGCCGAAGCCTACATCACCGCCTTACGCCACGGATGTCGTTGCATTGAAATCGATTGTTGGAACGGTCAAGATGGCAATCCGAGAGTGACGCACGGTCACACAAGAACTACTTCTGTACTCTTTTCTGACTGTATCAACGCTATTCAACGATGCGCTTTCGATGTGACTCCTTACCCGCTAATCATTTCCCTTGAAGTGCATTGTGACGCCGAGCAACAGGCTAAGATGGTCCAAATCATGAAGGACGTGTTTGGAGAGCGACTCCTCCTACACCCTCTGCCCGGTTCCACCACAAAATTACCCTCACCAGAGCAACTCAGACATAAGATCCTCATCAAGGTCAAGTCTACGGAGCTTCATGCGGACTTGGCTGCTGTCCGGGCCGCCCCCCCTGTGAATCGAGATCGCAGTGCGAGTTCTCCCCACAGGAATTTGTCGAATTGGCCTCTTCCAAGTGTCCCCACTGTTACCAGCCCGGCGCTGATAACTCCTCCTGAAACCATTTATTCACCTACTGATCGGTCCGTCACGGCCACCAGTGCAAGTAGTGCCGACGAAGAGAGTGATGTCCCTGCACCGTCACCTTCACCGTCGAATCTAGAAACTCAACGACGATCTCCGAAGCTGAGCAAAGTTGGACCGTATCTCTCCGCACTCGGCGTTTACTTGAAAGGTTATACTCTCCGGGAAGCACGAGATCTTCAATTTCAGCAGTATAATCATATTTTCTCTCTAAACGAAAACCGAGCCATTGAACTCTGTCATTTGGCGGAGGATAAAGCTCTATTCGAGGATCATAATCTCGACCATATGTGCCGAGTCTACCCCAAGAATCTACGATTCCAGTCTTCCAACTTTGATCCAAACACCTTTTGGAGACGAGGGGTTCAGATGGTCGCTTTGAATTGGCAGACATTTGATGCACATATGCAGATGAATCACGCCATGTTTGCTACCGGAACTGATGCATATGGTTATGTCCTCAAACCTGAATACCTCCGGAAGCCTCGAACCAAACACGGGGACTTTGAACACCGAGTCAAGTTGCCGCGGTATAAGATGAGGTTTTCTGTCCAAATCATCTCCGCTCAGCAATTACCTCGAGCAGCCAACATGGGAAAGGACACTCCGTTGAATCCATTCATCGAGGTTCAAATGTTCAGCGCCGAAGACAGAGCACGTGGCATTGCAAATGGCACGGGAGGTAAAGAAACCTACTCGAATGGCTATCACGGTATTGGATCCCCGTATCGTCGACAAACTCAGATTCAATTTGGTAACGGTTACAATCCTCAATTTGGTGAAAACATTGAGCTGTCCCTGGAGACCAAATATCCAGAACTCGTCTTTGTCCGGTTCATTGTGTGCAATTCGGATGATGGCAGGTCTAATGGCAAAGGAGTCAAGCAACTCGCAGCCTTTACAGCAAAACTTGGCAGCCTACAAAAAGGATATCGGCATCTACCTTTGTATAATGGTCATGGCGAGGAATTCATCTTCTCCACTTTATTCTGCAAAATTGTCAAACAGGATCCCAAACTGATGCCTTGGTCTCTGCAAGACGTGAGTGATCGACCTTCAAGACCCAACATGTTTCGAGGAATACTTTCACGTGGATTGTCAGGTGATCGTGGCAGAGAACGGGCATCCAGTGTTGAGGATCAACGGGCAGCTCGGCAGGCAAGGCTGAACCGTGAGATCGAAGAAAAAGTTGCCAAAAAATAAGGCTAAGGTTTGCATATGCATAAGCATAATTGTATCAACGAATGGCGCGGGAGTTTGATTTTGCAAAAAGATACCCAAAAAGCACACATGACTTGATGACACATATTTAGACTCGCTGTCTGGCAACGGACATCTATTCTTTGTGCTAACAACTGGCATTGGGTGGGCTTGTTGCAATTTTTTGGTCTTTTGCCTTTTCTTTCTGTACCATTATATAGATGACAGGGCTGATTGATTGTTGGAATACGACTCTGTCTTGAATTTGTCTGATCTGTGCATGAATTTCTTTTTCCTTTCCGGCCTCTTGCAGTCATCCTCCGGCGATGTCGGAATCAAAGATATTGGTGGATATTTTGCCCGCCACGCCCAAAGAAATTCACCCTTGAATTGGAGGCTTTCGTGTAAAATCCCGCCCACCCAAGTCATACAAAGCATGACCGGAAGTGGGTTGACCTGACCTGATCAGTCGTGCTTATTAGTGTCCACCCCAACGTAGGGCCATCCAATAAGTGACGTGTTCACCGACAACCCAGATCCGATATTCAAACCGGTGTGAAGGAGGTTGCCCGTCTGACAGATGATTTCTCTTCCTTTTCTACTGTGTGTCAGCTTGCGAACATACTCCGGCCGGTGGGGGGAACTTCAGCGGCTTGGCTGCATCAACGGAAGAATTTGGAGCCCTTTTGACCGTATCCACCAAATCACTTCTCTTTCTTCGACCACAAGGCTTTCTTGCGTGGCCGTGTTCATGGTGAACTTCGGAGACATATTGAACAGGATGTTCTTGCTGTCGACCTTTTTCGCATGATGCCTTTGGCCCCCCGGCCAGCCCTAGCTCACTCAACAAGATGCAATTCATCGAGTCATTTGTGAACAACAATCAAGGCTTCCAACTTGATATCGTTGGTAAGTTGAGCTCCCAAACCGCTAAACGAGGCAGACTGCTGAACACAATCACCACCTAGGTTTCCTCGCCATCCTTGGAGAAGGTTCCGTCGAGACAATTGCTCAGGTTGCTACTCTAAGCTATCTGATCTATGTTCCTCGCCTTATCCCTGCGCCTCAGATTTTCATCAGACCTTCCCGACCGGAGAAACTCGAGACCACTGCGGGGGCCAAAGTCATCGGAGTTCATTCTGGCAATACCGGTGAAGATATCCATCATGTTGCTCATGCTTTACATCGAGGAGATAAATTGCCCCCCAATACCGTCAGTTGTGTCCGAGTCAGGGAAAATAACAAACCTCGCCCGTCGATTAAAAGATTCGGTCCGTTGGCTATTCTGGCTTTCATAGGGCTTGCAATGAGTGCTGCCTTGTTGGGACTCTCCATATACTATGAAGATGGGTGAGTGGGGGGAATGCGACCGATTCTTGTGCTCCAGAACTGACCTGTCTAGAATGTCATTGCTGGCAACTGTTCTACTGTCCACCTTGAGTACAGTGACAGGAATTGCCAACAAGTGGACACCAACACCCAATGATCCGAAACCCGATCCTCATTCTCCACCCGGTGATGTTGTCATTAAATATCCCCAAGGTGCCTTTATTGTGGTAAGCTGTGAAGAACGAACTGCTCGATACCTTTACTTCAATCCAAGCGAGCGTTGCATCTATTCTGTCAAAAGCACGGCAGTCTATCGAGGCCTCTCCTTGATTTCGACCCTTCTACTCATGGGTGGAGTTATCTCTTTGGCCAATGCACGAATCGAAACTCAGACGGCATTTGCTGGATCTTATATGTTAATCAACATCTTCTACTGGATTGGGGCTGCTTTACCACCAGCTCATCACTGGGATCTTTCTCGACTCGAAGTGGAACACATTGAGGTTCATGGTGGGACTCCTCCCAGAACCGCGAAGATGGATAATTACAACCCCACTTATACCGAAGCTCTTTGGAAGGCGATTGCAGTCACAGGGACTAGCAACTGGGTGAAGGAAGCCGGATGGGCTCCCAAGACGCCGGCGTGGAATGACTGGCTCAATGAGGCAGAAGAAGCCGCTCTTGGTGAACCCTTAAAGTCTAGCATGAAGATGGTGAATGGAAAAGAGGTTGAAGTTTGGACGATACGCAATTGGGACAGTCGAAATGCCTTGTCTACTCTGCTTCGAACTACAACGGACAGGTTTCAGGCCAAAAAGTGATCGATATATCTGGGACTTTGGTCAACGGAGTCTGTACCCCTCAATGACGAACGAACACACGAATGACGATTGACGATTAACGACATCAAAATATGTATGGAAAGAGGTGAACAGAATAGATAACTGTAAAGATGATTGATGAACTGGCCTACTGGTACCGTAGTCATTGAAACTCCAAAGATATTTTTTGGCCTCTTTCCGGGTGGAAGTTCGCATGCCGCGCCCACCCAACTTCGCATCCATCTTGAGCCAAATCTTGCTTGGCGTGGAAAACCACTTCGCACAAAAGCTTTTTCGTAAATTCACCACTTCGTCGCTTCGATTTCTCTTCGAGGCATTAGGACCACGCGAGAATCAAAACATTCCCTTTATGAGATTGCGAGTCTCTTCTTCCCACCGAACAAGATGTATGAGAGAATCCCTGCATGTTGCTGCGGAGTTGGGGTCTGCAGCGCAAAATGCTGATTCGAGGATTTTACAGACAACCAAGTTGATTGTGACATTGCGAAGTCGGCACCATGCCTTTCACCAAGCTGTAAAGTCACCGCAAACTCTTAATGAGGCGCCGACCATCCACTGACAACGTCGACAGTGTCAAGAATTCCCCCTACTTCTCCAGATACCAGACCAAGTACAAGCGCAGGCGGGCTGGCAAGGTATGGAGACCTTCCAAGTTCTCAGCGCCAAAGACTAACAGTTTCCGGCGTAGACCGATTACTATGCTCGAAAGCGTTTGATCACCCAGGCAAAGAACAAGTACAATGCTCCTAAGTACCGACTCGTCGTTCGTTTCACCAACAGAGACATTATTTGCCAACTGGTCACGGCCGAACTCAATGGAGACAAGGTCTTCTGCGCTGCCTACGCTCATGAGTTGAAGAGATATGGTATCAGCAATGGCCTGACCAACTGGTCTGCTGCCTATGCGACTGGTCTTCTCCTTGCTCGGCGTGCTCTCAAGAAACTCGACTTGGACGAGGATTTCACTGGTGTTGAAGAACCAGATGGTGAATACAAGCTCACTGGGGCCGCCGAGGGTGAGGATGGTGAGGAGCGTCGTCCATTCAAATGCTTCCTCGACGTCGGTCTTCACCGAACTTCCACCGGTGCTCGTGTCTTTGGTGCAATGAAGGGTGCCTCCGATGGTGGTCTCTATATCCCTCACAATGAGAAGCGATTTCCTGGCTACGACCCAGAAACCAAGGAACTCGATGCTGACACTCTCCGAAAATACATCTTCGGTGGTCACGTTGCCGAATACATGGAGACTCTGGCTGACGATGATGAGGAACGCTACAAGTCACAATTCGTCAAATACATTGAGGCCGATATCGAGGCAGACGGCCTTGAGGAGATGTATGCCGAAGCACATGCCGCCATCAGAGAAGATCCCTTCAAGAAGGATGAGGATGAAGGAGACAAGAAGAGCAAAGAGGAATGGAAAGCTGAGGGTAAGAAATACAAGGTTGCAAAGATGTCCAAGGAGGAGAAAGATGCTCGAGTCAAGGAGAAGATTGCTTCTCTTGCTTCTTAGATTATAAGAACCTTGGGGAAAAAGAACATCGTTGGCATGTGTAGATCAGCAGAAAAGAGCACATAGCAGTCAGGCTCCAGGCTCATTCTCTCCGAATCTCTGTGAGTACGAAATCAAAATGAAATGAATTTCGCTGGATAGCTTCGCCCCCAATTTTTCCCTTTCTTTCTTTTTCGTTTTGGGCCTTTGTGCATGAATATGGACAATATCATTGCTGTTTTGTTGTTCTGACATAAGATGCTGACCTGAGACACACTTTACCGTACCTGTGGGTTTACGAAGCAAGCTTTCAGGCACCCTCAGCAATCTTCCCAGGGGCTCACTCTCACTGCGGTAACTAAGGTATCCCAGCTTGTGAGGCTTAGGCCTAGGCTATCGGCTCGTTCGCAAGATGATATAAGCGCTGGAGGGACATGTGTGGCTTGTGAGCTCAATCTTGATCCCTTTCAGTAGTACGATAAATAAACGAGAAACATACGGGACGAATTGAGAAATTTCTCGCAGGCCCAAGTGCAAGACGAGAAACAGCGACATTACGACAAAATGGTTGATCTCCCCCAATTTTGCCGCCTGCTAGCAACGATTCATCGTCCCTGAGAAGAAATTCCTCCTTGTAAAAATGTTTGAAGGCAACGATGACCGCATAAGATATTTATCGAGTCCCACCATCCACCAACCCCAAAGTCAATCTGCGGCCCACTGTCCTCCGCAGCCATTTTTACTGACCCTGGGGAGTTTTCAGAACCACTGCTGCCGCCCCAAGGCCAGACCCAAGCCCATTTATCTATCGGCCATTGGCATTGCCATTCTCAGCCACAATCCTAAACTGTTGCCAGAACCCCGCCGAGGGAAGTTTTTATCATCGCATCAGCTTCAAAAGTTCAAATTGTCATCCCTTCCCCAAATGCCCTCGGATCTTCCTGAATGACAATTTCGCACCAAAAGGGCCTCTTCTGGACTTTAAGGCGCTTGCAGAATCATCTCGAGAACCCATGGCAAGCACTATCGGAGGTGGTCTCGATGTAGACTGGTTGCTACACTCGAGGAAAGGTGCGCTCCCACCTAGGAGGACTCTTCTTATATCTCCTCATCGCCTGGTCACGTCATTCCACAGTGTTAACGAATTCATTAGACCATGCTCAACCCCCCAGTGACCAAAAACCGGTGTCCCAAATCCTCACACAACCTCAAATCCAGCAGACCGAACCTACGCCGCCGCCGTCTCCGGCGAATCCTGCCCTCGCAAAACAATCGCAGAGAGAGCCGCACACAACAGCTTCCCAGCAGAAGCCCATCTCAGCAGTGACCGGCAAGGAATTTGATCTACAAGCTGCTGCACAGAAGATTGTGGGGTCTACTCCACCAAAATCGCCGCAGAATCAACAATCCCGACCTTCATTGTCCCGAGGCCAAAACAGCGACGAGACTAAAAGGGGTCTGAAGCCAAACGGAGGTAATGTCAGGAAGGAGGGAAGACGAAGTTCATGGATTGCAAGTTTCAGTTCCAAGTTTTCCTCTTCGAATTCCCCTCCACCTTCACATAACTCTAGCTTTGATGTCCAGTCCCAGTCAAATGGTATCGCCGCATCTCCTCAGCCTATCCCTAGACACGAATTGACGAATCCATTTAATAAGAAAGAACTCGTCAAAGATGTACAAAAGGAGACCAAAAAGGAAGAAAATAAACCGGCGGTTAACGTTCACACTCCCCCGCGTCGACAGTCGGTGTTAGTTGCTGCGGGAAAAGAGACCAAATTAGACCATCCAGGATTCTTGTCCAGTGCTCTAAGGAGGCTTTCCTCTTCTTCAAATACCACCATGGGAAAGGGCGCTGGTGGGGGGGCAATCTGTCCAAGAAAGGTCATGAATATCGATCACAACCGTGAGCGTATTAAGATCAGCGAATTCGACCAGAACAAGCTGAAAAGAGTGGCATTTTGTGTCGATGTGGAAATCGCTGGATTTGCTTCTCAAGCGGATGAAGATCCTGATCTATACAGCCGGCCTTCTATGCAGGATCCCCAGAAGCCGTCCTTGACTACGTCAGACAAGGGAATTGGAAAGAGGGACTACAAGGATGCGAAATACAAGGGAAAAGGAGAAGGCGCGGCTCTGAAGAATCCTACAGCAGCTACTGAAGAAAAGGAAGAGGCTGAACAACCAAAACACGACACCGGGTCTGAACTTCCTGAAAGTAAGAGGGACAAAAAGCCTCAATCCGAAGAAGTTGCGCCGCGGTCTGAGCCCCAACCTATACCTCCTACACGGAAAAAGGAGAAAAAGAAACGATCAGAGGCCGAACGAAAGGAACGAAGAGAGCGGAAGAGAAGACATGCTGAAGCAAATGGTCTGGTTCCTCTTGAATTGACTCGAGAAGATGACGACTCAGATTCGAGCCCTAGTAGCACCCCTCCGGGTGCGTCAACTCCAAAACGGCCGAGCGACGGTCCTACGACTGATCCATTACGGATTTATAAGCGATGTTGCCAGCTCCGTGAAACGACGGTTCTCAGTCGAATGAAGGAACAAATATCAAAACCATCAGCAACTTTGGCAGAAGCTCCTGGCACTGTTGCAGTGATGGATCTTTCAGGCTTACGAATGCAGCTGCAAGATGTAATTACCTTGGGCGATTGGCTTGCTGTTGTACCTGTTCGAAAACTTATCCTTGACGGTTGTGGCCTGACCGACGAAGCTGTTCGAGTGATTTTGTCCGGACTGGCGTCGTGTAAATCTGCCGAACAGGCTCGACAGAACAGAAAACTGCCTAAAAGGCTATCTGGAAAGAGTGGCATGGAACAAATGGGGGTCATCGAGAAGCTCTCGATGAAAGAAAATCCGGGAATTACTAATCTCGGTTGGAAGTATATCGGTCTTTTCATGCACATGTCACAATCACTGAGGGCCATTGACCTTTCCGGGATACCATTTCCAAAATCCGGTGATTTCTCTCAAACTTTTTCCACAACCAGCTCCGGGAGCAACAACATAATCGACCCATCCTCAAAATTTTCTGATCTAGGAGCTCTGATCGTCCATGCTTTGTCTGTACGATTAGGCGATAAGTTTGAGGAACTCATCCTTGGTGGTTGTGGACTTTCGACGGCCAATATTCGAGAGATTGTGGATTGCGCTATCAAATGCAAGATTCGACGGCTTGGTCTTGCGGACAACAATCTGAATGAAGAAGCCTTGATGTACGTCGTTCGATACATCAAATCTGGTGTTTGTGAAGGACTTGATCTCGGAGGCAACAATTTGCATGGTACTGGACATGTTCTAGCTGACGCGGCCGATGATCAATGTCCACTGTTCGCCATCAGTCTCTCGGATTGCAACTTGACATCCAACGATCTCGGCTCCATTTTGATACCATTTGTGAAACTCACCAATCTCAAGTTTATCGACCTGTCACGTAACAAGGCTTTGTTCACCAGTCAGCCAAACGCGGTGTCGGTTTTCCGAAAATTGCTTCCCAAATTAACTCGTTTGAAACGGATACACCTATCAGATACTGAAATGACACCAGAACACGTCATCGCTCTGGCTGAAATTCTTCCAGACTGTCCTTCGTTGGCACATCTCAGTATTTTGGATAATTATCCTCTCGTTCACGCTATGAATTCGAAAGAAGAAGGTTTCCAAGAAGAAGCCTGTGCATTCTTTGCTTCATTAATGACTGCAGTGAGAGTATCGGAGACTATCATTGCTGTCGAGATTGAAGTTCCTAGTGCCGACAGTAGCGAAGTGGTCAAAGCACTAGCATCACAGGTTGTCGCCTACAGTCTTCGAAATATGGAGCGTACTACACTCGACGAAGTGGGTGTCAAGCCTACTAATTTGGCAGAAAAGGATGCACCGGAAGTCTTACTTCACCTGGTCGGACATATGGAAGGCTACACAGAAAATCATGACAAAGACGAACCGGCTCCAGATGAAGATTATGTGATTGCATCTACAGGAATTGTCAAAGCCCTTGATGTCTGCTTAGGTAGCAAGGACGGCAGCAGTCGAGCACATTCCAGAAATATCAGTCCTGCTGCAAGTGGAACGACAACTCCCAAACAAGGAGGTCTTCGTCAACGGACCATGTCTAAACCTCGTGATGTTAGTTTGGAACTCTGTGAGAGTGCAAGGAAGATCAGGATGAGATTGAGGCCGGCATTGATCAAAGAGGACCGCGCTGGAAATGATGCAAACTATCGTAAGTGGATTACAACACTTTATTTTTATTTTTTTTTTTTTTTTTGGGCTCTTCGATTGATATCTTTGACAGGACGTCTTATATTCCTTGATCAAACCTTGCAACGTATGATTCAACGATTCGAGGACGAATACCCTGAAACCAAAGTTGCATCCACATCACCACCAATAACCAATAGCATACCCTCACCAGATCCCTCCCTTCCTGATCCATCTCTTCTTTCAGGATCAGTAGATTCCGATGGATTGATGAAGATGACTTCTGCGGAAGAGTATTTCCCTGCTGATGCCGAGTCCTCGAAAGATCCTTATGCTCTCAAATTGTCTCGAACTTCTTCAAATACATCTCTTGCGGCCAAGGCTTACACGGACGAAGAAGGCCGTATACTTCGTTTTGGACAAACAATGCGAAGAGAGGTCCTGAAGCCAACTGGAGTGGATGATGCCCTACATGGCACCAGCAGGTACGACGAACCCGAACCTCCTCATCTGGCTGCTCTTCGGGCCAAGTTGGAGGAAGTCCGAGGTGAGGATATCCGAGCCAAGGTGGAAAAAGATGGAGTTGATAATGTTATTCGGGAACTCGGTCTGAATGCTCAAGAACTATTGATGTTACGAGAGCAGGATCCTGAAGGGTTCGAGGCTTTTAGGGATTCTCAATTGGCTGCTCACTTTAATGCCGGTCTAATTGATGTGGATGGATATCGGAAAGAGAAGAGCTGATCCTACTTGGAGGGTCAGGTGGTGCAGTGAGATATATATATATATTGGGATGAATCTGTCATCGTTTAATGACTGAGCCGGGTTCTGAGCGGTTCTTTTTTTGGGTTTTAAACCGATATATTGAATGTCTGTGGAATACCTTTCTAGCGCTTCGAAATGAAAGTTACATAATTCTGCGATGGAACGACGATATCAATACCGGGCATTGCTCCCGTAGCGTTCCTTCAACACATGGCGATTGAAAGGGGAAGATGTAGCTCGGCGCTATGCACTCTGGATATATCTCCCACATTCATCTCTGTACAAACAACGATATTCATCAAACATTAAGGCCCGATGTCTGAACCAATGAAAACTGGTAAGTTCCCCGAGGCTAAAGAGCGGCCCGTTCCGCCCCGGATATTTGTTTCTCCGACTCCGGCGAATCTTCATTTCGCGAGTTGCTAACATTTAAGTCTGAGACGCGAACAGCTGATCGCTTGATTCGATCTTCATTCGTTCCGCTACTCTTCACGCTCTCAACGAACATCTCTACACAAATTGGTCTCTTTCCGTGTTGTCGATTGGGCCCATTAAATCCTCTATCCCGAATACCACCTAAGGCCCATCTTGACAACCTGCAGTTGATGGGAAAGATTGATTTCCCCGATGAAGGGGAGCCGTTCGGGTAGACATGTGAGGAACGACAAGAAGATTCGCCGCTCAAACATAGGTCTTTCCTAAAGACCTGGTAGATGACCGCGACTCGATTCAATTCCTCCGGAAAGTTTGGCAAACACAAGATTCCCTACAAGGGAAACGGCGAGAAAGAGACGGCAGTTTCGTTCGACCCGAGTTCCTCTGAGCCTCGATCGTCCTCCACCACAACGTATTTGAGTCGGTTCGAGTAGAGGACTCTCAAATCTCGCAAGCGCCTTCAAGAAGCGACTTAAGAGCTCAACTTTAGGAAAGCGACCTCAACTTCGGTTGGAAAGAAGCCTTCTGCAGGATTGAAACGGTCGACGAACACACAACCATAAATTTCAGACATTGCAAGACATAATAACATTAAGCAGGATATCTTCAAATCTCAAGCATCCCACAGCGCAGGAACATCAGCCTGAGTCGGTGGGAAGAGCCAATTACACTCCCGCGTCGACTACTCTCATATGCCAAACATCCCTCCCCTTCGAAATTGTCGAGCCCGAGAGCGAAGAAGGAAATTACCCTTCTCTAGCTCGAGTGTTTTCAAATCGACGTCTCGGCCCTTCGATACCTTGCCCCAGACAACTACGAAGAGAAACACAATCCTGCGCTTGATGCAAGCTACATACCAAGAACGTTGAGGAGATACGGGAACAATTCGATTTACCGATTGCGAACCGGATTTCTTAGACTTCGAAGAGCTCGAACGTCAAGGCCATTGAAATTATCTGGGCTAAAAGATACTAGCCGTGACAAATTCTATACTTTCAATCACGTCAACGAAGTTATGGCTACTGGCAACGCTTTTCCGTCCCTTGAACCCTCCGTGGCTGGTGGAAACCGAACCGTTGCCTCTCCTACCACCTCTCATAGTGGGCCAGTCAATGGCAATGGAGTTGGCGCAAGTGCGAATTACGTGGCCCCATTGCCTGTTGGACATCAACAAGATTTGAATTACCTCTTTGCACAGATCCAAGAGCTCGGTGGAATTCTACGAAGCAATCGGGAGAAGGTCAATGATATCACACGGACTGCAGAAGAAGTTGCGGTAAATGACCTGCGGGTTGTTTTCATAATGGTCACATGCTCACTGTTTGCAGAGACGTGCTAATGGATCGCTTAACGAGAATGAAGGCAACCAGGACGGTGATAGTGAGTATAACGACCATCTTTCTAACAACCTCTCTGACCCTTTTCAGAAGCGCGAATGCGTGAACTCGAACTCGAATTGGCTCGGGCAAACCGTCTCATTGATATCTACAAACACGAACAACTTGAGAATACCAACTTGATTGCCACCTACGAAGATGCAATGGGAAGAGCCACCGAGCAAATCCGCAATTATTGCGGAGACATGGAAGCGCGATTTCTCGCGCAGCAACGACACTACAACCAGCTCTTGCAACAGGAAAAAGACGAACATCTTCAGAGTCGAATGGACCGTGATTATTGGCATCAACAGACACTTAAGGTTTCTGAAATGATCCGAAATGCTCTTCGATATCGTACCGAAGAGTGGACGGAGGAATATAGAATTATTTCCGGACTTCAAAGTGAAGTGAGATGTCTTCGGCGATGTTTGGGTATGGAGGCAGAGAAACCAGATGAAGAGACTGGGTACCCCTATCTCAGCCAATTGCCATTGAATGATCAAGCATGAACGGAGATGACATTGGATGTTGTGTGCTGAATGCATACTGCGGAATCGCGGAGTTGGTGAAGCATTTCCCCCGGGGGGAGTATAGTTCAAAAATTGAAAGGGATGGGACAAGTTGATGATCAGTGATCTGTCCATCTATGTAGAGTAACAGAAATAGATGATGGACAATTGTGTTATCCTTGTGCCGGCGAGCTTTGAACCGCATCATTCTCGATGTCTATCTCTCACCGAATATCAAGTATGCCACGCTTCAAGAAGATATTGTCAATCACTATAATGGAGGAGGAGTATTAAAAACCGCTGATCACTTCACTTCGCATTCCTGCCTTTGTCCAAAGAATTCGTTCTTATTTACCCAGTGGCTCGCCGTCAAATGTGTCTATCGCCTGCTCTGCATTGCGCTGTCGAATTCTGCCTTGGAGTAGAGGTCACAAATGGTGAGGTCCACTGTCCAAAAGATGCCGAATCTGGGATTCTTTGCTGTTGGTCTGCCACGATGGAAGGCAAGACTTGTCAGTGCATTTGACGATACAATCAACGCTGAAAGTGGATGAGGAGAATTCCGAGTCGAATGGAACTAGACTCGATTGGGTGGAAGAGACAGTCTGAAGCATCCGAAGTGGATTTTTCGGTGGGGCGGTGCAGGAGGAGGAAGGGCCAGTCTGTGGCCAGCCTGCGTTGACACTTCATTTGCTCAATTCGATGTTTGCTCTTCTTCTTGGTCGCATCTTCGTTGCCTCTATAACTTACAAATCCTTCAACTATCGATGGACATTCCGCATCGTCCTCATCCTTCCAGCAAGCTTCGTGCCGTCCCCTCCATTCTCCCTCCAACTTCACCGTCTCCGTGACTGACCTTGGATACTAGTAGGGTGACGTGCATTGACAGCTCTCGCAACACACATCAAGCCTGTTCTTCAGGCATATACACCACCGCAGACCTTTTGCATGACACATCTCCTGCATGGCCACCAGGTGTCCCGCTTGTTCCCAGATCTCTCGACCTTTTTTTCTCTAATCTTCCTTGACCTTGTCCCAGGCAAACAGAAACCTCTCCGTCTCTCATAACTTTGACCTTGCTCAAATGCTCCATGGTGGATGCGATTCAGCTGTCAAACCTGCTTCCGCGCCCTCACCACAATCACTGTATCTGTCCATACCTGGCTGAATTTGTCCTCCCTTTCCGTTTTGAGGCTTAATCCCCGTTGTTTTTCCTTTGTATCTTCCTGGACTCCCTCCATGCTTCGGACCTGGCTAAGTCCTGACCTATTTCTGATCTGCTCTGATGGCCCTATCACCTCTTTCTTCAGCTCTCTACCCACACGCTAACACTCCGGAACCGATGTTCCATTAACTCTTGATTGTGTTGATTACCCGCTCCGTCCGTCGCGCCACTATCCGAACCCGACTCATGTTGATCGGAGGAGGCGGGGTGGATCACAGCAGCCTGAAATGCAAGATGACTGCTTTTTTTTCTCGACTTGACACTGTCATCTCAAACCTCTACACCCAACTTTCAGCAATCTTCGTGTCTCGCGAAACATATGCCTTTGATGCAGGTGTGTCAGTGCCTACGCGTTGAGGGGATTTCGAATTGCATCAATCACTCAACCTGTCACCACTGACGCCATTTGCGCTCTAGGTACCATGTCGAGCCCGGAGCGCTAGATATTTGATGTTTTTGTCTGCAAAATGTCCTCTTGGTCCAGTGCATATTGGTATTTTGAGAGGCCCTTGCCAGATAGGCTTTGTTTCTTCTTCAAATTGTCTCCCTCCGCCTTGATCATATCCTGGTAAGATCTCTCTGAGTTTTTGAATTCCGATTCCATACCAAACCTTGCGGCACATCTGCCTCAATCGAAGTTACATGATTCAGGCCTATCCTCTCACCGAAAACGCACGAAACCAACAACATATTCACATCCATCATCTGTCAAAATTACCAGAGTACAGCGGTCATTTTCAAAGTCAACAAAGGATCGTCAGAGCCCGTCTATGGGAGCTCGACTCGACGTTTCTGATCTGTTCAATCATCTCTGTACTCATCTGAGGTAAGACGTTCGTCAACATCATGTTGTCCTGTGCTTCTTCATCAACCTGAAGCACTGAGCGCTTGAAGGAATGTACCGGGGGATTTATAAGAGGCTTTGTTGATTCCTCGACTGAACATCCACCCTTGTTTCTTCATCATCTCCATCATGTCTACTGTACCTCAACCCTCACCTACAGTCGTAGAACAGTCTGGATGGTGGCCATCGGAAAGAAGTGCTAAGTCTCGATTCAAAGCCTTCTTCACTCGTGCAAAATCAGAGAAGACAACGAGACAAGTCAATACAGAGTCTCGGAATCAGGTGCTTCATCTTCAATTATGCACTTCATCAACCAATCTTGCGAAACGTTCTCGGAGCCATGCTCGGTCCAATCGAAACCTTCGCATGTCACAACGAAATGTAAGACAAAATGGACCTGGGGATATGACAACTTGGGATCATCCTCCATTGATCCAGGCATATACGCATACGAAATTGCATGATATCTTGGACACTCCTTCCACCTTCACGGATGCTCTGTTCCGAAGCAGTCCACTACGGAGGAACAGCATTTCAAGTGAATCTCCCCCACGACTCAGTCTTGATAACTCAACTTTCGGCGAAGACGGAACACTCAAGCATAAACGGAATTGGTCCGGTGCAAGTACCTGTTCTTTGAGTCAAAAGTTGTTCATCTTGACCAACTCCGGTCATATTTTCCAATACAGTGCTGATGGTCTCATTGACCGTCTACCGGAGAAGATACTTGAACTTGGACCTGAATCCGTGGCTTTCGCCAGCGACGCTATTCCTGGTAAGCACTGGGTTCTACGAATCGCTCATGACGGAGTTTCGGAACAAATGGCGCCTCAAACTCCCAAAAGCGCTTGGTCAAAATTGGCCTTTCGAAGCCCCGAGAGGAAAAAGCTCGTCAATGACCTTCTTCTGGTCTTTGACGATGCGATGGCCTTCCGAACTTGGCTTACGGCTGTTCGAAGAGAGATTGAACTTCTCGGTGGTCTTGAATATCGTCCAGACTCAGGCGATCCTAATGATGATGAACCGCAATATCGACCACGTCCTCCCCTCAAAACTCAGAAGAGTCTTCCAATCCTTCCTCAGTCTACTTTCTCCCCAACCAAACAATCCTGTGAACCTCATTCACCTGTTCTTCTACCACCTATGCCACAATGTACGACTTCTTCGCGCGATATCTCGAGGTCAACAACCGGTTCCTCCATCCACACTCTGAATGATTTGGATCGTCTTCGCGAGCCATCCCTTTCCGACGATCATTCCATCTCTACTGCTCATACCAGCTTCACCAGCTCGACGCATTCAGTGTCTCACACTGTGGAATCTCTCCCAACCGGTGCAGATAGCTACGAGGTTCATCTTCTCCAGAGCACACGGTCGCGGGTATCCACACCCACCCGAGATGACATTGGGGAACTATCCATGTATACGGCCACGCCAAAGAAAGCTCCTACTAGGAATCCGTTCCCTCGACGAACCACCTCGCTGGGAAATCGTTCCGATATTATCGGTCGTGGTGTTTGCGTTCATACCCCTGCCTCCAAGGAGTCAGATCAGTCCACCAGTCTTGAGAGATCGGAACCAAATTCTCGGCCAATTTCCACCATTGCTCCTCTTCCAGAACCTGGTCATATTCGGAAAACGTCTGCTCGTCATCGATATGAACTCCAATGTTTGAATAATCCACCACAAACTCCAACTTCCCCAAGACCTTCTAGCATTCGAAGCACAAGTTCTTTATACAACCAGGATTCTCCGGTCGAAGGGACTCAGAGACGAAGAGTTTCCTATAGCTTATTTCCTAAGACTCCCTCATCTGAGCAGTCCCCACTTTCTCCTCGTGAAATGCCTTCGCCTCTAGCAACAATGCCTGGTCCCTCCTTGGAGGGCATGTGCAATATTTCGGGTACATGTCATTTTCCGGCGGAATTCATCAACGACGACAAGGCTTCTCTTGCTCGTACAAGACCATCTTCCAAAGGTAGCCCACCATCATCCAAGCGACATGGGGAAGTTCCTTCCGTTGACATGGCAAAATCCGAAACGGGTGACAAACCTCAAGGGTCTCCTGCTGTTGCTGAAACTCATCTTCAAATTTGCTGTGGTGGCAGTCCGAATGTCCCTAGAAGAAAGGTCTCCTCAAAAAAGTCACTATCTGCCATTAAGACCACTACATTTGAGTCTTCTGTTTCTACAGGATCTACATCTGCGGTTTCAGTCCCCAAATTGGGCAATCCTCCGCGCAAAAACAGTCATGTCAAAGGACAAAAAAGTATGCCTTCGCTGGTTCACCGTCCGATACCCCCTTCGGGGCCGCCTCCAACAGGGCCTCTTCCCGCTTTGCCCATCGAGGCTGGCCTCCTTTTGAAGAACGATCTCGAATGCCAGAAAAACAAATTGGCATCACTGTCGAGTGATCCCTTGCCAGGGGCCGAGACACAAACGAAGCATGTCAAAGCTGAATCTACCGGACCGTCTTTTCTGTCGAGCAACCCTGTTAAATCTAAGACCGCGAAGGAGACGTCAACAAACCATGCACGAAACCCTTCTTCAGTTTCGTCGGTGGAATCAGTTCGACACGTCACGGCATGGCTAGAATCTCCTCGGGTGGCTGCATTTTCGGCCAAATGCGATACCACACCAAAGCTAAATATCCCTGGACCTCATAGCCCGAAATTTGCTTCGGGCGTTGAGACATTGCTGTCATGAGAAAGGCGTGACGTTTTGCACAGATTTTGATGAGTTCACGACTACAACGAGGATGATCGGGATGGAATAAATTAATAATTGGTGGAAATGGGATGATAATGAAAAAGAACAAAAAGAAAAAAAAAAAAAAGAACGAATGATCTTTGCTAAGAGCAGGATATGATGATACCGGTCCATGGATGTTGATATCATCAATAGAATAAGACATTCAGCACGGTCACACGCTTTTTCTTGACCTCGTCGGTTCCCTTCCCCTTCCCCCGAGGGGTTCAGTTGTTCAGGTTTCATGCGAAAAGTACCCATGTCTACAAAAGCTTCATCTCGCCTTTGTTTTCCCTCTGGCTTTCTCTGAACGACGACCATCTAGCCATCTCGCTTCGCGGAACATAGTGAACCAGTTCCGTCCCCGTCCCTAAGTTCCCGGAATTTGCTGTTCTTGGCTAGAGCTCCGGCGGATTTGTTGCGGAAACATTTCCTGCAGTAGTCAGACGTTTCTCCAACTAGAGCACATTGCACTCGACGCTTGGGTACAGCAAAATCTCGAGGACCTGGCGAAAGTCTTGCGGAAGGCTTTTCGGAAGCGCGAGCAGAGGCCGCTAGAGAACGAGACCAGCGGTGAGAGCGAGATTATTACGTTATTTTACGAAGGACTTGTCCTATTTTGAAGAGGTCTAGGGGACGAGGGTCTTTACAAGCCTTGGCGTCGCCACGTATCACAGTTAAATTGGCGTATTGCACGTGACTCTGTCACGTGATACAATGTGACGGCCAATGTGATTGGTGGTTACGCCAAGGGTTATATATTGGTTTGAATTCGGGCACTCTCTACCGCTACATAGCACCTAACCAGCAGCTCTTCCTGGCACCTACACTCGTCGTCCGCTTGTGCATCACTTCATCCCGGTCCGAACTTCTTCATCTTCGATTCTTCTAGCACATTCCCCACTCAGCCTATCGGTCCCTACATTCTTCGAAGAGCGGATATCGCGACGTTTGCTTATCTTTTCTTTGGGGCAATGGTTTCTCAAGATAAAGCCTGTCAAGCCTGTCAAGCCTGTCGACCTTGCCGGTATCTCTCTCTACTCCGGGACTTCTTCAAGTATCAATTTGTAACGAGCGATTTAGGAGGCTGAAGAGAAAATGCACGCGCGAACTGCCATCATGCTCTTTGGTGAGGCTTTTCCAACCTGATTCGTGTACCCGTTCAACTGACACCGATCAGTGCGTCCGGTTGAGCAAGCCTTGCGGCTATCCCCTCAAACAGCACCCGGAACCATATGAAGATACGGATTTTCTCCTGTAGAAGATTCAACAACTGGAATGTCAACTTAAACATGAAAGGTCCGCCATCGATCCCTTTGCTACGTCAGGGTCGAATCCCCGTCCGGAAGGCTTCCGGCCGCTCGACTTTGGCGCACGGGACAATTCTACCCAAGTGGATGCTCATCCCAAATTCCCTTCCGCTGTCATTTTGGGCGCGGAGGATTTCGCGCCCTTAAGACGTGGTGTTCTTGATCTCCGTGGACAGACCCCGAAAATTGTTCTGGACGCCCTTGAAATTGAAGATGGAATCCAACAACTTTGTGACACCTACTTCGTAAGCATTCACAGGTGGCTTCCGATACTCAGCAAGAAACGCCTCACACAAAACCTACATGATTCTCCGATAGAAGTCAACCCCGTCGTTGCCTTGCTCTTGATATGCATGAAAGCGGTCATGCAGCGTCCTGAAGGCGATAATCTTCAAACACCACTCTATCGGATTGCCAAAGACTTTCTTTCGTACACGGAGGACTCTGGGTCAATATCCCTCCCAATTTTGCAGGCAGCTATCCTGGTTTCGGTCTATGAGATATCACACGGCATTCATCCCGCTGGCTTTCTGAGTGTCAGCCACACTTGTCAACTTGGGACCATCATGGGACTTCATAACCGACAGCACGCCATGCGACTTTTTAAAGAATCTGATACGTGGACTTTACGTGAGGAGGAACGGAGAACTTGGTGGGCGGTTCTACTTCTCGATCGGTGAGTAGAGTCGGGATCGAACGTTCTTTCACTGACAGATTCAGATACGTTCACTCGGGGACCAATGGGTTTCCCTTGTTCACATGCGAACCACTTCAAAGTGACCTGCTGCCATGTGATGCTGAAAGTTGGGATGAAGGTCTCATAGGATCGAATGAACCTCTCTATGCTTCTAACCCCGTTGCATCAGTCCCCGGAGACCAGTTTGCCACAGTCTGTCGAGCAGCCCATATCCTAGGACGTGTCCTTCGGCATAGAGATGACTATATACTGGGGGTTTCCGACAAACTTTTGGAGGCTGGTCAGCTTCACAGAGCTCTACTCTCTTTCGAGGCAAGTTTCATTGATCACACACCTACCGATGGATCCAAGCAAAGTCATCTCTCTCGCGCCATCTGTTACAGTGCTCGACTTATCCTTTTCGGAATTTACGCGTGTAACGAGCGATATGGTGATTACAGATTGGGTCAGGAGACCGACATGCAGAAGACTGCACTTGGAGGACTGGCAACCGTGACGCTCGCCGTCTCTAAAATGGCGCAACAACTTCAACATGACATATCTGTGAACCTGGAGGCCGTCAGCCCTTTATCGCTTCATTGTATATATCTGGCTCTCGGCGAGTGTGCCTGGTTCGTTCGAGAGGACAGAAGTGATGAAATGAAAGAGGCAATGGATCTTCTTTTGTATGTTTTGAGATCTGTAGGACCGAGATGGAGAGTATGCGGTAAGTATCTGATCCGGGGGTGTGGACTTTGACTGATATCTAGCAGATGAATATCTCAGACTTTTTGAAGCCGGGGATGGATCCGATTGATTCGCTCCCCATCCTTAGTCCCGCAGGACTGGACCCCAATCTTGTTTCTTGATCCACTCCTGAACAGTACCCAGCTGCACTTGAACGTCGAGCTACAATAGTCAATATTGAAACTCCACCGATTCGAGGTCGAACTTACGTCTTTGGGGTGAATAACAGAAGAATCATCTCTCGCTTCATAACCAAATTCGACAGCATACAACATTGTATCCGATAACTCCTCCCTCAGTTCTTCTGGTACCGCTTCCCATGGATCATCGGCGGGGAGAGCGACAGTCTTTGCTCGGACTCCTAACGTCTCTGACCAGACGTGATAAAATTCATCCAACGTCATCCACTCGCGGTATGCAATGAGATTCTTGCCGGGTTCCGTTGCGAGAAGAGCTTTGGTAAGTGGGCCAGTATCTTCCTCCGCCGCGATCAAAGGGAGTTTCACGTCTGGCCGCATTTTACTGGCAAAGACGTACACTCCGTTTTCATCCTCTCTTTGTCAGTCACGTACCGATACAGCGTGATCGAATTCATTTACCTTGGTGGGCTTCAAAAATGAGAAGGTCCAGATATTCGACAGATAGTATCCGATTTGAATGATACTAGTCTTTTTCCACAGTTCTGGATACTTCAAACGGCCATACTCAACTGCTTCTGCCTTACTGTCGAGATGGTAGACGTGGCTGTACTTGCCACCGGACCATTTCTTCGCGTACGAAAGACTCGAAAAGATCATTCTCTGGAGACCGTCGGTTTTGGCTGCCGCATCGAATACATTCTTACCTTGTTCGAGCTCGTGTTCATATGACCAAACGTTCATTGCTTGACCTGGGGCCCGCTTCGTTTGATTTGCTGGATCCTTATATGCTGCCCAGAAGTCCGTCACGCTGAAGATAGCATATGCGCCTTTGAAAGCCGTCATCAAGGACGATGGATCATCGAGGTTGGCCGATATTACTTTGACTCCTTTGGATTTGAGAATCTCAGCTTTCGAACTGTTTACGTTGCGGGTGATGCCGCGAATTGTCCATTCCGGATCATTTTGAAAAGTATTGATAATGGATCCGCCCTGAGTGCCCGTGGCACCGAGAACTACCAAGAGTTTGGGAGACATCTTGGTATTGAAACTGGTCTGAGATGAAGAACTTTTGGAATGTTTGTGTCGAGACGACTGCTTCGAAAGATCCCCCCTTTATATCTCCGCAGCCAACTTTACCTTTTCGTTTGTTGATTGCTAAGCACGCTTTGTCCTCGCATTCTGTTCAACCTCATACCAAATTTCTGCCTCAAAGTTGTTCGCGTCTAATACGCTGCATCAAGTGAAAAGTGGAGGCATGCGGAACAATTGTATAGCTGGTTTCAGAAAGTCGGAAGGGCCAGAAAGGTCCTAAAATGCAACATTACCAAGCTTATTCGCGGCAAATCCGGCATGGAGGGTGGATACTCTTCTCTGGTCAATGATCATCATGAGCGGACTGAGCGGACCAGTCCGTCGCTGTCCGCTCCCAAATAAGCTTGGGTATTTCCGTGCCCAAACAACCCAGAGGACTGTAGATTTCCTCACCTACTCAGACTCGCAGTACATGCAGACACGGAGATAGGACAACAAGCTTTTTTTCTGTCTGGAAGTTACACAAATCCCTTCCGCCTTTCTGCGCTCCTGTACATTCAATGAGGAAAGTGCTACTACGATACATGCGCTCAGACGCAAAATATGCTTTTGGGGAGCGTCGACAGCGGGGAAATAACATTTGATAAACCAGAATTTTAACGTGTTAAAAGAGACATGGACATCATCAATGCGGGTCAATGGTGTTGCGGTGGCCTCCAATGCGATTTAAGTGAGAGAATCTGCTGCTCAAGAATGCAAGAGTGCCAAAAAGCTGAAGCATTCGACTTTCTTCAACACTCGCCAAAATTTATCTTCCCAATCGATACCTTCAAGCTCCTCACCGATGCCTGATCCTTTTGCTCCCTACCTCGCTCAACACGCCAACCCCTCTGGTCCGGGTGACCACCGTCCTACAGCTCTCCAAATTATTAAAGATGACGATGCCTGGCTTGACAAAGTCGCTCTTGTCACTGGCGGCACCTCAGGAATTGGTATTGAGACTGTGAGGGCACTCCATGCCACCGGTGCCAATACCTTCTTCACAGCACGGGATGAGAAAAAGGCTGATGCCGTAATCAAGGATGTCAAATCCACAAGCCCTGGGAAGGGATCTGTCCAAGTCATCAAGATGAGTATGGATTCCTTGGAGTCAGTCAAAGCCGCGGCCAAAAAGTTCTTGGGAGAGAGTGGAGGGAAGTTGAATATCTTAGTCAATAATGCAGGTAAGCATTGGTTGTGTGTATTTGCTCCAAAGGGAACGTCACAGCTAACTAGATATGCGTCAAGGCATCATGGCAACTCCCGAGAGTAAAACCGTCGATGGGTTCGAAAGACAATTCGGAGTCAATCACCTCGCACACTTTGCTCTAACAGGACTGCTTCTCCCGGCTCTTATCTCCAGCAGTAGACCCGATTTTAATTCCCGGGTTGTCAGCGTCTCGTCTTCATCTCATCGGTACAGTGGCATTCACTGGGACAATGTCAACTTGATGGGCTGTTACGACCCATACGTGGCGTATGGCCAATCCAAGACCGCCAATATCTGGAAGGCCAACTACATTGACCGGGTCTATGGTCCCAAAGGAGTCCATGCACTCAGTCTACATCCCGGAGGCATCTGGACTGGATTGCAGCAGTATGCGAGACCAGAGCAATTGGCTCAGTGGAAGGCAGATCCAGAGGTCACTGGGGTGATGAAGAGTCCGGAGCAGGGCGCCGCGACGTCTATCTGGGCCGCTGTAGCCCCAGTTTGGGAAGGGAAAGGTGGAAAATATCTGGCGGATTGTCGAATTGCACCGCCCGCGAAGAATCTGACTTCCACAATGGATGATGGCGTGGGACCTAGTGCGTATCATAGGGAAGGAGAGGATCGATTATGGGAGTTGAGCCAAAAAACTGACCGGTGTCAAATCGCGGTCGGGTTAGAATCCTTGGTCTCGATGTCGACCTGGCCATCGATAGTCGGGGTCAACGGGAATATTCTTCCTCAAATGATTCATGTATGTCGGTGGAACGCGTCCGACTCTCTCTGTCCGAGCTGTCACAGGAATTGAGTGCTCTGCATTGTATATCTTGAACAAATCTTCAATCGCACTAGCCCATTTTACTAGCTTCTCTTCCTGCCATGCTGAATGCTGCAGTGTCAGTGGTAGTGGCATGCCATCTGGGTCAAGGCCGATCGGGATGGTCATAACGGGATATCCGGCTTGAGCGGCGATTTGAATTCCTCCGGCTTTAACGTCGCAAAAGAGTAGAGCGTCGAGAAGTTCTTCCGCATCGGCAGAACCGGATCTCCGATGTTCAGGAGGGCATCGCAAGGCGGCATCGATGCCATTCTCTCGACACTGTGATTGAATGTGTTTCAATGCCGCGTAGTAGGTTTTGTCCTTGATGCCTTTGGTCTCGATACATTTGCGGAACAAACGTTGTCCGTCGGGGAACGCCGGGAGATCGCCAGCATGTCCCCCCTCGGAGCCACGGTTTTCGTCATTGAAGCGCACGACGTCTTCCAGAGTCTTGATCGGGGTGTTTTTCAATTTGCTCAGGTATTTGTTCATCAAGTAGTATGTTTGCACTTTACTGACAGTGATCTCGGAGATTTCGGGTCTAGTATCGCCAAATCGTTCCCTACATTTTAAAGAAAAAGAATAATAAAATTAGTGGGCCAAGGTCAGAGTGACTCACGCGAACTACATGTGCAGCAGCTGTAAAAACTTACCAATTCCAGATTCCATCCTCGTTCAACCTTTCCTCGGCGCAGGGCATGTCGACGGGAACTATCTCAGCGCCCGCTTCCTCGATGAGTCGCAACACTTTCTCCGCGACATACCTCTGAGGGAAGGGAGCTACGTCCCAGAATCGCTTCATGGGCAGTCCGAATCTCGCACCTTTGAGGGCGTGCCGGTCGGTAAGAAAGCAGCAGTAACTCTTGGGTTGTCGTCTCTCGGGTTGTGTGGAGAATTTGTCGTCGGGATCCGGTCCAGCAACGACATCTAGCGCTCGAGCAACATCGGCGACGCATCGACCGTAATGACCTATCGAGTCCTGGGTTTCCGAGATCGGAATGATTCCTCCTCGAGATGTCAGGCCGACCGTGGGTTTGATCGCGACCACTCCGTTCACCATGCCGGGACTTATGACGCTGCAATCTGTCTCGGTTCCAAACGCGAGAGGGACTATGTTTGCTGATACGGCTACAGCACTGCCGGAGCTACTGCCATCTGACAACCAAGTTAGTATTACTCGATCAAACTTTGAATCAACAGGGCTACGAACTTGGAGAGCGATTCAACAGATATGGATTCCGACATTGTCCACCGCGTGCGGAATAGCCTAGAGAGTAGATGCTACTCCTCATACCTGCCCATTCGTCTAGATTGGTCTTGCCTAGAATGATGGCACCAGCTTTTCGCAAGAGGCCAACGATGTGCGCATCTTTGGGAACAATACATCCAAGCAACACCCAAGAGCCTCCTGTCGTTTGCATCTTGTCGGCGGTGGCCATATTCTGGACAAGATTAGAATCTAGTCCGATGATTTTAAGAATGGGGAAAAAAGGGGGCGGGAGGGAAACTACATACGTCCTTGACGAGAACAGGGATGCCGTGAAGAGGGCTTCTAATTTTTCCGGATTCCCTCTCTTCGTCTAACTGTTGAGCGTGGTCGATGGCGTCTGGGTTTGTCTCGATGATGCATTCAAGATATGGATTGATCTGGTCAATTTCTGTTAATATTTGAAGGTTTCTCGCCAATGAGGGGCGTTGGTTTGTTGTCACCTTTTGAACTCTGGCCAAGCAGAACTTCACGTATTCAACTGACGACAGGGCTCCAGAGGATAAGAGATGCTGCAATTCATCCACAGAGACTTCGTATAGGTCATGCCCGTTGCAAGTTGGTAGTCGAAATATTTCAGGGAGCTCTTTTTGCGACATGCCCAACGGTTCAGGGATTACCACGAAGTCGTCGTCTTCTGGACGTGTTGTGGTTGGAAGTTGGTTCTTTGATTGAGACGTGAACATCCTTGATGTTGAAGAAATGCTGAAGCAATGAGACGAGTGAAGTATGTGCAAACAACTGTAAAAGGGGGAGGAGAAGAAGTTGAATTTGACTGATTGATTGATTGGTGGGTCGGAGAACGAGTACAGACAAGGTTAAGTGTGGGCTGCGGAGTTGTCCCACCCGGCGGGGGAACCCGACGTAGGGGCCAAGGGGGTTGCTAACGTAGCGGTGGAGAATGCCTATCTATCCGCAGGGCTGGCCGTCATGTGGTATCACGTGAGGGCATCACGCGCCCTGGCTACCACATCTCATGGAGAATGCAGTTCAGTGTGTCTTCCATAGCCACTCCTCGTCATGACTGACGCGTCCCGAACCATTTTCATTAATACAAATCACATGAGCAATTTGTCGTTGCATGGTAAAAAGAGCGCCGTGAATCATGATAAACCCTCTTCCATCGTCTCGGCCAACAATATTGCCTCTTCCCAACTGTCTTGCATCCCTTTGGCATATATCCGATCGAGATAATAGAATTTTAATAGGAGAGCCCGCGCTTCACTCCAGTCTTTCAATCTGAGCATTCTCGACACCCGGGCCAGGTTCAACACAAACCAAGGCCTTTCTTTTTGTCCTGCCGAGATGAATGCGCCTAAAAGTAAAATCCACGTCAATAGCTCGAAATGAGGGCCCCAGAGCCCTTTCAAGTCCGAGGCTTGTAGCGCCGTCTTCAGTTGACCGGTCAATGTTCTGTTCAGAGCCGAGTCGGGCTGTGAGAGCTGATAATTGCAGAACCAGAAGATCAACAGTGCCAAACGACATGCCTCCTCCTTGTCACTGGCCGGGGCTCGTGGTTCGAACGGGGCAGACAAGACGGCGTACCGAAACTGGTAGCTTTTCGAGTTGATGTAATCCAGTTCCGTCGCCACAGGTTGAAGCTGCTTCTCGTGGTAATATTCTCGGTATTGAACCACGTCTGTCATGTCTCGGAATGCCTGCGATATTCTCCAATCCAACACAGTATCAATGTCCGCCGTCAAAAGACCCGTTCCCATCTGTTTCAAGTCTGGACTGATATTCTGTCTTATTTCCTCCACTAAATTGTTCGGTAAACCGGCCAAGGAAGAGGTGGGGGGGGCTGACGGGAGACTTCTCGTCATTGCTGCACACATGTAGGACGACCTGATCAAAGGATGGTTAGAAATTTGAATGACGACAAATTCTATGGCAGGTCACTCTTACGATAATATGAGCTCCGTGGCGTGAGAGGGGATCCCATGATATCCTCCACGCCAAGCGATGAGCTTTTGAATCCCGCTGATATGCGCAAATATCTCCTTTTGATTTCCGGTGATGACCTGCACATAACTTTGAGTATTGCGAATGCACTGTAATCAAGGGCTTGCATACCTCGATGGAGAGCAAACACATCATGGCAAATATCGTAGATGCTTTGATCGCCGTCTCGATAGATCTCATGCTCTCATTGGCCAACTTGATCGCATTCAATTTGTACGAAACAAAATCCGGGACGGTTCGATTTTCGAGATCTGCTTCCGTGAATGTTGTTTCTTGTGCTCCACTCTTCAGTTCTCCTGCTCGAGCACTGCGCTCGGCCGAGGAAATGGCCAGCAAAGAGTACAGAACCAGTGGTTCTTGAGCAGCGACTTGAAAAGCCCATCGAGTTTGAACTTCGGCTTGTGCTCGTGTCGGAAACACGCTGGTAATCATTACATCGGAGACTGTGAACTGTTAAACTCGAATAAGAAAACGACGCCAAAAACGGAAAAAAGGGCGAGGGAGAGAGAGGCGCAATCCCCAAACTGACTTACAATGGCGTAACACTGCATTCATGCTCGGAGTGATCGTCACTGAACTGACATTGAATGGATCGAGAACGGTGCTTCTGAGGTTCGAGTTTGGAGGTCCTTGAATCGCATGGCCAACATTTCCAGCATCTAGTCGTTGCAATATCTGTGTGAGCATGGATCTCACCGAATTGTTTTCGACTAGAGATCGATCATCTTCCTGTTGAGCATTGATGGCTTGACGGACTTCGGGAGCTCGAACGGTACTGTAATGTCTCAATCGATCCAGTTGGTCCTGGTCGACTCCTGGAGATCGTGAAGGAGGAGATGGTGGTAGAGGGTTACTTTCTTGACTAGCTACCGGTTGTTGGATTTCGATCTGTCGCGGCTGGAGCGGTATTTCTCGGCGATAACGACTTATATTCGCTGTTTTAGAGATTTTGGCTCTTTGCGCAGCTGCAGCAGCTTGTCGTCGATTTCTATGAGCTGTCTGTTGAATATGCGCGTTGATTGCTCGTTGGTCAGAACGTGGTCTCTGTCCAGAGGACGATGAATCGACAAACAGGAACCGATGGCCTGAGTCAGCTATCGAAGTTCCGGCGCCCTCCTGATCAAGCCTTCGGCATTTGTTCGTCGATTGGGGCGAACTGCTTTGGGTGTCTTTGTCCCCTCTGACTGATCTTGGATCTTTGCCAGTCCTGTTTGCGATGTTGCCGCGTTCATCCATTCTCAAATAGGCAAAGGCAAAGGCAATGGCAACCGTGGGTTGCAATGTCGATGCAAAGATGAATCATGGAGTTGGAAGGGAGAGGCTGCTCCGCAGGGAAAGCATCCCCTTCTCGCTTATTTTCCGCACCTCGAGCGAGTCGACGGCAAAAGAAGGAAAGAGAAGTGCGCGCTATGCATTGATTTCTTGATAGAAACCAGGAGCTCCTAAGAATCTCTTGCCGCCACTAGACCGTGTTCGGGGTTTGCCCGACAACCAACTACCCCGTCTTCTCCCTTTGCCCTAATTTATCATTTGCCTCGAACCGAGCTTGAACTTGTCAGCAGTTTGGGAAAAAGGGAGAAGAGGAGGGGGGCCGAGAGTTTTGATTGGTATTGACGCCCCGTTTGTCAGCGCTACGGGATTTGGTTTTCCAGCGCTTCACCCTAAACTTGATGGGCGCATGAGAGTTTTGTTGTCGCTTCATTCGCTAGGACTCTGAACTCTTTTGGGAAAATGCTTGCTGTCCAATGATAAATCCCGGAACCAAAAATTTGTGCAACTCGGCCCTCCATGCAGCTTCCTTTGTGAGACTTATCATGACGAATGACATAAAGCCGCAAGGATGACGAGCATTCGGTTTCATAAGGGGGTATGTATGGCCTCGACGCCGCACTGTTTCTTTTCTCTCTCACTCGTTGTCATGGAACCTTCGACTGCGCTTTCCGTGCTTCCTTCAAACATAAAAGACCGCCCCTCTCTTTATATTTTACTCGATCAAAATGACTCTCGTTCTCGCCCAAACTTCCGAACTGGAGTACGTTCCGAAATATCTTTTCGTTTCCGGCGATGCGCAGGGGGCTTCATACAAAAGTCGCCATGTCATGAAAGAGTGTAAGTCGATCCCTCGGGCCCGGTGGATCATGTTGTCCGTTGACATATTTCCAGTCCTGCGCAAACGAGATACCATTCGTCGTCAAAAACAATTGGCTGCGAGATCTCAAAGTCGTGTCCTTCCCTGGCTTCGTCGTGAAGATATGGAACAATCAAATCCCGAAGACAGTGGCTCTCCAGAATCTTCGGACTCTTCAACGGTAACAACGCCACAACAGTCACAGTGGACCAGGGAGAGTCAGTCTCCTTCTTTCGAACATCAATTCTCCCACCGGTATCGTGAACTTGTGGACTATTGTGAGTCAATTTCGTCGCCGTCGATTGAACAAAGACCTAACGTTTTCAGTGCATGGTGTTGTCATATGTCGATTGTATGAGACCGATCAATCCAAAAACATCTCGTCACCTGCAACATTGATGGCCAAACATCTTTTGAAACGTCCTTTACCTGCTCATATTTTTCTTTCCATTTTGAGTCTCAATCGGGATATCGAACTAGGTCAATCGCCAACCTCTGAGACCATTGGTTTGGTTCTGGGAGGAATTCGATTGCTAAAACAACAAATTCAAAATCCAAATGATGATAGTATAGCTGCCGTCATCAGTCTTTGGATATATGAGGTGACATTGGCAATGGATGTTGTCCAAAGAATGTCGAGACATGATCAAATCTTAGTGTCAAGCAATATTCAAACTCACGTTGACGGACTTCGACGATCCCTAAAATGTCTTGGTGGTCCTCGAAATCTTTCGGCGGAAACATTGTGGTTACTTGCTTGGTAAGTAGCCTTTGTTGGCTGTGTGACATATGCTGATCCTCTTTTTTTTTCCTCCTTTCTTAGGTGTGCTTGTACACTGCCGGGATATTCTCCAATTGACACAAGAATGATGGAGCCTAGTATGACAGCAACTGCATCACACTGTTGTCTCACCCGTCTGTTCGATACCCTGGCGAAGATTCAGAGACTTTCTTCGTCATCCGATTTTCAACCTCTTATTCTCCATGAACAATCATTCGTCCCCATGAGAAAAGCCTTGTATCGTTTGAATGCAAGACGTGATTCCATCCAAGATCCCACAACGCCAATGAGAAGACTGGTGAAATCAACCTCTTTGGTTTCAATTTTGCTTTTCATATTCGATTTGCTCTTGAAAGGAGAACCCAACGAACGAGGAAACGAATTGATGAAAGCTCAAAACAGACTTATTGATCATGACATCGACACGGAGGGATCTTTTGAAAAAGCCTGGCAAGTTCTTATGACTGAAACACAACTTCAACTTCATTCAAGAACTTGGCCAATTGTGGAGATGGTGAATGTCATCAAACATTTGAATGTCACCACTATTGATGCATTATCTCAATTGTTGATGGGGATTCTATTGCCGGAAACTTGTGAAAATATTGAAGATCTCAGATATGAGAAAGTCTTGTTCCTGATACATTTCGAGCTGGATGGTTTGGCAGATCTTTCGCGAGTTGCCTGATAAAATCAAAATATTGAATTGTGGATGTAAACAGAGTGATTGGGATGAGAAGCATCGATTGCGTAAGTGATATAGATCAAGGAAAGCAGGACGACAAGGCTGCGGTGGCCCCTGATAGGGGAAAATAGGTACACCGTGTTCTTGGCAATGAAATTTTCTCCAATGGATCATTGTAACCACCCACGGCACCATCGTTCAACATTTGATGAATTCTGATCTTTTTTTTCTTTTGGGAGGGGGGACTTGCTAACGTGTGCTCCCCCCTTAATCCCACCGGCGTCCGCATTAATGCCACAGACTTTGATGAAATGTCCTTTCCAAACCATTTGTGCCGCTCTTCTCACGAAAAAGAAGCAGAGCGCTCGGGTCATTCTTGTCTGGACATCTCTCCGTGTGGATTCTCATCTGTGCGAATATCAACTGCCGAGCTCGTCTCATTTTCTTGGACACCTCCTCTGAAATAGCTACCATATTTGAATGGGGCAGAAAGATGGGGGGAGAATATATTCGAGTCCGCCTACGTTTGGTGAAATCCTACCAGACTCTCTGCATTGCCAATGCAAATGCTGGTAAGATCATTGGGCCCTTGGGCACTTGAATCTGCGCCGAAACACTCCCCATATGATCGACACAGAGCCATCTCTCTGCCGAAGCTCCATCAATTTGAACGAAGATTGGAGTTGCAATGTGAGGTTCCGACCAATCCTGTACCAAACTGAATCCCCACAGAATAACCCCCAAGTTCCCCGCATGGCCCAAACTCCCCCGCAGATGCAAAGGATATAGTGTCTCTCGTGGATTGAAATGAGCTCCACGAATATTTGATCGAGCTAACAATGTTCCTGGAAAACACCAAAAAAAAAAAAAATGTGGCACGCAAAGTGACCCCCTTGTCGATCACGGCAGTTGGTTCGAAACAAAGTGCCGTCCTACATCCTGAGTCTCATATATTTTTCCTGGGTGCCTTTCCTTCTCTCCTAAATAGGGTCGAAGAAGCAAGCACCTTTGACGTCCAGATTCAATCTAATCCGGCTTGTGTGCTACGAATAGATCCTTCAAGATGGCGACGGAAATTATGAGTCCTCAATCCGATACCGAGAAACAAATCCAAGGCACGGTCATTCACCTCGAGGATGCCCTGGCTACTCTCAACATTGATCCGAAGGATGCAGATGAAGCATTTGAATTCCTCAGAGATCATCCCAATGCTGATTCCGTCACGCAAGAAGCCATGGCTATTCTGACGGATGATGAAAAAAGGAAGAAACTGTTGCAAAAAATTGATTGGGCTATACTTCCGTGCATGATAGGCACCTATTTCCTTCAATTCTTGGACAAAACTACCATTGGATATACTGCAGTGATGGGTTTGCGAGAGGATACTCATCTCCAAGGTCAAGAATATTCCAATGTCGCAATGATCTTCTACGTCGCATATGCGGCAGCAGAATTTCCAACTCAATATATCTCACAACGAATCTCGAGACTTGGCAAATATCTTGGTGTCAACATTATGCTATGGGGAGTAGCCTTAGGCGCTCACGCAGCATGTCAGAATTATGCTGGGTTGATGGTTTGTCGTGCAATTCTAGGAGTTTTCGAGAGTTGCGTAACGCCTACTCTCGTCTTGGTCATCAGTATGTGGTATAAGAAATCTGAGCAAGGGCGCAGAATATCTTATGTCTACGTCTGCAACAGGTCTGTTTACTGCCCCTCCCTTTTTCGTTTCTTTAGGGTACTCACCAGGATCATCATCATCATCATCATCTGGCAAGGCAAGACTGACCCTTGAATAGTTTGACGTCCATCTTTGCTGGTCTCATATCTTATGGCATATCATTTTCGAAGAATACCCACTTTGCAAGCTGGAGGATTTTTCTTCTTACCATTGGTTTGGTGACTGTTGTCTGTGGTCTGATTGTGTTCATGTTGCTGCCAGATTCTCCTGTCAAAACTCGACGTTTCACCGATGCTGAAAAAGTTGCCACTCTCTTACGAGTCAAAGACAATCAATCAGGAACTCAAAATGCCAAAATCAAGAAGGATCAATTGCTTTTGGTATTCAAAGATCCTGGAGTTTGGTTAGTGGCATTGAGTGTTTTGATGTTGAGTGTTCCAACTTCAATTCCAAACTTTTCCAGTATCCTTTTGACCACTTTTGGATATACTCCACGGCAAGCGGTGAGTCACTGGCCAGTCTTATTCGATTAGGCTGACCATTTCAGTTGGTTCTCAATATCCCAGGTGGTGTTGTTGGAGCTATTGCAACGATCATCACTGGATATCTCAGTGATCGATGGAATGATCGAAGTTTGGTAATGATCATTAGTATCCTTCCCACGATTGCGGCATTTGCTATGATGATTGGACTTGATCCTGGTGGTGTTCCAAAGAGTAAAGGTGCCCTTCTATTTGCTCTTTATCTCTGCAACTCATTTACGGCGGTGAGTCCCGGCCCCAAACATTTCCCTCCTCCCCCAACCTAAACCAAAGGCCTTCGTCGTCATTCAGACTAACATTTGTAGGCTTTTATGCTTCTATTGGTCTGGAATGCTTCCAATCTCGGGGGTCATACCAAAAAGGTCACCGTTAATGCAATGACTCTTGCTCTCTACTGTGCAGGAAATATCGCCGGTACCGAAGCTTTTCGTGCCGAAGAAGCTCCAGGATATATCAGTGGAAAAGCAGCCATCATGTCTACCTTGTCGGTTCAAGTTTTTGTTTGTCTGGCTTTGAGATTTCGAAATGATCGTCTCAACAAGAAAAATCGAGAAAAACTTGCAACCATGACTGAAGACGAGAAGGAAAAGCTTCGACAACAACTTGCCTATGCTGACAAGACCGATCGAGAAAATCCATTTTTCCGGTATACTCATTGATTACACGAAATCTCGAGTTGTATTGTAAGGGGGTTGCTACGAACATGGATTGTGTAAGGAGGCATGCCATACCACGAGGTCCGAGACGAGCATAACAGAGTGTGCAGCCAGACAAGAATGAAGGAGGAGAAGAAGAGACAATATGCAACAGAGGCAGGCACAAGTTAACAACGAGTTTTGAGTCCATTAAGTCTTTTTGTCTTACAAGGTTCATGTGGTCTACACAGAGGAATCCAGGGAGTCCACCTTTGTGTGTGGTTGCTCAGCGATCCTGACACCGACATTCTCCTTGCTTGATAGGCACTCAAGTGTTAAACCGTTCATCACCTTTACAATACCTTCAAGCAGTCATGTATGAAGCAATGCAGCTGTACCCAGTCGTCGGACAGATGCTGCCCCGTGTGTTTCCAAATGAAGGTCTCAATTTTGGCAGTTGCCTGATCCCTGCTGACGTAGGTGTCATCTTTGCGTGTTGCGGCTAGTCTGATGGAGGATTCAGACCGTGGCCGTGACCGCTTCTTCCGTGCTAGGATGTTCAACGAAGATTTTGGGTCCAGACGCAGAGAGCTTTCGACCTGAGATATGGATTGAAGACAACAAAGGTGAACTGCGTAAGTGCAACTGCCCACAAATGCTCTGTTCTGATCGCGCAAAATAAATCTTCTGGCTTCCCTTTTGAGGCAGGGTCGAGGACTAAACCATACGTTTGAGTAGGATTGAGATGTCCCAGGTGGGAGAATCGAGCAAGAGCTCTTGCTTGTGTCAAGACTATGCACATCATTCTAATACATTACTCGATATCATAGCTCTTGCTCGCGCTCTTCAATACTTCGAGCTTGACCTCGCAGATTCGAATGCTGAATGGAATGTAAAGTGCTTGTTAGTTCAAGTCTCCCACATGAGCAGAATTGAACAGCCGGCATGCAACGGCTTCTTCATACTCAAATTGGAGACAATCTTGTGCTACGACAGGTGCCTTGAGTTGATTGGTCGATGGGGCAAAGGACGGCGGAAGCGTAAGAGGAGATGGCCAGACCTTTAACTTCGTAGAGCAGAGCTCGACTTTAGTTGAAGTTCATGTTGCGAAAAGTAGCGATGCATATCTCTCGCTTTGCAATGTCCTTTCTTCTGAATATTCCGCTGGGGTTGTTGTAATTTGTACATTCAAGAACCTATGGGCATTCTCAACCCTCTGTCTGGGAACCCGTTTCAGCGCTTTTGGTCCATCAAGATATCATCCAGCATGCAAACGTACGAATACGTTATTGCCTTTGTTTACACACGTCAACCGAAATGACACATACAATTGCGCGTACTCTTGCTGCGTACAGTATCTTCCTCCCCCAGATGTTTGTTATGGGACTCAGGAATAGTTCGGATGCAATGAGTCGTATGGCCTAGGCCTTGATTGGTTAAGGGAAGGTCCTGGATCTCAAATGCCTATAAATATAATGAACACTTTGTACCAAGTTTCGGTTGCGGTAAATCCCGCATCTGGTGGAACTGGTCTCACCATTGGCATCAATCTACTGTGACCCTGATGTCTTGATCATCCCGTGTGATCGAACAAAATGCTGCGTCATGAGTTCATGTGAAAATATTCGGGATCGGCGAGAGTTTGGAAAAGATTAAATGTATGGCCCAATCCGACCAAGCAGTTTACTTGCTCATGATACCATTCAAGAGACGAATAAGGGAACATAGTGGACAGGGGATTGAAAATGCCGCACGCTTGAATGAGGACAGAAATTGAATGATTCTAGCCTTAAACGATGGCGTTCTGCATTGGTCGAAATGATACTTGTACATATTACGATGTTATGTTGTTGCCATGTTTGGGAATACTGTTATTTGACCAGAACACGATTTCCTCATTTCCCCTGTCAATGATGTCTTTTCAAATCTCACTGCTATAATGTCTTCTCATATCCATTGCCTAACACCGAGATTATCTCCGCTCCTTTCTCTGGCCGGTTTCTCCGCTCCAGTATCTGACCCGCGGAAACCACACATTTTCAAGCTCATGGAGTCCAATTTTCGAACCCCGCCAGCGAGGAATTGTAGAGCCAAAGTTTGTCTGATGACCAGCGACTGGCGACCGGCGTGATTCAGCAATTGTTTTCAGGTTAAAGTGTTTTGCGTAGGAGCAGAACTTTTTGTTTGTCTCCTAACTCCGAGATTGCGTTTGATTGTTTGAAATTCGAGGCCATGGAGTCGGAAAGATGCGAAATGATCGAACCGTGCACAGGAACAGGAGCCGGGCTCTTCTAGGGAAACTAGGTCTTTTCTTGTCGGATGATGTGCCCGTGTAGTTGCTATTGTCGAGGATCGGCTCGCTAGAAGGCCTCCAAAGAATGCACAAAAGAGTACCTATCTATCTGTATAGGTGCAGGGCGACATCAACTTCAACGCTGAGGAAGTTGAATAGAGGTATCCTGTGCAAACTCATGCCATGTACAATAATCCCTCCTTGAGGCGGCTTTGCACCCCGTGAGAGTTATAGAACACATCCAGGCCCTGAAACTAGAGTTCTGTTTTCTCCTTGTCATGCTGTGGCCAGTTCTTCCTTGTTCTTCGCGACAATCGGTGATTCATCTGGACCGTGCTCGAGTGATGACTTACTTATCACGCTACTTGAACTTGAACTTGAGTTCTGCGCGTCGATGGGACCTTGATGTCGCTCCTTCTTTTCTTCATCGTTGAATTTTGGTGGAGTAGGAGCAAATCTACTTCGTTGTCGAATCGGTTCTCCATACTTGTAGAAAACGAAAGGAATGGGGGCCAGAAGAACGGCAATACCCCCAATCAGTGATCCTCCTCCGCCGACTCCTAAAGCATCGAACATGTATTGTGTGAAGAGAGGAGCAGCTGCACCACACGCTGATCGACAAATCGTATTTGCTGCCATAGCACTCGCCGTGTACATTAGGTAGGTATCGGTGAGATAATTGAGGTAGGCAACGAAGATGAGGAGGATCGAAGTGGCCAAAAAAGTGCCTGCCAGTGTTGGTACAAACCAATGGACACTGTTAAATTCTGCGGTCCATGCGAACCAGAACATCGTGGCAGCAAACAAGATACCTCCGAGCATGGCCACGGGTAATCGATCCTCCGGTTTGCGAGGTAGACCGGCCAGCATCTTCTTCCGGTCACCGACCGAGACCCAGAAGATGATGGCTCCCCCTATGACTGCTCCAACTACTGTTCCGATCAATGGGAGCTCGCCCACTCCCGAATTCCAGCCTCGTTTTTGTTGGAAAACGATGGGGTAAATGGTGAAGAGCATGTAGAGGAGTAGATATACAACGGAAACGTAGATGGCAATGAGAAGTGAAATGGTGTCGAACAAAATTTGCCATGGTCGAATCAATGCGACCCTGAAGATATCGGGCAGATTTCGTCCTTCTGCCTCGGCTGGTGATTGAATAGCTTGGTATTGTGGCACTCCTGTCGCTCGGATTCTTCTAGCCTTGTTGATCAGAACTGTCGGGGGGTGGGTTTCCGGAAGGGTGAACATGAGCAGCTCGGTCACTCCGCCGAGCCACAGTAAAACGTAGAAATTCCATCTCCAATTTTCCTTCAGTTGTAGAAATCCTGACACCACCGGTCCTAAGGCAGGTCCGATAAAGGTGAACGCACTGAATACCGCCATTGCATTTCCTCTCTCGATTGGACCCCATAGATCTGCCAAAACCCCCGGTGCATTGGTCAAGGGTGCACTGACAAAAGTGCCGGTCAAAAGCCGTCCAATGAGTAATGAAGCAAAGTTGGGGGCAAAGGCGCAGAGGAAGTTGAAGGCCAGATAGCAGCTGAATGTCGTGTAAAATACCCATCGTCTACCATAGAATTCGGAGAGAGGAGCGAAAATAAGAGGTCCTGCACAATATCCTAACAGGAACAAAGTAATGACCAGACCAGCTACCTCTTCAGAAACATGAAAATGTTCTGCAATGCCGACTGTAGATCCTGAAGGACTAGACGAAGCGAAAGTAGCATTGACGACGAGGGAAATAGCTACCATCGTGCAATACCATCGTCGGGCCATCGACCATTCTTTTGGATTTTCGATGTCCCCAGGTGCAAAATCGAGATGGCCATTTTCGTTCAAATACGGTTCAATATTGGGATCGATCTTTTTGGATCGGTAGGGTTTTGCAACAGGACGAGACAAAATTCGTTCAATGGCGTCCATTTTGCTCGAAAGGGGAAGAGATGGAAAATTATTCGAGTGGTGACCATAGACATAGACATTCTTGACGTAGGAAACTCGACACTTAGAAAAAAAGGTCCAAGGCCATTTAGTCCGCATGTGTGGATGATTGGCAATTCGTTGCTCGGGTATCCGGCATACCGTCACATGCACCAAACACCAATCTGTTTTGTTATGTAGTTCTTCCAATCGCCTCATGGAATTTTGGGCATGTTTGATCGCGCACCAAGGTACACATCCGATTTGCTGTTGGTGATGGTTTCATCATGATAGGCCTGAATAATTTGTGAGCCTGTAATCGAAAGAAATCTTCTTCCTGATGGGGATGTTGGCGAAGTAACGCGTTTTGGATTTGTAGACAAGGAACATATCCGCAACCCCCAACTTTCGCCGTCGTAAATTGTACCTGCCTGTAACCTGCATCTTGCAACTCATTGGGTTGTGCCTTTGTATCTGTCACGCAATCGCTGGCCATTTTTATTTCTGAGTGGATCATTCTCGCTCTTTCGGCTTTTCCACGTAACCCTCCTAAATACGCTTGTGGGTCGTCCAGTAACCCCCCCCTACTTACCGCCTTGCGAACCGTTCTCACCTTTTCCTCGTCCTCTGTCAATGATGAGTTCCATCCTCGATCTATGGCATTCAGCTGGCCAAAAAAATGGACGTTCAAAATGGAAAAGAAGTTGAAATGAGACCCAAAGTCCTTGATATATGGGCTGCCACACGTCAGATGAAATATTCCTTATCAGGTTTCCCTAAGCTGATTCGTTAGTTCATGGACGGACTCTTGGAGCCCCAATTTTTGGCTGCTAGAGCGCCTGTTGTTTCATCTTGCTAACAATCCACCGGTCAAATTCCGCCCCTTTCTTACCGATCCTTCTCGTCTCCACATTTTCCCATTTCGCCTCACAATCGTTCCCCCCCCCCAAAAACAATGTCCAACATCCTCCTCTTTGGTGCTGGTAGTATTGGTGCTGTTCATCTTTATCAGTTTCAACAAGCTGGATGCAAGGTGACGGCGGTTTGCCGTTCGAATTATGACGCCGTCAAAAAAAATGGGTTCAAACTTTTCAGCCAAAAATTTGGAAATGTGGAATTTCGACCAGACGCCCTAGTTCGAGACGCAAAAGAATGTTCAGATATCTACGACTTTGTCTTTATTGCTACGAAGTCCTTTCCGGGCTCAAATTTGGTGGGTATGATACGACCTGTCATTCATGATCATACCGCCATCGTCCTGGCACAGAATGGAATCGCCATTGAAGATGAAATTTCTCAAGCATATCCCAACAATCCTCTTCTCAGTTGTGTCGTTTACTTGCCGGCCACTCAACCCGAACAAGGGGTCATTCATTATGAGGAAATGTTGAACCTTCTTGAGATCGGAACTTTTCCTTCTCATGCTCCACCGTCTCACAAAGCTGTCGCAACGAAACTGGCCGATTTGGTCATTGCTGGTGGAGGGGAAGCCCAAGTTCATGATGACGTCCAAGTCGCCAGATGGTCCAAGCTTTTGATGAATTGTGCCTGGAATCCGATATCGGCGTTATCAATGTCTACCGATGGTCATTTTTTGACTTCATCATCTCCTTACGCCTATGATCTTGTTTGGTCTGTCATGATGGAGATTGTGGCGTTGGCTCAGAAAGTTGGAATTCCAATCGATGACCAAGTTGCAAAGGAAAAACTCTCCATTGCCCAACGAAGAGCGGCTACGAATCAAGGAAGAGAGATCAGTATGTTACAAGATGTCAAACAAGGAAGATTGTTTGAAGTGGAAGCTATTGTGGGGAACACGGTTCGATTGGGGAAGCAACATGGTGTCAACATGCCTCTGACTGAAGCTCTTTACTGCTTGGCCAAAGCGAGGTTTGAGGCAATGGCTCGCGAGAGATAAAGAAAATGGACTCATCCTGTCGTACGTCGGATGAAATCTGCGGCCTGGTCTGGCATACTCAAAAATGGACTATGTCCACTGTCCACCACTTCTTCTCGGATTTTCCAGTTCGATCCTCTCGCCACATATGCTTCATTCGCATCCGAAATCATCTTACGTTGAAATGGTGCCGGAATCGCGTTGTCATTTTCACAGACCAAATAACTCGTCGGAATAAACCACCAACCCACCCCTTCAGAAGATGGTGGTTTTTCTTTGCTACGCCATGAATGTGGTTTCAAAATCTTGGTCCATCGGCTTGCCTCTTCGCTTGATAAATCATTGTAGAACAATACCTCCGGTCCGGGATCTCCAACGTGTACCAAGTCACCCTCAATTTTGTGAAATGGTGCCGGCTGATTTCCCAGAGGCATGATCAAAGATGTTTGTGGCGGATACAAAAATGATGCCATGAGTGCAATGGCTTTGATTCCTGGTTTTCGATCCACGAATGAATATGCCGCACTTAGAGCTGGAATTCCTCCGTACGAATGTGCAATGAGGACGATATCGTTTCCTTGGGAAAGAATTTGATCGATTGCTTTGGATATGATCTCGACGTCGGTGTCGGCATCTGTGTTGGCTGGATCAATGGGTCCGACTGTCGCCAGGGTGACAATTTCGCATGGATATTCCGAAAGAAGTTCGATGATTCGATCGTAATGTGCTGGTGAATGCCATGCTCCTGGTACGAAAAGAAGTGTCGGCTTCATTTTGATGGTGGTTTGAAAAGGTCTGATGGGGGATATTTATGCTCCACTGACAAGGCCCCCCGTTAGGCGGCCAGTGGCGCCGTACTCGCCTCACGTATTGATAAGGTTCGCTACAAGGAATGGAACGTTAATCGACTTGATGCATGGGCTACAAAAGAGCAAGTTGTTTCATTTTACATGCTGCTGCAACAGGGAGAATGATTTGCTGGAGAACGGAGCGTCACTTGCACCCTTCCTCCTTATTAGATAGAACACCAACGCATTCCTTCCCTAGACTCCACAGTATCAAATAGTACCGGAGGCTCCGACTCTACTCCTGATCACGATGACGGCGGGAATCTGATGATGAAATGCCCATGGAGATTTCCGACAAACACGAGCGTGATGCAGACAATGAATCGGATCCAGATATTGAAAGCGATGATCCAAACGCAGGGAGCCCTTTCACGTCAAGTTATTCAAGCCCAAGGTAAGATCCGATTTCCTATTTCCTTGAGTTTCCTTCTGACTAGATCCAGTCTCGACGCCTTCAATCCTCTTCAATGCTCCCCTAATCGGATCTAGCGATGTTGCACCGTCGGATCCAGTCCGAAGGCCTCTTTTTTTCCTGATCGTTCTGCTCACGTTTACTGTTAAGTAACCATGACCCCCTGCCGAAACCGTTTCTGGACATCCGTCGTCTGTGGTCGGCATCCCAGCAGGCGCAAAATCGTTTGTATCTGGCCCGATATCTCAATCTGGACAACACGGCCGAACTGGGTCACTGGTCGAGGCTATGAAGATGACCGCCCACCACTTTCTATCTCTCTGAAGAAGGCACAGTTTGGGGCCCCGAATGTAAAAGTGAGTTCCACCTACGCCTTCTCCGTTCTGGTGAAGGAGATCAAAGAGGGATCCGCCGGAGTGCCCACGTAGGCCAGGCTCTCCCAGGCCGAGGTGCGTTCCAAACTGGACATCTAGACCGATCATTGTTTCAACCTGTTCTCGAAGACGGCCCGACAGAATTCGGCCATCCTTTTCCGAGCGGTGCAGGTGGATCAGGCCTTTTTGATTCTCAAGAAGTGGAGGGCATATTTTCCCGAGTCATGAGCGAAGGATGCCGACAAGAGTACCATGTGGGCGTTTGCCATCCCGAGATGAGCAAGAAGTACAAAGTGAGCATGTGCCTCCCCGGCTACCAGGCTCGGTTCGGATCTCATGGGGCCCAATCCACCGGATCCGGTCCGAGCGGGACTTCGCCCATTCTCCCACACTCTTCTGGATCCCGTTAAGTGGTTGGTTCTCTTCTTTCCTCGAGTGGGTACCATGCTAACGCTCATCAGACATCAGTCCCATTTGATTTAGCGACCGCTGCTGAGTGCCGATAGCATCCAAGAATTTCTCGAAGATATTGTTCTCGTTCGTCTCCGTTCCTGGCTTGGGTGGAAAGAAGAGTCTGTGAATCTGCAACCGATATAGCTGGTTGAAGATTTTTGCGAACATTCAAATCTAAGCCATGGACATAGCAGCCCAAATGAATGTGAGCAAAGCATGTTGAAGAATGTTCGATCAGGCTGAATTGCGGCATGGAGTGTGGATTTCTGCCAAGGACTCTAGTTTAAGCTAGACCACATTCATTTACGGCCACTCCCAGCAGATAGTTCTAGTTCGTTCATACATTCTCTTCCCGCCGTTATAACAATATCGTAGCCATGGTACGTTATACGCCTCAATTATCAAACGACATAAGTGGCTACAGTGGCTTTGGCTCGACGAATTCGAGTCAGGCCAGGACTTTTTGGCACGTGATACCGCACCAGGAAATCACAGTGTGATATGTGGCGACGTCAAGGCTTGTACAGACTTTCGGAGGCGTTGTACGCATCGTACACGCTTCGAAACTATAGGCCGACGGTCCCTTGGACCACTTTCGAAATAGGAAGAGTCCTCCGTAAAATCGCAGGTTTCGTAAACGGTGGGGAGAGGATGTATGAGCTAACTAGATCGAATGGGCCATGATTTTCGATCCTTTTGTGTGAGAAGCGGGGAGCCAAAGCTCGCTTAAATTCAATGGCGTCAAAATTCATTTCATCCCTCTTTCTTCATACGTCTGCACCAGTGCATCACATCTAATTTGCGGCAACCCTCTTTGTCGATAAGAGCCCTAGAAATTCCCTAGAAATTGCTGCACCCTAACGGTCTAGCATGGAAAACATCGATCATCCATTGCGCGACGCGAAATACGATCAATTCACCGAAGTCAAGCCTCAGTCAACGGCGGACAAGATTACATATTTGTACGAGCGGCGTCTGATTGAGGATGTGTTGAACCATTACGCCTATCTCCTTGATATATGCAAGATGGACCATCACGCTGCACATGCTTGGGCTAGCCTCTTTACTGAAGATTGCACGCTTCATCTTCCTGCCGGTCCCCGTAGAGGCGTTCCAGGACTTGTCGAGTGGTGCCTGTCAGTAGGGACCAAGTTTAAGAAGATGACTCACACGTCATCCAACCTTGTCATCATATTTGAATCCAGCTCCATCGCTCATGCCCGCTGCGCCATCACGGCCGCTTGTGTTTTTGATTCAACAAACATTGACCTGGGATACTCTCAAGGAGGTTATCAGTATTGGTCGTTGAGGAAGGTCGACGATGAATGGAAGATTTCGTGGCTCTATTGCGATCTCAGATGGACGAGTGGAGATTTAATGAAATAGGAAGTGCGGGATCAGCGGTCGGAGGTTCCAAGGTGATGTGAAACAAAGTCACAGGGTATCGTAGGGGTGAAGAATCCCGATGCTAGGATGGAGGAACGATTTATCACCCACTTCCGCCGTGCCTTCGCGTTGGCAAAAATGACCTATATTAAACCCTGAGCTGCATGCTATGAATGGGCGCCCTTACTGATAGGTGGCAAGGGCGGCTCCCGACATTGCGTATGGGTACTGATAGTCTGCCGCCTTGATCTATACTTATATGGCGGTAGATTTAAATGAGCAGTAGTGTTCGCATCTTTTGAGGTTGATTTGATTCGAAACACTTATAATCCAGCCCAAGGTGCAAGGACAAACACCTCCCGCTCAGGAATATATTGCTTTTCCACTTAAATCCACGAGTCGGGATGCAAAGCCCCGAACGGATCGTGTATGTCAGACTCGACCTCAGGCGATACACCCATCCAGACACCATTTTCGGTCCCTCGCACGAAATCAACAGAATCGGCAAACATGGGTGCATTTCCGAGTCGGGAATTTTGTTGCTCTTGCAGGTCATGCGGAACGTCGAAGGGTAGCTCTCCTCCAGATCCATTCAAGTACATGTTCAAATCCCCCAATCCAGCAAAATCACCCAAGAAGTCGAAATCAATGAGACTATTCAGTAGTTCGGATTGGGTCGTAGCTGAAGGGTGCAGCATAATATTCCGTGGAGATTCACCAAGATCGTTTGCTGTAAGTTTATCCCCCGGGCCAGGATTGGCTCGTGCAGAACTGGCATTGTGGATCGCAGGGAGGTTTGTAAGTCTGTGTTGACTGGCATAAGACCTTGGTGGTTTCTTTGCAATTTGAAGCATTTCATGGATCAGATGTGAGCAGCTACGCGCAACATAGATTGTATCCATTGAGTTGAGGATCTCCAGGCTCTTTTCTACCTCTTCAATCAATTCTGTACGCGTAACACGGTCAAAGTCCCAGAAGAGAAGATAAAGAATGATCATACTGGCATATAGCGTGTACGTAGCGTTGTACCACCTGAAGTTCCGTCAACCACCAACGAAGCTTCGACCTAAGGGTTAGCGGCTCATGGCCGCTTACTCGCCACGTCCGAAAATATGGTCGGTGAAAATAGGTGTCGTACAACAGCGAGATAGTTTGTCGTGATGCACGTACGCAAAGGTCAATATGAGTTGAAGAAGAGCTTAGGTCCCTCTGAGTTGACGCCGCTATGAGGAACTGCCTGTGTAGGATGATTCTTGTGTACCAAAAGCCTGGACGTCGAAAACGCGAATTTAGTATTCTCAAATCGAACACCGAAAAGCACAAGGCTTAGGGGTCTCACGTAGTTTCAAAACCACTTTCTGTTTGCTGATCCATTCTGGCTCCGACAGAGAGCTCTTGTCCAGATTGAGGGACGACGGGAGATTCTGTCGCCACTCGACCGATGACTGGTCGAGTCTCAAGGCGCTCTTAGACATTTCGGACAGAGGCTTGCTTAAGCGAGCATGGTACAATTCATCGGCTGCCAATCTCAGGATTTCTGCAAAAGACACCATAGCCGCAATGATATCGGCGGGTTTTCGCTCGCCAGCTCGCGATTGGTCCTGCGAAGAATCAGCCAGTGACGTTGTCGATTAACACAGAACCCACGTTTCCACGAGGGAGACCCAACGGGTAACAACTGGGCTGCCTGAGGATGCCATCACGGCCAGAAGCACAACTCATCTCACTGGAAAACAGGCAAGATCAAATATGTTTGGATGCCTGGCGACTGGGGGTCAATGCAGCTCACATCTCATGGGAATATATGCACCCGTTGGGAGGTCAGCTCCGAGCCTCAACCACAACCGTATTGATCGTTAATCAACAAGGCGTCCGCTTGTTGGGAAGAAACTTACCACCAGGTATTTGCGGCTTCAGACTTGCCTCCCTTCTCCCGAGTAAGTCCGATCGCTAGGGCAGTCCTGGCTGCCATTCCACTGCGGTTGATGCTATGGAATCTCTCAGCAGATTCTGGCCATACTTCAGTGTCGCACCGGGCGAGGAAACTGTTCTTATCAAGAAACGGATGCATGAGATGTAAATTGTTGAAATACATTCTAACACACTCTCTTTCCACCAGCACTTTGCGACTTCGCCTGCTCGTGAACGGTATAGTAGTGGGTGGGAATGGTGTATCTGGATCATTGCTCTGGTTCCGAAGCTCTGAACTTGCCCAAGAAGCCGCTACTTGTTTCGAAGCAAAGGCATGGCCGCAGGACCCGTCAGCTTGAGAAATGGATCGTTTCAAAGAGCTATCGAGGGAATTTAGAGGTGCAATCAAGTCTCCTGCTTGTGCGGAAGTCGCAGATGCCAGTTGAACTTGATCAGGCGATTGTTGTCTAGATTCGGCTGGGTAGTCCTTGCTGTGCAACAAATTGACGACTGACAGTCCACAGGACTCGGAATCATTTTCGACAGTATTTGGTTCTGAAAAGGCGCCGTATTTCAGAGGGTCCGCTATACGAACCGGATTTGGGGAGCTTGAGGTCTGGTACTGAGCCGAGAGACGTGCAAGGAAAGGAAAAGCGCCGGAAGGACCAAAGTATTCAGTACCGCTCGTATGCTTGTTGACTTCATCCAAACTATCGCCGTCAAGTCCTTTCTCAGTCGTGCTCGACCCTGAAACAGCACAGTTAAGGTCTCGCACAAGGTAGCACGTCCGGTGAGGTTATATTTACCATGTAGCGTGTTGGACAAAGACTCCTCCGTTCTCGTGGGGCGGGAATGGGATTTGCATTGTAGATTTAACTTACTCACGTTATCTTGATGGGGAGTATTGTCACGCTGAGACTGACTTATAGGTGCATTTCGTTTCATTCGTTGCAGGCTATAATTCTGTAAACATTTGCGGCGCTAAAGAAAACTTCGTGTGCCGACATACAAGTGCCGAGAGGCTTCTGTCGACATAGCTGTGCGAGGCAGTAGCGAGCTTCTTGCCGGAGCAGTCTTACGCTCCTTTGCAGCCAAACGAGCCGACAAGGACGATGACTGACGAGAGGCCTTTTCTGGATAGGTACAGTCGTACCCGTGGCCTTTCTCGGATCACATACCGAGTTAGAAAGACGCCGGCCACGGCGCATTGATTGCCGCTTGGAAGTTTGACTTACGAGTGCAGTGAGTGCATTTGGGCTCTTGTTGGTCACACTGTCCGAATCCGTCAACACCAACAGCAAAAGCAGAAACCTGAGTCATACTTTGGTCTTCCGGATCCTGCATGTGTGACACGCCACAGAAGCTCTAGGCAGCCGCGTGCGCTTCTTAGAAGGCGCAAAAGTACCCGACGATGGCTTTGTAAATGGAGTAGGTATCGGATTACTAGACAGAAAGATGGCTCAGTTGGAATTCTGCGGGCAACGGATCGAGTGTCGGCTTTTCCAGTAGGCAGACCTGAGTAGGACAGCCGATTTTGACTTTTACGAGCCAAGGCATTGTCGTGTGCTTCGGAACACAAATCGCGGCAGCTCCTCACTGTGCGCTGTTCCGATCGCCTTTTTTTTTCCCTCTAAAAATTCGTTGTGGCGCGGGGGACGCAATATGGACGTTTGCAAGTTGAGAATCGTTTTTCAGCAGGGCTAGCTGCGGTCCCTGAAAGTCAGGTGCATGATATCTTGGGGACTAGGGTAGAATATTAACAGATCAGCCGTTGTAAGGACCTTACAGAGCGCGACTCATTGTACCATACTCTGGCCATGATCAAAACCCTGGTGCTCGAATCGTCCTATCTTTTCCTGTGTAGGTTGATGGTTCTATATTCTGGGGGCTCCCCCTTTTCCCATAGCTACAATCTACACCACCTCCTATCCGCCCTTGTGACCATTGTTCGACACCCGCTGACGCCGCCATTCTTCTAGATACTCTCATTACCGATGAGGTGCCGGTACTCATCGTTGTAGGCGGACCGTCTAGGCTTCTACAAGCATATCTACTTTGGCGTCTTGGGCGTCAGTCGAGCACCGAGGTACTAATGCCACACGCTGACTTGCTCCAGCGAGGCTGCAGTCAGAACTTTGATTATCGATAGATACCCTACGTGTTTGAGCACCCTCAAGACAAAACTGGTAGTGGCGTAGGACTGGTGTACTTTGCGCTATCATCCTGGGTTCCCAGCTTCCATAGTTGCCTTGATCCCTTTTTCGAATCCTCCATACGTATTATCTTTATCGAGGTCAAGATTGTCAAAGATCGTTGTTTTTTCTCGTCTTTTTATTTGTTTGAGGGGATGGGGGGGGAACGGCGGGGATCGACCCCATGAATGAAAAACAAATTTTCCGACTCATAGGAGAGGAACTAGGACTTATCTTACAAGACGGTGGTGGGCCTCGGTATCTAGTGGTGTATCACCAGTCTACATGGTAAACCAAGGATCTGACCGGTTTCTCTTTTATTCGTCATGCACTATTGGTACCGATAACCCACTGTCATATTCCCCTCCAAACCATAATTTCACCTGTCCGAAACTGTGTGATGGAATTCGAGCCTGAGTAAGATTCTCACTGTCGGTAAAAGGCGTACCCTTGACGACTAGCCGCATGATTTCACCATCTTCCCAAACCGTACTTGTGGGCCACAATTCTACCTCGACAGGGTAAATGTCACAAGGCCGTAGCCATTGTCTTCGAGCGTGACTATGGTATGGGCGACCAGGAATGCTGCGCTCAGGGTCCAATTCGCGGTGAGACGCGCGGAACCAGCCAAAAGTCGCTGATGCCTCGATTTTTTCAGTCGAGTGGTAGAACTTGACTTCCTCGCCTTTGGCATTGATCTTCTGCAACGCTAGAAACAGATCCACGTCGGGACAGTTGAGTACTTGGATGTGAAGCTTTGCGCTAGAGTTGCCGGTGATCTCGGTACGTTTCGAGAACTTGTAGTCAAACGCCAGTTGCTCCTGGACATCGTGAGCCTTGAACGTCAAGCTATGTGGCTCCATTCCAGGTGTACTAGCATCAGGTGAAAGAGCACGCTCTCTCGAGATGTGGAACTGGGTGAGCTCCGCACGTTCGGGCGGAAATGATGTCTCGCTTCGCACCACGGCTTCGTCAGCGGACGTGCGAACGCTCAGTTCGACGTTGGGCCACGAGTCGACCCCATTGGATTCGTCTTTGAGGAAGCGATCCCAGAAAAGCTTTTGCTTTCGGATATTTTCGTCAGTATAGTATGCTTCCCATTCTCGGCCACCGTGGTGATTTGTTAGCATCAAAGGAGACACATGCCGGGCCGGGTTGAAGAAGACCAAGGTAGAGCTTACACGTACTTTTAAATATTTCCTGGGAGACGAAAACTGCTTCCAGGCCTCGATAGTTCCCCTTAGGTGGAGGGCCAGGGATGAGAAACCGGTGACCGAATAGGCAGGGACTTCGATTTTCGTCCAATCTGAGACTCTCGATCGCCACCAATCATCAAAGAGCGGGTGCTCGAGACTGGCAACCGCGTGGTCGTCGCTTAGACCGAGTCCATCGGCCGTCAAGTTCATCCACATCTGTTGGAAGGGCAGACTTGGCAATGCCCCCCACAGTGTTGACCTCACGATAGGGGTCGGATATACCTTCCCAAGGCATGATGGCAGACAAATGTGGTGGCTGCAACTCTGCGACATGGTAGGCAGACATGGCGTAATAAGATACGGCACCCCAGCCGATCTTACCGGTGCACCTGTATGAACCAACCTTCATCAGCAATTGGAATCACAAACACTCCAGTGACGACATCTTCGCCAGCTTCTCGCGAGGCATCACTTACCATGGCTGCCGCGCGACCCATTCGACTAGATCATACCCATCCCTGCCTTCCTCGGGTAAGATGTGGTTCGGCTCTCCTCCCCCGGACCACCAGCAACCTCTGGGGTCGACAAGTAAAAGGGAGTACTTGTAGTCGGCACACCAGACCAAAGGATCCGGCAGCTCCCAGTGTGTGTACTTGCTGAGTTTGTTGAAGTCTACGCCCATGTTCTCAAACATTTTGGGGGGCACAGCGCCGTGCTTCCCGAATGGCCCCCACATCACAATGGTGGGTGTCTTTTCTGCGATGCTGTCTATAGGACGATAGATGTCGGCGTAGAGCTTGATCCCATCCCTCATGGGGATGGCAAGATCCTTCTCCAAAAGTACTTTGCTGCCATCGAGTAGAATCGTCTCGTGCTTCAACGGCGGAGCTGGCCTGAAAGGTGCGGTTGCCTCGTATAATCAGATTCGAAGCTCGGATAGGGTATGTTGCTACGCACCTCTTGAGGGTGCACGGCTTTACGATAGACCGCCCCTATATCTTTACTGTATATGACAGACATGGTGACTTGTAATCTTGCTGAAACCGGGACTCGATGTCGTTCTAAGCACATGACAAATCGGGATAAGTCAAGAAGAACCAACGACGTGTCGCAGGCAAGATTCGATCGATTTATGGGACGGAGCCGCCAACGCTTACGGGTAATCCGATAGAATTCTGCAGCGTCTGCCAGAAGGGGTGCCGGTTCACAAAATCCCATTGGTCGCCGGGCCCGATGAAATAGTCCAATGTCATCGTAGCGTATCAACACATAGCGAGCTAGCTACGCTTGGTAGATTGAAGCTGAGATCCTCCTTGTCTTGACATCCCCTAGAATGCAGGTGCGTAGAGATGGTCACCCGCTGTTAAACCTGGAGCACTGTTCCAAGAACCCGGCGCGCACTTTTTCAAGACGATGAAACTCTGAAACACGTGCGAGAAGCGTTCTCGTACTTCTTGTGCGTTCTTCTAGTACGCCTTTCTTGACCAGATCATTCCAAGCTCGACCTCGACATCAATCACCATGGCTGCGATTTCGCTGTGACTGTATATCCGGAAAAGGTAGAGGGCATAGGCACTAGGCAAACATCATGATGAAAGGTGCCAGTCTGATGGTCTTCTAGGGCGTTATGGGCGTGCCCGGCGATCTTAATCTCGCACTTCTCGATTTTGTTGATGACGTACCGGAATCGAGATGGAGTTCATGATAGCCTTCAATCGCCGCATGCCGTCTAATAACGCCTTTTCCAGTTGGGAATGCCAATGAACTGAACGCAGCGTACACTTCAGTTGGCTACTCGCACGTCAAGAGTTGTTCCGGAGTTTGTATATTTATCAGAGGCACCGCACCTGGTTCATAACTTGCTGACAATGAATATAGTGGTGACGACAATGAGCGTTGGTATGGGTCTACGCTGAACGCGGTCGAGATAGCTTTCCGATAGTTTCGTGCTATCTAAGAGAAAAAAAATGCCCTCAACGGTGTAGCAGGAGCATACTTGGAACAGACTAAGTCATACATATCGTTGGGACCACCACACGCGACGCCCAAGCCCGATGGCTAATGATCCACCATAGCCGAGCTTCTGGCCTGATCACGGCGTACGCACTCTTACTACCCCAAGCACTGCTGCTGTGACTGACTGATCGCTCCCAGACGATTAACAAAATGTTGAAATTTGTACGGATGGCCGTGGCAGACCTTAAAGAGCCTGCCACAGCTGCTAATGAGGTCGACGTACAAGTCTCCCAGCCATATCGGGCCCGTGAATCAACAAGATTAGCGTGTCATCCGGGAATGCTACGTTCACTCCGCTCCTGTCTACATATACCTACCGATGGATATGGTCACCTAGCAAGTCTCCGCTAATCCGCTCGAAACACCGATCGATCTGAAGACTGTATCGGACCAGAAGCAAGAGGAGCCGCCACCGACCGCATTATCGAAGCCCTCTACCAGTCGCAAAGCACCACCGTGATCGTCGATGCTCTGGTCTCATAACACAACCAGAACGAAAAGCACGTCAGCTGGTCGATTTGCTGGCCTCGTCAATCATCCCGGGTAGTGGAAGGAAGCGACACAGTCCTGCAGTTGGGAGAGCTTCCGAGTGATGACAACGCTGGTGGACATACCACCGAGATCCCACAGTCGAAGGTCATCAAGATTCAGCCAAGTCATGTGGATGTAGGTGGTGAGTCCTTCAAATCATGTGATATTTGAAGTCGTTATCCATTACTGGCCATGCCCAAGGCTGGACATCATAATTTTCGAAACGTTAATATGGGAGGGATTTTTCAGAGATCGATCTTGAAAATCCAGAAACCGAAGCTACCACGACCCAGCAAACATATGCTGCCCCCAGTCCCTCGAAGCATCGACAGTGACGCTACCCACATCACCCAGTCTTGGATCTGGCCGAGGATCGCCGATTTTATGCGACCTAATGACCTTGCAGTGGTGGAAGCTGGCACGGCACAATTTGGCATGCCGGACAACATCCTCCCCGACTGAGTCACCTAAGTCATGCAAATATACTATGGAAGCATCGGCTGCTCGGTCGGTTCATGTCTGAGGGTCGCACTGGCGTAAAGGGAGGCGAGCCCCAAGGGAACCGGCCGAGTCATCCTGCTTGTTGGAGATGGCAGTCTGCAAATGACGGTGCAAGAAATCTCCGTCATGATCTATTTGGGACTGAATCCTATCATGTAAGACCACTTGTCGGGTGAATCAAGGGCGACATTGGGCCCAAGGGGTAAAGAGCTTTCACAGTATTGTGATCAATAACAACGGCTTCACTATTGAGAGAACGATCCACGGCCCTCACGAAAGTAAGACTTCTTTCCAATACTGGAACGCGGCGGCAAAAGCTCATCGTGGTTGACCGACGTTTCAGCTTCAACAATATCCCTCCGTGGAGACATCAAGCCATACTAGATCTCTTCCGAGCTGATTTTGCCAAAGAGAATTACAGGAGTGCGCAGACGAAGACGAAGTAGGTGCTTAACGAGGTACTTGTATACGATGCGAAATTGTCAAAGCCGCCCTCTCTGCAGGTAAACATGCTGCATTGAAGACGGGTTTCCCAGCAGAAAGACCGCGCTCACACCCCTTTTGAAGATGCCGGAAATATACACGGAGACGCATGACGCACCCTGGAGACTGGTTATACAAGTTGATGTTGTGCGACAAAAGGCACTCAAAGTCAACGGAGCTCATTAATATGCCCGAGCCAACAGCCACTCAAAAGTAGGATAGCATCAAACGACTATATCTCCGTGTTTCGACTTGGAGCCTATCAGCTCAAACGCAGCCTCGGCCACGTGTGCGCATAAAGTGTGACTGTTCTTCGATCGCGATCGAGACCATCCGCCTTCGGGCTCCGCGCCGGCCAATGGGAAGACTGGAGAAAGCCCGATGATGTTTGGACTCGTCTTCTCGTCCCTATGTTATTTTTTTCCTCCTAGTGCATAATGGAAAACCCCGGGTAAATCAGACAGAAGTCAATGTTTGACAATCTTGGAGGTATATCTAAGGCGGTGCAACCAGCACCCCAGCTCTCCACTCTCTATCTACATTGATACTCCTTACTTCGCTTCTCGTTCTTCCTCCTCGCATCCATTCCCGCCCGCAATCTTTGTTACTAAACATGGCTGCCTCGGATCACAAGAAAATGGAAGATTTTGATCATGTCGAGATGGGTAAAGAGCAGACCCATGATGCAGCTCCAAGGGCCAGCGACCTTGAGCGAGTCAACACTGCCGATTTGGAAATGGGCTATCGTCTCAGTATCAAGACTTGTCTTGTTATTATTACGTTTTCCCTGACCTGGGGCGTCTGCACTCTCGCCAACGTCGGACCGTCGACCACTTACAGTCACTCCGTGGATGAACTCGGTGGGGACTCCATTTCCAGCCAGTGTGGGTAAGTCTCGAATGCTCCGTCCTCTATGGCGTGGCTGTACGACTGACTAGATTGTGTAGGGTGCTTTCTCGGACCGCTTTGGCAAGAAGTGGTTCATAGTTAATGGTGGTCTCATTGGCATCGTCGGCAATTGTCTCGCTGCCACCGCCGAAGCCACCGAAACAATTATCGTTGGCCAGGTCTTGAATGGCTTTGGAGCGTCACTTTTGGTATGCGGTTGGCGCCGCAGTGCTTGGTCAAGCTGACCTCAAATCTAGTTGCTCGTTATCCCTGCTTCGATGGAGGTTGTGCCAGCAAAACGACGAGCCTATGCCCAACTGATCATGGGTCTTGTTAATGGTGCATTTGCAATCATAGGCCTTGTCGTTGGTGTGTCTTGCTTTCGTCGCACCGATAGGGCTGCGTCATGTACTGATTGCTCGAACTCTAGCTGGAGCATTCGCGAAGATGTCCCTCAGCGGTTGGCGCTGGGTCTACTACATCGGCATTCTTCTCCTCGTCTTGGGCGTCGTGGGTGTCGTCACGTTGCTGACCTGGGGTGGGAACGCATACCCATGGAAAAGCGCACGAGTGATCGCAATGCTGGCCGTTGGCGTCGTGCTCTTGATCGTGTTTGGACTCTATGGTCAACAATCATTTATGCTGGCGTAATCGAAAGTCGTTTACTAACCGAACCTGCAGAAACTTTCGTGCGCAACGATGGACTGATTGATCATCGCTTCATGGAAACACGCAACTTCATACCTATCGTTGCTGTCGGATTTGTCGATGGTATGTTGCTTTATGGCGTCAACGCATTCCTGCCCGTGGAGTTCTGCGCCATCTTTACATCCGATCCAGTGCGGGTCAACGTTTATCTGGTGAGATCCTCCTCCTCCTCCGAAAGAGATGAACCGCTGATCCGAGGCAAAGCTACCTTTGAACATCCGTGTCATTGTGGGCATATTCGCATCTACTTGGTTGTTAGGCCGTACGAAGCATTACAGACTTTGCCTCATTGTCTCTGTGTTTGCCATTGCGCTTTTCTGCGGCCTCACTGCTCTTGCCACTCCGTCAAGAGTGGCCATGGCTCTGGTCTTTACCGGACTCGTCGGACTGGGTGTTGGTACAACTTCGGTCATCCCTGTTGTGATCATTTCCTACGCAGTCCCCAATTTCCTCATGTGAGTCGACCGTTCTCCAAAGGCAAAGCCAAACGAATGTGCCAGGCTAATGACATATCATGATAGTAGAACTACCGAGACATTCCTCGCCTCTATGCGCGCTCTGGGAGGCACAATCGGTATCACGATTTTCTCATCCATTTACTCCAATCAGATGGGCAGTAAGTCGGCATCAACTATCAAAGTTTCTATTTCCTAATACGTCCCAGAGAACCTAGGTCCAGGCGTCGCCGCCGCCGCCATCAAAGCCGGCTTACCTCATTCTTCGGCTGAGGCCTTCGTCGGTGCTTTTCTTGGGGGCGACACCTCCGCGTTGCCCGAAGTGTCCGGCTCAACACCAGCTATCATTGGTGCAGCCGCAAACGCCGTCAAAACCATCTCTGCACAGTCATTCAAATACGTTTGGATCGCTCTCATGGCCATTACCGTCTGTGCAGGTATCTGTAGGTCCTGTACTTGTTCGTTGTCATTGTTCGACACTGATAAAATGATCTAGGGTGCTTATTCCTAAAGTCCGTTGCGGCGATGATGACTGTTCATGTTGAAAGTGCATTAAAACAAAGCGCCCTTCGCGAGCACCAGCTTCAGATTCTGACCAAGGATGAAAAGCATGAAGAAGTATAGATGCAAATGCCGGCCAGTAGCCTCAGAAGGCTTCCTATAGGTGGCAAAACCTTCCGACAGTCCACAGTGGTGGTCGCAGGGGGTTTGAAAGCCAGCTGCCTATTCTTCGCGCTCGAGTTGTACAACTAGGCTCTTGGGAACGTATGTCATGAGTTTAGAGTACATTAGTCGAAATCATCTGGCACAGTCGGATATTCCGGTGGTCTTTCAACTTGCGGACTATGTAGACCAAAACGACGGGCATTAGATACGAGATCTAGAAGTCCCAATTACGTGATTTCAGTACGGAGCCGTTTTCTTCTCGTCGGGTCTTGTACGAACATGGGAGACGCGCATCATGAGACCGGACCCCTATTGAGTCCTGCCTTCAATCGCAGTTATTCGAAACCATCCTGACACAGGTCGATTCTCTACGTCGATCGAAATTGACGATCTAACGCTCTGCGTTGGATTGGGGTGAGCTCGCTCCACGAGCTCATGGTATTCTTCGACAAGGTCCTCGATCGCGCTATAATTCTCCGGAGTGTCCTTACTACTCCTTCCCCAACAGACGGCACAACAGGCAATGAGATAGACTACCTGAAACGGAAGGATTCCTAGTCCAATCGCTATACCTAGAGGCTTAAAGGAATTAGATTAATGTCGACGGGCCCATTCTCAATCGCCCGCCGACCTGGAAGACGCAAACTGTGACAAAAAAGCTGAATTTAAATCAATTTGTTGGACCTGGATATATGACCCTTGACGTGCCCACCATCACAAAACAAGTCCTCCATCGACGCATGAAAATACGCGTTGAAGACTGGCCTAATCTATGAGCCCAATCGTTGGCTGTTGTATAGGCACCCTTCTTAGCGTCTTAGCCGATACCGCACACACGGCCTCTATCATGAACACTGAGATTGGGCTAGACCTCTTAGGCCACAATTGAACTTCGATTCAACAACCCGCCAAATAAGGGTTATATCTTTCCGTCCTAGCGCCAACGTGCTATCACATGGACATGAATATGTGTGGATTTCTGCTAAGAACTCTGGTTTACGCTGTAGGTGTCGGGGAGGGCCAAGGGGTCGCTGGTCAGGCGATACGTAGCGCCAGAGAATGCCTACCTATCCACAGGATCAGTCGTCACGTGGTATCAGGCGAGGGCACACATGCGGAAGTCGCGGCCTACGAGAGCGAGGTCCAAACACATTGAAGGTGTCAAACTAATGATCCAACTTGAGAAGTATTGAATGCTCTGTCTGTTTTGCAACTGGTACTGCCAGATTTCCAGTTTGTCCGTGCGTTTGGTTGGCCCCTTTCTACTCCTATTCCTACCCCTTTTCCAAGAATGGTACTGGCTATTGTTCAACAGATACCTTAATGAAATATGCTGGAGGAAAAAGACAAGTCACACACACTCGGATAGCGTTATGTTTGCCTAGCCCTGGACACTATCTGACGTATGAATGGATTCCAGCACAATGCGCGACCGCAACATTTGCCATGGATTGTTTTCGCCAGCTCTCCACGGAGCAGACTATCAAAGTAATAGCACCGCCGTGGCCTGTTGACTCTGAAGACCCCGAAGTCTCTTTTCTGGTGAAAATGTCGCATGTCCCATAGTGTAGAAGGTTTGCAGGACAACTGAAAGGACGAATGGAGCTGTTACTATATCTCATGCGCGCCAGAGATATGCAAAGATCCGGCAAGGTCAATGCAGCATGACCCTAGCCACATAAGAGCTCAGGGTAAAGAGCACCTCAGTCCCCAGGCTCTAGAGGTGAAGATTTTTGCCCCGTGGTCACGCGGCGTGCTGCAACATGGACTTTCCGCAAACCATTTGCCGGGAGGGTAGATGGCAGGTTACTCAGAGTCCGGCTCAGAGCCTGCCCAGAATCCGCTCGGGAACTTCAAGCCTTGTTCGGGGCGTGTCTTCTCCGCAAACCCCGCATTTCCCCCTTACGACCAGCCCACGATTTCGGGGGCTCGTTGTCGCAATCTTGCCGACATTTAGAGCTGTTGACTTTGCCGCAACATCGTTTCCTGAGCCCGTCATGCTGCGTAGTTACTATGTCGGGTGAGGCCACCGCGAGGAAACGACGACGACGGATTGAACTGGCCTGCACAATGTGCAGGCACAAGAAGCACCGTGTAAGATTTATACTTGGAGCTTTACGTGTTTCTCCCTAAAACCCGTAGTTAAGATTTTTCCACGTGCGAATTTCTGCTAATGCTTTCGCAGTGTGACGGAGCTTGACCCAAATGTACTCCTTGTCGACTCAAGCTTCTAGAATGTGTCTATGAGCCTCCTCGTTTGGAAAGGTTCGGCCAGGCACCTCGCCCCGATAAGTATGAATTTGCCGTCCGGGAAATATCGATATGCTAAATGAGCCTCAGACCCCTATTACATCTTCCCACATGGTCCGGGGTAAACAACAGCCTGCAGTCCCGTGTTCCATCTGCTGTACCAAACCAGCCATTTGCTCAGAGCCAGCGCCACCACGACCAACGGGATGGGTCATCTTCTCGAGAGAAATCTTCGAGATCATCATCGAACGAGTCATCCTTGCACATTTCCAGACCAAAATCACATGGACAGAAGGTTACCGTGGACGATGATGGCCTCGTAGATATACTTGCAACCGCCTATTTCGACGAGACACCAAACGCTGATAGGGGATGTTTTGGTTCGTCCGCCCACCATTGTTCTAGGTGAGAAGCTCACCTTGATTGCCAGGGCCGTCTTCGAACCATTTCCTCTTTCGATGCCTCTCAGAAGTCCTTATCAAAACTGCACGGCATCTCGGCGTGGAGGATGACCATAGGCGAGATCTACGGGCGAGCATACCCCAGCAACAAACGAGTGAGAATGCTCCGACACATCTTGATCTGAGCAAAACAAGTGATCAGGGCCACACTGGTATCCCAGTATTTCCAAGTCAGTGGCCAAACTCCTCCACGGTTCCGACGAGGTTTTTTTGCATTGATGTCCATTATTTGGGCGCTATCCCTAAGCTCTCTAGGGGATGCTCAGGCCGAGAGCTTTTATCAAAGAGCACTATCCGTTCTAAATCCGCGGTGTCTCAGAGGATCGAGCCTAGAACTCGGTTAGTACCAAGGCCTTCACGGCGGAATATGTATTGACAGCTTCAACTTGATCCCAGTGCAAACATTACTCTTGATTGTGGCCTATCAGCAGAATAGCCAGCGCTCGATTAGCAGCTGGACTACTCATGCATTGACGGTAAAGGCTGCACTACAGTATGGGTTACATTCGCCCGCTGGTCGAAAAGGCCAGAGTCAAACAACCGCGGAACTTATGGAACGTCTTTGGGCCGCCATCATTTTTAATGATATGTAAAGCTCACTCCTGCTAGCCCTTGCGCGATAGCTGAGTATTTTTATCTCGCTCGGAATGGAATTAGGACGACCTGGGCTTGTACATCCTCGATTTCTACAACTTCAGCGCGCCCAAAGCCCGCAATATGGCCGGCTTCCAACGGGCATCGTCTCTGTCGAATCGATTGGTGGACTGGCTTATTTTTACACGCTAACGTGCGCAAATAAGTCGAGCTCTTTTAAATTTGTCTTCTAACGTGTACGCTAGGTCTTCATCCCCGATAATCGCTTCGACCGTCGAACTCATGTACAACGATAACGTCGATGCTCCTCAGGCGCGTAGCGTGCCAGACTTGGTAGGCGATTACAGCGAGCTTATCAAACGCTTGCGAGAATGGCGTGAAACGATTTCTCACTTTGGCGGCCTGGTCTCCGCTGCAGACCTCAACCATGCGGCGAATGGCTCTTTCGATACTTTGCGGTTACGTATCCTCCTCTCCATCCACTATTATCGTTTATCGCTCATGATGGCCTGGCCTGTCACTATCACATTTGTCGACATGTTCAGGGAAAATCAGATCGACATCCGTCCTGTTGGATGTCCCCTATGGGAGGACTTTGCTCCGGTGGCCAAGGACGACTGGCTGGCAGCAAAGGAACTCAGTGGAGTGATTCATGCGATAACTACTACAGCCGAACCCTTCGTGCATTCGAATGCTGCGTGGTACACCTGCAGTTACACGTGTCAGTGAGAGCTCCACTCCAATACAACCGGAAAATAATTGCTAACATGTTTCTGAGTGTGGTCAGCGCTGACCGTGTGCCTGCACATTTTCGTACTGTTATTAGCTTGCAGGCAGGATAAAAACAATCAACTCGGATTTTCCCTGGAAGAAACCAGATCAGCGCTGGAAACTGGTCTGCAAAATCTGAAGTTGCTAGAAGGGACCAGCTTAATGTCATACAAGGCTCGTAGTTGCTTGGTCAAATTGATGGAAGTTTTCGACAGTTTACGTGAGTTTATCACGCACCCACTTACCCTATGGCACGGATTTCCACCTGGGTTTTCTAACCTTCCATCCCCAAGCCCATTTCCTCCCATCCTCACAGGTCGCCGCCGGTTTGCACTGAGATTAATATATACAGAAAACACAGTAGATCAGGAGCAAAATGCACCTCTCCTAGGAAGCGAGGACGAAGACATGGATCTTTCCGAGTATATCCAAAGGTCAGCCAACGAATTTCAGTTCGAAACGAGTCTTAATGACTTTCTGAATACTGATGTCAGTGGTTGAGATGCACCAATGCAAAGATATGGTCGCTGATCGCGCATTCTCCTTCCCGATAAACACAGCAGGCAACACGTCGGCCGCTGCATTGTCTGACATGCTCAAAACACTTTGCATCGCAATACCACATATTCTTCCGCGTTCCACCCGCCAACATCTACCGCTACTGTGGCATAAAGATCTTCATTTTGGCAATTTGTTTGTGTCTCCAGACGGAAAGATTACCTGCATTGTTGACTGGCAGGACACCGACATCTCGACGTTGTTTCTAGCAGCCCGAATTCCCCAGTTTATCGATGTGGAACACGATACGCTTCTTCTGGAACTCCCAGAAAACTTCTCAGAGATGCCAGAAGCAAGAAGGTTTGAGGTTTGGGAGAGGTATCGCCAATCCATGCTCAAGCGGTATTATCTAGCCGATCTTGCTGCTTTGCTTGAGGACGAACAGCTAGCCCCTATTCGAAAACAGGTAGAATTATTCGCCCGAATCCCTTTCAGGCAAGATGTCGACGCCCTTTCCCTGAGAGAGACATTACTTCGAATTCAACGCCATTGGTCTGGCTTCCTTCGTGATGGAGACGTTGCTATGCAATGCCCTATCAAGATCGAGGGCGACGAGTTGGTCAATCACCAGAAGGATGGACGGCGTTACAACGAGTTCCAAGACCTCCTAAAGGCTAGGAACATATCTATCGCTGAAGAGGGTTGGGTTCCAGTGGACGAGTTTGCAGAACGAAAAGACGGTCTTAAAACTGTGACGAAGGAGACCATCGAGTCTTTGGAAACTCAACGAGAACGGTCTAGAGTTTAAAAACAGGCTTCTTAATTGGAACATGACTGACTGGGAAATTACGTAGCCGCCCGATTGCAGGCACTGGCAATACTTGTTGAATAGATTCAATTGCTCAGATGAGCCCCTGGACTGAGCTGCATTTTTCAGCTTTTTCTTGGCCTCGTCTTTGGTATTACTGGGCCTAACTTGGACTATGAAAAATTTATTGTGACTGGCTGACCCTTGGTTGTTGGCCTGGACGTTGACATTGTGGTTGTTATTGGGCTGGTCTTCATCCTTCCTGTCGTTCTTGAGAAGTCTTCTCTCCTCGGTCCAACCAGCCCTTGGATGCCGCATTGTTTTTCGGTGTTCGTGATGGATAGAGCCCATCTACATATCTATCTGAGAAGTGTGCGTTAATGATGATATAGCCTGATGGGCAAGTGTTGCAGAATGAGTCAACCTGTCGTGAACGATGGGTTACCAACTGTTCAACATAACTCTACTAACGTTTTGCTCAATTCCACCATGACAACGCTCTTCCATTGTGTCGAACTGGGGAACAACTTGAGATGTATTGAATTTTCTGTCTACCTCGCAACCGGTCCTGCCAGGTTGTTGGTATATACACACTTTGGGTTGACCCCTTTTCCTAATAAAGAGGCTTTTACTACCATTCAACCATTCAGGAAAACCTTGTTCGACACATAGGCACTAATACTTTCCATATCCAGAAATGAGGCTGTTGTTGTGCTCCACTGATTTTAATTTCTCCATTCAAGGCTCATCGCCTCCATCTCCGGTCAGAACCCAGCGCTCGGAGCGGAAGGAATGCTCACCTGGATCAAAGAGGCTAGTCACTCACCTCTGTAAAGGAGTTGCTAATCCAATCAATCTCAACACGTGGAATGTCCGAAGCAGCCTTGTTAGATGCGGGGAAAAGACTGCCCAAGACCTTAGCCCTCGCTTAATGGGAGTAATTGACACTAAGTCCGGGTACCTCTCCCGATTACTCAACCCGTACCCTCGCGTAGGTTACGGCTATTCCGCTTCCGTACAACATCCGAGGGCATGACCGCCCAAGAGAGAGGGGAGTAGATATTATATATACACCAGCCGTTCGACAACCCTCCAATACGTCCATATTTCAGGGCATTCTTTTCCGGGATAGTAGCCATGTCTTTCTCCTGCCTTGTCAACAGTGTCAATGGACACATCCCAGCATCGGAGCGGATTCCTCCAATAGTGAGACACTTGGTCAGCGAGAGGGCGAAGCAGACGATTGATATTGTAGGACATAGCTCTCCTCCATATCTCATTCATGTCAGAGGTTGACCGATTCCTTCTGCCCACTCTGTAGGTCGAGCGGTTTGTCGAACAGGAATGCATCCCGGCGGACCCAGTCTTTGAGGCTGCACTCGGCGAAACCACACGGGAGCGGTTCTCCACCCATCCAGCCATCCTCGAGGATCTTAAACGCCGAGCTCGCTCTCTAGGCTTGTGGAACCTTTTCTTGCCACGCAATCACTTCCATGGCCTCGGAGCCGATTTCACCAACCTCGAGTATGCGCTCATGGCGGAACTCCTTGGCAAGAGCATCATTGCAAGTGAGGCGTGTAATTGCTCTGCCCCCGACACCGGGAATATGGAGGTGTTAGCCAAGTATGGAAATCCGGAACAGAAGAAAAAGTGGCTGGAGCCGTTGTTGGAAGGCACAATTCGAAGTGCCTTTTTGATGACGGAGCCGGGCGTTGCAGGTAGTGACGCAACAAACATTGGACAGGGACTCAAGATCGAAAGAACTCCAGATGGTGGATGGGTCCTGAATGGGGAGGTAAGTTCCGCCGAGCACATGAAATGAACCAGCCGCTAACATTCGTTCGAGAAATGGTGGAGTAGTGGCGCAGGGGATTTGAGATGCAAGCTCTACATCGTGTTCGGAAAGACTGACCCCACCAACAAAGATCTGTATCGGCAGCAAACTGTTGTACTTGTGCCAGCCAATACACCTGGAATCACTGTGAAAAGGGTCTTATCAGTTGTTGGGTATGATCATGCTCCAGAGGGTCATGCTCATATTTCCTTCCACAATGTCTATGTGCCAAAGACAAATGTCATTCTTGGTGAAGGCCGAGGCTTTGAGGTTGTTCAAGGCAGGCTAGGGCCTGGGAGGATTCATCATGCTATGAGGTCTATTGGAGCAGTGAGTCTCTCAGTCACCGGTAACCCCTCTGTGCTTATAATGATTTGTAGGCCGAAAAAGCCCTTGAATGGGCACTTGCCCGCATCAGTGACCCTAATCGAACTACTTTTGGGAAACCGCTTTCTGAGCATGGAATGATGATCGAACGAATTGCCCAAAGCAGGATTAATATCGATGCGGCTCGCCTTGCTGTGCTGAACGCCGCCAGGAAAATTGATGACGGTGACGCAAAGCATGCCCTCAAAGAAATTGCCGAAGTGAAAGTTCTCGTTCCAAAGGTCATGACAGAAGTCATCGATCGTGCGATACAGGCAAATGGAGGTGTCGGTGTGTCTCAAGATACACCATTAGCAAGCATGCTAGCGATTGCAAGGATGATGAGGATTGTCGATGGACCAGACGAAGTTCACATCTTTCAACTGGGCAGGAATGAGATCAAGCATGGACCTGCATTTAAAGGACGCATTGAGGCTCAGAAAATAAGAACATCAGAGTTATTCAGAGACTATGCTGTTCCTCAAGTGGATCGATTGTCTTTGAACAGAAGCTCAGGAGGGTCAAAATTGTAACTTACAATTCGGACACTCATTGCTTTCCTTTTTTAATTATGAGAATGATTATCCATGATGAGTTGGTGAGAAAGAAATCTCTTGTGTTGTTTCGGGTTATGGGATCGATGCTGATTAGGCAAAGTCGCTCCATCCCATCCTCTCAGTACAGAGGACAAAAGTGATCATTGAACTGCCACTGTGATTTGCTATTTGCGCTAGGTGCTTGCCCGTAAATTCTCGGCGTCGTCTGAAATTCGACGCGAAAGCCTTTTGACCTGACAACCATTGTGGGTACCACGGTTTTCTGTGATCAAAGCCCCTTGAGTCTTCTGCCATACTCTTTTGCCAGCCCTTCCTTGGTTTCTGTGGCCAACACAAACATCATGTACTGTACATGAACACCATACATACAAGGAGGTGGAGCGGAGTGGAGTGATTTCATATACCCTGACCTCTTCCGCTTGCATACATACAAGGTCATGCAAAACCGGCTTCACCCATAAGCCCTTCTGAAGATTCTCCGCCCCACAGTGGCAGCGGAAGCTTTGCCATATACAGCCAAGCTATAATCAGCCATTATCCAATAATCGATTGGGCGGAGACGACTCTGTTAGGAGTCGGAGTCGTCTCCTAAACGACTTAGCAGCTAGCGGGGGCATTGTTATTGGCTATGACAATTAGAAACTTGCCTAATATGGAAGGTCTGCTGAGCGAGTCGGAGGAAAGTGGAGCCGGGTGCACTGATTGGCTGTGGTAACTGACAAATAGATCATGGGAACATTCCGGTGTTTTGAAATCAGATAAATGTTCGGACAGGAGGGTTTGAAGTATATATATCTCTTCATTAGATAGAGGTTCAACAGAATATGTTTCTACTGCTCGTTTTCCGCAACAGCCGGAACAAATCAAGGTGCAAGGCTCTATGTCCTCATACACAGGTAGATTCAAGGGCAGCCGTTTCAATATAAACATTTTGACAACTCCAGCCCTTCAGAAACTGAACGGACCTCAAACTCATCTCCAATTCTTGAAGCATGTTGGGAACATTGTGGCCGGGAGCCCCTTGGATCTAGGTTGCATACCCCAGGCACTAGGGCCCTGAGATTTACATGGGCACTCCTCAGTGCTAGAGGCCTTGGGAGAGATAGGCACCCAATCACTTACCAATCTTACCGCTACCCTACCAAAACGCAAATGGAAGTCAAGTCTTCTCCAGTAATCATCTACCCACTTACCAAACTCCAGCCCTGAAAAAGAGAGTACAGTTAGGTTTCTTCCAGGCTCGGTATTAATTGACTTCCAAATTTGGGTTGAGCAAATACTCCGAGGGTGCCTGGGGTGTTCGGAACCACTCGGTATGTAATTTAAGGCTTTCCGTTCATAGAGCAATATACGGCACTTGCGGGCGTCCGGCGGTAGGGATAAAGACATGTTGCTTCGTATTTTCGGGGTCCATCCCTCTCCGCACCAGAAACCTACCTTGTCTCTGTCGAACTGTGTGCAACTTGAGACGTATTGAATGCTCTGAGCTCTCCAAATGAATGAGGAATAGAGCCCACCTATATATCTATCTATGCGGTGTACGCTGGCGCTGTTGCCTGTCAATGGTATTGCGCGCCATGAGGTGAATGTTACAAAATGAGTTGGTTTGCCATGAATAGGTCACTGTTAACGAGTTGACACATAACAATTTAAATTCTTCTGCTTCACAAACCATACATTCTCCATTTGGATCTCTGCATGCGGATCTGCCAGTGTGAAATCGAACCTTCTGATCAGCTCCGGTACGACTTTGGACATTTCCATTAGGCTGATATTCTTGCCGATACAGGTTCTCGAGCCTGCACCAAACTTTGATACACGAAATGTCAGCAAAACACCTGGCTTAGTAACACGAACGTGATACTTACGGCCAAGAAGGAACGCTCCATCTCGGACGCCTGATCTTTGCTTTCGATCCATCGCTCAGGCCTAAAAATATTGGCATCTGGCCCAAAAACATCCTCGTTGGCATGCGCGACCCAAGAATTGACACCGATAATGGTCTGAGAATGATTAGTAGAGAAGACCATGTCAGAAAGCTTCCTCAACATAAGCAGAGGAATTTTGTAGACTTACGCCGCCCGGGAAGAAGTTCCCTTGGATAGTGACACCCTCTTTAGGGACGACTCTTGCTAATGGAAGTCCTGTTGCGGGATGCATCCTTAAGCCTTCTTTGATGCATGCCTATAGGAAGGGCAATTTTTGCGCCTCTGCAAATGTAATCAGTTCGGAGAGTTGTCCTCGTTCGGCTGCCTCGTCAATTTCTTGCCGAACCTAGGGACCTATCAGCTCAATTTCGAAAGTATATACATGGGGACTCAGCACTGACCCGTTTCAAGCTGTCAGGGGATGTTATCAAGTGGTACATGATGCTGGCCAGAGAGACTGAGGTTGTATCAGATCCGGCACCGATGTTCGTCAGACTGTGTGAAGTAACATCTTCGAGCAGAATCTTGTCTAGATTCTGTCCATGCATCCGTAGAATTGTGCCCAAAAAGTCTCTCTCTGGTGCTGACGCAAATTTATCCGGCCCAACTTCCTTGAACCGATTCTGACATAGCTGTTGTACAAAGCCGACCATCCACGATATTCCGCCCGAAGGAAGCTTGGCCGCCAGCCACCCGAGGATGGGATGAAATTCCGAGTAGACACCCACATTAGCGCAATATACCAGGTAGATGTGTATGGCGTCCAAGAACCCATGCTCATCTCGTCCATTCTCAACAAAACCAAAAGATTTTCCTAACTGTAAGAGAGTTAATTCGAGAAACCCTTTTGAGGTCTTCTCCTTACGGTAATGAGAGAGATCGTATCGAAGGCGAAATATTGGAGCCAAAGCTGAAGGTTAATACACTCGGCGGACTGTGCATGTTTCTTGAATTTCGAAATGAGGACCCGTGTGGACTCGTCGGTATAGTGCTCCCACTTCAGCATGGTTGTCATTGAATAAAGTGAAGCGACCTTTCTTCGATTTGCAGCATGTCGTTGGTTATTGATGTCGGTGAACAAACCCTTTCTCTCCAATCCAATAGGTGCACTGGCCGCGTACCACGGTGCCTACAAGGGAAGTTAGTTATTCCACGCTTCATGAAGCAAGATCAATTCGTAATGTGCGTGCATACCGTATTTCTTGTGGAGTTCAACATTGGATTTCTGAAAATCGCCCCTCCAGACTTTGCTTAGATACCACAGGCGCGTAAATCTGGCCCAGAATGGACCAGGAATGTGCCTCAACGGGCTCCTGATGACTCGAAGAAGCAAAGCCAACAGTGTCAATGTCGACAAGTCAAGCAAGACCGCGCCCGGCGAGGCCAAAACTATAACAGCAGGCGAGGCTATCATGCTTTGCTATGGCAGCGGACAACGTTTAGGGTGAGGCTAACGAGGAGGATGATGGCCTTGGGATGTTAGACACCCAGTCTGAGCAATATAACCGTCTGAGGGTGATGGGGGCCCGGCGGCGGGGTTCAAACGCCTCCACAAGGCCAGCATTTTCCCCCACAACCCCATTACTTTGCCCCACAAGTCTCCCAGAATGGTCAAAGTGTGAGTGCCATCTACTCGGATCGTTTAGGTCAAGCGATAGAGACCAATGTCCCGAAAGACGAATGGATGGCTTTCTGAGAGGCTTGATGAGAAAACCAGACAGGGAAGTGCAAGTCTACCGCCAGGGGAAAAAGTCCACGCTAAAGGCACCTGTTGAACAGGCGGTGACTTATCGTTCAAGACAGTCTGACTCGTTCTGCAAACAAACTCGCCCACTAGGCTGTATCACCATTGACAGGCAACAGTGTCGATGCACACTGCTTAGATAGATATGTAGATGGACTCTATCCTACACTCATTTGGAGAGCCAGAGCACTCCTTCAATCCAAAGTTACGCAAGAAGTGGGACATACGTTATTAGGATTCATTCTATTCTTTCTGCTGTGCCGAGGCGAGATCTGCAGATCTACTAACTGATAGATGGGGCACTACAGCTAGCGAAAGTTTTTGTTGGATAGAGATGAGAGGTTTCCATAGGCGACGACGTTACAGTTGGTTGCTCTGTGCAACGATGTAGCATTCGTGTGTCTATAAAAGGAGTCTCAGGACCTCGATAACTAGATAGAAAACAGAGCGCTCCTTCATCTCAAGTTGCACGAAAAGTTTGACAGCCCCCTCCTATAGTCCATCGCTGACGAACTGATAAATGGGGCGCCACAACCAATGAAGGCTTCAGCCAGAATAGTTCAACTGTAGAAGAGTTTTGTGTAACAACAGTACTGATAGAGGGTGTGGGGAGAGGGATCATAAATCGTTGCGAGCGTACAAGGTAGGGTGTGGAATGGCAATGTACTGAAACCTGTCTCTATATCTAAGGGTTCGAAGGCTCTTCTTATACCTTCGATCCGTTCATCTTCCTGCCTCCTTTCCAACGCCCAGCCCCCTTCCTGCCACCTTCGCAATGGCTGGGAATTCGTGGCGTGATGGGTGTTATAGTCGTCGTCTGTCAAGTCTCTAGTACTGGCGTTCTGCCGAGATTCGGCCATGATGTCGTTCTTGATCGAGTTGTCGTAGTTATCTTTGTCAGGTTATCGTAGTTGTCTTGATCGAGTTATCGTAGTTGTCTTTGTCGAGTTATCGTAGTTATCTTGATCGAGTTATCGTTGTTGTCTTTTGTCGTAGTGATTATCAGGTTGGTGCTACGTAGTGTGAGGGTTCGAGGTCAAGGATACAAACAATGTATTCTAGCTAACATCGGGTTCTAGGTACAAGACGTAGCACGAAGAGAGTTAAAATGGGATGCTACGCAGGAAGTGCTTGAAGAACCTCTGATTATGTAATCCTTAGCATGTGGTCCCGTGACAGAAAGGCCGCCGCCATCGGATCCAATCCATGGATCATGTCGACGTCGAGGCTTGTCTGTTCCCGCTCGGTTACGAAGCATCTCGAATGTGATTAGTAGAGCTTCTCTGAGTGGTTCATAGATTGGATCCGATGAAATACCACGACCCATCGGATCCAATCCATGGATCATCTCGGCGTCGAGGTGTCGAACTTGTGGTACAACTTGAGTTGAAGGAGTGCTCTTGTTAGGGTGGGGGCGTACGAGGGAACGAGAGTGGAGATCCGACAATGATATTACTATCCAATGCACTATTGTAGCGGGGCGCTACGTGCATGGATTATGTAAGGGGCAAGCAAACATGGGTGGGTAGAAAGATGGCGAGAGCATTGAGCCTTTCTTGTAATTTAGAGCTTGGAGTGTGTGGTTGCTCAACAGCTTTGGCGACGACATCCTCCCTGCATGACAGGCACTCAAGTGCTAAACCGTTCATCACCTATACACTATAAAGTACAAGACGAGAGACAAAGAACGCGAAAGTAGTGCGATGCTATCCCAGATACTTATGGCCAGCGGTACAGTCATACCGCAAGGCTATCGACAGGCACACGAGGCTATTCGACAGCCACATTGGGCCTGCCTGCCAAGACCGTTCGAGGGGCTTCCAGGTTGTGCCATGACAGCATTGTTTAGGTCGTCTCCCATCGTAGTAGAATAATTCGTAAATAATGGGCCCGCGCGTCGTATCACTGTGGAATACCGTGTGATTCGAGGTGGATAGTAGAGGCTCGTTGCAACGCGATCAATCTTCGGTACACTCCGTGATTGGCTAGCGCATGACATCTGCAGGGTCTTTGCGGGTGCGTCTGACCTTGGGTTTCCTTTTTAGGCGATAGATATAGACTTATCGCGAAAAGCCCCCCTTCAATGTCGTATCGCGGTAGACAATTCCCGCAATCTACGAGAGAGTTCGTCTCTGGACGACTCCATCGTAGGCGAAGATGGGGGGTTGCTCCGAAGGATCATCAACGCTTCGAAAGCAAGAAAGCAGAGATTTTCGAGCAAAATGTAAGAAGGCGTATTGCTCGTAGAATCGTCGTGACGAGGATCATAGATAGCGCAGCCCCGAGGCTACAGCCTCACGGCCTCGCTGTCGTGTCCCAACGGTTGTAATCAGTCGTAAAATTTACCGTTAAAGTTTTAGTGTTGCTACGAACTGTTAAAAGTTGTGTTGAAGGCTAGCCTAATCTATGAACAATCGTGGCTGTTTTATAGACGGCGTCCCTTGGCATCTTGACCAGAATCACAACGCTACTACAACCACACCGATATTTGGGCACGTGATTACCACAAGGGCGCGTAACCTTCCCAAGTGGAAAGTGATATGGGCCTCTGCCAAGAATCATAGACAACGAGCCGAGCCTTGGCGCCACCCATGCCACACAGCGCCAAGCCATAAATACATGATTCCAAATTAAGTTAAAGTTTAACGTTATATTTTATTCCGCAGAAATTCCCCTTCAAATTGACACCAAATCGTGGTTGACCTATCAAGGACGAAACCTAGTGGGCACACTGGGTTTTAGTCGAACCGATAAAATTGAGGGGCCTTACTAGTGTTCGATCATAGGTAAGGTAAGAGGGTTGTCCGGCCTAGCTCCATTGAGTCTAGGTGCTCTAGATGAGTAAACGTAATGCTCCAGCCAGTGATTGATTATGTCATACCGAGTTATGACCGGGGGAAGTTAAAACTCTCCTTCAGTTGAACTTGTCTGACTGAAAACTTTCGCTGGTTGTGGCGCCCCATCTATGAGTTCGTCAGGGATGGACTATAGGAGGGGGCTTCTGTTGTTTAATTTTTCTCTTTTTTTTTAAAATTTTATGAGAAGGGTTGTGTTGGGTCACGTGGATTTTTCTTGGCATTTCACGTGAGGAAATTGGTTTTGACCCGTCGCTGCTTGCGTCCCTTTCAGTCCCGCTCTCTTGTTAGATAGGAAAACAATGTATTCCTTCGTCTCTTCTCTAGATTCTACAATCTATCAAACGATTGTTGAGATTAGTCTCTACCCTATCACTTTCCCCGAAGCTATAATGCCGAACATTCCATTATTTACTGAAGTCGCAGGATTATTAAGCGAGCAGATAAATTCGTCCGTTATCCAGTCTCACGAATGCTCGGCTCGTCGACGTTTCTGTCCGAAGCAAGAAGCCGATTAACGAGTTAAGGGAATGTCGGAGTTCTAGCTTAATTCCGTACTTACCACCGATTCACAACCTTGCCGATGGCTTTGCCAGTTTTTTACGAATCCACTTGTCGTCCATCGCTATGTTCCAAGACCTGTCTTTCTAAAATCCATTTCATAGTATTTGAGAGTACGTTTCATCCTATATGTAACAGCAGCAGTCATGTCTTCCACAGCAATCACTAATGTCCGCGTTTTTGATGGCGAAAACATCCACCCGTCTACGACGGTGGTCATATCCGACACAACGATAACTAGTGTGGGAGGGATTGTCCCTGATGGAGCCGCAGTCGTCGACGGCAAAGGATGTACGCTGTTACCGGGACTCATTGACTCTCACGTTCACACGGGAATTCCACAATTGGAGCTTGCTCTCAGATTTGGGGTGACGACCGAGTTAGAGATGATGGGGCATTGGACCCCCGACCAGCGGAGCGAAATCTCGGAGCGAGACGACCTTGCTGATCTACGTACTGCGAACTATGGCGTGACACCACCCGATGGCCATCCTAGCCAATTGACGAAAAACCTGGACCCGCCGGTTCCTCACCCAAATCATTCTTACGGGTCGACCAATGAACCAATGCTCACAAACGCTCGAACAACAGATGAGGCGATCGCGTTTGTGAAGCAGCGTGTCAAGGAAGGCGCGGACTACATTAAAATCATGATCGAAGAAGGTTCGGTCTTTCAATCCCCAGGTCTCCCAATGTTGTCCCAGGAGACAATATTGGCGGCGGTTCAAGAAGCACATAATCACAATAAGTTAGCAATCGCGCATGCCATGACTTATGATGCTACAGAAGTAGCCGCTAGAGCGGGGATCGATGGACTGGCTCATCTGTTTATCGACCGTGGTGCCGATTCCAACATCGCGAAGAAACTGACAGGCATATTCATCACACCTTGCCTCTGCCTCAACGCTTCAATCTTAGGGAAGAAGCCTACAGATTTTGCTGCGGATCCTCGAGTGTCTGCAAAGCTCCCTCCAGTTTGGCTTACTCACCTCGAAGGCAGCATGGACACATATCCTGACGGCGATTTTGACGTCGTGCTAAAGACTGTGGCAGACCTCCGTAAGGCCGGAATCGACATTCTGGTCGGCACAGACAGCTCTTTCCCGGTGCCTCGCCTTGCTGGTATTGCTCATGGTGCCAGTGTGCATCACGAATTACAGCTTTTAGTGCAGTCTGGTTTCACGCCAACCGAGGCGTTACGTGCGGCAACAAGTGTACCAGCTCGTTGCTTCGGCCTGACTGACCGAGGACGAATCCAAGAGGGACTACGCGCAGACTTACTGCTTGTACAAGGGGATCCAACGAGCGACATTCGAAGCACATTATCTATTAGATCTATCTGGAGACGCGGTTCTCAATTATCCTCTGCCTCATAATAAGTAAGCTATCATAGTGAGAAAATGTACTCCTATTGTTTACGTCAATCTCATAGCAAGTGTAACACCTCGGCATACCACGTCGAATAGAGGGTTCCAGCCATCGTGGAAGTGGCTGGACGCCGCAAATGGATAAAGAGAAGGAAGAATCGAAAGGTATAAGAAGAGCCTTCTAACCCCTAGATCGACAGACAGGTTTCATGTCATGGTACAACCTGGAAGCCCCTCGAACGGTCTTGGCAGGCCCAATGTGGCTGTCGAATAGCCTCGTGTGCCTGTCGATAGCCTTGCGGTATGACTGTACCGCTGGCCATAAGTATCTGGGATAGCATCGCACTACTTTCGCGTTCTTTGTCTCTCGTCTTGTACTTTATAGTGCATTGGATAGTAATATCATTGCCGGATCTCCACTCTCGTTCCCTCGTACGTCCCCACCCTGACATTTCAGTACATTACTATTCCACATTCTACCTCGTGCACTCGCAACGATATATGATCCCTCTCCCTACACCCCTCGTAACGGATCCTTACCCTTCGTTGGTATTGTTGTTACAGCAAGCCTGTAAAGATGCATGGTGGATACTCTAATCTATATGACGTGGTTGATAGGCGAGTGGATCAGACAAGCGCGCGGATCACTCAAATTCTGTTGAACAGCAGCATTGAATAAATGCTAGCCAATCATTTATGACAGACTAGGACATTTTCCAACACTCGCTCAATAGGCTGTATTACCGTTGACAGGCAGCAATTATCAAGGAATGCCAAGGAACGGAAGGGCAAGCGTGATTCAAATGGGAATTGATGGAATTGACAGTCCTATATGATATCGACTCGATCGCTTGAGGAGTCAAGCGATGATGGGGTGAGATGAGCAGGTTATAAGCCTGCGTCTCGCCCGGTATCTAGTGTCTTGGTAGGGGCCGCCCTGACAGCAATGGTGACGTACACTCGTTAGATAGATATATAGATGGGCTCTATCCTGCACTCATTAGGAGAGCCAGAGCATTCAATACATCTCAGGTTGCACCCCGTTCAACAGTTGGCCGGTCTGATAAGGAGTGAGGCCTATATCGTCAGTAGCGTCGATGTTGGCGCCTCTCTGTAACAGCAACTTGGCAACGCCGACGCGGCTCATTTGAGCCGCACAATGTAGTGGTGTTCTTCCTTTGTCGTCCCTCAAATCGACGTCCAATCCTAGTCCAAGCAGGTATTCAACCACCTCACAATGGCCAGCTTCCGCAGCGCAATGAAGCGCTGATCCATACCAATTACACCTATATAAGTCCGCGCCTCGCTCAATAAGCATCTTCGCAAGTATAATATCATTTTCTGATACAGATCTGATGAGCGCAGTTGTTCCTAGGGATGTGGCGCTGTCCACAGGTATCTGATAATCATCAAGTAAGATCCTTGAGATTTCGTGCATATGATACCAGGCGACCAATGTCAATGGGTTGTTGCTGTTTGCTTCCTCTGCACACCAGTACTCTTCCCGTAGCCCGGCATCATATTTGAACATCTGCGCCAGACTGGCTCGATGAGGACCGGACCAGAGAAGCTCGAGGGTAGAATTGACTAAGGAGTCATATCCATTAACATGATAACCCCACCACCTCGCTGCGTAAGGATAGAACGGATAGGAGTCGATACGCTCAAGAATGTCTTCTTCAAGTGCACACGCACCAAGTGCAAAATCGTCCATTTTAAGGTATTCCAGGCATAATTTACCCATGGTGACGGGGGGAGCAGCTTTCTGGCCAAAAGTATCGTTTTGAATGTATTCCTGCAACGAAAAGTGAACCAGATGAATGATCGATGTGTCCTGGTCCAATACCACCAGACCTCCGCAACACTCAAGAATGGTGGCACACGACGGGCAAAATAGTCTGTCCAGTTGCTTCTGATTCGACCTTACTGAGAGAATATCGCAGAGCTCATCGCTTTGCAGAGGCCGCTTGGCGTATGCCAAAATTGAGAGAACCTTTCTTGCAAGCTCTACCCGAGATTGACTCTGTTGAGTTGTTATTCTTGTCAACATTCCCTGAAATGTTAGCTGAAGATTGTTCGGAATGCCAGACAGGGCGGCCAGTGCATCTCCGATTGTAGGTTCGTTCAAAACATTATCTATGTGTAGAACAGCTAGGAGAAATCTGTACATACTGTTAGTCATGCGAAGAGGTGCCATACCTATGAACCTGAGCATGGGGATATGGTGCACCTACAAGCCACGTGACTGATATATGATCGTTCGAATGATTTGCTCCGTAAAAGAGTCATCACCAAGAAAAGAGTTAGATGTAGAATACATCCGAGCACGGAGATAGACCTGAAGGTCGCCCTCCTGCGCCACGACATCAATCCGAGGATCACCACGGAAAGCATGGGAGACATCATCTAGGTGTGGGCGACTTGTGATGATAATCTTGCATGACGACGCAAGGGTTTTAAGAGAGGACAGTAAAATGATTCGCTCCTGTGATAGAGCTTCGTCAATGGCATCAATGATAACAAATACTCGATCAAATTTGTTAACACATGCCTGAATCGCAAGCATTGTCTCCTCAAGCCCCATCTCTTTGTCCTTCGTATTGAGTTTGTCATACAACGTCGTGATGGTCATGGGTAGTGGTTCAAGTCTGTGGCTAAGTTGTCGAAGAAGACTTCGTAAGATAGCGACACACGTTCCATCGGCTTCTTCTAGATGATCAATGAAATGGTAAATAACTGCGTACTTTTCGGCGGTATAAAGATCCAGTAGATGATCGATCATCAACGAGCTGTTCTGTGTAAGCATATGTCTTACAGACTTGAGCCTAGCCGCTTTAAAAACCTACGCAAGAACCGATTTGCCCGTCCCAGGATCTCCACAGCACCAGAGTAGATGACCCGGAGGCTGGTCCCCATACATCCACTGCTGAAACGTGCTGCTTTTAAGCAACCACTGTCCAGTGCCCTTCATCCGCCGTTTAGAGAGGTCGATGTATTTCCGTCGGTAGTTGAACATCGATATCCAGTTCAGAATTCGGTCTTTCTCCTTGCTAGCCGCTTCGTCCACGACAAGATTGAAAGTCTCTATTCCTCATCAGTAGTGATAGCAAAAGTTCTCAGAGCTCTACCTTCTGTAGGATCGTGTCTTGACGGTCCTACAGAATGATCAGTGACCCAAAGCGGGAGACTTAGCTGTCAATGCATGAGCAACAGAGGCTTACCTATGATTGATGTGTCCATGATCGCTGCCACTGGTTTGGGAATCTGAGCTTCTGATGCCGCAGAGAGTACTGCTTTGGCATATCCCGCTGCTGTTGCTGCAGCATATGCTTGCCACTTCTTGTTTTTGTGTGAATCGGAATAGTCACAGACTCCTCGGACAATTAGAGACGGAAAATGGTCCATCAACCCAGCAGCTTCCATTTCGAAGCAGAGAATGCCATGCTCTTGGGCTAACATATCCCTAGTACGTCCATGCCTCATTACTTGATTTCCTGAAGCGATCAGCCCGTAATGAATTACGGGGTTACTGCTAGGCCGAACGGGTCGAATTACCAGCCTGCTCCGATCGCACCTATCACAGGAGCTTTCTGAATCCACATGCTCATATTGAGCTTCAAACAACCAGTCCTCCTGTGGACCAAGGTAGGTGAATTCATTCGTCATGGTCGGGTGCCTAGCCGCCGCCTCAGCCAAGTACTCCGTAATCTTACTCGATTGTGACTTGTCTGCTTGTAGCTTGGACACTGCCTTCAGGACCACTTGGGGTGGTTTATTCAACGTGCCAGTACGTTTGAACACTCCTTCTCGGATGGCCTTGCCGCAATCATACGGTACAACTCCCCCAAAATTCTCTGTAGGCTTGCTGACCACAACATCACCTAGTCGGATATCTACGAGCTTGCTGGGCGCTCCACCTCCGATACCCACCATTAACCCAAAGCGGATTGATCTAAAGGTGGATTGCATCTTATTCGCCACCAGGGCTGCTGAGGTCGTGCCATAAACCCCCGAGGGCAAACAAGTAATAACAATATTGTGAACACCCATCTGCCCTAACGTATATATGTTGTCATCGTCGGGAGGGTTAGGTAGATTTGGGTGCGTCTCGTCCAACATGGCTTCGGCTGCAGTCATCTCCAGTGCAAGGGCGCAGATCCAGCCGACTGTATAATCGCCATGCAAGAAGCGGCGTGCTCTACCCGCACTGGAATGTCCTCGTCCGTCCTCATCTTCTACATGCAGCCGTATTCTCTTAGGCTCCTTATGCCTCTGGTTTTCTCCATGTCCATGTTTGAGACTGAGCATCCTGCGTTTGTGCTGCGGAGGTTATAAATGACTTTGACAACCTTAATTAAAATGTTGGGCCGAGAGAAGATTGATTGATTGAATCTATCTGAGCGAGGCGCAAGCTAGAAAAAATACGAGTTGTCTCTAGATGTTGAAAGATTGCCTTCAGTCCACGGCGGTGAGCAGTTAGCCAAGACCTCGAAGCGCCAAGTGTGATAAGTGGCTCCGCCAAGGCCCTCGGAGGCGTTGTACGTGTCCCCTAGGGGTCGCGGACAGGATATTCCGCGAGGGGTGAAAGTGTAGCTTTGTCTTTTGGGGGCAAGCCCCCAAACCCCCGGCCTCGCTGCGCTCGAGAGATCACGTGACTGAGCCGGCCACATTGGGCTTGGCAACTCTTGGCGGCGCACACATGCGTAATTGCGACCCCTCGGGATCCGGAAAATCTATAATCCGACGACTCTGGCGCCATCGGATCCAGTCTACGGGCAACCGCCAGGCCCTCGTGTCACGTGATTAGCCAAGCCTCCGGAAAATCTATAATCCGAGGATTACGTAATCCTGTGGTTGACCTCATCGGATCCAATCCACGGCCCACTCAGGAGAGTGCGTCGGAGCCCGGAAAATCTATAATCCGACAGCTAGTCACGTGCTCTAACTGACCAACCCCATCGGATCCAATCCACGGCCCACCCAGGAATGGGTAGAGCGCGGCCGTAGCCCGGAAAATCTATAATCCGACACCCAGTCACGTGCTCTAATTGGCCAACTCCATCGGATCCAGTCCACGGCCCATCCAGGAGGGGTGGAATGCCGCCATAGCCCGGAAAATCTATAATCCGGCACCCAATCACGTGCTCTAATTGGCCAACCCCATCGGATCCAATCCACGGCTCACCCAGGAATGGGTAGAATGCCGCCTTTGCCTGCCAGACCTCCCTGATCGGATCCAGTCTATGGATCATATATTGTGATGGGGTGAGGTAGGCCTATGCCAAGCAGTCACGTGACAGAGTAGGCAAACAGTGCAAATGTTGGGCAGACGGCTCTCTTTCGAAGGGAGCCACATGAAAAAAGGAGCAACATGCATAACAGAGACGTAACAACAACGGAGACAGCAACAGACATTTTTGGGCACAACTGTTATTAGTCTACCTTCGTGTACTTTGACGCTTTTACCTACCTGCCTTTGAAGTGATCCTTAAGCTCGCGCTCCCACTTTGGCCTGTTGTGTGGTGTGTTGGTTGTTGATTTGAGTCGAGAAGGTGCTGGTTTGGCAGCCCCCATATCACCCCTCCAAAATATAGACGGTGATGATCACGGTGTCCTGTGCCGTACGATATCCTCCATCGGATTCAGTCCATGGACCATGAAGTAGGGGAATGTCTCGGGAGAGCGACAACCCACAGCGACTCGCGTACCACAGCGACATCACTAAACACCAATCGGGCCTAGTTGTGCGAGCGTAGTCCGCATGATGGGGAGATACCTGAAAACCCCCCATTTTCCTAGGGGTTTGAAGTACCTTTCCATCTACCCTCATATAGTTGGTGCTTTTTGATGCTCTTTCAACGATGTCGTTGACCCCTTTTAATGGAGCCCTTTCCACTCGCCTTTCCACGCCTTTTTGCACTCGATTTTGGTGTTGTGACGTGTTAGACCCTCTCTGACGCCTGTGTAGCCTGTCTGTCGTCTCTGCAGTCCTCCTGTCGCCTCATGGCTTCGCTGCCGGCCCCCTTCAGGGCCGTCCTAACGCCCTGTGAGCTTCCTGTGAGTCCTGAATGAATCCCTGCTCTTTTGCCCGGTTGCATCTCGCAGTGAGTGCTCATTCTCTTGCCTCTACCTCCTACCAGGTACCTTTCCATCGTTCGGACAACGCCCATACAACTAGGCCCGATTGGTGTTTAGCATTGTCGCTATGGTACGCGAGTCGCTGTGGGTTGTCGCTCTCCCGAGACATTCCCGGCCTACCTCACCTAGGCCTTGACATGGGCCGGGTTAACCCGGCGGGTTTGGGGTCGGGTTGGGCTTTGGGGCGGGTTTTGGGCTATTATTCTTTCGACCCAAAACCCTGCAGGGTTGGGCCGGTAAAGGGGTCCAACCCGCCCAAAACCCGTTGGGTCGCCCAAAGTTTAATTAAATACAGGATGACATAATGCGCGTAATCCAATACAAGTAACTATTATAATAACTATTACTATTGCAAGAGCTCGGACTCAATGAACTATGCCAAAGACTTTCTCGTAGTATATATTATTCCAACTAAGTTAACTATTACAATGATTACTGCTTTATGAGCATTCCCTTCAATTCAATGATTTGAAAATCGCTTGGTTAATACCATATGTTACTGTGCTTAGCTAATTTATACGTAGGGCTCTTCGCATCTACTTACTCTACAAGGAAAGAGTCTATAAATAGTTATACTTTGGGTTGACCCGACCCAACCCGGCCCAAATGAACGGGTTTCTGGGTTGGGTTTGGGTCAGGCCTTGGTTGACCCGAAAACCCGTTCGGGCGGGCCAAGGGGGGTGAAAACCCAGCCCGACCCGGCCCATGTCAAGGCCTAACCTCACCCCATCACAATACCAGCACCTCACGTGAAGGCTCGTAACACAGGTTGGCGGTGGGACCTTTGCATTCATCGTTATTGTTCGTGGTGAGTGAAACACCTTGTCGCTCTTATTATGCTACCACTAACATGATAGATTTTACTGTGTATCCACAGCGATAATTATACATGAATCTTATCAAAAGGCGGATGTCAAACTTCTTGTACAACTTGAGTTGAAGAAGTGCTCTGTTTTCTATCAAATTGAGGTCCATGTTTATGTAGAGAAAGATCGTTGCCACCTTTCGGTGTCTCCGAAAATGTCGCCACACATTGTTCAACAGAGGAATATGCTGGTGTTCATATAATTGCTGCTGATTCCCTAGGACATATCGATGCTGAAGCCTCGGAATTTTACTATCCGGAACAAGAGCAGAGCCTGAGATGCCATGCCAGAACTGACATGGCCTTCCGAGCCCCACTTTTGGCTCCACAATAAGATTCGTAATGTACCGATACACCCTATAGTGGTCTGGAGAGCGATCAGCTCGGAATAATAGATTGCTTTTGACATCAACGATCATGTGTGTCGAGGTGGGTGGTGGCAGAAGGAATTTTTGTCCCATTCCGGGGGCAGTACTTCCACAAGATGTAACCTTTACAATTAGGAATTGGCCTAGAGCATAGGTCTTGATCAAGTTCAAGAATCCCAAGACCCGACTTTCCTCAACCGTGGAAATGGCTTACAGCGACCTCAAAGGGAAGACGTTCATCATTACGGGAGCTAACTCTGGTCAAGGTCGTGCTACTGCGCTTTTGTTGGCGAAACAGGGCGCGAATTTAGGTACGCTTGATACTCATCTCGATGACTGTCGATCATGTCGACTTACAAGATAGGGCTCTTGGACATTGTCAAACCGAACGACGTAGTCACCGAAGCTTCGAACCTAAAGGCAAAAGCGCTTGCTTTCCAGGTCGATGTTGCAGTCTACTCTCAGGTCGAAGAGGCTGTCAGGGCGACAGCCGATCACTTCGGAGGGGTCGACGGTGCTGCAAATTTGGCCGGTACAATTGGTACACAGGGTTGGAAAGGGACAGGATACTCCCTAGAGGCCATAGAAGATCAAGATTGGGACTTTATGCTAGGGGTGAATCTGGACGGTGTCAAAAATTCACTCAAGGCTGAGCTAAAGTATATCAAAGACAATGGAAGCATCGTAAACGCCTCCAGTATCGCTGGCCAAATGGGTTCGGCGACAAATGCGCCTTATGCTGCAGCCAAATGGGGTGTTATAGGCTTGAGCAAGAGTGCCGCACAGCAAGGCGGGCAGCGCGGGATCAGGGTTAACGCTGTCGCTCCGTAAGTTGTCCGTTTTACGTGGTTAGGGTAAGAAGACAAGCCTGACATCTGTTTACAGCGGGTTCATCAACACCCCCCTCCTCTATGCAATTGGAGACCTCGATAAAGTAAACCAGTTAGTGGCACAGAAGACGGCTTTGAAGCGTATTGGTCAGCCAGAAGAAGTCTCGAGGCTTCTGGCCTTCTTGTTGAGCGATGTGTCTAGTTACATTACAGCAAGTGTATGCATGCCCCTTGATCGCACGGCTCTTACAGAGGGATCCACGACTGATGAGCGTATAGACTATCAATATAGATGGAGGTTATCAATGAGGCCCGAAAACAAGCCTAGATAGCCAAGCTTGCATTGTATAGTCCGGATACCAGATGCTATGGAGATCGGGTAGAGGAGCTTACGAAGCAAAAAGTGTAATAACTTGTACCTGGTCAATGCGTTTTACGAGAGCAACTGAAGAGGAACGTTAACCAAGTCTGCTTCCCATTGTTTCAACACGAACAAATCAGGATACGCGACCCAGGATCCGTGTGCTAAACCCTCCATGAACCTTTAAGCCCGACTGAAGGGTTCAGAAGTTATACGATGGGAGAGGAGAGACTAGAGATGTATCACCGACCTTCTCGAGAAGTGTAGGACGAATCGACCAGCCAGCAGGGAGCATATCCTTATCCGTTTCAGCGGTTTTTGCGACCCAAACCTTGGTCAGAGTAAAAATGACCCCCTTCCTAAACCACTTCGATGAAATCGCTTGGACGTCGTAGGGCGATATAGGTCCTATTGATGGTGTACTACTACGAAAGCTTGTTCAGCATCTTTCATGTCGCGAAGGAAAGAAGAAAGCTTTTAAAGTATCAGCCACCAAACTTTGGAGAGGATCGGTTTGTCGCCCGGGTTACTTTATTGCGTGGTTCGGATCGGATAGATGATGGGAGTACGGGAACTGTAAGGGAGCTGTCAATGCTGACGCTGGGGCAGTACCGAATTCCGAATCGGAATGCATGCCACCCATGATACGGCGTTTCGACTGGTTTAGGCCGATGATCGTATCTGCAGAAGTCTGTCTATGTTATTAATGTCCCTGCTTGGAATCAGGACCTGGATATTAAATAAGAATTCACCGTAACCGTTCACGATGTTGCTGAACGGTACCGCGCTTGTCACGGGGGCAGGTAAGGTCAGGCCTTGGAAGCTTATATTTCACGTTATTAATCTTCATAGGATCTGGTATAGGACGAGCTGTCGCACTCGCGTGTGCGGCCGGCGGATGCCGCGCTATTACGGTTGCCGATAAAAACCTCGAAGGAGTGCAACAGACAGAACGCCTAGTCAAAGAAATCGGTAACAAAGTGAAGATTCTCACGTTGAGTATAGACGTCAGCGAGGTCAAGGCCGTAGAGAATACGGTTCTAAGAACTGTGGAGGCTTTCGGGAGTCTTGACTACGGTCAGCGCGCTGTTTCCGTGTTTGTGAAATTCTTTAAAAGGATTTCTCTTTTTGTGTATTGGCTGATCAACAGAATCTTGCAGCCTTTAACATTGCAGGTGTTTGTATATCTTTCTTCATCAGCAGAGGTCACCAGCTCATTCAAGGGGAAGATATCCTGTAAAGCACGTGTTGCAACGGCAAAGTATCCGATGGAGGAGTATGACGATATTCAAGCTGTCAATGCTCGAGGTCTCGCATTATGCACTCGGGCCGAAATCCAAGCAATGCTGAAACAGAATCCCAAGGTCACTATTGATTCCTACAGCTCTCTTCGTGCCCAGAGAGGAAGCATAGTGAACATTGCCTCAACGTGCGGGTCGAATGTCATACCGGATCTTTTCCCATATGTGGCGTCCAAGCATACAGTTATGGGGATCACCAAGGCGGCTGGAGTTGACCACGCGACAGACTTGGTACGCATCAATGCCGTCTGCCCTGGTTTGGTCGAGACGCCAATGATCGCCGCTAGGCGAAAGCAGCTTCAGGATCGAAATCAGGAGACGCCTACGACTAGCTCAGAGGCATGGGCACCTGCAAATATGTACAACACTCCTTTAGGCAGGCTCGCCCTGGCGGAGGAGGTGGCAGACACGTGCGTCTTTCTAGCAAGCTCGATGTCTAGCCATATCACTGCGTCTTCTATTACAGTTGATGGCGGTAGGACAGCAGCCTACTAGTATTCTAGAGAGATATTATCTCGGGCCAATGGCATTCCACTGTTGATATTCATGTTACGATCAGTAAAGTTTTTAGTAGAATGTGTGAATTACCTCTCTGGCTTTGAGCAGCATGTTTTTAAGGAGGGCCAACGACTACTAGCACGATATTTCGTTCTCTCCTTAACTTGGTAACGTCTTTGAATAATTTGTAGAGATAGACTTAGAGGTAAATCTCAGAAATCATTGTTATAAGCTGGCGGCCTAATGCATCTCGGACATCGCAAGGCCCTGAATCCCAAAGGACCCTCGCAGGATTTTGGTTGAACCTCCACACACCACATGGAAGCCTAATCTACCTTTCCAGATCAGGGGCTTGCTTTGGACATGACATGACCGCATCCCCGATATAATACTGGAAAGCTCAGGGTCGGAAGCTAGGATGATTACGTCAATCATAGGCCAACCTCCTGAGCACAGGGGTACCTTCAACTGTGGCCAATCTTTGTTACAGCAGGTGATATAGCCATTTTCGCAGCCTACATGCTAGCGATACCAACTCCTTTTTGACAGGAGTGCTCTCTCCTAGGTTCCGAACAGGCGCATCGGCGGAAGCGAATCTGCATCGATCCCGAAGACCCATCATTTCCAAAGATTTCCTGGCAGTAGCCGTAGGAAGTGTCGTCGGAAATTTGATTCGGAAAAACTGTTCGGCGCAAATGAAGCTGCATGTCCTATATCTCTGTCCCGTAGTGTGGTCTAACTCTGGGGCCAACAGATGGCGATACGATACTCTATTGTTCTTATCCAAACGGGTTGTGCTCGACCAAACTGATTAGGCCTGATTAGGCACAATACCCACTATCACATAACTTGGCGAATATCAACACAATGGCACGAGACGCTGTTCCTACGACAACACTCGAATCAGAAGTCGCCACTCTTCCCTTGCCTAGACTTCTCCCAAATCTAGTCTCCGATCGGGCATCAACGGAACCAAATAAGATATGGGGCTCTATACCTATCAGTTCTCAAACGACCAGCGCTGGGTATGAAGACATATCGTACCGGCGCTTCAACTACGCCATTGACAGGGCGGCATGGTGGATGCACAATGTCATTGGACCAAACAGACTTCGACCATTTGAGCCTCTAGCATACCTTGGGCCTCCCGACACAAGGTATATCGTTTTTAGTCTTGCGGCCATTAAGGCAGGTTTTCAGGTAAGTTGAATCAAACCAGGTGACGCTTAAAGCAGAGATGTCGTGATACTGACAGGCAAGAGATGTTATACCTCTCACCGAGGAATAGTGACGAGGCACAATATGCAGTCATGAAAGAGGCAAATTGCCATAAGTGGCTTTGTGCAACCGAGATAAAGGCGAAAGTGGAAGCTTTGGTCGAGAATAGACCACTTAAAACCTTGGATGCGAACAGCAGCCAGACAGAGAGCTGGAATGACACATTGACTGTGGTTCCGGGACAGACTGAGCTATTGAAAGATGAGCCGACGCCACCATTCCGGTACAGCAAGACGCTAGAAGAAGCAAGATGGGAGCCCTTGGTCATGCTTCATACGTCAAGGTTTGCGTCACATACTAGCTGAGACTATTTTGAGCACAGCTGCGAGTTACGAGTAGCTGACCCGTGAGTTAGCACAACCGGTTTGCCCAAGCTGATCCCCCTAACCCAGGGATACGGCTTCCATGAAGATGTGATCCAGCACTACCCGAAAGCGGGCGAGTTGGATGTTCTCACGCGCAAGCCCTTCGACGGCGATTGCAGATTATTTCTTGCTATGCCTCTTTTTCATGTTGAGTCCCCCTTATCATTGAGAGTCCCATCCCCCAGACAAATTTTCACCATGTACTTCCAGTACAGCTGAGAGGTTCTCTTCTGCTAACGGTCCGACGTATCGCAGGCCGGTGGAATCTTGTTGGGTCTGCTGAAGTCACTTTACCACGACATAGTGATGGTGTTCCAGCCTCCTGCTGTTCCATTGAGTGCCTCGGTCGTCGATGGGATTCTGCGCCATGGAAAGTGCGATGGGACTGTCATCCCTCCGTTTCTGGTCGAGGAGATGTTGGGTGTTCCTGAATATTTCGACACACTTGCCGGCCTGAAATTTGTGCAGTTCGGCTCCGGACCGCTTAGCAAGTACTGCGGCGACACTTTACTCACGCGCCAGAAAAGTTGTCCTCATTTCATCGGTACTACAGAAGTAGGTTTGATTCCCATGGTGGAACTTGATGATCCAGAACAGGAGTGGCAATATTTCCATTTTCATCGGTGGAGTGGGGCCGACATGAGGCCTATCGATGACTCGGGCAGCCTCTACGAGCTTTTCATCAAGAAGATCGACGTTAATGTTCCTGGAATCCAGCCTGTTTTTGAGCTCTTTCCCCAGCTCACCGAGTGGCCAACAAGAGATCTTTACGTGCAGCACCCTCACAAGCCGTATTTGTGGCGTACTCGCGGTAGGGCTGACGATGTGATTGTGCTGTCCAACGGTGAAAAGTTGAATCCAGTCGACATCGAGTCACATATCGCAAAGGCGCACCCTGCTATCACTGGTGCATTGATCGTCGGACAAGGACGATTTCAGCCGGCCCTGCTCTTGGAAGTCAGAGGCATAGATGTCGAAAATGAGGACAAAAAAAAGGACTTGTTGCAAGCTATTTGGCCCACCATCAAAGCAGCAAATAAGACTTCTCCCAAATACGGACAACTTACGAAGTCCCTGATACTCTTTTCGTCACCTAAGAAACCATTCCTTCGTACTCCGAAGCTCAGCGTTAGAAGAAAGCCAACAGCCGACCTGTATAGCGAAGAGATTGATGAACTATATCGCCGGATAGAGGGTGAGGTAGACAACGTCGACCGCAGTGACCTCCCCGAGGATACTGATCTCCGTGATCTCAGCTCAGTTCAGAATTTTGTGCGGCGTCTTGTTGGGAATGTCACGGGATGGATTGCCAACCCTTCTCAGGATACTGATCTGTTCATGCTAGGGATGGACTCACTCCACGTTGTCCGCATTGTTCGAGCCATAAGGGCAGCGATGAAGGATTCTGTGAATCTCAGCCAAATCGCCGAACTAACTTCAAAGATCATCTATAATAATCCCACGATCGACTCTTTGTCGCAAGCGCTGAACGACATCGTTCAGGCTCATATTGCGGATCAGACAACTGGTCTACAAAACGATCGAAATGGTCACGAAACCGACAATCGAGAGAATAGGATTCAAGAGATTATCGACAGATGGACACACGGTTGGGATTATCAATCCGCGACCCTTGGAAATGCTCTGGAGCGCCAAACCTCCCCGAATACCACAAGTGAGACCAACGGCGTCGTTAGGAAGAAGGCTTGGACCGTCATCTTGACAGGTTCAACGGGATCACTTGGATCACACATCCTTGAAAGCCTTCTCCATCATCCATCAGTTTCACAGGTTATCTGCTTAAATCGGTCCGCCGATGCAGCCGCCAAATGGAAGCAGACAATTGTGAATCGAAAGCTGTCCACAGAATTGGCAGATCCTGGGCGTGTTCAATTCCTTCGGACAACAAACCTGGGGGCACATTGCCTAGGTCTAGAGGAAAACTCGTACCAGCACCTGCTTCAGTCAGTCACACATGTGATCCTAAACGCTTGGCCAGTGAATTTCAACCTATCGGTCTCGTCTTTTGAGAAAAACCACATTGCCAGCATCCGTCGATTTACAGACTTCAGCTCAAGCTCTCTCAGGGGTGCACACATTGTCTTTGTATCCAGCCTATCTTCGGTAACATCTGGGGGGCTCAAGCAATCAGTTCCGGAGAAGATAATCCAGGACAATTCTATGCCATCACACATGGGCTATGGCGAGTCTAAATACATTGCAGAGCGCATCCTTGACGCCGCGACGGCATCATCGAAAGGCCGCATACCCACAACAAGCCTTCGTGTTGGCCAAATTGCTGGACCGGTGCCGAATGTGGATGCTGCGGAGGATAAAGTCAAGTTGGAGGTTTGGAACGTCCAAGAATGGTTCCCAAGTCTAATAATCAGCTCGAACACGGTGCAAGCTTTACCCGCCACTCTCGGTCGCATGGAAAACATTGACTGGATTCCTGTGAACGTGCTGGCCAATATTGTCATCGAGCTTTTGCAATTCGACAACGAGGAAATCGAACGCCAAAAGTACTCCGGGGGAGGTGACATCCTTTTGACTTCACGCGTTTACCATCTCATCAACCGTGCGGTTGTAACCTGGCAGCAAGACATTTTGCCCGTTGTGCAACACTCCCTTGCAATCGACAAGGTAGTTCCGTTGTCGGAGTGGATTGAGCTAGTAGGCTCAAGCTCTGACTCTGATGGGGATATCAATGCAGCAGCCAATCCTGCGGCCAAGATCCTGCCTTTCTACCAGAGTCTACTATTGAGACGAGACGAAACCTTGGCAGCAAGACCGAAATACCTGACTGAGCAGACCCAAAAAGGCAGCCCTATTCTAAGGAAGATAGGACCCGTGAGGGCAGAGTGGGTAAATCGATGGTTAAGTGATTTGAATCTGAATCTGAAGGTGAAAGTCGGATCGGCGTAATCAGATAGAATGGTATCATAGCAGGCCTCGAATGTGTTATGCATCGATTGACGTAAGATCGATGCACACATTGGCTGAGAGGGCTCCTAGAATCTCCATAATCCACAAACCGCTTAGGCCGAGAGCATTTTCTCGGGAGGAAGATGTTTAAAATAGATAACATGGCATAGAGCTTCTTTCGAGTATTTCAACCTGGAATCATCACGAAGAAAGTGGCGATTGTAAGTCCTGGACTCCATCCATGCTCGATCAAGGGTTGTAACAACCGCAGGGGCCTAATTCGTCTACATCATAGCTTCATAGCTTCGACCCATTGACAAGCATAACACTCCCCAACCGGAGTTTTTCTACTGCACCGTCCACGAACTCATCCACAATTTCCCTTGCGCTACTTCTGTGGTTCACCGTGCCAGCCACAATGCCCATGAGATACGGGTGTAGATTGTCTAGAACCTCTTCATCATCTGGATGCTCCTCTGCATCGTTTTGGACTGGGAGAATGCCTTTTCCAGTTAGAGCTTTGATCTCCTGCTGCCGATTCTCTTCCCAGTTGAGGATATATGGAGTTTTGCGTATCCGTAAAGGGCGTCCCTAGACTCCGTTGTTATCTAAAGGGCACCCGTGTTTTCAGAAAAGATACATACCGAGAATATAATACTCCTGATAGTGTCGTCAACAGTCGCAGTTAAGACCGCCTCTTGGTGAGCTTTGGATGCTCCCGCTTCATGGGCAACAATGAACCTCGTTCCAACCCAGACGCCGGAAGCGCCGAGCATCAAAGCAGCAGCCAAGCTTTCGCCACCGGAAACACCACCAGCTGCCACGAGTTGAACATCAACGCCGGTCAAAGCACTTTTTTTCCCTTTGAGCAATTTTGCCACGACTGGAATCAACACAGAAAAGGGAATGTCGCCAGTATGACCACCAGCTTCTCCTCCTTGGGCGCACAAAATATCCACATCAAGATCCAAACACTTTTGGACATGCTTGGGATGCCCGATCATGTTCATGTACAAGACTCCGGCGGCATGGAGACGCTCCACCGCCTGTCTTGGGGGCGCTCCAACCGCAGAGACGAAGACGCGGGCTTTTGACTCAACGACGACATCGATGAGTTCCATCAGTTTGCCTTTCGTGTAGTCGTAACTTTACCACTCACGTTAACATCTCGAGCACGGTGACGGTCTGACAGCCAGTCTCGTCGTTTACTTACTTTGTCTTGCGTGCGTTACCTCCCACCTGAGGAAGTAGAATGTCGACGCCAAAAGGTGCGTTCTTGTCAATCAAGTACGACTTGAGCTCCTTGACTTGTTCACGAAGCCCGTCTGGACTGTATCCGTGACCTCCAATGACACCGATGCCACCTGCATTAGTGACCGCAGCTGCCAACTTCGGTCCTGCAGCAACTCCCATGCCAGCGAGCATTACAGGATGCTTTACACCAAACAGGTCCGTTAGAGGTGTCCGTATTTTCTCTGTGCATTTTTAGCAGAGGCGGGTTCCTGAGGTGGATTACCTACGTCGAGAGCTCATCTTGGTCGAAAATCTCGTTTGTACCGTAGATGCGTGCTAGAAATTAGGATGATTCTTAAGGGTAGGTTTTAACTCCTCCACCACGGCGTTAGAGAAATCATCATATCGAGTCAAGGATTCATGATAGTTTCCCACAACCTTCCTGGAGACAAGGTCAAGACACCGAGGAGGTCGCGAATCTTCTCCATGTCCGGGCCTCGGCTAGCCATGCATTCAACTTGCTGCGGTTCCAGACACGCTTATCACGTGGTCCGAGCCTCCGAGCCTCCGAGCTGACCACCCAGGCATTATTCCTCGGAATCATTTACTGGCCGCTATTTCCTTGCATTACAAATTATTCCGCTGGCTAGGACGCTGGAGCGAGTTAGATGGCATGAAACGTCGTTATCGTAATCACATGGTGTTCGTATTCAGGTCATGTGACATCGTACTAGCGAATATTACTGTGCTACAGCTTCCGTTAGCTATACCTTATGGTGAAACGTACCATTCGATCTACATTAGATCAACTTCAGACGCTTAGTGGACAGTGACATCCGTACGAGGACTCATGAATCTAGGGAGGGCGGCATCAAGACTGGACAAGGAGCACACGTTGTAGAGTTGATAACCCTCCAAGGATTATCTGCCAGACTTCTCAACCAGCCGAGACGAGCCGAGACTGAGCGAGACTAGTTGAGCTCGGGCAAAACCCTAGCTCGTCTCGTCTCGTTTATGGACCGGGATTAACTATTTTCCGGGACCTTCGCCGTCGGATCCAATCTGTGGACCCCCCTCGTCGCCCATTTTCCGGGATCACGTGCTCCTCCCGGGGACCGCCCTCTTGACTTGACATGATCCATGGATGAACCGGTGGGGGACGGTGGTAGCGCGTAGTAATTAGCTAGTCCCCTATGGGCTTAGCCCGCACAGGGTGTTCGGATCCGATGAAATCCTCCTGTCAGACAGCTGGTGACTAGTGCCAAGAGCCCCTATTCTGGCATATATAGGGGGCCTTCCCCACTACCCATAGGTGCACGAGTTTTCACCTCTTCTATCCGCATCTCGCTCTGTTCGACACCTCCCTTCGACCATCGGATCCAGTCTGTGGACCACCCTGACAAGCTCGATTGATCATACTTGACATGATGCACGCATTGGATCCGATGAAATCCCCCGTCGCCCATCAGATCCAGTCTATGGACCACCCAAACAAGCTCGATTGATCACCCTTTATGGGACCGAGAGAGGATTGATTAATTGAATCTATCTGAACGAGGAGTAATTCTAGGCAACAAGCAACGATAGGCAGTAGCAGAGTGTAACAACTTGTCATGGCACAACCTGGAAGCCCCTCGAACGGTCTTGGCAGGCCCACTGTGGCTGTCGATAGCCTCGTGTGCCTGCGTGGTAGCCTTGCGGCATGACTGTACCGCTGGCTATAAGTATCTAGGATAGCTTTGCACTGCTTTCCTGCTCTTCGTCTCTCGTCTTGTACTCTAGTCGGATCTCCACTCTCGTTCCCTCGTACGTCCCCACCCTGACACAACTGTTGTAACACCCGCTGTGATATGAAACCTTGACTTACAAATTAATTATGGAAACATTCCAAATCAGCCATGAAAGCATTCCGGTGCAGATATCTCGAGGAAGTTTACAAGAGAATAAAAGGGCTCTAAGAAGCGATCTAGCTACGAAGCTTGCAGTGACTTATAAAGAATAAATCAGAGAGTACAAAACTCAATGGAAAAATTAAGTTGTAGCAATATAGACAGAGTATGTAAACAAGTGAGAACCCTGTTATCTACAACTTATGGGCCCCGGCCACACGCTTGATGAACGCTCGGCCATTTGTGAGGACTTCCTTCCTGTCCTTATTTTGAACCACGAACCTAATCTCTTCAAAGCCATCTGGATCTAACTGTCCAAGCCGCCAGATCTGAACAATCGCAGTATCCCCAGGATTTAGAGGTGAAGCAAACTTCGCTTCGAAGCTTTTGATATTGGCTGCCTGACTATTTCCAGCCACCCTCAACACAGCATAGAGTGTCGCATTGTATGTCCAAAGGCCGTGGATGATGGCTCCTTTGAAGCCCATTTGACGCCCAGGCTCGGGAATTGCGTGAAGCGGGTTTGTGTCACCGTTCAGTCTAAATGCCATGAATTCTTATATTTGTGCAACAACAGATGGCACGGGTAAACTGACCGATACAACAATGCAGTCTCCTCGGTAGTGACCAGCGGATATGATAAGTCGGGTCGACGTTTGGGAGGCGCGAAAACAAGAGGCGACGGCCCTGAGAAATAGAGGTGTTGAGTCAGCTCGCAATCAACCCAGCATTGGACTCGGCGGGAGTTCTCACCTTTAGGACCACCCCATCCGCCTTGTCCAATGTAAAAGTTATTTCCGATAACTCTCGTGTACACGTCATTGGTTTCAATGTCTACCAGGTCAGTCTGCGTTTGCACCACCGTTCCGGCCTTCCCCTTGTCATAAACGCCAATGACTTTCATTCGCTGCTCAAAAGGGCGGCCGGCAGAGGATGAGGGTATCGGTTTCAAAAATGAGATGCTCTTTCCCCCATCGACCATCCGCTTGATGTCGAATTTGGGCACCCCTGGGATAGGTGCACCCGCGCTATTCTTGTCGAAATTGCTGTAGAAATCCACTATTTCGTTGTTATCTCCCTTTTGGGCTGACTCGAAGTAAGCGGACGGAACGTCGCCCAGTAGACGATCTTTGAACTTCACTTACATAGCACTGTGGGAAACGACGGCAATACTTGAAAGTTTGGGTGTAGTTCCTGAAAATTATCTTAGCACCTTGGACACGTTTAGGACACATGACAGCACTTGCATAAAGAAAATGAATGTCGGCAGCTTTCACGCCGATAGAATTGGCAAAGAGGAGCACATCGCGTTTGTGCCATGCCACCATTTTTGGTGGAAATTCAAATCCCAGCCAAGGCTCTAGACCCATCGTATTATATGTCTAGCGAGGACCACGAATATGGTCGATATGATCAATATGAGTCCGGCAGAGAGCTGTTTCAAGGGATACCACAAATCTTTTAAATATGTCTGCTGGAACTGCGAAATCTCAACGGCCTTGGCACGGAATAATGTAGCCGATTCTTCCGCCTGCGTCACAGCCATCCGCGGTTTAGCAACACCCTATCAGAGCATTTCTGAAAACTGGAGCTACGCCAGAATACAATAAAACTTGAACACAGTACAGGATGGGAACTGGTCGCGCTAAAATCACGACATATATTCCGCCTGGCCCCTATTTACTGATTCTAGTAATATTGCATAATCAAGCTATATTCGCTACATAGGACCATTGAGTTGTTCACGCGGTCGTATATTCTTCGATCCAGGAGGTGGATTCAAGAAATACCTGTGTGAATACCGATCATGGTCAGCATGAGGAAAATAAAACACCGCGATAAGCCTGAATCATAGAACTTACGTCAAGTCAGCTTGACTTCCTTTATAGAAAACATCGTCTTCATCAATTGTAAATCCATTCGCGAGCCAGACAAAAGCGAGGTCGGGATCTGGACTAAGGCTGGTCCAGTCAAAATCTTCGTATCGAGGAGTGCTCAATAGTTCGAACATGTGCAATCTCGAACCAGGGTGTAGAGAAACAAGTTTGCCGTCGACTGTTCCGTTCTTGAATGTGCTAGCACACTTTGATGCCCAGACAGTTCGCTCAAGCCAGGCCAGCGATTGCCTCTGGAATGCCCTTGGTATGTGAGACTTTGGGCACACAGACGAATAGTTCTGTGTTTGTAGTTTTCGCACAAGGTCGCAGATATAAGAAGTCACGAATTCGATTGAAGGGACCAAGCTGCCGTGACCAAGGGGGCTAGCTGGGCCGAGGATCGTGAAATAGTTTGGCATGTCTGCTGTGGTCACAGACAAGTATGACTCCGGATTGCTCCTCCAGCTATCCTGCAGATTGACCTGGTTCCTCCCGATTATGGGAAATCTTGGTACGCAGGAGAGATCGAACCCCGTGGCACATATGATGGCGTCAACTTTGGACTCTGTGCCGGCAGAAGTGCGCAGTCCGTCAGGGGTGAAAGCAGAGACGTCACCCCAAACGACTTCACATTTGTCGGAGCAAAGAGCTTCGAGGTATCCGTTTCCTGGCGTCGGGCGTCGGCACCTGTAGGCGAATTAGGACTTCAAATAAGCGTAAGACGTGGACACTAAGCCGGACTCACCCGACTTCGAAGGTCGGCAAAAGAAGCTCGGTGAGCTCCGACTTTCCTCCTCGGGTCAGTTTGCTGGTCATTTGTTCAGTGGAAAACTTTCGTGCTGCCTCTTGAATCTTGGAGCCCGCCATATATAAGCGAAACCTCGAACTCATCGAATCCTCCACCTGCTTTCGATATTCAAGATATTCGCCCACATTATCCGCCCATCGCTTTTTTTGTTCCTCACTGAACACCAGATTGCTGCCATTCGGGCCCGCGAATTTCTCCGCCAGGCCCGTCGTCACCCAGGTCGCACTGCGAATATGCACGTAGATTTTACTTACTCGATCGATGATGGCGGGTAAAATCTGAATGCCGCTACTACCATTCCCGATCAATGCTACGACCATACCGTCGAGACTCTTCTCAGCATCCTTGGGCCAAGCAGCTGAGTGAAAAATTTCTCCTTGAAAGCTTTCTCGGCCGGGAATGGCGGGCCATTTCCAGTTGTTGAAAAATCCAGCGGCGTTAATCAAAATGTCGCATTCGGTGTTGATGGTTTCCTCGATTTCTCCTTCAGTGATTCCAGGGCTGGAAATAGCTATGTCCCGGCCGTCTGTTTTCCGCACTGTGACTTGCCATCGCTGCTTCACCTCGTTCCACTCGGCTCTTGTGACTTTGCGACACAGAATAATATATTTGTTCAAGTTACCCTGATCTGCGACAGCCTGTATGTAGTTGTGAATATCGCTCCGGTCCGCGTAGAAGCTTTTCCAATACGGATTAGGTGCCCACGAAAACTATGATTCTCTATCAGCACATGAGCCCCTGTAATCTTGAACAGGGGCGGTCCACGTGTCAATACTGTAATAAGAGATGCCTCTCAAGAGGGCAAAAATAACTTCCGGGGATCAATGATACTTGAGACCTACCTGATAATTGTGGGCAGGAATGTCGCAGGCGCACCTGTCCGACGTCAGTGACGAAAGACGCATCCACACCTCAACACGTACCCTGGATATCTGTTCTCGAACCAGGTTCCTCCAATCCCAGCATCTTTTTCATATATTGTCAGCTCGGCTCCCGGAAGAGCACCGGATTCCACTGCGTGGGCGATCGCCAATCCACCAAAGCCGGCACCTATCGCAATGATCTTGACGGGCCTCGGTGTAAAGAGAGAGATCTGCGAAAGGGCATAAGCAACGTCGTCGACATTTCGCCAGGCTTCAGTCGCGCCGCAGGACTCTGGGAATTTGTCGGCTAGTGTGCGTATGCATTTGGCTGCTCTGTGAGCAGCTGTCTCATTGTCGGCCGACATTGTGAATCATGAGAGGAAGGAATGGATTCTCAGAGGGGTCACATGTTCAAAATATCCGTCTTTAAGAAGCATGTTCTATTCCATAATTCCGTATGTTATAGGGAGGCTAAGAGGACTGAAGATCAATTTGCCCCGAAAAATCCGGGTCTGCTCAATTTATTCCGAGGGGCTCAGAGAGGTTTTACCAGTCTCCCTGAAGACACCATCCAATATTCCATTTGTTCCATCATAGCTTGGCCTTTGATTCTTTTCTGACCAAGTCGCGGAGTGGATTTTTGAGGATCTTTCCGCTGGCAGCTTTTGGTATGCTACTAACAAACCTCACGCCGCCCTCTAGCCGTTTGTACTTGACCACCTTTGCGGCAACGAATGCTTTTACCATGTCTTCGGTCAAGTCAGCGCCTACGGATTGGTGTGGCACCACGTATGCTCGCGGAAGCTCTGTTGCAGCTTCTGGGACATCGATGCCAATCACAGCCGCGTCAGCGATATCCGGGTGCTGGAGTAGGATTTCTTCAAGTTCCGCAGGTGCAACCTGAAATGCGTTGACCTTGATCAAGTCCTACAAGTAAATATTAGCTCATCTGCAATGACACTACAGCTCTTGGATTTCCCCACCTTTATGCGGTCGACGATGTACCACTTTTTAGTTTGTGCATCGCAATAACAGATATCGCCCGTCCTCAACCAACCTTCCGGATCTATTGTCGCGTTCGTCGACCCAGCGTCATTAAGATAGCCAAGCATAACTGTCGGGCCTTTGATACATAGCTCTCCTCTGATATTAAACTCGCTCGTATCATTTCCTTCCCCGTCAATCAGCCTAAGATTTCATGTTAGCTCGGCTATAGCTTGGTCTCGCACGGTGCTTACTTGGCAGATAACCCGGGTAACAGCCTTCCAATACTGCCTGTATCATCATGCTCTGGCCAAAAGAAGCATGTCCCAATGCCAGACGCTTCAGAAAGCCCCCAGATGGAAGTGCAAGGGGTGCCTTTCGGAAGCAAAGATTTCAACCTATCCACAAGGGTTTTGGGCATTGCCGCACCTCCCCCATGCACATATCGTAGACTCTTCAGCGTTTCTTTTGTCGCAAGCGAATTCTGAAGAACTTGCACTAGGATTGGGGGCAGGACACTGATCTCGGTGATGCTGAATTTGGAAATATTCTGCAGGAATGCTGTCGTCTCATATCGACGCATCACGAAGCAGACTTCTCCATGACGCAAAGGACAAAAGTGATTGGAATATATGGCGGCAGTAGCAAATTGGGGGAGACACAAGATTCGCCGAACCTCTAACGTTAGTTTATGATCTGGTGCACTTTGGGTCTCTTTCGCGGCATACCTCAAAATCTTTCCTCTCTTGATCATAACCTAGAGTCAATGCAGCCACGATGTTATGGTGAGATAGGATAACAGCTTTAGGAAGGCCGGTGGTACCGCTGCTCATCACGTATGCAGCTACGGTATGCCTAGAAGTTTTGTCGCCGGCGAACCGAACCCAATCGCTGTCTCCATATTCGAGAAGTTGTCTCCACGATCGAAAGCCTCCGGGAATTGTAGGATCTCCATGGTCGAAGATGAATATACGATTGTAGCCAATTTCACATTTTGCAGCACAAGATTGCATCTTCTCCAGGAATTCAGCCTCCGTGAAAATAAACCTAGGCGTGACTTGCTTCAGTTGGTGAAGAGATTCGGCTTCACTATAATATGGATTCGATCCACAAACGATTCCTCCGGCGGCGATGATGCTGAGAAAAAGAATCGAGTAGTCGATCTATCCCTCAATATTTGCTACAAAGCATCATCGAGTGCTCAACTTACATCGGCCATGGAGTTTATAAGCACACAATCCCCTTGCTTCAACCCCAACGCATGGAAACCTGCCACGAGCCGTCGCACTGCGGTATACGCTTTTCGCCCGGAGTACCATCGCGATTGATCAAGCGCGTCGATGTAAATCTGCATGTGTAGAGGAGAAGTCTATGTCAGCCCAGGCTGGTCTTCTAGATACAACGTGGAATAGCTCGATTGCTCACCGGCTTATCGACATCATACTTTGGGTTGTCTAGAACGAAGGACGCAATATCCTGCGTAGAGATCGGAACCTCGACCTGTGGACTGAAAAGCATAGTTGGCAAAGGACTAGCGGCGCGAATGAAGATTGTTGGTGTTATCACCCTGGTTTCCAGACTTTTGAAAGCATTTGGAGAATATGAAGATGCCGTCGGCCATGGGAGCCGAGGGTGCGCGGAATGAATTTTGATCTCTTCCGAACGGAAGCATCCACATGAAACCGCCTCTCTACAAGCCGCCCTTCTGGTCAGTGCCAAAATTCGTTCTTCGCTCCAAAGCCAGTTTCGAACCTCTTGATGAAACTTTATGGTAGGACAACATGGCGGCTCTCGACACGACGTCGTTCCCTGAGGTCTTAAAGGAGGTACAACAGATGATACCGCAAAGTTTCCCACAGAATAGCTGGTACATAATGGTGGTGAGTAGCACCAATGTATCTTCTCTGGTGCTGCTACTGGTACGGCATAAGTATCTTGACTCTCATTGACATGAATTAGGCCACCTCATTGGCAGCAGCTGGTAAAGGTGATATGTTTGGAGATTTATACCAGTATGCACTAGCACAGGCCAAATTCGACGAGGTCTATCGCCAGAATCTTTCGATTCGACTGCGCGAAGTCATCATAAAGTCCTGGACGTTGATCGGTATGCCTCGTGCCATCGCTGCGTCTTACAGCCTCCAAGCTGCAGACCAGGAAGATGGTGAAGCTGGCAACATCCGGAGAGCTAGACTCATAAATGAGCCGGATCTCCCTTCGCAACGATCACAATCTTGGTTCAAGCAGGCTTTTCAGGACATGGAGCCAAAGATATTTTCTCGCTTCAGCCACCACAGCGAACTAGGTCCGTGGACCTGTTACTAACCAAGTTGTAGCTGACCATTTCTAGAATGGACATTAAGATACGTCGTCTACGGCTACTTTTTAGGCGATTTGAGTGTTCTCACTCCAATCGAAAACGAATTTGTTGTCCTAGCTAGCGTGCTGCCTGCTGGGGGATCGCCGAGTATCACTCACATGAAAATACTCCGGCAACTAGGAGTGAGCGCAAGAGATGGAGAAGTTTTCCTAGATATCTGCAAGAAAGTATCACAATGGGCGGGAATCGACACCACCAGTTGGCCGTCTTATGAGGCGATTGAGTCATGAAGACAGGGAGAGCAAAATCATATTTCTCTCAAGTACAAGCTAGTTAAGAAACCTTGAATAGAAGATGATGCTCCAAGCGCAGACACGAGGCGATTTGCGACCGCCTCGAGACTCTACCATACTCTAACTCCCTTCACCTTCTCGGACCGACAGTGGCGCGAGCTTACAGGTAGTTTCTCTCTTAGACTATCAACATGTTCTCCTATTGGGTTCCACGCCAGGATGTTGGCTTAGGTTCCCTCGAGTATGGAAAGGGGTTTTCAGTGCTCCTCGGCACAAAGTTCCTGAAAAGCCGCCAGTCCTACCTCCGCCTCGGAATGAAACCTCCAACCTAGTTACCGACAAGGCGTTGGGCTGTTTTCAAGGACTTCTCTTCTTCGAAGCTGCTGTAGAGCAAAAACAGGGCATCAATTTGCTGTACCAACCATGGCGGATAATCGAGTCTCGCAGTTGACTGGGCATTTAATTCCTCCACGCGGCTACCTCACTGGTCAAACCGCCATCGTCACTGGCGCTGGTCAAGGTATTGGTGCTGCCATTGCTGAATTATTTTTCAACGAAGGAGCAAAAGTGATCATCTCAGACATTGATGCTGGTAAATTGCCTCCATTGATCGTACCGATAGATCTAACCGTCGCAAAGCCAAGGCGAATGCGGTGGCGGACAAGCTCAACGCTTTGATTGGCGGGAGAGCGTTGGCTGTGCCGGGCGATATCACTGACGCTAGCACCACGAGGCAATTAGTGCAGGAAGCCGTCAAATTTGGAAACGGCAAACTTCATATCATTGTGAATAATGCAGGCTATACATGGGATGCGGTAGTTCATAAGGTAAAACAGTCTCGTATCTATTCAGGTTGTCGATCACTGACCTTCTGCAGACAAGTGATCAACAGTGGGACGCGATGGTCGCCATCCACGGCAGTGCACCCTTCAGGATTATTCGCGAAGCCGCGCCATATTTTCGTGTGAAAGACGGTGAACCGCGAAGTATTGTCAACATCAGCAGTGCAAGCGGAATACACGGCGCAGCGTAAGTGATGAGCGCATCTTGATCCACTTCTGAATAGAGAGGTTTAACACTCCAGACCAGAGGACAAGCGAACTATGCATGGGCCAAAGCCGGTCTCGTTGGCCTTACGAAAACAATATGCAAGGTTAGAAGTCCACCCTTCCTGGTTCAGCGATTCTTTTTGCTGACCAGAAAGCAAAGGAATGGGGCCCTCAATTCGGTGTCCGAGCCAATACGTGAGTTCGACGTACTTGTGATAACTCGGGAGGTTGATGCTAACAACGCGAAAATATCCAGTGTATCGTTTGGTCACATAGAAACGCGACTGACAACTGGGAAGGAAAAGGGCCATACTATGACTTTGTCTGATGGAACCCAAGTGGCATTGGGCATTCCCGGCGCTACGCAAAAGTCTGCGACTGGCAACCGCTATGCTGATATCCCGTTACAGAGGGCGGCCACGCCCTTCGAAGCCGCTGGGGCAGTCCTGGCTGTTGTTAGTCCTTTGATGAGCTATGTGGATGGACAGACAATTGAGGTCACTGGAGGAAGATGGATATAGGGTCGATTTTGAATCGTGCCCCGATCTTAGGCGTATGCGATGCAACACCTCTAAGAAAGTCTCTTCTGAGTAGTGTCATGACTCGATACTGCAAGATCGGAATTAGCCACGTGAGATCAATCTATATGCAAACCTCGGAACCGGAACGACATGCAGGATATAGATTCCATAAAAACTACTCTTTAATTGTCCTATGAACCCTACGCGGCCAGTCAATGTCGACGGATGTTTTGTGCCTGAGCGAAGTCTAAAAATGTCTTTCTTTGGGAAAACTATTGTTGTCACAGGCGCCGGCAGTGGAATCGGAAAAGCCACAGCACTCCTTCTTGCCTCCGAAAGGGCCAAAGTGGCTCTTCTCGATGTGAACCCAAGTCTATTCGATGTCGAGGCACAGATCAAATCATCCGGAGGTTCAGCTCTGGCAATTAAATGCGATGTCCGCTCCTCTGCCGAAGTCGATGCAGCTATTCAGACCGTGGTAGAAATATACGGGCTACTTGATGGTAGGTTGACTTGAATGTGTATGTGAATTACATTTTCTATTCGTTGACTAATTAAAAATCCCAATTCGCTATAGGTGCTGCCAACCTGGCTGGAGTAATTGGTTCTGGTCGGCGGAGCGAAACTCATACAGGTGCCCTTGTGCAGACCACTGATGAGGAATGGGATCGTGTCCTTGGGATCAACTTGGGAGGCGTCAAGAACTGCTTGCGCGCCGAGTTACAGCATTACAATCCAAAATGCTGCTCCATTGTCAACGCCTCAAGTGTCTCAGCACGAATTGGAGCGCCTTTCAATGCGGCCTACAGCACCAGCAAAGCAGCAATCGTCGCTCTTACAAAATCGGTCGCACAGGAAATGGGAAGCTATGGAGTCAGGATCAACGCGATTGCTCCGTATGTCTTCGACTTAAGTCATCCCCTCAGTCAGTCAAGGCCATTAACCGCAGTTATCTAGCGGCGTCACGGATACTCCCATGGTCAGCAGCCTCCCAGAACACACCCGTGAACTCTGGAGAAAGTCGAATGTCTTGGGAAGGCTGGCTGATCCGAGCGAGATTGCCAACGTAATACTTTTCCTCCTTAGTGAGAAAAGCTCCTTTATAACTTCAGCAGTACGTCTCTACCTATTCGAGCAAACTTTGGTAGGAATTCGGGCTAAGAGTCTTCCAGGTAGTTGACATTGACGCAGGTCGCGTTTAGTGAAAGGCTTCACTTGCAGAGTGTCATCAAAATTTCGATCAATATTAGTGTTAAACTAAAATGCACTCTATCATTCCCGGTGACGTCCAAACAATGACCGAAATTGGTGTAACCTATCTTCCATATTAGACAGAGCATTCTCGAACGGTATAAACAAATTCCCCTTTTCGGTGCGAGCATAATAGTGTTGTTGGAGTTTTGAGCTTGAAGGCGCTCGACTCTACGATGCATGGCTGCTGCGACTGGTCAAAGCGTCGACCGATCGCCTTCAGCGTACGGCGGACAACAGCTTGATTCCGACCCTCACGTAGAGATCCTCCACGGCATCGCTGGTGCTCGGAAGCGGCCTATTCCTCGGAACATGGTTCGTTTAGGAAACTCCTTTTTCTCTTCAACTCGTCAGGGCTGCCTAGCTGCTACAAAGCTTCCGCCAACATCTGATCGCATTCATCCCCTGATCAGACCGCTCTTGTGCTCGAATCCTCTGGTCCAACTGGCCCAAGCGCCTTTTTTTTACAGGGCTTATCCATCGTCCAAATGGGCCGAGCAGCCAAGACGGGCAAAGCGGCCCACGATGCGATAACAGATTTGATGCAAACGTACGGGGATCGGTAGTTTTTCCAACAACGATTTAATCTTGAAGCTGATTTGAATACTGGCTTAGCTATCACCAGCGCATGAGAGAGAGAAACTTCCATGTACCCAAGCCTTCCTGCCGTTCATGGAAATGTGATCAGTTCAGAGCATCGCACTAATCGGAGTGAACTGGTAACAGGGATTCGAAAAGACTCTCATGGATAATCTTCGTTTTGAGGATATTGAAGCAGACGGCACGGTTGTTTTCGGCCTGCTTTTGGGGCCCGAGTTTCTCCACGTTGGAGGTGAGACCGCGATTGGCGATCAGCTTGACTTCTGTCCGATGTTGTGCTGACATCTATTCCCAGGTTCGTTACATGGAGGAGCAGCGACGCTCATCCTTGGTATGATCAGTTTTCCCGGAAGCTTATTCATCACCATTATATTGACCTAGGACAGACCAGTGCACATCGCTGTCGATAGCGCCGCACGCTGCTCCTGGTTATTGGGAGTAAGCATCTAGCCACGGTTTATGGAGGAGACTGTATTTCGTGATACATTCCTGACATTTCGCATAGATGGACTGGCGGCGTAACGCGGACACTTTCGGTCACATGTCTTCGTGCACCACCCGGGCGTGAGTTACAACATCTCTCCTCTTTTTCGATTCAAGAATTCTTCGCTAACGAGGATACTCCCAATAAACAGATACTACTGTAAAAATCCGATGCAAAGTGATTTCTATCGGTCAGACGGCGGTGCTTGTTCGAGGCGAGATCGTATCCGATGACGGGAAACTTGTCTACGATGTTCTCGACCACAACAAAATCAATGTGCGGCTGAAACCGCGGGAGCCTGGCTCGAAACTTTGATTAGGATCGGGAATATTGAACGGTGACCTTGTTATTGGAATACCAGAAGCATGTTCAGGCTGGAAAGAATATGCAGTGATGACCGTTTAAGTATACATCATACGCTCAGTACTCCAAATTCCCATATCAGTCCCCATCAACGATTCATCATCAAATTCTGGCCCAGGTAGGACCGGCAATGTAAATTGAGGATCGATAGAGAAGTCAAGATCCTGACACCCCGTGGTTTTGGCATGGTCTTCCTGCTGGGACGCAACGTTGTTGATCATGACCTGATCAACGGAGGGCTGACGGTCCTGTGTGTTCAAAGAAATTGCGGTTGGCTGCTCTCCGAGCGACAGCTGATTGCCAATCCTGCTTTCGATAATTCCTTTCAGTACTTTCAATGCATTGGTAGCAATTGTCAGCTGGCGACGACTCAAGTCATTTAAACATTCCCAGGCTTGTTCTAGTGACAAGGTCTTAGTGGCCTCGAGATCAAAAGCTCCGATGTTGTCCTCAGTAGAGGGCAGAGACAGCATGTAGTAGAGCGATTCAATGATACACAGCGTGGCATACGTGCCAAACGAGCGTTCACGGCGTCGGGTCCGAACGTATGATACAACTGCCTGAACGGTGGAAGCGGCAAGCTTGTGGCATACTTGGGTTGTGTAACTCCGATCACTCCGGGAAGAATCCCACTCGCAGTCTTTCTCGCAACCTCGCAAGTGAAGATTGTTCCGTATCAACATCTGCAAGAGATTCGCCCTCTGCGGTCTTGTTAGTAAGGCAATTAACAGGATTTAATCGCTTTTGGCAGGTTGTAGAGGTGATTGAATGGTGGTGAGAAGTACGGTTGAATACTCACCGTATAAATCACCAGTCTCATGCGAACTTTTTGATCTGGTACATCAGCCTCCGTGCTGCTTGAACTGACTGGATCCTGCCATTTCATCCCTGGCGGCAGTGATCTCTTAAGCTTGGCCAACAAAGCCTCCATGATCTCGATTTCTTCGATAATCCCAGCCCTGGGACTGGTCAGACTGTAAAGAGAATCCCACGCCTTTGAGAACAGGCGGCCCCACCCAATATTAAACTGTAGGTAGTGGATCCAATCGCAGTCGAGGGGTGTTGACGCAATAGGTCCGGAAGCGTTCAAATCTCCAATGAGGAGAATCGGAAGATGAGCACGCGAGCTTTCCATTGCCCGTATGTCAGCCGTGAAATCGGCAACCGATACTTCAGCATCGCGAATCATGTATGGCCTTCCAAGCTTGTACGCCATCCTTCGGTCGAAAAAGTATATGGTCCACCATAGAACGCGACGAGATCGAGTTTCCGCGCAAGAGCAACTAGTCCACGTGGACTCGTCATTCAGCCCAAGAGAGAATGACAGTTCCACGGCCCTGCATAATACTTGTGATGATCTTCTGAAACTTTCCCGCATCAACATATAGAGTGTTTCGAGCATGAAAAGCCGGACAGTGTTTATGATTTTGTCCGCGTGTCGCGAGGACAGACTCAGGAGCCTTGCGCTTTCTCGATACCAGGCTTGTCCACGGACAATCCGCTCATGCGGATTCCCGTCCGTCGGGAAGTGGCCATCAGCTTCGATGTGCTCTGCGATGGCAAGCACCATGCATGTCAAGGCCGCAAAGATCAGCATTTCAGGATCCGCATCTGACAGATACAAGCAGTCCTGATCGGGCGAATAGTGCTGCAAAAGGCACTGTAACTGAAGATTAAAGGCATCTCGGTCAATGCATGGGTAGAGGAAGTTATACTCTTCGAAGAAGAGGTTCAGTAGGTACTTCAGGCGTGTCGATGAAGATATAAAAGTCTTGACGTTGTTTCGAGCGGCTTGCGGGCGGCAGCTTTGAGCAGAGGCAGACGGACTTGTATTTGACGCCGTCCCCAGAAGAGATTCTCTACCGGACGCAGCAGACGTGCCGCGTGATGCTGCATTCTTCAATGTCTCTATCTGGACAGCGAATGAGTTGTAATAACGATGGCCCGAGTGTATGCAGTCAATCCTCTCTTCTTCGACCAGTTCCAGCTCGGTCGAAACGGAAAGTTCATCGGAAAGACTCGACGGTGAGACTTCACTGATGGTAGATCAGGTCAGAGCACTGATAAATACATTTCTGTATTGTCAAAGAATGGGGAACCATAACAACTGAGTCCGACTTACGCAGTATGTTGAACTGCTCGAAGGTCTTGAACATCACGTTCTATGCGCATGAGGCGCTCAAATAGAGTGTCCGCATTTGAAGGAATTGTGGGCTGTGCCTCATAGGAGATTGCGGGATTTGTCCTAGGTCGGCGTCAGGCTGGGGCACCATGTACCAGTTGTTCACCGTAACAGTTTTCAGCAGGATTAAACACTGACACTTGCTTTTTTGGGCCTTCCTTTCGAGCACGCCCTCTTGGTCGAGGGGGCTCTGACGGATATACACATTTGGCTGTTGCGGAAACGCAGTTATAACATGGCTCCATCCCATTGCACTATATGCAAAAAGTCAGGCTGCGGCCTTGTGAACATCAGTCGCACAGCTTGCCTACCCTGACTTTCCGGCGATGGCATTCCGTGCTAGACAATATCCGGTCAGCATGCAGCCATTTAATGAGCTCAGTCGCCATACAGGTGCAAACTCACCAGGCACGGGGTGTATATTTCAATCTCTTCCCCCGAGGTTTCGTGGCGGGTGTTTGGCCTCTTCTGACGGCAGTTAGACAAGCAAGATTCGGAGAGGCCATCACTGCTGCAGGCACAAAATCTCAACTGATAGAATGCTTCAATGTGAGTATGTAGAACTCTACAACCCCGAGTGACTCAAGAGCGACGTCGTCTGCGGGGCAGATGGGAGAGAGAAATGCGGAGTTGCCCAGTGATGCTGACAAGGGAGAGCCAAAGCGAAGCTAAACTGCACCTGGAACAGACCGTCCTCGGTCTCCCGGCTGACCAGGGGTCTGCCCTTCTTCCTGAATTTTGGGAGCCCCGAGCGGCTGAGTCCTCGGGCGTTGACATCGGCAAGTAATCTGAGTTCCTGAATATCGACTCGGCTTCCATCCGTGTTCGGAATGCAAAGCGTAGGTTTCTAGCTTGCGCGCTTGGCTTTGCTGATTGCCTAATTCTGCGACCACCAATCCTTGGTCTATTCATTAATGGGATGTTGGACGGATTTTCTGCTGGCGAAGCAATTCTTGCAAATTGATCATACCGCCCCTACTCCAGAGCATCATGGAGGCACCGAGTGCCTACAAGTACACGGACATAGTCTTCGAAATAAGGGGCCAGATTGGACTAATCAAGGTGAGCTCAGCGACGAGGTCACTCCCTTAGAAGGCCAACACTTTAAACATCGTTGAGAGCGAGAGCCTGATGAAAGACTAGTTCAATCGACCTAAATCTCTGAATTCGATTGGAGGTAATCTACGGATTGACACTCTGACTGCTCTAAGAGTACTCAATGAGCATCCCGATACCACTTTCACCGTCATCACAGGCGAAGGGCGATTTTTCTGCAGTGGGGCAGACGTCCTACGTACGTAGTTCTCACTGTCCTCCTCTCGAGGAAACAAGTTGTCCTCGGCGAACCGGACTAACGTTGTGCACAATCTCCAGCGGAAGGAAACCGGTCTGAGCAATCATATCCAAGTCAAGCTGGAAAGAAAGCTGCCTATATGGCCCGATTCGCGGAAGGTATGCTGTAAGAAAGACTTCATCCCACCTATCACCTGTTTGATAGTGATTAATGTGCTCTACACAGCTGTGGAACTCTTGCGCTCAATGATCAAGCATAAGAAAGTACTGGTGGTTGCGTTGAATGGACCTGCCGTGGGTGCAGGCGCTGCATGGTTCCCAGCCGTCGCCGACATCCTGTTAGCATCCGAGTCGTCCTATCTACAGACGCCTTTCAGTCAACTCGGCCTGGTTCCCGAATTCGGGTCCGCAACCCACTTCACACACTCCATGGGTGTACATCGCACCAATGACTTCTTCATGTTTGGCCGCAAATGCTCGGTCGAAGAACTAACCCAGTGGGGTATCGTCAATCGAGTTTTCCCAGCAGCTAATTTTCACCAGAACGTTCAGGCATTTCTCGAAGCACAGCTTCGCGTGAATGACGGGAAAAGTATGATGGAAGCAAAGAGGTTACAGAATGCTCCACTGATGAATCAACGCCTGCTGGCTGTGCATGAGGCTGCGGATGCATTGGCGGAACGATTCGTGGAGGGTGCTCCCACGAAGAGGTTCCAGCAACAGATAGACATGCTTCGCGGTAGGTCTTTCGGAAATTATGCAATTCCACTCGCCGTCCTTGAGCTGAGCAGGCAATAGCAAAATCGAAGGAGAGAGCGAGCAAAGCTAAGCTATGAGTGAATTGCGTTATGGCTCAGACGCGGATTAGGAGACAGATATGGTAAATGTCGAACCTTTTATGAGCTTTGGAGACTATACAAGACGTAGTCGTCGTTATGGCTCCGCTCTCTTGTATTCAACTTCCAACTCTACCCCGCAGGCAATCAGGGTGAATAAGGACAAGTTACACCGCGACATACAGTATGATCGAAACCTGGGGTCTTCAGCACCCGAGTATCTCCGCCTCAACCCCACCGCCAAGGGTTGGTGACTTAACCACATCGAGAAGGCCCCCTTGTTATACTTCGGCCTTACCGTAGGTTTCGGAATAATGACGGAACATTATTCCGAGAGGATTCGACCTTTTTTAAAGGGGTTCTTCCGCTCGGCGCCGACGACGGAACCTTCTACCCTTAGTTTCTGGCTAGGAACAAATTCATTCAGCATACGAAAACTCTAGACCTCCATAGATTGGAAGATTATAAAGGAGGAAAGGTAGATGTACAACTCGGGCTTGTTGGAATGTCCACCACTTGTCGAACGGCACGACGACAAACAGAGCCACAAGCAGTGCGCACGGATTGTCCTACGTATCCCTTCCCGAAAATGGGATCAACAGATACAGGTTCTGGTTGTGTAACCATTTGCTCGGTGGGTCATACATAAGCGTGGATTTTTCTTTGTCCATAAATTCCTCTCAGGGTCGGTGGCGCCGTATAGGATCGCCCGGATGAGCCAGACTGTTGAAGTAAGCCTAGGCATAGGAAATGGACCAGGACTTTTTCGAAATCTGCCCAAGTCGCGAGCTGCCGCCCTTCTATACTGATCGAGTAGTGTGACCAGTTACCAAGCAAAGCTATCGTGAGCAAATAATCCAGTGGTCAGAGATTGTAAGTGGGGTTGAGTTCCATGGAGCCTGCGAAGCAAGCCATGAGATCGTCGTTATGTGGCGTGGCATCCGACCATAGATTCCATGGAAAGGACAATGACTCCAACGACGCATTCCAATCTATCTCGCCCAATGTCGCCGGGGAATCATTGATAGTCATCCCTTGAGGTTCTTCAGCGTCAAACTGTGTAGACTCGAGGACATGACCTATTTCTGCATCACGATTATATCTGTCCGCTATACCATCATCAACCGCTCCTGACTCACGCAGGTTTGAGGCGTGTAACAGCTGTGGACAATGTTGGTCGTCGTCGTGGGATTGTGAAGATATCTGAGTGGCGACCTGTTGCTTCAGTCTCTCCAACATGCCGAGATATTCTCCGGCAAGAGCTTTCCCCGAATGCTGCATGCGCTGCATAACATCCACAGCGAGCCCGATGAGATGACCGTAATGATCGGCTCTGTGATGTTTGTACGGCATCTGTGCAAGGAGCACCGTGCTGGCTGAGAATAGATCTAGCCAGTTCCGGTCAGTACCACGATTGTAAAAGCGTGTGCAATGATTTTGGAAGCAGGAGAAAGGAGAGCTCGTGTCGACATACAATTCGCGTCATACCACCAAGCACTGTTCAAACCTTGTGCATAAAATTTGGAGATATGCTCAATTATCTCAGACACAGCATTGGTGCAGAGCTCAGCACGTAGGGACGCCAGGCGAGCTGCGGCAACACTACGAATGGAATTGTACGGGGTAATGGTAGCGCCTACAGCGTCTTGTGAGACACAAGGCCGGTGGAGGACGATGCGCAAGTTCAAAAATCTGCGCATCATGAGCACGAGACTTCGAAAGCACGCTCAGAGGACAAGAATAGGAGAGCGCTTACCGTGATACCAGGACCTGCCTCTGACGCCAAAATTTCTTGTTGGCATTGGATTCAATCTTCGGGGACCTATTAGGAGAAAATTGAGCAATCCACTCGCATAGTTTCTCGTCGATGCCCAGCACCCGCGAGTGGTCAAAGGGACAGTCGTATACTTTGGTAACTTCACGCATCAATCCACAGAGACGGATTGTGGCGATGAAGAAAGTCAGTTCTGAAGGTTTGCCATCGGTCCAGGATTCAGAAGGCTCTAAATCCGCTGCACTGGCATGAGAACTTGGTGGCGCTGCTTTCGCTCCATTCATGCTCAGCTCCTCATCGGAAATCGCCGGAAGATCAACCCATGTATGATGGTCATCAGAAATCATTTGTGGACGTCCTAGCATGATACCCGATGTACTGTCGAGGACATAGCACGCCCACCACGCTCGCTTTCGCGTCTCCCGTGCCAGTGGTGTCCATGAAGACTTATAAGTGTTGCTCAAATGTAGGCCAAGGCTTTGCGCTTGCCGCACCGCCACGCCGATGATATTCCATGAGTGTTCCAGATTGACTGAACTCTGCAGATAAAGGCTCATGAGAATCAAGGCTTGGAGCGTCTCAAGCGTTCCAGAACGACGCAGGTCAAAGTCAATCAGCGACGTTGCCTTTTTGAAGAACTCTTGGCCTAAATGGGGTGAGATATCTGGAGAGAACTGGCACCCAAGGGCGAACACAATGTTGATGGTTCCCGTCCATAGGTTACTCTGACGCTCCTTTGCAGTCCATATGGATTCGTAACGTTCTTGAATAGTTGGCCCATGCAGGAAGGGATATTGCGGATAGCATAAGTTCATGTAACATTCAACCAGGTAGTCTCCTAGGTGTCGCTGAGGCCAGGAATCCGCAAGACTGCTAAGATTAGCGAAGGTTTGTGAAGATGGCGGCTGGGACGCCATGTCCACACCTTTGGCTGTAGAGGCCAATCCTCTAGCGCGACCTCGGCCAGGTTGCTGTTGCTGCTCCTGATTCGGTGTGAGAAGTGTTTCTAAGAATGAAATGTTGGAAGTAGGACCGAGACAGCACTTCACCGGCAATTCCAAGCTCTCTGGGGTAGGATATGCGCCTGGCAGTCCGACGTTTTCATCGTCTGTTCGATTTTTATTGGATCCTTGTTCTGAGATGGGTGGCTGCTGAGCAAAGTCGCTAGACTCATCGCGGTGAGGGCCGCTCGCTGCAAACCGGTTGCGTGACCTCTCAGCTTCTACCTCTCCTTCCAGATTCTCGATTCGCATCAGGAGATTGTGAACGTACCTGTTGTGGAAGTCTCGTGGTTAGCATATTACTAGACCTAGTGAAATCGTACCTACAACTGAGACACTTCGGCTTTTTGGCTGGCGGACTCATAGCAACAATCCAGCTTCTGCAGCTTGCAATGGCTGCATTTCGGCTGCAGACCATCGCAGCGCTGTTTGCGGGTCCGACAGGACCTGCAAGCCAGGCGGATTCTCTTCCTCTTTCGGAGTCCTGACTGGGCGTCTGGAGAGTGGAAATCGTCGCTTTGGCGAGTGGCCTGGACTGCGTCTCCGCGACTTCTGCCTTTTTTGATCGTTGGAGAGTTTGAAGCCAACTGCACCATGCTATCTTGCCTTTGGCCTTGTGTAGCCTGCACGGGTGACATCAGGGTTAAGTTCAGCGTTGTGGTCACATTTCTTTTCAGGCGGCGAGGTGTCAAATTTCCACCGTGCTGGGATGACAAGTCGCAAACGACACGTCGAGCATCAAACATGAACTTTCCGAAGGCCGAGAACGGAAACCGATCCCAAGAATTATTAAGGGGGTATTTAAACCGCAGGAATCCATCCCTCCACACTTGGACCCCGCGTAAATAACCCGCGATTCCGGTCTCCTGAAGGGCTGCTCATGGATTCAGGCGTTCATTTGTTATTTTGATTCATTGGACATGGAGACTCTTGGGTATGGCCTAAAGCCTCTTGGGTTGGTAGCCAAGCCACCTAATGCAGCTCGGAGGCTCGGAACAGGACACTCTGCCTAGCCTCGCTCTCTTTTGCCCATGGCGACGTTCATGGACCGCCCTGCACAGTAATACGAGAAGAGCAGCATACACGCACTCAGCTGCTCGCAGGTCCATGGCTTTAGGTTGAATAGTTAATCAGAGTCTCTGAATGCGTTCTTCGTTCGAGCGTTGTGTCTGTGCTCTAGAATTCGCAAAGAAACAAACCATGGCTGGTTCTGTTGAACAAAGGGCTATTGCGTATAGTCCCCACCGCTGAAACACTGGTGAGAGGTTTCCATAGACGACGACATTACTGATGGTTGCTCTACGTAACGACGTAGTATTCGCATATCTATAAAAGAAGCCTCAGTACCTCGACAAGTAGATAGAGAACAGAGCATTCAATACATCTCGAGTTGCACCCAGTTTGACAGGTTCCTATCCCTAGCTACTACTAATCGTTCGTCCTAGAGCCTATCATGAGATTACTGAAATCGACCTCACGCGTTGCTGGGCAGTCCATCTCGAAGTCTTCTCTGCGACTACCTTCCAGGCGGAAATGTCATAGGGATGACCGCTACCGAGTGTACGAAGTGCCTCTCTCTGTTCAAGTTCCACTCCTTAAGTGGAATCGAAACAGAAGTACAGAGATTCGACTGACTGGATGCTTTCAAAGCTGAATTTAGCTACTTTAGTCTCGGTAAGAAACTACGAGGTATTCACAACCGGCCGGCAATGTTCCTGCTTCCGATCTGCTTCCAGAGATCCCAAGACAGATGAAAGGCCTCCCGGAATAACTCAGCTCGCAGCTACAAGGAACTGAGCCAGTAAGAATGAATCTTGCCTCATGCTTTGGTGTTTTGTTCGTGCTTTTCACGCCGATGTCAACACAACGCGGACGATGGTCTAGACTCACTATTGGCCCATCCATGGATATGGCTGGCCATCAGCAGCGCTCCCAACCGCGACTACAGACTATATCGTCGAGTCCGCTCGACACCACACTTTCATTCCCCATCAACTGCTATTATCTCCCAGATTGGTTCTACATCGGTTGAGATCAGGTCGAGTGTGAACCTCTACCGCTCGAACCGCGCTCCTGTCAAATATCCCATAAATATCTCATCGTCCCATTCTATTGGGACAAATCCAGAACAGGTCGATCATGATGCGGATTATATGGGAAACCACACTGGTTTTAAAATTTTAACACGACAAGGTGGCAGGGATCCTGAGCTCCAACACCGTTAAGTATTCACGGCCTATAGATCACACCTTGCCCGGCAAATTGATTATTCAGATACTCTGCTGACACGGCGAACTTGTTGAAATAGACTGCCGAGGATTCCCATCTGTGCAACTTCTTATTCAAGACAGAACTTTACGCAAGTCTCGATGGCTGCCTTGCAAATGGCATTGATCTGGGAAGAGATAAGTGTCCGTGAGCAGTCATGCTCCTCAAAAGAACTTGAAGGACATAATTTTATGCGCCTGGTTCGCGTAAGTGGGCGGCCATGTCTTCCCCTCGAAGCTCACCCAGTGTTCTACCAAACCCAAGATACTGAAAACGATTTCTCTTGCGGTATTTGAAAATATAGTCTTCGAAACGGGGATTTCGTAGTGCTTTGTTAAAATGCCATGTGGAGCCACACCACGGACCAATGACGGGTCCGTCGACTCGTCCATTTTTGTACCTAGAGGAACATGAGAAACGCGAAGGATCAGCAAAGGTCTGCTAGCTTACCAACTTTTGCAATCGCCACTCCACACAAACTCTTTCATAGCGGCATTCTTATGCTCCATAAAATCTGCAGTAGCTTGTTCGGATGCCTCCATGGACGCCCCATTCTCCTCCTGCAGCTTCCTGAGGCAGGCATAGGCATAATCAATTTCGGTCTCTAGACCTGAGATGAGAGAGCCATTTGATATGGGGCTATTAGGTCCCCCAGTAACTGAAAACGATTAGCTTACGCAAGATATACTGGAAGAAGCCGAATTAGCTTGATTAGAGCGAAAACTCACCGAAATAGTTTGGAAAACCAGGAACTGCCACCGATAAATAATGCACGGGCTCATCTCTCCAAAATTCTCCTAGGTCTCGACCATCCCGGCCAATGACAGGGAAGGCTGGCCGGTACGAGCAGTCAAATCCCGTTGCGCAAACGATTGCATCAACATCATAGTGCACGCCGTCCGTTGTTCGAATGCCATCTGGAGTGATACTTTCAATCTCCGTGACAACTACCGTGACATTCGGCTTCACAAGGGCTTCTAGGAAGCCATTTCCCGGGGTAAATCTAGGGATGAATCAATATGTCTCCAGGCAGAGCACGATAAGTCATACCTCCGACATCCTACTTCAAACTTTGGAATCAGCCTTTCACAAAGCTCTGCATCTCCACCAAGCCTCTTCCTCATCAGTTGCGAGAAGTCCCGGTAAGCTTTCTCTTGCAGTTCCGACCCTTTGTAGTAGAGGGAAAATGAGGAACTTCCGGTATTCTGTATGTCTTTTCGGTACTGGAGAAAGTATTTCTTGTCCGTATTGAAGCGTTTGATCTCTTCGGCGGAATACCTCGTTTCGCGGCCGTCGGCTGCAAGGCTCGCGCTGAATTCTGGAGTGATCCAGGTCGGAGACCGGATGAAGCTGATCAAGCGTTTGACAACTGTTGTCCCTGTGAGTTCCAGACCAGCGGAATAGCTCGAGTTACTCGCCTTTTTGGAGATTAGGTACGATTTGAATGGCCGAGGACCCTGCTCCGATGACGGCAACAGTCTTGTCTTGGAAATTATACTCTTCGTCCCACCGTGCCGAGTGAAGCAGTCGTCCTTTGAATCTGTGCAACCCCGGAATATCCGGCCACTTCCAGTGGCTTGGCTATCTGTCAGCGGGAAGAGAACAGAATCACGAATGGTATGCTCTTACTTTAAGACTCCTGTGGCACTGAGCAGAATGTCACAGCGATCCTCGATGATTGTCCCCTCCGTTAGGCTTTCGATCTTCAAGTTCCAACTCGACTCGGCTTCAGACCACTTTGCCTCGATGACGCGGTGCGATAGTTTTATGTACTGCATACAATTCCATTTGATTGCAAGCCCCTTGTAGTAACTGTGAATCTCCTCGGCTTCGGCATAGCTATGGTGAAAAACTGGTTAGCTTTTGGGAGACCAGGACCCCTGAGATTACTCACAATCTTGACCAATTTGGATTCCCCTCCCATGAGTAGGTATATCCGTGGGCTGGAATGTCGCACGCACAGCCCGGATAGCGATTCTCCAGCCACGTCCCCCCTACGTCGTGATTCTTCTCGTAGATTTGGAATTCCACGTCTCGTAATTGCTCCATGTACTTGTACGCCGCAGCGATCCCAGCTATACCAGCTCCAATGCAGATAAGGCGCATCTTCTGTCGTTTGTGGATGTGCTCATGGTCGATGTAGTAGGCTTCACTTTTGCTACCATGCATGTATTCTAGATCTCCGTCGCCCCGGTGCTGAGGGGCGTCATAGTGCTTCTCGTATCCATTGATATTGCCGTTTAGAAGCTCGCCAAGAACTCGGGAAGCCATGTCCTGTACAGAAGTGCTTGGCTAAGCCTAATAGATTGCGTGCAGGATCAAAAAAGAAAAGTGGGAACTACGGTGTTAGAAAGTTTTTGTCTTAAAAGAACTTTGAATCCGAAAGTGACATGGTTGTCGTGCTCGGCATCCCTTCTATATACTGTGCGGGAGCAGTCCCGGTGCCGTGAGGGCCGGGATTGGCTCAGAGAGCCTGGGGTCAGGGACGGCTTCCAAACGGTGCGGGAAGGCTGCCATCGCTGCCGGAACTTCTGGCACTGTTCAATTCAGGCCTGGCCTTGTTGAGTAGGCCAATTAGTATCCTCATGCTCAACACCTTGGCGTTACCCTGTCTTCCTTTCGTGAATCTTCTTTTGGTATAAACATCGCAATGCAATTGGTTTGTTACCATTAGCTTTCATCATGCCAAACTGTGGGTCGCCTTATTATTCCGACACCGTACGCACGTTCGTTTGCGCATTATTCCGAGATTCGGTCTGCAATGTTCCTAGAGGCAATGACAGTGGGTGGAGCGACGAACTAGTAATGATACCTAGATTGGACCTTCTGAGAGATTTCAGCTCCGTAGAGGGCCTCATGTTGACTGTTTCGCACGTTATGGGTGGAACATCCGCGGCGATTTTCAAGGTCTAGACTTCAAGCTGGAGATGAAAGAGTCCACAAGGAGGAAGGAACAAAGAATTGCTCTCAGCAAACCAGAGAGAGATAGGATGGAGAAAGCTCAATAATTTCTAGTTATCTACAGATTGCGTCGAGTTTAACAAAAGCGCGCGACACCAGGCCTTACAATTGTTAAGGAAAGAACGCCACAGTATGGATAGATCCAAAACCCGCATATCGTTATAATGGAAGTAGACTTTATCTATGTTGCCTTACTATTTCGTATTTATTCCAGTCCTGTTTGCCATCAAGCCAGGTAGTTGAGGATGGCGACCATGCCCATAACCTTCTCAATTCCATGTCTTTAATTCTATCCGTGAGCGCGACTACTATCCGACTTTAAGTCAACACAGTTTATTCATCTCCTATGGTTCGGACGGATGGAGGAAATTCACTTCCTCCTCGGCTTTCCAATGTAACACCGCGAGCATGCTTGGTACAATAGGAGAGATAGGCACCGAGGCGATGTAAACATTGGTTGGTCGGGTCTGCCATGATTGGCGGACCAAAGGAAACATAATATACGGTGAGGAGGGAGTTTAAACTCCATTTGAGGTGGCCCATCGACCTACATCTATAAGGTAAACCAGGCGTGGTTGGTGAAACGGGCCACATCATCCTTTGTACCAATTTGCTATGCTCGCTGTCCGTCGTGGCGGGAGAGATCCCGCCTGAGGGTAAAATCTTCCGAGCAGGACACATTCGTGCGAACGCTGTCCTCAGTCAATGCCTTGCGATTGACTTGTGTCCAGATCCACGTGGGAGTTCAAAACACGAATGATCCACTAGGATGACTTCCCGTCAATTTCCCCAGAAATTCCTCGATATCCCGTTTTTCGGGTACGCTGCCACGACCCACCTTGCTTCCTATTCCTGGAGAAGAGGCCTTGTGGTCTTGAACATATATCGTCAGTTCTCCTCCCTTATCTCGGTCGTGGTGTGATATGCTAGATTATTCTCCTCAACGATGTCGGACCAGGTCGCGACCAACCCTCCTATCGGCGCGGTGCACCTCGAGGCTCCTCACGGCCTTGTGGCAAGTTCCCCTGATCTGAAGCGGACCGTGAGCGAAGGAAGTGTGGCAATGGATGGTACAGATTACCGCGAGATTCTTCCTAAACCCTCCAATGACCCTAATGATCCATTGAATTGGTCATGGGCTCAGAAGCACGTTGTCCTGCTCTTGGTGGCGCTCATGGCATTCCAGGGACCTTTTGACGCAGCTTCTCCGGCCTCTGGCTTTCTTGAACAAGCGCCAGTCTACCATACCTCGGTCCCTTCGATGCTCGACTCTGTCGGAGCACACGCAGTCATGGCTGGCGCCGGGGGCCTACTATGGGTCCCCCTTTCTTACCGTTACGGACGCAGTCCTATCTACACAGCTGGGGCGGTCGTCGCTACTCTTGGGGCCTTGGGTTGCGCTCTCGCAAACGATCTCCCAGCTTTTTGTGGTGCTCGGGTATATTTTTGCCCAAATCCATTCTTACAACTCAGTCCTGACAAAGCAGGTGGTAAACGGCTTGGGGTGCTCTGCATCCATGAGCATCGGAGCTTTGACGGTGAAAGATCTATTTTTCATCCATGGTAAAGTTGACCTTGATCCTACTGTTTGCTTCTGTCTGCTAACGTCGCCCAAGAACGTGGACAGAAAATTGGTATATGGACGATTTCCATTGGATTGTCCCCTTACATCGCCACCCTCCTGGATGGATTCGTGACGACCCACGCTGGTTGGAGATGGATGCAGTGGCTTACATTCATTATCTGGAGTGTGCTGTTGGTGTTGTGCGTGGTGGCCCTTCCGGAGACGCTGTATGATCGGCACCACGGCCTGCTTGACGTTCCACCGAAGAAGACGTATGTGCAACGGCTGAAATGGAAACATTTTAAGGGAAGACAACTCACGTTTCGGAACTTCTGGCATCCATGCACCATGTTCTTCTACCCTTCCGTCATTTTTCCCGGATTTTACTACGGAAACCTTTACGGATTTTGTGTGTTTGGGGCTTTAGGCATGCTTCCATTTGTGAGTCTTCCCGTTGACTTGGATGATTAGATTCCTGCTCACACGCTGGCCACTAGGCATTCGCAGAGATTTATGGCTTTGATGCCATCGGACAAGGGCTCGTAGCAATCCCGCTGGCCGTGGGTACGATCTTGGGCGAGCCGCTCGCCGGCCCTTTTTCTGACTGGATGGTCCGGTTTCTTGCCCAAAGGAATGACGGGCTACGACATCCAGAACAACGTCTTCAGGCTTATTGGCTTGGTGCAATCCTCGTACCCGTAAGATACACGACCATTGGTGAGTTTTGCAGCGAAACTGGCGGCTAACGAGTAACAGTTAGGGTTGACGATGTTTGGCTTAACTCTTCAGTACGAAGTGCATTGGATTGCTCCCTGCATTGCCATCGCCATCTACTCGTTCGCGATACAGATCGTATCTACTGTCACGTACGAACTTTCCCCTTTGCAATACTTTCGCCATTGCTACATCGGTTTTTGCCAACTGACGTTTTGTAGGTTCACCTACGCCGTCGACTGCTATGAACATGTAGCAGGTGAAGTTGCGCTCGTTCTAAACTTCTGTCGTATGGAGTTTGCCTTCTATGTTTCCTTCTACCTACCTCATTACACTAAGAAGGTTGGATACGGTTGGGCATTTGGGATCTATGCCATACTTTCAGTTATGCTGTTTCTGCCGATGATTTTGCTTATGTTTAAGGGAGGACAAATCAGGAAGCGCTTGGGGACACCTCAATCTGATTTCGTGCACCACGCTGTTCCTGTTCAGGTAGAGGAGAGTGTCCCAGGAACGGGAAAGGAAGTTGAATGATCCAAGTGAGGGAGAAGGGTACCTACAATAGTGACGGCCCAAAGCGAGATCTGGGAGTCTACCTATGTTATTTCCCTAATACACCATCGTCAGCTCTATTAGAGTGAGCTGGTTGGTAGAACCCGAGAAACAGACTTAGTAAACTTTGTGAGCAAATTGCCCCTATCGCATGTTGAACATTGAATGAATATATTGAACAAGGGATCACCATACATATCTGAAACACGCTGGTGTCAAACTTGTAGTACAACTTGAGTTAAAAGAGTGCTCTGTTTTCTATCAAGTTGAGGTCCTGCCTCGCATGTTTATATAGACAAAGATTGTCACCATCTTTCGGTGTCTCGGTGTTCAGCTCGTAGACGAAACCCTTGTTCAGCTGAACATTCATTGCCACGCTGCCCCATATTGTCTCACAGTTCAACAGCTGGTAAGAGGTTTCCATAGACAACGAAACTCCCAATGGTTGCCCGGCGCAACGACGAGGCGTTCGCACGTCTATAAAGAGAACGTCATGAACCCAACGAGTAGATAGAAGACAGAGCATTCAATACATCTCGAGTTGCACCCAGTTTGACACCAATCCATGGACTGTGTCGATGTCGAGTAGGAAGGTGTCACAGAACCACGTGCCAAGGATTACGTGCTCAGGGGTTCTTCAGCACTTCCTGCGTAGCACTCTATCTTGACTCTCTTCGTGCTACGTCTTGTACCTAGAACTCGATGCTAGTTAGAATTACATTGATTGTATCCTTGACCCCGAACCCTCACAGAGTGAGTGGGCCATCGGATCCAGTCCATGGACCACTTCCCATAGGGATTAACCGGTCAGCATGCGATTGTCAAGCACCATATGGAGCGTTGCAGTCGATATCGTCTCACGACGGTCCTGTCACGGCTCTCCATTATGGACGTCTCTCAACTGCACCTACCCTATGACGGGTTTCCGGCCAAGTCGGTGCTGTTTTCGACCTCGGGATGGACGCGCATGCACTGTCCTGAGTGGACCTTGAGTAACTACTTCGTCTTTCGGCTTAGCACGGGCGAAGCGTGACTACCGGCTTGTGTTGAGAGAATGGATGCAGGAGTGCATGCGCATTGGAAGTTTCCCTTCCTAAGACAATCTAAGGATAAATGAGTGACCTAAATACACAGTTACTGCTATAGGCAACGACATGTCTACCTACGTGGCTCCAGGCTACAGCAGGCTGCAATACAGGGGTATAGCAGGCATAAGTACAGTCTGGACATACAACAGCTTGTCTAGGGTCGGGGCGGCCACTTTCACCCGGTTCATATTCTGGATTGGGCTTGGACGGCGGCGTGGGTGGCGGTGGCTATCGGTATAGGCAGCAGCATGAGCAGTTGTGCGAACAGCAGTGTGAGTCTTAGCATGAATGTCAGTGCGAATATTATCAGTATGAATATCAGTATGAATGTCATCATGAATATCAACACGAAGGTGCTCTGATCGTATCCTATAGCTTTCCATGCTTCACTGGATTTGGCTAGAGTTAGTCGATGCTGACGGGTTACCGTTTCAATTCTAGGGCACTCAACAACAATCATGTACACCCACGGATTGTTTGACACACCCTAAGGGGGCTTGCCAGATGTCGCCAACAAAGGAAGTGACTACTAAGCAACGGTAATAAGAAGAAGTCGAAGAAGACTTTGCAACACTGGAAAGGTCTATACAATTGCAGATGGATTAATAAAAAGCACTCAAATCGCGACTTGATGTTTTGGTTTGTGTGCGTTTTACGAGGGATTGGTTGCCTCTTTCCAGCACGAAGGTCGCTGTTAGGAGTCGTTGCCCCGGCTGCATCTGCAGGCATCCGAAACCGTGACTCATCTAGGACGCGCGGGGGAAAATCTCTCATTGTAATAGCATCATCACGATTATCCGTCCTTGCAACCTTGTCCGCTTGCATTCTAGTTCTCGACGTGGCTTTTTATCTTCTATCTCCAATCAAAAGAAACATTTAATACGCTATTTACACTTATACGCCAGAAGTCCACCCTTGCACCGTAGCGATGAATCCACCTACCAGTCCCTCTTCGCGTCCTCGTCGAAAGGCAGCAGAGAAAGCTCTCAAAGATATTCACAATATCTACGGTCGTGGCACCAAAAGACTGAGGGCCACACTTACCCAGCGGGAAAAGAAAGTGCTGAAGCGCACGCGTAATGACACGCCACCTCGAACCTTTTCACAAGGTGATAACACTCCTGCGCAGTACAAACCGACACCGACTCACAAGTATATAGCCAATCACTCTGGTTTGGTTGAGGAAGATGATGTCGTTTATGTCGACGAAATAGAAATAGAGATTTTGGTCGAAGCTTGCGGAATCACGAGAAAGAATATCCCTTGTGACATATTCCGCTCGACCTTTCTAGGTCCTTTTAAACACAAAGACGAACGACCGCAACTCAAAATCCAAGCCATTAAGAATGTTGGTATCGGCAATTGGGAACAGGCGTCGTTCTTTCAGCGACTGCAAAAAGCACTTCCCAAAAAGGTTATGTTTTTAAGGCCTTCTATTAATCTAATCAACAGGCTCTTAACGACCTGTGTTTATCCAGTTCTTTCTCAAAGACATTATCCGGATCTAAGCAGGGCAAGAAGCCGTATTCGCAACCGGATTTCTTTTTTCACCTCGGAACGAATACAGATTGGGCTCATGTGGAACTTATTTTTATGCATACGCAAAGCTCTCTGTAAAAGGCCCCTGAAAAATTCCTGCAGTGGTTACGAAGCGCCTGGAATATATTCTATTATCAACCCTTTCGTCGCTACCTTTACGGTATTCTTTTCCTACAGCCGTACGCCTTGATCACCTATGTTGATCATGGCTGTGCCGGATACTCTGAGCCACTTGATTTTGTGGAGAATCTTCAACACACTCAATTCCTCGCGGATTTTCTGGCGGATCTCATCGCGGAACCTGAATATCGTGGACGAGATCCTCACATTACGGCACATCGAAATGATGGCTCGATATTCATTGAACATGCGGGAATAAAGTGGGCTGAAGTATTCGACGGATTATTATGCTACCGTCCCTGTGTGTTTACGAGGCATCTCAGGGTTACGCGAGTGCATCCTATCGACTTCCCGGAAGACAAGTGGGTTATGAAGAATTCCTGGGAAGAGATGCTCAAAAACCCGTCGCCGCCTCCTGAAGAGGAGGTTCTTCGAATTCTTATTGAAGCAAATGTACGAGGTCTTCCACAGCTTCATGAATCGTGCCGTTCGACTACAGGACGCAGTGACAATACGAAACCGTTAAGTGACAAGATGGAGATATCAAGCGACAATATGAAAGTGTCCAGCGACAACATCGAGGTGTTAACCAGCCATTTCCCTTCGAATTGTGAGAACGTACTCGCGGCAATAACTAATCGAACCATAATTTTGGTCAAATCCGACTTCGTATCTAAGCGCACTTCAAAATCCAATCTCTCCGACGTATCTGCAGGCACCACAGGCACGAAATTCCTTTTCCCAGTTAAAGTGCGGAAACAGAGTTTTAATGAATACATCGACGTACGTAGACGACGTACCTGCCTCATCACCTCATATTGTCAACCGTTGAAAGAGGCGATGCGCAATGCTCGGCCAAAAGAACTCATGCGAACAATCCGCGACGCTATGATCGTTTATTATGAGGCGTACAAACGTCCTGAGTATGGTTTTCTTCATGGTGGTAAGTTTACGAACGTACCGGACGATAAATAGCGCCAATAAATTCTTAGATATTTCGACTGAGAATATTATGGTTCCGGTAGAGGAAACTCAACTTACTGGCGGCCTTACCCACAAGACACTGCGCGGTACTCTCATTGACTGGAATCTATGCTTTACCGCCGACGGGAGAGCATCCAGCAGAGGCATTCGAAGTGGTACTCCTACATTTATGGCACCGAGTCTTCTTCTGGACGAACCAGTTACTCGAAGAACCTTGGGACATGACATGGAGTCGTTCTTTGCAGTCATGCTTTGGATCGCATCAATCAACTATGACGATGATATTGCCTTTCAAAGTAAGCCTCTAGTCAAGCATGTGGTCGGAAATAAGTCCTCTGCCAAATTTGTGGCACATACTAAATTACATTTGTTCGAGAATCCAAAGGCTTTCAAGATGTCGATAATTAATTACTTTGAACAGCCATATCGCAAAGACAACGACTTTGTCGAATGCACATGGGACCTTCGGCACGTCTTATACAAACAGGATTACGACGAAGATACACTGAGCTCTAGTGAAGAGGAGCCCACGGATTTCGAGGGTACGAATGACGATGATCCAATGAAGGAGCGCTTGTTCAAGGACTGCATGGCGGTTTTCGATAAGCACCTCGGCGACGAAGGAAAGCAAAGTGGCAGTTACCAGTTGGACAAGATCGATGCCAGGGAAGACCCAGAAGAATCGGATGACGAGTTTTGATACGGATTCTGCGGGAGTCTTTTAGTCGAGGGAAGATTCTCTCATCGATCACTCGGAGCGAAACGAATGTACCATTATGACGTCTTACATAGAAAAGCATCAATCAACTATCTGTTGTATCGAGAGCTGTCTGCTTCTATCAATATTTAAGTGGCATTGAAGGCCTCATAGCTACGACATCGTCTCTAGATGGGCTATGGACTGGATCCGATCATGCTGAGGAGGCTATGCTGAGGTAGCAAGATACGCCGTACACGCTGCCGACGGAACAATACTATTGTCAAACTGAGAGTGCAAATTGGGATGTATTGAATGTGTCAAACTGGGTGCAACTCGATATGTATTGAATGCTCTGTTCTCTATCTACTTGTTGAGGTACTGAGGCTTCTTTTATAGACATGCGAATACTACGTCGTTACGTAGAGCAACCATCAGTAACGTCGTCGTCTATGGAAACCTCTCACCAGTGTTTCAGCGGTGGGGCCTATACACAATAGCCCTTTGTTCAACACCTGTCAATAGCGTTGCACGCCAGGGGGTGAATGTTACAGAATGAGTTGGTTTGCCATGAACGATGGGTTACCATTTGTTCAACAGAATGCTCTATCCTTCTACAACTAGTCCCGCCAGGCTACTGGTATTTATACATAGTTGATTCCTTTTCTTCTCCTATTCCTTCCCTATATCCTGCATAGGAATGTGTCAAACTTCTCGAATTGAAAGAGTGCTCTGGCTCTCCTAATGAGTGTAGGATAGAGCCCACCTATATATCTATCTAACGAGTGTACGTCACCATTACTGCCTGTCAATGGTGATAAAGCCCAGTGTTCTCAGCTATTCGGCTGCCGGCCGAGAGGCAACGTGATCCACGGATTGGATCCGATGGCGGTGGTCCACAGACTGGATCCGATCCATGGACCATCTCGATATCGAGAATATCGACTTCCATCGAGTAGGGCACCCTCCCCGAGGGACCATGTGGTCTACGGACTGGATCCGATGGCGGTGGTATTTTATGAGATCCGACCCATGCACCATCTAGATATCGAGAGATTGACTGATATGGGCGAGGACCCAGTGTTTCATGATATCCGATTCGTGGATCATCTCGATGTCGAGGTCGGCGTGCGTAAACGCTCCACATCTCATCGATTTTTCATGAGTCAACATAAGAGCCCGGAAAACATTGGACACAGGTGCGATTGGTGTGATTCTACGAAGGACTTGTCCTATTTCGAAGGGGTCCAAGGAACCGTCTTGTCTTTATAGTTTCGAAGCGCGGACGAAGCGTACAACGCCTCCGAAGGTCTTTACAAGCCTTGGCGTCGCCACCGATCATAGCCTCGTCACATATACTATCTTTAACCCCTTATACGATACCACTCTAAAAGTTTTCTTTAGTAATAGCCCGGTATTATGGGTTTGCCGGTAGCCGCATCCCGAGATAAGGCAGGTCCAGACCACACAACCCCACATCGGGCCGAGAGACTATAGCGTTTTTGGGGGCCCGGGTTAATTTATTAAATGTACGTACAGTTTGACGCATGTTTTATATGCGCGACCATCCTATGAACGAACTTTGAGGCTTAACGTCTGAACTATTTGTTTTACCTCTTATACAGTTTCAAACCGATCCGTGCCGAGTCGTAATATGCCAAACTAGATTTGAGACGATCTCCACAAAGTGGATTCAACTTCCTTTCCGTACCTCTTCGAGGAGAATGTGACCATTAATTTGAAGAGTTTTGAAGGCTTAGTTAGGTGCAACGTCTACAGGCCTAAAAGCGACCAGAAAGTGCCTGTTATTGTGACATATGGACCTTACGGGAGAGACATCCACCTGAAAGAGTGAGTTGGTTCAGAGACCGCTTTACCGGAGCGCGGCATACGAACGTGAAATAAAGACTGACAAGAGGACTAGTTTTGTAACAACGATCTCAACGAAGGGTATCGATCTGTTACGAGGGGTGTAGAGAGAAGGATCATCAATCGTTGCGAGTGCACAAGGTAGGGTGTGGAATAGTAATGTACTGAAACCTGTCTCTATCTAAGGGTTCGAAGGCTCTTCTTATACCTTCGATCCGTTCATCTTCCTGCCTCCTTTCTAACGCCCAGCCCCCTTCCTGCCACCTTTGCAGTGGCTGGGAATTCGTGGCGTGATGGGTGTTACATATAGGTGCTACTGTACATCTCTGCTGCGTTTAATGATTCAGTTCAGTCCAATCTGGCCACCAGAAGTCGAGGCCACCTAGTGTATAATCTCCGAGAGCGTCGACAGGTTGTAGAAAGTCTGGACCACTATCGGCCAGGTTAACCTCAGCGTGTGTGTATTGCCCTGGCCCGGCGTTGGCCCCAGCAAGAGGTTCTGACTCCATCTCGTCGTCAAGGGTAGGATCTCTTTGAGTTATGCCCCCGTTGTTTCGTGGCAGTTGATTCGTGTCAGGGTTCCTACCATCTAAGCTACCAAACACCAATGGCCAAGAAGCACACAGATGGTGGTCGAATGGTTGAAAGAGCTCCTTCTGTATGGCTGATAATCTGACGGAGAAGCGTTGACTCGCCCTCCCTCTGCGTTGCGACCGAGCCAAGAGATTCTCGAAGATGCGCTCCGCTCCATGAGCTGTTGGGAAGCGTTTTCCTAATTCTTTGAGTGAGACACGAACAGTCGAGATCTCTGTTTCATTGTTTTTAGCTAGTTCAGGATACCGATATGATGAAACTTGGATTAGACCTGCAACAAGAAGATAAAATATCGATGCAGGAGCAAGAAACATGATGTCTGCCCAAGCAATGTACTCTTCAAAGATGCCCGAAACAAACGAGGCAGCCAACAGGCTTGTGGCGGAAAACTGCTGACCCGTCGTATCGCCGCGGTAAAAGATTATGAGAGCCACGAAGAAGGGAACATACAGCTGTCGCAGTTTGAAATTATATGTCCTCGGGGTTTGAGTCACCTTATCAAATAGGGACAGTGCCGGTGGCACATCTTTGATCCAGCGCAGCAGCTCCAGTTCAATGCTTAGGCGACGCCTCTCGGAAAGGCCGCCACAGCGACAGTGCTCTGTGATATCACCAACGATAGAGGTGATACGCACAAAGTGCATGAATAGTAGGGCGTCGAATTCGTTCGTACCTCTGAAATCATCCAACTGAAGCGGTCTGACATTCGAGTCCTCAAGCCTAAGCGCTCGGGGTCGGCCGTGGCTCGTTGAAATTTGGTTGTCCCTTGCCTGGTTGCGCGTCAGAAGAGGTAGCAATACAGCGGAGGTAAACTTACGATGAGCGTCCACCACAACCGACGGCGAAGACCTGCATCGGGCAAATGTGGTTCTGGCTCTCGATGAAGGCCTGCCTGGTGGGCTATGCCCACACTGATTCTTAACCACAGACTACTACTGTCCAACGACACATGCTCGGGTCCAGATGGATTCCACCAATGAAGAAGGATTGTCGCTATTATAGAATGCAGAATGCCATGGCCAGTACCATGGAAGAGCAGACACTTCGTATAGAAGTAGCACTTTTCGCCCCAGATCAGGGCATTCGGCGCAGCAGAGAGCTTACTACCAGCGACAAACACCGCTGTCGCCAAGAGCGAGTCAGATTTGTGGCATCTCAACTGTTCTAGCTCATTTGGCTCAACAATAGGCATCCAAGGCGCTCCTCGTTCCATGAAGCTTTTAATAAGGCTCAACTGTAATGACTGCGGAGGTATGCAAATGCTTGAAGCTGCTCGAAGCATGCTGGATTGCAGTTCTGCCAGGTTTTCTGTGGACTTAGCTTGTGGCGATTTATATTGCATGGCATCCTCTTCATCAACAGCTAGATCGGTGCTAGTAATGTAACTCGATCGTCCCAAGAAGCTCGAGTGCGGCGCTGCAGATGATTCTGCTGAAAATGCAGTTGGTGTTGGCTCTACGCTAGTTGGTTGGACTAGGATTGGCCGAGTGTCGGCTTCTGGGCAATCCGTCTCGAGATCATGACGCTGGGAACTACACAGAATGTCGTTCTCGGTGCGTCCTTGAAACCTTCGCCTAGGTTTGCGAACATGTGGCCTGATTTCCGTCAACTGCTGTACCGAAGATCGATTTTCGATCTTGAATTTACCTGCACTCGAGCCCACTAGAGCTGCAATTTGAACACCGAAATCCCTGCTCGCTGGATATTGGTAAGTCACATTTTACTTTCCTAGCATGACATGTTTCACAGGCTCGTGGCATCTTAGACGCTCCCTCTGCGTGCCAGTCTTACCCCACAGAGCTGTCGCCGAAGGTGATAGAAGGGGGATTAATGAGACATGAGCGAGGGGTGCCACGTTTTGGACAGCTTTGATTATCTGCCAAGGTCGGGAAAATCTTCGGCGACTCGGGGTTTTATGCCCAGGGCCTCGGTAATGCTCGGAACTTGCATTCTCCACCTCGATGACAAGCAAACTCTTCGATGTCCTTAGCACCTAGTTGATGGATGATAACTTGCATTCCTCGACCACACGCATCTACATTCAGTTCGGCATCGAAATCACGGCTGACATTATTTTTGTATGCTACGGCTACTTTGGAGGTGTTTTGTTCTTGCCGGCCCTCTTCAATGGCCGTGGCGTCATATCCACCAGTGACTCCTTCAAATGGTTCGTTGGAGCACGCGTTCTTCGATGGAAGCAATTTACATTGGTGTAGGATCCACATTTACGAAGATCGTACACAATGACACGTACCCGTTCATTGATTCAGCGACACGATCCAACCATACCGGACGCGCCATCTTCATTAGTGGAGGTAATCGTGGAATCGGAAAGGGAATTGCTATGTCCTTCGCACGAGCAGGTGCATCATTCATCGGCTTAGGGTGCAACGACGGTTTCGGGAATGTAAAGGCTGAACTCGAACGGGCAGCAGAAAACGCCGGAAGATCCACTCCACAGGTTCTGTGCCTTCAGCTTGACATAACTCAAAGCACGTCTGTTGCTCAAGCAGCTTCTGAGTTACGGAAACATACCTCGAGACTGGACATTTTGGTGAATAACGCAGGATTCATGACACCAGCTTTACCCGTCGTGGAGGCCGAGGAGAACCTATGGTGGACGACGTTTGAGGTCAATCTAAAGGGCATCTTCCTTATGTGCAAATATTTCACCGAATTTCTAACTAAAACCGCGGACGGCCTGAAAACGATAGTGAATATCAACTCCGCTGCGGCTCTCAACCTTCGTCCGAACGCCAGTGCATACGGAACTTCCAAATTGGCACAACTAAAGTTCACTGAATTTCTGCTCGTAGAGCAAGCACGGCAGGGTCTGATTGCTTTCTCTGTACACCCCGGTGGAATCATGACTCAATTAGCGGAAGCCATGCCCAAGGAAACGCACGCTGGTCAGCGGGTTTGTGGCTAGAAACTACATTTTCAGAAGCTGATCTATTACAGGTTTCACTGATACTCCGGAATTAGCTGGTGACACCATTGCCTTCCTAACTCAAAAGAGACGACAATGGCTTACTGGAAGGTATATAAGCTGTACGTGGGATATGGAGGAACTTCTGGGCAGAGAAGATGAGATTCAGCAGGGTGATAAATTGAAAGTTAGGCTCAACTTGTAATGCCCACATTTTCGTGCCTTATCATGCTCTAGAGGTGTGAAAACGGTAGATAGCACACCTCAATGTCTTGGAGGTATCTAGAAATTCTCATGCTCTTGACGTATAAGCACTGAAGCACTTTTTGATCATGACTAAGCGAACAATAGCCTTGATAATCAAGAGCGCGCATATGTCACCTCCAGTCGTCAACGCCGATGATGTAACGCTTGTAGTCGCCTCAGAGCAAGGAATATCAAACTCGTAGCAACTTCAATCTTCCGCTTCTCTCACCGACCGGGTTTGCTCTATCTGAGTGGGGTTTTTAACTTATAGAATAGCTACAACATTAGGCGGAGATGCCACTCCTCCGACCACGTTCAGTGGTGCGCTGGCAATGAAAAAGGACCACTTCCTTAGGGTTCGGCATTTCTCAGACAACTCTTCCAGATTCCAGAGCTCCCCAATGGGGCATCCCCACATAGCTAGCAACCAGTCATGCAGGCCTATTACAGTTGTTAGCGGAGGATGGGTGAGGCTTTTCCATCTTACCGTATGGTGGCTTTGTCGGCCATGCTTCGAAGGCTAAACTGTCAGATGCGACCGCGGCAAAGTGTTTGTTCCAGAGCCATTTGACTGTATCTTCGGTCCCTTCTAAGCCGATATGCTCGTTTCCTGTAGTTCCTTTTCTGCGCTCAGACTCAGACGCTCCGTTGTACCATGCTGTCCACCCAGTCCGAATCAGCAATATGTCGGCCGGCTGAAGTTCAGTCCCTTGCGACTTCGCAATCTCCTCAATCTCGGATGAAGAGATAGTGGTTCTGGCAATTGCTGGATGATGCAAACTCCTTGCTGTTGCCCACGAGTGGTAGTCAATAAGCACACCGCGGCCAACGATACCGCCCCGCAGGCTCCAGTCTGCATACACGTCAAAGCTCTGCCACGAATAGGAGAAGATCACTCTCACAGTGTATAGAATTATCCTTGCAGTTATTGTTCCGAATAGCATCATGTGCCAAGTTGTTATAGTAAAGTCCAGTTTCCTGGTGGCCCCAATGCCCTGTTGGAAGGTGAGCTAAGGTTTTCCAAAATGACCAAAATGTACACACTTAGCCCATCCCATTGACTGCCGCTTTGTGTATTGATCGCTATCTCATCATCATAAGCAGTGTGACCGAGACGTCGTAGACTAATGATTCTGTGCTCGAATTGCTTTCGATTGACAGCAGGTACTTGAGCATGTTCCATGGACCAACTGCGCACGAAATACAAGTTAGAGCAAAGACGTCGAAATCTGATGCAGTGGCTTAACTTCAGGCAAATGCTCTGGCCATTTTGGATTTCGTCCCTTGCTTTCAGTACAATCTCAGGGGTCAACAAATTTAGTGTTCCCAGCTGGTCTCTTTCTCCGTTCTGGTCGAAAAGGCCCCAAGCACAACCATTAGGCATACCAGGGACTTTTGGCATCTCTTCCCACTTTGGCAGATCGTGCCAACGCATGGTTGAAGAATGTTCCCCTCTGATTGATCAATCATGCACAGGATCTCTCAATACTTATGAGCGGAGCGGGATGGCCTTCCTCGACAACGTTTGCAGCTTCGTTAGAAAGGCACACCATTAACATGAGCAGCGTTGAACTGGAGGCGCCAACACAAAAGAAACCGGACAGAATCACCGGCCCACCCCTTCCCTTGTCCTTCTTCGGTAGTATACTCGGCGATATGCGCGTATTGCTGTTGCGTGAAAGCCGGCTGTTAGGAAAGAGGTCCACAGTCCTTTGGGGATCGCCCAAAAAGACTAAGAATCCTCTCATTTCATGACAGAAACTTGGACATCTTAGCTTATATACTTGTCAGAACCCGGTTCGTGACACCGGCACTTCGTCAATGAAATATCGTGAACTAAAGGGCTTGACTCATGAAGGTTCCAGTGCGATTCGGTAGCTGCTATTGACTTGCCAACACATCGTAGCGTAATGTGTGTAGCTCCATTTTCTTCATTATCCCTGACAATGCTTGGACATTGGATTGCTTCAAAGTGCAAGCGTGATTGCTTTGACATCTGTGTACTCTTCTAGAGCGTGCCTCGACCCTTCTCTTCCGAGTCCGCTATCTTTGATGCCACCGAAAGGTTGCTCGATCGCGCTTATCGTGCCAGTTCGGGCCCCTATCATTCCAACTTCGAGGGCTTCTGCGACCCGGAAAAGCCGGGAGATATCTTCGGTAAAGATATAACCTGCCAGCCCGCTGCCGACACGGTTTGCCAAATTAAGTGCTTGGACTTCTGTCCTGAACGTTGAAATGGCCACTACTGGACCAAAGATTTCCTCCTGAGTAATGTGCATATTTTCTTGAGCCCCAACCAAGACCGTGGGAGGATAGAATGCAGAGCCTTCTTGGTAACTGCTCTGCGTTTTTAACCGTGCACCCTTTTCAAGCGCATCTTTCAAGAGCTTTTGGATTTTCTCTGCCCCTTTATTACAGTAGAGCGGTCCTAGAGTTGTACTTTCCTCCCATGGAGATCCGAGGTGGACCTCTGCGGCAATTTTTCCAAGAAGGACATCGACGAATTGCTTCTCGATCTTCTCGTGGAGCAGTACGCGATTTGCATAAATGCAAACCTGGCCAGCAGATTTGAATTTACAGGCCATCAATGCTGCAGTATTCGATGAGCAAGAAACATCAGAGCAGACTGTGCAGACAAGCACTCACAGTTGACAGCCGACTCTATATGAGCATCCTCAAACACCAGAAAAGGCGCGTTTCCGCCGAGCTCCATGGTCATCTTCTTCAGATTTGCTCCACATCTTTCGGCGAGATATCTACCGACGCCAGTTGAACCCGTAAACGTGACATGGCGTACCAGAGGGTGTGAACAGAAGAGGTCCCCGACTGCTGCGGCATTTGCATGTGAGCTGGTCAACATATTATAGACACCTGGTGGATAACCAGCTCTCTCGCATGTTTTAGCCAGGGCAATCGCACATAGCGGAGTCTCTGGGGCTGGCTTGTGGACTACCGTGCATCCAACCGCGAGAGCCGGTGCAATTTTCTTGAGTACGCCTGAATAAGGGGAGTTCCACGGTGTGATAGCACATACAACTCCGACCGGCTGTCGTATGGTCAAGATTCTGGTTCTCCCGCCACTAGTTGAGTTTGGTACTGTCTCACCGCCACAACCTTCCTCGGCAAGATTTGCAAACCAGTTGAGGCACGTTGCAGCGTATTTGACAGCGTCGAGAGACTCTTTGAGTGGTTTACCAAGCTCGAGGGTGCAAAGGGCGGCCAAATCATACTTACACTGCAAGACTCGCTGAGCCCAATTTCTTAGCAGTTCGCTCCGTGCCCGTGGTGCGAGGAATTTGTATGAATCAAATGCTTCGTGAGCTATGTCGATAGCGTTGCGATACTCGCCGACACTGGAGTCGGATACAAAGGCCAATATTCTTTGATCTGAAGGGTCTTGTACAGCCAGGTGTCAGAAATATATATATGTGGATCACACTCAGAAAACATTCGGAAAGAGTTATACAGTCTGCTTACCTTCTACTGAAAAGGTCTTGCCGTCGGGTCCGATTTCCCAGCTTCCACCTACAAATGATCGGTTGTCCAAGAGTGAAACGTCTTGAAACTGCTCTGATTTAGAAAGAGTCGTCGCAAGCAACGTGTTAACTTGGGTACCTCATAGGGAACATCCTTGTTGAGGACTGAAGCAGAAACCATTGTTAATTGCTTTCACGAGGAGCTGGCTCGTCCGAGCATATGGACTACTCCTTGCCCGCCTTGATGGCTCTACGGTGCCCAATTATGTAGAAAAATGCTCTGTCGATAGAGCGTCTTTGTAGCGACGCTCGTTTAGCGGTACACCAAGAAACGGCTGTAGGTGGTTTGAGCTCGACCTTGCCGCCGAAATACCGAACACTCCTTCAAAACGCCGAGATAGAAGTAGTCCCCAATCAACCGTCACAAGCATAACTTCAGTCCTCGACTCCGTGAATCTACGGTCATTGTATCGCCACACTTCTAATCAACATACTGGCTTCCGACATCATGAGAGAATGAAAGAGATCAGGTGTCGCAATACACTTCGCAGTCTGATGGCACCTCGTGTCGAATTACCGAGTGGAGATGCAATCGTCAAAGTCGCTTTTATCTGCAATGCAACAATTTCTGGAATCCCCTGGTCCCGGTTTACTATGCCCAGCATCCGTGGTCTAGAAGTACTCGATAAAGTCCCCAGTTTCTCGTTCTTCATCGAACATCCTTCTGGGCGGCGTGTCCTGTTTGATCTTGGTGTCCGGAGGGACTGGTGGAACTTGTCACCAGTGCTCGCACGACGCATGAAAGTGGGAGGTTGGAAGACAGATGTTTCCACAGACGTCTCTGAAATACTCGAAGAGCATCATGTACCACTGCAGTCCATCGACACTGTGATCTGGAGTCACTGGCATTGGGATCACATTGGGGACATGTCGAAGTTCCCTGCCGGCACGAATCTCCTGACCGGGCCAGGATTTGTTGAAGCCTTCATTCCTGGGTATCCCGCAAACGAGAACAGCCCTATACAGGAGTCTGATTATTCCGGGAGGACCCTTATCGAAATTGAGGAATTCGAACGACAAATTGGAGATATCCCTGCTCATGACTTCTTTGGCGATGGCTCATTCTACCTTCTCTGGACACCGGGCCACGCAATTGGGCATTTATCTGCGCTTGCTCGAACATCAACTGCTAGAAATGGTGAGGACGACACATTCATTTTGATGGGCGGAGACTGCTGCCATCACATGGGCCAGATGCGGCCCTGCACGAGATGGCAGCTGCCATATGATATAAAGCTTCACGTCTCGTCAAAATCACCGGCTTCTAGCCAACCTGGAGTGGGATGGAACATGACCTCTTATAGTAGAGGTTCCGATGTCGCTCTTCTGGAGATATCCGATTACGCCAATGGTGAGAGCGCAGCCATCAACCCTGAAGAAGCCGTTAATTCGCTTCGGAAGCTGATGAGCTTTGACGACGAGCGAGTGCTTGTTGCGATAGCCCATGACAAGACCCTACATGGTGTCGTAGACCTTTTTCCAAAACCGGCTAATAACTGGAAGGTAGAAGGATGGGCGGATCGCGCTCGATGGGCTTTTCTAAACGATTTTGGTGAGAAGGAATAACGCAAGAGCGATCCGGATTGCGCCACTAAGGCTCGCGTTGTTGAGCACATTTCCCCTCCGCATGTACGAACACGGTATAGGGCTAAATGAGCTCGTCCTTTTAATGACAGTAAGGTTTCTGAATCGCTCTTCGGTGTTCACCTGTCAAAGAAGGCACAAATGATCAACCTCGGCGAATAGTTCAGGAGCTTAGTGAGCCTACAATATTCGGATAAAATATCATCTCCATCTTAGTCTCCGAATGTAACCCCGAGTAGATTGGGAAAGAGCGATAAATTTTTTTACATGCTAGCACGTCCGAGGCAGCTGAATGTGAGTAGCATTTCTAGCGTCCTGACGATTTTCCTCCTGGCGGACAATAATCTTGCACAGCTACTTCCGAATATACGTAACACTCCCACGTTTTCGGCATACTCACCATGATGGACGGAACTACTCATGTCAACGGTGACAGCGAGGTTAAAGAGTCTGTTCAAAAGTTTGGCATAGCTTTGACGAAGATTGAAGCCCAAAATCTCGCTTGCATCCCGTCGAGATCGCTAGAATCAAGGGTTGCTATCATCACAGGCGCAGGCGCTTTGGGATTCTCCATCGGAAACGGCCGGGCTGCTGCAATACTTCTTGCGGAAGCAGGCGCGAACGTCATCTGTGTTGACAAGGATGAGAAGTCTGCCACCAGAACCGTGCAGCTGATTCAACACTTGAAATTACGTGGAAGTGGCGTTGCCAGGACCGCAAACGTGACCAATGAACACGATTGCGAAGGAGTTGTTCAATTTGCAATGGAGAAATTCGGCCGGCTGGATATACTGGTGAACAACGTAGGAATTCATGGCGTGAAGGGTACATCATTATCAGTAGACATGAATCAGTGGGCTACGGGAATGGAAGTCAATGTGGCAAGTATGATTATGATGGCCAAATTTGCGATTCCGGCCATGATTCTCAACAACCATGAGGAGGGGGGCCGATCCAGGGGTAGTATTGTCAACATTGCGAGCGTGAATGGCATTCTTGGTGGCTCTCCAGATATTCTCTACCCAACGAGCAAGGGAGCGATCGTGAATATGACTAGGGCGATGGCTGCACATCATGGAGAGAGCGGCATTCGTGTGAATTGCGTCTGCCCAGGTGAGTAGATCTTCGCATGCTGCTTGTTAAGCTCATTCGTGGTCTCAGGTGCAGTCTATACTCCAATGGTAGGAGGCGTTGAGGGCGGCATGAGCCAAGACGTTCGGCAGAGCAGGAAGAAGAGAAGTCTTCTCGGTGTCGAAGGAACAGGTAATTTCCCAGACAATGTTCTGAAATGTTCCGTGCCCTAATTCTTTCTGGAGGTTGGGACGTCGGTGGTGCTATCAGATTTCTCGCCAGCGACGAAGCAGCCTGGATAACTGGAGTGATCTTACCAGTCGATGCAGGAGCAACCGCAGCCGTGGGAGTCGGACACAATATGGGTCGCTGATGAGCGAAATCTCTAAAGCATCGCACGCAAGTTCAAGAAGTCGCTTGACAGCTCAAAAAACTTGTAGCTCCTCCCCACTACTGAAGACTTTAGAAGTTTTGACACAGGCGCAGAAGAGCATCCATAGGACAATGAAATTCTGAACCAGGATATCTTTGCGCTAGAAATGATGCTCCCATGAGTTCAGCTCCCTCTTCTGGCCTCGGGCCTCAATTCTTAATAGTCTCGCAACGGTGTCGATAACACACTGTTCAAAGGAATGATATTCTAGTCCCAAGTTGTCCTTTGGCGGTTTGTCGTCAAACTCGAAGATATGATCTGGAAAATCACTTTTCATATCCTCTGGTAGCTTCGACCGCAGTTGTGGAAATCACATCGACCAGATCTTTATTTGTCCAATAGCTTCCAACCAGCAAGAACCTTCGGCCTGCATCCTCAGATCGCTTTACAGCCCTGACGTGTGCACATCCAGCTACTGGTGGACGGAACACTTTTCTTGAAAGTACCGTCAAATGCCATCAGTATGCGCTTATTAGAGGTGTTGAGCTCTTTCAAAGAACGCACATCGTGGAGGGGAGGTCCGAAAACAAAAGCGAAGCCAGATTTCTCATTTCGCACGAATTCCCAAGCCGCAAGTTCGGCAAACCTCTTACTCGCATTGTAAGTTAGGTTGAAATCCTTGATAGCGTCCGCGAAGGCGATCGGATTCCACGCTTGACCATCGTACACAGCCGGGTGAATCTTGAAGTTGATCATGGCTCCCACGGAAGACGTCAACACCACTCGATGCACTGAAAGAGCGTGAAGCTTCGCTGCTTGGAGAATTCCAAGTGTGCCATTGATGGCTGGATCCAGTATGTCCCTCCGAGTATCTGTTACATTGTTATGAAAGGGTGACGCAGTGTGAATGACAGCATCAAAAGCGCCGTCAGCGCCGATGTCTTCAGCGACTGTGAAAGATATCTTGCTGAGAGGGCTGAATTTGTCGACAAGATAATCACCCTTTACGGCGGATGTAACAAGATTATATGTCACTAACTTGAAAAGATTGCTCAGGTCGACGGCATACCCTGGAGGTTCAGGATTATAAAAATGGTTGTGTTCGGCGTCAACGTTTCTGTCAGGGGCAGGCTCGCCAGCGGGCTGTAAAGACGTCAAAAGGATACCTATCTATCTATATAGGTGCAGGGGCGACATCGACTTCCACGCTTGGAAGTCGAATAGGGGTATCCTGCGTAACGCATGCTATATACATGTTCTTGGCGCCCCATGACAGTTTCCGTCGGCGTTGAAGCGAGGGTGGGCATACCGAGGGAGCGCCGACCACCTGCCCCGAGGTTCATTGTTCCAATCCAATTGATGCAAGTATGAAGACAAAACTTTTAAGAGCTGTTCATTCGAGCACACTCGTGGGATTTTGCTCCAGATGTTAACCTCCAAGAGATATTTCGAAGCTCTCTGGAAATTCTGAGATTAGACAGGTCGCCCAACCCAATGGACAAACGGTTCATCATCTCTGCAACGCAGAACGGCTTTCCTCACATCATCTTTTTCCCTCCTGTAATCCGGACATCCACCTTGATACTTTCCTCAACCTCTAATCCTGTATGTTTCTTCTGATCTACTGATATACTTGCTGTCTCTGCATCGGTGGTGGTCGTAGCATAGTCCCCAAACATCTCAGATATCTGTTCAAGAGATTTTTGGTTGGTCTGTTGAATCTATCAGCGCATAGCCGCAAATGGAACAGGAAGAACACAGAAAACGCCCAACTTACCTCAAGGAAGAGGAAGTACACAACAGCAATCATGACAGTGCTAGCACTGACAAAGACGAGGAAATATTTCCATCGAATTGTTGCGAATGCTGTCGGCGCGGCTACCAGAATCAAGATCGAGCCGAGAAACAATCCAGCCACTGATACAGCCATACCCTTCGCGCGGACTGGAGTAGGAAATATCTCGGAAGGGTAGACGTAGGACGTCGCATCGAGTGTCGAAGAGAACCTGAGAAGGTTAATAGCTGCCTCATATCCTAAACTCTGATTTGAGGCTTACACTGCTACCTCAAGGAAGAGGAAGAAAACAGCTGCCACTGCCGACGAGTGACCCCCAGTTTGTTGGTATCGCGCCACTGAAGCACATTCCCCAATCAGAGATACGACGCATCCGACGAAGCCAAAAAGAAACAATGGCTTTCTACCAAACTTATCCAACAGAATCGTGTTGAGGGTGTTTCCAAAGATGATCGTTGTGATCCACCCACTCTGGATTAGTAGCGTATCAGTGGTACCGTAGCCAAGATCAGCGTAGAGGGAAGGTCCATAGTTGTTGATGACCTGGGTACCAGCGGCCTGACAGCCGAAAAGAGTCAAGAAGCCCAGAATTGTGCGCTTTCGCAAGGTCGGCTTGGTGAAGAGCTCTTTGAACTTTACAGAGTTATGCTTCTCTTGAAGGATTTGTGCGTGCAATCGGTGAAATTCATTATCCACGGCGGCTTGGCCCTCCGATTCGCGTGATGCCGAGCGGGCTTTGCGAAACATCTTGGAAGCTTCCTCAGTTTGATCGTTGAGCAGAACTGCGAGAGCACCTTAATAACTAAGAAGGTCAAGCAACCGGAAAAAGATGACTTACGCCAGCGGGGAGATTCAGGCAATCGCCATATTGTGATGGCGAGTATGAGAGGCGGGATGCACTGGATGACAGTTGGAATGCGCCATTGGGTGCCAGAAGCATTAACGAAGTAAAATCCAAATCCGATCCAGCTGGCACTCGCATAACCGATTCCAATCATAATGCCGGTCGTACCAACAACGAGGCCTCGAATCTCTGCAGCGGCCACTTCGGCTAGATATAGTGGTGTAAGGGTGATTAATGCCCCTAGAAGATTCAGCTCAGCCTCTAGCGTTTCGCCAAGGAGCGAGTAGACATACCGACACCAACCCCAGAAATCACCCTCATTGCAATGTACATGGCGATGTGGACGCTTCCAGCTTGTAGAGCACCACCAATAACTGCGAACACTGAGGCCACAAAGAGCCCTACTCGTCTGCCATAATTGTCCGCAACAGGGATACAAGCTAGAGCACCAATAAAACCACCTGCTTGAAAGACTCCATTGTTAGCACCTGCAAGCTCAGCAGCGTTAGACCTTTGGTCCAGGGCGAAGTATTGAATAAACGACGGCTGAGCAAGGGTGGTGCCGATGATGCTGGATGCATATGCGTAGGTCAAACTCCCCAGGGTAACGAGGAAAACTCTCTGAATTGACTCTCAGCTTCCACCATCTACAAGTGGACGGACCGCACTCACATATAGGGCAGCATGATGCATACCAGACGATTTGCTTTGCACTTTTCCAAAGAACATGTTGATCGTCTTGATTTTGGTAGCTCAGGTGTGGTAGAGATTTCGGGGTTAGGGACAACGAGGTTCCACCTTATGAGTTCAAATACTAGATCTCACCCCATAGGTGCCCGGACCGACCCCGGCCCCTCCCCAGAAATGTCATTCAAGAGGACTCCTTGTGGGAATATCAGACTCGTTTCGGAGTCTGTCGTGCGAGATTAGGGCTTTGTCGATTCGGCGATTGTAATCGGCTCAATCATTTTTGCTCCTAGACATCAAAGAATATTTACCGAATCGCCGCTATTGGCCAATTGCCGGCTTTTTTGTTTGCCAGAACAAGTTCTGGACATTCGTATGCTAAACTTATTAAGACGAAACACCAACAGAACACACATTATGGAAAAGTGATAGACGACTTCAAGGTGGTCCGCATCGCGCTGCGTTGTCACCAATCCTCCGTGTTCATTGGTCCATTATGCTTCCCCGCACGACCCCCGCACGACGCTCAGTCAATAAGAGATTACCGAAAGTGGACCATACTAGAAAAAAGGGGGAGTTTTTCGAGAAGTGTGAAATACTTGAGAGAATGTAAAAAAAAAAAAGAGAAAAAAGCTCTATAACGGTCGCTAAACTCGATTCGAATAGGCGACTAACTATTTTACATAATAAGTTGAAACTCCACGTCGATAATAAGTCGTAAACCGCGTCTTACGACCGAAATTTCTTCGAGCTCTCGAACAGCGAAGTATTTCCGACGGCCTCCGGAGATAAAGAGTGTCTGCACCCTTAGCCAATAATTACAGGACTAGGCTGGGAATAAGAGGAGATAACTTGCTCGACCAAGAAGGCAAGTGTCCTGTGGTCATAATATGGAAAGAGGGCCGCGAGTTTTAGTTGCTCTATGTAGAAACAATATGCCATCGTTGTAAGGAGCCTATTATTTCCCTGATAATTTATACAAGAGCCGCCTTTTTCCTTGCGTGCAGCGTACTGCTATCGAACTGTAACATCCCGACATACCACGTTGTAAACAGAAGGTCCTAGCCATCGAATTGAATCCCCAGCCTTCGTAAAGTAGCAGGAAGAAGAAGGCTAGGTGCTGTGATAGAAGGAGGTTTCAGTACATTACTATTCCACACTCTACCTTGTACACTTGCAACGATTTGTGATCCCTCTCCCTACACCCCTCGTAACAGATCCTTACCCTTCGTTGTTACACGAACCCTCTTCTCTTCTGTCAGGGTGGAGACGTGCTATAGAACAAGAGCGGAGATTCGATAATGATATTACTATCCAATGCACTATAAAGTACAAGACGAGAGACAAAGACCATGAAAGCAGTGCGAGGCTATCCTAGATACTTATAGCCTGGTGGTGTAGTCATACCACAAGGCTCCCACGCAGGCACACGAGGCTATCGACAGCCACAGTGCGTCCATGGCAGGCACCTGGCAGGCACCCAGCAGGCTCCGATGAGCCTGCCAGGTTGTGCCGTAACATGGGCAAAGAGATGAAAGGATCGAAAGTTATAAGAAGAGCCTTCGAATCCGTAGATAGACAGACAGGTTTCAGTACATTGCCATTTCACGCCCTACCTTGTATACTCGCGGCGACTTATGATCCCTCTCCTTGCATCTTTCGTAACAGACCCTTACCCTTCGTCGGTATCGTTGTTACAAGCCAGAGCACTCTTTCAATGCAAGAAGTTTGACATCTAAGTATTGCTCTTAAAGATATAACTATGGAGAATCCCACAATTACCCTTGCTCATTTTGCCCGGTTTCTACGTGCTCTACTCTTTACCATCTATTTTCTTTTTAGATGTTTCACATTGCAAGACACCACCAGGGAAGCGAGTTACTCTGGGCGTGCTGGCTATAGATACACCCTAACTGCCCACTTGGTTTAATGTTGGGCCGAAACCCCCTGTTTCCACTTGTTGCCGCTAAGAACCCGGAGGTTTCTCTACCGACTCCAACCAGCCTTTCCATCAAAAAGGAAACCCTCAATGTGCCGAACGGAGCCAGGTGTTGGGACAAAGTTACGAGTCTATGGGTCGACCCAAGGTCTTCCCGCTCCAACATATATGTCATAACCCCACGTTCTTTTCAAAAGGTTGAAATGATAACCTCGAATGTTATTGTGTCGGGCTATTTGACCCCGGTCCTAACGACTTTGCGTTCATATAACAAAGTCGACCATTGCATTGAGTCCTTCAACTCAACTCTCCCGCTGACTCCTACCATTGAATATAACCCGCACGTCGAAAGCGTCCCAATTTTGGTGTCGGAGTGATGATCTGGTTCCTTGTTGCTAGCCTGGTACTTCTTTCTAATGCCCATGCCCTTAAAGCCACCTGAGTATGATTCTCCCTTTCAAGACCCACAAGTGAATTTTCGACCCAAGTTCCGCTACTGGTGAGTACTTGTTGAAGCATGATGGTGACGACTGCTCCGTATTCTCCATTGCATTTCACTGCGCGTAAAGCCGGTATAGCCACAAGGAGACCGCGACTGACCACGTGATAGGCTCCCTGATGCCAGTGTTCACCACGATGAAGTCGCTCAAGATATTTCGAATCTTTCCGCGATTGGCGCTGGCGGAGTGGAATTCCTGCCATTCTACTATTACGGCGGTGTTGGGTTGCAAAGCCCTACTGCTGATTGGGATAAATATGGCTTTGGAAAGCCTGCCTTTCAGGCACTCTTCAAAGACGCTCTTCGTGTCGCGAAAGCCTCAAATGTCCTGATGGACTTTGCGGTCGGTGTTAACCAGGGCCAAGGCGTGCCTTCAGAGCCATCCACACCCGGCCTTGCCGTACAATTGGTAAGTTGCTGGCGCAGTTCACGAATTCATTGGATGACAAATAAAGCTTGTTGGAAATGCGTTTATCACTTCTGGTGAAACCTTTAACGGCCCCGTGCCACCACCTGGACATCTCAATAAAGACCTTGCCTCAGGAGCCTATTTTATGCTTGAACTTGAGCAGTTTGGTACACCGAATCTCACAGCTGTGATCGCAGTAAAAGTGTTTTCAAGTGCGTGGGATCTAGAATAGCATCTCAAACATCAAATACCACTTCCGCCCTACCAATAGTAATCTTGGATGAACCATCTGTTGTTGATCTAACGACTACCGTCATGGATGGCCTGTTGACATGGACACCACCCCCAGGAAACTCCACATGGAGAATTTTCACTTTTTGGCAACACTACACGAATCAGAGGTCGTGCATAGCAACGCCCGGCGCTGTTGATTATATCGGCAATGGATCTTGGATTGTTGATCACTTTTGCAAAGAAGGAGCCGCTCGGGTAACCGATTTTCTGGATCGGTACGTTATTTCAGATGCCGAGACTGAATCCTTACTCCGCCAAGTGGGAAATTATGGTGAGTAAACCTGTGGGAACCGTTTGGTCATAGCTCATTGATCCTAGCGTGGGAAGACAGCATGGAAATTCTCGCATCCCTATACTGGACGCCAGATTTCCTTGACAAATTCGAGAAGGCTCGAGGATACAGCTTGGTTAAGTATCTCCCATTGATGTTTGGAGCCAATAATTCCTTCGGTCAAAATTTTCCGCCATATTCAGAGTTGTACTTGTATGTGGAGCCCACCGATAATGGACTACATGTTCAGGATTATCGAACCACTCTCAACGAGGGATACCAGGAATACATCGCACACTTTCGCAAATGGAGTCATTCCAAAGACATTCAATATTCGAATCAGCCTGCATATAATCTCCCCCTTCAGATGGTGAGTCCAATGTGGTTTCCGTTTTCCTCGATGCTGGCTCCTAAGTCAATCCATGGTTAATAGCTTAGCGACATTCCTTATTTTGACGCTCCGGAGGGTGAGTCTTTGGGTTTCTCAAACCTAATCGACGCGTATCGTCAATTCAGTGGACCAGCGCACCTGGCCGGTATCCGAGTAATCTCGACCGAACTTGGCGCCGTCTTTTCGGCCTCATATTCACAGAAGTTGCCGGACCTGATTTGGAGCGCCAAAACTGCGTTTGCCGGAGGTCTTACAATGATGGTGATCCACGGATCACCCTACTCTGGCGACTATCCCAATACTACGTGGCCGGGCTATACCACGTTCTACTACAACTATTTTGAAATGTGGAATATTGTACAGCCGGCCTGGAGACACATAAAGGATTATATTGATTGTCTGGCGAGAAACCAATATATATCCTTCAGAAGGGGACCGCAAGGGTTGACCTTGCGTTCTACCCCTACGCGTCGCCTTGGACACACTCAATACAGTACAATTCAACCAATCTTCAAGATCTTGGTAAGCGATGCAAATACCAAAACGTGTGGGTCTCCCCGTATCGTCAATCACTAATACGAGGTCTAGGCTATACTTATGACTACTTAGGCCCGGATAACCTATATTCAGTAAATGCCAGAGTCCAGGATCATGTGTTGGCGGCGGATGGGCCAGCATATAAAGCATTGATATTTTCGAGTGTAACACCCGAATATCACGCCACGAACTCCCAGCCATCGTAAGGGTGGCAGGAAGGGGGCTGGGCGTCGAAAGGGAGGCAGGAAGATGGAAGGATCGAAGGTATAAGAAGGACCTTCGAATCCTTAGATAGAGAGACAGGTTTCAGTACATTACTATTCCATACCCTACCTTGTGCACTCGCAACGATTGATGATCCTTCTCTCTACACCCCTCGTAACAGATCGATACCCTTCGTTGATATCGTTGTTACATCTTTTATCCACTAGCAATGTGTAACACCCCGACGTATTACGCCACGAACAGAGTTTCCAGCCTCTCGAATCGAATTCCGAGCCATCGTAGAGTGGAAGGAAGACGTAAACGATAGAGGGGGGCCTGGGCACCGTAAACGAGTGAAAAGATAGAAGGATCGAAAGGTATAAGAAAAGCCTTCGAACCCTTAGACAGACAGAAAGGTTTCAGTACATGGCTATTCTATACTCTTCCTTGTGCACTCGCGGCGATTCGTAATCCCTCTCCTTGCACCCCTCGTGACAGACTCTTACCCTTCGTTGGTATCGTTGTTACATCATCATTGTTGCCTGTGATACTACCTCGTGAACGATTGCGGGAATGTCTCGGGAGAGCGACAACCCACAGCGACTCGCGTACCACAGCGACATTGCTAAACACAAATCAGGCCTAGCTTGTGCGAGCGTTGTCCGCATGATGGAAAGGTACCTGGAAACCCCACCCAAACCCTAGTAAAATCGCACAAATCGAGGTATCAAAACATCAAAATTGAGGCATTCACATACTTTTGGTATTTGCGAGCTCTTTGCCTCATTGTTGCTCGATTCGCGACTTGTATAGACTTCCTGGTGTTGCAGAGTCCTGTTTGACCCTTTTTGACCTCTTGTTGCTGCAGCCTCAATGGCCACTTTCTTTGTCGGCGACCTCTGGCAAGCGCCCTCAAGGTGCGCTCCAAAATGATGTCCACCTTTCGGATCGATCTAACCTTAAATGCCTCGACAGCAAGACCAACTACTTCTTCTCGCCCCGAGACCCCTCCTGTCCTTGAAACTCCTCCTTCTTCGCCTCAGATTACTCCTCTTTCACGGCGTCTACCGATTCGCACTCCTGAAAGACCCGACCGCGTCGATCGCCCTCTCCTGAGGGCTCGCCAATCGAAATTCCGGCGTTTACAGCACCTCCTGCACTGGCAGGAGGTAGAGGCAAGAGAATGCACACTCACGCTGCGAGATACAACGAGGCAAAAGAGCATGGATTCATTCAAGACTCACAGGAAGCTCGCAGGGCGTCAGGACGGCCCTGAAGGGGTCGGCAGCGAGGTCACGAGGCGGCAGGAGGACTACACAGGCGACAGACAAGCCACAGGGGTGGCAGAGAGGGTCTGACACGCCACAACACCAAAATCGAGTGCAAAAAGGCGTGGAAAGGCGAATGCAAAGGACTCCGTTAAAAGGGGTCAACGACGTCGTTGAAAGAACATCAAAAAGCGCCAACTATGTGAGGGAGGCCAGGTGGATGGAAAGGTACTTCAAATCCCCAGGGAAAATGGGGGGTTTCAGGTACCTTTCCATCATGCGGACAACACTCGCACAACTAGGCCCGATTGGTGTTTAGTGATGTCGCTGTGGTACGCGAGTCGCTGTGGGTTGTCGCTCTCCCGAGACATTCCCAGATCTTCGATCTACCAGCGTCTACGGCACCTCCAGCACTAGGAGGAGGTAGAGGAAAGAGAAGGCGCAACCACACGGCGAGATACAAAGAGGCAAAGGAGCAAGGACTCATACAAGATTCACAAGAGGCTCACAGAGCATCAGGAAGGCTCTGAAGGTGGTCAACAGCGAGGTCAGGAGGCAAGAGGGGGAAGGGGGACTTTAGACAGACTAAATAGGCGACAGAGAGCTCCTGATACACAACACCAAAATCGAGTGTGAAAAGGCTTCTAAAGTCGAGTGCAAATAGCTCTGTCGAAAGGCCTTAAAGAACACCAAAAAGGGCCAACTATGCGAGGGAGGCAAAGTGGATGGAAAGGTACCTGAAAACCCCCCATTTTCCTAGGGATTTGAGGTACCTCGCCATCCTCCGGGCAACCCTCGCACAACTAGGCTCAATTGGTGTTTAGCAGGTCGCTGTGGTACGAATGTCGCTGCCAAGGGTCGCTGCCCCGATACATTCCCACGATTGCTGCAAAATATCCTGGTTCGTCGTGAACGATAGGTCACCATTTCTTCAGTACTATTATCCACTTGTTCAACATCTCCTTTATAGACGTGAGATTATCTCGTCGTCGCGCAGAGCAACCATTAGGGATAACTTTGTCCATGGAAACCTTTTACCAGTGTTTCAGTGGTGAAGCCTGTGTATAATAACTCCTTGTTCGACAGCTACAGTATTCATTCAAATTCAAGTTGCACGAGAAAATTTAACAGCATGTCATGTAATATACACACAACTTCACCACGGCAAAAATAATCAACACCAAAGCTCCCCTCCTATAGTCCATCACTGACGAACTGATAAATGGGGCGCCACAACCAATGAATGCTTGAGCTAGACAAGTTCACCGACAGGAAGGTTTGAACCCCCCTCGGTATCACTCAGTTTAACATCAACAATCACTGGCTGGAGCATTACGTTTACCCA